ATAACCTGCGGTTTCGTCTTCTCTCGACCTTCAGTATATTTGCCACGCCACTGATAATACGAGCCCGAGTCAGAGAACTGTCCCTGGGTCGCCACTTCGGCTACGCGGCGGCCGGCCTCATCATTCGGAACGTATTGCCGAGTGATATACTTCTGAAGAATCGGGAAGAATACGTGCCGGAACCAGCCACGCTTTTCGCGGAAGAGGTTGCTGTCGGCGACACATCCCGGGAAGATTGCCACAGAGGTCACCCCGTCGCGGCCGTATCGATCACTGAGCGCCTTCATTGTCAACACGTTCGCGGCTTTGGCGTCTTTGTAGGCTTTTGTGGGCTCAAACGGGCCACTGTCCACCATGCCCGTCGTCTGCGGACCAAGCCCCGCGGCTAGACCAGACAAATCACCGAGACGAGCCTGCGGGGGGATCTTTCCCGGCAACGAATTCGGCGAGTGTGTCTGAGTCGTCAGAAACACAATGCGCCCGCGCGATATTTTCAGCTTCGGCAACAGCTCCCGACATAGAAGCAAATGGCTCAGATGGCATACCTGCATGGTTTCCTCGATGCCGTCCACCGTGAAACGCGGTTTCTTGTCCCGCGGATGCCAGATTGCGGCATTGCAGATCAGGGCATCCAGGTGATCGACGCGCGCCACACTTGACAGCTCTCTCACAAACTTTAGTACAGAGGCGAAATCAGCCAGATCACAATGCAGCACTGTATAGGCGTCCTTTGGGAGGTTCACGCTGTCTGCTGCGCGCTCCGCCCGATCAATGTCACGACATGCCATGACGATGTGCCAGTTGCCCTTGTTGACCAGAGCGCGAGCTGCATACAGACCGACCCCAGAGGACGCGCCAGTGATCACAGCGATCTGCGACTGTTTCGGGCCCATACGAAGATGCAGCGCGTGGTGCCGGCGCGCTACAGGCAAACGCTGCACCACCAAAGGAAGCGGATGCTGGCAGTGGTGACAATGTCCAGCTGCGAAGCACCCGTTACGAGGCGTACGCAGCGGGAACGGTGCTCGAGTTGCAGCGCGCGCGCGAACAATGTATCTTTCCTGGTACAACGGGACAGAAACGAAAAGGGCTTGCATTTTCTTGGATTAGGTTTTCTCCGGTGCAAAGCTGCCGAGTGCGTCACCACCTAGGAAGGTTCGCGTAAGCGTGCGTATCCAGTCAAAAACCTCTGTTGTGTAGCTGCACGAGTGATCGTCCGTCAATTGCACAGATTCTTACCTAAGCCTCCTGTAGAATTTCAAGCTTTGAGTGGAACTAGCACAAGTGGTCTATGTCCTTTTCAGAAACTAGGTAAAGCTCCCAGTTTTCCGACCAGTAACCTCGCAAGTACTTCGCGCTAAGCGCTGCGCAACGTTCCGCTCGGAGATCACGACGATCGTGGATAAACTTCGCCGCTGAACGCAAGGGCTCGGCCCAGCGGAAGTATAAGGGAATTCCCTCCGGCAGGATGATATCAGCGCATACGCACTGCCAAGGCGATGCTTCGAACACCAGAGCCATTAAGGAATTCCCTCCCGCGATATGCTTTCTTTAGTTCGACAGAACATTTCCACTGACCATGTATCCCAGCTTGCCGGATCGATATTGCCTTTCGGGAAAGCGTCCATCATGCTGAGCAATATCTGTACGTTCCATCGCTTTTACCAGTTCTCGAATGCACTGGCCGTTTCATACGTTCTCTCGTGCGTCGAGTGCCAGTCGTATGCACCCACCGTCGCGATTAAGGCGCTGGTGCGGATGCGCTACGGAAACAGAACAGCCTTGGTATACCACTGAGCGCGTCAGAAGAGGCTTGGTTCACGCAAAACGGAATCAGGGCTATTTATATTTCTGGGAGCCCCCAAGCTGTACATGCAGACCATCAGCCTGCGGTTGCGCGAAGCGGTATACTAGGAGTCCACCGCGACCAAGGTGACGCCCAAATGCAGCACACCCGCTCCTAGTCCCAGAACCATACGCGATTCGGACGAGATACTCAGGTGCGTCACATTCTCCACCACTAAGAGTCACGCGGAGCAAAAGCAGGTAGCGTCTTCCGGTTTGTGGGACCCTCCACCTCTAAGGTAATCGTTAGACCATGAGCAAAAGGTTCCTCTTTTCAAGGTCTGCAACAGATGTGGAAAGGAACCGTTACCTCGTTGCTAGTAATCGGCCACACTCCGTTCTTTTTTTGTATTGTGTGGCCCGTACGCGAACCACGATATGTGGCCGTCACAACACGCAACCTGTCTCGCCGGTGAAGAGAAATGCGATAATGGCTACTTTTTGACCTGCGGCTGTATCGGGGCCAGTTGTGTTTGCGATCAAATGGTAGCAAAGTGTCGGTATTACTTCAATCGTGTTTCAATATTCAAGTTAAAGTATTTTACTGCTTTGCCGCCGTTTAAACTAGAAGCGTCCATAATGTTTTTTATAAAATAGAAAACTTATGGAACTGGAGGTAGAAGGTTTTTGGATGACCGGTATTGCCGGCCGCCGGAAGAGAACAAAGGACTGTGCCGAGTGTAGAGGAATAGCATAACGCAAAGAAGCAAAAAAGGGAGGCCCTACGTCAAATGCTGCAAGAAAGACGACAGAGCGATGAAATGGTGATGAAATCGTGTCTTCTTGGGCATGGTAAGGATCCGTACAAGGAAAAGTTGCGAGAGGCCTTCAGAAACGATGGCGATTCGTGCTCAAGCTATGTTTGTAACGCGTCTTTTGGGACTGGTGCATTTGGAGAGGGAGAAATTTTCAACACGACCTTTGTCAGCCAGTTGATGTTTGGCACCTGGGAAACTTCGTGGAGAAATGGGACAGTCCATGCTCTCCGAAAAATTACGCAAACTCGCGCTTTTACGGTGCCAAATACAAGGGTGGCGCAGATACATACGAATACAGGGCAATGAGGTGCCTCACGAATGTGAGGAAAAATAAGATCGTATACCTCGATTGTTTCATGGTACGCGCCGTCCTTGCGCTGTATCCGGGCCTGTTTCGTGAAGGGATATGCGCAATCATCGATGGTATGAAAAACGATCGCCAGCATGAACAGGAGATTGAATTCATCGACAAGGGTACATCATGCTGTAGAAAAAATAGGGCTTCTGTTATCCGCGCGACTATTCAAAAGCATCCTTCGGTCTTGGGGCTTGTCAACCCAAGAGGAGAATTGTCAGATATGAGAAAAAACGAAGAGAGATGTTATCCCTTATTCTCCCCTACTTCATGTTTTTGGACCAATTTCGGACGCATGGCCGAAATGGAGCTGAGTATGGAAAAAATGAAGAGTTGGAGAGATGATATTCAATCGCTTCTACGGTTGCGCTTCATTGGTGTTCGGTTATGCGAGTTCAAGTCACATTTTGTGAATATCTACTCCATCGTCCTTTACAACTTCATGAAGGAGATCTGTCCAGAGCTCGATGTAACCAACAAAGAGATCATCAGCGAAGACCGGGACACCTACTGGCAGAATATCTTCGATTCCAAGCGTCCCAAACCGGGCAAAAAAAGGTATTCACTGGGACAATCGATAACGATGGAGTATACATATGTGTACACTATCAGCGGATGAAGGCAGGTCGTCCTATCCCGTCTTCATTATCTCACTTGCCGAAGCACGAAAACAAGAAGACGGGCCATGGGACGTATAATCCCAACGAAAACAACTTTGTCTTCGGCCTTAGTCCCTGGAACACGAATATCATAACCATCGCTGTACCCAAGCGTCGGGAAGATGGCACTGAATGAAACTTACGTAGGTAAAACCTGCGTCATTTGAGGTTCTCGAGAGCGAGATACAATCGAGAATCGGGAATCATGAATGCAAGGAAGAAAATCGGGAATTGGAATTCAGGAATGAAGGATCAAATGGAAGCTTTGAGCGAGGTGACGATCCGTGGAGCGGACTTTGAAGCTTTCCGGAAATTCATGGAAGTTCGTGTTGTCCATTGGGATGCGCTGTGGGAGGAGTATACCAAGCCCCGGTGGGCTCGTCTGCGAATGAACTTGTACTGTGGGAAGCAGCGTGCATTCGCGAATTTTTTCAATGAGTTGAGCGCCTTGAAGGAGGATGAAAGTCAGAGGCTCGTAGTAGCGTACGGACAGGGGCGCTTGAAGACCCAAAAAGGGACTACGCCAGCTCCAACGACAAGAACGTACAAGGAGTGCGCAAGGCGTTTTGTTACAATACCCGTAGATGACTTCCGAACGTCCCATACACACCATGAACTGGGGTGCGCACTTCAGATTGTGGAGATGGAATAGCGCCAGCGGAGCCCCGAGGATATACAAAAGTACGGACCGCTGACGGAGGAGCAAATGAAAAAGATGGCGAAAGTTCGTGGACTACTTGCATTAGTAAGTACAACGAATGATGGCAAGAAACGTATGGATTTCGTGAACCGAGACTTTAACGCCGCAATCATTATACGGAGATGTGCGGTGATGGAGAAAAGACCTCCACAGTTGACAGGCTAGAATTTTGTTGGACAACCTCTCAAAGTGGAACTATATGAAAAAAAGTTGAAGTCAGTAGTAGGTGGCCGGTCGAGAAAGACGGGGAGGCGTCTGCACGTCAGTTGGAGACGTCATGTCTAGGACGCGTTCACCGCTACCACTGTACACCGCTGCGAAGGTCGCACCGAAGTTGGATAAAAAGCGATGAGGCAAGACCATTGACAGATCTTTCCCCAGCATAATCTGAATACTCAGGCAGCACCAGCTCAAAAGTTTGTAATGGATTTACGCGTACCACAGCGATCTTTCCAGTACGCGGCAGGCTATTCGAAGCGCGCAATCAAGTCGTATTGTAAAAGCGTCGCGAAGCAAAACATGCTTTAAACCGTCCTTCCTATAAAACTGCATCAAACGTTATACGCTTTCCCCGTTCGGCTTCGTCACCCCCCTCCCCCCTTCAGGCAGTCGCTCGAGCCCGATACTCCGCACACGCTTCGCAGTAAAAAGCTGGACACGAGCAAGCACCTCCGACAAAACCTTCACGCGCTCAAAACGTACTCGGCGAGAATATTGCCATTCTCCTGGTCTGGTAATGGTCCCAGCTGGAAACCGAGTTTCTCACAAATGCGCTGCATAGCCCGATTCTCCGGTGCGATCTCGCTCCATATTCGAGTCAAGCCCTCGCGACGCGCAATATCCATGAGTCGGCGGAGCATCTCTGTCCCGAGGCCGTGCCCACGGTCCGTGTCCAAGACGTTAATCGCAAAATGACCGGGGTCCGGCTCCGGCTCCAAACGCAGCTGGGCTAGAGCGTGGATTGCAGCGCTCCCTTCGGCATCACGGGCCTCGGCGATGATCACCATTTCCGAGTTAAAGTCGCAAAAGGCTATGCGAAGCAAACGATTGCGCAGCCATCGATCCCGTAGGTTCACGTCACGAGTGGGCGCTGCGGCAACGACTTGTGGCACTAAATAACCAGTGCCTGTTGTTGACAGAGCGTCCCAGAACTCTAAAAGCTTTGGTGTATCCGAGGGATGGATGGGCCGAATCACCACCGGGAGGTTCCCCATACTGTCGCCGCTCCAGGGGCTGACATACTCCGAGGGGTACGGGCGGATGGCCGGCTGCGGTACAGTATCCAGTGACACGTGCGGGTCATGCAAGACGACACGGGCATCAATTGCCACAATACCGCGTGGAGTCACAAACAGCGGATTGATATCACACTCTTTGATAAGGCGTTGTTCGCACACCATTCGAGAGAAGCGAGATACCACTGTTTGCAGCTGCTCAAGATCAGCCGGGTCATGGCCCCGCACGCCCTTCAGTGCATTGTAAATGCGAGTTCGTTCCATCATTTGACGCGCGAGCGCAGAGTTCAGCGGCGGTATGCCGAGACTGACGTCCCTGTAGACTTCCACAAGGGTTCCACCGGTGCCAAACGCCACAATAGGTCCTGCTTGCGGGTCGAGTGTACTCCCCAACAAGACCTCGTATCCTCCGGGGCGAAGATCGATCATTCGTTCCAGAATAACGCCCTGGAAGTGTTCTGCGCCGCGGAGCTTGGTGACGCTCTCGCGAATCGAATGGAAGGCTTCGACAACTTGATCCGGTGTGTGGAGATTCACCTTCACGCCACCAACGTCGGTCTTGTGTGTGATCGTGTGGCTCAACAGCTTGGCTACGACCGGAAAACCAATACGTTTCGCGATCTCAACGGCTTCATCCTCCGAATGCGCTAGCTTCGCCTCCAAAACTGGAATTTCGTACATGCTGAGAAGTCTCTTGCTCTCGTACTCGTTCAGCACGATTCGCCCTGCTTGGCGTGCTTGCTCGAGCATTTCTTCTGCAGAACGCTTAATCTGGCGCATCCCTGCAACACGGGTTGAGGGGCCCTCTGGTACCTCGTAGAGGCTCTCGAGAATCGAATTGTAACGATGAAGATAGTTCCAAATGCGAACAGCCACGTCCGCGAACGCGAAGTTGGGGATCTCGTTGCGTTTCAGAATTTCCTGGCCCGCTAAAACATCAATGCCCCCCATCCAGCTCGCAAGCACTGGTTTGTCCTCGGCACGCGCTGTGGCTGCCGCGCGTACCAGAATATCTGCGGTTGCAGTAGCATCGGTCATGACCTGCGGCGTCAGAATCACAAGCGTGCCGTCCGTGTTCACATCCTTGGAGCAGATCTCAAGCGCCTTCGCATACGTTTCTGGTGTCGCATCTCCAATGATATCAACCGGGTTCGCATGCGACCAGGCTGCCGGGAGCACCTTGTCCAGTGCATCCATGGTTTCTGATGAGAGCTCGGTGAGCGCACCACCACCCGAAACCAACTCATCTGCCGCTAGGATCCCCGGCCCTCCCGCATTCGTTATGATCGTAAGATTTTTTCCGCGAGGTCGAGGTTGCTGCGCCAGCACTCTTGCAGTGAGGAAGAGATCATCGATTCGATCCACGCGCAGCACTCCGGCACGGCGCAAGACCTCCCCAATCACTTCGTCCGACCCAGTAAGGTTGCCGGTGTGTGACGCTGCTGCCGCAGCCGCAGCGGGCGTGCGTCCAGCTTTAATCACCACAATTGGCTTCGTGGTTGCAACCTCTCGAGCAGCCGAGATGAAGGCGCGAACATTCCCAATCGATTCAACGTAGGCAACAATCGACCTCGAATGCGTATCCTCACCGATATACCGAATCATATCCGCCCAGTCGACGTCGCACATCGTTCCTAACGATGCAACTTTGCTGAAACCAAATCGTTCCTTCAGTGCCCAGTCGAGAAGCGAGCAGACCAAAGCTCCGCTCTGACTCAGCAGAGCCACATCGCCTTTAACGTACTCTGCCCGTGCACCAAACGACGCATTCATCCCTGTCGAGATATTGAGGATACCCAAACAGTTTGGTCCGATGATACGCGTGCCTCCACGCCGAGCCTCTGCGAGTGTCTCATCGAGAAGCTTTCGACCCTCGCCACCAACCTGCGCCTCGGCGAAACCCGCCGAAATAATCACACAGCCTGGAACGCGGTTGTCAGCGAGTTCGTGCATAATCGACGGCACTGTTCTCGCGGGTGTCGTGATAACAGCGAGATCTATTGGCTCCGGAATTGACGACACATTCGGATATGCGCGTATACCCAAAATGTGGCTTCGTTTGGGATTCACAGGGTACACGGCACCGCCGAAAGGCGAGAGCAGGTTCTGGAAAATATTGCGACCGACGGAGCCGGGCTTTTCCGTCGCACCAATCACTGCCACAGCTCGTGGTTTGAAAATTGCGTCCAGCTGCTCTCGGACGCGAGTCCGACGCGTCACGATGTGCACAGACGGATCGAAGCGCGGCACGCTCGCGCTGCGTTCGCTCGCAGCAGTGCCCGTTTCTCCAGCGCATGACGAGGACAGTCTCTGCACCGAAACCGCCGTCGGTACCCCCATTTTCCGTGATCCCACACTATCGGCAGGTGAGATGAGCTGCGTGATCAAACGTTTGCCTCCTAGGCGGTAACCCCCGGCAGCATCACAAGCTGTAACCTGTGCGTACCACGCCCGCAAGCCCGAAACTTGCCCCTTCTGCCAAACAGTCGCTAAAGTCGCTCTTCCAAGCTCTCTACTGCAATTCAACATATCTGAGTTAGTTGTGGATTGCCATGGCCAAGCAGCACAAAGCAGCTATCCCACGAAACTCCTCTGACGCTGGCGCTGCCGCTACCACAAGTTCCAGGGCCGATACCGCCTCGCGCTCGCTATTTAATTGACGTGAGCGCTTCGATGCCGTGCGTCGCTCTGGTGTCCGATTTGTTTTCGAAACCAAAACGTTTACATGGTCCATACATTCCAGATTTTGGGATGTATGGATAATGGCTATTGAGAAAGCGTCCATCATGATGGGCTTATCTTCAAGTTCCATCACCTGTACTCAGATGTAGTGGTCGCTTTGTACGTTCTATCGTGAGCCGCGTGTCTATCGTAAGTACCCAGCATACCGCCTATCTTACTGGAGCCGATGCATCGCGGCGACAGGACGTTTTTGCCATACCATTGAGAGCGTGGGCTCTAGGGGTGGTGCACTCGACACGGGGTCGCGATTCATAAGCACTCTGGGAACCAGCAAGTTGCGCAGACAGGCGTACTGCCTGCGGCAGCGGGAAGCGATTTACAAGGAGTCCAGCGTGACCAGTGTGACGCCCAGACGCAGCCTATCTGCCCGTTCTACAAGAATAAACTACGTTGGGGACGAGCAGCTCAGGTCGCGTCACGCCACTCGCCACTGCAGAGTTGCACGGAGCGCAAGCCCGGCAGACACCCTGATCCCAAGACCCTCTGCCTTGAAGGTAAACTTTCGATAGATGGAAACCTTTTCTCCGTTCAGCGTTTATCGTAGAGGGCAAAGAAATTGTTATCTCGGTGCTAGTTAGTAGCTGGTCTCTGTTTATCGTGGTATATAGTGCGGTCGGTCAGCGCACCTCGTGATCTGGCAGTCACGAGCACGACGCGCATGTTACCGTTGAGAAGAGCGACGCTATCATGATCACTCGTTGACTTGTTGTTCTAACGGCCCAGTTGTATATGCGTAAAAGTCAGAGCAAACTATAGTCTTTCAATTCAGTCGTGTTTAAACCCTCAAGTAAGTTAATTCAATTGATTTTTCGCGGTTTACAGCAAAACCCTTCCATGTGCGTTCGTCTTCAAAAATAAAGAGAAGATAAGTTATGGAAATGGAAATGGAGGATCCTGAAGCGCCAGTAACGCTGGCTGGCGGAAAGAAACGAAAAACAGAGCCAAGCAAAGAGGAACGAGACAAGGCGGAGAAGCCATGGCAGGAGGCCCTACGTCACAGGTTGCAAGAAAGACGATCATACGACGTTATGGTGGTGAAATCCTGTCTTCTCGGCCATATCAAGGATCCCTGCCAGCAAAAGTTGCGAGAAGCGATGAGAAACCGTGTCGAGTCTTACCCCATGAGTGTTCACATCGCTTCTTTAGCACTGATGCATTTGGTGAGGAAGATGTATCGCGATATGAAGGACGTCAAAATAGTCGGCGTTCTGGGAGAGTTTTTCAACAAGTCCTTTATTCGTCACTTGATGTTCGGCACTGGGGAAACGTCGAGGAGAAACGATCGAGCGCATGCCCTCCACGAAAAATACCCCAACTACCGCCTCAACGGTACTCGCTAGAAGTATAACACGGATATTTGCGCATAGGGGGCGATCAAGTGCGTCAAGAACCTGAACGAACATTTGACTTTGAATCTCGAACGTTTCATGATAAGCGCCGTGATTGCACTCTGCCCGGGCCTATCTCGCAAAGGGATATGGGCCATCATCAATGGCATCAAGAACGATCGCTTCCATGAACGGGAGATCGAATTCTTCGACAAGAGGACATTACGCAGGAGAAAGAATGAAGCTTCTGTGATCTGTGCCGCTGTTCAAGAGCGCCGTGCAGTCTTGGGGCTGGCGAATACAGCGGAAAAGGTATCAGCTACGAAAAAAGATAAGAAAAATGTTATCCGTTCTTCCTGCGCTATTTTGTGTTTTTGGACCGGGAACTCGAACGCAAGGCCGAAAGGCAGCTGAGTGGGGAAAATGAAGCGTTGTTGGAACGGATAGCTGCCCGGATGGGGAAGTGCTTCAACGTCGTTCCGAGGTGCGAGATCAAGTCGCATTTTATGCCAATCGACTCCAGAGTCCTGTACAGCATAATGAGAGAAACCTGTCCGGAGTTCAATGTAAGGATGACAGAGTTCACCGGCGAGAACCGGGAGACGTGCTGGAAGAATATCTTTGATTTCAAACGTCTCAAAGTGAGCAAGCAAAATGTATTCACTGGGATGAGCGAAACTGATGGAGTAGCCATGTGTGTACACTATCGGCGTTTGAAGACAGATCGGCCATTTCCGACCTCGGCTTCGCCCGTGGCGAAGCAAGAAGATGAGAAGGAGGCGGGTCTTTCGGAACAGAAAGTGCATGAGAGCGACTCTGTCGTTGACGCGGACCCTGGGAATACGAATGTCATCACCATTGCGGTACCCAAGCGTGTGGAAGATGGTGCTGATGGTAAATTACGTCAGAAAGCCATGCGTCTGTTGAGGTTCTCAAGAGCAAGATTCTATCGAGAAGTCGGTATAATGAATGCGAGGAAGAAAATTGCTGCATGGAATGCAGGAATGATGGATCACCTGGAAGCTATGGGCGAGGTGACGAGCCGCAGAGCGGACTTTCAAGCTTTTCGGAAATTCATGGAAGTTCGCATTGCTCATTGGGATGCGCTGTGGAATGAATATACCAAGCTCCAGTGGACCCGTTTTGTGTATGAATTTGTATTGTGGGAAGCAGCGGGCATTTGCCAACTTTTCCAATCATTTGAGCGACTTGAAGGAGGATGAAAGTCAAAGGCTGGTTGCGGCTTATGGGGCAGGGCGTTCGGCGTCGAAAAATGGGACCACGCCAGCTCCAACGACGAGGGCGTACAAGGAGTTTGCACGGCATTTTGTTATGATACCTGTAGATGAGTTTCGAACGTCGTATACACACCATGACCTGGGTAGTACACTTCAGAGAGTGGAGATGGAAAAGTGGCAGCGGAGTCCTGAGGAAATAGCAAAGTACGGACCGCTGACGGAAGAGCAAATGGAAAGGAGGGCAAAAGTGTGAGGGCTACTTAAACTAGTGAGTACAATCAATGGCAAGAAACGGATGGAAGTCGTGAACCGAGATTTTAATGCCGCCATTAAATATATGGAGATGTGCGGTGCTGGAGAAGAGACCTCCAGAGACGCCAAGAACGAACTTTGTTGGACAACCTCTCAAAGTGGAACTATATGAGAAGAATATGTAAGATGTAGTCGGTGGCCGGCCCAGAAAGACAGGGAGGCGTCTGCACGTCAGTTGCAGACTTCTTGGCCAGGGCGAGTTTCTCGCCACTACTGTACACTGACGTCGGTCGACGTAGAACGGCGTTGTTGGTGTGTGTGGCCGGTGTCACTTTCGACTTGAGCAGCGAGTCTTGAAAAACGGCTCAACTAGTGCAGCTAGTGGCTGCATCATGCAAGTTCGGTTGCGATTTCTGGTACCACGGCCAGTCGCCAGCTGCGAAGGTGGGGACGTAAGCGTGCTACTCCAGCGGAGTGAGCGTGCTTCACCAGACGAGCAGCCGCAGACTTGTGTGCGAGCAGCTGACGCCTCAGAGGGTGCGCTCACAGCTGAGACGCTCTGGGGCTACCCGCACCATGGGCGGCTTTCCTACTGCTATGGTTACCAGGATCGCCAGAGTTGCCGCCTTGAGCGAACTGTACCCGTGCGGTGGCTGGTTGCCGTGCTCGGAGATAACACTGAGCCCCACGCAGCTCCGCAAGTACCTGTATACAGTTTCGACGATACGATCGTACGTGTTCGCTTCGCTTTGAAGGTTCATACAGCTTTTGGACGCTTCGTAGTGGTAAAGTGCTGCGAGAGTGTCTGCGTCTTGCAGTGGTCCGCAACCGATATCTGGCGTGGCGAAATGACTATTGACAGCTCAGAGGTACTGTGGGGCGACGATCTTGCTTATCAATGGGCGGACCTTCCCGAGGCCGAAGCGATGACGGTCACCGCGGCGGACGCGTGCTGGAGCCGGAGCACCATGCAGCTCCTGAAACTTGAATCCAACACCGCCGTTCGAGAGCGCCCTGAGGAGCCCTGCAGGAGCGCACCAGACGATGCCATACCAGAGCCGCCAATCAGTCTCTCTCTGACTCCAGGTGTGCCCGTGACGCCGTGGCCTCAATATGTTAAAAATGTAGGCGACCTGCGCATCGAACGTCTCTACACTTCCTGGTTGCAACTGAGGATCGCCCCAGCAAACAATTCAAATGGCGAAGGCGACGCTTCACTTGATAGCGAACTCCATGGTCTGGTGAGCGAAGAGGAATGGAGGGCTTTGAGTCGTTTTGGACAGCGCCTCTCGCCTACTTCAGCATGGAGCCAGGAGCCGATGATGACGATTCCACGCGAAAAAATCGATGAAAATACCCGTTTAATGGACGAACCGTCCTTCAGTATCGGGCAGCCTCCGAAAGCATCGAAAAAGAACCAAGCCGCAGAATCGCCTTCGGGGCCACAACCGCATCAGCAACAACGCCCGCGTCGATGGCGTCTCCTGCTTTTCTGTCTGCTCTGGTCGTGGGCGGCGGTGGGAGCGTTATACGCTTACAGGCAGAACTTTGCTCCAACTGAAAGGTTCGCTGGAAAGCGCCACTCGCTAAAGCGGCAATGATACCGCACCCGCGTGCGAAACGGCAGGCTCGCACGTGACCGGCAGCCTCCGCAACGAGCGCTCACGGGGCTTTCTCAGGTTGGCACACTACCCTCCCCCAGTACCGAAGCATAGGATCTGGTGCGCCTGGATCTTATGGAACGAATCGCAAACGATTAGCGGGATACCTGCTAATGCGTCTGCAGACTGAACAGCCCCAGCGACGCTGAGCTCAGACGTGGCGTGGATACAGGCAGCTGGCCACCACCGGAACTTCAGGTTTACTGTTTGATCATGTAACATCGATGAACCTAACGAGAATGCCCTGAATGTGCGTTTGCTGTCGTCAGCCTGGAGAACGAGCTTCAATCTGATCGAGACCCTCTGCGTACCGCCAACCGTATACCGGAAACAGGTTCATGGCGAGCCATTTGCGATGCAGTCGATCGCCTCGCAGGCGGTGACGCCTGCGAGGCGATCTTTCCCTGTCGCCTCTGCAGTAACGCGCGAGGGCGAAGATCGCCGTATTGCATACAAGTTAATGGCCATAGCATCATGTTTTGGGTGCACCCCAGGATCACAAGTGGGATTCAATGTTTTTAAACTGCGGTTTTCTGCTCGTCAATGACCCTGAGCGCATCTGTCAACAATGCGCTCTCTAATCTCGCAGCTAGATGGAGTGTTGATGCGCTCGAAGCGGCTACGATCCCCTGCATCTGGCCTGCTGCGGTTCCTCCGGATGTGCATTAGGCCAGTTGCCTCCAGTACCGCAGGTCATGGGATCGCTTCTCAGACGACTACCCGCAGCTTCGTATGCGCCTGCTGAGCGCGCAGCACGCGCTGCTCCGACACTGTGAACGTATGGTGCAGGTGCGCGTCAAAGCGGCATTGCGGGCGAATACCACACCAAATACGCTGTTGATCGCTGTCAGTCTTCTAGCCGATGACGACCAAAGAAGTTTCGCTTCCTTTTCGGAACACTCAGGCGGGGGCGATATGTTTCCAGAAGCAGCAGGAAGGCTTCAGCACAAGATTGAATATTCGTATGCAATGCCTGCTCAGTTCTCAACCTTTGACCCGAAAGTCTGCTTTACGAGATTGATAAGTCTATGAGCATCGTTCGTAGTAAGTGAACTTCAGGGCCTCGACACCAAAAGAAACAAATTTCTACATGTGGCGATCACACACAAAAGTACGTTCAAGTTTAAAGGTGCAGTGGCCCAGTCACTCCGTCATACAGACAAAATACCTGCACAGAAAGAACGCTGTCTAGCAGAGATCAAACATACAAAAAAACCTGCTCTAGGCCAGAGTTGCTGTAACCTGCTCACTTATAAATACAGACACAACATCTTCACAAGAAAAGATCCACCCGAGTCAAGCGCCACAGCATAGACTGCAGCTACAAAACCCCAGATTTACAAGAGCACCAGCAGCGTTCGCCAGCGGCGCCAGCGGCATTCGTCGACAACCGTTTTGTCTTTCAACTGGATTTGAGCTTTCTCCGACGCAGTGCCATGATTTCCGGACGATTGTTGTAAACTTTATGGGCGTCGCTCTTTCTCTGGAGGATACTCATACTGAAACCTCTAGATTGTCCCGAACATCTGGCAAAGAGAAGGAGCAGCATGTGTCTATGGCGCGAACACTGACGACCGAGCTGGGCGCTGCCGCTGAGGACGCCAACAACACTGAGGAGGTCCATTTCACCGACCCCAAAAACAACAGCTCGTTGTCTAATGATGCGGGAAGCTATCTAGCTACCGTTGAGGCAGCAGAAAGCTTACAGAAAGCGGCCGTTGCGCCTGCAGTTGCTGGTTCTCTTTTGGTGTCCAGCGCTTGCGCAGCGCCTGCCTCGGACACACCCGAAAAGCAGGGAACAATGGAACAGGGCGGCAGCGACCGCAGTGGTAGCGGTAGCGCTGGCACAACACTCGACGACGCAACAGACGACTCGGACGCACGCAAACGTGCGGAAAGCAGAACTGAAGTGCGAATGTCGCTTGGTAGACGACTTCGACGACCGCCACCGCTTCAGGTCACTGTTGCAGCTACCGAAGAGAACGCCGAACCAACAAAGTCAAGGCTAGTCTTGTTGACGAACGCCGAAAATAACTCTGTACACTCCGGAACGACCAATAGCACGTATTCACAGCAATCGGGTACCCTGGAAGTAGCGCCCCTGAGCGTCTCGACAAGCGCTACCTCGCGCGTCATGCGCGCCGAGCACGCTATGGGTACCGCGCATAGCTCATCCATTGAACCACAATCATCTTCGAGTGCTAGCAGTGGGCAGCAACTTTCTGTGAACGGATTCGCCTCGGTGCCTTTTTCCGAATCCAGGCCGGCCACCATTGTAGGTGCTGCAGGCCTCGGGGACGGCAGTTTCGAGCATGGCGCCTATGCCGCTGTGCATGCCGATGCGCGAAGTACACACCGCCGACGCGACGTGAGACGCGGATCCCATACGGTGCTGCCGCCACCGTTGCCGCCGCTCGTTGTGGAACCCGCCGTGCACCTGTACATTGATGCGCTGCCGGCGATGCCGCCCAAGTCGCCGCTTCCGGGGTCTGCACGGGGCGCGCTCCAACCGGTTGGCCATGCGTCAGCAACTGGATCGTGCCATTCAGCCGGTGTCATTGGCACCTACAACCTACTGCATCCATTCACCAGGCGCGGCAATTTCCAAATCCGCCACGGCGAGGTCATCTACAAGGGTCATCGCTCTTATCATTTGATGATGCAGATCAAAGCTGGAATACGCTACACGGTGGAGCGACAGAACGCGTTGGCGCCGCGGAACCTCTGCATGGCTGATTTTCGGACCAGCAACACGATCCGCTTTCCGGCAGTGGGCTCATCAGACACGCCCCCCATCGAGAAGTGCTTCACTTTCAAAGACTATGCCCCGATGGTATTCCGCCAATTGAGGCAGCGTTATGGGATTAGTCCTACATCGTATCTGCGCTCGCTGTGCGGCGAGGAGGCCCTCAGGGAGGCGACCACTGCCGGAAAGAGCGGCTCGCTCTTCTACTACAGCAGCGATGACCGTTTCATTCTGAAGACACTGTCCAAGCAGGAAGCCAGTGTCCTGCTCAGCATTCTTCCCCAGTACTACTTTCACATGATGAAGAATCCGGAATCTCTCATCACGCGCTTTTTCGGCCTGCATCGTGTAACGACCCACCGTCTTGGATTGCGGCGGCGTCGCATCCGTATGGTCGTCATGAGCAATTTCCTGCCAACCCGAACACCAATTCATTTGCGCTATGATCTCAAAGGCAGTACGCATGGCAGGTTTTCACGGACTCCGGCGTCGCATGTTCTCTCAAACGACGACGAGCAGCAGACGGCCCCGCAGCAGCGGTTTCGACCAAGCCTTCTCTGCAGAGCGTCCCAGGAGTTGGATCCAAGACAACCCCGAAAGGACCTAGACCTGTTTCGAGACGGTGTGGGTCCTATCGCTATTGACCGACGACTGAGACGCAGAATGCTCAACCAAATCGATATGGATTGCCTGTTCCTGGAAAGCGTTCATATCATGGATTACTCTTTTCTGCTCGGCTTGCAGTACGTGGACACATCGGCAAACTTGCCGGTTTCAGCAGAATCATGGCGCCGTCTGCGCGAACGGGACGCCCGACATGCAAACAGTTGGGTCGGTTTGCTGGAGAACGGGGAGGAGGCGCGGCTCTTTTTCGGTATTATCGACGTCCTCGATCGATATAATGCAGAAAAGAAACTCGAACATTTCGGGAAAGCGCACCTACTCTGTCTTCACGATAGCATTAGTGTTATCGAACCGAGCTCGTATGCGCGGCGATTTCGCCGCTTTCTCGAAAAAGTATTCGTGCCAGTGCCGCGTTCACCATACGCGGCCGTGCAGGATGACGCGAGCACGGGGCTGCGATAGCGCCGGTTGCCGAGTCGCGGAGTTTGTCACCGTATGCTAGCGACTGGAGGATTGCTCGCTCGCCAGCACAGTGTCCATGAAGAGATTGGTGCATGCGATTCATATCATGGAACACAGACATTCAGAGAAGAGCATATTGTAGGCGATCAGGAAATCTGTTGCTGTATGTTCACGTGTTTATGCGGTTACCCGATGCATTGCTGTGCGATGTGTACGTTTCGAGCACGGCGCATCGAGCGGGACTGCACATCTCATAGAAGACGAGTGTACCGGGCCATTCGGTGCTGCCGCGCTACGCCTCTGGCGCCCTAATCGAGACGTTCGTCAAGGCATCCGAACAATGCCGGTATGCCCGAACAGCCCTCGTGATGTGCGCTTGACATGCGCATGGGGTATTCCCGGAAAAAGCACGATGGCCGGTGGGAATGCGAGGCCGATTTGCGCACTGGACATAGGTACGTTACCTATCCAGATCCGTTTCCGACGGAATAGCGGCCAAAATGCGCACGGTCAAGTGACGATGCCTCATGATAGCGACAGGTTACCTCTGCGAGCAGTGAGTCACTACAGCCTCGCGAGACGCGTCCGAAGAAGCGCTGTTTAGCGCCATTCTTGGATGCGAAACGGTGTGGAACGCTTCACCCGACGACACCATGCGTGTGTCGCTGATACCCATCACATGCGTGTCGTAGACGCGTCATGCGTGTCCATTGACGCAAATGACGTGCACAGCGAAGACGCACCAGGCGTGTCTGGGAGAGAACGACGCAACGCTCCGAGTGCCTCGTCTAACCGGCTGCGATGGCAATCGTCTCTTGTGTAAACTGTGCCTCCGGCGCTGATATTGGTACGATAATGGATGAAGAACGCCAGGGTCTCGGCATCTGTCGCACGGCAGCGCTCCATGGATGCCGATTAAAGGCAGAATACGCGGACTTTGTCCACTGTGGAGAGTGGTCTAGAAAACGGAGGTTTCCGCGCAGCTCGAGCAGACTCCATTAGGCCATATCTAATGGCAATGCGGAATCCACGAAGATGCTCAACACCAGGTCTCTTGTTTAGAATCCAAGCAAATGTACACTGGGATTGCATTTGTCCGCCCAATGGTATTTGCGCACTGTGCAGATGAAAGCGAGAGAGTCTCATCGGAATAAGCGCATGACCAGCATGTTCTGCTTCGAGGTATAGTCCACATTAACGCGGCCCGCCGGGCATTGGAAACCGCAAGGCAAAGGCCCGCACTTGGTCGCGCAGCGTTGCGAGCTCAGGACGACCTTCAAGGGCACGCTCGAAATCTGCAAGCTTCTTTCCGGAATCCTTTTGGATTTTGAGACAAAGTTGGACGGCCTGGTGGAGAAACTCAGCCACCTGCTCAAAGTCCTTTTCCCTGAAACCACGGCTAGTGAGCGCAGGCGTGCCTAGACGCACGCCGCCAGGAGAGAGTGCGTTCGTATCACCAGGAACCGCGTTCATATTCAGGGTTATGTTGATTTGATCGCAGAGCTTCTGAACTTTGTTACCCGTGAGGCCCTCTGGCCTCAGGTCCCAAAGCACTAGGTGGTTATCCGTACCACCGGTGACGATTGTATAGCCCCGGGCCTGCAATGCCCCGGCGAGTGCTTTCGCATTTGCGCGAACCTGCTGCTGATAGGCGCGAAACTCAGGCGTCATCGCTTCTTTCAAAGCAACACCAAGCGCTGCCATTGTTGCATTGTGAGGGCCTCCCTGACACCCCGGGAAGACCGCCTCATTTATATCCGCTTCGTACTGACGGCGACAGAAAATCATGCCCTGTCTTGGCCCGCGCAGCGACTTGTGCGTAGTTGTCGTTACAACATCGCAGAACGGAAACGGCGAAGTGAGCTCCCCTGCAGCGACGAGACCCGAGTAGTGCGCCATGTCGCACATGAGCATCGCGCCGGCCTTGTCGGCGATCTCGCGCATCCGCGCATAGTCCCAGTCGCGTGCGTACGCCGACGCCCCACAGATAATGAGTCGAGGGCGGTACAGCAGTGCCAGCTCTTCTAGACGATCGTAGTCAACATAACCTGTCTGAGGATGGACCTGGTACGGAAGGGACTCGAAGTATATCGAGGTTGCGGAGATCCGCTTTCCTTTCGCAGTGTAAAAGCCGTGCGTCAAGTGCCCACCCGAGGGTAACCCCAGGCCCATGATTCGATCATGCGGCTTTAGTAACGCGGTGTACACTGCAAAGTTGGCCGGCGACCCAGAGTACGGTTGGACATTAACCGCCCACTCTTGTGGGTCGAGCCCAAAGAGGCTCAGCGCACGTTGCTGCACCAGGCGCTCCAATTCATCAACAACCTCCGTGCCACCATAGTATCGCTTTCCAGGATACCCTTCCGAGTATTTATTTGTGAAACATGATCCAAGTGCTTCCATAACGGCCCTTGAGGTAAAGTTCTCGGAGGCTATCAGTTCCAAACCGCCGGCCTGACGTTGTTTCTCGGCCCGGATGAGCGTCACAACCTCGGGATCTACTTCTTCCAGAGGACGGTTCCCAATGAACCCCTCAAACTCCGGTCGATAGTGACTGTCATCATAGCACTCTCTATACACAGAGTTAACCATGTTGATAGCGCAAAAGTGAACAACTGTGGCTTGCGAAAACTGTGCTTCACACCGAATCGTAAGCACTAGTGTCGTGGATACGATTCTGGATTGGCACGGCCCACGGCGCGTACCGGCATCGGCTGCGGGGCCGGTGCCGAGGGCAGGCCCCGAGGCCGTGCGCCAGCTCCCCGCGGCGACGATCAGAGCAAGTGGCCAGTAGTGTCCAGTTATGTACATAATCGACGCACGTTCGCAAGCACGCGGATGCGTTGCATACCTACACCCATATCAGACGAAACGGGAAGGCCTACAAACAGATGACTCGAGCGTCCGTTCAAAAGTTCGGGTCTATTGCCAATGCCTTCCAACATGGGCCTCCGCGTGCCTTTGAGCTGCCTGCTGTTTTCGCTCTCTCTTACCTTCGGATTTACATGCGCCTGTCGCTCATGAACCTCTCCCAGCTGCGATGTCAGCCGTCGACAGATGTCGACGGGAGCGTTCAAGTCCCGACTGCGCCGTTCCCGGCAGTTGTCGACGCATTTCGTGCACGAGCGGAAGTTGCAATGCACAACCCGTCTGCCGTTTTTCATCCTCTCTGTACTCGGACGCAGACTGCCCGTCACCACGATGACATTTGATCGCACTCAGGTGTTTTCGCAGGTTAAGAACACGTGCCTCTCTGAACGCCGCTCTGTGGCGCGTGAACGCTTGCCTCAGTGCTCGGTAGACGCCCTTGGCGGGTGCAGGAGGCTCCACTCGATGCACTCTTCCATATCCCCGCCCAGTGCCGTACATCTGAATCACGGGCTTGTTCTGGGCGGTGCCTTTGGTATCTACGTTGTTCGCTGTATGTGCACGCGCACGGTGCTCGCTCCAATAAAGGACTTGCGGGACGCCTTCTTGCCCATATGAAACAAGTGCCAGAGGGAAGTCCGGCCAGACGAAGAATTCGCGGCGGTGCGATTCGCCCACGCGCGCGTCTTGCACAGCGCTGACGCGTTCTCCAGTGGAGGCGCTCGCTGCGATAACTAGGGTCCGAGTCCAGTACACGGTGCTGTGTAGGCACAGGAGCCGCGATGCTCTGTGAGCGTACTCCCTGACAGGCGACATGCTGCTGTTGAATGCCGCTGGGTCGATGGCCACGAACCAAAGAGCATCTGCCTTCGGAACCAGGTCAATGATCTCAGGTGACAAGCACAGTGAGCTTTAGGCATCGTGCTGTGAGCAAGATGTCGAAAGCAGACTTTGAGCGTTTCTCGGCGTCCATAAAGCAGCGCAGGCCTCTGCGCCAACGTGTTGCCTTGAAACAGAAATGCAGGATAGCTGACGCATATGTGATTTGAGCATTCTGCACATAAGGAAAGGAGAAGTGTGCAGGCGTGAATGTAGGTATTGGATCATGGTATTGGTTTTGCTACAAACCGCTGTCCCATGATGTCGCGAGTCGCCTAGAGTCCGGTGAGCCACCGAATACCAGCGCCAGAGTGCCGAGGGAGGCATTCCAAAAATACTGCCGACGATACTGAAACGACGTCTGACTTCGTCTGCGCGTATTGCTGCACTTCAAATGCCGAGGTTGCAAGTCTAAAAAAGTATAGCAAAAATAGAAAGACAGGAACAGAGCGAGCAGATCAGTGTTCCATTTTCATCGCACGCAAGTACAGTACGTAGATGCGACGTGTCTCAGGCGGTCGCTGAATGCCCAATCGTTCGTCCATGGCCCGATCCGGCTATAGAATGCACCAGTTGGACAACCAGGATAGAAGTCAGAGCGAGCTTCTCTCCACGGGACGAGTGGGGTAAATGCAGCGCCGTGGGCACCAAGCGCTCCAGTTTCCAAAGATTCGAAATTCCTCCATCAACAGGTACACTCGAGGCTCACGCGGATTGCATTTAAAGTGATAGCGAGGCTCCGACCCAGTGTCCCGATAGTTTGAACGAATCCAAGCCAGCAGCGTCACCATCAGGATGATACGGATCTGTACACTCTGCATCATCGGCTGGTGCATTTCCTTTCCGCAGCGACGTCCAAAAACTGGAGACATGTTCGGTAACGGGTCGCTGTTCCGATTCGAATGCTGCAACATGCTGAAGATCAAAAGAGTAGCCATTTTTGCATAGGAGTGCACGAGCTGTGCTCAGCTTGGTTCGCAAACGTGCAGGATATGCAGCAGACTCACTGTAGATTCATGCGCTGCAACGCGCTGGATGTAGAGGACAAGAGCTGTCTTGAGCCCAGGAGCCGAAAGCGGTTCTGTAGAATATAGCGGGAAAGTGTTCTCATCAGACGCCAGGGATAACGTTCCGCTCGGTAAGGCAGCAGCGAGCACGCCGGGTACGCCTCATGAAAGGGGCGTCGCTCTGTAAACGACGCCTCGTGCCTTGTGCGAGGCGAACGGCCTCGATCGCTCTGGATCCCTCTGTTCAAAGGTATACATTGGTGCAGACCCTCCCCAATCGAAAGACTTAGCTGCAGGATCACTGATCAGGTCCGTGATGGAACAGACGGACACGTTCCCTCCCTGCTTCCCGTTGGATCCCTTGCCGCGCCGCCTCTTCTTTTATATGTCAAGAGCCCGCTCCGTGTCAGGTCGAGTCGCCTTATCCGACACGACTGGCGGCCAAAACAACGAGTAACAGGCACGTCCAAAACTAACCGGGAACTCTAAGTCCTCTCGACGCACCTGTGGCTCTAGGGTGAACGGCTTCGCTCTAACGAAGAGCGTGCTGGTATCGAAGAGCCGTTGGCAAGTTTGCTCTCGTGTGGGGCATTCCTTACGGGCGTCAGCAGCTTCTATCAGCAAGAGTGTCCGATCTTCGCAGCATAAATTAATCAGAATTGGAAACCCTTCATTCGGAAACCCTCAGGCCGCAAAATGGAATACAATCAAAACGAGCCCCAGTATTCGTCGTGGAACACATTCCAGAAAATCCCCTGACCATTCATTTGACCGGGAGTTCCAACCATGACACGAGAGAACTATTTAGGAACCATTCGGGATCTTTACTTCCTCTGGTACGGCTGCTAGTCACGTTGAGTCCGATGCAAGCGGCTCACAATTCGTTGCTGCAATATCTTTGGCTCAAACTATCTTTCATCACAGAGAACGTCGATTCTATGCATAGTTTCGGAATTAGAGAAACCTGACGGACTCATCGATCCGCCACGAACCCTCCGCGTACGGAGAAAACTTCGGCCTGCCTCTGGAGACCCTGCACGTGGCCTGCAAAGTATCAGCTGTGGCGGCCGAAACAGGCGACGAACCGTGGGAAGGCTCAGGACGATGTCCAGAAAACAAAACCAGTACGAGTTGCGGTCATACAGGAGCAAATAGTTCAAGGGCGCGGACCTCAAGAGCCTGAACGCTTACCGATTCAACAAATACAGCACGAAAAAGCCATCGTGGCTTAGCAGCGCTCCGGTGAAGGAAAGCTCACTCTCCCATGGACACTTGGTTGTCTGCGCCCAAACCGCCACCCCCGCCGCTGGTTCGAGCGGTTTTGTGCTCCTGCTCTAGCTGCGCCTTCGTCTGCTGAATGAGAACACGCATTTCTTGTGCAATTTCTCGCAACCTTAAAAGCTTCTTACGAGCACGAACGGCTGCGGCCTTGTTCCCTTTCTCGAAAAACTTTGTCGTGTCCTCATACACGTCCTCGAAAGCTGCCTTTAACTCCAGAAACTTCGCCATTCCTGCTTCCGTATTATTACCAACCATTTGATGACCTTTCCAATTAAAATACTCACGAAACAGTGAAAACTATGAACTTCACTTCAGTTCCCTGGTGTTTTGCCGACCTGAGCTAAGCAGCGGGTAAAACGTGGCGGCGCGAACCGGATAACGGACTCGTCAGGTTTCGGTGGCGCGACTCCTCGGTTCGAGAGAGAAACACTTGTTCTATGCGCTGAATCCACTAAGATATCAAGGCGGTAAAGTCGTCCTTGAAAGTTTCTATCTAGTACGTACGTAGACGCCTTGCGGAAACCTCGTTAGGTTAGCCTCTGGGTCAAAGACACCAAACAACACGTTTGCGCGCTCTGAGGAGGGTGCGCGCGCACGAACTGCCGCGCGCGCAGACCCGGATTCAAATCGTCTCAATCTGAACGGCGCAGCGTCCGGGTGCGGCTGCGGAAAACGCGCTGAGCGCCACCATGCAGGCATGCCGGCTGGCGAAGCCATGCGGCGATCGCCGGTCGATGGATCTGTGTCCTTTTTGTCTCAGAAAAGAGGTGGTGTCGACGGCCTGCGACGCTGCCCGGTGTGAAGCGCCCGCGGAGCGCGGCGCAGGCGATGATCGATGCGGATGCGTTCTAGCAGCTGGCGGTGCGCCCTGGTACAATGTTGTCTCAAAAGCTGTTGTCTGAGACGGGCGACGAGACGCTTCGCCGGTGCCGAGCCCATCGCACGCAGCGTATGCGCGACACCCGTTTCAGATATGGATAGAACACTGATCTGCTCGATCTGTTCCTGCCTTTCGATTTTTTCTTAACATTTCTTGGGTGCACCGCATTGGTATTTAAAGTGCAGTATGGAGGGCCTGCAGATGCATGCAGAATTCCGGGAGTCTCGGTCGTGTTTTAGGAGTAGCTTCTTCGCGTGTTTTTTTTTGTTTGAAATTGGTATTCGGTGGCTCACCGGACTCTAGGCGACTCGCGACATCATGGGACAGCGGTTTGTAGCAAAACCAATACCATGATCCAATACCTACATTCACGCCTGCACACTTCTCCTTTCCTTATGTGCAGAATGCTCAAATCACATATGCGTCAGCTATCCTGCATTTCTGTTTCAAGGCAACACGTTGGCGCAGAGGCCTGCGCTGCTTTATGGACGCCGAGAAACGCTCAAAGTCTGCTTTCGACATCTTGCTCACAGCACGATGCCTAAAGCTCACTGTGCTTGTCGCCGGAGATCATTGACCTGGTTCCGAAGGCAGATGCTCTTTGGTTCGTGGCCATCGACCCAGCGGCATTCAGCAGCAGCATGTTGCCTCTCAGGGAGTACGCTCACAGAGCATCGCGGCTCCTGTGCCTACACAGCACCGTGTACTGGACTCGGACCCTAGTTATCGCAGCGAGCGCCTCCACTGGAGAACGCGTCAGCGCTGTGCAAGACGCGCGCGTGGGCGAATCGCACCGCCGCGAATTCTTCGTCTGGCCGGACTTCCCTCTGGCACTTGTTTCATATGGGCAAGAAGGCGTCCCGCAAGTCCTTTATTGGAGCGAGCACCGTGCGCGTGCACATACAGCGAACAACGTAGATACCAAAGGCACCGCCCAGAACAAGCCCGTGATTCAGATGTACGGCACTGGGCGGGGATATGGAAGAGTGCATCGAGTGGAGCCTCCTGCACCCGCCAAGGGCGTCTACCGAGCACTGAGGCAAGCGTTCACGCGCCACAGAGCGGCGTTCAGAGAGGCACGTGTTCTTAACCTGCGAAAACACCTGAGTGCGATCAAATGTCATCGTGGTGACGGGCAGTCTGCGTCCGAGTACAGAGAGGATGAAAAACGGCAGACGGGTTGTGCATTGCAACTTCCGCTCGTGCACGAAATGCGTCGACAACTGCCGGGAACGGCGCAGTCGGGACTTGAACGCTCCCGTCGACATCTGTCGACGGCTGACATCGCAGCTGGGAGAGGTTCATGAGCGACAGGCGCATGTAAATCCGAAGGTAAGAGAGAGCGAAAACAGCAGGCAGCTCAAAGGCACGCGGAGGCCCATGTTGGATGGCATTGGCAATAGACCCGAACTTTTGAACGGACGCTCGAGTCATCTGTTTGTAGGCCTTCCCGTTTCGTCTGATATGGGTGCAATGTCCGAGAGACCAGATCGCTGACCAAGAGATCCGAACACCTGCCAGTCACCCGGCCTTGTTTTGGCTACGACGGTGCTAATCCTCTGCTGTGAACGAGGACTTTCGTACACATACTTTATGTTTTCCGCAGAACGACCATCGGGGCTCAAAGCCAACGCCTACCAGGTGCACTATACTTGCTAGGAATACAAATGTGCATTATTTAGTGCGCACCAACGAAGGTCGTATGCTGCCTGTCACGTCGTCCCGGGTAGGCGGATCTACCCAAATTCTTGCAAATGCGTAAGTGCCGCTTGTAATCGGGCGTGCAGGGATCGTTGCCGATCTGCACCAATTCCGCCGGGAATAGACTATGCGTCACCCCTGCTTTAATGATGGAAGCTCGATGCACTCCATCGGAATCCCAGCGCATACGCGAGTTCTCCCAGCAGCCGCGAAAAAGATCATCTAGTATATCCTGTACCTGTTTCATTCCACCAGCCTCAGACTGGTCCGATCGTTAGGGATCCCAGCTCGATCATGCAACGCTCCAGGTACCAAGCTCGCGATCAATGAACAACACGAATCGTCCACAACATCCCTATGTCCGTCTGATCTCAAAACTGACATAAATGTACAGTCTGTACGAAATGCCCCTCTGCTCTTCAATGCAACGACGATCGGCGAATATACGCGGCCTGTGCTGATGGCACAACTGCGGCGGCGACGGCGGCGGCGGCGGCGGCGGCGATCCGTTTCCAGGCACTGCTCTTATCCGCCTTCGCAGCTCGACGGATACGAAACCCTCCACTGGACGCGCAGCTTGCCGGCCACGCAACTGGGTAAGCGTTGTGCGAGATCGTAACTAGTTCACAGAATCTTGAAGCCTCGTTCATCATCAACTCAATTTAGGAGAACAAATAAAAATGGAGCCAGCATTTGTGATGACGTCGCCTGCGCCGTGCTGGCGGCTATCGGGTGCAGCCTTTCGCTCGAACACGGCACCAGCGAGCACGAGGCGCTGGCAGTCGATTCAGTACAAGCGCTGTAGTCTTTTTCCTGGAAAGACCAAGACCCACGTGATTGAACGTCATACTCAGCATTGCTCGCCCGCAACGCTGCAGATGACGGCATCAGAGCCAGCGGCGAGCGGCACGAGTGCGCCGACTGATCTCAGCGCCTCACTTGGGCGCCGTCTGGCCCTAGGAGCATACATCGCCTGTTGGTATGCTGCAAACATTGGTTTTAACATCGTCAACAAGACGCTGATGAAGTCATTCCCGCTCTTCGTGAGTGTCACCGCCGTACAAATGCTCGCCGGGGCAACTATTTCGCTTTTTCTGTGGGGCACGCGCATGCATCGGTTTCAACGCGCGACACCCGCCGACTTGCGGAAAATCTATCCGCTGGCATTAGCGCATCTCTTTGGAAACCTCTTCACGAACTTCTCCCTGCGACAAATGGCGGTTAGTTTCACCCATGTCATCAAGGCAAGCGAACCTTTCTTCTCCGTGGTTCTGGCGAAAATTTTTCTTCCCGGTACTACCTTCTCCTGGCCAATCTATGCATCGCTGGTTCCAATTGTATTCGGTGTTGTTCTCGCCTCCGTGAGCGAAGTCAGCTTCAACTGGCCCGGTTTTCTTACTGCAGTTGCGAGCAACGTGTCCTTCCAGTCCCGCAACGTCCTAAGCAAAAAATTCATGAAAGGCGTGGAGTTCGATGACGTCAACCTTTTCGGCTGGATATCCTGCTTAGCTGCGATTACAGCTATCCCATTAGCCATAGTCGTCGATTACACGAAGTATGCAGGTGTGTGGAGTGCTGCGAATGCGTCCATTGGAGGTCTTTCATTGCTAGGGATGCTTGCGCTCTGTGGACTCCTGCATTACCTCTACAACCAGTTCTCCTATGTGGTCTTGCAGCGCGTCTCGCCGGTGACGCATTCGATCGGAAACACCGTGAAACGTGTCGCGGTTATTGTGAGCTCCGTGCTCTTTTTCCGAAATCCCGTTTCACGACAGAACATCATTGGGACTGTCATCGCACTCGCTGGAGTTGCCATTTACTCCCAGGTGAAGACGCTGCGAGGCGGTAAGGTGAAAAAAGCCTGATCCATGAAACAAACTCTTCGAGAAAAAGCGCGACGGCGAAATGTAAAAGACCATAGTTCACTCCATCTCTTGACAAGGTCCTGTATCCTTGTTGTTTTCTTGCCGCTATATCCTAGTGCATTCTGGTGTATACTGCTGCGATTTTGGCACTCATGCGTTGAACCGGTCCGCTTCTAAGTCACATCGAAACATGGAGCACCATAATCGTCTATCGATGAACCAGGAATCAAATTCCAGGTATATGCATGCGGCGGTCCAGCGCCTCTGGCTTGTCGAAGCGGACTGTACCAGTGCCTTGCTTCGGGTGCGCATCCAACTGCCACTGTACTGGCGACTGGTTTTTTCATAACAAGTTTTCAGCGTTTCCGCATAACGTCTACTCAGAGTACTCAACGCTTCCGTCCAAGGCTTGCTTGAATTAAAGCGTGTGAACGCTCCAGAAGCACGAGATATTTTCGGATGTTGATTGAGGCGCTGAAGACTTGGTGCATAAAATGCTTGCGCGCATCGTTGGTGGTGCTCGCACACACCCCCGTGCAGGCCTGTCTTATTCTATTGTATCCTCATTTGACGTCTGTTCGTCTTCAAGGACACCATCTCGTGCATTCAGCTCTGTTTGAAGCTTTCCTGCTCAGCCTGCTTCAGCGTCTTCCTCGAATCTTGAAACGTGTACGTCATCTAGAGCGCATCGATGCGAATCGTACAGAAGAGATTCCAGCACTCGATTCGGGTGCTGGCGGGGGCCCCAGGAGTGCAGCCTTTGCGCGCTACAGCACGTCCAGCGCGATTGGCTACGAGCAAATGACACAACCAGTGGGTCATTTCTTTTTCCAAGTCATTAGAGACGTTGACGAATGCAAACGTCGCGAATCCTTGTAACCGAAACTGTTGGCGGCCCAGGCGCGCTCTCACGTATTCTCCAGACGAGGCGTTCAAAGTGTCCGCGCCTGCATGGCATGGTGCCCAGAGCATCAAGGTAGGCCGTGTCGTCGTCATTCCAGTTGGCGATGTGCTTCCTGGGGTCCATCAAGCCCGACTCTCGATGATACCAAGTCCATGAAGAGCTGAGCGGCGTCATCTGGTTACGGTTCAGGTATTTGGCTCCGCCCTCGTGATCTAACGGTAGGGCGAAGGCCTTGACGCCTTTCAGCAAACAAATTCCCTTATTCTATTACGAACGGTTCAGAATACGGGGTGGTTACTCGAGCCTGTCCTGGTGTTCGAAACGTGCATTAATCGTGATATTCCATCGGGTTCTATCGTTCATGTCCATTTGTTTCTTATTTTCTCAGTGTGTAGGAAAAACCACAAATGAGTCTCGCCAACGCTAATCGTAAAGTTGTTCGAAAGCTTCATATCTGCTCGCAGAGACCAGCTCCTTCTATTCCTTATCGTCCTCCTGACGAATTGGTATGGTTATGACCGCTACACGTCTTATTCGTTTTTCGCACCGCACGCATATGCACTAGGTTCACTGTGGAACGGCTGCGCACCTTTTCAATATATGTATCTTCAATTCGCCAGTTACTTTTCCGTCACCTCCTCCGTCCCGAGGACGCCCGCGAACCGGGACGCGTCGTTTCGCTCCTTTCCGCACTCATACTGACGAACAACGGACCAGTTGCCAACTGGTGAAGATTCAGAACGACGTGCCGAAGCATATTTACTCGAAGAACGGTATCACTGATGCCAACGACTCGTCTATGGATCCGTGGGCGCAAACGTGGCGTTTGACAACGTAGAAAACGCCCGCGATTGGATTGACCCAGAGAGCAATCGCTGGCACGAAGAGCAGATCTATGCCAATCTGAGCTGCGTATTCTTTAGCTGCATTTGAATGATGAAAAACCGAATTGTGTATGAGCAGGACGGAAGAATGTGAAGAAAGAAGCCAGGAATTGCTTCGACATGGATTGGGTGTTACAAAATTCGGTCCGTTTGCGACTTGTCGTCGACGAGACGACTGAATTGCCGCTGAGTCCAACGTTTTCGGAATGCACGCAATGCGCTTCTCGACGAACAATGGTCTCCTCTCTTTGATAGCCTATGTAAAGGTCTACCTCTTCTGCTGAATGCGATGTCTTCGAGTGACGCGAAAACCCGTTGCTCTTGTAATAGACATTCGCGTTTCAGCACAAAGTAGATTGCGTCGTATTCAACGCGCGATGGTCTCCCATACAAACGCGCTATTTTCTTTGCCCATCCTGGTCTTCATCTCCGTTCGTATCAACGATACGCAAACTTCAACGCCTGCTGCTTTGGTCTTTTTTGATAAAGAACGAATGGAGTGGAACGAATTGGCGAGGAGACGATCGTAAAGAAAGATTTTGATAAAACATGGTTTAGGTGCACGATGTGCAGGTTACCCACGTCGAGAAGGGCGGCTCATCGTCCAGCTGACCGTTGATCGACTGACCTGAATGCATAACGAGATAATTTTCCAGCTAGCACAGACAACATCGACGCTTTCAGCAACACTTCTCCAATCAACACCATGAACGCCGTCGTTGAATTCCTTCAAGAAAACAACAAAAACAAACAGAGCGTTCTAGTGCAGATACTCCAGGATTCTCTGCTCTGATGGATAACGGCAAGTCACATGCAAGGTCGTTCGCAAAACGCTGCATATCGTATAGCACTTATTCTGCCGCCAAATTCTGTGTCGCGGTGTGAAGCTCCTAGAATAGCAAAACCGCCCGATAGACGTCCTCCACTGCATTTCAGGGTTCATGGCAGAGCGTCGGTGTTAGACGCTCGGAGGAGCGGAGCTAGTCTCGAGTTCACCGACTGCCGCACAGACACTCTCGCGAACACTGCATAGCAGTGCTTCCTGGACAGATTCTGGAATTGCGAGGAATATTTGCGAGGTAGCCTTATCAATAAGTTCGTCAAGATCAAGTTGACTCAGGAGAAAGGGACCCTGGGCTTGAGGCGAGGACGAGTCTTCGGCGAGCGTCGCTGTGGCTCCAGCACGCTGTTCGGCTTCACGCACAAGTCTACGGAAGCGCCGTTTCACCGCATCACGCCAGCCACAGTCCTCAAGCTGCTCTCTAAAAAGTCGACGCAGTCTCCACCACTCGCCGCTCGCCTTCAACGTCTCGAGCACGTCTGCCCGAACGTCGTGGGCCAGAGGAGGCTCCACCACCTCGTCAACGGCGCCCATGGGAAACGCACGCGCAACACTCGGTTGTCGCTGCTCCTGCGCCGAGCACCTCTGACTACCGCTTACACCAAGACGGAGCGCCCGAAAACAAAACCTACCTAACCCGAACGGCAACAGGTAGGCGTAACACTGTGGCGCTGCACGACAGCGTACGCGTCATCTGCGTTAGGACTGCGCAAGCCGGAGGCGCAGCAGGTGGACGGCTACAGCACCACCGGCGCTTTGGGGATCGTCTACACAGGCAAGTTTTATCACTCATGGGGAACATTTCACTAGGATTCGGAATTCAGGGATGATGGGCGCTACGCTCACAAGTGCATCTGGGTGATCGAGTGATAATCTACGTGACAAGAGGTAGCAGCGACCACTAACCGTTCCTGTTGTTCGCGCAGCGTGCTCGCTGGCAACGCTCTCTCTCCTGCTGATTAGAGAATTAAAAACCATCGTCTCTATCCTATATCATACAGGATTCTGTCATGCTATGCTTACGTTTCCGGACATGGCCGGTTCATAAAGAAATAGCCTTGCGGAGACGGGGTGTTGTCCTGTTGACACCAGCAAGTCAGCATTGGAGCGATGGCCGTGGCTGGGCATACTTGGACCTTGAACATATGAGCATCATAGCGATGTGCCAGGGGTGGCATGCATGCTCGCCTGGCACTGCGTCGGGAGTGGCTCAGGTCCATAGTCCTCGCCTAGCAGACAGCGAATCTCGCAAACCAGCCACGGAATGCTTGGCGCTCCTCTGCTGCGATTTCCGAATACGATGCCAACAGAATTGTACGGTATCGCCTTTTAAGGTCCGCAACGAGAAAACCCGCTCCCAGAGGCTTTTTGATCGAAGCTTTTGAAGGTTAGTCCGTGGAGCGAGAAGCCTGTTCGCCGATTCACCGACGCCCATAACGCAGCATCAGTGCATGGCCGCAGCGCTTGTGCATGAATCGATGAGAGTGGTACCTCAGTTCGCGGGATACATACAGCGGCTGCACCTGCACCATGAAGTAACAGCGATGCAACCCGCTACCGCCAATCGTTGCGTTACACAGTTCCAAGTCATTGTAGAAGCGTGCATCGCGCTGCACCCAATGCACAGCCACCAAATGAACCTGCACCGCGCAGACATGACAGGCGGGATACTCGTAGGCGCCTGCTCCTGCCCTGACGTATCTTTTCTCCTTGCGATGCAACGACGCAGGCCGGAGTTTGTGCGTCCTGCGCATCGCAGCACCACCACCACCAGCACAGGCATGCCGTTCAATCATCAAACGCTGCATAACCGGTGCACATTAGTGGCGAGTGACCGCCATAGACAATACATCTCCAACTGACGTGCAGACGCCTCCAGTCTTTTTGGACCGGCCCTCTGCTACTGGTTTCAGTTTCTCGTTGTACACCTCGACACTGCACGGCTGCCCTGCGAATTTTAGATCGTGTTAGCGCGTCGGGTCTCTTCTCCGGGACCGCATATCTCGTTCTATTGATTGCGGCGAGAACAAGTCACCGTTCTCGAACTCCATGCGTTTCTTGCCCCCGTTGGTTGTACCCACCAGTGCAAGGAGTTCTCGAACCTGTGCCCTCCGTTCCATTTCCTGTTCTTTCAGCGCTCCGTACTTTTTTACATCCTTAGAGCTCCGCTGGCACTTTTCCATCTCGACCCTCTGGAGTATACACCCCAGCTCGAAGTGTGTATACGACGCTCAGAACTCATCTACCCGTATCGTGAGAAAACGATGTGTGCACTCCTTGTACACTCTTGTCGATGGAACAGGTATGCTCCTTTTTTGGAAGCCTAGCGTCCTGCTCCGTATGCTGTTACAAGCCTCCGCCTTTCATCCTCTTTGAGGGCGCTCAATTCATTGAAGAAGTTCGCGACGCGAAGCTGCTTCCCACAGTACAGTCTCATACACTTACGAGCTAATCGTGACTTGGTGTACTCCCCTCACAGCGCATCCCAATGAGCAATGCGAACTTCCATGAATTCCCGAAAATAGTCAAAGCCCGCTCCGCGGTTCGTCACCGCGCTCATAGCTTCCAGGCGCTCCTTCACTCCTGCATTCCAAGTCCCAAATTTCTTCCTTGCATTCATTATTCACGATTCTAGGCGATACCTCGCCCTTGAGAACTTTACAAGACGCATGTCCTTCTGACGTCAGTTGCCGTCGTCACCATGTTCCGCACACTTGGGTGCTTCAATGGTTGTGATATTCAAGTTCCCGGGGGCCGCGCCAACGACAAAGTCGTTGTCCTGCACTTTCTGTGTCGCAGGATCCGCCACCTTCTTTTCTTCATGCTTCGCCGAGGGCGAAGCCGAGGACGGAACTGGACGATCTGCTTTCAAGCGCCGATGATGTACGCAGATGGCTTCTCCATCGGTTTCGATCATCCCAGTGAACTGCTTTTGCTTGCTCACTTTGAGACGTTTGAAATCGAAGATATTCTTCCAGTACGTCTCCCGCGTTTCATCGGTGAACTCTATCTTGCTTACATCGAACTCCGGACTGATCTCCCTTACGATGCCATGAACGACTCCGGAGTCGATAGTCACAAAATGTGACTTGATGTTGCACAACGGAACCACGTTGAAGCGCTTCCACATCAGGAAAGCCTTCCGTTCCAACGACTCTTCATTTTTTCTCACGCCCAGCTCCATCTCTGCCTTGCGTTCGAGTTCTCGGTCCAGAAGCACGAAATAGCTTAGGATGAGGTGATAACATCTTTTTTCATTTCCGTTACCTTTTCTGCAGGATTCGCCAGTCCCCGTACCGCACGATGCTCCTGTATAGCCGTACGCAATACAGAAGCTTCATTCCTGCTCCTGCGTGATGTCTTGTCGTCGACGGATTGGATCCTATCTTCATGCTGGCGATTGTTCGTGATACTTTCGATGATGCCCCATATCCCATTGCGAGACAGGCCCGGGTACAGCGCAAAGATAGAACGTAACATGAAACGTTCGAGGATACTGAGCATATTGTTCTTCAGATTCGTGAGGTACTTCATTGCCCCGCATCCGTAAATATCCGCATCACCCATGTATCGAGTACCGTCGAAGCGGAATTCGGCGAATTTTTCGTAGAGGGCGTGCATTCCCTCATCTCTTCTCGACGCTGCCCCTGTGCCAACAATCAGGTGGCGAAAAAAGGTCTTGTTGAATAAACCTTCCGGAACCACGCGTCTTTTGATTTCCATCAGGTCCCGATACAGCTCCTTCACCAAATGCATTAGCCCTGACGAAGCCTTTATACCACTCATGGAGTACGAATCTACACAGTTTCTGATGGCCTCTCGTAACTTTTGCTTGTACAGATCCTTGATTTATCCAAGAAGACAGGCTTTTACAACAATCTCGTAGTATTGTCATCTTTCTCGCAGCCTTTGGCGTCGGGCCTTCTTCTTCTGCTTCTTCGTCATGTCTTGTTCCTCTACGTTTGACTCTGTTTTTCGTTTTTTTCCACCAGCAGGTGACACCGCGCCTCCGGGATCCTCTACTTCCATTTCGATTACTTTTCTTTTTTATTTTTGAAAAAGATCCTATTTCGAATGCGTCCGCTATAAATCGTGGAAAATCACTTGAATGTACTTGCTTGAGGGCTGAAACACGATTGAATCGAGAGAGCATACTCTGCTATGACTTCAACCATAATACAACTTGTAGGTTAGAGCTGCACACTAAAGGTCAGGATCTCGTTTCCCCTCAACAGCGAGATGCACGTCGTGTCTCATGCCTGCCAGATATGGAGATGCGCGTATCGACCGCACAATACGGAAAAAAGAAAAGAGACTAATCATTAAATAGCAAAGATGTAACGATTTCATTCCCCCTCAACGATAAACATGAAAAGAGGGAAAATCTTCCCGTATTGTCGAAAGGTTGCCGCCTGTGCGGAAGGTCCCGCACGCGAGACGAGTCTCCCACGCTCGTGCTTGATGCTCGCCCCATTTGCACGTGCTTTAGTGAGATCTGAGCGACTCGTCCCCAATGCAGTCTACGCTGGGACGAGGAGCGGGTAGGCACCGTCTGGGCGTCGCTCTGGTCGCGATGGTCTCCTTGCATATCGCTTCCCATTACCGCAAGCTCTTGGTCTGTCTGCGCAGTTTGCAGGCTTCCACAATGATGATATACACCGACCCCGTGCCGGATGATGCTCGCCTCGAGCCAACGCCCTCAGTGGTACGGAAAAAGCCGTTCTGTCTCCGTGATGCATTCGCTCAAGTGGTACAGGCGCTACGGCGGCTGCTCAAAGCAGGAACTCAGCGCACGATAGAACGTACTAGACGAGCAGTACAGCCGAAAGGAAGCGTGAATAATGGAAACTGAAGATAGGGTGCAGCGGCATGATGGACGCTTTCCTGAAAGCCAATATCCATCAACTCCGCATTCTGCGATCCATGGTCAATGTGAGCGATCTGTCAAACCGTAAAAATCGTCGCAGCCGTCTCCGTGCTCCGAGCACATCCAGATGAGGCTGACGCTTCTATTTCATTTTTGTATCATTTAATACATTTAAATACAATTATTGGACGTTTCTCGTTAACACCAGTCAACAGACGAAAGCGTGACGCTGCGCAATGGCGCGCGCCGCCTCAAGCCCCTCCCGGAGATCGCGTCGCCCGGGTCACCAGCCCGCGAGCAATTCTCCGTTATACTCCCCCGAGGCGTACCAGGAGCGTTGCAGGCACTAGCGCACACACACACTTTGGCCGGCAGGAAGAATGCGCGCCGCTGAAGCTGCTTCTGACACTCAGAAGAGCGAGGCTGCCCCGAGGCTTCAGCTAGCGACGTGCGGTGCGCCCCTAGACTGGAAGGGAGCAACAGAGTCCGAAACGGAGGCAGGCGCAGGGCGCCTATCGACAAGTCTGTGTGCGCCGCTGACGTCCCCGCGCCAACACTCGTCGAGCCGCTGGTGTCTGAAACATTTATCTGCCGCGGAGCGCTGTCTAGGGTTCGAGTCAACCTCTACCGGTAAGTCGCTATGCCTGAATTGGGGACACGCTCCGCACGGGTACCGTTTCGTGAGCTGCACTTCCAGCGCAGGTAATGCGGCGGCATGCACTTGGCACGGAGCCGTCCGGGAGCAACCGGGCAGCCGTGCCGTTTTGACGGCTCCCGAACTGGAACATTGGTCCGTGACAACGCTGGCGGAGGCGGCCGGTTCTGTTAGCTTTCTAGCACCTCAGGCGGAAACCAGCGAGCACACAGCCAGCACACCAGCGGCTGCACACCCTCTGGGACGTGCGGCTTGGTCTCCAGGACTTTTCCATAATACGGCACGTCTGAGTTTGCTGAGCGACCAGCATTCAACACAGAACCCAGAGTTCGTTACCATCCAGGCGGCATGTGACGTGCCCGAGGGATGTGGTGCTGGGCGCTGGGGCGAACCCCCTGCGTGCAGTCTTGAGCTCGCGACGAGCCCAGTTGATGAACAGCCACCGCTGAAGCTCGATGTTCAGCTTGACACGGAGACGCGAAACATCGCCACAAGCTTCATTGAGGACAGCTTTCTCGAATCTGAGCAGGTGCCTCCTATTGAGGGATGCGTCAAAAAAGCAGACAGCGCGTCGCATGCATCGGCACTGGAGAAACGCCACCAGCCCTGGACTGCGTGCTCGCGTGCGTGTGCACGTTCGATGCACGCGGAAGAAGCAACGTGTCCTGAGATGCTTTTCCCGCGCTTAGCGGCGCAAGCTGACACGGGTGACAGGCGTGCGGATTCGGACGCAGGGCTGGGGGCTCGGACGCTGCGCATGATGCGGCCGCCAGGCGCTTTCTGTGAAGAGCAGAAAGCCCAGGATGGAGATTCGACAGAGGAATCGACAACAACAACAACAACAACAACAACAACGGTACCGTCGAAACCGGGAGCACGCTGGAATCATCGGCTGGGATCACCTGAAGACGATTCAAGAGTCATTAGCAGCGGGCAGCTGAATTGGTCCGACTCGAACGGCGTTTCCGGCTATTGCTGTGCTGCGGAGCAGCAACTGAAACAGCCGAGGAGTCCGGCATCATCAGCACTATTGGAGCCGTGCGAACTAGCCAGTTATCTGGATCGCATGACTGAGCAAGCTGACAAGGAACAGCGGCGACTGACCGCGCTTTCAGAAACAGGTGCCCCGATCGAATCACCACGCGAAGCTGCACTGCAGCAGGAGCAGTGCGCAAGTGCAGCGTCTTCACCGGAAGAGGCTACGAAAGGTGCCGCCTCGCAAGGCGTCGTACACGGAGGTACGCACGAACAGCAGCGTACCGCGAAGCAGCTCTTGGTGCTCGATGTACGGCCCCGGATGTCGTTCGTGTTCGAGCATATCCGCCACGCGGAGCACCTCTGGGTCGAACCTGACCGCTACTCGAGCGACGAGAAACGGGAGCTGGCCTTTGTGAGACATGTCTGTAAGCGCGTTCGGCAGGAAAGCGGTCCGCTGGACTTGGTGGTCCTCTACGACCACTGTACAGAGTCGATGGACAAACCGCTGTCGATCGCTGCAAAACTTGTCTGTCTGCTGAACGCAGAGTTTGCGCTCCGCAACCTGCAAGTGCGTCGCGTATGTCTGCTTAGAGGAGGATTCACTGCGATGTCTCGCGCACACCATCAACATATCATCCGCGTCTGCGACGATGATATCGGTATGAACCTCTGTGCAGCGATGCGCACTCGTGTTGGACCGCTGTTCGAGCGGCTGCTACATCAGTTTTTACACGAGCGGGCGCAGCCTGCAAGTCGTATACTGCCCTATCTCTATGTTGGTAGCGAGCGCGATGCATCGGATTGGAGTTTCCTGCAGTTCGCTGGTATCACACATATTCTCGTTGTGGGCAGCGAGCTGCGGCCGCACTTTCCTGGAGCGCTCACCTACAAACAGCTGCCTGCTCTCGACTCGAGTGATGAAGCGCTCGACAGCTTGTATCCAGCGATATTCGCCTTTATCGATGAGAGCCGTCGCGACCCGGACAGCACTATACTGGTCCATTGCTACGCTGGAATCAGCCGCAGTGTCAGCGCAGTGCTTGCCTACCTAGTTTACAGCGGCTGGACACTATCTGCAGCATGGGAATTGATGCGTGAGCGACGCTCCATCAGTCGACCGAATCTTGGATTCTGGCGCCAGCTCATGGCTTTCGAGAAGCAACGCCACGGCGTGCAGACGCTGTTGGAGCCTCCTTGCGTCTCTACGTTAGGGTTTTGCTGATGCTGCTGGTATTGAAGCTGCGGGGCGCAGCGCTTCTTATGCCGCGATTCCGACGCGGAACGAAGCTCATGAAACACTCCACCGGGATGGTCTTCTCAGTGACAACCTGCGTTCGAGCGCCTTTTCCTTTTCTGTCCGGCTGCTGAAGCGCGGCCTCGCTAAAACAGTTTGCCAAGGGCTTGCGCGGGCGTGCAGTGCCCTTGAGCGCCGCCACCAGTGCAGGCAACGAGCAACAGACGCGACGAATACAAGCGGCCTGCTGGCTACCGTTGCGTGCTGGTGAATTCATCAAGGCATTACGAATAGTTGGCGTTGCTGCTGCAGTTGAATCCGACACATGCCGACACGAATTCAAACGTGTAGACCGGAATGAAAGCGCCCCCGAGCGTCGCATGGTTGCATGGATACTTCATTCATCACGCTTCCGTTGTCGACGCGGGGTAGCGCTTGATAGGTGCACGTCCGGATCGGAAACCTGCGGGATGTCGTGGGCGGCAGAACGATTGTCTGCCGCTGCTGGTACCGCAGCCGCTTCGCCATCCACAGCATCTTGATCAACGCCGACGATCTATACAGCAAATCCATGACCGAACACGACGTGCTGAAAGAGCGCTGGGGCACCATCGGCGAGCACTCGTCTGCGATAACCGCCGCACCATCCACGGCCTTTCAGCGATTGCAAGATTTGAGTGGACCATTTGTCGACTTGGAGCTCCGTGGCAGCTTCTCGAGTCCGTATCGCTCTGAAGAGAACAGCGTCCACGAAATCGAGCGCTCTGACAAAGAGCGCCTCATCTATGTACAAACCATTGCCAACTTTGACTTGCGTAAAGCTCGTCGCCCGAACAACATATCTGGAATCGGTACAGGATGCCCTCGGAGATGGTATGCAAGGCGTTGGAGGCAGCGGCGGCAACGCTACCCACGAATGCAACCTATGCAAGCAGCAGGAAGCGGCGCTCAGCCGGCGTCCAAGACCATGCCGCAGCTGGCGCAGTGGCACGCCAGCAACGCCGGTCACACCATCTCCTGCCTATCGCCAGTTGTCTCCGCGACGTTGCGCAGCCAATCACCGCTACTGCTATCTTCGGGACGGTATCCGTTGGAATGCACACTGCGTCCAGCTGGTACCCAAGGTGCGCTGATATCTCGACCAGATGCACTACAAACCCACGCCCCGCAAACAGTGAGGAAAGTCCAGTTTCGAAGCGGCAGAAGAGCGCTACCGCCTCAGCAGCTGGCGTCCAGTCTCAGACGCCAGCCATAAGCAATGGCGTCTGCGCAGTACGCAACTGCCTTCAGCGCCGCTTCCATGACCCCGCTGACCTATCAGGCAGTGGCGCTCGCAATCGAAGCTTTCGAGGCTCCCGTTCGTCCAGCCAGAAGCGACTCCTGAGCCGAGAGCAGCATTCGCGGCAGGACGCCGTGCGGGTTCTGGATCAGGGTCGCGAACGAGCCCTGCTCAGCGCAGACGCCGCCTGCGAGCACCACCACGCGGTCGGCAACTTTCATGATCGGGACCCGGTGGGTTATCACCAGCGTCGTCAGTCGACGCTCTCGAATCACGCGCACGAGGTTCTCGAGTACTCGGAGCTCGGTCTCCAGATCAAGCGCCGAGGTGCACTCGTCAAGCGTCAGAGCAGTGGGTTCGTGAAATAACGCCCTTGCGATCGCAATACGTTGAATCTGGCCACCAGAAAGGCCCGCGCCTCGCTCACCAATCCGAGTTTGATAGCCGCCCGGGAGCTCAGAGATGAACTCGTGGGCAGCAGCCGCCTCAGCAGCGCGACGCAGGGCGTCAGCATCCAGCGCAGAAACCCTGTCTGCAGCTGCGTCGGGCGCCGCGGGAAAACGTTGTGCATCTCGTCCGTAGCTGATGTTCGCAGCTATTGTACCAGCGAAAAGCACCGGCTCCTGCTGCACTATTCCAAGTTGTCGCCGAAGCCACGCAGTATCCAAAACGCGCAGATCATGGCCAGCAAAGCGTATTGTCCCGTGATCCGGGTCGTACAACCGGGCCAGGAGCATGTGCAATGTCGACTTGCCGGATCCAGAGCCACCCACGAGGGCGCACAGCTCACCAGGTTCAATGGCTAATTGAAAACCGCGCAGTATGGGTGTATCGGGGCGAGTCGGATACCGAAAATGCACCTTGTCGTATTCAATGGCCGGTGGGGCGTACCCCACCGGCAGCACGATGCCTCCTGTACGGCATCCGGCGCTACCGCTGCGATCGTTGGGATGCTCTGGACGCGCGCTCAACGAACGCTCAACAGCAGCGACTTTCCCGGACGGCAGAGGACGCTCTGGAGCGGGCGTTCCCGTGTCGCTGTCTGGTTTCGCGCTCGTGGTTGTCGAGCCTGCATCACAGGAGTCACGATCGAGGACTTCAAAGATGCGCGCTGCCGCGCCCTGGGCTCGCACAAGCTGCCCAATAGCCGAGCTCAGCGATGTGACGCCAACTCCCAGGTTCACAGCATACATCGCAAAAGAGGTGAGTGCGCCAACCGTCAGGGAGCCGTGGTAGACCATTGTGCCTCCGTACCAGAGGACCCCAAGCAGCGATGTCTGCGCAGTCAGGAAGCCCGCCCCCATGTAGATTCCTTCAATGACGGCTACCCGTCGGGCAATATCATAGGTGTCATCGATACGACGGTCGTATCGGGCCTGTTCCAATTGCTCTGCTGCAAACAATCGAACAGTTCGAATAGCTGCGATGCGTTCCGCCGCCACTTGATTCGCTGCTGCCAGCGCGTCTAGTAGTTGGCGACTCAACCGCCGAGCGTATCGGCCGAAAAGAGCAACGCCTGCGGCAAAGGCCGGGACCATGCACAGTGAAACTGTGGTGAGTTGCGGCGACAAATACACCAGGAAACCTATCGCTGATACAGTCGTAATAGAGGCGCGAATGCTGCGTGCGAGATTGTCCGTTAGGGTTCGCGCCACAGCAGAGGCATCCGCCGAGAGGCGGTTAACAAGCTCACCCGTAGAACGCGCATCGAAAAACGAAGTATCCTGCCGAAGCATCGCACTGAAGAGGTCCTTGCGGAGCGCTCGCGCGACTCGCTCGCCGGTGATGTTCAGGAGCAGCACCCGGGCACCGACGGCGAAGGCGCCCAGCACGAATACCACCGCCATGATCACAGCGACTTGTCGGAGCTGCTCGAGGCCGTCTGCTGCAGTGAGAGCATCAATCATGCGTCCAACAGCGAGTGGAAACGCCATGGTGGAGAGCGCCGAGGCGACCTGCGTCGCTACTGCTCCCGCTAGAAGCCGGCTATGCGGCTGTGCTAGGCGCAGTAAGCGTCGAATGGACACTGCGTCTGGTAGCTTGAAGCGGAATTCGAGTTCGCTCGCACCATTCGTCGAGGCGTTGGTGCTGTGCTGCGGACCTTCTGCCGCTCGTCCCGTTGGTGTCGCCTCGCTGGTGCTGCGGCTGGTCGACAGATTCTGGCGGCGAACGCGTGCCTCGTGCGCTCGCGAAGCGTTGAAGCGCCCTTTCAATCCCTGCTCAAACCGAGTCCACCCTGACGCTACCTGCGTCCGGTAGTCCTGTTGCAGCGCTCTGGACAGTTCGCTGTGCAGCGGTGCGCTCGCGCATGCTCGGAGCCGAAGAGCAGCGCTTGCCTGTAGCTGGCGCTCAGCAGAGTCCTCAAGCCGTGCATTTCTAGGCCCGTACTCCGCAAATCGTAACCGCTGCCGGTGCACATTCCTAGGAGTTCGTCCTATCGCGTGCACCAGGCTTGCAAGCCGACCACTCATGAACGACTGCACGTGTAGCGCACGTACCGAGGACAAATGCCCCGCAACTCCGCACCGGTGAACGCAGTCTGCAGACTCCGCCAACCCAAACCGCTGCAAGTGCGCACTCCAGGTTGTTCGTCCTACAGTGTGCACCAGGCTTGCAAGCCGGCCTCTCATAAACGGATGCTCGTTTAACGCAGCTAACGAGGTCCGGGAAAGCTTCAACTTCGCTTCGCTGCGCTGCCTGCAGCTGGCGAATAGCTAGAGCCGCAGCCACCATGGCGCAACAATGCATGCAGGCTCCGCGTGAGCATCAATCCCTCCCTCGAGTTTTGTTGAAGCGTAACAAACCATGGGCATCCTGGATCGAATTCGTGACATAGAGCTGGAGCTCAAGCGGACTCAGGTAAATAAGGCTACCATGGGCCATATTTGCAGGCTAAAGTCGCGCCTGGCGCGCCTGCGAACACAGCTGCTTCTGGACGAGGAGAAGGCACGGAAGCAGGGCGCCGGCAGCGCCGAGGGCTTCGAGGTCCCCAAACAAGGTGACGCCCGGGTAATCATGCTCGGTGCACCATCCATAGGCAAGTCGACGTTTGTATCGCAGGTAACCGGTATCGACAGTGCCGTGGCTGCGTACGAGTTCACGACTGTGGACTGCATCCCCGGTGAGCTGCACTTGCGCGGAGCTCGCATCCAGCTGCTCGACCTGCCCGGGATCATCGAAGGCGCTGCACAGGGGCGCGGCCGTGGACGACAGGTTATTGCGCTGGCACGCTCTGCGGACCTGGTACTTATGATGCTCGACGTCGGTAAGGACGTGGACGCGCAACGGCGGTTCATCGAAAGGGAAGTTGAATTGGCCGGTATTCGCTTGAACAGGCGCCCGCCGAACGTCATGTTCCAGCTGAAGAAAGCGGGCGGGGGCATCACCTTTAACGCTACCTGCCCGCTCAGCCATTTGGATGAAAAGCTGGTGTACGCTATCCTTCAAGAGTATCGAATTTATAACGCCGACATCCTGGTTCGTGAAGATGTAAACGTGGATGAGTTTATTGACGTCATTGAGGGGAACAGAGTGTATGTTCCGTGCATCCACGTCTATAATAAGATTGACTTGATCACCATAGAGGAGCTGGACCGCCTGGCGCGGTCGGATCCGTACCACGGCGTGGTGCTCAGTTGCGCACTTCGCTTGAATATGGATGAGGTCTTGGAGAAAATATGGCGAGCGCTGAAGATCGTCCGAGTCTACACCAAGAAACGCGGAGAACCGCCAGACTTTGAGCGACCTCTGATTCTGCGCTCCAGCCAGGCGCGGGTAGCGGACGCCTGTCGCAAGATCCATCGATCCCTAGCCGACCCGACACAGTTCCGCTACGCACTGGTCTGGGGACGCAGCACGAAACACGACCCTCAACGAGTAGGTCTATCTCATCAGCTTGCCGATGAGGATGTCCTCTGTGTAGTCACGAAATAGACGTGGGTACTTGTTTTTCATTTGTATGCGATGGGTCGATGCCAACAGACGCATCGGGACGCTGCGCGAGCGGTGCCCTTTGCCAAGGATTTTCCTCATGGGTTACCGCGGACGCTACCACGCTCCACAGTATCCAGTACGGTGTTCGCTCATCGATCACAGACATATCTGATCCAGTGAATGAACGGATAATGCGCGTACCGCAGACGTTCGTTCTGACGCTGAGCGTGCTACCTAGCGTGTGTGTCGCTTACGGATGGTGCGGCACCCCTGGCCGTACGCCTGAAGGAGGCGATCTGCTGCGCGAGTGGTATCGTTGCGCGCTTCGCGAATACGCACCGCGGATATGCACCCTATGAAGTCATGCAGTGGCGCGCATGGACACGCACGCTACGAGCATGCGTGCGTGCATGCGTGCATGCGTGCATGCGTGCATGTCATCCGAATGCCTTCGAAGGCGTCGTGTGCGAGCGCATGCTTCGCTTTTACGTGTGCGCATGGACGTATCACTTGTTGTAGGTGTTATGTGCGTTAGCAAAGCGGTAGCGTTTTCCAAGAAACGGATAGATCGAAGCAAGCAAGCTTCGATCCGCGAACGACTGGACCAGCTTCGCTATGCGCGTCGTGCTGGTGCCATTGGAGCGCGCGCGCGCTCTTTCTCTCTCGTGAATAGCGGGAACCCCGGAACGTTCCGTGAATCTAAGCGCTCGTGACGCACTGCATTTTTTGCATTTACGAGACTCTAGCGAGAACAGGGACCTTTGCGGTAGGCTTCTTCGTAGCGCGGTCCGCATTCGCTATACAGCAGTGTGAGGCGGTGAACGCATTTCCATGGTAAGGGCACGCGATAACCTAGCGCAGCCGCTCTTGCGTAGCTGAATCGATGGCGAGATTGCAGGAGCGGTTGTGCAGCGGGCTGCCCGCGGGTACGACGCCCGACTCACTGCCCATTTGCGGGTCGTGCACGAGCGCTCGATCCCTCGCGGTGCGCCGGCGCGCTTGCCATCGCATCCCTTTCGATGGAGCTCTGGTTCGGAATTACTGGATGTCAATGGCAGGGCGATACGAAGCCAGCGTATGACTGCGATGAAGACGCAAACTTCCTGAAGCTTTGAACAGAAAACCGTATCATATTCTCGAATGATCAATTGAAACGAGCCACGGCCGGAGCGGTGAGAAGAGCATCGTGCGTGCACGATTTAGAGGACCTTCTGCATCTTTATGCGTCTTACGGAGCCAATTTGATGTCGATTCATTTCGGGGAATGAACCGGTACTGCCGCGAGCATCCCGCCACCGCCGCGCGAACATTGCCAGGAGCCTACAATCGGGTACCCCCCGAAAGCGCTCGACCGTCGCGTGTGCGCCTCGAAACTCGCACAAGCGGCCGTCGAATTCCTCGAATACCGAAGCGGCTACGGCTCGAGGTGGTCGTGAATCACACCCGAACTCGATGGGAAACGGACCACTCCACGAAAGCTGTGTGAGCGCGTGGGTTACGGCTCCGGAGCGCCAACGGACTGCGCCAAGAAGAGAGGCAGCGCCGCAGTTCTGGCCCCCAAGCACCTCGGCATGGCGATATACAGAGATCAGAGGAAGAAATTTCGGATGAGATCGAGGAACTGCACGACGAGCCACAAGAAGGATTCAAGCTTTTGACAGTGAGGCACAGGTTTGCGGGCCCCCGAATCTGTAAAACAGCCGGCCGGTGTGTCGTACGATTCCACCAAGTGTGTACAGTCCATGATCTTTCTCTCCCCTGCTAGTCGCTGAAGCGCCTCGACGACGGCGCGCACGGAGTCCAACCCCGATGACCAGTCACTGGAATGATGAGGCGGCAATCGGGTCGGCAGGGCGGCCCCCGAACGCTGTCTGGATGCGACGCACAGCCTCTTGGCAGGCCTCGCGCGGCGCAAACGCCGACAGACGCACATACTCGACGCCTGCTGGGCCAAATCCTGCCCCAGGGACCGTAACGACCTGGCACTTTTCCAAAAACTCGGTGAACACGTCCCAGCTCGAGCGACCGGGAAAGCGGACCCAAATATAGGGTGCATTGCGGCCGCCGTAGACCGAGAACCCAAGCGATTCCATACCCTCTCGCAGGATGCGGGTGTTCTCCAGGTAGTAGGATATGAGTTGCTCGATCTCCGCGAGACCTTCATCATCTAGGCACGCCATGCCTCCTTGCTGTGCGATATTACTCGCACCGTTAAAAGCCGTGTTCATGACTCGCCCAAAGTCCTTCGCGACTGGTGTTCCGTCAGCAAAACGAAGCGCTGAAGGCACAACTGTCCAGCCGAGGCGTACACCCGTGAAACCCGCGTACTTGCTGAATGAGTTCACTTCAATAGCGCATTCAAGTGCTCCATCGATTTCCAGAATAGAGCGCGGGACGGCGGGATCACGAATAAACGGCGCATATGCTGCATCGTACACAATGATGCTGCCGTTGTGTCGCGCGAAGGCCACCAACTCTGCCAGTTGCTCTCTCGTTGCGGCAGCTCCAGTTGGATTGTTCGGCGAACAAAAGAAAATGAGATCCGTGCGCGGTGTCTTAGACAAGTCCGGGAAAAAGTCATTGGCAGCGTCGCAGCGCATGTACACGATGCCGGCATACTGGCGGGTATCGGCATTGATACGACCAGTCTGGCCCGTCATAACCGCAGTGTCCACGTACACAGGATAACTGGGGTCCTGCACCGCCACAGTGACCTCGCTACCGAAGACCATCTGGAGACGGGCGATGTCGCACTTGGCACCGTCGGAAACAAACACCTCCTCCGGCCTGATGCGATCGCCATAGAGACGTGAAGCGATGCTTTTTCGGAGCGCATACAGACCCTCGCCATCGCCGTAACCGCTATAGCCTTCTTTCGTGGCAAGTTTCTTAGCGCCTTGCGTCAATCCCGCGCAGATATGCGGAGGTATAGGCTGCGTCGTATCGCCAATACCTAACGAGATAAGCGCTGCATCTGGGTGCTTCTCCAGGTACTCTCGTCGTCTTTGAGCTATTTGTGGAAACAGGTACCCACCCTGGAGCTTCGAAAAGTTTTCGTTGCGCGGCACCCGGGTATGCATGGCGAGGAAACGCCGCAGCGGCGACGAAGCGCGGCAGTTGGCGTGTCGCGCTACCCGGCACACACCCACTTGGTGGAAGCTCGCTCCAGCATCTTGAGACCTATTACCTAAGAACGATGCTTTCTGGAGCCAACCGCTTCCACATAAGGAGTTTACGTACATGACAAGTTCCGATACAGGTGCCTGCTTGTTCCACAACAGAACGCTGAGAAACGCTCCGCATTACCAAGACGTCCGCGACGACGGGCCGCGCGCGCTCATCCAGCTATAAGGGCGCCCCGCCGACGGATCGCTGCAGCGACGCCATTTCGCGCTGCGGCATGGGAACACGGCGCTTGAGTACGGAATGCTCGATCCTGGATGATAAGATATTCTTCTACCGATGAACGATGTATGCAAGGAGACGCATTGCGGTATGTGATCCGTGAATGCTACACGATTGCTCCTTGTGTAATCAAAAGTGCACTCAATGATCGATCCTGGATCATAAGATATTCTTCTACCGATGAACGATGTATGCAAGGAGACGCATTGCGATATGTGATCCGTGAATGCTACACGATTGCTCCTTGTGTAATCAAAAGTGCACTCAATGATCGATCCTGGATGATAAGATATTCTTCTACCGATGAACGATATATGCAAGGAGACGCATTGCGGTATGTAATCCGTGAATGCTACACGATTGCTCCTTGTGTAATCAAAAGTGCACTCAATGCTCGATCCTGGATGATAAGATATTCTTCTCCGGTCTGAGATCAGTGAATGGCACTGCACTTGTCCCGTGTGCTGAAGCGCTCACAGCCATTGGTACCTACGCATCCCAGACTTTAGACATTTGGAAAAGGCGCATCTGAATAGGACAACTCGAAGAAGCGGCAGCGACTGGATACAGTACACTCGAGCGACGTTTCCAGTGCGGCTGGTGCGAGCTACTCGACGCACGGCGCTTCCGCGACAGAACTTGCACTGCTCTCTGTGCTGAAAGCGTTATCCCGTGAACGCGCGTCAAGTGTCCCGCTCTTGTGTTCGCATTGACGTTGACTTGCCTTGGACTATAGTTTGCTTCGGGGAACTCTATTCACGGCTCTCTTAGAGTTGCCTGCACTGAGTCAGCGGTCCACGCAAGGCCGTAACCTCAACCGGTGACCCGGCGAGGTCGTTGCCGCTGCCTCGTGCACGCTCCAGTATCCGGCTACGTACAGACGCTGGGCTGTCTGCGCTACCCGTTCTTCAGCTACGCATAAGGGGCGTAGACTGAGCGACGCAACCGATTGCACAAGTGCTTATGCTGAGGTTGCCCCGGCTGCTCCTGGCTCCAGGCAAGCGAACGATAGACTTGATCCTGCGCCACGAACCTCGGGGGATCGTGAGAGAGCTCACCGTTCGAGTTCGCTTATCGGGACCGCTGGGCCCTGGTCCAGTCATCGTACCAGCGACAGAACAAGGTAACTGGTTCCGAGAAATCCGGGGGCTTCCGCCCTACGACCCCGTGGCGGACGCGCAGTTCCCCAGTGTTCCCGCAGATACCGAGACAGAGACGCATCTGCCGATCCATCTGCGTTGCTCTAGCGGCATCGGGCTGGTTCGCGTCTATATTCAAGAGTGTGACGCGGATATTGGTATACCGGTCCATATTCCGCGTCCCGATGCGGAGGTGACCCGAGGAATCCCGTCGATCGTGCCGTATCCCGTCGAGCTGAAACACGTGGAACGCACCGCCACCGCCACGACCCGCGAGGACTTTGACGGTGAGGCTTTCACGACTGTCCACCTGCCCCCCGAGGAAGAACACTCATGAGAAACGCTCGCAACCGGAGCCTCCTTGGGATCGATGATGCGATCGGCACCAGGGATGCCTTTTGAACTTTCCTGGAGCGCGTAGGCCAGCACGTGGCGGATGCTCGATGGGAAATCGGCGCGTTCCTTGTTGGCTAACTTCAAGAAGAGTCTTTCCGGTTCACCTTTACATTGCCTATTTGCCCACTGTGTACGCATCGGCGAGCGCGCGCATATCCAGTCACGATGGGGCCACCTTCATGCTATCGCTGAAAGCAATGCTCGAGCAGCGTCATGTATGCATCACCGCCTGTCACACGATTATGCTTCGCTGCTGCGCCTCGGTGTCGCGGAACATCGTAACCTGGTCCCCGCTGGCGCCACGATTCATGCAGCCGCATGGCCCTTGCTGCCTGCAGCCTGACAGCTTTCGCTCTGCAGGCGCACGCCGTGTGCAGTCGTCGTCCTGTTCCAAGACCTGAACGCGCCGCAGATTAGGTTCCAAGGCAGTGCTGGGTGCTATCCTTCCCAAAGAATATGATTATGTAAAGGTTCGTTGCGGAAGAGTTCCCTGCAACTGGCTGCAGCGCGCTGCTGATGCCTGCCAGGCCATCGCTATGAAACAGCGCGGCCGCGCGCTCTACTTCTGGTTTGATGCGCTCAGCAACTAGCTTGGCGATGCCAATCAGAATGTCGTAGTCGCCAGGACCAACCCCACCGGATCCAGTCGAGTTCAGAGAGTCCAAATGGAACGGGAGCTGCGACGCCTCAGACAGCACTTCGATAGCCGGACTTGTCCAGCCGCGATCAAGGAGAGCTCGATCAGCAGCTCCCTGCACCACATCGCTGCAGTTTCCGTCCTGAACGTCTACCGGTGTGCACTGCGCTTCCACGGCCAATACGACACGATCGGCGGCCTCTTGAAGAATACGCGTGAAACACAACCCCTGCGCAACGTGGTCGATGGGGTGGCTGGCGTTCGCTCCCCCGCTCTCGCTCAAGTGCCGCGTGGTGTTCACCCAGGTTTTATTGACCTCTTGTAGCAAGGCAGAGTCGAAACTCGTTATGTTTAGAGAAACGCGATCCACTGGAAAAAGGAGCTCCTTTGCCGCAGCTATTTCCAAGTCTCCAGCGGGCAGAAAGCGGAGGTCAACTGCAGCTGCGGTAGCCGGCGCGACGGCACCGTAGTGGAGCAGTGTGAGCGTCACCGACACCAGTAATAGTACCGTCCAATCGCGCATTTGCAACGAGAGCTTATTTGGACAAAGAAAGCGCATTGCAATTCGAAGAAAAACGAGCACTACAAGTGCAGCAAAGTGCAGGGTGGATGCAGTGCGTGCAAGCGCTCAGACACGTGGTAGAGAAAACGCCACGCCAATGGAAGCAGTGCGCTCGCGCCGCCCTCTCTGCGAGACACGCGCCCCGGCAGGGGTTGCGCTCTGACACGGCGACATTTTTTTCGTTTGACAGTTTGCAACGCTCTGCTCGGATTCAGAGCGTAGATACTCCAGAATACTACATCCATGTCAGACAAGACCGAAACAGGGATGCCTGGCTAACTCGGGGTATACACTAAAGTTTGGGTCTTTTCTACGTGTAACCAGCACAAGCATTTGTGGGCAAGTTCTGCGAATGCTCCCTTGTCCTTTGTCTTAACTCCGGCTTTCATTTCGCAGGTTTCTCCTTGGCCCCAGCATTGTTATACGCAGAAAAAGATGCTGATGATAGCATGAAAGTCGCGATTTCCCTAATTCTGGCTGTTGTCAACACAGGGTATGCATAGGTGGTCGTTGGAATGTGCGCTTCGCTTGCCATTCTTATCTTATTTGTAGACTGATCGGTGCGCATTTTGCCTCGGTGACACTTGACTATGGTCAGATTGTCGGGTATGTTCACCGCTTCTCGGCGTCCGAGGTCCGGTCTATGACGCCTGAACGCTTGCTGCATCGCTCGGTGCATGCGGTTGATGGGTACACAAGGCTCGTCTCGATGCCATGCTTCGTTTCGCACATGGTACAGTATTCCACGATCACGGGATTCTCCAGGGTGACCCCGTCGAAAGAGTGGTTGCGGTGCACGAACAACAACCCCTAAGCACAGTCAAGGGTTATCGATGCGAAGAGCGCACCGTCGCTGTCTACGGCAGAGGACCGAAACGGCAGCTGAAGCTTAGATTGAAGCTTCCGACTGGGGACAATATGCGTCGACCACACCTCGAAGCAGTGAAGTCGGGACCCTAACGCTGAAATCAGTATTCTTTGACTGCGAGCAACAGAGCTGGAAGGAAAGGAGAGACCCCGTAGTAAAAATCGGATATCGCAGACCGGAAAGCGAAACAGTCGCACGAAAATTCCGAACAGGCTGCTGTTCACGACTTTGGAAAGAGACCCATACATTATTCTTTACATCCAAGTTACTCCACCTGGTGCGTTTCTTTCTTACAGTGTAGTGAGATGGCTGTTGCACGCACCTGTTCACCGTTCGTCGAAGAGTGCGCCTCGTCCAAGTCGCCGCTCTCTACGATGTTTGCATCTGTGCTGCCGATCCACATCGCACAATCGGACACCCAGTTCCTATAAACGTTCTGCCAGTCAAAAAAAGATCATATTTGCAGGGTGGGTGCATCCGCGGCTGCGTCTGCTAGTGCCAAACGCTGCCTGTAGGTAACCGGTGGCAGCGAATACCAGTAAGGTTTCAGGACTGCGTCACAGACAAATGAGGATGTATCTCGGCATCGCCGGGTCAAGACTCTTTGTTCCAAGGGATAGCTTTCGTCAAAGCCCCGATACCATGGAATCGGAACGAGCACTTGTGCTGCGCATCCAAAACCTGGGTGCGTTGCTCACCTCTTCGAATGCAGCGTGTTGTTATCATTGCTACTGCTGAGGTTCAACGTATCTACGGCACTTTGATCGCGACGCAGGAGCCCGTGGAACGCGTTGGAATCCGGCCAACTTTACAAATGCACTTCCCAAGAGGGAAACACAGCTGATCGAGGGCATCACCAGCGCATCTCGAATCGATGCCCCTAGAGGTACCACGTACCCGCGCGTGCGCGCTCTCTACAGCAACTTGGGCAACGATACATCCAGCACCGCCACGAGCATCCTCAGAAGACTGGCAACAAGAAAAAGTCGCCGGATCGATCAAAGCTCTATCGCAAGGCCTAAAACCGGTCTGGAGCTATTGGAATGCGAAAGGGATCACGAACGAACGCTAGTCGCTTCTCTGGTTATCGATCCTGTTTCGAGCAGGGAAACGGCACCGATGCATCTGAGCAGCCACCTATCCCGCTATGGCTGGTCGCGACGGCAGGCGGCAAGCCGCTCTTGTGACTGTGGAAAGGGCGCTACGCAGCAACCAGGTACCTCTCAGACAACCTGGGTGCAGTGCAGATGTCTGTGCGTTTTTCCCGACGAACACACTCCTGGCTTACTTCGTGTAACCGCTTGAAGGCGTAGGTGCTCTCAGGGGCACCCGGTGTGTACCAGCGCGTCTGCTGCGTTCTTCGACAAGAGCGAGGATGAACGCTCAGGCCACGAGTGAGGGCGCACCAGTAGTGCTGCTCGACTCGGCCGTGCTAGACTTTCTTCTTATGGAACTGGTTGCCGAAAATACCGCATCGCTGTTGCCTGCTTCAGCAGCGGGTTTTGGAAAACCGGACGCACCAGTGCGCCACGGGTCGGTACCAGCACCGCTGTGGCAGCGACCACGAAAACCTCAGCACCTCCACACGACAAGCGAGAACGACCAGGGCACTGAAGCACTCACAACCGAGACCCTGGCGCTCGCTCGAGTCGAGGAGGCCGGCTTCTACGTCGGCGAGCGACTTGGCCCCCGAGTGCCAAGGGTCGGGGCCCTCGCTGGAAACCCCGTCTCAGAGCTCGATGCCTTGAAAGTACTTTGTCGTGACCTGTGGCGAACTGTTTTCGGCAAACAAGTGGACAGCCTGAAAACAAACCACCGTGGCGTTTACGTGATTTTCGATGCGAGCTTTCGCTGGCTTCGCCATGTGCAGGAACTTCCCGAGAGCGTAGGAGCACCATCCTGGTACTGTGTGTTTCCAGCCGGCCTTATTCGGGGCTTTCTCGCCCAGCTTGGACACCCGTGTACGGTGCAGGGCGTCTGCGAGCCGGCACCACCGAGTGCGGTGTTCACTGTTCGCATGCACTCCTCATCCGCTCCGGATTCAGAGACTGTAGCGAGCGAGCCCAGACAAACGTAAAAGCTATCATTGAGATGCCTGTGTGTTTCAGGGAGCAACCGCAGCAACGGACAAGAGCGTGCCGAATTTTCCAGTCGAGCGTTTGCGATAGGCGTTGCCGAGTGAACCGTCCGAGTTGGAGCTTCCACGCAGGTTCATGAGCAGTACGCACCCATCGTATGTGAAAAACCGGTGCCAGCCAGTACAGGATTCCCGGTCTGCTTTCCCGCTACCGGAAGCAGACTTTAGGGATGCTCGGATCCAGCCTCTGCGGTGGCAGCGTGCCGATGGATGTAGCGCAAACCGCAGTACTTGCACACGCTGGGTGCTGGATCCGCAGCATCCACACGAATGTATTCGATGGGATGACCCATGGCAACGTTGGGTCCACCGTTGCATGCGATGACCTCGCGTTCGACGACAAGCGGCGGAACCTGCTCGATGAGCTCCATGGCGTCGGAGTGCCACTTGGACCTCACAAGGTTCCGGTCAACCTTGGGCGGTACCTGTCCGTCGGGATAGTGCATTCGATACCGAATCAACCCGTCTTTGAGTGCGAGGGCGTCGGTTGCAAAGCTTCGCCCCAACAGCGGCAAAGGCGTGGTCAAGTGCGGGGTGCTCGGCACGAGCCCGGGCAACGACGGGGTGACGGCGCGCCACACCAGCGCGCCTGTGCTTCCACGCACCAGTACAGTTCGCCACATGTGCACCAGTACTATGTAAGAATACTTTTATAAAGGCCACTCACTGCAGCGAAATCGATGCCAAGCCCAGTTTCTCGGCAAGACGCCCGGTGGTAGCGACGACTTGCCGGTGCCGAGTCCGAAGCGCGCGTTTTGCCGCGTATAAACTCCTGAATGGGACAGCAACTACGAAAACGCTGGCAGTGCCCTGTATGGCGACTCGATGTCGTTGCTCAGTACGACCCGTCGAATACCAACACCTATCGAGTCCCAGCAAATGCGAACTGGGCGCAGCTGAAGTGCACCAGAAGCTTGCGGTTGAGACACGATGCGGCCCGATTGGGCGTTGCGCCTGTTTCTCTTCATGGACGGAAGGTTTGCCCGAGTCCGCGGATCCCCGACTGCGCAGTTGTCATCGACCTTCGGGAGAGCGTCCGCGGTTCCCGCACCATATCTTCAGGGCCCACCCACTGCCACAAACCATACGTATTTTCGAAACGGAGCGACAGTGTCGTTGCGCTAACGCTATGCCGGGCTGGGTGCCACCGTAACGCAAAAGCACCCGTGTCGATGGGAGCCTCATGCTTAATACGTCGCGTATGTGGTGCTTCTTCAGCGAAGAACTGCGGCATTCGTTTAACGCTTTAGATCCTCGTGTGCTACACACACACACACAGCACACACGTGTCGATGGCGCTGGGTCGATGCGTCGAGGCACCCACCCTGGGCATATGCAAATGCTCGCGGTTCACTGGACGTAAACCTCACCTCTTCCGCGTACGATGCTGCTTCAGGTTACATCCCGACGACTAGAGCGTGGTGTAGTCAAGGCGCTCGTTGGATGCCGAGGTCACCGAAGACCTTAGAAGCAGGGACAACAGAAGCGCGCCAAGCGCATGCCGAGTGGCTCCCCAAGTGGCATCGCGGTGCGACCGACAACACCCTGGACGGTGATCCGAGCACCCCGGCAGCCAGAGGACATTCAGCGCTGGCAACAGCACTGTAAAAGCACTATTGCGAAAACTCATAGGAGAAACGTCGCACGATGGAACGTACGGAATGACCAGTATCGTCGTGGGGAAGTACGAAGAGTGGCTTCCAGAACTTGAACCAAGGGTATGGACCGACAGATGCATTACCGGTTACCCGAATCCATACCGCAATACAGCGTCCCTGGTCATGTTGAGCGTTCTGTCCATCAAAAGGAAAAGCACCCTTGTGTTCAATGAAACGAAAAAACTGTAGATCCATAGAGTGTAAAGAAATATACTCCCTCTCAGACGCCTCCCGGCCTTTTTTGACTGGCCGCCTGCAGCCGTTTTCAGTTTCTCCTAGCACACTTCGCATCTGAGAGGTTTCCCAACAAACATAGATGGCCTCATATCGTCAGCAGTCGTCTTCAGCACCACACATCGTCTGGTATTGATGGTGGCGTTAAAGTCAAAGTTCACGATCTCCATGCGTGCATTGCCTCTGGTTGAACTCACCATCGCAAGGATTGCCAGAACTCGTGGCCTCTATTCGACTACAGTCTCGTCATCATCCTGTCGGACAAACATCTTTTGTCATCTACCTACCCTGTTCTTCTTCTTCTTCGTCACTTGCACTTCTCCCTCGATGGTCGGCGAGAAGATCGAAATTTTCGTCCTTTTTCTCTGGCATCCGGCGATGACGGCCTCCAGGATCCTTCACTTCCATTCCCGTAAGTTTATTTTTTAAAAAGAACACACTCTGAATGCTCCAGCTACAAACCCTGAAAAATCACTTGATTACACTTACTTGAGGATTGAAACACGATTCAAATGAAAGACTCTAAGAACCTGAGAGGCGACCCGAGGTACGGCGCTGTCGCCTGCAGCACCGGCGCATGCTCGGGCAACAATGTGGGGCTGCAATCCGTCCATCCACTCGACACTCGTTCCTTTCTTGGTAAAAGACTTTTCTGTTTACCAATAAGGCGTTTCCTGGTGTTTGAAGGTCTTTTTCTTTGACTCATCATTTTGGCACTTTGATACGCACCAGTTGTTGCACGAGTCAAGGACTGCAAGTGTGAGTCGCCGTAGAAAGCAGGCTCGCTGAAGACTTTCGCCACAGTATGCCTCAGCGGCGGTTCACTGCAGCGTCAGAGAACAAGCCGCGGAAAACGATCTTCGATGGTCTCGAGTCTGGGCCTCTGCGGAGCATAGCGCAGAATCCAGCGAGTCGACTCGCCAGCTCCGTCGAGACGCTCGCGAGTGCCGGCGCTTTCCCTGGCGGAGTTTCGGGGCTCTCTGCCGTCGGCCAGGAGGCACTGCTCGTGCTCAACTATCGATTTCACGAATACAGAGCGTCGGGCTATCAGGGACAGGTCATCTGGTCGCGAACATGTTACTGCGAGACGCAGCCGTGCGCCGGTCTGTGTATGTTCGCGGAGCATCGCGTTCCTCGAGCCGGTCGAGTCGAAAGCAAGCAAGGCGCGCGCGAACATTACGAAACGCTTTCGTGCTCAGCGTACAGCTCAAAAGATCCATGTCGCAATGACGAATGCTGTATAGCTTCAGCGACGGCAAAGACGAAGAGGACGACGACGCGGATACCCCACTCAAACTCGAGCGCATCAGGCGCAGAGATTCGAAACATCTTCATCCATTCGGTGGATCGTCGACTTTTCATGCCGGTGTACCAGATGCAGCCGACCATTCGAGTTCGACCCCGTATGATCATCGCAGCGCTTCATCGTCATCTCTGCGCTGTTCTGGAACCCGAACGCCTGCTGATACAGGATTTCGACTGCGAGCATGCTCGCATCCTGCATCGAATGGTGTCTGGTCGGCTCACGGGGCCAGAAACAGATCCAGGAGAGGCGTTTGGATTTCGTGCCCTTGCAGCGATGCTCCATACCTGCGTTCAGTCGAATGAGCGCAAGCTGCAGTGGATCAAACAGCAGCTGCAGCACGGCCAACTGCACATCAATACCGTGGAAAAGTCCGCGGCTCCGCGGCTTTTACAAGGCGCAGCACGACAAGTGGCACTCGTAGCGCTGCGAGCCCGGAACCTCCGTGTCTGCCTGGAGGAGAGCCTCGACGACGGTATTGCGGAAACCGTCGCAGCCTGGGTCGGAGAGTGCATCCCCGGCGATGACGCTGGGATGCGGGCATCATTTGCCTCGACTCAAGAGAGCGTCTACACGCTGATTGAATGGGCGCTATGGCAGTGCCATGATCATGAAATGTCTGCAGCTGCCTTGCGGAAGCAGCTGCACAACATTGAAGAACTGACAGTGATTGCGCTCGCAGCGAAACAGACTCGGCTATGGACAGTGAACATCAGCTGTCATCTGTGGTTCTGTACGATCCTGATAATGCTGATTCCGGCGGATTTTTTCGGAATGAACATTGCGATTCCAGCCTATGAGGAAACGGCTCCCTCCTGGCCGTGGTTTGTCGTCGTTGCCGTCTCGCTGGTCCTCGGTGCTGGATTTTTGATGATGGGGATTCTTTATTGGAAGCGGAAAGGGATGATGTCGATTCTGTTCGCAAAGAGCTCGCCGCCGCCGCCGCCGCCGCCGCCGCAGCAGCAGCAGCAGCAGCCCAGATGCTCGTTGTGTGAGCGAGGCGATGAAACGGTCACTTCTGGGAGTACGAGTGCAGCGATTGATGCTGCAGAATGCTGCTAGGGTATAATGCTTGTACGTGCTCGGTTGGTGCCCCGAAGACCTGCACACAAACACGTACGCAGCCAGAAACGAGTGACTTGGTGCTCGCGCGCTTCGCGATGCGAATACAATATCGCCGTTCAAGTATTGCAGGTTTGTATGCAATGTGTGCTCGCTTTCGAGACGCAGCTGAATTGCGAACAATTGGAGGAAGGTAAAATTTTGTGGCCTACGGCCGGGTTTATCGGAGGCCCAGATGGTGATCTATCTCCAGCGTTGGTGTCCTGGATTCTGGAGCACGCCTGCACCTACCAATGGCATCTCTAGTTACCCTATATACAATCGGTGCCGTTTTCTCGGCTTTGCAGAAACTCGAATGTGACCCGAATCGGTACGTCGTTGCTTCGCGAACACAGTATCCGTGAAATGGGATCCTGCCTCGAATTCGTGTCACTGGAAGGTTTTCCTGAGTCCATGGTAGGGTAACATGGAAAGGGTCGTCTGACTCGGGCGTTCACCCCAAAGCTCTGACCTCCTCCCAGTATCATCGATACCAACGTAAGTGGGCTGGTTCCGTGAATGCTTCCTTCTCGTCGCGCTTCGCTTCCGCCTTGAATACATCGGTCTCTGCATTTGCCTCCAGCTCCGTTGCCAGCAGTCAAAGGATGTCGATGACGGCATTGAAGACCCGATTCCCCTGATTCTATCTGTTATCAAATCACTCTATGCATTGCGGGGGCCGTTTCGATCTACACCTCACTTGCGATGCTCATTGTCGTTGTAAACAGCTCGGTGTGCCTCTTGTTCAGGTGACACTTGATTGTTGTCAGGTTTTCACGTATGTTCATCACAATGACTCCTGCAAGGTCCGGCCTATGGTACGCCAATACTTGCTTCACGGCTCGGTACCTGCACTCGACGGGCACAGACGTCTTCCATCTTTGCCCTGCTCGCTCGAAGCACCCGATGCAATGTACTGCGAATATAGTCGTCGTCTGCGTGATCCCCCGGAGGAGTACCCTGTCCGTCGCACGCGCGAGCCCGTGCTTTCCCATTCCATAAGGCATTGACGGAACCAGATTTTATCGACAGTGAAACATGTACCAGAATGAAAATCCGGGCTAGAGATCAAGTCGAGGGTTGGCGAACCGTCTGGGCTTTCTTCGTGCAAACCGGTGACGCCCTCTCGACTGGAAGCGGTCACTAGGATAAGTCCGATCCCAAGCGGATTTTCGGCGCACTCTGAAGACATAGGAGCCTCTGGGAGCATATCCCATGAGAAGTATTGTGCAGGTATCGAATGCAGTTTCGTCGATGACCACAGAGACTAGAGTATTCGTATTTCTAACAAAGTCTATCATCGAATGAAGTGACATGTTTCATGAAATTTCGACATGAGCGTATGAACAAGTCATTACGGGACAACATCACGTTTCTTCTTTCGTCGTCAATGCAACGATACGCATGGCTGCGCCCACGACTTGCCTCGAACCAGAAAAATCGAAAACTCGAAGCAATCGTGATTTGCGCATGTTCCACATCAGGGCATGAGAAGATTGAATACTTGTACGTATGCAGTGGACAATAATGTCGATTACTTTACAAAGCCCTGTTCACGTGCTTCGAGAATCATCATCATTCTGATGACGCATCGAATGCCAAAGGCAAAGCGTCGAAGACTCAACTTTGAAACCCTGATCGAGAATCCGGAAACTACGTATGCATTCCTAAGCCCCTATTGCTGGGCTTTGCATCCCGCGTACGCATATCTTAGCAAGTTCGGAAAAATGATCAAGGTGCTTGAACAGAGCGAGCAGTTCAGTGTTCCATTTTTATGTCGCACAGGTGAAGCTGGATCGTCTATCGGGTACGCGCTGACTTGTCACGCGCGCTGACGCATAGGCAGCGCACCTGACGGACCCGCGTTATACCATGAAACGTCGCATATATGCACACGCGTCGGTCAAAAGCCACCTGCTCGCATTCACCCGAGCGATGCTTAACGGGACAGGAAGAAGCAACACAGTAATGCGTCGGCACTCAAGCTCATGCAAAGCGTGGCATCGGAAACAGCACTTGGAAAATACACGACCCCGCGTTCGGGAACCGCACAAGCAGCGCAATGATGAGGATAGGATTCCGTTTGTATGAAGACGTCTGGGTCATGGCGGGTGATAGGACGCGAGCGTCTACGTTATATCGGTTGCAGGCAATCCAGAAGCGTTGCACGCACTGAGAGACTACCATGGACGCGAGGAATGCCGCAAGCGCAGCTGCTCAGAGAGATTACAGTCAACGTGCTTTGACTGAAGTTGTTCGGGCCTTGGCGAGAAGATCACCAGATACTACGACTGAACCGCTCGCTACGGTATGCCCGTACTGAAGCAAACGAATCACCACCGCGAGAAACTAGCGTCATCGTTACTCGTTGCGTCGTTACTGAGGCTCTGCGCTGACCACAACCGTTCGCTGAGGCAAGTACGTTGCAGTGCTGTCGCTGCTGCTCCTTTGTACCTGATACAGGACTAGTCTGAAACACGAACGCAAGTCGTCTTGCATAGGAGTGTGCTGGACATGGGTCGCCAGCGCGCGCATACGCAAATCCCTGCAAATTTTTCGCATAGAGCATTGGGCATCCATTGCAAGCAACGGACTCATCTCCTTTGTCAGAAAGAAGCGCTGAATCTCGAAGAGGTGCTTTCCACGAACACGCGTATGGAGCGATCCGCTACCCAGATACGATAACAGGAGAGGTTCCCGACTAGCGCTCTATATGCAGGACGCGCGAACTACTGCACTTTCAGGGCTACGTTGCTGTCGGCCGATGTACGTCACTTGCACCGATCGTGCGTACCATGCACCAGCAAGGCGCTAGCGACGCCCTAGCCGAGGCAATGTACTCTTGCAAGCGATGCCACGCACTGTCCTCCAGTACACGGCCTGAATTCCCGTGCAAGCGCATTGGGTTCACAATCTCCGGACGGCTATTTTAGCAATACAGAGCGACCTTCATCGCCGAGAACGAGCGTTCGCATTCTTTGTCGACTCGGTTACCGAAGAGTGGCCCCGCTCGAGGCCATCCAGATCGGTAAACTCTTCGGACGCTGCAGCGGCCGTATCTGTGGAAGACATTGCAGCGTTCCGATCGATGGGTGCACGATCAAGGAAATCGATAAACAGCAGCGGTAGCAAAGACGATAGATTACAGATCGTGATGAGCGCCCAAAGGTTCGTAAAGTTTTGCTCTGTCACCCCGAGCACCTGCGTCAGCAGCGCGCCCATTTCGGTGCCCAAGACCCCGCTCGCGTTGTACAGGGACATGAGCGTCGCGAAGACGACAGATTCTGCACCTGGGGGACACAATCGAGCCGCCAGCACCAAAGTAGGCATGAAGGCGACCTGACCCAAAGCGGTCAGTACCGCAGCATCCCCAAGCACGAACCAGGAATTCGGGATTCCCCATCGGGTGTTCAGACCTGTTACGAGAATGAGCTGCGAGAGACCCAGCGGTACGCTGAGGATGGTGCTCCAACGAAGCATCGATTTGATCGGCACGCGTTGCAGGAAACGATTATAAACGAAAACGCCGACGAGCATTGCCGCACTTGAGATGATGCGAATGCGGCCGAGGAATTCTGGTCCAAAGTGAAGCTCATTTGTCATGTAGTAAAAGAACGCGGTCTCTGCGGAAGGGGTTGCTTGCCACAGGAAGACAAACGCCGTTGGATAGAGGATGGATGGCTGTCGAATAGCATTCCAAAGCTTGCTCAGCAGTTCCCTGGCGTCTCGCGCGACCTGCTCACTATACCGGGACCATTTTGTCGCCTGGTGGACGCGGCTTCCATCTTGACTCGCAGCGCTGCCGGTCGACCGCTCTTGGACGAGCGCTTGCTCGCTATAAGACGGTCGCTCATCGATGAAGAAGGACACGGTGCTAATCATGAGGGGAAACGTTGCCGTCATAAGAAAAATCTGACGAGGCGTGAAGCGTTCCAGTAATGATCCCGAGAAATACGAGGTCACGAGACCTCCGAACGCCGATATGCCCCAGCAGAGACTCTGCAGTGAACCGGCACGTTCCTGTGAGTTCTCGCGGACCCGCTCAACAACGAGACCGTCGGCAACAACATCACTGATGGCTACGGCGAGCGATGCTAGTGTAGAGCAGAGCAGCGCCTGAGCCGGCGTATGGGCCCAGGTTGCAAGGCCCAACCAGGACGCGGCTCCTAACGCCCCTGCGAGGCTAAGATAGGATCGTCGATGATAGCCGAAGAGCGGCACCGCATCAGAGAGAAAACCATAGAGGGGTTTGATGGTCCACGGCAACGTCTGGACACCACTCAGCATTGCGAGTTGTGAAGGTGACAGCTTCAGCTCATCCTTGAAGTAAAATACGGTGGCTAGTCGAGCCAAACCAAGGACGCCTTGTACTAGATACACGAGCAAGATAGACGCGAGCTCAGGCGTTGGTTCATAACCTTGAAGCAGTCGCTCGAGAAGGAGAGTTCGGAGTTTGGCCAGCTTTCTGCGGCTTGCAGCCACAAACCGCACAGAACGACGGGAAGCGAGAACAGGTCGCTCACGCTTCATCAATAGCCGAAACCGCCCATGGCGCCACGCAGGCCAACGCATGCGTCGAATGCAAGGAGCAGGCTTTGAGATGTGCAGGTTTCCCGGTGTGAAGGTGTCCAGAGACAAGGTCTCTTGCGCTGCTTCAGGCGGTGCGCTGCGCGTCTGCACTCCGCACGCCTGCTGCTGTGACCGTGCTCGCCAGGGAGCAGCAGCTGTGCTGAACGCGAGTCGGTAAACTTGCGGCGCAACCGGGCCCTTAGCCCGTGCATGCATTCACGTTGGCAGGGCCTTTCCCAGTCGACTCTGAACCAAAGAGTATGGCCTCCGCCCGCGGCCGACGACAAGCCCAGCGTCTCACTCGTCCGCAACGTGCACTTGTTCAGTAAGCGTCCGATAGCACGCTAAAAATTGGTCCAGTGTTTCTGCTAGCTCGTGTAGCGTGCAGAGTCTAACTGAGACTCCCGAGGCTCAGCCTCGTGTCCGACCGACGGAAGCAGAAGGCCAACTCCCCGTGCGCACCGTCACGAAGCCGCGTCCGTTTGTATTTCGTGTTTGACGCCGCCTCACCGAGACCTATTCGATATTGAGACAAGTCCAGGCTGCTAAACTTGCCGCACAATGGGCATTACGCCAAAGTCTCAGAACCGTTATCGTTGAAGTGTGTCAACCAACTCCAAACCGCATTGTTTCTGGTGTGTCAATCCGCAGATGACGTTGGACGGCAATCTGTTGGTACGGTTGCCATTGTGGCGTTGATGCGATCCCGAGGATGTACGCAAGAGAAAGCATCGGTACATGAAGGCGAGCGGTCGATAGAGGACGCTCTTGATGCACGGATCAAGTGCATGCAGGCCTATGCACATACATACACGTGTCCTAGAATGCGTGCACCTGCGGATGCGTGCACGAGTACATGTCGCATGGAATCTTCCAGAGTGCTGCATCGCAGTGCTCTTGATGCACGGATCAAGTGCATGCAGGCCTATGCACATACATACACGTGTCCTAGAATGCGTGCACCCGCGGATGCGTGCACGAGTACATGTCGCATGGAATCTTCCAGAGTGCTGCATCGCAGTGCTCTTGATGCACGGATCAAGTGCATGCAGGCCTATGCACATACATACACGTGTCCTAGAATGCGTGCACCCGCGGATGCGTGCACGAGTACATGTCGCATGGAATCTTCCAGAGTGCTGCATCGCAGTGCTCTTGATGCACGGATCAAGTGCATGCAGGCCTATGCACATACATACACGTGTCCTAGAATGCGTGCACCTGCGGATGCGTGCACGAGTACATGTCGCATGGAATCTTCCAGAGTGCTGCATCGCAGTGCTCTTGATGCACGGATCAAGTGCATGCAGGCCTATGCACATACATACACGTGTCCTAGAATGCGTGCACCCGCGGATGCGTGCACGAGTACATGTCGCATGGAATCTTCCAGAGTGCTGCATCGCAGTGCTCTCAAGTCTCTTGCTCTGCGCGTGCTGGGACAGCTTGCTATTCCTTTCTCTGTTCGCGAGATAAATGCTTGCCCTGCGCACGGGCAAGCACTGAGCGTTTCCCAAAACGAGAGCATCTTTTAGGGGAAGCGTTTGTCGCTGCGGTTGCTAGTGTTGGTTTATGTGGCAGACGAACTGGGTAGCACGCCCAGCGAGCGGCTTTGGAGCTACCAGGGCGTTGCCGTCACGCCACGCACAGCTAGCTTGTTCGGCAACCGCGTCGCCGTGCCGCACGAAGAACCGAACAGGTCCCGGGTTGGCGAAGCTGCGGCTCGCTAACGGCCAGCGGCACACATACAGAAACGCACTATGTTCCTGCGCTTCATCTGGGCCCGAATCCGGCAGTGATCAAAAGCTGCCACCTCAAACCAAGCTTAGCGCACTGCTCGAGCAAGCAGAGGAACTCGGCTTGGATACTGCGGGCCCTCCGCTCCTGCCGGAGCTTGTTCGACATTTCTTGGACATTGAGCCTCGCGTCTGGCGTCGAGGACAGTCGCTTCGAGATCGTTTACGGGAACACTGCATATTCCCTGGTATGCCGATTCCGGAAGACGTGGATCTCAGTGATACGCTGGGCGCGAGAGACCCATCAGCAGCACCCGCGGAAAGAAAATTCGACTACAACCTCTTTTTGAACTGGCTCGGCTTTCGGGACAGAGACGAGGCGGTTGCATACATGGACGAACGCCGTCTGTATCGAAAACGCGTCCGCCGGTTCAAACGGCGGCTCGGCTTCGTGCTAATGCTACTCGCCGTGACAGGGCATGCGGGAAGCCTGCTGCGGGCTGCGAGCCGCACACCCGGCGGATACGCTATAGCCCTGACGATTGGTGCCACACTGGACGCATTTCTGGTGACGGGGTGTATCATGGTAGCGATACCGGTCGTGTTGCTCGCGTGGGATTTTCTGAGCGCCCCAGTGGCGCGGCGCTTTGATCCGCGGCGTCTACCAGGATACCGCGCAAGCGATGCAGTGCGGCGACTCCTCTTGATGTATGCTTTCATGGTCTGGCCACTGCTCGGTTCAGCAGCCGCAATCGGTAATGCATGCACATTCGTGCACGACCCCGTCATTCTCACCTCATCGTGGATACAAGGAGGCTTAACCGAAATCGGTATCTTTTGGCTGCTTGTGGGTATTTCGGCGCGGGCAGCGGCCATTCCGGCGCTGTGGCAATGGCCAGACCTGAATCAGGAGGTACGCATCATGGCCAGCGGTCGCCAGAATCGACTAGTGCACGCGTTCTGTCTCTGGCGCTGGCTCGTCACGGCATCATGTCTGTGGGCAATACTCTTGCGTTGCAGTGCTCTTGTGCGCCCTCGTACAGGACTCGTAGCCATGCAGTATCCGTGTTGCTGGGGCCTCACACTGCTGGCAAGGCATCGCCCATTGTGGTTGGGTGCATGGCTGGAACAGGGGCTTCACCAGATCGTCTTGGTGGTAGCGGCATGTACCATTGTCGCTTATCTCTGCTACGCCCTCTATTACTTGAATTTTGTGGTTCCCAAAATGCCGGATCTGGACCACCCCAAAATCGACGATCCAGACGATCTGCTTTCGATGGATCCGCTGAACAGGGTCCTGGCAGAGTGCTCGCCGCCGGGCGCAAGGCAACGCTTCTCGCCGATTCGGGCACTGCTCGTGCGATTGCGGCTCATTGATGACGATAGCCCCGAGAAAGAATACAGCCCGTTCGGAGAGGGGCTTGTTGAACGGCCAAGCAATCGGTCTGCCCTCTGTCGACTGGCGTCTGATCCGATCATTCTCGATGATGACGATGAGCTTCTACGTGCTCTGGACGCGCTGCAACCCAACTCCTACGTGAATCGTCTTCTAGACGCCGAGAAGAGAGCTTATGAGCAGGCGGGCCGCCCGATAGACTCGCTTTTCAAACCGCGCTGGGAATGGCTTCAGGTTTCCGAAGAGGAGGCACGAGCGTTGACCAAACGTATTCGCGCGCCGCCCCCGCCACCGGACCAACGTCCACTGGTTGAGCTCGTCGAGAGCGATCCATTCGAGCAGGCAACGGAGTCTGCGACTCTAGAGCCAAGTTTTCTCGACGGGGCCGGTAGCGGAATACGTCAGCGAGACTCCCCAGCCGATCCTGAGTCGGACACCGAAAGTGACAGAGACGATGATGGCGAGAGCGGGCCAGCTAGATCTGATATTTACCACGCCTAGGATGGGTCTGGTCTTGTTCCCGCTGCGGATCGCAGCAGGAAGCTCCAGAGCGCTGCTTGCGTCATAACGTGACCTTGTTTGCGTCTCCGACCCGGCACATGATGACTGTGTATTGCTGGTGGTGGTGCGGCGAAGACCGCGAAACCTGCATGCCTGCAGTACATGCAGACGGTACGCAAGGGCACGGCTTGCGAAAAATGCGCAAGTCCCAGATTGCCATCAGCGACGCACGTGGCAGTTTGCGTTCCTGCTGTTGTAGCTTAATTGCGTGCGGCCCGAGATTCCGACGGCAACCAAGAGTTATCATATCGCAGTGGTTGTCCCGGCGATGACTGAAACGTTTTGTGAACAAGTCTCGTCCGTTCTGACCCCTCTGCGGGCGGCAAGGCTTGCACCAATGCAATACCGGGACCTTTCGCCGGCGCCTTGGGAACGCTGCCCATGGTCCCAGTCGACACGAACGCGCCTCAGCAACGCGTCGTCCCGCCAGATGAAACCCGTGGTCTTCAAGTGCTGTTACATTATATCCGTTGCCTTGGGAATGTTCACGGGAAGCACTTGATTGTCTCATCAAAACGCTATCTGAGCCGGACTCGACAGCGAAAAAGAGGCGCGAAACTGGGTAACGGTGCGCATGATCCATACGAAACGCTCATCGATGCATCGCGCCTTGCAGAGGCGAGACTCGAAAAGGTTGTTGATGCAAGTTTGTACCTGTGGAGGCGCCGGCGCACGGATGAAGCGCTGTGTGTTTCCATTCGGACCCGAATGTGTTAGCACGAAACCTCTCGTTCGAGCTTCCTTCCACTATGTTGATTCAAAGCCAGTGCTCGAAACACAACGAGCACGAGCGCATCGCTTTCCTGTCCCTGCGCAATTTGTCGTATCATGGTGTCTGTCTCGAGCGAGCGCCGAGACATGTCCACTCGTGAGAGCCGCGCTCGCATCTATTGACTCAGCGTTGATCTGGTTTACAGCGCTGCGGTATCCTAGACACGTCACGCCGCTGTGACGCCCATTTTGCGCACGGAACGCAACCTGTGGGACGCACGTATGCTATCATCTTTTGGCAGTGTCTCGGTCCAAGAGATTCCGACCGATGCCGGGTTGGTTTGTGCTTTTGCATGACCTTGCAAAGCCTTTCCGCTGCCTTTTCGTGAACGCAGAGGCCGTCGGCCCCAATCATCTCGTTTCGTGAATCGTCGCCAAATGCGCAAGGCGGGTTGCTGCTGCTGCTGCTGCTGCTGCGCCTTCACGGGCCGCTAAGCGGATCCAGCATCGAGGTCACTGTGCCTATGAGCAAAAGCGTCCCGATGAGTGCCGCTAACACCAACAGCTGTCGTTTGCGCTCCGCTTCTGATTCGAATTCTACTAGAATCTGCGATAGGTCACTCACCTCGCCACTATTATCAATGTCGCTTACGCGATAAACCCAGGTTCCCGTAGCCTCTGGCGGTGTATCGATGAAGCGATAGGCTCCACCTTGTGCGCCCTTGCTTCGCAGCGTGTCGGGGGCGCTTTTGTAGTCTGCGATCACTTCCCAGTCCGTGGACTTGCCACGCCGCCGTGAAACCTGAAATCCCGCGTTATTGGTCTCACCCTCGGTGCGCCACAGTAGCTCGACGTCCCGGTCGTCCACAATCCTGGCGCGCAAGCCGATACCCGCAATTTCCTGTGCTTGAGGGTCACCAGCGAGTCGCCCTCGTGCATCTGTGCGTGAAGCGAGACCCTTCTCCTTTGAGGGTTCCTCCTCCACTAATCCAATCATCCAGGGTGCGTAGGGCGTTCCGTCTGGCCGATACAGCGACGCCTTGCCGCCAATTTTCTTGTCCTTGGGTGGCCGTTTGCTCTCAAGCTTCTCACGCAGCTGTGCAACTGCCTGCTCACGTGACACGCCCATGCGCTCCAGGTCCCGAAAGTATCCAGGATATGGCTCTTTGACAGGCGGCAGCTCGGATTCCGCAGACTCGTCCTCAACGGCACGTAGGAAAAGCGCTCCAGTGCTCCGCGACGAACGTCGACGCAGCTGCGCCCAGCGGCGGCTACGTGAACTGCGTGCTTTGCACCCTCTGGACGTGGATGCCAAAGCGCGCCCTTTATAGAGTGCAACATCACTCAACAAATTATACGTGAATCCAAGCAGAGTCATCTTCGAGGTCGGAAGTGTGCACCTCGTGCCTCGGCTCCAGACCAGAAAAGCGCCACGAGTGGTGCAGCGATGCGCATAGCATCGTATACGGCGCTTTGACGCGCCGTGCGTCTCTAGGCTTTCTGGTGCGTTGGTGCTCGTGCGCAGCGCAGCGCTGCGCGCTCGGTAGGGTATTTCCCTAAGGGCGCGTCGAACGAAAAGGGAATACCGTAGTGCTCGCGCTGTTTCCGCCTTGTGATTTCGTTTCGAAGGATTTTTCGATGCATAGCCTCTAGATGGAAAAGAGCGGCGAAAAGAGGTTACGAATTCCTATGGAGTTCGAGGATTTTCGTGGATTTTGGTTATTCGGAATGGCTCCTCCAAGGATTTTGCCGCTGGATTTCGATATGGCACCGGAATCGAGATGATTCGCGACGCCCTCGAACATGGGTTCCCCCGCTGACCGACTTTTGAATCCAGTGCATATCTATAGGTTTCGAGTCTTCTCGTTTTCCTACAGTTTGCATTCTCAAATCACATATTCTTCATGGTTCTGATCTTTCCGTTTCGAGGCAAGGTGTGGGGCCAGCAATACGAAAGGGAAAAGCTCGACATTGTCCGTTGATGTTCTGTTCACGCGCTCCTGCTGAATGTTCACTGAACTGCTCGAGTGCAATACTCGATTTCGTTACAAAGGCAAATTCGCCTCCGCTCATGTCTATCGACGAGGCCGGATTCGACAGCACCAATATGATCCCTCTCAGGAGGAAACTTCCCAGTGGCTCCCGTTTCTTCTTTTTGCGTGGAAAAAGGTCTTGGCCTGGGACTCTAGTCATCGCTGGGATCGCTTCCCGTGGATCATGCATCGGCGCTCTGCACGAAGGAAGTGAAGACGGATCAAAATTTCATATCTTGTTGATCAGCGTGCATTTCCTTCCGAAACTCTCTCTACTATGAACAAAATCGATTTCCACAAATCCTCAAAAGAATGGAAGAGCGATCGCTTGCGTGTGCGACGTGCACCAAGTTCGCTTTGGGTAACACCCCGAAGAGGCCCGTGAGCGCAGGGTACGGTATTGGGCATGAAAACAGATAAGCGCAAACAGTTAGGCCCTCTCTACACGTCGCCGACGAGCACCAATGGACGAAGCGAGCGTTCACGCGCCCCAGCGTGGCACTTGGAGAAGTAGGCGCTGTGGACATATCTGCGTATCTGACTGCAGTCAATGGACATCGCTGCGCAGGGTGCACCGGTGCACTAGACATAGTGGGTGCAACAGACAAACGAATTTGGATCGCAACTTGCGTCTGTGCACGAAATACGTTGACACCAGACGGAAGCAGCGATATCGGCACAGTATGGCTGGCATCAGCATCAATCGACAGCAAACAACGAAACGGGAAGGACGCAAGAGGCCAGCGAATTGAATGCCGGAGTTTATGGAGGGTAAGAGGAAGCTGTTGCTGAAAAAGCCCACGACGGCTAATATTGATGACCTTGACGACATGTCCAGGCTTGAGAGTGCGCAGCCGAGATAGTGTACCTGTTCCATTCTAGTCTGACATGTGTTTAACCATCTAACGCGGGGCTGCGCTCGCTCGCATTACGATCCGGCCTTTCGTGTGGGCCCCAGCATCGACACGACGACTTGCGCTGTTTCCGTGCGGCGACAGTGGCAACACATTCAGCACTGTAGCAAGCGTTCATCGCAGTCTCGCGCTCCATTTTATGGCTCCCGGCTGCATGATAATCCATGCGCACTGGAGCATGACGATGGACTGAGCTCGGAAAGCCACCACGTGTTCTGGGCGATACCTACAACTGCGTCATCATCGGACGTATCGAGAACCGCGCATCGCATGCTGTATCTCCGTAGTGGCAGTTCTGGCGTGCCTGCAGCGTTGCAACAGCAGCGTGCGAGCATCCGAGTGCAACGTACTTGGCGCCGCTGCCTCTGCACAGTCCAGACAGAAAGCCATATCCGCTCAGGGAGATATGGTAGCTTCACGTGAAAAGCTCTTCGTTCGCGCATGTCCAGTGAATCGATGTGCTCAGCGAGCCGGTAGGTAAGCAAATCTCAATCACCTGCGTTCAGCGCTGCTGTCGTCACGAGCACACGCACTGGTGCCGGGCGACTCTGGGTAGTCGCGCCCTGTAGCGAACACAGGCTCGCAGCAGTCATTCAAAAGTGAGCACTCGCGGCAAGGCGCACACCGGGGTTGCCGGCAGGTTTGCTTACGTGCTGTGGCAACCTAGTCAGCAGGTAACGACAGTTTCGATGCCGAGTCCCATTTGACTGCATCTAAATCGTCTGCAGAGAAGCATGACGCATCATCGATGCAGGGGCTCGATCTTCGCCCCTGCCACCGAGGCCGCCCGTGAGCGCCTGCAAACGTCGGCAAGTACGCGTTTCCACAGGCATCCCGATCGCTCTGACCAGGCGTCCGCGGATGCTAATCGTGTCGTAGATCGCTGTCCTTTCAGGCGGGCCCAGTTTTACACAAACCATCGAAGAACACTGTGGTCGTTCATGCGCTCGAGACTGACACCAAGCCGTGCGCTCTTTACTGCGTACAGTGTTTAGGAGCGAAAAGCTACACGCGTCTTGTACGCTAGATACTCGCTTCTTTACCGCTAACGTTTCGACAAGCTAGTCGTTCATGTATCATCGGATAATCAAGCTCTAGCGGGCGGAATGCGCGGGACTCTTATCTCGCGCAACACCTTACGAACGGTGGACGCTCGACAGGCGCACGCTACACTCAAAGCGGCATGCGAAACGTATCACCACACAGGACCAGTAATCTCCAAGTGATGCGCGTGGCGGCGTGCCACTCCGAATATCAATTCGACAAGTGCCCACAGTACAAGCTCGAGAGGTCGCGCGCGCTCACTCGGAGCACTCTCGTTGGGTGTCGAACGCGCTGCATACCTCACGCTGCTATCTCGTGGCGTTCATTACCAAGCGAACCGCGCGTAGGCGATACGAATTAGCTAGTGCTCCCAGCACAGGCCGCATTCGCCTTGAACTAGACACATCCTCGCCGACTTTCATCCAAGACGCCACCCAGTGCTCGTTGTCCTTCTCCGAACAGCCTCACTGCTCCACGGTCTCGCGCAGACGACGAATCGTCGTGCGCACTGTTGCCGCTGCGGTGGTGTTCAGGACCCAGGCGCCACCAGCTATCCGCTTCCGACAGCGCTTGCACTCCCATACGCCGACTGCCTTCCGCTTCACTGCATCCTTCGCGCAAAACGGACACGTGTACTTGGCGTGCTGGGTGATTTCCATCTTCTTCACGGTTTTTCGCAGTGACGCTCCATACCTCGTACCGTACTTGCCGCAGATGCCCACTTTCCGTGTGCGTTTGCCCATTGCTTGCAACTGGAACTGCAGACTTGTCGCCACGACTAAACGCCTTTCGAGAGTCGAACGACGTCGGCGGCGTACAGTAATGGCGGCGAACGCGCCTTAGACAAATCGTCTCTGACTGATGTGCAGACGCCTGCCCGTCTTTTTGGACCGGCCACCCACTACTGCTTCCAACATTTTCTCATATAGTTCGACTTTGAGAGGTTGTCCAATAAAGTTCTCTCTTGTCTACTCTGGAGGTCTCTTGTCCAGTACCGCACATTTCCGTAGATTGATTGCGGCATTAAAATCTCGGTTCACAAACTCCATACGTTTCTTCCCGTCCGGAGTTATACTCACTAAAGCGAGTAGTCCACGAACTTTCGCACTCCTTTCCGTTTGCGCCTCCGTCAGCGGTCCGTACTTTGCTATTTCCTCAGCGCTCCTCTGGCACTTTTCCATCTCGACTCTCTGAAGTGTACAACCCAGTTCATGGTGTGCATAGGACGTTCGGAACTCATCTACAGGTATCGTAACGAAACGCCGTGCGCACTCCCTGTATGTTCTTGTCGTTGGAGCTGGAGTAGTCCCTTTTTGGGTCTTCCAGCGCCCTGCTCCGTATGCTACGACGAGCCTCTGATTTTCATCCTCCTTCAAGGCGCTCAAGTTATTGAATAAATTCGCGAACCCCCGCTGCTTCCCACAATACAAATTCATACGCAAACGAGCCCACCGGGCCTTGGTATACTCCTCCCACAGTGCATCCCAATGGACAATGCAAACTTCCATGAATTTCCGAAAAGCTTGAAAGTCCGCTCTTCGGCTAGTCACCTCACTCAAAGCTTCCAGGTGATCCTTCATTCCTGCATTCCATGTAGCAATTTTCTTCCTCGCATTCATTATTCCCGATTCTCGATAGTATCTCGCTCTCGAGATCCTCAAAACTCGCATGTCTTTCTGACGTACGTTACCATCAGTACCATCTTCCGCACGCTTCGGTGCTGCGATGGTGATGATATTCGTGTTCCCAGGGTCCGCGCAAACGACAAAGTCGTTATCCTCCACCTCCTGCGTCTCAGGATCCGCCTCCTTCTCATCTTCATCCTTCGCCGCATCAACGACAAGGTCGTTATCTTGCACCTTCTGTGTCGCAGGATCCGCCTCCTTCTCATCTTCATCCTTCGTCACTTCAACGACAAAGTCGTTATCCTCCACCTCCTGCGTCTCAGGATCCGCCTCTTTCTTTTCTGCACCCTTCGTCACGGGCGCAGCCGAGGGCGGAACTGGCCGATCTTTCTTCAACCGCCGATAGTGTACACACAAGGCTACTCCATCGGTTTCGATCATCCCAGTGAACAACTTTTGCTTGTTCACTCTCAGACGTTTGAAATTGGAGATGTTCTTCAAGTACGTCTCCCGGTTTTCGCCGGTGAAGTTCTCCCTGCTGACACTGAACTCCGGACTGATGTCCCTCATGATGCCGTAGAGGACGCCGGAGTCGATAGTCACAAAATGTGACTTGATCTTGCACACTGGAACCACATCGAAGCGCTTCCCCATTAGGGCAGCCTTCCGTCTCTCCCACTCTTCATTTTTTCCTTCACTTAGCTTCGTTTCTGCCTTGCGTTCGAGCTCTCGGTCCAGAAACACGAAATATCGCAGGATGAGGCGATAGTATCTTTCCTTATCTTTTTCAACGCTGATATCTTGTCTGTTGGATACGCCAGCCCCAGTACCGCACGATGCTCTTGTATAACCGCACGGATTACAGAAGCTTCATTCGTGTTCTCGTTTGGCGCTTTCTTGTCGACAAATTCGACCTCATCTTCATGCTTGCGATCGCTCGTGATGCCGTTGATCATCGCCCATTTTCCATTGCGAGAGATGTCCGGATACAGCGCAAACACGGCGCGTACCATGAAACGTTCGAAGTTCTCTGTCAAATGGTTCTTCAGGTTCGTGGGGTACTTCATCGCCCCGTAGCCGTAAATACCCCGGTCACCCTTGTATCGAGTACCATTGAAGCTGTAAAAGGGATATTTTTCGTGGAGGGCGCGCACCCGCTCATTTTCCCTCCGCACTTCCCCTGTGCCAAGCATCAGCTGACGAATAAAGGTTTGTCGAAAAACTCGTCTGGAATCTCGACCGTTTCCATGTTCGCGACGTCTTCGTACATCTCCCTTGCTAAATGCATCAGTCCTGACGACGCCTTTATAATATTCTTGGAGTATGACGCAACACGTTTTTCGATAGCGTCTCGCAACTTTTCCCTGTACGGATCCTTGATATGTCCAAGAAGAAAGGTTTTCACCACCATCTCGTCGTACAGTCGTCTTTCTTGCCGCCTTCGACGTAGGACCTCCGCCTTTCGGTCCTTCTTCTCTTCCTTTTCTTCTGGACTCGGCACTATTTTTTTCTGGCAGCCGGCGAACCTGGGCCTCCAGGATCGTGCATTTGCTTTTTCATAGCGTTCCTTTTTCCGTTTTTTTATTTTTATATTTCTTGAACGCTCTTTAAACCCTTCTGTTATATACTGCGAAAAAACATTTGACTAGACTTGTTTGAAGTTTGAAACAAAAACGAACTGAAAACTATATTTTTGTTCGACTCCAGCGCGAATACAACTTTTACAGCTGAACAACACACCAGAGATCAGGATCGCGTTTCCCTTCAGCGGCGGCACGCGCGTCGTGTCTTATGCCTGCCTGATCTCCCAGGAACGCTCACTTAGCGCACTGCGTGCACCGCGCGAGACGCCTCACCGATCGATGAAGGACACGTGTCCGACACCCCGCACTCGCACGTGCGTGTTCGCATCGCACTGCAGCGAAAATCAGGTGTCGTAGCTCGGAAGCTCACGTAGAGTAATCTCTTGCTGCAGGCTCTGTCGCTGGTGCGCGTCGCGGTGCCGCCTTTGACACACAAGGTAATATTGGGGCCTGGCACGATACCTCGCGATGATTCCAGCTGGCACGCTCCGCCATGATCGATCATCTGGAGCACGGCGAGGCGCCCGGGCGAACGCAGGCGGAACCCAGCAATAGGAAGACGTCATGGTAGAGCATTGTTGAATCTAACGAGGAATCCCCGAGTGTCGGATGGTTACCAAGTGCTCAGGACCGCGAGTGTGATTCCTAATGGTGTAGGATTTTGGAATCTAACCTCTGATCCCCAATGATGTGATGGTTATCGGCATCCGGGAAGCAAGCCTACATGGCGCACCAAATCCTCCCAGTCCTCTTTACCGTTATCCAAGCATTGATTCGGGGATAGTGGTCCGCCCACACGATCCTCCGTTCCAGCGACAGCATGGCGTCGCAGTGTCGCTGCGGATTCCCAGGCCGAGCGTTGGCGAACGCAGCGACTGGTCCGAGACTGCGATTCGCCTCGTGTAGTGAACACTCTCGAACTGGGCCAACCGAGCCCTACGAACGGATACGTTGATTCGCCAGCGCGCGACGGCGTCAAGGCGCTCGCACGCTCCACGACACGCGCTTTGTCCATGGACTGTATGTACGGACAAAATTGTACCCGCAGGTTCAGCACCGCGCAGTCCGACCGTCGATTCCAGTCGGGATGCTGCACCAGGTTCTCCGTCTGCGAGCAGTGATTCGCATGCGAACAATAGACACACTGCTCTGGTCGAAGGTTAGGCGCAGTAGCAGGCGAATGGCGTGCGGCTGTGTATCGATTCCGCGCGGAGCGCTGCTGCAGGAACATTTGCCGGGTTCAGCGCGCTGGTCAGTACTCTATGCAAAGTTTTAGATGCTGTGCCTGCAGGAAGCAACTTGGCACTTTGTAGACGACCGCAACGTTCAAGCTATTTTTTCATCCTTGCAGAGCAGCAGAAACTGAGGCTTGATCGCAGCGATCAAGCCCCAGTTTCGCCACGTTCGGTTGGTAGGAATGCATCGCTTGCGCGGACGGAAGCTGAGATCTGCGATCCTTTTCCCATCGCCTTCTTCTTTGCATGGTACCCTCGGTGTGTCCTGCGCAGCAGTGACACTCGGTGGAGGTCAAGTGCCCAAATGTATCCGCAATACTTTCTCTACCAACGGCCGTTCTCTGGCACATGAGCGCATGTTTCACTGCACGGTACGTGCCCTGGACGGGTAGAGAAGGTTTCCCTACATGCTTTACTCCGTTTCCGCGCTCGGTGCTGTACCCCAGGATCACAAGCTCTATCTGCGAGATATCCTCGGAGAGTCTTCCGTCAGCTGCGCACGCAAGCGCACGCTGTTCCATTCCATGGAGGATTGTCGGAACGCGATGTTGTTCATGATGAAACAATGAACGGGACGAAAATCCGGGATGGAAATCAAGTCGAGAAACTCCGATCCGACAGCGCTGCCTTCACGCAAAGCGCTGACGCATTCTCCGCCAGAAGCGATCGCCCCGATGACGCAAGCGCGAGTCCAGGGCGCTTTACCGTGCAAAGAGAAGTGACAGAAGCCGCTGCGAGCAGATCCCGCGACTGGTATCCTACTGCTATGGAATGCAGTTTCGTGGGTATTCAGAAAGACTGGAGAATTTGTTTTTCGACAGCATCGATTATTCGACCTGCCAAGTTCCATCAACTTTCGGGATAGGCTTGAACAGCGGTCGTCAATGCAAGACTGTACGATTTGATCCGCGGTAATCCGGAGCGACGCGCGAGCAGCTGCACCCGCGAGTTGCCGTGGACCAGGAAGACCGTAAAAAACTTGAAGAATGCGTGATTTGAACATGCTACACGTAAGAAGAAAAGACTCATAGAGGCCCGTATTGATGAATCCATTAATTTTGTCGCTCATTTTACGAACCATTCTTTGCGAGCTTCCGCGAATCACCACGATTCGCATGACGTAACCGATTCCAGTGATCGAGGGTCATCTGTGCCATTCCGAAAAACAAATTCAACCACGAATCCTAGAACGACGTATGCATCCCTAACCTCTCATCGCCACGCTTTGAATGTCAAGGCTGTACAACTAAAACAAGAGCTGAAAAATACAAAATCGGAAACAGAACGAACAGTTCAATGATCTCCTCGAATCTGAGACACATGGAGGAGCTGGATTTTGGCTTCATTCCATGGTAGTGGCGCCAAACGTGGCTATGCTCCGCCACGCCCCGACACGCTGAGGCGTACGTCGGCCTCGCAGGAATCCACTCTATCCTTGGCTTTTCGAACATCGACTCGGCAGATCCCTGGGGTGCCTTTGCAGCGTCCTGATTAACGAGACGCTCTCCAGAGTAGCGGTTTGTGTATACGTATTCGTGGGTTGCTTCATGCTCGCGGGCCCACCTGATGCTGGGGCGCAAAACGTCAACCCCGACTGACGCTGCCGTAGCGCTTCCAGTTTGGCTGAAGCGAGGTCGCTGCGTCGAGGTACGCACCGCAGAAGGACTCTGGGAGAGCGGCACCGTCCAATCCATTCGAGAACGTGACGGTGAGATCTGGATTAAGCTGCGGCTTTTTGGGAAAGAAGCAAGTTATCCGCTTCGTAACGTTCACTTGCGCTGTGGTTCCCAGGAGTTTCCCACAGCTATCGCGGACGAACGGAAAAAGACTGAAACCCTAGGGTGCAAAAACGGCACGGTTTCGGTAACCAATGGTCACGCTCCAGAGTGTACGGGCTCGGTGTCGAGTTCGCCACAGCAACCGACACGTCCTTGTTTTGCAGCTGAACTTTTGTCCCAGAGGCGCTCTCCTGGCCCTAACGCTGAAAGCGTCCCCGTGCTCGCACCGAATACCCAAAGCCTCGACGAGGTGCTGCTGCAGCGCTCGGACTGGCAAGAAGCTGCAAAAAAACTAGTGGAGTTGTTCGCGCTCAATGACTTCACGCTCTATGCCTCACTGCTGAAGATCGACTTGACAACAGATGCGGTCTGCTTTCAAGTATCACCGTGTCTCGACCGCGTTGACTTGCTGGAACTCATTGTCCACGAGTGTCGGGCGCAGCGCTCACAGCGCCTCAACGCGATATCATTGCCGTCCGCTGGGGTAACTGTGCAACAGCCCGCATTGCCAGAAGCTGTATTCGCAGAGCTGCTCTCGACAGTCACTTTTCTCTGTGATGGCGAGCACCCAGAGACAAAGCACTTGCTTGCCTGCCTGCAGAGGCGCGGCGAACTGCTTCCGACGCTGCAGGCATACATCTGCGAGCGCTTGCATGACTTGGTTGGTGCTGCCCGAAAAGCCGCACGCGCACCGCAAGAGGAACGGATGACGAGCCCAGAGAAATCGTCGAGGCTGGTAACCGATGCATCCAGTGGCGCTGCGGAGCATCTGAAAGTACCGCAGACCCTGGGCGATCCCTCTTTCATCGCTTTGAATTTGTTCATTACTGCATCAAATCTTCTCGATACTGCAATCCGTGACCTGGCGAAGGAGCAACGAGCGCTTCCACCTGCGACCTCTGGGCAAGAGCGGAACGCTTCCCTGGCTCGTGGCGTTCTGGAGGCGCTCCTCCCGTCGCCTGCGTTCATGCAAAAGCATCTCGTGACCGTACTCGATTGGGTTGACCTGCTCCAGCAGGAGTCCTCCACGAGTCCGAAAAGCGTCATGGGAGAGCGACTCGCGGAGGAACTCGACGAGCATCTGCGGCTATTGCTGGGTGGCTGGATGCTCATGACCGACTCCGACCTGGCGGCGCTTTCGGTTGTGGTCTCGGATCTGCGGATTGCGCAACACTTCTTCCGTCTCTACTCAGTGGAGAGATTACTTGACTCGCTGAGCCGCAGCGATCAAGAACGACTCCGAGGTGAGACTGATGAGGTCGATCCGGCGCTCTGGGCGATGGTGCGCATCTGGCCTGATCTTGTAGCTGCCCAGGAGCTGTGTTGGTTGCCCAACAGCGGGTACACGCTGCTTCTGCACTGCCAGAAGATCTGCAAGGAGGCCTGGGGCACCAGTTCGGCCCGGCAGCTGGAGCGCTACGGCGCAAGCACCCTCAGGCATCAACTTTTGGAGACCTTCACCCGTCTGTGTTGTGCGGATTCCAAGCTCCTGCTTCGAGCGCTCAGCGAAGCGAGTGCAGTATCGACCTGGGCAGACCTGCTGAGGCGTCTCTGGGAACTGCTGACAGAGGGCCTGCGCGAAGACGACATCGAGGATTCGTCCAGCGACGAGACTCTCACCGAAGACGCCCTTGCACAACAGACGATGCGCGTCGTTCGAGATGCCTTCTTCCCAGCGGTGATGCGCTTTCTGGCCAGCTGCCACGTAGCCTGTTTGCGCGAATCGTCCGAGCTGTTTCTGCAACGAGTCTGCAATGCCTTGGGCTTCTCCAGTCGCCGCGGACTCGATCGACTACTGGCGGTTCTCCGGCGACTGCCGCTTGTCGCTGGACGCCTGACCAATACCGACGATCGCGCTGCCTACATGGTGCTCCTCCACGGATTGGAGAATCGGCGACGGGAGGCGTCGGTTGCAGCGGGCTTGCACCCTCTCCACACCAGTGTAGAAGCAGTAGACGTGTCGCAGGAAAGGCCGTCGACAGCACCTGACGCCGCTGAGCCTTCCACTTGTCTCCGACTGCCAGACTGGGACTGGTCCCGTTTGTCCGCTGGAGACTTTGGCGAGCGTAGCTGGTATACGCTGCTCTCCTACCGACTGGCCATTCTCGAGGACAGGAAGCAGCGGATGCTGGATACGGATGACGGGAAACCGTCACCGTTTATCCATTTAACGGCGAACGAGTATCTGGTTCCACCGTCCGTTGCACCAGCACATGCCGATGTGTGTCAGTGCATTGGAGCATGCGTACCCGGAGTCTGCCTGAACAGCACTGTGTGCGTGGAATGCAATCCGGCGACATGCCCAGTTGCTCGGTCGCGGAGCAGTACGGATCCGCAATGTGGCAACATGCGATTCCAGCGACAAGCCTATGCTCCCGTGGAGCTCTTCTTCAGTCCAAACGGCCGTGGTTGTGGTATCCGCAGCCGAGCGCCGCTCAAGAAAGGTGACTTTATCGTGGAGTACATGGGTGAAGTGATTGGCCCGACGGAACTTGCTCGCCGGAAGCGCGATCACGCCCTCGAACGACATGTCTATTTCATGACGCTTGACCAGAGCACGTTTCTCGATGCAAGTCGCAAAGGAACCTGGGGTCGGTTTCTGAACCACTCGTGCGAGCCGAACTGCCACACGCAGAAATGGCTCGTGCTTGGCAAAGTTCGCGTCGGTATCTTTGCCAGTCGTGATATCGCGGCTGGCGAGGAGCTCACCTTCGACTACCGAATGGAGAGACGCGCTGCTGCTGCTGCTGCCGCCGAGGAGACGTCGCTGTTGCAGCGGGTATCACCGCGTCGCGACCTGGATCTTAATGAGAGCGACGCTTCTGTTCCGATTCGATGCCTCTGTCAAGCAGCCTCGTGCAGCGGTTGGATCAGCGGGGGACCCTTCGCCAGCGCGCTCGACGAACAACAGGCGATGGAGGCGGTTGAGCATCGCCGTGCTGCCTCGTTGCAACACATTACCGAGCAGATTGCGGGGATCAGAAAAGCCCTAGGGCCTCGTCGACGATCAGTTTCAGCGGAAGAGGATACCGGGGCGGCCGTCGACGCCGCCGCCAAGCTTCTCCTCACCGCCTGGGACGACGGCGACGACGACATGAATCGCGAGACACCAGCAGCAGGGGGTCAGCAGGTGCCGGCTTCTGCATCGGTGACATCCGCTATGCTGGTGGATGTATCCGCTGTGCCGTATATTCCGCGGCGGAAACGAGCGTTTCCCCAGGACGACACCACGGACGCGAAAAGGACGCAGCGCTCCGAGGGAAACGTCGCGTCGTCGTCGTCGTCGTCGGAAGAACGTGCAGCAATGCAACAGCATGCCGCGCTTCCCGACAGGAACGGTGCTGATAAGCACTCGGGTCGCGAGTCTGCGACAGAACAAGCGGCTGCGCCCGCGGGCACCAGTATCATCGAAAAAAGCGCTCCGGAGGGAGTCGTTGCCGGTGTATCACATCGTTCCGCGAGGATCACTTGTTTTGCTTGCGGCAAAATCGGCCATAAGCGGCGAGACTGCCCTGCTTCGAAAGCAGGTATTCCTCGTCTGCCGTCGATCGGTCGCATTGCATCGAACGGAATCACTGAGCAGAAGCAAGCTGCAGGTCAAATGTTTCAGGGACGAAACATGTGCTCGACCATACATCCGAAAGACGCCGCGGGAAGGCCGGTACAGCACGACCCCAGCGCACAGTGGGCACGTTCAGCGGTTCACGCGAGTTCGGTGCCGCTGGAGACATCTCTGCAAACGCTACAACAACAGGGCTCCGCTTATGGCATGTTCCGTTTTGAAACGAGCACGTATCGAGGTGTTCTCGACGGCTACGCGAGCGACGCAAGCTGTGGACAGGAGCATCGTTGATACTGGGCGCTGGTCAAGCGCTGGGAAACGTGTGCCCCGCCTGCTTGCGTTCTGTAAAGCGACCGTATTCAGGAAGGTCGTGAAGGCGTTCTCTGTGTGTGCAGACGCTTCCGTCGAGAGCAGGCGAGCGTCAACACAACCCCGTTGCGGTAGCGGTGTGTGTGTGTATGTGTGTGCTGTGATCCTCGACGGGCCCGCTTGAGCGCGTTCAGTGTCCCAGTGCCGTGAGACGCGACGCCACTGTGCCTGTTGGCTTGCAGGACCCAAGACGGCCTAGGCACACAGGCGATTGACTGCCGGGTGAGCGACGGATGCGAATGTTCGCCGACACCTCAGAGTGGCAAGTGCGCACACGGCTTACGAGCTTTGTTGAACGCGGTAGAGGAACGGCACGTCCAAGTTGTGCTCTGAGAATTCAGACAGACCCATTTGCGTATACTGAGTATCTCTCTCTGGGAGAGCGCTCTGCTCAGGAGATACGGCAGTGGAGCGTCGATGCAGCTTTGAGACGATTCCTTCATGGGCGCTCCCTTGCACCCCAGGGCGTTGCGGAGCGCTCTGAACGAGGCCCCGTTTAGAGATACCCTCTGCAGTCCTCGTTTTTATCGTATAAGATCAGAAGGTAAAACAAGCGCATGCGAAGGTGCGCGAACGTCTCCGGTGAGCTGGCAAATGACCTCAGCTTACCGTGAAACGTTTGTATTCCCCATAGAGTATAGTCGCGTACGCCCGTCCGAGATACACACCAGACAAGCCAGCTGCTCAAGACATACCGTGAGATTCCACAACACCGGATCCATATTTAAACTATCGAATAATCGTTCGTTCGTTCGTTCGACACTACAGGTGCAGGATGCAACGCAGGCTTCAGCTGCTACCGCTCGACCATCGCTGAAGCGACCATATGCTCGTGGGCGAGCGAGCTGCGATTACCGCGATACACGCGTGGACTCGGAGCGTTCCTTGCCAGTGCTTCATGTTCATTCTTGTGCTATCCGGTGCAACACTTCTCATTCGACACGGTGAAACTGACTGGAACCGAAGTGGTCGGGCCCAGGGTCAGAGCAACGAACCACGCCTGACGAGCACTGGGCACGAGCAGGCGGCACAGACGGCCAAGTGGGTTACCGCGAGTGCTGCGGAGAGAATTCACACCCTGGCGGTGTCAACGCTCAGTCGAGCACAGGAAACTGCCAAGTACTTCGACACGTTTGCAGCGAAACGGAGGAACTGGGTACGTTGGGACACCGAACTGCTCTGGGAGGTTTCCGTGCCCTGGCAGGGTCAACAGCGGGGCGACATTGACGACAAATACGCTGAAGCGTATCGTATTCATCGCAAGGAGCCCGAGAACTGTCCACATTTTGCGGAGCTCTATGCAAGGGCCCAAAAGTTCTGGGAAACTCGAGACTCGGCAAGCGTATCCGCAGTGTCGCCCGCAAACCACTGGGTCGTGATCGCGCATCAACAGAGTATTCGCGCTTTGTTGAACACTGCTATTGGCCAGCCACGTTCGTACCATCGCATATGGAAGATCTCGAACGCAGGTTGCACGCTCTTAGATCAGCAGAGGCGTGTACACCTCGTGAACGGACCCGCGAGAAGCGCACACGTTCCCGATGATCGCGACCTGGAACTCTATTGCGAGTCGGTGCAGACACTGCACGTGGAGCGTGGTGAGAGAGGTCAGCTCCAGGTGTATGGTCCAGTAGCCGCGTTGCAGGAGTATCTCGCGAAAAATGTCCCAGGAATACAAGCGCAAAGGTTTGTATGGTACCCAGGCGGTCGGAGCTGTTTCCGGATTTCCGCAGGAACGCAATCTCAAGCTTCTGGTGCGGTCTGGTATCATAACATTGAACCAGTCGATGTGGATTGGTCACTTGCTCAGTATCTGGAGGAATGCGAGCGAATGGCTGCCGCTCAGGTTTAGGAGAGCGCGATCAGGCTTGCTAGGAAATGATACGTACCGGCACTGGACGCTAGTACGCGAAGCTACCCAGGCAATACTTACGGAAAGCGTGCTCCCCTGGCAAGCGATACTTGTTCGGAAATGAGCCGTCCAGTGCCGCTCGATGCCGAGACCTTTACTTTGCTGCAACGCACGCTGGCCAGGTTCCAGATGATAGCGATACCGCCGAGCGTTGTGGTATCGCGTTGGCATTATTTTGGCGCTATGCAGTTACAATCTGGGCATCGTCTGCTTCGGACTGACCACAACGCCAAAGCGCTTGTCGAGCAGCGTTGAACGGCTGTGGCTGGCAGTAACCCGCGAGAATCCGCGAGCGAAGCAGCGGCCGCTGCTATTGCGGTACCAGGAAACTCGCCAGCGGCGGCGGGTGCTCCTTGGAAGCTGCACTAGTCCTGCTCCCCGTCCGCTGGTGCCTATTTCCAGGTCCCAGCGTACCATCGCTTCCGTTGCCGATCTATGCACAAGAATGTGCACCTTCGCGTAAAGCGAGTCGAACAGGAATCAGAGCGACTTGTTCGTACGCTACCAAAGATAACGAGTTCTGCGAATGGCACATGCTGCCTCCTTATCAATAGTTGAGAGCATCGCTGTCAAGGAGCTGCCGCCTCTGCTGCGCTGCCTCATACGCTATCTCGCGTGTCTAGGATGCTGGTAGCGCGTCATCGGAGACCGCACCATTACCCTGAATCTGCTGCATTCGCTGGCGCAGCTGCTGGAGTTGACGGCAAAGTGCGCGACCGTTTCGATCAACAACACTTGGGAGCTGAAGCTCAACCTCAAGCGCCGCGATTTTGCTCCGAAGCGTTTTGAGGCGACGATACGGCCAGTGTGCAATACCGTTGCGACGAGCAATCTTTTTGAGGAGCGTCACGCAGATTCCAAGATGCCTAGCCACCACGTCACGGGGCAAATGAAAGAAAGAGCGCAAGTCGGAGAGCGTGATTGCGTAGAGCGTGAAACGTTTCGATTTGCCACGAATTCGTTCACGAACCCGGGCAAAAGCCTGCGCTGTGTCCGGGTCCACTGCAGGCTGCGAATCAATGCCATGTGAATCGCTGGAAGCGTGTCCGGGCGTTCCGCTCGCCGACGAGTGCGGACTAGTGGCTGATGGTGGCTTGCATGCAACCCCTACGCCCGGGAAATCTGGCTTTTCCAGGGGGCAGCATTCACGTTCAGCGACAAGCTGCTCTGTCGCTAGCGAAGACCTCGGTTCCACAGCGGCAACTGGCTCGAAAGAGTCCAGCGAAAAAGACCACAGTGCATACGTTTCTGCTTGTTCAACGCTGGACCAGGCGTCTGTAACTGGACTCACTCGAGAGGCTGCTGCGCGGGCGCTGGCGCCCTCCAGCGCACAGCAACTCTGGAATGGAGCATCGCTCTCGATACCGAGAGCGGCAGCGTTCACACCGGATGCCCTGCGCGGGTGTACCGGAGCATCGGGAGCGTGTTTGACGCTCCTCGGGCAAGGCTGCGAAGAGGCTCGAGATGGAGACCCTGCGAGAGCGCAGTTCGCCGCAGGTCTCCAGAAGACATCGAACATGTCGAGCGGTGCGGCGAGCTCCGTTTCATTGGGCGCCTGCGAGAGCCCCGCGGTGACTGGATCGTGAAGTGATGTCGGAAGCAACCAGGTTGCGCGCTGCCAGGATGCTTCGGGGATTCCACGCATCCGCTCTCTGCTCCAGTTGCTGGCGCGCTCACAGGTTACCTGCAGACGACCGATTGGGTTGTTCCGGTCTGTAACGTTTCCCCCAGAAATGGTGACATACACAAAGTGAGGGCTTGCCAGGGGCGTCCGTTGTTGATCGAAAGCGAACAGCGTGCAGCCGAAACGCGTCTCTGATGCCACCTTGATGCGCATATGCAGGTAGATCTCCAGTTCGCAGACGCCGTTTGATGCCAGGCGGCATCCGCAGGGTATACGGAGTACGTGGAGCCGGCTCTCTGCAGCGCGAGGCTGCTTTGGGCGACTGTGTCGTGCGGTCAGCGCCACCGCCGCCGTCTGTCTCAGCGGTGGCGATGCTGGTGCGTCGCTGCCGAAAATCGTCACCCTGGCAAATGACGCATCCGGAGCATCTTGGTGAACTGGTTGCGAGGCGGTATGCCGCAGGTGCGTATTCCGATCTGGGGCCAGCGTCGTGTGCCATTCATGTGCTGGGCTGCCTTCGAGGTCGTGATCAAGATCAGGACAGATGCTCTGCCACTGGGTACCGTTTTTCGCCCGAATCTCCAGCATTGAGTGTTGTGCAATCTCCGCAGGGCAGTCTCCGTGGAGGACCGCTTCAACCCAAATGCAACGATGCAGTACAGGGCCATGGCGCTCTGGTATCTCGTCGGTGCTGATGTACCCGGGCGCCGCGTCGATGCCGGGTGCCGTTTCAGAGTGCGAACAGAGCGAGAGATCGGGCATATTCGAGTTCCGTTTCCCAGCGATGCCTTCAAGTCTCTCGGTTGAAGCTTGAGATAGGACTGCTTCGTCCACGGGAGCCAGGTCATCTTGCCGTCTGTCGGAATGGAATCCAACAAAAGCGCGCTCCATCGAATCGGTGGAGCGCGACTGCCGCATCGCATGCAAACAATTGGATCTATCCTTCGTTGTTGGCATCGTTGATCCTCGCAGGCCAGCACCCGATGAGGGCACATAGCGCCCGTCGTGTAGCGGATACGTCGTGCTACAGCTCGCAGTTTCCGCAGTGTGCGAATGTGAGCACGCAGCGATGGCCCACTGCGGATCCACGACCGCCCCGTAGCTTCTCCGCTCGCTGCTTCCGCCGGGCTTGGGCGGCCGCCGCTCCCCCAGTCGCCGCTTTTGGATGACTGGGTCACCGGTGCCGGTACCTGCAAGCAGCCCCGACAACCGAAGCGGTGGCCCCGGCGGAGGGAGCAGCGCCTCCGCCGAGCCGCTTTCGCAAGCCGCATCGTTCCCTGAACCAAACGAGGAGTCAAAGTCATTCCACGCTAAAAATAACCCCGCAGACCCTGGGAAACGTCTCATCGGAACCCAAAGCCGCAATCTTCGACACGATATCCAACAGAAATAAGAAAACGTGACCGCCAACCGCAAGCACCTATCCCAACGGAAAAATCTCGTTAGCTGATTTAGAACACTGACTCGGGTAGAAGCTCAACGTTTGATCTACTGAGCATCCAGAAGATACAAGCACGAGTGTAGCCTGCAAACGAAACGCCTCCCCCGAAGAGACGCGTTGCACCGGCGAGATCGGATGCTCAGCGCCAGGCAGGCAGGCAGGCAGGCAGGCAGGCAGGTTGCAATTTCCGGTGCTCGACGGAGGCGACGTCACGCATCGCGCCACCGGCCGGGTGATACGCGGCATCCGAGAACCCCTCGTGCGTGCGTCCAGGGCGCTTTTCTTCGACGTCGATTTGACGATGGACGCGGGCGGCGTGTCCGCGTATCTGCCGGGGATGCGGCGATCGCGGACAGCACGTGCCTCCGTCGCTGGACAGAGCGCCACGTGGCTGGAACGGCGTGCCTGTTGCCGCGATCTCGCAGCGTTGCCATCGAGATTCTTGACCGATGCGTGCGCGACGCACCTACGCACGAGACGGGCAAGCACAGAAACGAATCACGAACTCGTCAATCGATAAAAATTTCATTCCAGGCGTACGGTACGCGTTAAAAGGGGGAAAAGGTCTCTGTATTGTCGAAAGATTATCTCAGAGACGGAAGGTCCCGTAAGCCGGACGAGAATACCGGGCTCGTGGTTCGTGTTCGCGCCAAGCGTCTAGTGCTGTCGTGAGATCTGAGCAACTCGTCTGAAACGCTGCTTATGCTGGGACTAGGGCCAGGTATGCTGCGTCTGCGTGTCGCCGCCCTGGTCGCTGTGGACGCCTAGTATATCGGTTCGCGCTACAGCAGGCGGTACATCCATATGCACAGCTTGCAGGCTCCCTGCATGATGATGTCCTGTGATCCCGTGTCGGATAAACGACACTACGAGCCGACAACCTTGTGGTACGACCAAGCCGTTCTGTCTCTGTGCTGGATCCGCTGCAGCGGTATAGACGCTACGGCGGGTGCAGCAAGGCAGGCACTTGGTGCACGATGGAGCGTATAAAATGACTCGTACGTACGAGAGGAAGCAGGAGTGATGGAACTTGGAGGTAGGATTTAGCACCATGATGGACGCTCTCCCGAAAGCCAATATTCAGCCTCAACCTGGGATATTTGGTCCGTGTAACCGATCTATCAAACAGAGAATCTATGCACGAGCTGTGTACCATCGCATTCCGGGGCCTTTGCGTCGACCTTTACAACAAGAGACGGTCACCAGTGTTACTGGGACGCCTTGCCATTGTGCTCTTCCGCTAATGCATACTCAAATGCGAGATCGAGGCGGCTGCTCGGAGCAGCGGCAGTGACGTATTTGACGAATCGCAAAACGTCGTGATCCCGAAGGACTAGGCTCAAGGCATTCGATACCGGTGGTAGATTCAGCAGTTGGTTCGCGTTCCCGTTAGCGTCATCTGCATCGTCGACATCTCGATAAACGCTGGGGTCACCGTCTCCGTCGCCACTATCCATGTAGCATTCATAGCCGCCACACTCGCCGCTCCGCCAAGCTTCCGCACTGTCCTGCTCTCGGTCGTCGACGAAGCAGAGCGTTGCGTCAAGAAGGCAGGGCTCTGTCCGCGGCACCAGCGTCTCATAGGTTGCTAGTGTGTAGTCGAGTCCCGGTCGGAATCGGCGGATGTTGCAACGATACCCCCGAATACGCCCGTATGAGGCATCCAAGCCAGTCAGGACCATGAGGAAGCGAGCCATGCTTCGAGATGCAAAGAGTGCCTGGAAACAATTCAGGGTTCCCTCTAGAATCGAAACAGGCGGCCCAGAATCCAGATATCCCTGATACTCCAGATATCGCTGGCGGTGTGGCGGGCCAACGGTTCGCCACCCAGACGGATCGTCACTGCTTTCGCCGCCAGCTGCAAGTCGTTGCCATCTGACTCGAGCGTCGCTATCGGTCTCATGCAAAGCTGCCACCAGCGCCGAGGCCTCTCCGCTAATTTTCAGAAAATCATGCAGTTGAACGCTGCTTTCGCGGCGAAATCGTTTCCGAATAGCTCGCACGTGGGCGTCCTCAAAATACACTGGCTGTATGTAGGTGCGCAAATACTCCAGTTCAGCAGTGGAGAGCGCCGCATCTAGCAGCGTCCGGGCGCGATCTGACCCCTGAGATAGCACAGCACAAGACGCTGACAACTCGGCCGACAGCGGCAAAAACGGTCTATGGGCGCCCGTCTGCAGCTGCCTCAACGATGCCGCCGGGTCCACTGGAGTCTTATCGTCGGGCGCGCGGACATGGTACCAACCACTGATGCTTAGGCGTGGCATCTCGTCCGTGCGCACCTCCTCTACCGCGTGAAAACTGCGCCCCGGTAATACCTGGAAAACTGCTAGCGTGTTCCACTCCGGCAACAGCGAAGTGTGCGAGTAGTTCTCCGGCTCTGGTATCGCGCCCTGAACCGGTTTCCCATCTCGAAGCCGAAACAACTGCAGGGATCCGCCATCTTCCTGCGTCCATGTATGCTCCGGTTCCGTCAAATACAGGATATAGCTCAGACGTCGCGTCCCGATGGCGTCGTCGTGGCAGAGCAGATGGCATCCTCTCGTGTACACGTTGATCGAGCAATCGATGAGATCCCCGTCGAGGCATTCGCCACACGACTCATCACAGCAACCGGTAAGCGCCATCAAAAATTTTCGGAAGCGCTCTGAATAGAGTATATCCCGGAGGACCCGCAGGTTGCGCAGACGTCGCTGCTCTTCAGTGCTGAGGGCGTCGAGATTACGGAGCTCTCCCGTTTGATAGACTTTGTAAATATCGGTTTCTTTCAAAGATCCGGTACAGTTGCTAATGATCTCGTTACGCACTGCATTAAGAAAAACCTCATCAAAAACTTCGCGCAGCTGGATATGTGAAAAAGGTTCTGCGCTGGTGTATTTCTCGCGCAAGCTGATCAGACGATCTGACTGGTCCAGCAGTGTGCACGGGACTGACACCTGGCCTGCGTCCGACGAGCCCTTAGCGTGCGTGGACCGTTTCTTTTCGTGCTGTGTGCTCGTCGCGCCGTTGCCCTGTCGCTTGGAGCGCTTCATCTCAAGCAACTGAACAGCGGCCTCACGAGTGCCTTGCCCCAGAAAAAATCGAGCTTGTTCCACGCGGGCGAGCACTCAGGGCGTGCGTGGTAAGCAATTTCGGAAAGCCAGCACGGTCATTCCTGATCTTGGTTCCGACGACAATGAATACACAGCAAAAAAGAGTGCACTAAGAACTAGTCTGGCACACACAGCTCAATAGAGAAAGTACCGGGTTCGCGGAGATGTCTCGTACGAGCGAATCGCCGAGGCAGGCGCGGCATCGTTGAAGCCCATGGACGAGGCGCCGCGGAAACGCGACGGTAGAATGGATCGAAGGTCCATTTTGAATATCATTGAATACTATCATATAGAGATGGATAGGATCAAAGATCGCACCATTGCTGCACCATGACACCATCGACGTGACTAGCACCTTCGCCGAACGCAGAGGCGCACCACTACTAATCTGTACAATCATGAATCTTTTGCGTAGAATTTGCATAAAGCAGTCTCATGCATTCGGTACGATCCAAAGCGGCGCATCACTGGTCAGCAGAGTCCGGATACATCGACGGAAGCACTGCCGACCGATTCCTTGTGGTCATCGGGATGTGAGCACGTGATTCTGCTGCTGCTGCTGCTGCTGCTGCTGCCCAGAACTTTGCAAATACCAACGGAAAACTTCACATACTTTGGAAAATGAGTACACACAGGATAGTGGATGGGCTGTTCTACTTGACGAGCGGCTCCCTTGCAGCCTTTGGGATCGGAGGCGCCGTCTTCCTTCTCGCGAACTTTGCCCGCAACATGGGGCCGCGACCTCGAGCAGGCACGCCAGACTCGGAGACCGTGTTTTCCAGGCCGCAAACTAGTGGCTCCGCGGACTCTTAAACTGGCAGATGCTCGACGGAGTCGGTCACTGTAAGAACGAGTACGCTTACAGACGAGACGCGAGGCGCGAGCACGCCGCGACGGCGTGCGACAGCAGGGGAGCGGTCGTCCTCCTCTGCCCGCGATCCTTACGCGGTTTCTCTGCAAGGTTTGTGAGGTCAACTCTTGGATTGCGTCGGAGCTGGCGGCAGCCAGACGACTAGGACGTGAGCACGAACGTGAATATGGGATTTTCACTCTACCCGTGTCAGATGAAACTGAGGACTAGAGTGGACGATCTGTTCCAGCCTGTGGTCTTTTTTTGAGTTTTTCTAGCTGTACAGTATCTAGATTCGAAGTACAGCAATAAAGGCTAAAGGTTACGTAAGCAGGTTTAGGATGCTTGGCCATCGTACCGCAATGACCCCAACGACGCCTTGTCACTGGACGTGGTCACGATACCGGAATCATGACGCTTCGCGATGCCGACCAACAAGCTCCCGTGAAATAGCGAATACCATTATCCAATTCATTCGCGTAAGCCTGCATGCTTCTCATTTCCTTATGTTTGGCGTACGCATAGCGCAAGCATGCTTCAAATCCACGATCTCTCCGTTAAAACGCAGCTCGTTGGCGCACCGTTTCGATCGGCCGGATTGACGATTAAAGAGACTCAACGTCTTACGTTGATGGCCGCTTTGGATGCTCATGCCAAACGTTCACTGAACTTGTCATGTCAAACAATCGAAGCCGTTCGGAAGACAAATCATTCTCTCTCTTCGTAACTATGAACGAAACGGCACTCCACAGCACCATGGTACCTGTCATGGGTGCGCTCGCAGCGGCTCGCGTCACTTCTGTATGCATGAAAGCGGGTCTTGGACTCGGACTCTAGTCATCGCAGCGATCGCGTCCAGTGAACTGTATGCCACCGAGTGGCATGAAAGGAGCGCGAACTGATCGAAATTTCTCGAAATCCTCCCAGGACTAGATTCTCCTCCCGGTACTTGTTTCACTATGGACAATATCGCGTATGACACATCCCGTATCGAATGGAGCAGCATACGCATGGGCATGCTGCCGGCAGAGTACTTGACCAGGGGATCGCCCAGAACAGGTCCGTGATCGAGGGGTACGGCAGCGGGCGCTGAAACGAAGGAGGTCATTTGTATGGGCTCATCTGTACCCGTCAAGGATATGTACTGAGTGGTCAAACAAGCTTTCAAGCGCCACAGGGTAGCACTCGGAGGGCGATATGCAATGCACCTACAGCAACAGTTGACAACACCCAGGTGTCATCACTGCGGAGGGCCCACTAAGGCTGTATCCAAAGAAGATCGACATGGAAAGCGAAGTGTAGATCGCAACTTCCGTCTACGTATCAGAGGCGTCGACAACAGCCGGAATCGGCGGTATCGGGAATGCAACGCAACCATCAACATCCCGCGAAAGCGAATGACGGCGCCAGTGGGAAAGCAGAGTCCGGTGTACGTAAAGCCACAAATGAGAATGATGAAGAGGAAGCAGCCACTGCGAAAAACCCTCAAAAGGTTGATGTTGATGACTGCTCGAAGAGATTTAAATTTTAGACTATACGCCCGTATTCCATGAACTCCCTACTCGTACTCTTGCATGGGTGAAGTCAAGCATTGCGCGAAGCATCTCTGTCTGAGGCAGGCTGCTGTCGAAGCGCATGTGGCGTGCGCCGAGTACCACCTCGCACACGACATGCCTATTCGACAACCAGGGATCCGGAAATCCCATCTGGCTCACAGATCACACTCATCGGGGAGAAAGCGCGTGTACTGCTCGCCACAAGCTTGGGGGGTTCAGTCACCGGCAACATACGTTGCCACGGCGGTGTCCAAGTCGCTCGTTCGCTCGCGCTTCGACATCCCTCACCAAACGCGTCATCCGATCGAGGCTCAAGTCAGTGTCGGCGTTTTCGCTCAAGGAAGCGCTTTGGATGCTGTCGTTGGTGGCGTTCAGATCGCATTGAACGTCACCCGCGCCCTGCCGTGCACTCGCCGAAAGCATGTGCGAATGGTCCCATCATGCACGCGTATCCAACGTGTTCCACCATAGAGACAAGCGTGGTCCACAATTTCCCGCGTTTCCAGCATGTGACGAGTCCACGGTTCGCGCGCTGGCGCTTTTAGCGCCGGCTCTGCTTCCGAGATTGCACGGTAGACGATTCGTCCTGGGCGATGACGTGCACTCAGCTAATCACCAGCGTTGTTCCGTGGAGCAAAGCGAAGTCGGACGCTCTTCCAAAAGGCGGTATAGTTCTGGAGGGTGGTCCAAACACCGCCGTCACTACGTCGCACCTCGAAGAAGCGCCATGCTGCTCGGCGAATTCGCACATGGCCCACTCGAATGTCCATCATTCGGGCCCTGCCAATAGGGTTCATCATTCGCGTCTCCTCGGTCTCGATGAGGAAAGTATCATTGACGGAACCAGGCGGAAAATAATACCGACCATCCGTAAAAACGTAGTCGTAGGTCTCGGCAATCACTTGGCCGCAAAGTATTGCTTGGAGCGCTCTTCGTCTCCGCTGGCGAGAGACATTGTTCTGATTGCGCTCGAACATCCGCTGTCGAGTAGAAACCCGGTTGGGACGCGTGAAATAGCGCGGGTTCGTCTGCATATCCGGTTTCGCAGGATCAAGCGGGGCCGACGAGTCATCCGCCTGGTCACTCGCACAGCGAACGCACCGGACCGCTCCTAACCGAAGCTGTCGGTTCGGATGCGATCGCACTGTGGTTCTAGCTCGTGATATCGGAACTAGTGCGCCACAAGTGGTCAGGCCCGCCACGAGCGGACGCCACGCGGCAACGAAACACGGTGTACTGGGGTGCACGCAAGGGGGCGGCGGCGGCTGTCGGCGCGCTTGTAACCAGGAGTACATCGCTTTCACGAGCAACCTCCGTTCCCTGTTGACAAAATCTTCACAATGAAGTGGAAAGCGTTGCGCCAGTGGCTCCAAAACTTCCGGAGCAGGGGACGGAGGCGCGGGTTTAGTTTCAGTGTTTGAGTTACGAACCTGCTTTCGAGTAAAGGTGCTCGTTCCAGGCAACCTTGGCCAGCACACGACGAACAGCAGATCAAACAACGGTTCCGAGTGCGCAGCCTTTGAGGTTTCCTCTCTTGAACTGGAGAGACAGCGACCCGCGGCGTCCGTGCGACGTACTCGAAAAGCTCGTGGTTTGTCTCCCTGAGCGGAAGCGCACCAGTGCCCGTGCCGGACGCACTGGTCCATGAACGTCGTGCGATCCTTCCGATCCGCAGGGCATGTAGAGTTACCAGAGATCCTCGATTGCGCAGCTGATACCAACACCCATGGGAGCGTGTATCATTTTTTATCTTACCTCCGATTTCGGCCAGCTGCCTCCCATACGTGCTTTCAGATATGGCGTTCATTGGCCAGCGATGGCATCAAGGCGCCACTGGACAGCGATGCGCTACGACTGAAGGTTGTGCTCGGTTCATGGGAGTCGAGAGAGTTCGGGAACAGGGCAGGGCGGGCGCCACTTTGCCACCACAGAAGCTCACTGGTAGAGAACGCAGCGACCTGGCTCACCTGTCCGCAACGTCGCACGCAATCAGACCGGTCAGTCCGACAGAAACGTCAACGCCAGACCTTAAAGCAGCGTTTCCCCCTGATCCAGAGCATCCGCTTGTACGGAATCCGTCTGGCACGAGAGCGGCATCGCCAACTCGTCTTTGCACATCAGGTTCAGATTCATCGGTCAACCGTGAGAAGCAAAGGGCACCGTCGCCTGGAAAACGCTTCGCTGGTCGTGCGTGGCAAGTCAATGACGCCCGAGTTGGTTCGGCTGTGCGGTCGCCGTACGCACTGCATGCAGCGCCAGTGCAGCGAGCACATCAACCCACTGAGCTGTAGGGGTGTCGAAGCGAGCGCCCACGCTAGGCGCGGCATACCAAATAGCATTTGCACGAACCGTGATCTGGAAAGGAAAGAATGCAGTATCACTGGCGCGCCTTGAAATTCTGGTGCGACGTGATGGACGCCGCCTCCCATGCCAATAACCATCACGCAATCGGAGATCCCCGGGTTCCTTGCACCGACCGTATACTCCAAAAAGAAACTGAGCAGTTACCGCAGCCTACCGGGAGCCGCTTACTGAAACTGAACGCATGCGTGCTCTCCAGTTCGATGCGTGCAATGCACGCATGCACGCACGCATTGCACGCACGCATTGCCGCAGCGCGATCGATCGTCGAACTGCGGCGCGCGAACACGTTCATTGCAATTGCCGTTGTTGCGTACGGGAGCGTCGCAACAGCACTTGCATGGAACCTAACGCGCGTATCCTACCACTTGACGAGTCGCAAGACCCACTGGTCTGCTATCTTCCGGCTACCTTGGTGGTCAAGTTAAACCAGGTTGGGCTTCGGCTGCTTCACTGGCCTGGGCGTGGGGGCTTACACGAGACGTGTTATGTTGTGGAGTCCGTGGCTGCGCTGGAGCGACTCTGCACCGCGCTGACGGCCGAAATTGAAGCACCCGGTGAGTCCGACCCGCAAACCTCAACAGCTCAAGAGGAAACTGCTTGTCGAGCTTCCAGACTGGTTGATGCTATCGAAAAGGCATGGAAAACGGACGACGCAGCACTAACGCGCTCGCTGACACCCATTGCCGAGCTGCAGTTTCCGGCGTCTGATGATCGCGCATCAACGGTCGTATCCCTTGACGCGAAGCGGTGCGAGCTCGAGCTCAGGTCAACTGGCGTCAGTTTCAGCTGTCTGCTGTTGCGGATTCGAGGACTTCGTCTCGGAGCAGCTCGCGCACTGCTGCAGGAAGCGCTGGAGCGAGACCTGGGCTCCTCGTCCGTGGATCCGAGCGAAGCCGCCAAGTCGACGCTAGCGCTGAGCTGTGCGTCTGCGTTGCGATGGTTGAACTCTGACCTGTCGCTGTCGCATATCCTACCCATGCAGCTCGGCAGCGAAAGAGTCATTGCGCACCAGAGCGCTGCGGAAGAATCTGGCGGCTTGGGCGCATTGATCGAAAGTATTCTGGGCGCGCTTGGCATCGTGTCGCCCGATTTACAAATGACGCTCCTCGAGATACTGCCAGAGCTGGTGCAGCAATCGTTTGACGCAGAGCGCCACGAGCTCGCTTTGGCCAACTCGCTTCCAGGTCTCTTGCAGGGAGCTGCTCGAGGAGAAAAATGCAACGTGCGCCTCATGAATACGGTTGTAGATACAGCAAACGCTCTGCAAACGGCGACAGCCAGACGTGCTGTGCGCAAATCGTTGCTCAGCGAGATCCTGAGCATCGTCCCTGGTTTGTACAGCCCAGAGAGCCTGGCAATGGGGTTGCAGTTTCTGGTAGGAGCGCTCGAGTCCCTGGGCGCTACCTCCGATGCGGAAAGCGCTCTGCTGACTGGGAACGAGGTCGATTGTCTTGAGACATCCGCTGAAAATGCGATTATGGCGGCGCTTCGCGAAAATCTTCTAGCAGAGCGGCAGCAGCTGCATCAACAGCAGACAGCGACATCGCATGATGCGGTCATTGTTACCAGTGCGGTTGCGTGCGCGCTTCAGCACAGCCAACAGGCCGTCAAGCGTATGCTTGCCTGGTATTCTCAGAGCGCCTACGGCCTTGTCTGTCGAGCGCTTCAAGAGTGGACCGACGGGGCCAGTGCCGACGCTACCCCTCAACCGGCAGATCTTTTCCTGCTACTGGCTTTGTATCGGGCGAATCCAGAGAGTTTCGAAATGAAAGCACATCGGGCGAGGCCAGCGACGGGTACGCATCGCATGCCGTGTCCTCTCGAAGCCGCGACGGCATACATCCTATGCGGTGATCAAGGTCGAAGAGCGATACTTCGCTGGGGAAGCATTCTGCATACGCACGATGGATCCGCACTGCTTCAGCTATTGAATCTTATCTGCCGGTCCGGACCGAAAATGACCGCGCACGCACCCCTTGTTGGTCATGTTGAGACGCTCGCTCAGCTCATAGCCGCGTTCTTCAAGGCCGTGCCCGCGCTCCGCCAAGACTGTCTGTTGAGTTTCCTGGAACTTGCACACAGCGAATCAGAGTACTGCCGCCTTCTCAGTCTGCATGCGTTCGTGTGTATCGCGCGGGAGACGCCGGCAGAACTGGCTCCATTCGCTCCGCTTGTGCATGGACTCGCAGAGCTATGTGAGAGCCTGGCACCGTCCACGTGGCAACATGATTTCGGGCGCGCTCCTTCGCCATGCGCCAACATTCAAGGCGCACTCAAGACGCCCGGCGCGCTCCCTCTGACCCTGATGTATAGCACCTTTGCGCTCATGCATCGCACCGTGAATACGCATGCGTGCGCTTCCATAGAAGCGCCGGAGCGCCTCGAAACGTTCTTGCCTCTGATGGTTCGGAAGCTGCTGACACACCCCGACGCACTCTATCAACGTTGCGGATGCCTGGCGACAGCGATCCTCGTCGAGACCTGGAGCCAGCGTGAGGCAGACTACTCCAAAGCCCAGGATTTGCTGGAACTCGCGCTTCAGTGCACGGCGAGACGCCCCGCGATAGCCGCGCAGCTATATGCAGAACTCGCTGCAGCCTGGATGCCATCGCTGGGTACCGCTGCCAGCAGCAGTTCGTCAGATTTGCACAGGGCACCCGCGCCCGCTCTGTGGCTTTTAACACACACATTGCAACAGTTTGCCAGTCTATTCATCTGGATGCCATCGAGCGACGCAGAAGCGCATGAAGCGTCGATCCCATCAGAGGCGCGATTCGGCCTCGCCATGGAGGGCTCCCTGGACCTCGTGATTCCGGTCGCAAATCTCGTGCATTCGAAGAAGGACGGCTTTGCAAATCTCGTGCTTCTGGTACCTCTACTACGCTTGATATGGTGCATTGGTGTTGGCCAACACGGCTACACAAGCCATTGGTTTCAGAAGGAGTTGTGCCCGCTGCTGGGCGCAGCAGTTCAACTCCCGGTGGCGCCATTCTCGAAGCCGACCGCTTCGATTCCATGTGCGCAGCTCCGAGACCAAATGCAAAGTCTCGCGATCGCTTCGAACTGGTTGGGGGCGCAAGTGCATTTCTTCGCTGTGCTCGCAAAGCAGGATATGCACGGCGCTCGATCGCATTTAGTAGAGAGGATCAGGCATTTGATTGCAGTGGAAACAGCTGCAGAGCACTTGGCGATGGAGGCTGCGGCAAACGCTCTCCCGATCGTCCTGGAGATGCCGCAGGAGCCCTGCCTACCAGGCTCCCTGCTGTCGTGGCTGCTCGCCGAGACCGCTGCTGATGCCGCCGATCCAGAGATCCTACTGTGGACGCTCCGACACGTCCGCCGATGCGATGCTGCGGTCATTGACGCCAACCTCAAAGTCCTGATACGTATCGCAAAGGCGCCCCCAGCGTGCAAGGCTCGCGACACTCTTCACCAGGTGCTGCGGGTGCTCGAATCGGCGTCCGGCCTTGATGCCGAGCTCTTCTGTGACGCGTTCCTGACGCAGACATCACCCCTGGACTGGAGTGATGACGAGACCTCACTGCTTTTACTGGCAATCATGATGAGGCTAGAAGGAGTGTCGTTCGATAGAGCCGTAATATTGCAGCAATGGCTCGAGTCAAACTTGTACAGTCAGGCTTTCGAAGACCTACGCTTCACAGAAGCCGTTCTCAAAGCCGCATTGCATCTCATTGAAGCAGCTGTTGATACGGCTGCAACGGAACCGACGTTCGAATGGGCGCTCGCCACCTTGGAGCGCTACATGCCGGCTCGTCACATTTGCCAGAACCAGGGGCCGCGTTGCATCTCGTGCTTTTTGGACGCTCGACCTGCTCGATTCGTACTGGTTGCCCAGGCACTGGAGCGATGCTTTCGAATCTGGTGTCAACAACAACAACAACAACAACAAGCACCTGGTCGGCGCGCTGCCCGCTCGAATGCAGCGGTATGCGTGACGGCGCCGCTGGACTCGGCCCATTTCAAGCTCTTTCGCCGATTTGCGCAGTTGCTCAAGACGCTGCTTGACAAGGCTGTTCGTGGAAGGGACCATCGCGCGCTCGGAGCGAGCATGCGCCTGGGTCGAATCTTTGCCGACAGCCTGAATCGTTCCCTCGTGCCGTTGTGGATCGTGCACTTTCAGGTCTGTGCGGCAGATATAGCGAGCGCCTGTGCAGCCTTCCAAAAGAGCACGAGAATTCTCCAACGTGTGTGCGTCTTTGCGAAAGAGCAACGAGATCGGAGTTTGATCGCGCTGACGCCGCCCTTGAAAAGAGCCCTAGAGCTTTTCCTCTACCGGGTGAAGGAGATGCTAAGCGCAAACGCCTCTCTTTCATCGTTTTGGATGGGGACACTACGCCACAAGAACCTGGATGGCGAGGTAGTGAGTAGCCAGCTCCGCATCGACAGCGATCCGAGTCAGAGCGATGATGACGCTGAGGAAACCCTGTCAGCGGCTTGAGCGCATCACACACGAGCGACGGCTTCGAAACACGTTCTCTCGTTCTCAGCACGAGCGGTGCAGGGCGCGACGAAGCGCGTCCACTGCATCCAGACTATCGACTCGGGTGGCTTTCGTGTGCGCATCGAAGATGCGCTCGAGCTCTAGCGGCGGACGCACCAGTGCGCCCTGTGCACCAACATCGGATCCGCCAGCAGCTGCGGGTACCGTTCCGGACGGCGGAGCGCCACCGCTTGCCGCCGAGGAACGATCCCCCAGGAATTGGTCTCTGCACGAGCGCACAACCGCCTCAAGCTCAGAGACCGCGCGGGCGATGGTTACAACCTGCTTTGCAAGCGCGTCGCAGTCACCGGACGGATCTTCCGGCTCCGTTGGTATCAAAGTCGAAGCCAGTCGCGACTGCAGCGCACCCTCCAGCCGATGAAAAGCGCCCTCCAGGACGGATCGCTCTCTGCACAGCCGTTGTAGACGCTGCCGCGCAACCCGAAGGGATTGGCGCAGTGCGACGAGCTCCTGATCAACAGCATGCTCATCCTCTGCGTTGGCATCGATCTGCACACTGGAAGGGTCGATGCCGAGTGCCTGCTCCCAGTTCTCGACAAGATCCTCGGAAGTATTCACATTGGGAATGCGTAAACCGGGCGGAATGTGGAAAACATTGCGCAAAAGGTATACTTGCAAGCGATCCATCTGGTCGTAAAATGCGGTGAAGAGCGCATCTCGAAGACGCATGAGACCTTGCTGCAGCAGCAGGCGCTTCGCATGCTCGTGCTCGCTGGTAACCGCGTTCTCCTGTAAAGCGTCAAACGCTAGCGCACACTCGCGGAATAGGCTCGTCTCGAGGCCGTCCAGCGCGTCTTCCAAGAGGTCGCGCACGCAGTCTTCGACTTGTTCAACGAGTTTGCATGGGTGGAAACCAAAAAAGCGCTCTTCTAGCGGCATGGATGGATACGCTGTATCAGCACAGTCATCCAGGGTTTCTACGGCTTGAGCGGAAACCGTAGCAAGCACCTCAGGCTCCGCAGCTTTCGACGACGTCGGCACACACAGTGCATCCATGTTATTCCTGGTGTTCGTGTCGATTGCCTGAGGCGTGAGCGTCGGTTCCCCTTTCCGATTTCCTGCTACGTACCCTTCAATCAACTCCGAGTGCGCCGGGTAATCGTTCTTTCCTCCTTCACTCATGAGTACGGCTGCAGGTCGCACGCCCCGGGCCCCAGTGCCTCGCGCACTGCCTACGGGTGACGCACGCACGACGTGCCGAGCGTCGACAACGCTATCGCCGCTATCGCGCCACCGCAGCTGGCATCATCACGCGGCGATTCAGGAACGCGAGCGAATTTTGAATTTCCGGCGGGGCGCGCGCGCGCATCGATCCGCTCGACGCACGCCGGCACGCAGCGCTGACGCGCGCGGGTACACAAGCGCTGCGCTTCCGCAGTGAGGCGGCAGCGGCTTCGTACCTGAAACCTCGATGCCGCGCGAGGTGCTTACGCTGCAAGTAGGACAGTGTGGGAATCAGATTGGTCTCGAGTTTTGGAAGCAGCTATGTTTGGAGCACGCCATAGGGCCGGATGGGCGGCTAGAACCTTACGCAGCCCCGAACGTGGACCGCAAGGACGCCTTCTTTTATGAAGCGGACGATCGCAGGCACGTTCCACGAGCACTGCTTATTGACCTGGAGCCTCGCGTGATTCAATCGATTAAGAACTCCGCCTACGGGTCACTGTTCAACCCTGAAAACTATTTTCTTGACATTCGGGATCGAGGTGGCGCGGGCAACAACTGGGCGAGCGGCTATACCCAGGGACAGATGCTCGACGAGCTCCTCTTCGATATGATCGACCGTGAGGCGGAGAACGCCGAGTGCTTAGCAGGCTTTCAAATTTGCCACTCGGTTGCTGGCGGGACCGGAAGCGGTCTCGGCTCCTACGTTATGGAACAGCTTCACGATCGCTACCCGAAGCAGGTCGTGCAGACCTATTCTATCCTTCCGAACCAGTCGTACGCAGTGGCCTCGGGCGAACGCCATGCAGACGCAAGGGATTATGCGAACAGCGGCAGCGCCGCCACGGGGCTAGCCAGCGGTGGCGGCAGCGGCGCTGAAGAAGACGATGCGAACGCCATGTTCAGCGATGTTGTTGTGCAGCCGTACAACTCGCTACTGACCTTGCGACGACTCGTTGAATTTGCGGATATGGTCACGGTGCTCGATAATGCAGCACTAAACCGCATCGCGAGTGAGCGTTTGTACGTGGACAACCCTACCTTCGACCAGACGAACGCCCTCGTGTCGATGGTCATGGCAGCGTCGACCACGACGATGCGATTCCCAGCGTACAGCCACCAAGATCTGCGGGAGCTGATGTCTACATTGGTGCCGCTCCCGCCTTGTCACTTTCTGGTGGCAAGTTGTACACCGCTCACGATTTACACAGGCGCTGGCGCCAACCAGATGAACGCCAAACATGTGGACACTAACCAGATCGCGTCCGGTGTCGACTGCCTGCCGCAAGTGCTCCCGGTCGCTGAAAGCCGTATTCGAAAAACCTCTGTATACGATGTGATGCGACGCCTAGTCCAGCCAAAAAGCTTGATGGCGAGCTGCCCGCTTCGTCGTGGCTCCTACCTTTCCCTGCTGGGTGTTCTACAGGGTGAAATCGAGGACCCCTCCGAAGTGCAGAGGAGCTTGCAGCGACTGATGGAGCGTGAAAACCTCGGTTTCACACCACTTACATCAGCAAACGTACAGGTGACGCTCGCTCGCAAGTCCCCCTACTTGAAATGCACCCACCGCGTCCGCGGCCTTATGCTCGCAAACCACACTGGCATCTCGACGTTGTTGGGACGCACCATCGCTGCCTACGACAAGCTTCGCAGACGCAACGCTTTTCTGGACAACTACTGCCGAGAACCGCCCTTTGCGTCGAACTTGGACGAGTTTGATCTCGCGAGGGAAACCGCTCAACAGCTTTGCGACGTCTACGCTCAGTTGGAGAACCAAGTTGCAACGCCGCAGGTCAGCGACGATACCCGGTTATGATCTCCGGCTTAGGTCGTCGCCAAAGCACCACCACCGCCGCCCTTTCGGCGCCTCCAGGCGAAAGCAGTACGTCTGTTGAGCTGCGGCACGCAGTGTGCGCTGCTTGTCACGGCCAAGGGGCCTTTCACGTGTGCACTCCTGAAACAGCAAGTCCGCTTCAACGCGCCGACAGCGTAAACACTACACCTTAGCGTGGTGCATACCTCGGATTCAGACGCGTTTTCAGGTTCAAACCAGCACCCAGTACTAGATCCGAACCCATCCCGCCAGACTGGTGCCCAGCGACAAGGCTTCGAGCCCGTGAAGCAGCGGCGCCCCCTCTCGTGGCTAACTCAGAGTTCTCATTGTGGAGAACAACACGACCTACCCAGTGCTTACCTGTAAGCGTCTCGTCTGCCCAAAAACAAAACAATGACAACACCAGGAGCAACTGTTCTACAGAGGCGTGAAAGCCCCGCACCAACAACGCTTGATCCTAGCTGCTGCAATGCCACCTGGGCGCGGCGTCGGAACACGCGTTTCTGCGAACGCCCTGCGAATGGATCGCATTCCGTGACGTTCGTTGTAAAGCTGGTGCAATCGTCAACGCTGGTCGTTTAATGACGCCCAAATAAGCACTCTTGGCGAGCAGGAATGCCTCCAGTTGATCAGCCCACTGCTTTAGAAGCGGGGGCTGTAGCGGGACTGACGGTGGCGCAGCTCCGTCGGGAGCTTGCCGCGCGAGAAGCTCCAACCAGCGGTAGAAAGGCTGAACTCCAAAAACGTTTGCTGGACCTGTTAGGTGTGAAACTCGAACAAGAGGCTCGCGATGAGGACTCTAGCGTCGCGCCTGGAGCCACACAGGGAGAAGCTGGTCGGGCTACCAACCTTGGAGACGCAACGACGACATCGTCCGCGCAGCAGCAGGAGCAGCAGCAGGAGCAGCAGCAGGAGCAGCAGCAGGAGCAGCAGCAGGAGCAGCAGCAGGAGCAGCAGCAGGAGCAGCAGCAGGAGCAGAAGTTGGCTCAAACCCTGGACCCTGCTGCTCTATCGCCGTCACCGATCCAGTCTAGCGCGTATCCACAGAGCACGACCACCACGCAACGACGAAAACGACGCTGGGCGGAGCCGGCCAGCGCCCCGCCTACCGCGCCCCGGAAACGAAGACCCCTTGATGCACACGACACGCACTTGGATCAAGCTGGGGCAACGCCTGCCGCATCAGAGCTCAGCGCTGCAGCAGAAGCTTCGACATCCTACCAAACGCTAATCGCAGCGACGACCCCAGCAACGACGCAGAGCATTCCGAATAGCAGCGAAAGCGCTGCGTCAGCTCTGAAGCCAGCAGTGCATGCCGCAAACGGCTCGCCGCGAACACCGTTCACGCTGCTCGACCGGTGCATCACCGATCGAGTGCCGTGTCTCGTGAGCTGTCGTCATAATAAAAAGCTCTACGGCACGCTGCGCGCCTATGATAAGCACTTTAACCTCATTATGGAGCATGTACGGGAAATCTGGCAGGAGTCACAACCCGATCGGCCTCCAGACTTGCGCGAGCGATTCATCTCGCGCCTGTTTGTGCGCGGTGACGGCGTGATTTTTATCGTTCGACCCTGCGTATCTGCAACGAGTACAGCGCGCGCACAGCCGTAACGCTGCAGCAGCCGGCATCAATCGGGCGGTGCCGCACGCCTGCCAATGGCTGGTGCTGGTAGCGTCGCAGCGCCTCGATGCATGCAGCGCATGGATGCACGCATGAATGCATGGATGCGTGCGTCCGAAAAGCCGATCGATGCGTGCTCGTGCAAGCCCTGGAGCGTCGAACATGTGGCACTTTGCATACAACCTCTTCAAGGCCAGTAACACGTATCTTCGCGGAGAATGCGCTCAGGAACAAATGCGTTGGATTCTTTGATGCCACGCTCGCGGCGACCTCGTTCGCGAAGGACCCGATCTGCACGCTGTTGATTCTCCACGCGTTCTTTTGCTGCTTGCGCCTTCATCATGCGATCGCTTTGCTCTCGCTCACTTAACCCAGGCTGCAGTGCGCCTGCAAGCGCCCGCGCATCTTCGCGGAAACGGCTATCGCTGGGCAGCGCCTCCTCGAGCGGCACCGGAAGCGGCGCCTCACCTGGCATATCACGAATATCCCAGTATCGTTGCCCATCAAAATCAACGAATCCGAGGTATGTGCCCTCGAAACTACATAATACAACGGGATCGAGGGCGCTGTGGGAACGCTGGCGTCTGCCGGCGCCCCGGTACGGATCGTTGCGTGCCGATGAAGCCAATGAGGACGACGACAACGACGAACGCTGCAGGTTTGCATCGGAGACGCCATCGGTGACCGACAGACTCGGCGCTTGCTCTCGAACGGCAACCTGGTCCACGTCTTGGCTCGCTCGCCAGTCCATGGACGACCATGGACTGGAGGCAAGCGGACCATTACGCGTAGCAAACTCTGCCAGAAGCTGCTTGACCTGCCGGCGGGTAATTCTTTTGCGTCGCTGTGCGTTCAGTATGGGTTGCCCGGGCCTGCCTGGCTGACTTGGAGTCGTGCTCGAGTCGTCACCGGCAAGATAGCCAGCGTTCGGTGTCTGTGGTGCATCCACACTAGCGATGATGCCACGAAACACATCTGTTGGTATCGGACGGCTCGTATCCAACCCCGATATGGCGCCATTCGAAGCTCGCCCTGTCGGGTAGCTAACGGGACGGCCACCTGCGACTGGGGTTCTCTTGCTGACATTGGCATTGGTGTTAGCGTTAGCGTTATTGCTGCTGCTGTTGTTGTTGTTACGACCGCCAAACATGCGACCGATGCCGCGTGCAACGCCACGAAGCGTGCCAACGAATCCAGTTTTTTCGCTGTTCAGAAGCATGACCGCAACGAGCGCTCGATCCGGCTCCGCAAAAGTCTCGCTGCTTCGCCGTTGTTCGGTGTTTTCACCGTCTGAGAGCGAGGCTCGGCTCGGTATACCGGATGTCGTGAAATTGCGTGGCGGTTCGTACAAGAACACCGCCTTTCCTAGATATTCCAAGCGCCGCTCGCCAAACACAATGCCATGTATTTTCATGTAGGGTAGCCAGAAAATAATGCGCGATCCATCGCGAAAATGGACAACGTTGACGCCGAGGCGTTGTGCGCGAATCGCGTTCTCAAATAGCTGCACGCGAGCGCTGTACGCGCCGAAACCGGTGAACTCATAGGATCGGTCTGCGGCACGGATGCGCCAGTGCGTCACCGGCGGGTGATGACAAGTTTGCTCCAGATAAATCCGGGTTCCATCACTAGGCATACACGCTTGAAAGGTCTCCCCAAGCAAAGGATTGAACGGTTTGAACATGGTTGCCGACTTGTGTAGACCCGCAATGGCAAACGCAATCGTTAACTTGAAGCGATCGAGTGTGTCGGTCGCGTGCGCAGCTGCTTTCAATAGCGTTGAGCAATACGCCCAATCATCGGTTAGGCGCTGAAGGAACGAGCGCGGCTCAAACAGACGAATCGGTAAACTTACGTTCACGAGGTCTTTGCCTTCAATGAAGCTAGAACCAACCTGCCGAAGCATATCCCGGACAACGTGGCGCTGTCGCTCGAGCTCTGCTCGATCAGAGAACCCGACTCCGCCGGCGCTTGCCGCATTCGGAATCCGGTACCAGTCACGTCGCTTCGGGAGCTGAAGCTGCGCCTCTTGTGGCGCGGTTCGCGGTGAGGTATCCACTGGCGACACACTACTGCCGTTGCTGCGTGTTTCCGGCGAGTCGTCCTTCCGTATGCGGGAGGTCGGTGTCGGTTTGGGCCCCACGAAGCTCATGGTGCCTCACGGCGCGGCGGCTGGAGTAGTTGTTGGTAGTCACCAGCCGCCGTCGTTGGCACGAAAGCCCTTGCACAGGATCGTACACTAGCCCGAAGTTTCAAACTTCACCCACAGGCTTTCCACGTCAACTACAATGGATGAATACTAGAGGAACCGCAACCAATTTGCGGGAAAACGGCAGCTGCGGTGCAACGGCCTCCAAGCGACCGCGTTGTTCGTTCGAGTGCTTGCGGGTCGCTCCAAACGCGGTAACGGAGCGGAACTCTGTTCCAAATCCCGTTTAAGTGGGCCTTTCGCTCGTTTGCGTTACTACCCTTCGTCCGCCGGGCGTCCCAAACAACTCCACAAAGCAAAATAGATTCACCGTACGTTTCCGCTGGTGCAACGACTTGTCTACCGCACCTGGTACCCGGCAATGATGAAGCGCTCGGGTAAACGCTACCAGCCAACGCGTCATCTGTGGCCGCTGGGTAATGCGATGCCGCAGCGCCATCCCTGCAGGGCCGCGGGCCGGGCCTTCACCGTTCGTGTGACGGAATCGAACGCATCGCGTGACACGCCAAGTGTCTAGTCTAGCGCCCAAAGCCGCAGAGGTTGCAACGGGCGCGAGTTAGCGCAGTCGCAGCAGTAGGAGCCCCCATATGAACCTTATAAAGTACTGGATTTCTCGTTTGATGGAAGATCCCGAGGAACGGGAGCGAAAGCTAGAAAGTTATGTAATGGAAGCGTCCAAGGGTATCACACTTGCTATGGAGCTCGGCAGACCGACGGAGAGAACGGCGGGGAGTCTGGGAACCACACAGTCGTCACGAGGTATACGTGGCGCGACTGGTGCTGTAACAGAGAGCCGGCCTACCACGATGCAGCGTGTGCTTGCTCTTCTGAAGGCATACGATGAAAAAGCCTCGGCGCCTTGACGTTTCTGAGAAACGCGTTTCGCAGCAAGTTCGTGCAAAGAAGCCAAACGTACTTCCGAGTAGCAGAGACGCTTTGTCTTTACAAGCTTTTTAATATGGGACTCACGAGAGGCCGGTCGACGATGGAGTGTGCGGATTGTAGGTTGATGCGAACCTCACATGCCGAAGACGTTTTCCAAGAGAAGAGTCGTTGCTCGCGAGCTGTAAGCGACATACTGTACGTTGCTGTTGCCAGGATTCATCGGCGACGAACGGCCTGAGAAGCAGAACCAACCAATATCATGCCCTCACTGGCGCCGCCACAGAGAAATCAAAGTCAATGCAACGAAAAGATGCTGTGAAGGCACTGCGCTACTCGGTGCCTCGCACCTCATTGGTTGAAGCAGGCATCAGGTGCATGTGCGCAGCGTTCTACAACAAACAGTCTCTGGTATTTTCACGAGAAATTCTTCCCGAAATCGATGTAAACGCAGTGCACATTCCTTGCTGAGGAATAGCGGATACGAATTCTAAAATAGGGCGCTCGCGACGCGTTCTGTGAAAGACAGAGCAAAAGCCTTTGCTTTGTGTACGCATTGACGATCCCACGACTGGTCTAGACGGAGCTCGTCGAGAATCAGCGGGTGTTGTTGGTGGCGGGTTCTTGACATTCCGCTGCGCAGACCCGGATGTCGAGGATTCACGGCATGCAGGCGCGGTTGCGGCATGCACATCGTCCGCTGACACGTGGAGTGCCATTCCGCGCCATGCGACTCCATGGCGCCAATGCTCGACCTCCTGTGAAGCGAGCCCGATGAACCATGACATTTGCCAAAGGAATGCCGCCCGCAGCGCCCCTGCAGATCCGGGAGCTTTGCATGCGCATTCGAGCATGGCCAAGTGATTGAACCGAGCGACTCTCGCTTGCCCGCTGGCGCACAGGTTTTTTCACAGGCGGGAGTTTCACTGTAGATTCTGATGCCGCAGACGCTCGAAAATGACTCTGGCATTCGTGGCATGTGTGCATCGCGGAAGGAGAGCAGCATATCTGGCAGCTTCAACAGCCTAGTTTTCAATCGATGTGCACCAAGTTCGGTTCTTTGAACCCAGCGCTGGGCATCTTAGACGTCGGTGTTGCGCCTGCAGTGAATGTGGTGCGCGTATGGAAGCACATTCACAGCTCCCGGTTGCGAGAGATTGTCCACGATGCAGGAGGATTGTGCTGGCAGGATTTGAAATCGGTGCCAATGCGTCTCCGCTTGCGTCCAGAAGCGCCGTTCCTCGGCGCTCGCCATGGCTCGCGCCCGATTCCGCGACCTGAATCGCTACGAGCGCACCCCGAGCTCAGCATGAACAGTGATGCTCGCGTCTGCTCACAGCAGCGCGAAGAGCTCCCTTTTTACAGCTTTTCATCGTCATCCTGATCAGGAAAGGCTTTGGCGGCATCTCGTAGAGTCTGGGCAAGGAGCGAGACCAGCTGGTCTGTCAACGCTGAACTCGATACCTCGGCAGATGGTCGCTTATGCTCGTGTTCGGGGCGTCGCCTTCGTTCGAGCGACGCAGTTCAAAGAGGCTGCGGGTACGGGAACGCAAGCACCCCGCTACGAAGCACCCCCGTCCGTACAATCGTCCAGGAAAATCGCGAAAACGCATGCATGCACGACGGACACGTGTCCAGACACGTTCGAGATTCTGCAGACACGCACGCGCATCCATGCGTGAACGCTCGAACATCCGTCCGTGGGCATGGCGGGAAACATGCGTGAAACGCATGTACAACTTCACCGACAACGCAACATGGAATTTTCGCCTCTGTGAAGTGCTTTACCAACTAGAGCAGTCCCCATGATTTCAACGAGAAGGTTTCGCTCGCTTTTGATGCTCTGGTGGCTCTCGAGCAGTGCATTTGTTCAGCACTTGGCAGCGGCTCAATCACGCTCTTTCTCCGTGAGGCAAACAGAGTGCAGTACCGGGTCGGGATGGACACGTAACGCAGAATCCGCACGCGTGGTGAACGCATCGTTTCGCACAGAGACGCCAAACGGAACAAGCTCAACTTGGTTATCCGCATTGGAGCATGGAGAACGATCCGTGGGCATGCTCAAATTCACGTTTCCGTCTCTGCCTCCGGTTTCTTTTGGGCAGATTCCCTCGCTCAATGCGCAGATCCCGAGCATACCCACCATTGGCTACCCGTGCTGTATGTCGTGCTGTACTCGCGATTGCTGTTGCTGTGGCTGCTCGACGGTACCGACACCCACGCTGGTTCAGACTCCATCTCAGCGGCAATCGGACACGCCATCGACACCTTCGTCACAGTCGAGAACAGTCAGCGCGCCTCCATCGCCGATTTCGAGCCCGACCAGCACCGGCTTCTTCTGTCAGAGTGGGCGTGGAATCCAGGTCCACTGGACTTGGGTGGATCAAGCAGCGGGCTTGGTACGCTGGACGTTCCAGAACCCTACTGAATCACAAGGCGTCGTGGTGCTCACCCGCGGTGTTCTCGGCAGCGGCTGGTACGCATTCGGGAACGCCTTCTGGCCAGCGTACCTGGAAACCGGCCTGACACACATTGGCACTGGGCCGTACGCCCCAATTGAAGGCCCCGTGCAGAACTTGCCGCTGGCGCTCGTCGGCATCCGCCATCCGGGCGTTGCCTTCGTGTTCCCGATTCGCGGGGGCGCAACAATCACCGTCGACGAAGGCGGCTATGCGGGCTCCGAGCCGTACTGCCACGAGCTCGTCGATGTGAACTTCATACAAAACAGCGCATACCAGATCACGTACAACGTGGCGTTCCAGTGCCACGATTTTGCGGGAACGACGCGCTGCCCGCCGGATCCCTACCTGAACACGTTTCCCGTGTATGCCCCGATCGACGGATCCCTGGAGGGTGCGTTCTGGCCCTCGGCGGGTGACCTCATTTTGCCGGCTGTGGTCGTGCGCGAACGGGCGACGCTACCGCGTCGAGGCAACTGCCTCTCGGGAGAAATGCAGGTGCGCTTGCGCAACGGCTCGATGCGAGCCCTTCGAGAGCTGCGTGTCGGCGAATGGATATGGACACGTGCCGCCACTGAGCCGCACGCTCGTCTGCTGACGCAAGTGTACGGATTTGCAGACTATGAACCCGAGGACTATGGAGTCTTCTATCTCCGGATCACTACGGATCATGGCACATTGGAACTCTCTGCGGATCATTTGGTGGCGGTGAAATCCCCCTCCGATGGCCAGATCAAGATGGTACCAGCGTGCAGGTTGGAGGTCGGCTCCAGGCTGCTCGTGGAGGCGCTGACCACCGCCATTGTCGTGCGGATTGATCAAACCACTGTGCATGGTGCATTGGCACCACTCACCGATACAGGGACGCTTCTCGTGAACGATCATCTGGTATCTTGCTACAGCGGCCGCGTTTCGCAGGTATGGGCGCACCTCGCGTTTCTCCCTCTCCGCGTCTACCATCGGGTCAAGCGGTACACTGCGAGCGCCTGGTCGATCGCGCCTCATGCGCAAACGCAAACCCCGCCCCAACCGACGTTCAGCAGAAGCGGAATTCATCCGTATGCCCGCTTCCTCATCATGATTTGTCGTGCGTTGGGACCGCTCTGCCCCGCACGCGATGCGCTCTGATCGAGATACTCCAGTCACGCACCTTAAACGCTCTCATCGCTTCGCATTTGACGAATACATCACGACTTGAATGAGGAAAATGCTGTGAAAAACGACTGGGTTCGGATCCTATGCGAGATGTCCTCGAGGTGCTCGTGTACCATGAATGAAGCGTGCGACCTCAGGTCTGTGCTGGTATCCGGGTACGGGGTGGTATCGCGCTCGGCGCGTGCAACCATGCAGCCTTGCCAACAACAACGCACAGGTTTGCACGCGGAGTGTGCGATAACCAGGGACTAGGCGCGTCTTGCAGCCGAAACTGCGCTTGATTTCGTCCGGGACGTGTCGCCGCAGCGGGTACGGCTTCTTGAATCTGGTAGTCACTGGGACACAACCCGCTAGGCGTCTAGGTGCAAAGAGGATGCCCGTCGGAGAGTGCCGATTGCGCGGCACGGTTGCGTAGCGATTCACCAGCGGCAGAGGCAGAGCTCAGGTCCAACACAGCCATCACGGGACGTGGTACCCGCTCCACAGCGTTTGTGTTCCGCGTCGACGCCTGATACGCCTCCACGCATCCCAACAGACAGGATCGGTGGCTCTCTAGTCGGAAGTCTCGCCCTGGAAGAGACTCCCTGCAAGGTTGCGTTCTCGGTTCGCCCTGGGCCGACACGATCCGCTTACGGACCAGACACCAGTGGGCGTAGCGGACAGCCTGTTCCGACGCGCGCACCGCAGTCACCACGCCACAGACTGTGCAACAGACGACTGGACACGATCTCGGTGTTCGCGTTCATCTAGAACCAGCTCTCATGTCTTCTTGATCGGTACGGATTGGACGCGTGGACTGGTTCTTGCATCGAGGCTGTACGTATCTCCGGCCAGTCGTAGCGCTGCGTCTGCAGCAATGCGTTTACGGCCTCTGATTTTGCTTCGATTCCACGAGAATACTGGCATGCAGAGACCATAAACACAAGTGTGAGACCGCTGTTCTGTGATCTATTGAAGAGGGATTGTCTAGCGCATAGCAAGGCGCTATAACGATTACGCGTTCCAGGGAAACGGCAGGCGCTCCCGGAAGCCGCACGGCAGAGGTCCCGACCCCGGTCCCAGACTTTCGTAAAGGTTCAAGGTGCTCGGCACACGGACATGCTTTCCAAAAGTGTAGGTGCTATGAGCCAAGACCATCAAGACTCGATCGAAACACTCGCCTGGAACGCTTCTGATGCATCAAGGCAGGCGTATTCCATTTGGTCGACGGAAACAGTACTGCATATGTCGCTGCCCGAGCTGCAGTGCTGGTACGCGTGTCAGCCGCGAAGGCCGCGTGGTGTTCGCCTCATGCCCCCAGTACGACAAAGCAAAACGGTTTCCGCTCTGCAGACCGAGGATCCGATGAACGACTTGAAGAGCGTGCTCCAGGGTGCGCGTCCGCAGAGCGCTTCAGCGAACTCGTCATATGGAAGCGAACGTGCTTGCAGTCTGCAGTCACGCTGATGGCGCAGCAGGCGTCGAGAGTGCCGTCTTCCATGACTCGAAACGCGAGTGCGTACTTCAACGGACAAGAGCCTCGAGCTGACGCCCTGAGAAGCACCCCAAAGCCGTTGTATCTGTATCAGAAGACCGTTGCAGCGGCAGCATCAACAGCAACAGCGCACGATCCGAGAATACGGTAGGCAAGTATATCAGGCTCCGATGCCTGCGAGCCCCTGGATAGTTCCAATTATTGATGCAGACAGCAAGTCTGGTGCGGGTAACGTGTACGTCGCGGTGCGTCGAGACGAGTGGTGGTCGCTTCTATCGTGTTACATAGCATTCGCGCCTGCAGAGGAACTCAGGTAGACTCGGACAACTTGCACCAAAGGAGAGCACCCGCTGAATCACTACATCGATCCGGCGTCTACTCGCCGTAGAAAGAATGGACTGGACTGGACTGGACTAGTATGGGCATTGTGGATCGTAGAAGCGCCCATTGAGAAACTGCAGGCGCTTCTCTGATCGAGAACGGCAAATACATATCCGAGCAGCACTCCACGATATACCCGTATACCATCTTCGGACAAAATCTGAACATGATGAAATGTCGCTGCTTCATCCACGCCAGGCGAGCGCGCTGGCTGGCGGCGCACTAGCCATCACACGCGTGAAGAGTTTTCTCCTCAATGGACACGCGTCAGATTCTCGACCGTCGCCTCGACAGCTTGTGGCTACGTGTCACTCGTGTAGGCAAAAAATTGGATTGTAACTTTAGGGCCTCAGCGGCTTCTTTCACTTCATGACTAGAAACGGTACGCAAATAGTACTGGCGATAGTACTGGTTCTGAGCCTCAGCAGCCTCGTCAGTAGTGCTGTCGTTACTCGTCGTGAAGTGTTCGGTGCGGCGACGCAACCCGAAAGTGGCCGAGGGCGTACCGGGCGGGGCTGTGCAAGCCGGCTCGTATTGAATGTAGACGCGGAGCTGGAAACCCTTGGGAGATCAGCGCCGGCGCCGTCTCCGGTAAGCCCGCCACCGGCTCCGCTCGAAGACGGTCAGGAGTGTGTGAGCGACCAGGGGCTGCGTGTGAGCTGGAAGTGGCTCAACCAGAACGAGGGCGTTGTCATGTGGACCTTCGAAAACCCGACGAACGAGAGCGGTGCTGTTGCTCTCAACCGCGGCATTCTCCAGCAGCCGGGGTCAACGTATTGTCTCGGTGATGCGTTCTGGCCCGCGTACCTGGAGGACAACCTCGCTTTCATCGCCGCGGGACCGTACCCTGCGTTGACAGGCTCGAGTGCGAGTTTACCAATTGCTGCCATAGGCCAGGATAGTCGAGTCATATGCTTTGTATTCACACTGAATCCCGGTGAGAGCTATGACTTGCCGGAGGCAGGTTTCGTTGGCATCTCGCCACAGTGCACCGCACTTCTCGACCTGCGATTTGTTTCCAATATCAACATGACGATCGCCTATGACACTCAAAACCAGTGTCGAGAGTTCAACGGAAACTCGAAATGTCCCCCAAATCCGGTACAAACCGAAATTCCGCTGTATCAGCCGCACAGCGGTAAGGCAGCGGGTGCGTTCCAGCCCTCGTATTCGAGTGGATCCGGATTTGTCTGTTTCCCGGGTGATGCGCTGGTCGAGCGCCCCGACGGCAGCGCTGTGCGTATGCGCGAACTTCGCGTCGGAGACCAAGTCATGACCCTGAGCGCGGGTGAGCACCCATCGGGGACGCCCAGGCGAGTAGCCACTCGCGTCTACGGCTTCGTAGATCGTATCCCACACGGTAGCGCAATTCCGTATTTGCGCATCACGACGACGAGGCAGCTGCTCGAGATCACGGAAAATCATTTAATATGGGCTACAGATGCACCTCTGGGGGCTGGGGGGTATCGACTGGCCCGGCGCCTGCACCCGGGCGTGTACGTGCGCAGCGCGAACGGACACCTCGAGCGCATCGAGTCGATGACGCGCGTGCGGCACGCAGATGCCTATGCGCCGCTGACGGAGGCGGGAACGCTGCTGGTGAACGGCGTGCTGGTGTCGTGTTATGGGAACTTGGAGTCGCATGAAATCGCTCATGCTGCGTTCGTACCGCTGCGTGTCCTCGAATGGATATGGAACTTGTATATAAGCAGGTTTGCGGGCACGCTGGGCATTGGGCGCGAACGCTTCCTCGTGACGCCGCCGAGGCAGGGCCTTCATCCATATGCTCGGGCGCTGGTAGGGATGTACGCTGCCATCAGGCACCTTTCCGGAGGTGTTCTGGCCCCGTTGCAATCCAACTGAATAGTGCTATAGCCGCGTAAGAATAAAAAGTGGAACAGGTTTTGTGACTCGGGCGCACACGCTAAAATTTGGTGGTGTTCCAGTGTCGTGAATGTAGGTCTTTACGGGCTAGTTTTCTGCGTCTGCTTCCTGTCCGTATCTCTTATTTCCGGTTTTCCATGAACCAGTCTTTTGTCTTTGTCCTACTGATACGCTTTTGGCGCTCGACGGATCGTGATGGTGGCTTTCAAGTCCCGATTTCGCTGCTTCCAGCTGTAGTTCGCGCACGACATGCACACGCGCACGTTGCGATCAACGCTTCGCTGCCGATTTTCATCTTCCTTGCATTCAGCCTCGATGTGCTGTTTGCAGCGCCCACACTCGACTGTGTTCTGTTGGTGCTGGATATTCAACATACCGCTTCCCCATCGAGGGGCGCGCCCTGTGGCGCGTGAACGCTTGCCCCAGCGCTCGGTGCATGCCTCTGGCGGGTGGTGAAGGCTTCGATCGATGCCCTGCTCCGTTTCCATGCCTGATGCCTCCGCCTACGATCAGGGGCTCGCTCTGGGCGATGCCCTGGCCAAGTTATCTGTCCGCTAGACACGCAAACGCACGCTGTTCCATTCAATAGAGGACTTGTGGCGCACGATATTGTTCATGATGAAACAAGTGCAGGGAGGAAAATCCACACTGACGCACGAGTCGATAAATATCGACCCGTCTCTACTCCATTCGCGCAACGCGGTGCGGCACCATGTACCGGACGCGATCGCTACCATGACGCAAGCCCGTGCACCTGACCTTTTTCCATGCAACCAGAAGAGACGGGTTCCTCTGCAATCATATCCCAGGATGGATGACAATCCGCTTTGGAGTGCCTTTTCTTTGATGGCCTCAAAGAGAGGAGGATTTGTCTTTCGTTACGTGAACGGCTCCGGAGCTCTGTACATCGATCCGAGGTCGCGGTCTCTGATCACCAGGCGATGTCGAGTCTGCGTAGGCTCCTGACCCTGTCGGACGTGCGACGCGTTTCCCACGGAGCCCAGCATCCGCTGCGGAACACCCGTTTGCGACTCAGCGTTACCCTATTCTCAGATGCGCGTGCATCCAAGTGCCATCGGATGAGAGGCACGGAACTGGAACGCGTGGCGTCGCGAGCATTTGGCGTCAAGTCTCTAGCCCTGGATGCGGGCGAGGACCCGTTTGTAGCTAGTGCCTGCTGCCTGCGGCACCAGACGCATGACATGAATGCAGTTGGTGTATCCGTAGTGATCGTGCCGGGGCATTGGCCTAATCGACTGGACTTGGGCGTCATCTTGTGGTACATGTGGTTCGGCGCCCGTTTTCGACACGGAATGAGGCAAACGACAAGCGACTCTCGGCTTCGGCGACGGACTGGAATCTGCCAACGATGACCCGCACCTCAGCCATTAGAGAATCCGTCGGCATGCGAAGCGTACCGGCATCGAGTACGCGCCCCGAGCGACGCAAATGCCTGCCTCGAACGCTGGACGCATGCGAATGACTGTTACGTCAAGTGGCGGCTTTTGCAGAGAATGGTCTTCGGAGGGTGGCCCTTCTGGAACCCGAGACTGCCCTCTGGGCCTGTCTCGCGCCGCCCTGCCTCGCGTCACTACAACGAAGGGTTGCTCGCACGATCCGAACAATGATGAGGCACGCGGGTGTCGGTCGTTCTTCGACCAGGACTTGGTGCTTGGCAGAACCTGAATCCTAGTCGGGCACGGATGCTGCGCGATCGCTGCAGTATATCCTCCTGGGCAACGCTCGAGCCTGAACAAATGCTCTTCTGGCACTCCGACGCCCCGAGATGCACGAGAAGCCGCCGCCGCCGCCGCCCTCAGTGCCAGCCCAATCCCCAACCTGCATGCACAGCCGAGATAATCCAGTTCTCTTTTTCATGGAAAAAACCTGAACACAGACCCACGTTCCCCGCCTGTGCGCTTATGATCGGCACGCGGTGAAGCAACCAACGTTCTACGCCCTGCTCCCAAGTTGCATATCCCAAACTTCTTCTCGGATATACTGGTCGCTTCATACGTTCTATCGTTCGCCGAATGCTTGTCCTGCTGCATCCGCAACGGCGCCTCTGCCGCTGATACCAATGCATCACGGAGACAGAACGCTTTGCCATATATAGCAGTGGGCATCGGCGCGAGCAAAATCCCCAGTGTCCTTCACGCACTATCAGAAACAAGCACGCAGCGGCTGTGCACCCGATGCACACTTGACCCATCGAGTACACCCCAGCCGGACAGAAACACCAGCACCTGCTCCAACCGTCTGCGCTGTTTCCCGTTCCCAGATGCATCACACTGACGCAGTGATCTCGGGCCCGTGCGGCATCCTCCTACTCCTACTCCTCCTACTCCTCCTCCTCCTACTCCTACTCCTCCTACTCCTCCTCCTACTCAGCACCGCAGCGCGCTGAGCGCAACTAGGCACCGCAAGGCCCGCACCAGAAACGACTGCAGCAGCCGCAGCAGCAACGCGTTGCCCGACTCCAGCGCCAGCTGCGCACCGGCGATCCAACGTCAACCGACATGCTGCTCCAGCAAGGGACTGCGGCGTTATACTGCGAGCCAGCGGAAACCTGAACCGGGTTGCATGCTTCCTTCCATTCCTGTCTATGGCCCGGATAATGGCAAACGCGCCGACCTGGGCAGTCGTTCTGGGAACTATGCGCACGGACGAGTTGAGCGGTGCAGCCTGGAGTGCGGTGCGCCCGTGGGTCTCGTCTGCGGCATCGGCGCTGGTGACACTCGTGCAACTGGGGCAGTTTATACCGCAACATATTGAGTTATATCAACGCAAGAGTGTTGTAGGGCTTTCTGCGTGGACGATCTTTTTCGGCTCCCTGTACACGTACCTGACCATGATCGACTACCTCGTGCAGAGCCGCGGAGTATGGCTCCGAGCGTGCACCCGAGGTTGGCTGGTGTGCTTCACTGAGATCCAGCCGTTTGTGCAGGTCGTTGGTTCGTGGCTGCTCGTGAGCCTGCTCTGGTTCTGGTACCTACGTTACGAGAAACTGGATGAGGCGCGCGAATTGCAGCGAATCCGAGCCGGCATCGTGTTCTCTGACTCTCCAGCGGACGCTCACTGGAAGAGCCCACGGACGGAAACCGTCTCCAAGTTGACGAGTCCGCGTCCAGGGCCGTCGACGCCTCTGCTGAGCACCGATGAGAACTCGGCCAGCGACCCCGAGGCCGACGCGACCCCCGACCCGCAGTGGTGGCATGCAGTCCCGCGCGAGCACCGTCGGCACGCGCACTATCGTCACCACCGCTATTATTTCGACGATTCCGCACATGCGGCGCTCTTTTTCAAGATATTCTTGCTGGTAGTGGTGCTGGTGGCGGTCCCTGCTGCCGGTCTGATTGGCGGCTACGACACTGGGTCGGGCTGGCTCACCGTCCTGTTCGCTGATGTGTGCGGCTACCTGGCGACGCTTTTGTGTACAGTGATGTGGATACCCCAGATTATTACCACTTACACCTACGGACATCGTGGAAGTTTGTCCACGTTGTGGGTTCTCTTCACGTTCATATCGGACGTTGTCTATAGCTTGTATTTGGCTGCGCTGGGGGTTCCCTTCAGCGTCTGGGCGAACAATGTTCCGGACGGGCTCTGCGCAGTCTTTCTCTTCTTCCTGATTCGGGTCGAGGAACGACGGGAACGTGAGAACACCTCTAAGTTGCATGCACCTGCAGGTGCTAGCGTAGAGCCCAATGAATCTCCGGGCGGGTGCAGTGGTGTCTGTGATCGGTTACGGGACAGTCAAAGGTCCAGCGAATGCCCGTCAATGTGATGGGTGATTCCTGGTAGTGCGAGATCCACGGAACATACTGGATGCCGCGGATACGCACATGCTGCGCTCACCCAGGAAAAGGATCTCCGTACACGCACGGGCGCTGCTGCAGTCTAGAGGGCCCGCGCCACGTTTCTCCATAGGTATAGAGATCTGTGCGTTCCGGTCATTTTCCACGTGAGGCCCCGCGCCACGTTTCTCCATAGGTATAGAGATCCGTCCGTTCCGGTCATTTTGCACGTGCTGGGCGTATCGCAGGCGCTTGCGACGATACTGGATGTGCAGCTGTGGTCGCTGCACCGAGCCAGAACGGCATTGTGGTGCTTCTAGGGGCATCGGCACGAGGCCGTATGTTCCCCGGCGCCTCGAGTGATCTCAGCGTGAAAGCGGGCACGGCTTTCGACGCTGCCTCTTCGATCACGCCGTCCTGTGCATTGATATGCCGTCCAGATATACAAGCGGGCATGCAGCGGGGTGGTCGCTTGGTCGGGAGAGTCGCGTTTCCCTGGACGCTACTGGCGGGAATCTCGATGAGCGCTCGGAGACCCGGGCTGTGCGCCTCCACGTCGCACTCCCGAGAGATACAAGCGGAAACGATCAGAGGCGGCAGAACCTCTGTGCACTGGACTGCAACTTGTATCAACGATTCATGAAAGCATTGCTGGTACCGGACAAACACCGATCACGAGAAGACCTTTCATTGCAGCGCGTAGCACGGCACATCTCCCGAACAGTAGCATCCATGCGGCATAGCACGCACGAGGCGATGCGCAATCTGGAATGCCATTTGCAGGACAATAAAGAGTTCAGCGGTCATCAGTTCCTTGCCACCGCTTATCGCTTCCAGGAACCATCTGTCAGGACCCATGCTGGACGATATCGTTCCTCTCATGCATAGACTGAAGCGAAGAACAGGCAAACGCGCATGGTCCCTGTATCCACACGTGTGTGTGTATGTTTGTTTGTTTGTGTGTACGCGGTGAAAATCGAACAGCAGCGCGGCATCGAAGGCATATCGCAGAGGGCATTTTTTTTCATGGACAAAACGGTTACTTAGGCCAGCGTTCTCCGATGATGCGCATTTTTCTTTTCTTACGTTTCTTCTGTATCGCAGAGCACATGGCGTGCATGCGGCGACAGCAGCGCACGCCCAACGCAATTATCCGCTGCGTTTCGTTCATGGGAAAGTCCGCAAAGATCAGTAAAGTTTCTCGCACAGGGCGTTTACCGTTTAAGCAGAAAAGGCTTAAACGGGAGCTGTTGAAGCGTCGAGCCCAAAATCAGGACACGAAGGAGCCAGACTTGTGGAGTACTACCGACGAGCTGACGCATCTGCGTGCGTGGCGGCAACGGAAAAAACAACGCGCACTAGATGTGAAAGAAGCGGCACCCACTACTTCAGATGCAAACGCAGGATCAAAGAAATCGGAAGAGAGCTGGGTTTCGTCTGACTAGGCGGCTTTTCGATAGTAAGACGCTATCTTCGACGCGCGCCGGCGCCTTGACGCCGGGAATAGGCCATCAGTCGGAGACGCCCCAGCCAAGCTCTCGGTTAACCGGGTGATGCCAACGCGAGACAGGGCCTTGATCAAGTGCGCTTGGGTATGAAAGCCGTGGAAAGGGAGCACTGGAAACGACCTGGTGATGGAACGCTGCCCGTGGTCGTGCGGCTGCCGCTGCGAACGCTCGCTGAGCGCATACCCGCTGCCGCGCGATGGGGCATCGCTCCAGCGTCATGCCCTTGAAGGAACGCTTGCGACTCCTCACTATATCCGTGTCTTTTATCGATGATCTAGGATGCGTTCCAATATCCGGCAGTGCACGAGTCAGTACAGTGCTATAGGGTTCAGGCGCGGGGAGCATGGCCGCTAGACCAGCAATGATGGCGCCAAATGCTGCGGCCTCACTTGCGTACAGCTTGAATGTACTTCAAACTCAAATACGCGAAAAATCGCAAAACGACGAGAAACATGATCAACATGCCGATACTCCCTCCGATGCCGAACACTGTGTTCACACTGTATGCCTGATAGACCTCGTGCGGGGTGATGGGTTGCGGCGGCGATTGCGCGCATGACGGGTACGACTTGGCCGTGGAGCTGTCGCTAACACATGCGTACGTCGAGCCCTGGAATTCATTCATCACAAGACCCACGTAACCGTAGTATACAAAGGACACATAACGAATCCATCGGATCCACACCGGAATCTGCGATTCGCTGATATAGAAACCAGCGACCAGCATCGAAGCCAGCATCCAGATGGACGCGATAACCTGAGCTTGTTTGAACTCCATCACCATGCTGCTGATCCAGTAGCCCATGGACTGCGCAACGAGCGTCAAGAGCGAGAGCAGGATCACGAAAAGGAAGAACGCTCGGGCCGTTCGTTGCAGATCCGTGGCGAAATAAACAATGAGTATGTATAGGTATGGGTAGATGAGCTCGAGTGGGCTCTCCACGGATGTCTTGGCGAGAAAATACGCGGACAGCATGTAGCTACCGGAGGATCGGTCTTTGGCGAGCACCGCCCGCTCTGACGGGAACGAGGTGATGCTGTTGAAGAGCGCGAAGAACGCCCAGAATATTCCCGAAAAGAACGCCAGACCGAAACGCTGATGAATGCCATTCGCGTTGTTCGGTGAATTGATCCAGATTAGCATCACTAGCACCGATATAATGACGCACTGGATAAGCGTTGGGAACGTAAACAAGACACCCTTTCGCTGATGCATAGCGCGGATAGCTAGTGCGCGGAACTGCTGCAGCCATGAAACTGGATACTTGTGTCGTTCGATCTCTTCCAGTTCCGCGGTATCGTCTTCATCGAACTCATTGATAGCTGAATCTAGCTTGATTACGACGTGGTTGTTCTCGTCGTCGTCGTTGGTGCGCGCTGTTTGACGATCCGGACCTGTTGGAAGGTGCGAGCGGATTCTGTGCAGCACATTGCGCAGCGACTCTGTTGGTCGCGTCCGCTCAACGTCGTTTGCTGCGCGTTCCATTTCTCGTTTGGAGGCATCTGCAGCTCGAGCGATTGTGGAATGCTCGCGAATTCTTTCCTCGTACAGTTTCCGTTCGCGTGCAAGCATTTCCTCCTCGTGCAGCCGCCAAGCCGCTCGGAGCACCATCGATGCAGTTAAGTTATAGTCGTTCTCTACTGGATACATGGACGGGTCTTCGAACTGATCGAGACCACCGAAAAGGCGTCGAGTCTCCCACCGAACCTGATCCGGAACTGTGGTCCACCGCTCCTCGGTCATCCGACCTCCACTGTGCACGCCGCTCACGAGCAAGTCCAGCAGGTAATCCGCCGGGTTGTACCCGTAGGGCAGACGGAAACCTTGCTTCTCAAAATAATCCGTCGCATCTCTGGCTTGTCCAAAGTAGACCACACTGCCTTCCGCGAGAAGCAGAACCTTGTCGAATTCAGCCCACATGATGGAGCTCGGCTGGTGGATTGTCGCGATGACGGTGCGCCCTTCAGTGATCGCTAGATCCTTTAGCAGCCGCACTACTGCCAGCGCAGTTGTTGAATCGAGACCGCTGGTCGGCTCATCCAGAAGCAGAAGCGATGGATTCGTCAGCAGCGTTTCCGCAATATTGGTTCGCTTCCGCTCACCACCGCTGATGCCTTTGCGGAACTGCTGGTCACCAATGATCGTGTCTTTTGCCTTTGATAAATTAAGGAACTGCAGCACCTCATCGACGCGTTCCCGCTTCTCCTGGGCAGACATGGTTCGTGGCAACCGGATGTCGGCCGTGAACTGGAGCGTCTGTCCAACAGTCAGATTGCTGAAGAAAATGTCGTCCTGCATGACATAGCCGATAAGGCGTCTCGTCGCATGGGTTCGCGGTCTCCCATTAAACAGGATCGAGCCTTCCGATATGGGTACCGCCGATCGACCGGCGAGAGCGTTCAACAGCGTGGTTTTCCCTGCCCCCGAGCCGCCCAGAATAGCGCAAAATTCTCCGGGTCGAACGATGCCGCTGATGCCGTGCAGAAGCTCAACGCTTCCGTACGTACGCTCGGAGATGGATGCGGGCAAGAAGGAACGCAACGGCCGGGTGACGTAGCGCTCCCAACGGCTCCGTGGCGGCGGCGGTCGCCGGAGAGGAACCTTGTAGTGGATGTTGTGAAACTCCAAACTAATTGCCTTGCGGCAACGAGCTAGCCTCAGTTGCGTCCTTGTGGATGCACCCGTGAAAAGTTTCGCGTGGTTACGGTCCTTTTTGTCGTCCGCGTCGTCCGGCGTCACGTCGGGTGAATTGCTCTCCAGCGACCCAGTGCCGGGGCTAGTGCCCCTTGTACGTCCTTGAAGCAAGTCTTCCGCTGAAAAAGGCAGCTCTTGGGCGCCCTCTCTTGTCTGAATGCCCTGATGCAACGAAATTGAAGCTTCTCTTCCGATGTTATCTGATGTATCCGCCATAAAATACAATACCCCCTTCACGTTTCACCCTTGATGGCAAAAGGCGCAAGATGTGTCTGGAGCGGCGCGTCGCGCGCACTGACGTACGTGACGGGGGAATGCGGGCGTCTCGAACGAGGGCGATTGCCGCGACGCCATGCTGTTTTTTAGTTTGGAAAAACGTTGACACGGAACAAGGATCCATACCTCCTGTGCTGTTGTTTGGTTTGACGAAACCTAGCCTCTGAAAAGGGATCCGTAAAATCCCTGTGAATGCCAACAGAGCGATGCGTCGCGGCTCCGACCAGGTCGCGGCAGCGGTGACACGACTCGGCGAGCGGGCACCCGCAGGGGTACCACAGAGACGTTCTGTTTCCGTTCGGCATTCACGTCCATCGTACACGCGCTGTTCAAGGGACTCAAGCCAAGTTCGGCGCCCGTAAATTCTTTTGAGTGAAACACGATCCCTAGGTTCCGTCCGAGACGCTGGTACCTAGCGCTACTTGGAGGTCTGATGCGGCATGATGTATGCTTCCCTGGATGCCGGTAAACATCGCGCACCTAAGGATAACCGCTTGCGCTCTCAACCAGCCTGCGCACCACAGAAATTCGGCACGCATGCACGTTCGCTCCATCCGTGAGGTACATAACTGTACAAATAAGAATAATCTATCCAATACCGTACCACTCGAACGCGTACGCGAGCAGCAGCGGGACCGTATACCGATGCGAGGCGCAGAGCGAGAATCGCAGCGCCCAAATTCTCACACCATTCCGTCCGGTTGGTGGCGTGTGGTTGGAACAAACGTTCGCAGAAGCGTTGTCTAGTACCTGATAGCCAAGCTCGAGGCCGGGCTAGAACCTGCTTGACGCCCGGTACAGCAACGGGGGCGCTTTTTTCACATGGCTTCCCTCGCCGCTGTTGTGCGGGCGCTCCTGCGCCGAGAGTCACAGCGGGCTACAGGCTACGCACTGCGCGAGTGGACGATGTTGACGGCGCGGCACCTGCCGTACCTTCAAGGTCAACTGACACTTGGACGCATCGCCGCTGTGGGACATCTTCAACGTAGCACGCTCGGTCGCTCCGAGTGGCACACGAGCTCCGCACCGCTGTTCGGTGAAGGACGCGGACGTTGGCACTGGGGGCTGTCCACCAGCGACGTCGTCGACGGGAGCGACCACGAGCACCACTCTACGGAAACTGGCGGGCGGGAGCTGCCGTCCTTCAAAACCGGGGAGTTGGGCTCCGACGTCGACGGCGACCGAGCCGCCCTGGAAGCATGGCTGGCGCAGATCCGCGACGAGACGAGCGGCTGGCCGGAGCTGAGCTTGGACGCCCTTCGCGACGAGCTCGACGAGGAACTCGAAGGCGATGATGATGATAACGACGACGACGACGACGAAACGTATGAGAATGAGGAGTTGCTGAAAGCCCTGCAAGAGGCGGTAAACAGGCATCGAACGCCGGTTGTGGCCCTGGTATCTGGAAGGGTTGTGCATCTTCGGCGGACTGCAGCCCCGAAACGGAGCCCGCGCGCCGGCCGCGTACCACGAAACGAACCACAAACCACGTCGCGAGACACCACCAAGGCCGACGCTAACGACAACGAGTGCACATGAGCGCTGCGTGACCAGGTTATCCATACGGTCAGGTCCCTGGAGTGCACAGTCGGAGAAGGCTCAGAGCCATGATGCAGCGCACTCAAGGCATACGCTCCGACGTGAAATCCTAGCTGTACTGAGCACCGTGCGATACGTACGCGCAATAGCCAGCTGCTCTAGAGGCAACATGCTTTGGTATTGTTATGCTGCACGATGCGGTGTTTGCCCCAGGGCAATCCTATCCCGAGTGCGAAGCGCGACGCCTTGCAAGCATCACGAGCAGAGGAATCGTCAGCTCAAACAGAGATGTGGTAACGCAGCAAACAGGCGTCGATTGCCCCCGTGCTTTTGCTCAGATGAACGCGCTTCACGCCCTGCGGGCATATTGATGAGCGCGCTAAAGTTCCAAGGACGTGTCGTTTTTCCACAGACTCTCAACAGCGAACCGATTCGGTTGTTTAACGTTCGCGTGCTCGGGAATCCGTAACCGATCAGCAACGCAGCATCTGTCCAGGGACACCTCTGCGCTCTGCAACGCTATCCGTGCCAAGTCGACGGTAGAAAATCAGTCAAAACTGTGCGCCGTCGAGCACCACGAGGACCCGCTTCAGAAGTTTCCTTACTATAACGACCCCGCGGCGGCCGAGAATAGCGACAGGTACATGTTCAAGCTGGACATGTGCCGAAGTCGTACCACCCCTTCGAATCGTGAGCCCGACGCCCCGCCGCATCTTCCATACGAGCGCCGATTCGAAAGCCTCGCAAGGCCTAGTGCGTCACTTGATACCATTGCTCGTTGTTTTACAATCAGCGGTGGAAGCAAATCCTGAATGGATGAAGCGATGCTCCTGGGCAGGTGTACAGCGGTGCTTTTGCGAGAACGCTTGCCGATGTGCCGCTGCACCGGTATTCGACGCCGGCGCCGTCATCGAGACGCCTGCCCACTGCGAGATGCACTCCACGCCCTGCAGCAGACCCCGATCGACCACGCGACTTTCCTGCTTCCGCATACACAGACCAGTGATGTTCGGAAACCTCCCGCTGATCCCCCTTGAGCGACGACCGCATGGCTCGGGTGCAGACCGTGCGCTCCTGGTCGACGTCGCGTCCACCAGCAAAGCCGCGCAAAGCCTCGTGTCGCTCGTTCAGGCATGATGATTCGTCGGCGCGTCCTCGCTACGCCCTTCAAGGCCAAGTCGTGCATAGGCTTCGCGCGTACCAGAGGCCAGTCACCTCAGCGTCCTATCAATCGCTTTATGTTTAGGGCACCGAAGCGCGCGCGGGTGCTATCGTTCGCTCTTTGGTCGCTTGGCAGGTGTCGCTGCTTGGTGCGTTCCCAGCTTATCCCGTTTCCGTCTGTCCCGTTTCGTTTTCTTCATTCTGTGACGTCTCTCGTGGAGCTTGCGAAAAACGTCATCGAGCGAGAGCTTACTCGTGTCGTCCATAACCTCTGTCTGGAGCGGTTCTACCCAGGTTGGCAGCTGGGACAAAACGATGCTCAGGTCTGCGGGTGCTGCGTCCGAGGCCTTGGCGCCAATGCCACAGGTATCGAACTTCGGCTGTGCCAATAAAGGTTTCTGGCGGCCCTGTTCGAGAGCACCGAGACCCTTGCCCTCTGACCAACCGAGCTTGCGCATTAGCGACGCCCCGACAGGGCACCGATCCGCGACCATTCCGAACAGGGATCAGGGTCTCGACCACGCGGCAAGGCAGAGTTTGCGCACACGTACACGTCGAGCGGCAGCGTCACGGTAAGGGAGGCTCGCGGTTCCCTATCAATGGCCCTAGCGTAGGCCCCTAGGCAGACGTAAGGTTGTTTGCTTTTGCTGTTGCTGTTGCGGTCGCGGCGACGCAAGGAACGCCTCGCAACGCCGGTACGGCGATCGTCGCGCTGGACACCCGAACGACCTGATTCGTTCACGCAGGCGCTTTTCGATGCTGGTGTACTCATGATGAAATGAACCTGGTTTACGAGGTAGCTCGGATATGTTCGGTAACCGGTGAAGAGATTCCAGTGCACTAATGTCGAATGCCATGTCGTTTGCGAGTCTGGCAGTCGGGCCAGTCGATCGTGAATCTTTTCCCATATCTGTGCCGATCCTCGGTGTCGCAGACTAGAGCAGGCACATATGCGAATGAGGCGCTCTGCTCGCGTTCGCAGCAATACTTGCGAAACCTAACCAACCATAAACACATGAGATGAACGGAGACAACTGGTAGGATATGAGTATGGCTTGCAAGCCCGTAAGCAAATCACGCCTCGAACGAGCACTAGCCCTGATGTGCTGCGAGTCGCCGCGGCTTGGGGTGCACGATCGCGTGCGGGTACCGTGCTCAGGTGGGGCGCGCTGCTGAATCCCAACATCCGTCACTTCGCTGCTATGTCTCGTGATTCTAGTCGAGAAACCATTTCTGGTTTACCCCGAGGGGCGTCACAACCGACGCGCTAAGGTGATCCAGTGCGTTGGTAATGTGGGCGCTGCAACGAGCGGCGACGCTCGTCGACATCAGTCTTGTACGTCTACGCTTCGAACTGGCTTGTGAAATGCCGCCGAAAGACCCCGTATGTTGGTATTCGGTATGGAGCTACAAGTAAAGTTGTGTTTTGATTTTGTTCATGTTTGTGTTGCGAATTCGCTTGCATAGCAGCAGAGACGCTCTGGTAGAACGCGAGGAGCACATGCACTGCCCGCCAGCTCCAGAAGGATATGGTGATCGCGCGGAACGCTATGCGCAGAGGTTTCGGGCGCTAGAGTTCCATAGACCGGGTTGTTAGTCCATCGCGGAACACTGCGCTGAAGATGGTAGAACGTACAAGTGCTTGCAAAAGAGTCGAGGACTTGGTGCGCGCAGCTGAAAAAGTTCAATCAGGCTCATCGATTATCCAGTGCTGCACCTGTGCCAGATTAAAATGGAAAACTGAACTGTTCGCTCTGTACCTGCCAGGCGAATTTCCTCGTACTTTTTTCTATATGTACACCGTTGACATTCTTGGTTCGCGAATGACGCTTTACGGACTCGCACGTAGCCTGAGAATTCTCGGTCGTGTTATCGGAGTGGCCCGTTCGTGCGACACTTTGCCGCTACCACACGGTACGTCGTCGTGATCAGCATGATTCGCGACGCACGCGAACCTGGCTCTCTCCAGCGACCCATATCGTGGCCCAATTCATATTCAGAACGCTCCATTCTTCGCCGTATCTTCGATACCAGATGCTTGAATCACATGTTCTTCAAGTTTCCGATCTGTCTGTTCCAGGGCATCTCGTGGGCGCAACAATTCGAGCTGCCGGCCTGGCGACGAAAAATCCTCGACGCTGTCCCCGGACGACTTGGCCAGCTGCTCATGTCGTATGTTCACTGAAATTGTCACGCCACTGAATCGATTTTGAATCGAAAGACAAATCCGTCTCGCTTTGCGGCTACGAGAGAAACGCCATTCGACTGCATTAGCAAGAATCCTCTGACTGGATATACGCTCAGAGGCTGCCACCTCTTCTGTTTGCATGGAAAAGGGGGCTTGAACACGGATTTCAGTCATTGTAGCGATCTTTTCCAATGGAAATTAGGCGGATTCAAATTTCCCGGCTTGTGCTACAGCCCGAATTTTCCTTCCGGTACCTATGTCATTATGAGCAACATCGCATTCCAAAAATCCTCCCTCGAATGGAGCAGCATCTGCATGCGTGAGCAGCAGACAGCGTACGCGCCAACTGCGTCGCCCAGCACGAGCCTGTGTTCCTGGCGAATGATACCCGGCCCGGAAACAGATGACGGTATCGATGAGCGCCAGCTTTACCTGTCAAGGGCATGAACCAAGCGTTTGCTGAAGCCGTCATCCACCACAGCGTGAATCTCGATGCATCCAGTGTCGTGGCTGTATATGAAAGCAGACGACCACAGCATGGTGCCAGCGCAACGATGCGCGCACCGATGCTTCATACAATGAAAATGATAACGGCAAGAGGAGCGTCGACCACAACGACCATGTGTGCATGAAATGCGTTGACATGAACTGCATACCGTGAAATCGGGACCCGACTACGGCCTTCATCAATATCCTCAGACCGCTGACACCAGAGCTGGAGGCAAAACCGCGGATCAGAAGGAGAAGAAGGAAACAATCACACACTATGCCCACGAACGTTGATGTGAATGACCCTTTAAAAAGACACATGCCTATGGTACGTACGTAACAATGAGAAGACCTGTTCCATTTCACATTGACCAGGGTGTCGACGACCTCATCGATGACTGCCTCCGTGGCAGGCTGCCGCCGAACGCGCTGCAGGCGGCGCCCGGCGAACGCGTCGTACGAGCGACGTGCTGCCTCACCAGCGCGTGTCAGCGCTTGTGTGTGTGTGTGTGTGTGCGAACGCTGTTCGAGTGCTTGCAGTGCATTTCGTAAAACCTGGACAAGCACTGGTTCAGAGGCAAGGCTTTTAAGTCGCCATGCGAGACTATTCACCTTCAGAGCAGGTTCTCGCGGATGCATGGGACCGTGCGCTCGAGACTGGCATCAAGTGGGCGGTGTACGGGCTCGCCGCTGGCGGTGCGCTTGGACTGCTTCTCTTTCGCGGTGGACACGCCCGCGCCGGCATCGCTGGACTCGGCAGCGGCATCGGTATGGGTATGGCGTATGCTGACGCTCGTCGGGAGTTTCAGCGGCTCGCCAGCGGCGCCAATGAGCGCTCACTCGCTGCCGCCTCCCTGGGGACAACGGACAGCACCCTGGCACGGATCGGATCTGAGGACTGAGACGTTTTCGCGCCTGCCACAAACAACCACAATCTAGTCCATAGGCGCTGACGAACGACCCCTGGATACCGTTTAGACGCCAATCCTAAACCCCTCGGATCTTAGACGCTGCCGCGTGGATCAGTCTACGATAGAAGCCACAGCTCTCTGTTACGACCTAGAGCTGTGGGACGAAGCTATCAACAACTGCTCGCAGGAGCTTTTCCAGCCTTTTCCATCTCGCCTCACTCGCACAGGCGTTCACGCTGAACAAGCGGCCGCGGTTGATCGTTAGCAGACTCAGCTGATGTGCAGGCTCTCGCACGTACTCGAACACGTAGTAAAGAATACCGTCCGACTCCTTCTGGTTGGCAGCGACAAGCGTTGCGCCGCGCTGCTCCGCAAGACGCTTCCCGACAGCTTCCGCATCGCCGAGGCTCGCCAGCGTTTTACCCGGTTTCACAGGGATCGAGAACACGGTCACAAACTCCAGGGGCTGAATGATGTCTTGGAATTTTTTCTCGTATTTCGTATTCCCTGGGTCTCCGTCAAACTCGTTCCAGCCCTTCGGGCGATACATCTTGTAACCGCGCTGAAGATCCACGTACAGCTCGAGCTGGTTGCGAACGTCCCGCGGAACTGCTGGTGCTTCCGCTGTCGCCTTCTCCGCGAGAGCAGGTGAACCCGCCACACAGCCCGCAGCCAACAACAGCGTTGTTTGAATCAGCGAGCGCCGGGTCCAGTGCAGCGCTCCAGTCGTTGCACCAGACGACGGAAGCGCAGACGCAGGCCGTTCCGTGCGTTCGCCGCTGCAGCTGCTGAACAGCCTCTGAGAAGGTGCTCCCGCAGCCACCCAGGAATGCTGCTTCCTCTCTGAACTGGTTGAAGGACGCAGGGCAGCCACACGACTTGGCGCCGGACTTGTCTGGGCCAAAAACATGGGTTCGGCCTCCAAAAACGAAACCAGTTCACGCCAGTACTGCGACTGCGTACAAATGGCGCACGATACGCAGCATGGCGCTCATTCATCGGCTGGGGCGCGCGCAGGCGTCGCCACCAGCAGTTGCTGCTCCCGGTGCATACTGCTCGACATCGTGCATAGCTCCAATAGCGAGTAATCATGCTATGCAGCGTTCGAATGAGCGTGCTGCCACGTCTGCAAAGCATCCACAGGAACTCGGTGTTTGTCATTGTTTCTGGTGGTGCAGAGCGCTTTCTAGTTGGGATGTCTCTTTAGTCGCATAAAGTACATAAAGTTCCAGATTAGAAACATGCCTGCTGCTGCGCAGTGTGCGTACCTGGCTCCTAACCGAGACGCCCCGCGAAGCGCACTGTCGTAGACGCACGAGACACTGGCCCGCGTATCGCGTCTCTCAGCGGACCAGCTTCTGAACCTAGAAGGACACCCGGAACCCTCCTGATCCGTTGCCGGGCTTCGAGCTCCCGGTGCAGTGGCACGTCTGCGCTCGGAGCGGTCGTTCGTTCGGCGCGGCGTCTAGTGTGCAGCCACCTCAGCCGAGTATATGGCTGCACCGGTCTCCCGTTGGAGTCCATGGATCGCTTTTGGGAGCGGTTTTTTTCTAGCATTTGCCTTCCTTGGTAATATATACGTGCCAGATCCCTACGTTTTTCATGGAGATAGGCGATACTCCCGCTTAGATCGGGTCATTGAGTCTCTGCTGGATCCCAGGAACCAACGGTATTACGGAAGTCTGCAGGTTGCGGCTGCCACGGCTCGCAACGACCCTTTTAACTGGTTGGTGCTAGCAGCGCACTTTGATAGTATCGGACGCGCGGATGTGGGGTATCTGCTGAAGGAGCAGGCCTATCTGCAGAGCAACGGCAAGCTCGAGTACTGGGGCTCGTTGAAGCGTGCGTTTACCGAGCTGTGACGAAAGGGCGCTGGAAACCGGCAGCGCTTCAATATTGGTATTGGTCTGAGCCCGTGATCCCGCCATGAAAGACTCAGGAACGTTTTATTGTACATGAATGCACAGCATGGTCGCTATGCATCCATAATGTATCGTTCACTTGCGGTCATCGGTGCGCTGCGTCGACGGCCTCCCGACCTGGCATTGTGTGACCAGGTGCCTGCTCGCGTGTTCGAGCATACCCCAGAACTCATCGATGTACAGATGTAGAAACGCATGGATAGATGAACAGGGGCGCAGACCGTTCGTTGAGGATACGTTCTCAGGGCCGGGGGGGACGAATCCCCTGCGAGCTGTCGCGCGTCTTGGTGCCTGGAGGGCACGCCAGTCGCCATCTGGGCGGAAATGCGTCACGGAGAACGACGATGCAGCCGTGTGCGACATAAAATCCTGTGTCTGTATACAAGTCGCTCCCTGGAAAACGCAGAAACCGGCTGCACACAGCAGCAGCAGCAGCAGCAGCAGCAGCAGCAGCAGCAAATATTGCCCAAGGCCTTTCAGAGACCAGCGACGCTCGTCACGATAGCGCATACGAGTGAGGACGTTCACGATCCGCAGCAAAGCCCTGGGTTCATTCGATAATGAGCCCGATGCCTCTGACGTTGTTGAACCAAAAGCAACACCCGCGCGCTATGATGAATCCACTGGAATCGCGGTTCCAGAACCTTGTTCGTACCAGACAGAGAGCGTGCGGTATCGAGAAGGTGCCGCTCCTCGGGGACGAATCTTATGAAACCTTTTCTCTGAGCGCGCACGCAGGCGTTTATTCCAGGGGCAAGTGCACGATTTGCGGTGTCGCACTCGCTTCTCGTTCGCGACTTGGTCTGAAACGATGGATCGCACGTGATCTATGCTGCGGCGACGGGTTCTCGATTCTTGAGCGTCGGAAACGTCGTCCGATGATACCGCCAAAGTGGCGAGGCAGCTCCTGATGCGCATGACTTGGCGTTCGGGGCATCGTGGGGAATTCGGACGCTTCGAAGACCGTGGATCCACTGCAAAGAGGCTGTTCCGAAGGATGCCCATTCAAGTACGTGAAAAGTGGCGCACTGGAATGGACGGGTATCCGCACGAAATCCAGAACAGACCCAAAGTCGTCCATGTCTTTAGGACGCTCTTGCGTAGCGCGATCGTAGAAACCTCTAGCATCATTAGCCTATAATCCGACGGGTTCGCGTCATCATCACCATCATCATCATCATCATCATTGGATGTCTGTTCTGGGATTCCATTCCCCTGTGCCCAAATTGAATACAAGGCGGCATTCCATGCGCTCGACGAGCTGTAGATACTAGGTGCGCTTGGAACACAAGCTATCCTGGTAACCGGGATAAATCCTTGGAGATTCGATACCGCTTGCAATGCAGACGAGAACCAGCCGCCGGGAAACACGCTCGGGTGATCAGCGATCAACGTGGAAGATGCCAGCCTCCTGCGATCCGATACCCATAAAAGCATCGCAAAGCAGTGCTGACTGTGCTCGGCGACTTTTGGGTCAAGCTCGGCATTCGGGGGTCTTTTGTTTTCTGCTCTATCGAAGCGCTATTCCCGACGCGGAGACCGGTCCGGAATTCGCACCATACAGAAGCGTCTGTATATGATCTCAAATCGCTTCAGCGATGTCTGGTCGCTCTCTTGTATCCGCAGAAATCTCATGATACACATCGGTATGACAGCGTCCAAAACTTCTAGCAGTTAGCGTGCCGTCGGGAGTCAATACCCCGCTCGTCATTGCACTGCATCCAGTAGCTTGCGTTCGAAAACGATCCTGTACCTACAAGCCAGCAACCAGGTCTGTTGCGCACGACCTCATCGCCAACCTTTCCGAAAACGCCAAGTGCAGCGCTTGGTTGCGCGTTTCACGGTTATCGTCACCATTGCCACCGTTCCCATCGGTAGAGAGCGGAGCACTCATTGCCCTGGACCCGTGCAAAACGCTCAGGATGAGCTAGCGGGCTGCTGTTGAACTGAGAGGCGAGCTCGTTGCCGCTCCAGCTCCGCTAGCGCCTCCTCGAAGCAACCCAGAGGCCCCTGGAGTGTCACGCGGTACTTGCATCGTTCAGTCTCTGTTACGGTCAGGATGCTCAGGTTCGGGTCACACTCGACGATCACGGTAGCTTCGCGCTGGGGTCCATTCCAACACATATCCCCGCCCAGGTACTGGAGGGCCAGTTTATCAGGTGAACCGCTCCAGTTCACCGAAACGTGCTCCGCGTACGCAAAACTTCCCAGCACGATGCCGGTGTGGCTCCCTCTGCTCACTCGTTCATACTGTTTCACGTGTTGCAAAAGACACACTTCGTAGTCGTACTGTCCAACAGTCTTCCGTAAGCAAGGATGATCCCGCATACCCAACAATACATCCTGAGGGCCCAGATAAGCATCTTCGAGGCGCTGCGCTTCCTCGAGCGCCCGCGCAGCCTCCTCGCGCTCTCGGTGGGCGCGTGCAACGCCCCCCTGCGCTAGACGCAGACAAGTGCGGATGTGCCGATGCTGAACACTGCGTTTCAGCAGCGGAGCTGCAAAGCGCCCAACGCTTCGTCGAATGCGTTCCATTGGTGCCAGGTGTTGTCCCCAGAGTCTTTCGAAGCGCTGCACGACCCAGATGGGCGCCTGCAGTCGCATCAGTCGCATACAAGCAGTGCTCTCGAGATCGACCGGCTCATCCAGTTCAACGATGGGTGCGCTCGAGTCGGACGCCCCGATGAAGCGTTCCCAGAAGTGGTGCCGCCGCCACGACCACCACCACCACCGTCGCCAGAGAGGCTTCGCCTGGGGTGCGGTGGTAAGGTCGCGCTCGCTCGGAACTGCCGCCAACTCGCGCTCGACTTCGGAAGTGACCATTTCTGCCAGCCCAGAAGGCGATGCCTGCTGCTGTGCATCCTGTTGCTGTGCAGGTGGTCGTTCTCCAGCGTCAGCAAGCGCTTCCGTAGAAGTATCGAACCAGCGGAGCCAGGTTTCAAAGAACCTTCGCTTCTGTTCGATGGCGGCTAGGGTGCGTTCCGCTTCGGCGAGTCGTTGTCGCTTCGTCACTACGAGCTGGTTGCCTTCCGCCTGTCGGATCCGAGCTGCCTCTTCAACAAGCTCGGCTCGCTTCTCTAGGCCTTGTCGGTAACGAGCTAACTGCAGCTCGAGCTCCCGAAGGCGTTCCGAGCGCAGCACGTCGCAAACGTTCTCACATTGGACACCTGAGAGCCACTCGTCCGAGCCGTCGCAGCAGTCGCACTGGCCGTCGTTCACCCAGGAGAGCGGCAGCGTCTGCTTATCGTTGTCTTCTCCGGGGCAGAAGAACTTTTGGGAGAGCGGAGCGAGGCCAGCACAGGCTGCCGTGCCCGGTTCATCAGCACCGTTCGGGCAGTCGCAGTAGTCATCGTTTAAAAAAGAAGGCGGCAGCAGCGTTCCGCTGTCGTTCGAACACCGGAATCCTCCCAACGAAGCGATCTGGGCGATGAAACGTCTCTCGGTTTCAGGGTCAGCGCCAATAACCCGCTGAATCGTGCCTGCAGCAACGAACTCCGTCAAGAGTGCGCAGAGCCACAAGAGACACCACACGTGCAAAGCGGGTCGCATGACTGGTGTTCCTAGCCGCCCGAGCTTCATCCTAGACTGCTTTATCGTGACAGAGAGGTTTTTCGGTTTCAAACTGCCACCAAAACGCCGTCCGCGACTCTCTAGCAGTGCCGCTCCCGTAACGCCCCGCAGCAAGCGCGTTTGTGATGCCGTTGCGCGGGCTGCAACTAGTCAGTCAGTCAGTCGGTCGGTCAGTCAGAGACGTTCGTAGTCAACGCTTGCAGCGTTGTGCAGGTTATTATCACTGTTTGTTGAGTTTAAATTTTGTTGCTGGATTTGCAGCCGTGCACATGCATCCCGTGTTGAAAGCCAGTGATCACCCGTTGTGTCGGGAGCTGATCAAGCAGTTGGAAGATTGCCACTATCATCACAAGGTCCTCAAATTCTTCGGTAAGTGCAACGCTTGCAAGCGTGAACTGGATCAATGTCTTGCAAAAGAACTGCTGGTGAAACGTGAGCTGAACTATCTCGCAAGTGAAGCACGACGACCACGTTCACCAGCCTCCTCTCAATCAAACTGAACGCTCCTCACTTATACTGCAGTGCTTGCACCTGGCCGCGAGAGGTGCCTTCGAGTACGCAGCGTCTACACGGGGTCCCAGGCGGGTGTGGCGTTCAGGAAACCGACTAGTGGACGCAACGCGCGGCCTCTCGGTTATGCTGTGCTCCATACTGCACTGGGTACAACACTGGCTCGACGGGTTACAGCGTGCGGCCAGCGAAGCAATGGGACGTACTCTTAAAGTCGACGATGAAGCACCTTGCAACGTGGAACAGCGACGCTTTCGTGCTCAGTAAGCACAACGCAACGACGTATGATGTGTTTCGCAGGCGGCATCCGAGTGCTGCGCATCCACCTCTCCAGTCGATGATGACGTTGTTGTTGTTGTTGTTAGGTTGATCATCGCTGTTCAGCGTTGCATGCAGCCGAGCTGCCGCAAGCCGACGTACCGGCTGCAGACGGGCGCTGACTTGTCTCGAGGGGAACGCAGGCGCCGCGCTTGTTGCGAACAGGCCCCAAGGGGTTTGCCTGAACGACCCGACCTCGACGGCACGTGCATGCTCTTGCGATGCCGGTTTCCTGCTGTGTACCTATCGCCCAGAACATGAAGCGCAGCGCGAGTTCCATAGCGTCTCTGTGAGCACTAGAGACCGCCGTCACCAGAGACGCATTGTCTCTGGAATTACCTGGGCAGCTCGTAAACTGTGACGGATCGCTCGGGAGAAACAGTGCAAGCATTGCGTTTATACGATGAGTCCAATGCTGCTCCCGGCATGCCGCGTGCCCTGTCGCTGGTCGTCAGGGCCACACACGAGAACGCCGAACACCAACAATAACGAGCAAACTCGTGAACAAATGTATATATGCAGCATCATGTGCCCGCTAAACCGCAAGGATTGCGCACAAGCGAGTGCGCGCGGTTACCGACCCGATGTCGAGCCATCTTCCAGTGTCTGTTGCCCCAGTTGACCCATTTCCGCATGTTCTGCGGTCTCGGGCAGGGACGATCCGGTATCCTCGTCGCTCTCATCCCAAGCAGCTCGGGAGACGATCTGGGCAAGTTCCGTGGGCGACAAAAGCCGACGTTCCCCGTCCTTGAGAAACCGCTCTATACCTTGGCGCCCAACTTGTCGATGCTGCGCTCGGAAGAATGGCTGGAGGATTCGTTCATCCAGGCGCTGCAGCCACGACATGCTCTCCTCAGCAGTCATCGATGCAGCATGCCCAGACGCAACGGGGTGCTGCAAAGACGAAGCACTCGCCGCCGCTTCTCGGTGCGCGTCCATGGATGTTTGTATCGTCGGGGCGTTCCATGTCGCCGAGCCGTCCCCTGTCGTTGTCGCGTCTTGTGCCGGACGAAAAACAGGCGAGTCTGTTTCAAAGCCCACAAAGATAGCGGTTCTTTGGCCAGCAGCATCAGCGTCCGCAAAGCTCACCGTGGTCGCTGCCGCCTGATCCGTTGAACTTACGGCGTCGGCGTGCACCCGGGACATTTCATAGTTGTCTGCGGACTCTGCTTGCTCGACGCGAAGCAATCGAAGTAGGGGCAAAGTTCCACCGCCCAGCACGATCACTGTGAAGATCACAATAGCCAGCGTTGTGGAGATAATCGCTCGCCGGGTTTCCAGATCTCGGGCAGGGTCTCCCGAGTCCGCCGACGGAAAGTTCAACGACAGCGCGAAAGCGATCGCGCCTCGGAGCCCGGAGAACCACAGCACGAACTGATTCGTGGCGTTGATCTTCTCACGGCGATATCGGTTGAGAATCGCCGATAAAGGGAACACGTTCACAAACCGGGACAGAAGCGTCAACAGGATACCCCAGAAAACAGTCATGAAATGCCAAGAGTGGGCGAAGAGCGTCAGCGCGAGACCCAGGTAGATGAAAATAAACGTCTCCGTAATGAAAGCGATCATCTTAAACGATTGCTGTGAAGTCAGTTTGGTCACTGAGGAAAGGTTGTGGTGCGTGTAGTGGGCCATCATGACACCATTTGCCAAAATGCTCATGATGCCGCTCAAGCCGAGTCCCTCGCAAAATGTATAAGGCAAGTACGCTACCAGAAGCAACGTACTCAGTTCCAGGACTGGATAGCGGTAGAGGCGGGTGTACTTGAACATGAGCGCTGAAAGCATGCCAACCGCGGCGCCGATCGCTGTGCTCCCCAGAAAAATATACACGAAATGACCAACTGGTTGCCACCAGGAGGTTGCGCTCTCGCTGCCAACCATGCCCCCAAAAGTCTGGAACAACACAATCGCGACCGCGTCATTGAGCACCGACTCGCCGAAAACCAAGTAATGAAGTGTACGGTTCACCTTGAGGGCATTGAAGATCGCAATGGTGGCCACCGGGTCCACAGCCGATATCAGAGATCCGAAAGCGAGTGCCTCAAATAAATACAACCGGTACGAGAGGTGGAGCACGCCTAGGAACCACATGCCCAGTCCAAACGCTAGAGCGGAAATGATGGTTCCAAACACCGCGAAGCTAATAATGGAACCAGCCTGTGCAAAAAAGTCGCCTTTGTTCAGCGAATACCCAGCTTCGAAGATCACAGGGGGCAATATGAAGAGCATAAACTGTTCCTGGTTCGGGAGCGCTCGCGATACCGCTGCGTAGTCGTCTCCAGCGAGCCGCAAAAACCCGCCAACAGTCAGACCAATGATCACATACACGATGCAGTCTGGTAGAGCGTGAAACCCGTATTGCAGCAGAAGATAAGAGAGCAAGATGCCTATCAGGAGCGCCACTATCGAGTAGAAGAGACCGAGGCCAAGGTGCTTCTCCGCGTGCGGATCCGTGCGCGGTGGCCCCGTTGCCCCGTCAGCAGCACTGGTGTCCGGCGGATGCTCTGGAGACGACGCCGACCCAGCCGCCTTGGCCTCATCCGCCGTGACCGTCTCGGCCAGCGACGCTACACCACCCCAGCTGCCAGCGGCCGCACCGCCAGAACCCAGCATTGCGGCCGGTACCGCCTCTTCCGGCCGTGACACAACGTTCTGCGCTTCAGGAGGCCCATTTGCAACTGCTTCCTGCACTGAATGTAAGCAGACCAGGAACTGGCCAAGCGCCAAGCCCATCAGGAGTGTCACCAGCACTGGGAAGCAGCGTCTCCTGTAGACAGCGACGTCCTTTGACCGCTCTTTACGCCGTACACTTCCAGCAGACTCAAGTTGTTGCGCTATTGTTGCCCTTTTAGACAAGTCCATGATGGTGTGCGTGGCGCGTTCGTCTCTGTGGCTGACGCTGCAGTCCGAAAATACCGTCCAGCAGGCGAGGTCATTCAGCTATCGTCTGGAAGATGTAGTCGCTTTTCGCTGGGGATGGCGCACTGCGCTGCGCGCTTCCATGGACCTCTTGCACCAACGGTACAGAACTATATAATATTAAATGTTTTGCGACAATATAGACGGAGGCAGTGCGATCAATGCGCGCCAGCGCACTGTATGGCTGTTCGGCGGATTCCACGTGCGACATCGCGCATGCGTTGCATGCATTGCGATGAACGACCAGTACATCCGAGAAGAAGTATGTGTAATGCAACTGGGAAGTAGGGGACCTGATAGATACGTCATCGCGCACTGAAGAAAAACAAAAAAAAAAGAAAAGCACACAATCGGAGAACGCTGGCCTTGGTAAACGTTTCGCCAATTGAGCAATCTGAGGCGCGAACATCGTTATGGCCGCCTCCATCGACCTAGAGCGCTCGCTGGACACGGACGCTATCCAGGAGCTCAATAGAATATAATGTGGTTTCCTCGCCTTCGAACCAGCTTGAGAAGCGGTCCACGGTTGCTTCGCACTTGGCAACGCCGCCTAAGCAGCGGCGGAACGTCTCCGGAAACCGTAGAGCAGTTCTTGGTGAGGCAGCTAGGCTTCCAGCGTGCGCCTGGTGCCATTCACCGGAACCTGCCGTTCTCCGAGGCGAAAGCACTGGCGTTACAACGACGTGAGGGCGTTGAAGCGAGAGACCCACCGGGTGCACTTTGCGTGGATACCGGAGAGTTCACGGGCCGGTCGCCGCGTGACCGCTACATCGAACGTCGCGAGGGCTCGCCCCTAGCGGAACGCATCGACTGGGGCGAGGTCAACCAGCCAATAGAGCGAACAATCGTCGACGAACTTCAGAAACAGGTTGCCAACTATTTATCAGCCTTGCCTGAGCTGTTCGTCTTCGACGGGCTCGTATCCAGCGGACCGAACCGTCTCAAGCTCCGCGTCGTGACCGAACTCGCCTGGCATCATGCCTTCGCCAGCAACATATTTATACCGCTATCGAGTCCGGCGGAGGCAGCGAGCTTCGGCGAGCCGGACTTTACCGTGGTTTACGCTAGCGGCTTGCGCAATCGACATTATCGGGCAATGGGACTGAACTCGGATATATTTATTGTGCTCGGTTTCGAGCGTCGCTTGGCGCTTATCGCTGGCACGAGCTACGCGGGTGAAATGAAAAAATCGGTGTTCACCATCATGAACGGAATGCTGCCGCTGAAAGGCATTTTGCCGTTACACTGCGCAGCGACGCGCTCCCTATCGGACACGAATCCGGACACTATTTGTTTTGCGTAAGTTTGGAACATCGCAGAAGCACGCAGCAGGCCGATTCAGCAAAACGGAACACTAACCATTGCGTGAAATCTAGCGGCTTGTCGGGAACCGGAAAATCAACGTTATCCGCGGACCCCGAGCGGAAACTCATCGGGGACGACGAGCACTCCTGGGACGAAACGGCGATCCGCAACATGGAGGGTGGTATATACGTCAAAGTGATCCGCCTGTCGCCGGAGAAGGAACCGATTCTTTACAGTGCAATTCGAAAGCCGTCCACGATTCTCGAAAACGTCGTCGTGGATGGACACGGCGTTGTCCAGTTTGATGACGCTTCCAAAACCGAGAACACCCGAGCGACCTGCCCAATCCACAATATACCGCAGTGGGAGGCATCACGCCAGGGTCCACCGCCCAAGGCATTCATTTTCCTCGTATGCGATGCTTTTGGCGTCTTGCCCCCGGTGTCTGTGTTGACACCACTCCAGGCTGCTTATCATTTTATTCTAGCGTACACTGCCAAGGTTGCTGGAACGGAGCGTGGTGTGCTGAGGCCGACCGCCACTTTCAGCACCTGTTTTGGAGCAGCGTTCATGCCGTTGAATGGTCAAGTCTATGCACAATTGCTCAATGAGAAACTGGAGCGTCACGGCACCCAGGTGTACCTGGTGAATACCGGTTGGGCGGGCGGCGGCGCTGCCGACGGTGCCGCACGCATGGACCTGGAGGTTTCGCGGGCAATCGTGCGTGCCATCGCCACGGATGCGATCCCTACGAGTCAGGTGTCCGCGCCAGATCCGATTTTCGGATTGCGGGTGCCGCGTGCGATTCCCGGGCTCGATTCGCGCCTTCTGCACCCGGCTACCTACTGGGCAGATGCGCGCCTCTACGAACAACGCGCGCGCTATCTCGCGGAACGCATGCATGCCGAGTATCTGCGGAAAGGTTACAATCCAGAATGGGCGGCTGGTGGGCCACTTTGGCCCTCCAGATTGGCGAGTCATCGGGGAACGCAGGCAAACTAGGTCTGTTGATAAAAGATAGTCGACAACTGTGGTGTTTTCACGTTGGCCGCAACGGTGCTGCAGTGATTCAACGCGGGTTGGCCATGGAGCACTGTCCAGATTTTGGGCAGCTTTTATCAACGGCGCGTCAAAGGACTTGTGTCGGTCTCTGAGGTCTGGTGTGCACGTCGTCGCTGATGCGGCGAACAGGCGGCGCAAAAGCTGTGTGTCGCCACACTAGCGCGTATTCCCGGCTGTAAAGCATCTCCTCGCTCCTGTGACCGAGAATCCAGCGATGCATTGCAGGAACAACAACAGGAAGATGGGCGATGTCACTGGATGTACGCCGGCGCCACAGCACCGATAGCTGCTGCATACTAGAATCCCGACAAAACACGCACACGCCTAGCGCATGAGACTCGGAGATGCTACCAGCATATGCAGAAGCACTTCACTCATAGCGTTCCGTTGATCCATCGCCGCAAGCCAAGCGCGCTGGGCACAGCGCCCCGTTAAAAACGCGCAAAGCCTAGTTCCCCGACACTGGTCTACCCGTCGGGCAAAGAGGCAAGGCGCAAGGCTGCTGGCGGCGCGAGCGCTTGCGCCCGGGTCCGAGCTCGACCTCCGCGACCACTGGGTCAGTCTTTTCTGTGCTGGGTAACGTGCCTCAGTGAGTGCACAGCCTAACGCGTTTGCGTAACCCCGAGTGACGCGCACCGCACAACAAATCTGCCGCGTGTAGGGCGGCAACCCGCCGCCGAACGCTGCTGCACCCCAGACGGCAGTACCCACGCGCTCGAGTCGTGCACCTATGTTTGCTCCAGATGACTTCTTCTGCAGATAAATCGGTCTGTGTCACAGGTGCAAGCGGTTACATCGGATGCTGGCTCGTAAAGTACCTTCTAGAGCAGGGATACACCGTTCACGCCACAGTTCGGGACTTGAACCGGAAAACAGAGCCCCTGAAGAGGCTCGCAGAGGAGCACGCTTCGCAGGGCGGACAACTCGTCCTTCACCAAGCGAACCTGCTGGACGCGGAAAGCTTCAATGAACCAATCAAGCAGTGCTCAGTGGTCTACCATACTGCGTCACCTTTCCAAATCAGCAAGTCTCGAGAAAGTGGTCAGAAACGCTTTATCGACCCGGCTGTCCGGGGAACGGAGAACGTGTTGCGTGCTTGTTTGCGGCCTGAGACGCGCCGGACTCTCCGTCGCGTTGTGGTGACGTCGTCCATCGCTGCCGTCACCGGCTTCTATGATCAGAAGCACGGCAACCCGGTGCCTACCTATGACGAGACCGACTGGAACACCACATCAACGCCGCAGAATGATCCGTACAGCTTCAGCAAGACGGCAGCAGAGCGGCGCGCTTGGGAACTCGCGCATGCCCCTGAGAACCGGGACAAGAGCTGGGACTTGGTCACCATCCTGCCGGGATTCGTCCTGGGGCCTTCGTTAACCACGGAGACCGAGTCCGGTTCAGTCGAGTTCATGCGAGAGCTGCTTGGCGGCCGCTTGGCATTGGGTGTGCCCGCCTGGCAGCAGTCCATCGTGGACGTTCGGGACGTTGCGCTGGCGCATCTCCGTGCTGGCAGCGATAAGAAGCGCGTCCCCAGTGGCCGGTATATTGTCGTTGCTGGGTACAAGTCCATTCTGGAAGTGGCGTCTGCGGTGCGAGCCGAATGGGGTCAGCGCTTCCGATTACCACAACGAGAGCTTCCCAAGTGGCTCATGTACTTGGCGGGTCCATTTATCGGACTGCCGTGGGAGATGATTCGTCATCGAGTTGGTATTCCGATTTGCTTCAATGTCGCGAAATCGAAGACGCTTCTTGGCATGGAGTATCGCGGTGTCGATCTGACGATTCGAGAGCATGTTCAGCAGATGATTGCGGATGGCCTGGTTCCGTTGCAGCGCTAGTTTTCGTGGTAATGGTGATAATGGCGAAGGCGGTGGCAGTGTTGGCATCCCGGAAATGATCTTTGCCTGCGGGAAAGCGGCGCTCTTTGCATAAGCGAGCTGGGTCAGCAACGCGACGCGGTCGGTAGCGCGTTTGCGCAGCGGTTCACGCTGCAAAACTCGAGCAACGAGACCTCTGCGCCCGCGCAGGGCGCAGCATGCACTACATTCTTTGTCTGTGAAACAAGCTGGATCCGCCTAATCAGGATTCTTAGGATGTGCGAGTGGTGCCTGTTACCACGGAAGCGATCTCGCATCAGCCGCAGACGCTTCTATGTGCTACGAACCCGAGACCGGTCTCGTCGTCGGGCTTTGACCTTTGATTGACCAAGCAATAAAAGACCTCGAGATGCCGTGCCTGAGATAAAAGTCGCCAACCGCAGATCGCACAGTATTGCGGTGCCGTTGCGGCTATCGACCCGAAGTGCAGCGCCTTCGTCGCCGCTCCCATCATCACTGCATCGATGCGGTGCGACCGTCGATAAACGCGTTCGCACATGGACCTGACTGGGGTAGACCTCGTGGACCGCGTCTGGAATTCAAGGACCTAGGTATGCGCGCTTTGCAAAATCAGAAGCGCTGTCGCTTTCCTGACAACGATCGACGAGGGCGATACCCCGTAGTGTCATTTTTGGATGGCGCGGGACGCATGCGACGGAGCTGCACCCCTCGGATGCGCATGTACAGTCCACGAGAAGGCCGCACAGACACGGGATTCATTGCAAAGCCGTCGGGATCGCTTCACTGGATCGCAACTCTGTTTCTGCGATTCCTGTTCCGATTCACAGGCGCAAGCAATGGATTCGACGAAGGTATCCAGCATACGTCAGGGTTTTCACAAAAATAGAGTATGTTTGTGGGGAAACGCACAGGCAGTCGATATGATCATCATGCAAAATGCGTTCTGCAGTATGTCAGGGTTTTCACCAAAATAGAGTATGTTTACGGGGAAGACGCACAGGCAGTCGATATGATCATCCCGTAAAATGCGTTCAGCAGCCGCTTCAACTTGACCGCATGCATGCATGCATCGAGCTGCATGCCCGCCAGTGCGTGCAGCCGAGTCGCGACGCGCACGCCTCGGAATCGATGCTGCCTCATCCTGCCGAGAGACGGTGCGCATCAGTGGGCTGCTAGTAAAAGTGGGTGTCCCAAAAATACCCCAGAAATGTGATAGGGAGCATTCGCGTCGACGACATAGAAACGACATCCGACTGCAGCAGACAAAAGCTAATAAACACACGATGCGGATCCCACGTCACGTCCACCGCTGGTTTGCACTCGAATGCCGTCCGTATCTCCCGCAGCACGCTCTCGAGAGCGAGCACCATTGCGTGCAGAACATGCCCCGATGCGCTTTCCGTCGGCGGCGCCTGGTGCCTGCAGAAGGCGCCAAGATACCAAGGATCGCACGCTAGCCTTCGTGGCGCTGTCACAAGCGTCGATGCACGGACACGTCTGCACGCACGCGTGTCCCGTATCCGCATAGCTCACATGGCGATACTCCAAGGTGTCGAGTTTGTCGGTGCTCCAGCACCGAGGATTCCAACCATACACGTTTCCAATACACAGGCAGCAAAGCACAGCACGGCATGGCACGGTGTCTGTCGCCGGCACTCGCTGCGTCACAGCGCGGAGCGAGCATTCCCATGGGGTACCGCTGTGCGCAGTGATGGGCAGCGCCTCGTACATCCCGCTCACCGTGCAGATCGACACCATGCGCCCGTTCGCAAGCCCGATGCCTGCATGCCACGATACGCCGTTCACTAGCTCGCTTCGTAGCAGTGTTGCGATGGATCCCCGCCCAGGGCAACCATCGCGTACACGTAGTCTGTGCGGAGAGCCACTGCACCTACCCCAACCAGGTTGAGTTGTCCACTATGTAGGTAAGGCCGCAGTTGGTTCACAACGTATGGTGCAGCTTGAAGACCGACGTGGTACGCTTGCAGACCCGAGAGCCCGTCACTGGTCGACCAATTGAAATACCTTGCTGGCACCTTGGCTGCGAGGTCCACGAGCTGGATATTCGTGCTGGTCCATCCCGCAGCGAGCAGCGTCCGAGCGATAGCACCGGGCGTCAGAGCGCTACAGCTGTTATTCCCAACCTGATCTGGCGTGCAGTAGGTGAGGAGATCCGCCAGGTTCGCTGCCGCAACTGACAAGGCATAGTTCAGGCATATATGCGGGTTGATTTTATACAGTGAGTTTGCGAGCGTGTACTCGAACTGCGTGTAGTTGAGCGCCGCTGCAACGGCATCGGGGAGGTGGTGCGTTCTGTTCTCTGCAGCGCGTACCTGGGTGCTCAGCGGCAGCGCTGAGGTTCCCCGATAGACAGCAGCGTCCCAGATCATAGTAAAGAGTATCAGCGCAAGAGCGAGCACGGCTAGCCTAAACGCAGACCTGTTCGAAACCATCGGAATAATAAACGACTTGTAGTCGAAGACACAGGTTAGCCTTGAAGTATCTGCTACAGTCGCAAAAAAACATGCAAATGCGTTCGTGTCGATACACACCGAGCGTTTCGCACCGCATCCACATCCCAATACAACACACAGCGCTGCCAAATTCGGCACGTGCACGTCACCGCGCCGCTGTGGGACACGTGTCACGCATTCCATGGTGCGCGCGCTCATGAGCCGCTCCGAATCCCCGTCTTTCGATGCCTTTGCTGCACGCGATTTTGTGAAGCAAACACCGACGCGTTCGGGTCGAGGCGCGCCCACAGCAAGGCGACGTCGTTCAGCGCGCACAGTGGCTCCTGTCGATGGCGCGATGATTTCCGCCGCTGGCAAATTGCCGTGCACGGCGGCAGGCGATGGATGCGCGCGTCGAGCTCATACGCGTGCCAGGCTCTCAACTGGAGCACTGAACTGCTCACTCTGCTCCTGCTTTCCGACTCTATTCCGAACGCGTTCTTGGGTCTACAACCGCGGTATTCTAAGCGCAACAATACGGGCGTACGGATGGATATGTAGGTCAGTGATTCTCGGCCATATTTACTTTGGGAGGCTCTTTCGATACAGTACAGAGCTGGAATTCGTGACGTCCGTTGAATCGCGATGATTTGCGACGCCCTCGAGCGAGGGTTCGTGAAATAACCGATATCGTTATCCAATGCATACCTGTGTTCCTCCGTCCTTTTCCGATCCCTACGTGCCCCACGCTCAAACCATGTATTCTTCAAGTTTTCGATCAATATCCTGCATGGAAACTCGTGCGCGCGGCAACTCGCCCCGCTGGAATGACGCAGAAGCATCCTCGACGTCGCACCATGACCTCTTGATCAAAAACTCTTGCCAAAAGACCACTGAACTTGTCATGTCAATTTATCGATTCCGTTCGAAAAACACAAATCCGCCTCTTTTAGCGGTCGTCTACGAAAAGAAATCTCACACCTGTACGAAACATTTTGCGGGAACTGCTCCAGCGGGCTCTCGTCCCGTGTGTTCGCATGGAAAATCGTCTTGGATTCAGAGTGCGACTTGCGTCATCGAAGCGACCGCTCCCTTTAGAGAGTGCGTCATTGCTGTGCGCGAAGGGAACGGAGACGGATCGAATGTTCTCAACTTTTCTCTAAACTGGATTACCCTTCCCGCACTTGTTTGATTACGGACGATATCGGGTGCCGCTAATCCCGTATCGAGTGGAACAGCCTTCGCTTGCATGTGCGGTGGACAGAGTACTCGCCGAGGGAATCGTCTGACGCGAGCCGTGATCACTGGGCACAGCACCGGGCGCGGCGCCTGATGAAAACATCGAAAAGAGCCATCTGTACCAGTCGAGGACACGTACCGAGCGCTGATGCAAGCGTTCATGCGCCACATCGCAAAAAAACCTTGGAGGAGGAGGAGAAAGGGTCTAGTGATGGATATACGAAAACACCTCACCACAGTCACGTATGACGGCTGTGAAGAGCACACCGACGCTCCATACAATGAAGCAGAAAAAGGAAAGCGAATCGTAGATAGGAACTTGCGCCTCTGCGTAAAATGCTCCAACAGCAGTGGGAAACAACGAAACGCGGGCTCCAACGCTGTCATCAACATCCTTCCGCTGCTGACACCGCAGCTGAGGCGAGACACGGCACCGGCGTATTCCGAGGCCGATATGCGAGATACGAAAAGGAAGCGGGCGCGGAAGATGTCCGCAAAAGCTGGTGCGCATCACAAGGGAAAGAAATCAAAACTTCAGCGAATACACCCGAATCAGCACACCAGCTCCATTTCTCTCTGACACTGGAGCAGCGCATGATCATTGAGCTCCGTTGCCGCTAGCGCCTAGCGAAAGCACTGTATTCGGTTCGAGCAACCGTATATGGGCACTGGTGCCAAAAATCCAGAAAGTAAAGCGGACTGCATGCTTCTTGAACCTTGCGCGGTTTCGCAACGCACCGATACCAAAGCGCCCGATCTATCAGCCTCTATGCCCGGTATGCTGGACAGTGCACCTCGAAGCGATATTCGTCCATTCGTACAGCAAAGCTGTCCCTTCTGCGCTCAGCAACCGCGGGGAAACGGAAACGGTTAAACCACTATCTCTGAGAGGAACACCAGTCCGGCACCAGTGGTTCACTTGGAAGCATCCGTGGAGGTACGAGCGTCGTGTACCACGTTGCCCGCGCCTGCGGTGCACACACACCCGTGACGAGCCCAACTCGACTTGCTAAATTCGCACCTTCAAACGCGCATGAGACAAACGGCAAGAGCACCACGAACAACAAACGCTTTCCAAAAGAACAACGCTGCCGCCAGCGGTGTACAGCAGTGGCGGCGAACTCGTCCTAGACGAGACGTCTCCAACTGAAATGCAGACGCCTCCCCGTCTTTCTCGACCGGCCACCTACTACTGACTTCAGCTTCGTATCGTATAATTCCACCTTGAGAGGTTGCCCCATAAAATTCTCTCTTGTCAACTCCGCAGGTCTCGTCTCCATCGCCGCACATCTCCTTCTATTGATGGCGGCGTTAAAGTCTCGGTTCACGAATTCGATACGTTTCTTGCCATTGATTGTACTCGCCAATGCGATCAGTCCACGAACTTTCGCTTTCCTTTCCATTTGCTCTTCCGTTTGCGCTCCGTACTTTTTTATATCCTCAGGGCTCCTCTGGCGCTTTTTCATCTCGACTCTCTGGAGCGTACATCACCGTTCATGGTGTGTATACGATGTTCGGAACTCATCAACAGGTATTGTAGCAAAACGCCGTGCACACTCCTTATACGTTCTTGTCGATGGAGCTGGCGTAGTCCTTTTTTGGATCTTCCAGCGCCCTGCTCCGTATGCTACTACGAGCCTCTGACTTTCATCCTCTTTGAGGGCGCTCAACTGATTGAAAAAATTCGCGAACGCGCGCCGCTTACCACAGTATAGTTTCATACGTTGACGAGCCCACCGAGGCTTTGTATACTCCTCCCACAGCGCATCCCAACGAGCAACGCGAAGTTTCATGATTTTCAGAAAAGCGTTAAAGTCCCCGCCGCGGCTCGTCACCTCGCTCAAAGCTTCCGGGTGATCCTTCATTACTGCATTCCATGTCTCAATTTTCTTCCTTGCATTCATGATACCGGATTCTCGATAGCATTTTGCTCTCGAGCACCTCAAAAGTCGCATGTCTTCTGACGCAAGTTGCCGTCAGTACCATCTTCTGCACGCTTGGATACAGCGATGGTTATGATATTCGTGTTCCCGGGGTTCACGCCTACCACAAAGTCGTTATCCTCCACCTCATGCGTCGCAGGATCCTCCTCCTCCTCATCTTTATGCTTCGCCGCACCAACGACAAAGTCGTTTTCCTGCACTTTCTACGTGGCAGGAACCGCCTCCGTCTCATCTTCGTGGTTCGCCGAGGGCGGACCAGGACGATCTTTCTTCAAACGCTGATAGTGTATACACATGGCTACTCCATCGGTTTCGATCAACCCAGTAAATACCTTTTGTTTGGTCACTTTGAGACGTTTGAAATTGAAGATATTCTTCCAGTATGTCTCCCGGTTTTCACCGGTGAACTCTGTCTCCCTTATATCGAACTCCGGACAGATCTCCCTGATGATGCCATGAAGGATCCTGGAGTCGATACTCACAAAATGTGACTTGATGTTGCACATTGGAACGAGGTTGAAGCGCTTCCCATTAGGAAAGCCCTCCGTCTCTCCCACTCGTCATTTTTCCCATTCAGCTTCACCTCTGCCTTGCGTTCGAGCTCTCGGTCCAGAAACACAAAATATCGCGGGACGAGGCGATAGTATCTTTCCTTATCTTTTTTTAAATCTGATATCTTTTCCGTTGGACTCGCCAGCCCCAGTACCGCACGGTGCTCTTGTACAACCGCACGGATTACAGAATCCTCATTCGTGCTCCTGCGTGACGGCTTCTTGTCGACGAATTCGACCTCATCTTTATGCTTACGATCCTTCGTGATGCCATTGATAATCGCCCGTATTTCTTTGCGAGACAGGCCCGGGTAGAGTGGAAACACGGCGCGTATCATGAAACGTTCGAGGTTCACTGTAAAATGGTTCTTCGGGTTCGTGATGTACTTCATTACCCCGCATGTGTAAATATTTCCGTCATCGCTGTATCGATTACCCTGGAAGCTGTAAAAGGGATGTTTTTCGTGGGGGCCATGCACTAGCACATTTTCCCTCCGCGCTTCCCCTGTGCCAAGCATCAGGTGTCGAATAAAGGTGATGTCGAAAAACTCGTCCGGAAGCTCGACCGTTTCGATGTGCGTCACGTCGCGATACATCTCCCTCGCCAAATGCATGAGCCCTGACGACGCCTTGACAATACTCTTGGGGTACGAGTCGACGCGTTTTTCGATAGCGTCTCGCAACTTTTCCCTGTACGGATCCCTGATATGGCCAAGAAGAAAGGCTCTCATCACCTTCTCGTCGTACAGTCGTCTTTCTTGCCGCCTTCGACGTAGGACCTCTCCCCTTCGGTTCTTTTTCTTCTCCTTTTCTTCTGGGCACGGCACTGTTTTTCGTTTTTTCTGGCAGCCAGCGACACTGGGCCTCCAGGATCGTCGACTTGCTTTTTCATAACTTTCCTTTTTTTAGATTTTTTTTTGAAAAAGAACGTTCTTTGAACGCTTCTGTTATATACCGCGAGAAAACACTTGACTACGCTTGTTTTAAGGGTGAAGCACAATTGAAATAAAAACTATACCTGGATACGAACTCAATGAAATTACAATTTTACATTGCGGCTACACGTTACTGATCAAGATCACGTTTCCCCTCATTGGCGACATACGCGTCGCGTCAATGGACTGCCTGATCTCCGGGGTGCGCTCACCGAGCGCGATGCGTGCACTGCACGAGACGCTGCTCCGATCGATGAAGCACACGTGTCCGAAGCCGCATTGGCACATGCGTGTTCGCATCGCACTGCAGCTGAAATCAGGTGTCCTAGATTGGAAATTCACGTAGAATGCACTCCTGCTCTATGCTATGTCGCTGGTGCCGACGCTCCTGCCCATCTCAGTACCGCCCTCACCTAAGTGGAGATGCAGGCGCCCGCAGCCACCACCACCGACATCGACGCGTCGACGCCTGGAACGTCGGAAACAGCGCGCGCCGGCACGCATCGCTTCCTAATCTGGCGCCGATCGCTGATGCTGGTGGCGCCGCCGACGTCCCGAACGCCCATTTTGGCGCTGCCGCTGGGCCTGTTCGATCGCCACGGATCGAGTGTGCCGGCTCCCGAGGCGTGCGCCGGTGGTGCCACCGCGGCGTCTCGCAGGGCCTGCACCGGGGCCTGTTCGCCGCAGGGCGCTCCGCGCACAGACGCACGCACACGCGGTGCGCCTTGATCCCCAATGCAGCACCACCCACGATAGAGACATTGCTGTTTTTCCTGGAACGTGGCTCTGTTCTGATTAATATGCGAGCGTGGCTTCTTTTCGCTTTTCTTAGCCTGTGGGGGCTTGCGGGATGTTTGTCTCGTTGTGCTGCGACAGTGGTTACGCCGCTGAACCTCGAGACGCTCGAAGAGAGTATCCTGCGGGTGCCGAGCAGGGCGCTCGGTGGCATCTACATCAACGAGACCGACGCTATGGCCCTGAACGTGTCGCAATACGACTTTACCATCATGAATGCGCTTGCAGACCTTGATCATGACCTGTGTCTGAACAAGGGACTGATCATTGGTGCTGCGAACGTCGTGGATAACATGGTGGAGTGTCCGATAGCAGACGTGGCCGCTGGCAACTGCAGTGCGCTCGGACGGGCAGCTGTCGAGTCAGCGCTCGCCGTGGGCGGCTGGACCAGCACCGACTATATGGGCGCTGCGCATGCCACAAAGTTGCCAGCGCACTATTTCAACTGGTCGAGTCCGTATGCATACGGCGGCGAGGGCCTCTTTGGACGGGAGGCCTTTGAAGCTGCAATGCTGGTGGTTCCAGAGATGGAACGGGTATTCCGTTCAGCGCTGACCTCTGGTCGGTACAAGTTTATCGCATCGTATACCGCACAAATGCTGAACGACGAAATTTACACCTACGTCATCTTGGGCTCGGATCCCAGCCAGCATTGTTACAGCGCTGGTGCTTGAGCGCTGGCTTACCGACGGCCGCGACAGCGCCGGCGCGTCTCAGGACAGAAGGCATAGAACGGTGGCAGTGAAGGCTCATGCACCTGCCATAGGGGCTCGTCATTTCTAGGCATTTCCCGATAGGCTCCCTTGAATGACCGCGCGTTCAGCAAATGACTTGCCTGGGGAAATACCGGCGATGTCTGGTTTCGCGGATGTGTGCCTCCGGTTGTCTGCGCAATAGTCAGGCGGCGCATCTGTTAGAGCTGGGCGCGTCGTGTGAGCACTGAGCGTGGATGACGCAGCACTATAGTGTGGATGATGTACAAGGAACGACGCGCTCATGCTGGTTAGGGAATCACGATCTCGGACGGTACGCACTGATCGCTGACGATCGTCGCGATGCACCCGGCAGCGGGCCTGTTGACTTTTGATGTGCGCAAGGCTCAAAAGACCCGAGGCAGCGTGCGTGTTTATGATAATGCTGTGTTTCCTGCGACGATGCATGACGGACTCTGTTCGATGCAGTTTCTCTGGTGCGACTTCGCGTCGAACGAGCACGCATCGGAGCATTCGCGGACTGGAAGGAAGAAAGCGATCGAGCGACGCTCAGCAGATGCTGTGTATTGGTCACGAAAGAGCGCGTCCGTTTGCCTGCTTGACATGGGATCCAGTTCGTGGTCCATACAAGCCGAGCATACGGATGCATCCGTGGTATATGAAGAGAGGCAGTTGCTTCAAGCGCGAAACGCAAACGCTGATCGATACCCAACACGCTGATGATGACTGGGAACGGGTACATGCGAACGGCTTCACCGAGTGACCCATGGGCAGTGGAATCCGTTCGACCCCTTTGATCGACACCTCTTCCTGCGGCCGTAATGTGTTGCGCTCGCGCAGGTCGCTGCTCACCTCACAGTGCCGAGTGCCGCGTGCCCGCGATGCTCAGCGCCAGAAACAGCATCGAGCGGAAGCTTGATGCGGGCCGTCTATGGATGCACGCAAGCAAACCCCATTGGAACATTGAGTACCTGCTTTCCGTTTTGCATGTCACTAAAGTGAAAATGACCCTCATGACCTAATGCGTGACTTTCAGACTCGAATAGACTGCCATCCAGACCAAGTCGCAACCGAGCAGCAACATGCGCAATGGTTGCACAAAAGCGCTCCGCTGAGCAAAGCCGAGCGCGTCGCATCCAGATACCCACCGCCTACGCGTGTACACAGAGGCAGTGCGCAGCGTCCTAGCAGCGCTTTCAGACGATTCGTCACTAGTCTCGCTGCTGAGCCGGTCGTTGAATCCGAAAGGCAGCGCTCGAAGGCGGGGATCGAAAACCGGAGCTGGGCATCCCGCGGCAGCGCGAGCCCTCGGTATCAGGTGTCGAACCGTGTCAAAATAATACTAGCAGACCACAAACGGCACAATCGCAGCGCCAGGACTGCAGCATCGTCGTTGCTTATGAATAGGGGCACGCTGCGACGCTTCACCACGAGGCCGATGTCGCCCAGTGAGGCGCTCGCTCAGTGGGGACACGTGTTGCGAGCGCTCGCGTACTGGGGTGCTCCTCGGTTCCAGTATTCGCGATTGCAATCTATCTGGTACACGAGACCGATCATGCTTTCGATACCCGAATGATCTCTCGATCATTGGCGTATCATCAACAGCATCCGATCCGAAGTCGAGATCACCCTGGCCTTGTCAAGCAACGGACGCATCCATACAGGAAATATCATGCGTTAGGAGGTGTACATCCGCTTCTAGAAATGCTTCATCTGGCAAACGATCGCAATCGACGCTCATCCAATGCAGCGCCCATCGACACACCGTATGTTCACTGATATACGTCCGCACCCCGTGCGCGTGACACCCAAAGCAGCGCCCATCGACACATCGTATGTTCACTGATATACTTCGGAACCCCGTGCGCGTGACACCCAAAGCAGCACCCATCGACACACCGTATGTTCGTTGGTATATGTCCGCACCCCGTGCTCGTGACACCTGCTGCCGCTGCCGCCGCTGCCGCCGCTGATGTCCACTTCCAGGCGCCGCGATCTCGCCTCGATGAGATGCGGCAGTGCGCCAGCCGCAGCGCACAGGCGCGGAGATCGTTGTGGCGACTGCTCTACGCTGGTGCTTTGCTGGGCAACGTGTACTCCACACAAGCAGGACCCTGAGAGACGGAAATGGTAGGAATCAGTTGCTTTGTATCAGTACCTGTTGCGGGATCGGTCGGGAAACGCGCTGACCTCGGTAGTGGCGCGGTGTGTACACGGGCCTTGCTTGCTAGTGGCAGTAAAGCGCCGCTATGGCGCCGACACGCCCTCGGAACGGTGCAGCAGGGCGTTGGGTCTGGACACCACCACCACCACCACCACCGCTGCAGCTACAGCTACAGCCGCCGCAGGCCTCTGGGTTCGCTTCGGCCTAGGATGGCGGTTCGGGAAGTTGATTCACAAGAGGAAATGGAACGCATCCTGTCGGAAGCGGGGAACAAGCTCATTGTTGTCGATTACGGGACCACCTGGTGCGGGCCGTGCAAACTCATGGAACCGAAGATGGAATCATGGAGTGAGGAGTACACCGACGTGGTGTTCTTAAAAGTGGTGGGGGATAAGTCCAAGGAAACATCTATGATGATGAAGGCCGCTGGTATTCGCAGCGTACCGAGCTTTCATTTCTACAAGAATGGTGACCGCGTGCTCACGATTAACGGCGCCAAGGCCGAAGAAATCCTCCGTGGCATCGAAGCGCACATGTGAGCGCAGAGTCGCGGCGGTTGGATATTGCGCTCAGGCGCCGCGCAATCGATACCTGTGTCAGCAGCACCTGCGCGAGTAGCTACTGCGGTTTCCGATACCGAACCAGAGGAGTACGTATATTTTGCGGACACAAGCTGCGACGCAGCGTCGTTTTCCAGCCCAGAGCGCGCATCGTTTGTGCACGCACACACTTGCTCTGCAGTTCCCTGGCGAGGCGCATGCCGAACCGTGTTGCAGACCGATCAACTACGAGCTCTACAGGTATCCGTGTGCCTTGCAGTGCCGATATCCGATGACGAGCGCAACGTCGTATCGCCTGCTCGATTCGCTGCCAGCGGACTCGTTTGCAAGAGATGCTGTCCGGCCCTGCCGACGGGCTACTCGACACTGACGCGCGCTCCCGTGAGGCAAAAGCAGGTTTCCCGAACGCCGCCCGTAAAGCGCATCACAGCAGCGCACCGCACGCAACGATCCATGCAGCTATCTGCCGCATTCAACGAAAGCACATCGTAGCTGCGCAACGCATGCTCACCATCCACGCACACCCCTAGATGCACTCTGCTGCTGCTACTGCTGCTGCATTATATGAATATGCGCGCTGCACCACTCGTTTGCCCAAATGGCTTGCGGGAGCGGTTTGCAATCGGGTTTCGCGGCCGCTGCTGGTGGCGGATCCCATTCGGCTTGCTTTTCGAGTTCGTGTCGTATCCGAACTGCATATTTGAGGTACTGGCGTGGGTAGGATTGATCTCGATGATGCGAACAATCGCAGGCATCCTGTGTATGCTCGTGGGCACACTGCAGATGCTGGTCTGGGTTCGGACGAAACATCGGCAGTATCTGAAGGAATTCGGAACCCTCTATCCCTGGTCGAGGAAACGCATGTTTCCTTTCGTTTTTGGTGAAAGCACAGCAGGGCACGAAATTTGTTTGCGTGCTGGTGGGCACGTCCTGACCTGGAGGTGCGAGCCCGGTACGCTTGTAAATTTTCGTCACTTTTGGATGATGGTGGATTCGATGATCGTTGCAACTCGTGCAGTGAAACGCACCCATACACGTGATGATGCTCGATGTTCGAACAACCATAGCGCACTCGGATGATTTTCCCAGAATGCCGTAGCGGCGACTCGTCATCACACTGAACCCGAACGTTTCGAATACGTGCTTGGTTTACGTACTAGGAAACCGTGGCATGCTGTGCGACTTCGTCACGCACTATTCACGGCCAGCATGTAGGCATCAGAGCACCTGGTGCCGGCTGCAGCCCTCAGCTTCTGGTACCGCTCGTTTGATAGCGTCGGTCAAGATTGATCGCTTCTTGACCTCAGCTCTATCACGAGCGTTTCAGACAAAACGCCATCAATATCAGATGATGAATGGTGATGAACGCGCGACCGGCGGAGCTGACGCGGTCCAACTTTCTGGGGGAACCTCCCAGGCCAGAGGTGAACAAGGAGAAGCTGAAACCGATAGCAGGGGGCCGGTCGAGTGTGCTATGCCTCTGCCAAGATCACCGGATCCGGAGGACGAAGCAGGCACCATAAGTTAGACAACGACAGCAGCATGGAAATGACTTGAACGGTCATCAGTACCAGCCTATGACGCAGGATAGAAGCACAATTCAGGTCAGTTCCTCATTCCAGCGTCAGTGTAGCATGCGTGACAAGCATCGGCATTAAACGTATGTCCGTGTTCAGGAATCCCACCGTACCTAGTTTGGTTACGATGAATAAAACTAACGAAATTCCTAGTGAGAAGAGTGATGCATACGTCATCCACACAACGGTAAGCCGCAGAGAACGCTACGCTTTTGATAGAAGCATCACGAGGTATCGCGTTAGGTCCCAACATTTCCATGTATGTCCAGGCGGTACTGCGATGGGCAGTAGCTTCGGCACCAGCGACAGCGTCTATAGCAAGAGATCGTTCTACGTGAGTTTCCTATCTACGATACTTTAGTTTGGCTGCAATGCGATGCGAACACGCATGTGCCAATGCGGGGTGTCGGACACGTGTCCTTCATCGACTGGAGTGGCGTCTCGTGCGATGGACGCATTGCGCTTAATGAACGCATCTCGGAGATCAGGCAGTCAACTGACGCGATGCACATGCCGCCGTTGAAAGGAACCGCGATGCTGACCAGGAGCGTGTTGTTCAGCTGTAAAAGTTGTATTTGCGTCGGAGTCGAACAAAAATATAGTTTTCAGTTCATTGGTGTTTCAACCCTCAAACAAGTCTGGCCAAGTGTTTTTTCGCAGTATATAACCGAAGCATTCACAGCGGGTTCATTTAAAAAAACTGAAAAAGGAAAGCTATGAAAAAGCAAGTCGACGATCCTGGAGGCCCAGTATCGCTGGCTGCCAGAAAAAACGAAAAACAGTGCCGAGCCCAGAAGAAAAGGAGAAGAAAAAGAACCGAAGGGGAGAGGTCCTACGTCGAAGGCGGCAAGAAAGACGACTGTACGACGAGAAGGTGATGAGAGCCTTTCTTCTTGGCCATATCAAGGATCCGTACAGGGAAAAGTTGCGAGACGCTATCGAAAAACGCGTCGACTCGTACTCCAAGAGTATTGTCAAGGCGTCGTCAGGGCTGATGCATTTGGCGAGGGAGATGTACAAAGACGTGACGCACATCGAAACGGTCGAGATTCCAGACGAGTTTTTCGACATCACCTTTATTCGACACCTGATGCTTGGTGGAGAGAAAACGCGGAGGGAAAATGTGCTAGTGCATGGCCCCCACGAAAAACATCCCTTTTACAGCTTCAACGGTACTCGATACAAGGGTGACCGGGGTATTTACGGCTACGGGGCGATGAAGCACATCACGAACCTGAAGAACCATTTGACAATGAACCTCGAACGTTTCATAATACGCACCGTGTTTCCACTCTACCCGGGCCTGTCTCGCAAAGGAATATGGGCGATTATCAATGGCATCACGAACGATCGAAAGTATGAAGATGAGGTCGAATTTGTCGACAAGAAGGCGCCAAACGAGAGCACGAATGAGGCTTCTGTAATCCGTGCGGTTATACAAGAGCACCGTGCAGTCATGGGGCTGGCGAATCCAACAGAAAAAATATCAGAGTTCAAAAAAGATGAAAAAAGATGCTATCAACTCATCCTGCTCTATTTCGTATTCCTGAATCGAGAACTCGAACGCAAGGCGGAGATGAAGCTGAGTGAGGAAAAATGAAGAGTGGGAGAGACAGAAGGCTTTCCTAATGGGTAAGCGGTTCAACGTGGTTCCGTTGTGCAACATCAAGTCACATTTTGTGAGTATCGACTCCAGGATCCTTCATGGCATCATGAAGGAGATCTGTCCGGAGTTCAATGTTAGCAACAAGGAGTTCTCCGGTGATAACCGGGAGACGTACTGGAAGAATATCTTCAATTTCAAACGTCTCAAAGAGACCAAACAAAAGGTATTTACTGGGTTGATCGAAACCGATGGAGTAGCCATGTGTATACACTATCGGCGGTTGAAGAAAGATCGTCCAATTCCGCCCTCGACTGCGCCCATGACGAAGGATGAAGAAAACAAAGAGGAGGATCCTCTCATGCAGGAGGTGGAAGATAACGACCATGTCGTTGATGCGGCGAGGCATGAAGATGAGAAGGAGGCGCACCCTGCTACGCAGGAGACGGAGGATAACGACTTTGTCGTTGACGCGGCGGAGCATGAAGAAAAGAAAGAGGAGGATCCTGCGACGCAGGAGGTGGAGGATAACCACATTGTCGTTGACGCGGCGGAGCATGAAGAAAAGAAAGAGGAGGATCCTGCGACCCAGAAAGTGGAAGATAACGACTTTGTCGTTGGCGCGACGAAGCATGAAGAAAACAAGAAGGCGGATCCTGCGGCACAGAAAGTACAAGATAACGACTTTGTCGTTGGCGCGGACCCCGGGAATACGAATATCATCACCATCGCAGCACCGAAGCGTGCGGAAGATAGTACTGGTGGTAACTTTCGTTAGAGAGACATGCGTCTTTTGAGGTTCTCGAGACCAAGATACTATCGAGAATCCGGTATAATGAATGCAAGGAAGAAAATCGAGAAATGGAATTCAGGAGTGAAGGATCACATGGAAGCTTTGAGCGAGGTGACTAGCCGAGGAGCGGACTTTGAAGCTTTTCGGAAATTCATGAAAGTTCGCGCTGCTCATTGGGAGGCGCTGTGGGAGGAGTATACCAAGCCCCGGTGGGCTCGTTTGTGAATGAACTTGTATTGTGGGAAGCAGCGGGCGTTCGCGAATTTTTTCAATCAGTTGAGCGCCCTGAAGGAGGATGAAAGTCAGAGGCTCGTAGTAGCGTACAGAGCAGGGTGCTCGGCGTCGAAAAAAGGGACTGCGCCAGTTCCAACGGCAAGAACATACAAAGAGTGCGCAAGGCGTTTCTTCACGATACCTGTACATGAGTTCCGAACGTCCTATACACACCATGAAATGGGTTGTACACTTCAGACAGTGGAGATGGAAAAGTGCCAACGAGCCGTTCGGAAATAGCAAAGCACGAACCGCTGACGGAAGAGCAAATTGAAAGGAGAGCGAAAGTTCGTGGACTACTTGCATCAGAAAGTACAACCAGAGATTGCAGGAGACGTATGGATTTTGTGAATCGTGACTTTAACGCCGCTATCAATATCCGGAGATGGGCAGTGCTGGAGAACAGACCTCCAGAGTAGACAAGAGGGAATTTTGTTGGACAATCTCGAAAAGTAGAAGTATATGAGACGAAATTAGAAGAAATAGTACGTGGCCCGCCGAGAAACGCTGGGAGGCGTCTGCACACCAGCTGGAAGCGTTACGTCTAGGCCGCCGGTCGCCGCTACTGTACACGCCCGACGTCGTTCGACTTTCGAAAGGCGTTTGGCTGCGGCGCCCGTACGTACTATCTACTGCGCATAAGTGTTGCTGAAAGTTGCACATCGTGACGCTCGACTCTGGCGTAAACACCGGTATGGTTTTCGTCGTGTGTACCTTGCAACGCCTACAACCTGGGCACCGTTGGAGCGTCAGCGGAGCGCCCGCGGGCGTGGTTGCTCCGAAGCGTCGGCGCTGTTCGTGTTACGCTAGTACAGCGGCGAGCGGCAGCAGTGACGACGGTGTTGATGAGGAGCGTCGTTTTGGGCAACCTCCTGAGCAGCACGCAGCAACGCCCAATGGGAGTCCTCACGGAAACGCACAACCGGCTCGACCTGCGCCTGCAGTTGTTCGCGTGCAGCTGATGGTGCTGTTGGAGACCACGGCAGCGTGGCTTGCTGCCCGACGACGAGGCGCTCCGCGCGCCTCTGCTCGCGAGTTGGAACGCGTCCAACGCTTGCCGTCTTTCTTCCGTGATACTAAGGGAGAGTCCAGTCGCAGCGCTCCGGCGAACGCTGCTGTCGCCGCTGCGCCCAGCGCCGCTGGAGCCAGCAGCGCCCAGCCGTCGACCACAGGCCCCGAAAACTGGACGATACGCGCGCCGGTCTATCGAGTTGTGCTCTTCCGAGCACAGACGCTCGAGCAGGGCCACTCCACGGAGCACGTTGTGCGCGCTCTCGTAAGCCATGTCCCGCAAATGGGCTTTGGCACGGCCGTGGCGACCGCTCGAATACTGGAGCGGTGCGGACGAGCCGAGGTGCTCATGCCGAGTGAGCGGCTCGCCGAGTGCTGCTGTGGACGTCTGCTAGCAGAGGGCATCATGGCCAGCGTGGAGCCTGTATCCTAACCCCAACGATCTGGACTCTGGAGCATGGGATCACGGGACACCATTTTTGTTCACGAAAATTCCAGGAACTCCGTTGCCGGTGTATCTGTATGGTGCCCCAGCCTTGCTTGGCTGTTGACCGCACCAGAAGAGTGCCTCGATCCAAGCGAGATTTCAACGCCTCGATTCTGGCAACTGATACTTTGCATCGAAACTCTGCAGCGTTTCAGCGCAGGGCCCAAACTGAGTACTAAACGATTCACTCGCCAGTTCGCTCCACACAAAACCGACGGGCGCTCTCGAAGCACAATACATTTCCGGTGTTCGTCGGGGCATGCGATTCCCCATATAGAACGTACATGGGTGCTTCGTAGCTGATGGAATCACACAAACACATACACACACACACACCTGTGCAAGCCCGTTGGATTCACTTGGAACCCATGCTGACGTACGCTCAGCATACCGTACACCATTTCATGCATCCGTCTCTGTTGCGCTCTCTTCTTCTCTACGTATTTCAATTTTGACCAGAGCTCGTGATGCCTGTACGTCGTCCTGAATGAGTTGACGTGAATCTTGCAGCATCGATTCCTGCACTCGTTCTACGCGCTCCTCGAAGCAGCAGAGACCAGGCAGCTCTTGCGCGCAACCGCACATCCATCGCTGGAGGCTACCACCACATGACGCGAATTGGGAGTCATTTTTTATTTTCCAACGCATTGAACAAGTTAGCGAATGCACGCCTCTTGCCTTCATGCAGAAGAAACGCTTTGCAACCCCAGTGCAGCACCATGTACACCTACCAAAGATCGTCCGCGTGTGCCACTGGATCGCTCGTGTGCTCACGGCATGAAGTGTGCCAGGTATTCCGCGCTTCTCGATACGGCCCTGAGAGCGCGCATGCCCAACGCTCGACAATACCGAGCCCTGGGATAGTCAGGTCGCTCATTATCGCAAGCCAATAGCGACCACAACATCAAAGCTTTCCGCGATCTCTGTCCAGTCCACGAGACACATTCCTTTTATTGAACTCCTTGCACGAGAAACAAACGAAAACAATAAGGATAAACTGGTACAAGCATTCCAGCATGCACCGCTCTGTACAGAAGAGGTGTCCGTTGGTGCCAAAGACACGAATCTACAAGTCCCGCGTTTACAATGATACATCGAGAAATATCTGTGCTGCTCATAGAGCGCCACCTCCACCGCCTCTCCCGCGCGATGAGTGTCGTCATTGCTATCAGGGCGACAAGCGATCCCGCAATAACGTGATATCCGTCGACGTGAAGGCAGCGGCAACCGCTGGCGTCATCAGGTGCGCTTTCGCCTGCGGAATCGTTGACGCTTCGCCAGATGACGCCCATGCTTCGTCGGCAATGGTACCCGCGGAGATGGACGGCAGTGCCCAGGAGCGCTGCCAAGCATCGCTGGCTCCACGGCTCTCGACTCGAGTGACCGCAGTTCCGTGATGCACTCTCCACGACGACTGCCGTCGAGTATCGTCCGTGGAGGTAGCGGAGCGCCACCAGCGCATCCAAGCCTGGCGAAGCGAATGCAGCCCCAGCCCCGCGTCCAGCTCCTCGAAGGAGGCGCGCATCGAATGTTGTTGTTGCTGTTGTTCATCGACGGCAGTCGGCATGCTCGACGCGTACCGCAACACATGTCCCAGTGCGTTGCGTCGCAGCGTCGCATGTGCCCTATGCAATGAAGCGTGCCAGCGTCGAAAATGCGTTGTATGACGATTCCAGTGCTGGAAAAACGGGAGACCTAGTTCATCGATCAGAGCAGGTTGCTGTTCAGCGGGCATGGGGGCATCATCACCAGCCACTGCAGCTATCAAGGCAAGCTTCACGATGTACCATTGAAGGCGTGCTCGCACTGCTGACTCGTTCAGTGCTCCGCGTGCAGTCGCATGGACCAGCTCATCTATGAAACGTTTCTCTGAACGAGTTAGCTCTAAAAGTGACGCGAGTTCCGGCGTGAAATAGACCCGACCTCGCTCAAGGTGCACCAGTGCATCTGGCGGCTGCGGGAAGGCGTTCATCGGCCGCCACGAAGCCTTGGCTGGCCTGGTGTCGCTGCGCTCCGGAGACATCGACTCAGGTACCGAGTGTGGTGTCTGCGCAGACGCCGAGCGCCCTGTTACGAATAGGGATCGCACCGGTGAGCGTTCAAAGACCCCAGCAGACCGACAAGCATCCGCAAATAGTCGACCGACAGGTGTAGATACCCCAACGATCCAGCGCGTTGTTGTGGCAGCAGCAGTATCAGCGTCTCGTTCGGCTAACGTTGGTTGTAGAGACGCCAGCGGCACATACGGTTCAACACGAATCACGCCCGTGCTTCCATACAGGTCGAACAGACCAAAAGGAAGTTGTGCTAGTGTACAGCACGTCGCTAGGTCAAGTGCAGCGTCCCGCCCCGAGTTCGGTGGCGGCTCCAGACACTCGGCCGGGAAAACGCTGACCAGCGAAAGCACTGCCTTAGCCACGAGCTCGACTGGTGACCCAACGACCAAAACGCGCCTTTCTAATAAAACGAGTTTGATCAGGCGCAACAAGTCCCGTCGAAGCCGCGTCACCAGCTGTTGGAGACACGTGTCGCCAAAGACGTAGCGATCCAGGCACGCTGGTAGTCGCTGCACTGGCACTGGTGTCGATACCGGCAGTCGTTGCACTTCAGGGTCGCCCAATGCAGCCGCTACCTCTTCATTCAGCGTCGTAACCAAGGTCCGGAAGCAGTCTACCTGCCCAAAGTTATGTTTCGCAAAGTAACTGGCAACCACCGGCTCTAGTCGACTCGCTAGAAGCGCATACAGAGGCCAGCGACTCAACAATACCACAGACTTTTGGACGAGACCTCGGGCTGTTGCAGCAGCCTCCTCAGCGCTAGCGATGCGACTGCAGTCCACCTGACGCTGTCGGTAGCAAGCTACACCGTACAACGTGTCGACAGTGACGCAGTGTCGAACGGTGAAGTACACGATGTCGTGGTCGCGTTCATGGGCACCGTCGGGAAGCGCTCGCACGGCCACCTCGCGAAGCCAGTCATTGCTGAGGTTCTGCGCTGAAGCTCCGGAGCGTTCTTCTGGCTGGTTCACTTGCCAGTTCACCGACAGCTCATCCGCTAACTCTGCACATTCAATTTGGTGTCCATGTTTGGCGTGAAACCCGACGAGAACCCAGCTCAGAACCGTCGGCGAGTGCACGGTCCAGCCGGTGAGCATGCCCTCTGCCACGAGCACCCCTTCTTCGGTGCTTCTGCACACGCCCACGCTACGCCCTTGGGCACGTTGTGGAACTCAACTAGCAGCAGCAGCAGCAGCAGTCTTCTAAGATCCAAAAGAGCGGCTGAACACTTTACCACTCCGGTATTCGACACGAAAACAAACTCAAATGGCCAATAAGCGTTGTCAACGTTCAGTTCGCGTCCAACAGAAGCGCCGACGTCGGTGGCGGGTCGTTTTTGCGCTATTGCGATGTCGACGTTGGGGTTAGAGAGGATCTGTTACTGGCAAGTCCACCTTGACTAGTACACTTTATTCAGTACTTGGATCCGTTTCCAGCATTCTTTGATAAGGAGCAACTATCTAGCAACACGATCTATTGCATGCGAGAAGAAAGAGGTCAGCACGTTGGGGTTAGAGAGGATCTGTTACTGGCAAGTCCACCTTGACTAGTACACTTTATTCAGTACTTGGATCCGTTTCCAGCATTCTTTGATAAGGAGCAACTATCTAGCAACACGATCTATTGCATGCGAGAAGAAAGAGGTCAGCACGTTGGGGTTAGAGAGGATCTGTTACTGGCAAGTCCACCTTGACTAGTACACTTTATTCAGTACTTGGATCCGTTTCCAGCATTCTTTGATAAGGAGCAACTATCTAGCAACACGATCTATTGCATGCGAGAAGAAAGAGGTCAGCACGTTGGGGTTAGAGAGGATCTGTTACTGGCAAGTCCACCTTGACTAGTACACTTTATTCAGTACTTGGATCCGTTTCCCGCATTCTTTGATAAGGAGCAACTATCTAGCAACACGATCTATTGCATGCGAGAAGAGAATTCCAGTACATCTACTCAAACAAACACCAGTTCCTCCTAATCTATTCTCGCTTTGGTAACACAAAACCGGGAAAGAGCTCGGACTCAGAGTTCAGGATCAATGCCCGCGTCTTTGGCGTTACTGCTTCACGAGTCTAGTCTTGAATCTGGACTAGCGTTCCGGCGTCTACGCAGCGTTGCACGACTGATCCCAGAACACACAGTCTATTTACAAGAATCACCTTGGACGCGCTGTACACGTCGCCTTGTGCCACCATGACAGCGAGAAAAACCCCGCGAGTCTCCGTCAAGTACAGGAAATGAGCATCGAAGCCAACGTTCCCGTTCTCAACATCCATTCTGATCCGGTTAGCGTTCAGGTACAGACCAGCACAACCATGGCGGTGGCGTCCTCGTCGTCGTCGTAGCGTCTTTCATTCCATCGAAGACGCTAGGTCCAGCGGTCCGCCAGATATCACCGGGTCGCCGACGCCAGCAAGCCGCTCTCTCCACTACGTCATTGACTTGTATCACCAGCCAGTTTCGACAACAACTAGGATGGGTAAACAACTTGGCGTCCATCGCTTCCTTGCGAGCGAGTCGCTCCAGATGATCCGTCCATACCGCGTGTACCGCTGCGCAGGCAGAGCGTGCTCGCTGTTCCGCCAGTCGACGACGTAGCAACTGCACGCGCTCGTCAGACGATATCGATGCCGGACTTGGATCGTCACCGCAATGTGGACATGAACCGGCACTGACATGTGCAGCTAGCGCTTCCAGCAGCAATGCCAACGTCTCCTCGCATGTCGCTTGAGCGGGGGCATCCACTCGGGTGCTTGCCGCGAGCCACTCCATTAGAGCAGCAGCCAAGTCGACGCTGTTGCGAAAACGCTGTGCAAATCGTCGGCCCGAGCACTGGTCGCTGATCACTTCCGTCGCCACTCGGTCTGCAGGGCGCAACGCCGCCCTGTGTTGTTGTTGTTGTTGTTGCTGTTCTGGCGTCGTCGTCGTCGTCGTCGTCATCGATGGTGAACCTGCGTGATTCAGACGCACAGCAACGTGGCGCATGCAACCGGACCACCAGGCAACGGCAAGCGTTCTCGCCATCGTTGCGTAATACACAGCACCGCTGAGATGCGACAAGCACGACTGACGGGTACACGTCAAAAGCCGACCTTGGAGCCAGCGCTGCAACAGGTTCACACAACGCTCGGACTGCGCCTGGGCTAGGCACCGGCTGCACAGATCGCTTAGCCACTCCTGTTGAAAACGTTCCAGTCGCTGCAGAGCAGCAGTGCCTGCAGGGAACAGCGTCTCCGGTCGACAGTACCAATCGAGCAGGGCGAGCAACGCAGTCGCCTCAGCAGCGGCATCCGACTCGCGAACACAAGCACCAACCGCTGGTCGTTCGGACCTGGCAGCCGTGCTCTCGCCGACCGGCTGCTGCAACAAAGTCGGTGACAAACCAGGCCATAGACCCAGTACAAGCGCATCCAGGGCATCCTGGGCGAGGCTTGCCGCAATCAAGTGTCGCCGAAAACTCGCATAGTAGCTATCGTTAGGCACTAGATCCATCTGGGCGAGACCTCGCAATACCGTAGCGATCCAGACACAACGCAAGTGTTCCAGGGAACGCGACCTACCAGGCGCATAGGACGTTTCTGTCTGTAGCAGTTGCCGCCGTTGACCAGCAACGATGTTTGCGTACTCCTCCAGCGCTCGACGACCAAGACGAATCACTCGCGACCAGAACGGAGCGCGCCCTGGTACCCGCAAAAGGCGCGCACACAACACCAAAAGAATACCAGCAAACTCCACGAGGTACTGGAACAGTTGCAGAGCAGCTCGCGACAGAGCAGGTGTTTCATCACCCGTGACTGCCGCACGCCGCCCCTGCAACCACATATGATTCCAGGCGAGCGCACTTGTCAGCAGCGCCTCCAGCTCGTCTACCAGCTTGGCCAGCAGCGTCGACACCTGGTGCCGGCGCCAGCTTGTTTCGCTGTTAACCGTCGCAGCCGAAGCTGTAGGCACCAGCTGCCGCAAACGCGCCAGCAACGGTAGCCAGAGGTGCCGCACATGCGTCAGCGGTGCTGCAGCCGCTATTGTTGTCGATGTTGCTACGCTTGTCGCTGGATGCCGCACCAGCCCGTTGCAGAAGCGTGCTGCATACCGCGCCAGAAAGAGCGGCCACGACGGCATTGCTGCTGCTGCTGCTGCTCCTGCATCCTCGTCTTCAACATCGCCGCTCTGGCAAAGGGCGCGCACAAGCGGCTCCATGCTCGACCATAGGCGACTGGCCGGTCGTTCACGAGCGCCGGCCTGTTCCGAGGCCCAAAGCAGCGGCGAGGCTACCAGTCCATGCAGCAGCGTCTGTGTCAGAAGATGCTGCAACGCGGCCGCCAGTCGCAGTGCTGCCTCCTGGTCGCTACACAGAGCGTTTGCCGACGACTCGCCCAGCGCTCCGTAAGCGTCAGCAGTCTCGCTGCATTCGTCGCTGCCGCAGCAGTGGATTTCGGACGCTGATACGCCTCTGGGAGCGTGCACGTTGCCAGGTATGCGTACCGGCTCTTGCAGTTTCGCCAAAAACACCAGTCGAGTGAGAAATCCGATCGACCAACGCCGTTGACAGGCCCGAATGCCCGTCCAGCTTTCCAGGTATTCAGAGCGTCCTCCAAGGAGAGGCGTCAGCCGCGTCAAGAAACGATGGACCGTCGCAGCGCCTTCGACCTGATGCAAGAGACGCACCATATCGGCAACGAGGTGCGCGTGTGCCTCCTGCAGTGACGCTGGAACAAACCAGAGCAGACCAGTCGAGTTACCAGCAGCACCAGACTGGTTTTGCGGAAGCACCAGCTCGAGAAACGCGGCGAGGCGCTCACTCGACGGGCCAATCGCGTGTAACAGCAGTGCGCGCTGGGTGTGTGCTGCCCACCAGTCGACCGTTGTCGTTGCCGTCATTTCTGGTGCCCATATCCATGCGTCTGGGTCACGCGGTGGATCCCGCGCATCATCCGACTGGGCGCCTGCGCTCTCTGCACAGGGCGTCAGCTCGAGCAGCGCACTCGCCAGTACCACTTGAATGAAACGGGCGACGCGTACAACGACACCGCTGGTGACCATGCTTAGTGCAGGCGTGATCGCGTACCGCGTGCTGGGCGCAGTCGATCCGCTGCTCCCAAGCGCAGCGTTTTCCAAGACTCGCGTCAGCCATGTCCAGTACCAAGGCAGCGCTTGCCACAGCGTCTCCCAGCACGTCCAAGTGGACGCGCCAATCGCACATTTGCCGACACTCGGGATGGTGTTGTTCGTGCGGCTGTTGCTGCTGCTGCTGCTGCTGTTGCTGCTGCTTGCCACGCAACGCTCGACCCATGCGGTCACATGATCGAGCGCTGGAATCTGTCCAAGCATCACGCGGTTGGTCTCGAGCCGCTGCGCAAGGACGCGTTGCGCCAAGACTGCCGGCAGGGGCGCGCGTTCCGATGCATACGCCATACCCGCTGACGGAAGCAATCCGGCTGGTGCCGCACCAGCCGTCTCCAGCCAGCGCAGCAATTGCTGCGAAAGCGTCACCCATTCCGTCGCATGCACATGGACAAGTCCATGCAGCAGCAGCAGCAGCAGCGGCGGCGTTGCACTGCCTGGAGACGCCATCGCCGTTTCGTTTGCAGATGATGCCGCATGCTGCGACGTCTCGAGGAATCGCACACGAGTGCAGCACCATATCATAAACGCCCCGTGTAGACGCAGGAGCGTCGGCAGTATCCAGTTAGGGCAGCGATGCCGCACCTGTCTGTAGAGTGCCTGCCGTTCTGGATCAGGGAGCATCTGCGCCAGCAGCGCTGTCCCGTACAGGTAGAACACATATGGGCCGTAGCTACGGTCGATCCAGTGGCAGACACCATCGCCTGCTGTGTCGTCTGCGGGCCCGCTGACCTGCCAGAGACGTGCCAACGACGCGCGTAGCAACTGCAGCCAGCGTCGTTCGAGTGTGCTGGCTAGCAAGCGCGCTCCAGCATGGGTGGCGTTCGCGTCGTCCACCACCACGCTGCATGCTGCCACCGGACTCGATGCATTGGTGATGAAACGCTGCCAGCAGCTTGTTCTCCAGACGGCCAACATCTCCAGAGCAGAGCGTAGCACGCCAAATAACGCGCCAAGAGTGACAGGTGCGCTCAGCGCCGCAGCGCCCTGGACATAGAATCCGTCGACTGATGTGGACGGCTGCGAAAACGGCGCACCCAGCGTATTCGAATGCCATGCATTGGGTACGCCCGCCAGGGCAACTACAGCGGTTGACGAGTCAACATTGCAGATATTTTGGAGCGATGCGGGTGTACCGTGATCATCATGACCGTCGTTATGATTACCATCATAATCGGCGGCGGCGGCAGCAGCAGCAGCAGCAGCAGCAGCAGGACGCAGCACCGTGCAGCCAAGCGCGTCACTTTCGGGACTGAACGGTCGCATCAGCTCCGTGGCCCATTCGTCCAGCGCCTGTGCCTGCAGACGCCAATCATGACGACCAAGCCGACGCTGAGCAGCATGTCCTAGTGTTGTTTCAGCGTTCGTGGTGGTTGCTAGCGGAAAAGCGATCCAGGTCGCGGCCTCAGCGCCGAGGTGAAGCGCCTGCTCCAGCAGCGGAGCACAGGTGTCCAACGAGAAGCCGCCAGTATGATGCGTACATGCCGCATTCACAACCTGGCGCCAGTGTCGGGTGCAGCACGCAAGCACCCGCTCATGCCAGCGTGCGAGAAGCGCCGCCAACGCAGGCATCGTCAACGTTGCTGACCCCGACGACGACGACGACGACGACGACGACGTGCATTCCTGACGCAGTGTCCGCCATCCTTGGAGGCTTTCGGCCAGCGCCGATGCTCCAAGGCGCCAGCACATCGGACTTGTCAGCAACACGGGCGCACAATGAAGCGCTTCGCTACAAAGCAGGTGCCAGCAGAAAAGACGTAGTGCCGAACGTAGCTGCTGCTGGGCATTTGCTTGCTCATTCACGCTTTCCGCCGCGTTTGCAGCGGTTACCGGTATCGTTTGCGGAATCGTCAACGGTAACGTCGGGAGACGAACATGCGCTGCCGATGCTCGCTCAAGACCAACAGCGACGGCTATCCACAGGGCGTCTCGCGCGCAACATATTCCCGACGACGAGGCACTGGTGCCGTCGAGCGCCTCGTGCACACACGTCGCCAGCGAATGCGCCGCCACAACGACTTGCGTGTCGGCATGCAGCGCCGTCAATCGCATCACCAGCTGTATGAGGTGCGGGAGAGCGGGCTCCGCTCCCTCTTGACCATCGGCGAAGCGAGAACCCGATTGTCGCAGCCACTGTCCTAGCACTGGGTCCGCGTCCGTGTACAAGAGCACCACGTCGTTCGCCAGCCGTTCCAACAGCGTTTGCAACATCGGCCAGAGCGTGAACTGGCAGCTCGTGTCGCGTGTCGAAAGCGAACAGCTCCACGCTTGCGACGCACCGGTTCCAGAAGCATGCTCGTCGTGCGCGTTCCACGCACCGCTCACATTCGTTTCCGCATGCGGATCTGCAGGAGCATCCCCGCAGCGCCGTTGAAGGATTCTCTGCAACATTTGATTCAAGTAGCCACTCCAGGCTGCGTAGAAGCTAGAGTCTGGGTTATCGCCAGCATACCGGCTGCGTCCAGCTGCGTCTGTAGCGGTTGCTGGCGGCGCGCTGTCCTGCTGCAACAACGACGACGACGCATCCACACCGTCCAAGCCGTCAATAAAAGCGTCAGCAGCATTCCACGAATCTGTAGCCTGCGAGCGCGTCCCTGCTGCCGTCACAGTCGAACGTTCCGCGACAATCAGCGGTAGAGGGTGTGATCTGCCAGCGTCGAAGCACTCGGGGTGCGCGAGTGTCGCCCGTTCGAGCGGCACCCCGGCTGGTGGAAGCCCGAGCGCATTATCGCACCACGCATTCGATAACGACGACGACGACGACGACGACAAGTCCAGCAATCGACAAAGTCGCAACAAATGGTCCGAAAGCGTCTGCGGACGCCATTCCGGGAGGCGTGTCTGTTGCTTACTGGCTCTGAACGCAGGTACGATGCTCGCGGGTGAACGCTGCTGATGCTGGTGCGCCCAGAATCGACTTGTACGCTGATGCGCAGCGTCGCCTTCATCACCCGGCAAGTCGTTTCCTGTCTCTTGTACAATCTGTTCCGTGTAACAATGCTGTGCGACTGCTGACCTCTGTGCAGAGCGGGTCTCCGTTTCCATCGGCGGCACTATTGCACCAGATGCGTTCATCGCTGCTGCTGCTGCTGCTGCTGCTCCTGTCGTCGTCGTCGTCGCCGCCGTCTGTCCAGCAATGAGTAGTCGTTGTGGTTGGCGGCGTTTGCGGCCAGAATGCCCCTCTGCTGTCGCCAACGGTGCCGGTAACCTCTGCGATGTTCCGCCGACCGCTCCAGAAGATGCCTCCAACGCTGGGAGTAGCGCGGTGCGCTGAGGCTGATCAGCTGCCCCAACCAGGTGACGCAGGCGCTGTACGCGCCAGTCGGGAGCTTCATGCACTGGTGAAGTGCTGCCCGACAAGGACGCTTCTTTGCCATCTGACATGGACGCCTGCAACAGCGAATGCACCGGCGCAGGTGCTGGTCCCCGCGTGGACGCCTTGCCTGCCCGAATCCGTTCCAGAATGCTTTCTAGTCGCTGCCTGCGGGCAGTCATAGAGCGCATGGAGCGAACGACACCAATAGCAACCTTGTCGAGGTTTGCATTGCAGCGGTCGCTTCTCTGGCCTGATGGTGCACCCAGCGAGGTGCCAGCATGCTCTGCCTCAAGAACGATACGATTCGGGCGCTGCTGATACCGCATCGCTGTTGCATTATGGCTCTCTGGAGATGCCACAGTAGGACAGCGCGCGTCATCGACTCCAAATGCATCCTGGTCAACAAGGTCGGATTCTGGTGAGGCGAGACGTCGAAGACGGCGCCGCTGCGGTACAGCCACTGGGTCTGCGGCGGGCGCTTGCATCACTTCCATCAGCGCGCCTCCGTCGACCTCAACAAAGGCCAGTTCGGGCGTTTCCGCTTGCGATCGAGAACGCAAAGTTTGGCGGCTGCCAGTGCGCGACTCAAGGCGTCGCTGATCAGGTGCAGGTGCGACCACACAGCATCCTGTCGAGGCGACGGAGGCGGAACGATACGCGAGTCTGCGTTCGCGTCGATGCCGCACATCCGCTTCTTCGTATGCTGCATCAGTTGTGGTGATGTATGCGTCGGGGTACGACCCAAGCAGGTCGATGTGTGTCGCTGGCAGTGAGCGGCGAATACTGCGCGCCTGTCGCTGTCCACCAGAGGCAGCGCGCACGTTGCGTCGTTGCGGTTCGCCTGCAGGGCGCTGCTGTCGATACCAATTTGCATTCAGAGCCAGGCTCGGATGCAGTTCCCGAATCCACGTATCGACTTGCCGCTCCATGGACTGGATCTCGGGCCACTGCCAGACCTCGCTGAGACAATTCAGCGCGTCAGGCGGAGCGCGCGTGTTCGGGTCCTCGCGCTCCGGATAAAGTCGCTTCAGCTCTCCTCGGGCATTGAAGCCGTACGTTGGATCGTGGATCTCGCCGCTGCGGATACATGCCCGGTAAAAATTGGAACACTGGTAGCCGCATCGTGACGGAATCGCTTTGCTGAAAATGCCCCAGCAGGTGCCTAGGCGCCATTGGTTGGCACGCCAGCGATCTAGTTCAGCGAAAAATAGGCGCCGTTCCGCAGGCGTCCACGTGTGGAGCGACTGCGTCTCCTCGCCCTCAAATTCACCAGGATCGGTATGCCGGTAGTAGTAGGCATTTGCGTTCTCGTGGCGATCTCGCCACGCTTTGAGGGCCGCTTCTGACCAGGAGGCAACGGCCTCACGAGTCCACTGGCGACTCACAACGCGGCGCAGGGTGTGCACGCGTCGTTGCGCATCCGGAGCCAGACGCAATAGTTGTCGATGCGGAACGCGAGCGAGTCCGACAATCGCCTGAACAGGTTCAAGGCGGTGAAGCTCGCTGCGCCCGCGAGCCCGGATGCGGGCACTCTGCACGAGACGCTCCCGGAATTGCCCCATATCCCTGGGCGGCAACAGCGACGAGCGACGCAAGCACCATGCTGCATCATCAAACGAGAGCCACGATGCTGCCTGCAGTCGATGCGCGTCTGTAGCGCCGCTGTCATACCACAGTCGTCTGCCGTACGACATGGGCACCCGCACACAACCCGACTCCATCAACAAGCGAAGACGGCGCAAGTTCCGCGCCGCCACCCGGAGAAACAGCGGAGCTTTTGTCGCTCGTGAATACCCAAGCGTCAGAACTGCACGTCGCCATTCGTTCGTATCACGCTGAACGGCGCTCTCGAATTCCTGGATCAGGTCTAGCAAATGGGAAAGATTCAGGACACTTGGAGCATCAGAGGCTGCAACGTGGAACTTCGGGCTCAGGGCGGGCGCTTGGCGCCGTGGCGGCCCTGGCGAGACTCTCTTCTCCAGGTGTGTTCGGGGCAGCGGTTGCACCGCATCCCACGCTGTTGAGCCATACGTTCCGAACTTGGCATCCGGTGAGGAAATCGAACCCGTCTCCAATTTCGTTGCGGTGGAAGCGCCAGTTACGCGAGTATCCGTCTTTGGAGTGGTCCCAGGGGAGCGCGTTTCTGGCCATGAACATGGCTCATGCTTGATGCGCTTGCCGCAGACACTTGCCATCATCGGACTGGAACTTGTGGAGACATCATCACAGTCTAGCGAGGATCGCGGAGACGCTTTGCTGTCCACAGGAATTCGTTCGGGCGATTCCACTCGAGTTTCGACGCGCGCTCGAGACTCTGGAAGCGCCCGGTGCGAAGACGCTCCCGCTGTCTGCGCTTCGACTGAATGAGATGCCACTCCCTCTGGCGTCGTCGGGGACGCTATCGAGCCGAATAAAACCCTTCTGGTGGTGCAGCGTGAAGTGCCGTCGTGCGTTTCTATCGATTGATGAATACGTTGGCGCTTACGTGGCGACAGCGTCCGCGTACCGTGCGCCGGCAAAGCAGCCGTGGCTCGTTCGCGCGCTTGCCAAAGGCCTTTGAGATCGAACTCATCAAAGGGACTTGCCGACCCGTCTGCAGCTGCATCATCTGGAGTCTGACGGTACGGTGGCCAGCAAGCGTTCTCAATAGACCCGCTCGGAGAGTGGTCGCTCAGCGGCGCGCAGGAGCGGTTGTCTTCGCTGAGCGTACCCAGGACTCGTGTGAACGACGCGCTGCATGAGTTGTCTGGGTCTTGCCGAGTGATCCCGTCCCGGCGAATGCCAGACAGCTGCTCGAGGGGGGCCTCGTCCTCGAGTGCCGTGAGAGTCCCAGAATCTGCTGCAGGCAACAGCGCAATCTCGCCGCTACTTCGGGATTCTGACTCACCTAGAGCGTGAGCCGCGGCGAATTTTGTCGCCACGATTCGAGCGGATCGGGTAGAGCTGCCGCTGCTGCTGTTGTTGCTGGAAGCAACGGGCGTCGAGCCATATGATGTAAAAATTCCGGTGTTGCCAGTTGTGTCGGGATGCTTCAGAGTGACAGCATGCGTCTCGTCTTGCGAAAGTAATGAGTTTGAAGGGAGCCTCTGTGCACCGACCCCGTGCCGTACCTCTCCCAGTGCATCATCATCATGGCAAGCTGACTCGAGCACGCTCCCATCTGGAGATAGCGTGCCGGATAACGCTCCGCTTGGTCGCTGCTGGAGGCATTCAGCGCGTTGAGCCGCAAGCACGGTCGCCGGCGCTGGCGCATCCGACAATTCCTGCCGCTCACCCGGACTTTGTCGCAGGCGACCCGCAGACGGCGACGGGTCACTGGACGGAACCGCCTCGTTCTTCGTGGAAGTCGCCGTCTCCGTCCATGCCAGCGCGGATACGCACGTGGAATTCTCACCGCCAGAAGAGCCGAATCTGCAACTATTTGTAGCATGATGACTCTCCGAACCTGGGATGTTTCGAGTCGTTCGCAATTGAGCAAAGCGAAGCTGCTCGTCAGCGCAGCCAATGAGGCCCACTACAATATCCAGAGCGCTAAGCCATCGGCCTTGTTGCATCTCAAGGCAACTGGTATTTGGTGGAATTCTGTTTTGCCCATTCTCGCTGTACACTTCGACAACGACATCGATCGAGTGATCAGACGCTGTGCAGGTTGACCCGACGCCGCAGAGCTCGGCACCGGTAGCCCGAACAATGGCAGCAACGGCGCGCGCATTGGAAGCAACAGCGACCATCCATGAGGCACACGTCCTCCCCCGCGATTCATTAGATGCTCCGTTGACAGCTGGGCAGAGCAAATAAACCCGCAAATCTTGCAACAGGCGTTTGCACCGACCGCTCTGTAATGACTCACGCCACCATCGTGCGGCAGACGCGACGCTGCGTTCTGCATCGCTCAGCGACTCTAGTGAAGCTGCCCATTCATGGTCGATCTCATTGTCGAGCCAACAGCCCGCACTCGCGGATGCCCGCAGGTATGATGCCCGCAGGATCCAGTGGCCAGTCGCTATCGCACACAATAAGCGAGCGCCGTGTGCTATCTCAAAGCGCGCGGGTAGAAGCTCAGTGACGATTGTATGGGTGACCTGGGTGGCTTCTTCAAACCAGTCGTTGCTGTGAACAGCACTTTCGCTGACCGCTCCGGTTTTCCGTCGGTCCGCTGAGGCTCGCTCCGTGACGCTCGATCCGCTCCCGTCAGGATAGATCCACGTTCCGTGGATAGAGCGTGCCGTTCCTACCCACGCCGTACAGAGTTCCTGAAGTCCCAGGGATCCTCTTCGTGTAAGAATGAAACTGATTCGCCGCGAACTGGGATCCCCAACGGTTGCTGAACCGCACACCGCGGCGCTAGCGCTTGACTGCATGCATAGGCGCGCTTCCCGTTGCTACAAGTTATATCCAATCAACGTGCTCTTTCACTGCAACTGCTTCGGTAACCTCTTCAAAATCAACAACCACACCTATTTCCCTATGACTTTTGGTAGAGAACGGCACTGGTAGCCGAGAGCGCGCTCCCGAAGAGGAGCCAAAACGGTGCGCTGCGCACTGCCGCTTCCGGACCCCGCGTGCGCGCCAAGGCAGCGCAGTGACGATTTCGGGCGAGCACGCAGGGCGCCGAACAGCGATGCGTGCACGGACACGTATGCATAGCGATGCGTGCACGGACACGTATGCATAGCGATGCGTGCACTGTATGAACGTATGCATAGCGATGCGTGCACTGTATGAACGTATGCATAGCGATGCGTGCACGGACACGTATGCATAGCGATGTGTGCACTGTATGAACGTATGCATAGCGATGCGTGCACTGTATGAACGTCGATGCATGCACAGGTACACGTTTGCATCCGCAGGGGCGCACTCCATTCAGTGCAAGCAGCGCTTTCAAGATCAACTAGAACGTCGCAAGACGCGTACCAAGCACGGGTGCCCGAAGATAACGTCTGCCACGAACTGGGATAGAGTTATCGCCAACCACAAGCTCTTTCTGTCACTCCAGAATAGAACCTATGTATGTAAGTCAAACGCAAAATGTTCTACGGTCATGTGGATGAAATGGATACCCTCGTGCTGACACCACCCAGCCTTTTTGGATCGCTCACCTGCTATCGGCTTCAGTTCATCCAGGCGCAATTCCTGCCTGAGAGGCTGCTCCACAAAGCTGGATGGCGTCAGCTCTTTAAGTCTCGTCATCAGCACAACACATCGCCTCATATAATTCGTGGCGTGCAAGTCTCGGTTCACGCACTCCACGTGTCCGTTACCTGTGGTGGAACTCATCAATTCAAGAAGTCCTCGAACTTTCGCCTCCATTTCGACGTTCTGATGTGTGCACCCCAGCGCATCCACTTATTTTCGAAATCGAATACACTCCATTGTGCCGGTAGGCGAGGACGTTCCTGGAGGAAGTAGGACTTGCGGATGGGAGACGAATTGTGTCTCCGTACGTCACTGTGTGATGAACGCTGCAGCGATTCGCCCAATGCAGCGATCATTGCGTATCACAAGAGAAAACTCTGCTTCGATGGGTTTCAACCGCGGGCTGTACAGAGGAATGAAAAGGAGCTCCATTAACCGCCAGAATCGGCAAAAACTCGGACGCAATCGGAATGGTGAAATGTCTTGTGGTTCAGCGGAGGAACGTAGCCAGGTGTCCGGTGAAAGTCATCAATAATTCGACAAAGTGAATGCTGTTGCTGCTTGGGCCTCGCATTCGACTTTCGGTCGTACATACAACGGGCTCCCTCTCCGCGCATACCCATATACGCTCCGACGGTTTTATCCGAGCAGAGTCTCGTCGAAGAAAAAGGAAACAACCCGACGCCCCCATGCTTCATCCCGATTGCGACGTTCCAGAAACGCTGGCGTTGCGATTTCGGTCGAAGATGGCCGTGCTTGAACTAGGACGTTTTTGCGATTTTATCCCTGTTTTTTCAGGACCACACGAATAAGATATAGAGTATCAGACACACCCATGGTGTCTATTATCATCGCTTTTGGTTTCCGTAAAAGGTTATCTACGGATGTTGTTCTATCGTTGACCGCAAGCACGCTTTGAGAATATCGGGTTTTGGCGCGGAGCGCATATTCTTGGTTCTTCCAGTGTTCCTCAACCGTTGGAGCAAGGTGCTATGACTGACCTGAAGGAGAAATCCATTCCACCGTGCACTGTTCAGTTAAGAATATATCTCGTACGGGCAATTCGTCCACGATCTATACTATGCATTGCATCGTGATGTCGATCTCCTGCAGTGCACCATAGGGAGAGTGGAATAAATTTTATTCTTGAAAAACTATGATTCGCTGCGTTTCTAAGCGTCCGTGAAGAGCACTAGGCACAGCGACTAGCAGCTTGCGCAAACGGTCTACAGTACACATAGCACCCATTGCAAACTGTTCATGCATCCGTGTCGGCGAATGCGTGTCGTGCACGATGCGTGCATCGCGCAGCGGCATCGACGCCAACAGACACGCTCGCAGTGACATGTTGGACAGCACCCCAGCAACAGGCCATAGGGCACTGATTGCCTGGCACGCACCCAACGGCGAGCTGCGAATGCGTGCTCTCGGGCAAGGCTGCGGCGAAACTGCCCAGAGCCGCAACATCGGCCAAGCGTCCACGTTACGTCGATGCGGCATAGAAGCCCCCAGGTATGGCTGATGCGTGCCTCTTGCTGGCATGGCATCTGAGATGGAAATTGGAGCGTAAAGTAGGTGAAAAGGCGGCTGCGGCACCTTCACGGAAAGCGCTGTGTTGGGCGCTCCGATTTCCGTCCCACACGGTGCCACGACAGAGGCAACTCCTCGAAATGCTTCGCACTGGTACCTGATAGACTCGCTGGAAGAACAATATTTCCTCCAACCGACACCATGAGAGTCATCGCAAAGTCGTCGCGCCTCTGTAACAAGTCTACAGCAGCACACGCACTGGCGATTCCCTCTAGCGCGGGTAGTCAACGCTACTACCGTAGGAGCGCAAGATGGACCAGGTCGCTTTTCCATTCGGGTGCACTGTACTGTGAGCGCGAGAGCATCGAAACGCCCATGAAGAAACCAAAGTGCCTGTCCAAACGGCTGGTACAAGTAGCCTCATCGGGGTATCCTGCTTTGATCCATCGGTTCTGCACCGTCAAACGGAAGCAATATGCAGACGTCGGTGTAGAAACTGAGAACCATCCCATGTGCCAGAGAACCTGCACCGTGCAGCGAGGAACGAAGCATAAGCTGGGTCCTCATTTCGGGTGTCAAGCACCTGGAAGTGTCACTGGCCTCTGGTCGGGTGCTCTGCGATGCGTGAGCGTCCCCCCGCTGGCGATGATGCCGTCCTAGGGCGTCGTCAACGTCGCGATCGCGCAAACAACCTCGCCTCGGAGTCGCCCTCAGAACTGAGCAGGGCGTGCGCTTGGAGTACCTGTATCGCGGCTGGCTTCGCTGCTGCACACCTGTCTCGATATCTGTTGCCAATTATACTTACGATTCATATACGTTTCTGTACAAGCAGCAGCGGCTGAGTACCCCGCACTCGATGCCGCGTGCCGGCCTCGCGCCTCGCCAAGTTTTTGGTGGACAGAACAGTCATACTGAGCAGAAAACCCCAATCGCTCGTTGGACAGCATCATACAGGAAAGCAACCATTACTGCACACCATATCTCCAAGATCTGGTACCCACCGCCAATACTTCGGAACGGAGCTACTGGTCGTTGTGTGCACGTCCCAGGCCAGCGCGTCCTCGAGCAGTCGCAGTCGCAGTCGCAGTCGGCGAACGTTTCGAACGGCACTGCACTGCACTGCACTGACAGCGTTCGATACTCGCTGTAGCTCGACCGAGTTTTGCTTTGAACAAATGCGGCGAAAACGACCGCACAGTCTCCGCGACAGCTCCTCAGAGGATGGTTCGGAAAGTTCTTCGGAAACAGCGTCCACAGAGAGTAGCGATCCAACGACCTGGTTGGCAACAGCTCGAGAGCTGCGTGCTCGGATTGACGCTTTGTTAGAGGCCCGCGCACGCTTACACAAGCCACTCCAGACTGCAGCGAAGCTTCCGCATGCCCCACTGTACAGAGCTTTCTGCGAATCCAGTCCGGAAACTCAGGATTTGTGCGTTCAGTCTTCCACTGCCGCGCGAAGAGTGCTCGAGTTGTGGCTTCGCGAGGCGGCGGGCCAGCAGGCGCAACAGGCACCGGCGAGCAGCCAAGCGCTCGAGGCGTCGCTGGCCCAGAGGCACCAAAAGCTGCTTGGGCTGCGTAAAAGCGTACTGGAGCGCATACATCAAGAGATAGTGGTACCTGAACAAACACCAACGACGACTGGGCGAAACGAGGCGCTGACGACCTTGGGACAGGGTCTTGAAAGCCAGCTGCAGCGCCTGCTGTCGGACGTGCACTCTCGCGAACGCATTCGTCGCATTTTCCAGGCCCGACGCAAAGGAAGTGAGCCGGTTGTCAACAGAGGAGTCGCACAGGCGGGAAATTCCGGTAGGTATGATCCGGAGCATTTCGATGACGCGGAACTTTTCTATCGCATCATGCAGCAACGAATCGCTGAGAATGACTGGGACAAGAGCTCTTTGCCGGCCGAAAGATCAAAAGGCACCATGGCGAGCCTCATACACAACGAACATCTGGATCCAACAACAGCGCTCATCATTGAGCGGGCAAAGCATCGGCTGCGCAAGTATGCTGCGGAAGAGCGCCACGCTAGCAAGGGACGGCGGCTCGTGTATACCGTTCACGATCGCTTGGTGGGATTCATGGCACCGCGACCACTGCCACAAGTCCGTCCGCTACCAGGTGCGATGCCCATGGAGACCTGAACTATTCCCGTGTCTTGCATGGCGGGCGAGATGACCGCAGCGAGCACTGAGGAGTTCGATGGCAAGCAGGCGAACCTGGTGGAAGCGCGCCATCGTCCCGGTGCTACCGCGAGGCCTAACACAGTGCCTGCCGCCTGGAATGAGCATATTCGGACATGCCTCGTCGCAGCGTGCTCCGCACGCTCATAGAGAGATGTTACGAACCGACGTCAGCAGAGCGTGAGCCAGTAATGACGAGCCTAACAGTTGCTCTTCTGATGCGATTCCAGAAGCCTCTGACGATCGCTTCGCAGAGATTCGATGTCCTTGCCCTGGAATCAGTCTCGTGTTCGAATTCGGTGTTGTGTATTCCATAGCCAAGAGCTGGCGAAGCGTTCGTAGCATGAGCTCGTCAGCTCTCATGTCTAGCGGATGGCAACGCTGCCGTGGAGCGGCGACCTGATCTTCGGCGTTCGCCCAGGAAACCTGTGCTAGTCGTAGGATTCGTCCTTGATACCCATTTCAGAGTCAAATGGAAGGGGCATGCTGACTCGAGCGTGCACTCTAAAGTTTGGGTCTGCTCCCATTGTGATGAATACCAGATTTTGCGAGCTCTTTCTGCAGCCTCTTCCGTTTCTGAACGCTTATCTCCGACGTTCAATATATCGGTATCTCCTGTCACTCGAGCTCAAATGACAGCAGTCGATGGAATATTGCTGGGAGCGTTCAAGTCCGGGTTTCGCAGCTTCCGTCAGGTGTCGACGTATGGCATGCTCAGGCGGAAGTTGCGCTCTCGGCTTTGCATGACATTTTCACCTCCTTTTGAACACAGCGCCGGTGCATCCTGAAACTTGCAGGGAAACAGGGCATGAAACATAGACGCATGCACGATCTGGTATTCTTCATGCTGACTGAGCATCACATGGCGAGGCAATGGAAGGCAAGTGACTCGCGATAACGTGAAAACACTAGTAAGCATGCGCGAAGGCACGTGCTGCACCGAGACTTGAACGCCTCGACCAGCGTCCGGAAACGTCTCCTGGTTCGGAGCGTGCAACAGCTTTGTGTCAAGCGAACTTTCGAGGAGATCGTTTTGTGTTTCTTGTGTGTATTGTGGTGAAACGCGGAAGACTTGCGCGATAAAATCACTAGACAGGAGGTAGGGCATCGGACGCTCGAAAAGACCAAGGCACTCGTATCATACAGTTCAGAAATCTAGCAGGGCTGGAGCGCCTTGAAGAAACACTGGTAAAGACTTTTCCCGGCAGTCGATAGACAATAATGGTTTCTCCTAGTCTGATATTACTGAGAACATTCCGCTGCGTACTTCTTTGGATAGCCGCATCGAGAGTTTTTTCAAACGTCTTGTCCGCTGCTGATGAGGCCGGCTTGCCTGTGGCACCATAAAGCCTGTCTCTCTGAGCGCACACACGTTTAAACCGGCCGAAGAACTGGACGCTGTACACCGCGCAGCCTCTAGAAAAATGCCGGCGTTCATGACAGACCCTATACAACGTCCGGAGCGCAGCACGAACTTACACCCACGAGTGCGTGGACGGATTGCCGGCGCCTCTTCTCGATACTACCTATGAACGACAAACTAACGTCCCTTTCGTACATGGATCTCGTTGGTAGCAGCTGCACCACGCGCAAAATAACCTGAAGAGCCGTGGTTGGAGGTACCTCGCTCGTTGCAACGAGTCGGTGCTTCCAACATACTTCTCGACGCCGTCTCCAGTGCTCGTCTCTACGCGTGCTTACGATCCCTATTTCCCTAAAACCAAGACATGCACCTTATGTATGTACTGTTTAGCAATCAAAACAGAGATTCGTCTCCGCTATGGTGCACAGACCCTGGTCTTCATCTTCCAACGCAGTCGAGTGCGCAGCCGGTTTCCGAAGAAAATCTGCCTCGTCTTTGCAAACAATCTCCGTTACGGTCGTACGTCGACACTTGCACAGACTATGTTTGCGGTGACCCGCGGAGCTCAGTCTCTTCTCTTTCGGAACGTTATGTGCGCTTGAAAGGTGTTTCAATTCCGCCACTAGCCACTTTTTCTCGGCATGCAACACCAAGTATGTTGCTTGCGAGAGGTGCTCGCAACGACCGACGGTCGTGATAAAGTCTACCGCCTGGTTCAATTTACTGCAAAGTTCGTGCGCGGACCCTATACTGAACTGCTTATAAAAGATCCGGAGCGTGTTCCACTACTTGCACAAAAAGCGCTCACTTTGGAACTGGTGCTCGCAGATGGTCGGAAGCTCTTTCGTTTGGCTCGCGGCCTCAACGTGCTTGCAAAGTACTGGAACCACCAACGCACCACAAAGGGCGGCACACTTGAACTGATCTTTGGAACACCAATTTTGCAGCTGCTGGCTGATTTGGGCCTTTTCTGTTACTTTGGTTTTGATCATCTCGTCTGGTTATACAGAACGGGACTGTTTTTGGAACCTCCTGGCCAAAAGCGCGCACGCTTCTGGGGTCGCTGTGCGGGATACAGCCTCCTCCTATCCAGCCTTGCCTCATTTGCGCTCTATGTTTATCAGCTCTGGTCTATTCTTAATCGGAAACGACGCTCTGATGAAAAGGGTGCCAAGGACTCGATCTCAGCACTGGCAGCTACTGCGTTGGAGCCTGAGCGACCACCTCCCGGAAGCTTTGAGACTGGCGTGCTCGCCAGAGCTGTGCGTTACGGATGTGACATCCTTGTAGGCTTGAATATGGCCGAACCAGGACAGCATTCTCAGACACTTGTAGGGGCTGCTGGCGTCCTGTCCTCTGTGCTCCAGCTCGCCCAGCTCTGGCCTCGGCGTCGTTCGCGGATCACGGAAGGCACACCTACTGCTGGAATGGACAAACTAGGAGCGACAGCTACGGTGCATGCTACAGCAGAAACGCTACCGACAACAGGGCCCGCTACAGAAACCTCGCACGCGGTTCCTAACTCCTTGAATGCCGCTGCTGAGCAGCAGTCCAGCGAAAGCGGAAACCATTCGCCCAAGCCGCGTCATCGCAGTCGCCGCAGGGGTCCCCCACGAGCATCGCGACCGTCGACATCTTCGTAACGAGGACATTTACGTTCGAGACCAAATCGAGAAGCATTTGGCGTATTCCATGCGTTCCAGCGACAAAGCTCATGACGTAAGCCAAGTGCATACCCGCCTGCTTTGCGATCGTTCAGCATGGCGCAGTGGGTTTTTCTCCCGCCCCGAAACGACGCTGCTCAAAAAGCGGACAAGTTTTCACAGCCGAGTAAAGACCTGCTGTTCGTAGCTACTTCAGAAGCAGTTGTGCTGCGCGACCAGGGTTGCGCTCTCTGGTGTGCGGCGGAGGAACGTAGAGAGAGCCACATGATTCTTAGAGAAGCGCATCCTACACAGCGCGGGAGCCTCCACGACAAGGAGCTATGACGAACCGGCAGTCTTGGATCTGGCAGCTGATGAAGAGCTCTCTAGTTGATATGCGAATGCGCAGAAGAAGCGAATGAACGTCCCGAAAGCAGGTTTGGAATGCACTGCACGTATGCACCCCCGAGAGCGGGCGCATTACAAGCCAGCTGCGAGGATGAAAACTCGCCAAAACGCCTGTTGCCGGTTGCAGCGAAGGAACGTTTCTTTCGTGCACTTTTTATAAAAGGAATACGCAGACACCCGCCAATGTGCCACATGTAGCGAACAATGAGCTACATGCATAGATGGATATCTAAATGCTTCCATATCTAAATGCTTTCGTTGATGCATTTACCTATGCAGATATAGTTGCTTGTATGGATACATAAACTGGTGCTCGCGTTGATTCATGCAATCTTTTCGAAATACAAGACCCTTGAGTCCATCAACACGCTCCCAGAGTCGTAAACACTGCTGTTTATCGAAGCCGCAACTATAACCCCTCCACAGATACTTTTATTTCCAGCAAGCAAAGTCGAGCTTCTTCCTGGGACATTCTGACTCGCTCGTCTGCTCCTCTAGAAGCCATGCGCTTAGTGCTTGCCCGCAACTGCGCTGAACACACCACTGTGGGCAACTTGCTTTTAAAGAATAGCAACGCTGGATCGCTTCTTCTGGAGGGTGTCGGCATGAAACGTGGACGACTCGACGCCGGTGCATGTAGGCGACCACATTTCGCTTCAGAGCAGCATGCGCAGCAGCACATCATATGACCAGAGCTGTTCATAGAGAAACTTTTGTTTCTCAACATACCAAAGTCTACATCGCCACGACGGACAGATGGCGCTCGCGCGAGGAAGCGGTCGTAGACCTTCATTGCACCGTTCCGCCAGACTCTTCATCGGATTCAGCGTTTACACGGACTCTGGTCAGCGTCAAAACCTCTCAACAACATGAATGCCCGTTTATGAGATCGAGCACATATCACTTTCCGAAGCAGTGCACTGGAATCGATGTCTTCCGTTTACACACACGAAGCGAAAAAACTTGTGGCTTTGGCAGTAGCAAACGCTGACTCAAGTGCGAAGCATTCTGCGACTAAACCAGTTCACGCGCTTGATCGCAATCAAGTCAACAAGCCAATCGTCAATGAACTTCGGTAAACGCGGCTCCAGGCCCAAGTCGGCAGCGACTCGGTGCGCAGCAGCGAAACCGCTGAACGCTACCGCATTGAGACCCTGGCCGGGAAACGAGCTATCACCGACGCAGTACAGACCACGCACTGCAGTACAGTTGAAAGGCATCGTGAATAAGCCTTGAAGCAGGCGATGCGTCATTGGACCGTAGGTTCCGTCTTGCCTACCTAGAAAACGCCGGTGCGTGCGAGGCGTCCCCACATGCATTTCCTCGATGCCTGCAGCAAGTCCAGGAAAATGGGGCTCGAGACGCTCCAACAGTCGCGCCGCATAGCGCTCCTTCTGCTCCCGGTACGCGGTCGGCGATAAATGTTTCCACTCCTCCATCCACGATGGCGTAAAGACGTGAAAGATGTGGCGGCCCTCGGGGGCAACGCTCTGGTCGAGAACTGTGGGTATCGAAACAAACAGCGTGCCCAGCGCGCCATGCGCTGTCTCCATATCCTCCCAGCGCTCCAGAATGATATGATGGCAGTCCTCGAGGTTGCCATCCTTATTTGAGAGCGCATCTCTCCTAACGCCGATATGCACCGACAGGAAAGAAGGTGCTTTCACGTAGAGTTGCGACCAGAGACGCTCTATTTCCGGAACGTGTTCAGCGTTCACGAGTGCCCGTCGTCCTGGCCTAAACTCTTGCGCGCCTGCTCCAGAAACAGCTGCAGCAGCTCTAAAGTGCTCTCCAGTCTTGCGATCATGCGAAGAAACTGTCGTCGTGGGTGATGAAAATTCCGGCGATACGGCAGGTTCATACGAACGGCTCTTCTGAGGCAGCAGCGCTTCTAATACCGTTCCCGAGTTGTCCGCGACGCTGCCGCGTGTTGGTGTGTCAGCAACGACCGCTGCTGCTACCGGAAGCGAGGCATGCGCTGCGGTGGTCGCACTAGCCACTTCCTGCACCGTCTCTGGCTCAAGGCCAAACGTGTCCCAGCGTGTTGCATTCGAAATAATAGCTCTGGCTCGAAAACGCCTGCCATCCGCGAGCCGAACGCCTACCGCTCGTTTGCCACCTGGAGCACTAGGATCCGACATCATCTCTATCTCGGTCACACGAGCACCGTAAAAGACCTTGCAGCCTGGAAAGCACCTCTCGAGACCTGCAGCAAGCCGCTGGGCAATCTGGCCTACACCGCCACGAGGGTAGTTGACGCCTCCATAGTGGCGATCACAGAAGACCATACCGGCATTGATCATTGGGGTGCGATCCGCGGGCATCACCGACCATACATAACAATCAATATCGATAAAACGGAGCAAGGTCTCATCGCGGATGTGCCTGCGAGCGATCGTACCGACATTGACCCCGAGGTAGCGCAGGAGCGTGAAACAAGCACCAGGATTTTGGCGAAAAACTCGCAAGAGGTAACGAGGCTCCTCGAGAGAGCGCAGCTCCAATGCATTGAGTGCTCGAAACACTTGCCAGCACTCGCCGTAGAAACGATGAATCCCCTCTTTTTCTGCAGGAAAGCGCTCCGTGAGCGCTTGCAGCCATCGCTTTTCATCTCGATAGACAAGGAGATGTTGCAGCACAGGATCAGGGCAATGGTAATGAATCTGTACCGGGTCGGGGATGGTTTCCAGGTGTTCGCCAACTGCAGCGAGTGCCTTAGTTAGCAGGTTCGTGGAGCCAGGCTGTTCTCCGAGGCCAAAGATCATGGATGCTCCCACGTCGAAAGTGTAGCCACCGCGCCGAAAAAAACCAGCGGAGCCTCCTGGAATCAAATAACGCTCAAATACAGCGACTTTGGCGCCTCTCTGGGCCAGCTGCGTCGCTGTGACCAGTCCACCAATCCCGGAACCTATGACGAGTGCGTCAAAAGCTGTGCGTATCTCCGGAGCTGCAGTAGCAACTGCAGCTGCTCCATCGTCTACGTTAGCGCTCAGCTGTGGTGCTCCGTGCCGCTCAGGACGCTGACGAGCGGTCTGGTACTGGCGCCCAGCCCCGGAGCAAGTCCGTTGGAAACGACGTGTGGGCTGTCTCCAGCCTCGCTGAGGCGTGAACCGCCTTAGATGAGATAGACTCGGTGACCATGACGTCAAAAAAGCATAACCTCTATCGTGAGCTGCAGGCATTGAAGTGCTCCGAGCTGCAACGTATACCCGAGGCGGTGTTGCTGGCCCCGCAGACCGCAGTTCAGTCACTCTGGGCAAAGGAGGCGACCAAAGCTGCGCATAGCTCTGGTGCATCTGCAGCAGCCGTTGCGGCTCTTGAGGCTCACGTTTTTGATCCCGTCCACGATGCTTGGACATGTTCAAGCGTTTCCTAGGGAGCTGTCAATGATAGCGGCCGAGTGCCCAGATCAAGGCCCCCGAAACGCAAACGGCTCGATATAGCTCCTGAGCCTCGACCGCCGTGTTCCGCCTAGCATGACGGAGGCTCGGATGTATCGCGGTTGGGGCGTGAGGCTCTCTCCTCGGTTTGAAAGAAAGACGAGCACATTGGAGTGTTCGGCACGTTTCCAGACGCGTTCTGGCATCTCTTATAAAGTTTGAAGCACATCGTAAAGACCAAGCTCTGGATACTCACTCTGCAGGTACATGAGGAATGACTCTATCATATTACCGTACGGCTGCATTGGAACGAGTGAGATGGGAAGAGTTCTCTGCTGATCTAGAAAACGAATCAACTTATTCCACAACCTCCGAGGTGAATCTCTGGCCGTCACCGCTGTAACTTTTATAATCACGGGGAAGTTCCTCAGGATGACCACTGAGCGCTATCCGCTAATGGCTCGCACAACCAACTGGACGCATGCTGAGGACTATCCAGATATTTCCTACTCTTCGGTGTCGAGACGAGTGCCTCTCCAGTGCACTTGTCAAATAAGTGCCCTCAGACTTGCCGCTTGCTCAGTGACTCAGAATATTGCGAGTCACAAGTTTCTGTGCTGCGCTTGCGAGTCTGCCATCGGGGCGAGCGCATGCTGCAAGTGAGATGTACATCGTCTTCCGAGGAAGATGCTCAACAGGTATGCAACCGAGAACTACTCCATGCATCGACATAGACGAATATCCTTGCCTGCTCTGTGCAGCATCCAGCAAGCAGGTGTACCGCAGGTGCGCTACGAAGCCCTCACCCATTCACCGGTATATCCGTACATCGCTCTCCAGTCGGTGCATCGTGCAGCGAATATTGCTGTTCTCGACCTTCAGGACAATGACGCGTAGGGTCGTCCAAGCCCCGCCGACTTTAGATTAGCTTTGACGGCGCACGAAACGACAATACCTTGGCTGCCTCTGAGGTGACTTGCTGGACACCTCCGCCAGTACGCACACCTGCTGCGTGTGAGCAACGAGCCGCACTGTAGACAAGCTGCTTCGTCGCCGTTGCTGAGGACAGGATTTCAGAGTTTCTGCGTTCATTGTGAACCCTCGCAGGGCATTATTTACTATGCGAGCGCTCGACGCATGTAAAAATTGTGTTCCAGACGACAGATTTCGGACATGAACGCAGAGCCACCTGGCACAGAACGTAAACGGGGAGCGGACGCACAAACACCGTTTTCGTCCGTTTCGGAACGTCACCCGCACCCGGTGCTCACAACGACCCAGCAACGGAAACGACTGGTACTGCCCTACACACTGCAGTGTTTACGGTGTCAGACTTATATACAGCGGGGACGCAAGCTAACCGTTCGGCGAGAGTCGAGTACTGCGGTGCACGCTCCATCGGAGCACCGCAACTGGCGGTACCTGCTGTGCTGTCCTCGGTGTCGCGCTAGGTTCGCCCTCCGACCGAGAAAAGATGCCCATCTATATAGCTTGGAGAGCAGCGACTCAACAGAACCTCTGCTCGTTCGAAATGCAGACCTGATAGCGCCACAAGCGCACGAGAATCCGAGCTCCGTCCCGGACGAACTTGACGCAGCTATCACTGGGTTTATGCAAGAGATGCAGAACCCGCGTAACGTCCGCACAGAGCACGAGACACTTCCATACAAGTTGACAGATACAAGCGCAAAATCATCTGTGGTGAAGCGAGCTCGACGTGCATCCAGGTCGCTGCCGGGGCCGAGCCTCGCCCAGTTCCTCACTTCGGCTGAGTCCATCTTCGATGAGGAGCCTCTCTGGAACAACAGCTCATCTGTGGATAACTCGACTAGCAATTTCAACGTGTAAGGCAGCGTGATCCACTGCAAAGTAATGCGACTAGCCAGCTGACTTGCATGCTCCCCGTCACAGAAGCGCTGTGCTGACCGCGGCATAAGTTTCGCGAGCAGCACCGACTTCTAAAGCAGGACCCAACTCCATGCCTGCTGAAGCTCGTCAATCGAAGAAAATGTTCTGGAAACAAGTCAAAACTCGGCGATATATCGCCAGTGTCCAGAACCTCGCTTTGTGATGATGCCGCGTAACACGCCGAACATGCGAGTTTTCGAGACGTCGCTACACTGCGACAGTTACCGCGTTTCCCGCTGAGATCTGCTTCGTAAAAGCTTCATTCGATAACGGGAACCGCTGCAAGGCACAGAGGCTCGTATTGGTAGAACAACAAACCGCTGCGGAAAGAGGCCATCCCGAGCGTCGCCATTCCTAATGCCACGTAGAACGCCCCCTAAAGTCTTTCCTGAATGCAGCATCGAACAGAGAAGAAGCTCGCATTCGCGTCCTTGACCAGCGCTCGGCGCTGAGCGGCTCGGATCCCGAGCAGGTGACAGGTCGCAGCATAGTCATCCTTTCGTGGACACCGCGTGACTACGAAGATGAAGGTCGCAGCATAGTCATCCTTTCGTGGACACCGCGTGACTACGAAGATGCAGGTCCTTGCGGTCGGCAGAGAGCTTTGCGGCAGTCTGGAGGATTTCGCGCCGACGCCTCACCGTTCACAACGCCGTGCCTTAGTGCTTCCGAATAGTTGCACAAGAACGACCTTCCATACACTAGCTCAACGTCGATCAGTGCTCTCGGCTTCCGTATCCGGGTCTCCGGCTACTTTGTACCTCTCGTTCCTGAACGCAACACCAGCGAGTTTGTAGTCAAACAACGCATCATCACCTTGTGCGAGCAGGAACTGCGCTGTTGCCTCCATGACAGACGGCGCATACAATAACATGTGATGAGGCAGCCGCACCCGCAGGAACCAATGTCGACTCGGTAGCCAGGTCTCATGAACGCCCACAATACCATCACTTGGTGCAACCTCCGACGCTGCACTGCTGATAATTTGTCCACGCCCCCATGCAGACTCTTGGGACCGGACCTCGGGAGACCGCGTTCGCGTAATAAGTGGGTTAATGGGTCCCATGTCGCCGGCAATCACCAACACAGGCATGGAATCGGGCATGCCTCCTCGGCGGAGAAACCATTCGGCAGGCATTTCGAGCAACTCACGACCCGCGGCAGGCCCCAGTAGTGTCCTCGCAAGCCGTTCGATAATTCGATACGGCATTCGGCCGTGAGCCTCACGGTGTCGAAGCGCTCGGGCAAGTGCAACACCACCAAACGGTGGTCCCAGACAGACTGCTCGCCCTCGACGTGCAGCCTCTGGCGTCAAGCGTGCCGTGTGCCAGGCGGTACCCGTGAGCGCCTCCCGCAGCACCACGCCACCGAAGCTATGTGTTACGAAGGAGATGGAACCGAGTCGTGTCGGAAAAGCGTCTGATCTGAGACCGGACTCAGTGGCAATAGAAGCGAGGAACGCTGCCAAGTGCAGTCCATGCTCCTCAAGCGTGTGCTTTCGGGCAGCGTAGCCGTAGTTGTACACGTTGAAGCCGCAGCGCTTGAGGGAGCTCGCGAGCGGTACGAGTTGCCAGCGGAATCCGCCAAACCCATGAATGCACACGACAATTCGTGAAGGTTGTGCTGCGGCTGGGTGCATGCAGCATAGAACCACTTACGGAGAACGCAGTCTCGCTTGTGTGCAGCGCATAAAACAGAACAAGGCGTCGAGCGGCGAGCGCAGCGGTGCAAGTCGACAGCCCCGAACAGGCTCGAAAGGTCCGGTGAACTTGCTCCGGGTTTTGTGCTGGGCTTTGCATCCGGTGACACGAACTTGACAGTCAAGAATAAACCTGTTGCTTCCAAGGAATTGACACGCTTGTTTGCGAAGGTACGACTTCGGAAACGCCGAGTAGTCCACGAAAACTCGGCACTGTAGAAGAACACTGTTGCTTTCAGGGACTTGCTCGCGCGAGAAGACACATCGTCGAAAACAACACACGGTTTACCACATCGCAGCAGCGTGAGAGAGGGCTTTTGCTTCCGAGGAGTCGAGTCACATGTCAGAGGGTCTCTTTCGTCTACCCTGTACAATAGCTCGGGACGGTGCGCTGACCGCGCACTCCGTGGCATACTGGGTTGTGCGGAAGAGCGCCACGGACACCGGACAGCAACAGGGACCAGAAAGTGAACTCTGGGAGAGTTCGTTCCGAGGTCACCGCCTCTGTGGCGAGCAGGTCACCCTGAACGAGTCCGTTAGCCCGACATGCGGTCCGTGTCCGACAGACTGCCCCCAGTTTACCGTCATCGGTCCAAGCAGCGCTGCTCCTGGCTCCGATCATGACTGGAGACGACTGAATCTAGTATACACTACCGATAACGTCATTGCATTCGGATGGGATACTCCAAGTGGACAGCGAGGTACCCTGGAAGCCGTTGCACTGCGCTGGAGAGCGTTAGCGGCTTTGGCGAGCCTGCCCAGCGCGGACACCAGTGAAGAAGCGAGCGATATCGCCGTACCGGAAGAAATCTAGGTTTCATTCGTGCTCACCTGTGAAAGGTGTGCCCGCGAGAGCAGATCATTCCAGGTCGTTGAAGGATCAACGAGCATGGCTCACTCGCGAGCGATGCCGCTGCTCGCCGAGAACAGACTGCATCAGCGATCGAGAAGCCGCGTCTACTTCCCAAAGAACGCAATTCATGTCGACAAGCTGCATCCCGTGCTGAAAATTGGCACCTTGCCCGCTCGAGAATGTGCTTCTTCCGTCAGCAGACTACAGGGGCGATTGCTGCATATGAAAATTTCTTCGGAAAGGATCACTCGCTCTCGAGACTCGCCTAACACAAAGCTGCGGTAACGCTCGTAGACTCCGCGCGAATAATCCGGACTGCCTGTTCGGTCACAAGATATCGCTCAACTTGCGTCATCCAATCCTTACAGATTCGCGAGACCAGTGAGTCTGCAGGAATCTGCTGAAGGTGCTGGAGCGCGTGCCGAAGATCACCGCGTTCCACGCAACGGCGAGCCCACAGCAGCCGCTGCTCCATCGTTAGCGCCAAACCTGTGCCTGGCTTTGTTTGCTCTTCCGCTCTTGCGTCTTCGGCGTCCAGAATCTGGATGACGCTGACTTGGTCAAGGTTCTCTTCAAGTCGATTGGTCTTCAACCAGGCAGCTATTCTTGCCAGCCAGTAACCCCAGACCCCTCGATTGGCCGGCATGAGCGCTGCGACTCGGCTCTCCGGAAAGACGTGATTGAGGAAACGTTCCTGGAGAGCGCTCGCTGGTGGTATACCCTGCATCGCAATGGCAGGGGCCAAACCCGAGAGCACGCACTCAACCAAGGCGGCGGACTGTTGCCAAGTATCGAGCGAACTTTCAGGGTTTTCTTTGGAGGTTGCTAATGAGCGCCAGGCTTGTTGCATAGCCGAAAGTTCAGCGAAAAATGGCTCTCCCCGCGTGAGCCGCACAGCGAGAGCCTGCCACAACAGCGCAGTCCGTTGCGCCCAGTGTGCATACTGTTTGTAGAGGCGGTCGCGGAGCGCTCGAGCCTCCACGCGCTCCATCAACATTTGCAACTCTAAAAGTCGATCGACCTGCTCACGCTGCAGTGCCAATCGTTGTGTATCGAGCTCATCTTGCATCTGCTGCCGCAGCAGAGCCTCGTGGTCGCTCCAGGCCTTCTCGAACTGCGGACGCAGTTGGGCAAGGATTTGGGGCTCCAGCGCTTGCCGTAGGTGCTTTTCCAGACGCCGCAGGGCCCGTTCCAGGTCCTGCTGGAGAGCGGTTTCCTCTTTCATGAGCATTAAAGCCAGCTGACGTCGTTGCTCCACCGGATTCGCTCCGCGTCCGCCAAGTAACCCGGACTTAGACTGCGACTCTAGGGGTTTCACAAGTTCCCGTACACGTAGGGCTTCTGCCAAAACTAGCACACTAAGTTGCTCGACAAGCGCTTGCATTTCCACGGCAGTTGGAAGGATATGTTCCCGCGACGCGGACAACTCGGATGTGTCTGGGGCATGCTGCGCAGTTGCCTCTGCTTCTGTGGACGCGCTTAACGTGGTGCTCGTCGATGTCAAAGCGCTTGCTTGCTTTGTGCTGACCGGTGAAGCCTCCTCGTGCTCGCTCGACTCGGCTGCAGTCATCTGCTGCGTCGTGGAGGCATGCGCTGAAGATGTAGCAGATCCCTCATCTGCAGCTCCCTGGAGTTCAGCTGATTCAGAAGATTGTGCTTCTTCGAAACCAGCCGAAGCGGAGATGTTCAACATGTCTTTCTCATGCGAGGCGATCTGCGTCGCAGCAGTTTCTGCGTCTGCTCGTATACTATCGGTTGACTCGTGACCTATGAACGACTTGTCCGTTGGCGGTGCCTCCTCGAGACGCAACTCGTTGTCCAGCTGCGTAGCAGCCGCGTGAAGCAGCCGGGAACGCTGGACCGTCGCTTTGTGAATCCTATCTTTCTCGCTTGATTGACCATACGGTTTCCCGGTAAGCTGGCTGAGCCAGCGCGTCGTTCCCGGCAGGAGCCGCTCTGCCCGTGCTCGAAACGCATCGTTCAAGTCCAGCGCGACGAGCACACCACCCAAAGTCAGGGATGGCACCACAAGCGCGACGTACCATAGCGAGAGACGGTGATTCCGTGTGGTAGGCTTCACGGTTGAACGACTCGGAGTCGCTGTGGAGGCCGTTGTCGACGCAGGCGGTTGCTCGGAAGCGGCGCTGCTCGAGCGACGAAGCCACTGCCTCCTCAAAAGCCCTCTGTAAACGCTCTTCTGCAGTGATCCCGCACAAACATGGGTCTTTACGCTTCTAATCAAGTTCATCAGTCGAGCCTGATTCATGAAGAAAAAGGGATACAAACAAGGAAGGCCTTTGTCGGTAACGCTTGCGCAACGTTAGCTGCGATGCCAGGATGTCGACGTTCGGTGCTAACAGGAATCGCTTCGCAGGCTTGCGGACTTGGCGAGACGATGCGCGGAGAGCTTCAAAGCGACTTTGGCGGGAGGAGAGACCGCTCTTAGCCGCTGATGCCTCGCCTTTCTACCCGTATCAGCATACAATCAACGAGGATGTCGTACACGGGCATACGCACGAAAGTGTAGTTCTTTTCCGACTGTCGCCTCGTAGGGCTTTTCTGCGGGAAGAATTTGTAACTCGGACGGAATCGAATACAAGACTTGACACGCTCAGTAAGGTTTCGGCATCAGCTTTTGAACAAGTCCTCTAGGGAACGAAGTTGACTTTCTTTTCGTCGTCGATCGAGCGGCACAAGTTGCTGCGTCCGCGAGATGCCCTGAAACAGAAAGATCGAAAACTTGAGGAATGCGAGCTTTGAGCATCCACACGCAAGGAATTCAGAATATTTGGGGCTTGTGCGCTTGTTTTGGATAATGATTTCAGGTATGTTACGAATGCGTTATTCGAGGTCGTCGCAAATGATCTGGAATCCGGAGCAATAACGAATTCCAAAACCAAACAGCGAAAGGAGCAACTTCGAAATAACGCCCAAAATTCCTATTACCGTGTATGCATCCGTGAGCCCCTATTGCTGCCTTTTTTTGACGATCAAGGCCATCCACGCCCAAAAAGTTCGGAAAAGCGATCGAAATGGATGAAAAGCGCAAACAGTTCAGCGTTCCATTTCAATCGCAAACGGGTGCAGCTGATACGCCTCTTACCATGTCGCTCGGTTTGCGTTGCACACAACGCTCTATTTTACGCAGTTTGAAAGTTTGGCGCACCAGAGAAATCAATTAAAGGCGTTTTCGGGATTCCCCAGACAGCATAACACTTCACGCGGTCGCTTCGCAATGCCCTCACGTCAACGCTCGATCGTGGCCTTCAAGAACGCGCTCTTCACGCCTGGTCTTCGAGCAGCGGCCAGCACGCGCCAAGTGAAAGCGCGAGTACGTCATTCGCAACCTTCGAGATCGTCGGTGCGCTTTGTTTGTCGCAGAAGAAGCGGTCTGGGGACACGACCTGGAATAGCTGCTGCTGCAGCGATAAAAGCAACGGCTCCGTCGCCGAGCTATGCAGAGTCGGGCGTGGATCTGGACGTCGAGTCTGCCTCTGTGAGAGCGCTTGTCAAAGCGCTGGGTGCACCGGGCCGAACCCCACCTGCGCTAGGCGCGCCAGCCGACCAACTAGGGGGCTTCTCCGGTTTGATCGACTTTGGACCAAACACACTGCTCGCCCTATGCACTGATGGTGTTGGCTCCAAACTCGTACTCGCTACACAGCTCGGTTTGTATGATGGCATCCCGTACGATTGCGTTGCCATGAATGTGAACGATCTGCTTTGTATCGGGGCGGAGCCACTCGCCTTTGTGGACTACATCGCAGCGCCGCATCCGGAACCAGCCCTCTGGGCTACACTGGGGAAAGCACTCGGTGCAGCGTGTCGACTTGCTCGCGTTACCCTAGCAGGCGGCGAAACCGCTAGTCTGCCGGATATGGTGACCCACTTGGACATGAGTGGAACAGCGCTTGGTTGGCTCCCACGCGGAGCGCAGCTCGACGGTAGGCGCATCGAGCCAGGTGACTTGCTCCTAGGCCTGCCCTCATCGGGCCTTCACAGTAACGGGTATTCGCTGGTTCGCAAAGTTGTGGCGCGTTCAGGCGCTGACCTGAACGCACCGCCACCCTTCGATGTAGCTACAGAAGCGTCAGCATGCATGCGTTTCATGGTATCCGGCGAGGAGCACCAACCGACTTGGTCGATGACCACGCTGGGGCAGGTGCTCCTGTACCCAACGGCAATCTATGTGAACCCAATAGCCGATCTTGTGCGTCTCTGCAGAGAGCAACACGCGCAAGCACCTTGCTCCTATGAGGCGCTCCACGGGCTCGCACACATCACGGGCGGTGGCCTCAGCAACCTCCTGCGTTGGCGATCAGATCTTGGTTTTGATATTGAGAATCCGTTGCCGGTTCATCCGGAGTTCCGCTGGCTGCAATTTGCTGCAGGATCTATCAGCGATGCGGAAATGTATCGTGTATTTAACATGGGCATGGGCATGGTGTTGGTGGTCGAAACCAGCGCTGCTGCTCAGGTCTGTGGCTGGTTGGCTGAGCGTGTTCCCGGTGTTCAGATCGTCGGTAGGGTAACCGAGAGTGGTCGGGTACGGCACTGCCCGAGCGGTGTAGAGTACGATCAGTACGGTTAAGTAGTCTAAACTGAGAACAGCCCTTCTATTGGAACTGTTTCCTGTAATGTAAAGTACCACACGAGGACAACGCCAGGTGGATGTCGGGATCCTGCCCGGCTACAGGTCAACGCTCGAACGGAGATGATTCTGTAGTTCAGCGGAGGCGTTGAGGTTCCATGCAGCTGAGCGGAGCCTGCCTGGACTCGAGCGCGGTGGTCTATAAAAGCTCTGTAGGCGCTTGGGGAATGTTCTATACGTGCGCTGCAAGTGCTGAACAGGAGTTCCGGACTTGCTCTGTATGAACTTCAGGAGCGCTGTCCAGGTGCACGCTGCGTGTTGAGCGCGAGCCCAGTCGCCTTTGAAAGTGGCTCTGAATAGTGCCTTGTGCAACTCTACTGGACGACAAAAGCGTCTCGCCATTCACAGCCGTGGCCCAAAGATGCTTTCGCACTGGAGACTTTGGTAACGCCGAAACCTGAACTTGAATTATCCGTTATGGCGAGGAGCTGATCTCAGGTCAAGAGCGTCCGGCGCGGTGTGCAGCGGCGGCTCCGTACGCTTCCTGATGCTGCCTTGTACCGAGCATGTCGCGCTCCAGACACTTTTTGCCTGCACAAGTTTTCGTACGCTCTGGTCAATACCGCAGCAACTTCTCCCGTATAAAGCGATGTTTTGTTCGAGAGCTGGTCGATAACGTGCTGGTTGCAATTCAACACAAAACGTCATGAGTGTTTTACCGGGTTTCAACGCAAAAACATGTGCTTATGAATGATATGTACCAGATAAATAGCTAGTTTAACTCATGATCGAGCTTTCGATAGCTGTTCTGTCCTCTTCGCCAGTTCTGTAGGCTCCAAACTCCTGCTCAACGTCTTCATCTTCGTCCTCTGCTACGGCCTGCTCGTACTGTTGGTACTCGCTTACGAGGTCATTCATATTGCTCTCTGCTTCTGTGAACTCCATGGGATCCATGCCTTCGCCTGTGTACCAATGAAGGAAAGCTTTGCGCCGGAACATGGCAGAGAACTGCTCCCCGACCCGTTTGAAGATCTCTTGCACGGCAGTCGTGTTGCCGACGAACACGCAGGACATATCGAGACCCTTCGGTGGAACGCCGCACACGGAGCTCTTGATATTGTGCGGAATCCACTCGACAAAGTACGCCGAGTTCTTGCTCTGCACCATGCTCATCTGCTCATCGACATCTTTGGTCGAGATACGCGAGCCGCGGAAGTAAGCCGCTGCTGTGAGGTAACGACCCTGGCGTGGATCACAGGCCACAAACTGGTTCTTCGCATCAAACATTTGTTGCGTCAGATCCGCAATAGACAGGTGACGGTATGCAGTGCTTGCAGTTGCCGTCAGAGGCGCCAAGGAGACCGAGAAGAAGTGTAAGCGCGGGAAGGGAATGAGATTGACAGCCAATTTGCGCAAATCTGAGTTGAGCTGGCCAGGGAACCGAAGGGAACAGGTGATTCCACTCATCACACCGGAAACCAGCTTGTTCAGGTCCGCGTATGATGGATTCGTCAGTTTCAGCGTGCGCTGGCAAATATCGTAGAGTGCCTCATTGTCAATGCAGAATACCTCATCAGCGTTCTCGACAAGTTGATGGATCGAAAGCGTTGCATTGTACGGTTCCACAACAGTATCACTCACTTTTGGGGACGGCATCACGCTGTATGTGCACATCATCCGATCGGGATACTCCTCGCGAATCTTGCTGATAAGCAGCGTCCCAAGGCCGGAACCAGTGCCGCCGCCGAGAGAGTGCGTAACCTGAAATCCCTGCAGACACTCGCAGCTCTCACACTCCTTACGAACAACATCCATCACTGCGTCAACAAGCTCAGCACCTTCTGTGTAGTGACCCTTCGCCCAGTTGTTCCCAGCACCGGACTGACCGTAGACAAAGTTATCGGGCCGGAAAAGCGTACCGTACTCGGAAGCGCGCACTGCGTCCATCGTCCCTGGCTCAAGGTCAACGAGCACCGCTCGCGGGACATAGCGACCAGTGCTAGCCTCGTTGTAGTAGACGCTGATCCGTTCGAGCTGCTGCTCCGAGTCGCCGTGATAGAAGCCTTGGGCGTCGACCCCATGCTCCTCGGAGATCACTTCCCAGAACTTGCGCCCGATCTGGTTTCCACACTGACCAACCTGAATATGCAGTATCTCACGCATGACCTATTCTTTCTTCACCAGCAAGAGAAGGAAACGTTTGGGTCGCGGTTTCGGTAGCGAACGCCAACAACGTAGCGCACTACCTGCACAGCAGTGCCGCGCAACGGCCGCAGTGCACAGCCCGCGCTGCGCGCGCGCGAATCGCCCCGCCTGCTGCGCGACACGCGGGGGAATTTGAATCCAAACGATCGTGCGCTGGCCGCTGCACGGCGCGTGTAACGATCGCGTCCTAAACGGCACGAATGTCACAGAAGCGCCGCTCGCGATCGCAGATCCTTACAGCATCGTAGACGCGCCGCCGGCCGCATGCGTGCGTGCGCGGCGATCGATGCACATTCGCACGGCCACGCTTTGACAACCAGGTAACGTTGTGGGTGCGTGGCTAGGCGGCTGCGGACTGCACGAAATGGCTAGCATAATGGGAATCCGTAAGCGTTTGAGGGCGAATGTTCGCTCCCAGTGTGAACGGTGAACGGGAAATGCGTCCCGCAGATCGTTCAGGTGTCCGATGAGGCGCACGATCTCCAAGTCGCGGCTGGGGCTCTGGCGCGACTCGGTGATCGAGCAACGGTACATTGCACTCCTAGCGTTCCCATGCCGCGTGTGACGGGTGCGGTTGGCGTGCGCTCTGCTACACACGCAGACATCGGGAAGCGCCGGGATCACTGTTGCGCTGGCGATGCCTCTTTGGTATCAAATTCTGCGAAGCGGGTTCACTGTTCAAGGATGGATCGGCCGTTGGCGCTGAATGCGAGCCTGTCGTTGCACAGCGCAGCGGTGGACACGTATGCGCTGACGGACTTGCGCTGTGGAAGCGCCTAGCCTAGCATTTGACAGCGTCCATGCCGATTTTGGGGTCGACACCTCGCATCGCGTGCGTCGTCCGGGGCATCCTGGGCAGACGGCAGGAAACCCAATCGAGCCTTGCCTGTCCGTTTGGTAAAGTATAGCACTTCATTCGGGGACATATCGGAACAGATGCCGCAGTGCTGTGTTGCGTGCACGCATGCGATCGGGTGAGGCGGATGACACGCATCGCGCTGGCCAGCAACGCTTCTGTCGTGATCGGCTGGAACAGCGCGAAGCAGTACGTTCACCAAAATATTGCTCGATGCAAAATATGCTCCATTTGTGGACTGGGAACGAACAGCTTTCGGTCCGCCGTCAATCTAGGTACGGAACCAGTTCAGTAGTATTCGTCGAGGCGTCAAACTTTTACGGAGGTCGGAGATACTCTCGCACGCACCTGCCGCGCGATAATCATGGAGATGTAAAAATTTCTGGCTCCCAGGCCAACATATTTCTAGTCTGAAGAGAGAGTCGGTAGCTCGTGGGCGAGCGAGCTGCATGCTTGCACACTGGCTTCAGCGAGCCTAGCTGCCAAGAACAATGCGAACGCGAATTCAACGGGAACCAGGGTCCAAGCTGAAGTGCATTGCGGGGCCCAGTGGATTCCAAACCGATCCCTTTTCTGGGGGCAAGGATTCAGGTCTTCCGTTCCATCATGAAGGATTGATATCCTCGCCATTGGTCGATGATAACCGAACGGGCGAGTGCATATGATAGAAATCGGGCTGTAGTACGTAGAGCTCAAGGACGGCGATTCGATCGCCGACATGCGAAGCACGCAGGAAACTGACTTTAGGAGAGCGTTCAAGTGGGTGTCTAGATCCGCAGGTTTCGGGAGCGCCACCGCGCCATCATACAGCCCGCAGGCGATTCACCGGCGACTCGCAGTGAGGTACTGGAATGCTCTGGAAACAAACCAGCGGCATGCATGGTGAGTATGGCGAGAAACGTTTTTGTTCCCGAAAAGAAGCTGTGGATCATCTGCTGAGCAGATCTCCACGGCCGCGTAACCGTTCCATCCGCGGCATTCGAATACGATGGCGTTGCCCATTACTTGCTCACCATTCGCTACAATTCATAAGAGGTCTGTCTGCATCAGTACGGATACTGCTGCCTTTCACTCAATGGTAACGTGTACATTCCGCATCGCTTTAAAAAAATGGTGAGCAAATTCGAAGACCGCACCACAAAAGCAAGAGTACCCGATCTGATCACTGCGGATGCAGAGATGGTGCCCGGAGTCAGAGCCGAGCATTGCACCCGTTTTCACGGCGGGAGCAAACTTCATGGTCTTGGAAACACTGGCTCCGCACGTTGCCGCAGAGTACCTGACCTGTGCCAAAGAGTGAAAAATCACCCTAATGACAGCGTTCCAGTGCTTCTCAGGCATAATACTCTTGGAGCTGCATCAGCGGATCACCTCCAGGCGCCAGCCCCGAGGCCTTCCATGAGGCCCCGCGTGACGCTAGACGCCTCGCGCAGTCCGTACGCTTCCGCCACTCGCTGGCTCGCTGCTGCAAGTATCACCAAATTCCACTATGAGGCGCCAACCGCACGAGGCCGGCTGTGAGAAACCCGTATCGCGTACGTTTCAGCGCTCGGCGTGTCGCTGGATCGATAGGGGATCAAGTCACTTGGCGCTTACCGCCCCGAACATGGTAGAACCTGAAGGCGCCCACGTTCGTTACAAGCTTTCCGCCCGGCATTCTACATCACGCGTGTATGCAGCAGAGCCAGCCGGCAGGCCACTGGTAAGCGCTCTTTCACGAATCCGAGCGTTCTCTGCGCCTCGCACTTGGAAGACGCACAAGCCTTGTATATAGAAGGCGCCCCGCTTGCGGGGACCACGAGCTGGAGCTTCAGATCTTCGCTGCTGCACACAGGCATCAAAATTTGAGACAGAACGAACTTTCGACGATGGCTGTCGCCTCCAGCGCTCGCGCCATCTGTCGATGGCAGCCGCTGCGCTTTCGAAATTTCAAATCGCCAAACATGAAGGCGCCACAGCGGATAGGGCGGCGCGCATGCCAGGAGGCGCTCTCTTGTCGAAGCGTTTGGCGCTGTCCCGGCCATGACCGCAAGGCGTTTGAATCTCTCTGGAATGGAAGAGAACTTTGACCCCGCATGGGAAAACTTCGGTACAGGGAGTGGTGGACTGAGTACATCAAACTATGCCAACGAAGCCGCTTTGAATTCGAGTGGAATGCTCGGGAGCCGTCGTCAGCCGCGTGTTGCCGACAACTCGCTTGGCGGAGGTCTTGCCGCGCCGCGTACACCACTCGCCGAAGAGAGAACGATGAACCGCACGTCTTTCGGCACGACGTCAGGGGAACACGCGGATCCTACGATTTTGAACGCCTCTGCTCACGAGGAGCTTTACTCGGCATATAACTTGCTGCATGCACTGGCGCAGGACTTCAAGAAACCGTTCGACGCCCCTGCAATCGTCGTGATCGGCCACCAAACGGATGGAAAATCTGCACTGATTGAGGCACTCGTTGGGTTCCAGTTCTCGCACGTCGGTGGCGGCACGAAAACGCGTCGGCCAGTCACGCTTCATATGCAGTACAATCCACGCTGTGCGCAGCCACTCTGTTTTCTCTCCACCGATCAAGGCGAAGAACAGCGATCGCTTGCCGAAATCCAGGCCTACATCGAGGCGGAGAATCTCAAACTAGAAACTGATCCGTTTCGCTCCTTCGACCCAGAGGAGATCATCATCCGCATAGAATACAAATACTGCCCAAACTTGACGCTTATTGATACACCGGGGTTGCTCTCACCACCGCCGGTTGGACGCCGGGCAAATCCCCAGCAACAACAAGCTATTCAAGCGAGCCGCGAAGTCGAAGACCTGGTGCTGGCAAAAATATCGCGCCCCGAGTACATCATCCTTTGCTTAGAGGACACAGCAGACTGGCATACGGCAACGACGCGACGTATTGCAATGCAGGTCGACCCGGACTTGTCTCGGACGGTGCTCGTGAACACCAAGCTGGACGCCAAGCTGCCACAATTCGCACTGGGTGCCGACCTTGAGCAGTTTCTTCTCGCTCGCCCGGTTCTGAACGCCCACCCGGAGCTTCTCGGAGGTCCATTCTACACGGCAGTTCCGGCAGGGCGGGTTGGCCATACACGGGAGCATGTTTTTGAGAGTAACGAGCGCTTCCGTCAAGCGATCGCCCGCCGTGAAGCTGAAGATCGTGCTTATATCGAGCGCAAAATCGGCAAGCCGCTTCCTCGTGCGCTCCGTGATCGCATAGGAGTCAGTAAGTTACGGGCTTTTCTGGAAGACCTTTTGCAGACTCGGTACATGCAAAGCGTGCCATCTATAGTGCCTTTGCTGCAGGGCGAGTTCCGCAACGTCGACCAGGCGCTCCGGCGCACGCTCGAGGAGCTCGAGTCCATGAGTCTCGAGCGCCTAAAAGAAAAGGGGCGCGTCTACGCAGAAGACTTTCTCCGCCGGCTCGCAGCCGTCATCAAGGGCACGATTCGCGCACCGCCTACACTCTGGGGCGAATCTCTGGCCGATGAGCGCATTCGTGGAGGCTCTTATCATGACCTGGGAAGTGTTGGTACCAATCTTCAGTCCGCGCAAGCTGGCGGTATAGCACGACTGGCCATTTCGTCCCGGGGCGAGTCGCGCGTGGAAAACGAAGAAGCGCGGCTCTTTGGTGGTGCCCAGTACTACCGCGCTCTCCGAGAATTTAAGACTGTTGTCGCTGAGATGGAACGTCCACCAGTCACACCCGAGGAAATCGTCAACGCAACTGGTATCGACGACGCTCACGACGGTGCGAACTACATGCGAGCGGCTTGCGTCATTGCGGTGGAGAAAGCGCGCGATGCCTTCGATCCGCTCCTTGAGCGCCTAACCCTGCGTTGCCTACATATTTTCCGACGCATGTTTCCGGTCGTCGAATTTATCATGAGGCGTGATAATCTCACCCTCAACGAGGCACTCGATATCCCATTCAGGCGCATTATGGAACAGATCTTCTGTGAGTTTTTGGACCGAACAGCCGCGAACGTGCAGCGCATTTGCCGCGAAGACCTCGAGAGCATGACGCGTTTTGTTACTTGGAACCTGAGCCAGCCCAGCAAGGCTGCACTGCGGCGCTTCCTTCAGCCCGTCGCTGAAGAGCTCGGCGCCCCGGCTGCAATTCAGGAGAGCCTATTCGGATCACCGGTTAGTCCCGAACAGGCAGCTTCCGAGGCAGTGGATGAGTTTTATGCGAGTCAGCAATATGGAGCGCATGACTCCGACGGCACGAGCGCAGGTGCTGGAACTGCGAAAGCGTATGCGCATCCCGCTGCTGGGCGGTTAGCAGGCAGCGCTGGGTCACGGGTTATGCTGCCACGGAAACTAGAACGCGGCAAGGATGGTAAGCTGATCCTTCCCAGCCGCGTTGCAGCTCAGGAAGTCATCCTGCAGTTCATGGACGACCTCCTCCTGAGTCGCGTCGTGACGCCCTCCAGCATGGCAGTCGTGTCCTCGCTTGTTGACCATATTGTCGACGCCTGGCGGATGCACTTTGCCAAAGTTGTAGAACTCAAGTTCAATTGCTTCTTCCTGATGCCAGTTGTAGAGGAGTTCCCACGTTTCTGCCGCGAAAAGCTCGACCGTCTCTATGGCGGCGACCTCAACGATGTCTTCAATATCGCTGAGGCGCGGGCAGCTCTCGAACGTCGTCGCGAGGAACTACTCCAGGAAAGACGACGTGTCGAGAAACTCCAGGAGATGTTCAACGCGATCAACTCTCAACTCACTGGCTACCACGCGGGATTGCCTTACCCGCAAGACTCGGCAGGTGCGGGTGCTGCGCTATCGTCTGCGTCCGCTCCGGGAGCAGCGGCGGCAGCTTCACAACCAGGTGGTGTTAGCGCTGGGCTCGGGGCCACTGTTCGTTACCCCGATCTGCGGCGCTTCGAACAAGGAAGCCTTCAACGGGCCTGGTAGCACAACCATGGGGAATAAAAACGTCTATCCTTCGCGACAAGCAAAGCCCGCAAAGCTCCCACCCCAACTGCTCCGTCATCGCTCCTCAGTAACAGTCTGGGTGAGCGCCATGCCCCCCAGTACCTTGTCCAGAAGCGAGCCTCGCTAGCCGCTTCCAGGTACCCGACTACTGGGGGTTATCGGAAACAGCTCGCGCCTGGACGCACTCCTTGGACCCAAACCAGGCTCAGCGACCTGCACCGTGCTGCTCCTCCACAGAACCGTCATCTGCCGCTGCACCTGCTATCCTTCTGGTTAACGAGTCGTACGCGAGTCTCCCTGGGCGCTCTCCGAAACGCACACGCTGTCCGGGGTATCGGGAAGAAGCGCATGGGCTTCCACTCCGTGCCCCAGAAACGTGCTCCGGACCATGCGCAACGCGTTCAGCGCACCCGAGAGCGCTCGTCGACCCCCGAGCCCGCTTTATTGGCGTTCACTCAAGCGTCCTCCTAGACTGCTTTACGTTCTTCGCGGACCGTGAGTCCCGATCTATATGCGTCTTTCGTGCCAAGTAACGAGCACTGCTTATCTGACGCTACCGAGCCTTTCGAAAGCGATAGTAGGCAGACCAGCGGTAACGGCAGCAGCGACTCCCCGAGCCTGCACTGGACGGTATTACGGATTTGCGCACACACGTGCGTGGACTAGCGCTCACAAGCTATTATCGAAATCCTTGCGTATCGACATTCGAATGGCAGCGACCAGTACAGCTACACCGCTACCCAAGCGGCCGGTGACGGTACCGTTCTATGGCGAGCGCCCGTACCCGCAGGTACTCGTCGAAGTGTTCCTGGACTACAACTGCCCCTACAGCAAAAAAGCTTTTCTAACGCTCTGGCAGGAAGTTCTGCCACACTATCGTGCTGATTCGCGGGTGCAGTTTGCGTTCGGCCTCGTGCCGCAACCGTGGCACGCTCAGACCTGCTACATGCACGAGGCAGCGTTAGCAGCGCGGCAAGTGAGTGGTGATGCGGGTTTCTGGAAAGCGAGCGCTGCACTCTTCGCGCAGCAGGAAGACTGGGTCGATGAGAAAGTACTCGACAAGACACGTCGCCAAGTTTACGAGGAGTTGGCACAGTGCTTGGCGAAAGCCGGCGTTGTATCGTCCGCGTCGCTGATTACGGAACGCCTGCTCACTGCATCCGGCAACAGCGGGAACGCAGTCGGTGCTGATGTCAAGTTCGCGTGTCGCTACCATCGTGTTCGCGGGGTTCACGTGACGCCCACAGTACACATCAATGGTATTCCGGAATTAAATGCATCAAGTTCGTGGACAGTGCAGGAATGGAAGGAACGTATCGATTCGCTCTTGTCAAGCGAGTTGTCGCAGTGACTCGCGCGGACGATGCGGGAGCGGTTTTTGTTATAGGAGGCGCTGCACGCCAGCGTCCGCTCCTGAGAGTGCTGCTGCGGATATTCCAGTTGGAAACCCGATTGCATCGAGTCGACGGCATCGCGGAGGCGGTTAGGATCCCAAGCGGTATGGATAAAGTCTCTGTGCAAGTGGCGGCTTCGCGCACTTGTGATACGGATCATACGAATCGGCGTCTTGGTGACCATACCATCGGTGGGTTCGTTTCGCAGAAGTTTGACGTTGCGGTAAAGGGAAACTTTGTGCGCAGAGCACAGAAGATCGCTTCTTGTGTGGAAGCACATAGCCTCGGTCTCTCCGAGGATGCACACTCGAACGCGCCCCCGATGCCTACAGCCGGAACGCGCTCAGAAAACAAATGACGCATTCCAGTGAAAGTACTCGCGCTGTGCATCAAAAAGTGCGTCGCATGGCAGGTCTTGGATGCAGGTACTCTGAATGACCCGGTGCGACGGCCACGGTTGCTCACATTGGAAACGACGATCAGGCGCGAAAGCGGACAACACCCAGCAGCGCCATGGCCTTCAGCGACAATGTCAGAGCCCACACGAACGGCGCTACCGTTAAAACTCTGGAAACGAGAATGGAGAATAAAGCCCAGAGCAACCAGCAGCAGCCTCCAGATCCTACTCTACCTTTCAAGCTCTAGACACGACGGTCGCGAAGAAAGCTATAGAACAATCAGCAGCAGTGTCCAGGTCTGCTCGAGTAGGTGGAGAGGCATCCATGTCGCCGCCTGTAGGCTCGAGGGCTCGAATGCAACACTAACGTGACATCGGCTTGTCATCGCAGTACGCTGTGCTGCCAGGTTTCAAGCTTTTCACGCTATGTCATTCATGTTTCGTGTTCAGGTACTCTCCATGCATTGTTCAGCATGTATCGCGTATTCCGAAACGCTTCAGCAACCAAGGCACCAGGCCCCACGAACTGCTCTTCAAAGTGCACCTTGCGTTTCCAGTCGCGCTCTATCGTAGTCACTTTCTCTCTCCGGGAAGCAGTTTGATCAGCACTTCATCGACTGAGCAACTGCTCAAAATCCTGAACCGAACCGCTCAATACCGAAAGAAAATAACTGGCAATCTTCCTGGGCATAGCGCCGGGGGCACGAGTTCGCCACTGGGCCTCCAGCACCGACCCCGAGAAGCAGCCAACAGGCTTCCGTTCCGTGTTCGGTGCACGCCACAGCTACCGACTACCTCCGTTCGGTTGCACACACTTGACACACATAGCGATCGCAAGAACGTTCTCATCAAGTCCGACGCTTGCGCTCTAGCCTTGTTGTCCGGGCGTGCGTCGTGAAGCTTCCGCGGCCTCGCAATATCCCGAAGTTATGTGTGCGCCACGAGTACAGGTGCGCTTAGCAGCGACTTGTTCCGGACCTGTGCCCAGACTTGTGGCTAGCGCACGACTCGCTGCCCAGTGCTCGTTCACGTGCAAAGCTTGACAGCGGAACAGTCCCGAAAAAGTCAAGGTTTCACCAGCGCTGCTATAGCACGCCTTGGCGCCCCGTGCTCGTTCAGGTACGTTGACTTGACGGGTGCTCCGAAGGTCAGTTTTGTGGTACCGCTGCTGTTACGCGCCTTATTGCCCAGTGTTTTTGTACACCCGAAGCTTGGCAGCGGCTGGGATTCCGGAAGGTAAACGTTGCGGTTACGCGATCATTCAAAGAGGTTCGAGTTGAGGGCACGAACTTTGGCAGGGCTCGTTACCGGTGCGGTAACGCTGTTCTGGAGGCCGCCTGACGCAACCCAGCCATGCGCAGCTTGAGCTCAGCGTCGTGGTTGCTGAGCAACGCAAAGACTTTCACTCCGCCAGCAGCGAGCGTCTGGGGTGCTGCACTCTGGAACCTGGTCGTCCAGCGCCGCAAGAGCTCCCTGGAGCCGGCCCGGACGCCTTCGGTACCTGCAGAGAACGGTGCGCAGCCGCACGCTGCTGCTGAGGCGGATAAAGCGGCCGACTCGGTTACTCCAGAGACACAAGCGGATATTTCGCAACTCGCCTCGGTGCTTGACCATCCACTTCTTGTCGTGACTCGCGAAATTGAATGGGGAAACCTGTTGATCGGATTCGAACAAGCCAATAAGTATGCCATTCGACTGGCGGATGGACGCATTGTTGGCTTTATTGCAGAGGAATCATCGCTTGGGCGAGCTATTTTACGACAAGCACTCCGCACACATCGCGCTTTTCAGGCGACGGTCATGGACGCAATGGGAACGCCAGTTCTTCGGGTGCATCGACCGGCGTACCTGATTTCCTCATCGATTTCGGTGTATCGTTTGTTTGGAGACACGGTGGGTCCACTGCTTGGCGAAGTGCATATGAACTGGCACCTGTGGCGTCGTCGCTATGATCTGTTCGATGCCCAAGGTCGTCAGTTTGGCGAAATCGACGCGCCTCTCTTATCGGTTCAGTTTCCCATTCGAGGTGAAGGTGCGGGTTCCACGGAAGGGCCAGGTGTTCTCGCTTCGATTGATAAGGACTGGACAGGCCTCGGAAGAGAACTTTTCACGGACGCCCGGCAGTACGTGATTCGAATGGACCCAGCAGTGACACCTCAAGGCGTTATCGCAGATGCGCAACGTAAGCTCGGTTTACCGGAGGGCGCCCCGCTAGCCTCGGCCTCAGGTCCGGTGGAGCCCGCTCAGGCGGCCGTACCAAGCCGCCTAGAGACTCCCGCGGAGGCTCTCCAGCGGGAACGAGAACGTCATCGTCAGTCACTGGAGCATGACGGGCACGCTGGACGACTCTACGCGCCGTATGCATCGACAAGTACCGCTTCGGACTGCAGCCTGAGCGAGCTGGACATGGCCAAACGCGCAGTTATTTTAGCAGCAGCCATTAGCATTGATTTCGACTATTTCTCGCTACACAGCGGAAGTCCTGGTATGTTCCACATGCCTTTCTTTTTCCCGATACCCATTCCCGGATTCGGAGGTGCTGCCAAAGCAGAGAACGATGCGCCGCCCGCGGATACATCTTCGTCGAGTGCGACTAGCACCGGAACCAGCGGCGCTGAAGCGGCAGCAGCAAGCGGCAGCACCGAAACACCACCATGGATGCAACGTGGTGCTCAGGATGGATCAGGAGGCGGAGCAGCGTCTACTGGCCCGAATCCGGACAAAGCAGCAGATCCCTGGGCAACGTTCGAGCCCGGAGTCGAGGACCCATCGCAAGGCAACAGCTTTGATACCGATATCGACGCTGGCTACGACGAGGGCGCCTGGGACACATCACCCGACGCGGATACCTCTGGTGGATTCATAGAATCTCTCTGGGGGGCACTTTCGGGCGACGACGACGACGACGACGAAGACTAGCAGAAGCTGGACATGATGCCTGGCGACTTGCTCCGGGGGTCGCCTGAAGCGCAACGTTGCACAATCCGTTGTTGATGGTGATGCGGCCTGAACTGAACGAATGTATCCCTGTACCATGGGTAGAGGAGCATTGCACGACTGTTGCGTGCATCCGCTTGTCTCGAGCAATGTAAAACAAAAGTCTTCACTGGATCTGCGGGGCAAACTCCCGGGGGCTTCCACAAGAACGCGAGACAGTAATGCAGTGCGAGGAAGCTCGCGCCGTCGGCATACGCCTACTGCACGGCAACAGCTGCCCAGTACTGCTGCTTTCTTTACCTACATCTGATCCATGCATCCGAAGCGGTGATGTTGTTGCTCGCAAATGTGCGCGACGGCACAAGCCTAATGATGGATAGAACGCTTTGGCTGCAAAGTTTGCGCCTGCTTTTTCCGATACAAACTTTTGGGTGGGTCTGTGCACATCGCCTGGCTAAAATATCGCTCGGCAGGTCTGGGCATGCCCATGGACGCATGCCCTGTGCAGTTGACGCTTCATCGTGGTGATACGGTTGCCGTGCTTTTCCTCAAGAGTCGGTCACAAGTCGTAGTTTGCAGAAAGTGACCGTCATCGGTGACAGCGCTAGCCGCGTCGATCTGTAGCCCGAGGCGGCAATGCGCTGGAGCTTGCGCGTCCATAGCGCAGTGGCACAATCTGCGACTCGACAGAAAACACAAGCGAACAGCGGCTACTATATCACCGTTTCTCGACCTAATTGCCCGTCAAGTGCTGGACTCTCGCAGCAGCATGAAAAACAAGGCAGCCTACATTATACAGATCACATGGAAAACATCCGATCTTGTCCAGGGTTTTCAAGAAACGGACCCGCATCCCGCCGGGGCACCATGTGTGAACACAACCGATAAGCGGCACGGCGTCTTTCCCGGTGCAAATCTTGACACGATATACTTAAACCTCTACCACGCGACCGCAAAAGCATACGCCCTATAACATACCACCGCTACGTAGTACGTCGATCATGTCGTAGATCTTCTGATCGGCACCAGCCCGGCGCTGCCGATCGAGAAAACACACTGCGTCAATCGTGCCTTCAGCGTAGACTCGACGTCCACATACGTTGTGCTGAAATACGAACCGCACACTGCCGTCTGGACTTGTCAAGCGATACGTGTGAAAAGCATGGCCTTGCAGGCACGACTCCGGAACACCCATGCGCGAGACCTGCAACGCTGGATCGCGAATCTTCTGAATATCCTGTTCACCGCCAAAGCCTGTAATTCCCCAGCTTTGCAGCATGGAGGCTACTACTGCTTTAGCAGTGCCACTTGTGTCCAGCTTGGATGCCTGATGCGACTCGATGACCTCGAGTCGATAGCCTCGGAATGCGTTGGGAAACTCGCGCCCCAGCAGCTCCACCAAGGCTTGAAAGGCAACAATCTGCTTCGCCATGTTCGGTGCGATGACGGCGTAGCGAGCGCTGCGCGCTACCATCTGGTACAACGCTGAAGTATCACCGCCAGTGGTGCCCATGACGAAGTCGAACCCGTTCTCGACGTACCAGGCTGCGTTCGGAATTACCGCCTGCGGCTGGGTAAAGTCAACACAGATTACGTTCGGATATTCCTTCTTCAACTTGGTAGCCAGTTGTGCGCGCTCGGCTGGACGAACCAGCTGCACCTGGACACTGCGCTCCGTTCCGGTAGTGTCGTCACGAGCGGTGCACTCCACGGCGGCGGTTGCAGTGCGCTCACCAGTGAGCGAGAACGGGACCAGCTCAAGACCCCGTCGCAGAGCTGCCTGGGCGACTTCCAGCGCCATACGGCCCGGCAGACCGTTCGAGACTAGAGCCAGTCTGCTGGACACACTTGCATCGTCTCCGCAAGCAAACAAAACAGCGCCTCCTCGGGTACGCGTGGAGCGTCCCGCGCACTCGGCGGTGCCCTGGCGCCTGCACAGACGCCAGCGCGGGAGCGCACCCACGAACATGATGCGTAAACTACCGTGGAGATTCGCGTCAGCGCAGCTGCACCTTGTACCTCACCACCCACAACCAAGTAGCAACCGGCAATAGATCGCTTTCTCTCGTCGTCAAGGTCAGTGCACAGACGAAACGCTGAAAGTCTGCAGCAGAGTTTCGCACCAGGCAGGCGATTGATCGGCTCGAAGCCGCACCTGCCGCTGCAGCGAGCATGGCGGTATCTTGTTCTAAAATGGACAATGCAGACATGATTGAAAAAGCACCTCAAAGCTGCCTGCTGCACGTTGGACACCTATGCGGATACGTCGCACGGGGGAGGCGGCGACCCCCTATGATGCGCTCTCTTCGCTTCTCGAGTAGGACTGTGGCATCATGAGGGGCATTGCAGGAGATGTGCGCGCTGCGGGCTTTCCATGTGCAGCGCTCAGCTCCCTGATGGGCGCATCCAGCTAGGCAGCAGCTGCAGATCGGCGCTGGCGTGTGATTTCCTGTTGCCGGATCGATGCCCCCCGACGGATATCTCTTGAGCCGAGCATAAGGCCAGTAGCCAAGAGGGCTACGTTTCTGCTTTGGTGGGAGCGTCTGCATTTCACCCTGCTAGGAATTGTATATGCCTGCAGAATTGGGGCCTATCGATTCGGTCATGCCGCCGATGCTCGGCTTATGACGAGCGCTCGCCCCAGCGTGTCGCCCGCATGCCTAGAGGTTGCCCAAACGCAAGACGACAGCTCCATGTCGTTGTTTTCATACGCAGCGGCGAGGCATGGGCAAGATGGCGCGGGGCCGGGACTCGAGTCCGCGCTGGACCCGAGTCCAGCAATAGGAACTGATACCTGCGATCGCAGGCAGTGGGTGCAACGTTTCCAACGGCGAATCGCAGCAACCTTGAATCTGTGTGAGGCCGTGGAGAAGCCGCCATATGCGCGCTAAGGGTGTACGCTCCAGCTTGCAGTCGATCAGAGCCTGAGCATCATACGGCACTTGGGCGTACCTGCGCTGCGTTTCCGAAACTGGGGCATCCATTGTAGCACCAAACGCTTCCACTCGTCGAGAGCACGCGCAGCGATTGAGACGCGAGCGTACGGAATCCGCATATATGGAGCGTGACAGAAGGTCGCTCCACGCAATCACTGCGAGCCTCGGAGCCTAAAAAACGTTGTACCGGGAAACATCTATCGTAGAGCACACGCTTCTTACAGTCACATGATTGAATCCCGACGAGTTTTCGAGACTATACACGAAAAAAGACGATAATTCTTGTGCTGTACTGAACAGCGCTCGTCGCTGAATCTCATGGATTGCTAGCTTTTTTCCATACCATGTTGATGGCTTTCAGCAGATTCATGAGGCGGCTCTCCACAGCTCCCAGTAAAAGTGTACTAAAGAATCAGCAGCGTGCTGGGGTGGCATGTTTGCAGGAGCGTGACGCATTCGTCTACCTGAGCCCGCGCTAGTCGCGGACTCTCAAACGAAGCTCAGAGCAAAAGCATGGAGAGGCTCGGACGCAGCAGCCAACCCCGGAGCGCGCTGTTGTATGGACGCGAATGGAAAAGCTCGCGAGCCTCCATGGCAGTGCTTGCAGGGATCCAGTCGCGGGTCTTTTATAGAAGCGTAGCATCTTCTAAACACGAACCGGGAATCCTCGATTCCGGGATGCTTATCGGTCTCCTGGGGAGCATCCATTCTTCTGCACCAGGCGTTCAAGCTCCATCCGCCTCTAGAAAGGCGTCGGTGAACTGGGATGCATGTGGCGCTTCAGCGTTTTTTCTTCGGCGCGAGTACTCGCCTGGGAATGCGCACACTGCACACACCGATCGATAAAGCGTACGAAATCCCGTTCTTCCTGTTGTTGTTGTGGCTGCTGCTTTGAGATCACGTGACGCGACAGCTCCAGTGGAAGCGTTGAGGTTTGCACGCCGTTTCCCGACAGCTCTCGCGTATCCCAGAGCATTCGTTAGAAATCATTCATCCCGTCTGCGCTAAAAAGAAAACGTCAGTGTAGTCGTCTTAGAGTACGATAGCGTGCGCAGCATCACTCGGAGTTCTGGCGGGCTGGAGACGATGCACGTGTAGCAACAGGACACGATTGCGAGTTGGTATCGTCGTATCATTCCAATAAGAGCGATACGAGCCGGAACTCCGCAATCTATGTCTGCGAGGTCTCCGGTTGAGAGCCAAGCGCTTCCAGGGACTGTGGGCGCGAGCACTGTAGCTTCCCTCGCAGAGCTGGTGACTGGGGAACCAACCCCAGAGAGCTCGGCGCCGAACTCACGAGCCCAGCGACTCGTGCCATACTCAGGCGCCGCAGAGCCTCCCGACAACACCCGGCAAGATCGACCTGCAAAGCTCAGAGGGCTCCGTCGGGAAGTGTACGCGCTTACGGGCTCTGCAGCGCCGCCGTTGGCGCCTCGGGTTGCGCTACAGTCGCGACTGCCGGCGGCAAGCGCTCAAGTGCACTATGCAAAACGACCTTTTTCGAATCCAGCGCATCCTGCTGGTGCTGCCTTTCAGCTCTGGCACTGGGAACGTCATTCTCTGACGCAACGGAAAGACGCAGAGGCTTCTTTGACCCCTGAGGAAGGCGAGGCGGCATCTGCCGTTTACCCATTCGCACGTTTCGGCAAAAAACTGGAAACGCTTCGGTATACCGACGAGGAGTACAGCCGCTATCTGGCGACAATGCCTGTGCAGGGTTCTAGAGAACCATGGACGAAGGAAGAAACTGACACTTTGTTCCAGCTTGCGGAACGGTTTAACTTGCACTTCGTCGTCATGGCTGACCGTTGGTCGGTTTTTAGTCCCTCCCCGAAGCGGAAACGGTCTGTGAATGAGCTCAAAGATCGATACTACACCGTTGTGCGTTCGCTGGCCCAGGCCCGTGCTGTCAGCGACCCCGGGTTCCCGCATTCGTCCCAAGATGCACTGCAGAAACACTGTCGAGCAATGTTGGCAAATCCGTATGATATAGAGTACGAAGACCGACGCAAAGCTCAATACGAAGAGCAATGCCGTCGACCTCGTTCTGAGCTCTTGCGCGAGGAAGCGGTTGTGCAACAGGCGCAGGAGATACTACGGGCCCGAAGGCTGAAACAGCGGGAGCGCCGCCGCTTGGAGCGACTCTTCCGTCGAGCGCTACCCGCACCACCAACGATACCATATGCCGAAGCAGCGGCATCGCTCGAGACCGTACAGCGGACCGAAATCCCAGGAGGGCAGTCGGCTTCGTGGGCGTCGACGGCTGCTTCGTCCGCGGGCTCGCAAGAAGCACCGCCCAACATCGCCAGGACGGCGAGCAATGTCGTCTCTGCAGCGAGTGCAGCCGTGGCCTCACGTAGGCCGAGGCGGGCTTCGCATCTCGCCGTCTTTGTACGGAGCAGTATGATGTTGGCTCCAGTGAGTCAATCGCAGCGTGTGCAGCGCCAGGTCGACCAAATGCTCGACGAATTGGGGGTGGGTATCCGTCCGACGCCCACCAGGGAGATTTGCGAAGCATTCGACGTGCTTCGCCAGGAAATACTCGTCCTGATTGAGCTTCAACGTCTGCTGAAACGGAAAGAAGACGAATTGCGAGCTGTGCGTCAGCAGAACAACTCCGCACCCGCTGAGCATCGAGCTCGAAGCAAGCGTCGCGGGAAACGCGACCACTCCGCGGAATGAAGCGTTCTTTAATGGAGATCACGCTCCTGTCAATGCTCTAGGCGTATCCCGAGCAGGCTGGAACCGCACGCGAGGAACTCGTCAGCAGCAAGTTGCTGGCTCGCTGCAACCCGAGCTTGTTCACGAATTTGGCAATGGGTATTATCCCGTACACGAATGGGTCCCTCTGCTGCACAGCGCTTTGGGTATGGTGCAGCTCGATGCCAGCCGCTGATCATATACCGACCCTGTGCTGGGCCTGGTACTAGAGAACCCACGAGGGAAACCCTCAGGCGCTATCTGTGTTGCCAGATGGTATGGTGTCGCTCGGAGAATGCGCGCGATCGGATGTTCTGCTGCCTATAGAGATTGAAACATGAGCTCACCCGATTTTACGGAGCGGAATGGATGAATCTTACGAGAATCTTTCGAATGCTCAGTGGGTGCCAGCAGATATCCCAGCGGTATTTCCGCTGACGTCGTTGCACAAAACGGTACCAGAGCCGCATCGCCGTGGACGCATCTTTGGCGAAAGCAGTTCCATATGCGCTTGGTCCCAAGTGGTTTGTTCGCCGCGCACCTTTTCAGTTTGCGAGCCGAGCCACAGCATCACCGGGTCGCAGTGACGCTCGGCGTCTAGTGGCTTCACCGGCCGGAGCGGTCCGCTGCTGCTGGGGACCTCCCTGCTCTGCATTCTTTTTGACGTGATTGACGAGATCCAGCTGTCTCATTGCAACTTCAAGCGTACGGGCTACTGCTTTTGCGCATCCGGCTTTCACAGGATCCGGGCCTGTGATGACTTCACAGAACGCTCGATAGAGAATACTTCGTTTGCGCAGAATCCTGTCCAGGTGCATCGCAGAGAGCATTAGCAACTTCGACAAGCTGCATAATTCTGTCTTCGATGTACGGACGATCGTCCTCGTACCTGATACCGGATCGATCTTGACGGACGATCGGCAGGCTACGGCCGAATCATGCAGGAAACCGCGGCAAGCATTGTCTGAAGCTGGCATGATGACATCGAGTGGTGCATCCGGCCCGGATTCCCCGCAAAACCGCATTGTCCTAATGATCGCTTCTAACATGGCCTCGCTCATGTTCTTGAGTGTTTCATGGAATCGCAGGAGTTCAGCAGCTGCTTGCCATTCCTGTCCGAAAGTTCGCCGATTGGTAGAAATCAGCGTCAGGTGCGATATCTCATATCCGTCTTCCAAAAACAGCTCAATGCTTGACCGAGACGCGTAAAATCGGATCTCATCCGGATCTTCGGAAACTGAAGACTCACGGATACGCGCCAGATATTTTTCTTGCCTGAACGCTTGCGAGACAAGCAATCCACCCTCATCGAATGATAAAGTATTTATGTCCTACTGGGATGAGTCGGGATCTGCAATCCTCATGAATTCTCCGACAATACGCGTAAGTTTTTTCTCCATCTCCTCGGTGTACTTGGAGGGTGAGCCCGCCTTCAAGAAGGTCTCCATATCGTACAAAATGAGCACTCCGAACACAGACTCAAACGCATCTTGGCCCATAGCGTCCAATGCCGACTCCAAGACCGCTTCCGGATCAGATATGAATACCTCTGTGGCTGCACCAGGATGTTTGCTGCAATGCTGTGGGTTCTTTACCACGGCTTGTTTCCTGGGCGCCGAAGCAGGCGTCGCTCTGGAATCGATCGGCTTTGTCGCCGCACCTGTGGTAGGTGCCGTATCCGCGTCATACCAAAGTTCCCAAGTCGCATCGCAAAGGAGGCAGATCTCTTCGCCTCGCGGATAATCATCAGCGAGCTCGTGACAACACGGACGTGGCATGGCGAGCCTTGCAAACTACGCTACCGGCAAGCAGATACCGTATCCGCCGTTAAGCAGGAATACAATAGCTTGCCACGACTTGGTGCACAGGATGCAAAAGCGTCTCTGGTAGACGCGCAATCGAAATTCGATCGTTTCTTTACTTGAAACGATTCGTTAGATAAAAAGGATAAAACGGATCATTTAAAATTCCCACAGGTCGATGTCGCATGGCGAGATGACCCTCCGAAGCATCGGTGCAATGGTGTGCGCTTCAGCACTCAAGCCGCCGCATCAGAACAGAGCCGTGTATGCTATTTATTCATGAAAGGACTCCCAAAACAGTCCACTGATCGGAGCACCGTAGCGCTCTGAGCGAGAGGCTCCAAAGACTTTGGATATGAGTTCACAATTGAAGAATCCGGCAGTTCCCCTGGGAAACCCCTATTGGCGAGCTCCGAGGCGGGAGCTCAGGAGAACCCTCAAACAGTCCACTGCCGAGGTCCCAAGGCTACACGCTCGAGCAGCCATGCACGCGAATACGCAGACCAATGTGCAGGTGAAGTCGTTGGCAAGACCCATGAGATCTGCAGAAAACCGGGACCTGTCGGACCAGAACGCAAAAGCAGCAAAGCGTTCCGATTGACGCGACACACGAAGGCACAGATTGATCGGCGGAACGAGCTTCGGAAGGTCCTCGTGAGTATCTGCACACGAGCCGAAGCCGGCACCACTGCAACAGCCGCATCTCTCAAGGCACTGGAGAAAGCATACGACGAGTTGCGCAGGGAAACGAAGCAACTCGTCCGAGCAGACAAACGATCGTCAGCGAACAGTAAAAATGCCCATAAGGTCGAGCCCTTACACGAAAACAACAAGGAGCATGCGATCTGGAGCAAGGCCCGGATAGTGCAAGACGCCCGGTGCCGCAGCGCGACGTAGAACCGATCTACTACAAAGAAAAAAAATAAGAACGGCATTATCCCAGGTGCAGGAAGCGCGGACAAACCGCCGCAGCGAGCTCGTCGCGGAGGTCACTGCACATCGTCAAGATCCAAAATACTTGCACGAATACGCCGTTGGAGTCTCTCAAAAGGACCCTCTACCAACAACGAATAACCAGATCACTGGGCAGGGGAAATGCGAGGCCCAGCGCTGCATGAGTGACAGCCGGGCGCCGGGCACCGACGACGTGCCCCCTGAGTTGCTCAAACAGAAGCTCTCAGAATCTGATGCATCTGGCTCACCAGCAATGTCAGATGAGCCCGCTAGAGAACTGGCCAAGCGCTCGCTGGAGGTCTTGCAACGCATGGATGCTGAAGCGGCCATTCCAGAAATTTGGAACACGGCCGAGGTCGTGCCCATCCCCAACGGATATCCGCTAACGGATATGAATAACTATCGACTTGTTTACTTGATCCCGTCGATGATAAAGCGAATGTGCAGCATTGTTGCGAATCGCATTCATCGAGCTCTCGCTGAAAGCACATTCTTCGTTCCGGAGCAGGCCGATTTTCGGAGCCGTCAGGAGTGCATGAGCCACGTACTGATGGTAGTCGACGCAATGCAACGCCGCTTCATTCGGGAACAACAACCAACTTACGCATGCTTTATCGATTTCGGAGCGACTTTCGTCACGATTCCGCACGAGGCGTTATTTCTGAAAATGTATCTAGCTGGTATCCGCGATCGGAACCTCGCTTTCTTCCGCGCACTCTACCTAGACTCATGGTTTTGTGTGCGCCTGGGCGACGGCGCGAGAACCCCAAAGATACGGATGAAACGCGGTATGCGCGAGGGTGATCCTTCATCACCGCTTCTATTCAAAATTTTTATCAACGATATCTTAGATCGGTGCCGAGAGTACGGTGTAGAGTTTGATTGCGCAAGCGCTGACAAGCCAGAGAAGGAGGGTCCTCACGGGCGCCGCCTTGCGGGGCTCATATTTGTCGACAAAGTTCTGCTGCTGGCGCCGAACCCGGAGGCGCTCGCTGCAAGTATGCGCGAGGTCAGTTCCTGGGCCGACCGCTCGGAGTTGACCATCGGTGCATCCAACTGCGGGGTCATGGTCATACACGGAGACTCGAAGAGCACCCGCGACCGCCCATGGCGTCTGCAGGATAAGGACGTTCCGATCGTGGACAAGTACCGTTTGCTGCGGATGCACATCACGCCTACGCTCGACGTGCGAGCGCAACTTCGAGGGATAATCGCTGAGATGAAAAGCGCAGAGCACTAGTGCATCTCTTCCTTTGGAATTCGTCGATACCACTCGAGGTCTGGGGAAAGGTACCCGAGATTCGTACCATCTAGGCAGCGACCTCGAGCGGTGAATGGTGAGCTCTGCGCACGTCGTACCCGCATCGCGCATGCAGACTGCAGCCAACGTCGTGATGCGTATCTTGCCTGTATGTTTAGAAGGGCAGACTGCACCCAGTCCGCTCGCACTCGGATGTGAAATACAAAGCGTCCCGAAGGAAGCGATAGCGATCGGCTGCCGAGCACCTGTATGGTCTAAAAGGCTCAGCATGGACAATCTAGTTCAACCGGAATGTCACATTCACCGCGAAGCATGCAAAGCATACGTGGGTCAGGTGCATGCGAATGTAGATGAGTCGACTGCGCGGTGCGGAGAGACTCCAAACACTCGTTAGGAACGTAGAAGGTCTCAATACCTCCAAAGAACAGTTCGCAAGATAGTATGGACTTGCCAGTGAGGAAAGTGTCGAGTCTCCTACGTTGGTTGGTCGCTATTTGTAGCATACAATCGAACATGTGCGAACAACGACCGGTGCAAGGTGCTGGCGCCGCCTTTCGTCACCCGATACACACTCTGACTCGCTAAGGCGCACGTTGGAATGCCGCTGACCGATCCTGGCCCCGTGTCATATCCGAACGCCACCCGGTTTCCTGGGAATTCACTGCAGCTACTGTCGGGAAGCGAATGCTGAGACTCTGACATACTTACGCGTGCAGTGCTCACGTTGTCAAAAAGTGCGAACCCGCTGTTTTGAATGACTGCAACTTCTACACGTAGTTTTCGTTGATGAGGGGCGAGCGCTCACACTGAGCGCAGCGCCTGCACCCGTTGGCTCACCTTCCGAGCAACGTCGCTCGCGAATATCCTCACCAAATACACAAACCACTCTCGAGGCGGAAGGTATCGCGACCCGCGGGAGCATGCAGGCCCAGCGACTCGCGCACCTCCTTCTGTTTTCCGCCGAGCACAGGTTCGTGTCTCTAAACGGTGACGCGTTCCAGACTTGATTCCAAAGCTGAGACTCGGTTACCCGGACTCATTCTAAAGCAGATATTCATCAACAGCGTCCTGATGAGAAGGCAGTCTTGCATGCAAAGATTCTCGGAGAACAAACTGATGATGATCATGAGATACGAAACTGCGTCAGTTGAACCATGACACGAGCCGATGTCCTCAGGGATACGGAAAAAACGCTCTGTCTCGATGCGGTGTCCGTTCTGGCGCTATGGGTACGCTCAGAATGCTCGGCTCGTGAATGATCGCATGGATGAGTCACAATCCAAAGGAAAAACTCTGGGTTGCGTTTCGTGGATCGTATCGTGACTGGAATGGAATGATGGATGCTTTCCTGAACCCGTGGCGAAAAAATCGAATAGGTCTGCTTTGCTAACTTGGGTATAGACGCTAACGTTTGGATGCCTTGCAAGTGTCATCGACAGAAGCGCTTGCACGCGTTTTTCGTCGATGACTGTTTCAGTGTGTGTGTGTGTGTGTCCTCTCTGTTGCCCGTATATCCGGATTCCAGTACACTGGTCTCGATGCATCTGCGTCCAGTTCTGTCGCCTTTGGACGACAAATATTGATGGTAGCGTGCAGGTCCCGGTTGCTCCGCCTCCGGCTGTTGCCGACGCATACCAGGCTCATACGAATGTTGCGATCAGCACTGCGCTTGCAGTGTTCTTTTTCTGCGTTTACAACCTCGGTGCGCGCTTTGCAGCTGTGACAAATGACTGAGGTCAGGTGTTTTCGTATGGCCACCAGACCGTCCCCTCCGAGATCCGCGCTGTGGCACGTGGACGGTTGCATCATCGACCAGTACGTACACCTGACGTGTCCAGCAGGCGCCCGTCGACGCCTTGCTCTGGTGCTGTGCTCGGTACCGTACCCAGCGATCGCGAGGCTTGTTCTGGACGATCTCGTCGACGAGTGCAGTGTCCGCTGCTCACGCGTGAGCGGTCACTGCTCCGTTCAGTGGGGTATTGGCGGCAAACGATGTTGTTTACGATGAAACAAGTCCTCGAAGAAATATCCAGGCTGGAGATGGAGTCGAGAAATTCCGATCAGTCTCCGATCCCTTCGTGCTAAGCGATGACGCATGCCCCACTGGAAGCGATCGCTACGATGACGCAACTCGGTGTGTCCCAGACACTTTTCCATGCAAATAGAAGCAACCACAGCGTTCCAGAGCATATCCGCTTTGAGGTATGATGTTCTTGTCGAACGCGGTTCCGTCGATAATCTCGAAGCGGGGAGCATTTGTCTTCCAAATCGGAGTCGATTACTTGACGTGACATGTTCTGTGAACTTGAGGCATGAGCGCTCGAAGTAGTCGTCAAGCGACGACACCCATGATTCCGCTTTCCGTATGAAAGTGGCGCGAATGGCAGCGCCCGTCAGTTGCCTCGGGATCGACTGATCCAAAACCTGAAGAATGTGTGCGATTCGAGCATGCTGCACGCAAGGCAAGGCAAATGCTGGAGTCTTACGCGTCTGAAAAGGATAATCATATCTGTTATTCCGCGAGCGCTTGTTCGTGTGCATACCGAGTCATGTTGCTACAGGTGACGCTCCGCGTGCCAAGCGCGGTAGACCCGAACGCGCCGCTCCGAAAGCGAGTCACAGATTCCGTAAACGACCTCTGAAACGGTACGCCTTTACTGCTGCACGTCGAACGTCGAGCATGCTCATTTAAAAAAGCACCCGAAATAGCTCAACATCCAGGTATAGGGCGATCAATTCAGTGTCTCGTGTTCATCCGACACGAGTGAAGATGAAGCACCCTTCGTTGGTATATTCTGGAATCCCTCATAGGTCTCGGGGGCTCTCTCAAAAGCTCCCATACGAAAGCATGCCAAAAGACTTGACTTCTGCGAGGTCTCTAGCAAGCCGCTTTGTAAAGCGAGCTGGAAAACAGCCTTGCCAGGCGCTTCCTGCGGCTGCCGCACTCCCTTCTCAGCGGCACTGCCTGCGACGTTGCTGGGCATGCCGCTGCGCCGACGACGCCGACGACGCCGACGACGCCGACGTTACCGAAACGTTTGACTGTCGAAGAGCGCTGGCTAGCGACCACAGACGCAGCGCAGCATAACTCTAGCGTCGTGGTGGTGTCACCAGTGAACCTTGCTTGGGGTGGTTGCTGAACAACCAGCCACCAGCGACTGCAGACGCAGCGCAACGTTACCCTAGTGTCGTGGTGGTGTCACCAGTGAGCCTTGCTTGGGGAGGTTGCTGAACAACCAATCAGCACAGACGGCCAGCTCTTGAGCTCTAAACTGGACAACCAATCACCAGCGACTCTAGACGCAACGCAGGGTTGCCCTAGCGTCGTTGTAGTGTCATCAGTGAACCTTGCTTGGGGAGTTTGCGGAGCAACCAAACACCGCAACGGCCAGCTCTTGAGCTACAATCTTGGAGTACACTCGGTTAGCCTTTCCGGGAGCGCTGCAGAGCGCCCTATCACCATAGACGAATTTTATTTGTTCCAAGCGCTTCCAAGTATAAGCAGAAGACGCACTCAAGTGCAGTGCTCGCGTCTGCTGTACCAGAGGCGCCCGCTCCGCAGCATCCGTGGGCGAGAGGCCCTAAAAGGGCCAGTGCTTTCGGACCCAGCGTGGATCCTAAGCCAGGCGCGTCCTCTCTACCTCACGGTCCAGAGGAATGATCGATCCATCAACAGGCGACCTCGAACTGGCGGCATTCTACGCGCTGAACCCACCGTTGGGGATCGCACCGAGCCACGCCGAGGAGGCGCGGGCTGTTCTCGAGCGAGTCACCGCCGCTACTGAGGACGGTGGCTTTACGCTCTGCTGGTCACTGGCGGTGTCCGATGAAAGGATTCTTAGGCCAGAACTGGTGTTTTGGTGTCTACAGGTGCTGCTTTCCACGAGACAACGACTGAGTTTGCAGCAAGTGCTTGCGCTTTCACGCTCACCGCAGACCAGCGGGCACGCGCCTGGCTATGTGAAGAACAAAGCTGCACAGCTGATCGCAGAGCTTGTTGTAGAGCGATATCCGCTGAACTGGCCGAATGCTGTCGTTGATTTATTGCAAGCATTAGATGCGGATGCCATGTTGCGTTTCTTACGGGCACTTCATGAACAGGTGCTCGCCCGCGAAGCCCAGCGGCATGTTGAAGCGTCTCGGTTGAAGGAGGCCATGCGTGCTGACGGCTCCGCTCTGCTGCTGCTAGACTGGTGGGCATATCTGCTCCGAGCTGCGCTGCAGACGGATGCGGAAGGTATCGAACTTCCCGAGGCTGTTTCAGCGGTGATGCGCTCCTCAGGTGAACCGAAAAAACCGGGCACGATGCTATCGACAACGGAGCTGGTAGTTGGGGTTCTAGAGCTGCTCGCGGACTATGCATTCTGGATGGATCTCTCGGCAATTGTGGAGCGGTTTCAGCAACCGCTGCTCCAACTGGTATCAAACGCAGCGGGGCAACACTGGCCAGTGACGGTGGTTTCGGCAGCAGTGACAGCTCTAGAGCGAATGCTTTTGCGCAAAGTTGCCCATCCGGGAGAGAAAGTACATGTCTGCAAATCGTTGCATCTCGTTGAGCTCGTTATGAATGCGTCAAACGCTGATTCGGATGCTTTGCCTTCGTGGTCATCCTTACTGGGCTCATTGCTCATGGAGCTGCTTGAACTTTACGAAACGAGTGAAGCGACGGTCAGCAACTGGGCGGCAAACGCGTTGCGAACGCTGCTGGATGCGCTTCTGGGCGCGACAACATCGCCAACAACGAACGCACAAGCGCTGCTGTTCAGTGCACCTGTACTCTCGGCAATGTCGAGTTTGACGCGAAGACTGCAAACTGTCGACTGGGACGCTCTCAGCAGAAGGCTGTTAACGGCGATCCTGCAACACCTTCTGGCCCTGGAAACCAACGAGCGCGATACTTCAGACGCCGCCACCAGTGAACCGAACGGCGTACGCACCGACGTGCCGTTGGCCTCAGTCCACGAGGCACCGACTCTTGCGAGGGATCAGGTAAGCGACGCGGTGAGTCAGCTGAGTACCAGCAGTGACGATTGCTCCACCGAGATCATGAGCGTACTGGGTCATGTGGTGAAACGTTCCCCGACATTGGTGCTAGAAACACTGCAACAACTGCCGGCCCGACGGCTGCAAGCACGTCTGCTGCTCGAGCTCGCGAGCAGCTTCCCGGAAAACGCCCGCGAACTTGTGCTGGAGAATGCTCGCCAGGTGCTCAGTGATCCGGTGATGGATTTGGTCTACTTTGATGTGGTTGCACGTTTCGGTGCGGTGCTGCTACCAAAGTCGCCCCCGCTGTATGCGTACGTGTTGCCGATGCTCGTCTCTTCGCTCCAGTCGGAGAGCACTCGTCTGCGCGAGCATGCTGCGAATACCTGTGTGCGACTGGTGCAGGCGCTCCGCGATGTGCTCCCGCGCGACCCTGAACACATCCGCGAGCAAGCCGGGGTCGTTGCCGCTGCTCCGGTCGCTGCAACAGGAACACGCCGCGAACCCTCGCCCGCAGACAGCGGCATCCCAGCGGATAGCGCGACCCGCGTGGCGACTGGCTGGAAAAGCTTATTGCCAGAGCGTGTGCCTTCAGCAGCGCTGTCGTCGATGCTCATTCAGAACGGACGTTTCCGGGTAGAGTACCTGCTGCACCATTTCCAAGACCTGGTGCATCTGGACGGCCAGGACCCCGATCTGAACCTGGTACAGTTACCACTGGTGGAGTGCATCTCGCTGCTGATTTCCAGTGAAGCACTCTCCGCCGATACCCGCCTCCATTACCTGGAAAGTTGCCTCGTTCCCATGCATAGCAGCGGCCTCTTTCGCAGCGCATCCGGTTTGCGTGCAGTACTCCACCTGAGCAAGGGCTTTTCTCCGGCCCAGTGCCAGCAGGACGTGCGTCTGAGCCAGATCTGGTTGACCTGTCTGGACTGGGTCCTCGAAGCAGCTCCAAGTCCAGCCTATGGGCTGGACGCAGACGCACGTCCGCTGCTGCACCGACTTGCGGAGCTGCTGTCGGAGCCGCAAACAGGCGACCGCATCGCCACATTCATCGAGACGCGTCTGGAGCTCGGCAGAGAAGCGCTGCCGCTTGAACAGGATCTGCAGGCACTGGTGCTGTTAGAGAATCAACTATGTGATCGCTTTCAGACGGCTTGTGTTTCCAGTCAGCGACGCCTTTTCGAGCCGCTCGTGCGAGCACTGCTCTCCTGGTTTCCGCTGCTTCCAGCGGATGCGCCCGCAGAGTCGACTGATGGACGATTACCTAACGTGAGCACTTCTCGAGGTGCTCCCAGCGGTACTCCGGTGCTTTCGGAAGAGGCACGCGAGCGCTACACATTGCGCAATCTCTTCTACACGTACTTGGGCCAACTACTGAACAACGGCCTCGCGTCGATCATTGTGGATGATACACACCAAGGGCTGTGGCCGTGTCTGCTGCACGTTGTTGTCGCTGGGGCGGTTGGCATCCATTTCCAGTCGATCGAGCTGGTTGCTCGTCAGTGGCAGCCGACGGGGCCGCCAGCGATGCTCCCCGAACCCGAAAGCGCAGCACTAACCCGAGCGGCGTTGAGTGTTCTTCGGCGCTTCGCTGAGCACTGGGCCGGAAGCGGCACGGTCCCGTCGCTCGATGCGGCACTCTTGCAGGCGCTTCCCGAGTTGTTCCGTTGTGCGCCCGCTGCAGTCTGTCGCGAGAATGTTGAGCTCCAGATCGTGTTGCTAACGCGTCTCCCCCAAGTTGAGCGCGTCCTTGAGCTGATTCTGGAGGAGGCAACTTCCCGCGGTTGTGCAGCGTCCACCTGCATGCAATATCTACGCATACTCTCGCAGTTCTCACAGCTTCGCCGCGAACGCGAGCGACGAGGAAGCGCGTTCGACGGCATCGACAGCAAACAGACTGCAGCGGTGTTGCCGCTACTTCGACAGCTGGTTCAGACGTTCAGCAGTTCGGACACGGATCAGGCGTGATATCGCTTTCAAGCAACAGATGCGCTCTGGGTCACGAGCATCGAACGGTACGAGGTTTCTTGCAGACCTGTGTATCGATGCCGTGCACCAGGCACGGACGCTCGCGGTGCGGTGCTTGGCGAGCGTCAAGTTGAGCGGCGTTGGTCGTCGTGGGCACGAACCGGATGCACCTCGTGAGCAGCCAGCGCTTCACTGGAGCTGGTGCTGTGGACTTGAACGCGCTGCGGCACGCTGCAGTCCCCTGGATCTTGCGTTTACGTCGACTGGGAGCGCTGCGACGTTCGGTGCTGCGGCGGCAGGCATTCAGCATTCGGAGGACTGTACAAACGAACCATAATTGCCAAAGGGGAGTACCATTGGTTACCGCTGGGGCTCGGAGGTCTCGTGCATGATCATGGCGGACGCTCTCCCAGATGCCGTTAACCATGGTGATGCTACATCGGGGATATCCCTGGTTCATGTAAACAGAATTCTATGCTGCGCCTCGCCGACATGCCTACTCGAAAGCACTGATTATGATCATCATCTTTATATTCATGATGGTTGACGGGGGCGGTGATTCTGTAAACAACGATTCATTCAGTTTCATGAAAGATAGGGCACTGGTCGAAGCGGGTATCATCTGGGTCTCAGCTCAAGGTTGTGTGTTTTCTGGCTTTCGAATCCGAAGGATCGCTTCTACGTTGGTCCAGCACATGCAACTCCACGCAGTTCGAGGCGTTTTCTGAAGGCAGTTACCAGGAGCACGAGAACTAGCACCACAAGCATCGGTTATACATCGTGCGGACGCTCTCGAGGCTACTCGTGGGGACACAAGCTGCTTGACACTACGGTGGTCGCGTGTCGTGCCGCCGCAGCACGGGTAGGTCTCGTGAGCGCGAAAGCCTTCGAGCTCTGGCTCGAGCGAAGCGGTGCAAACGCCGCCCCAAAATCTCACGAATGACTTTCAGTATTTTGGATGAAGCCTCGATAGAATAGGAGCTCGCGACATACGCACTCTCCAGGTTATCGTCAGAGCGCAGTTGAACCTGTCAATGCTTGCTTTTTTTTGTGGAGCAGGAATCTGCGTCGCTCGTCTGCCCGTCGCCTCTGCTGCCAACAAGCACGATGTGCAGCGCTCTACCTATGCAACTTCGCGCTCTTGGATGTGATGCTTCTGTGGGGTTCACAGGCGACGTTCCACCTAGCTCCGTTGCGTCTGCCTTTGCCAGGTGCACTGCGCAGAGCACCAAGCGTGCTTTGCATGTTCAGGGAGCGTTTCGTGCCGGTTTCACAATCCATTCCAAGTCAGTAATGCCCAACTCTTTAAGTAGAAGGTCTCTTGTCTAGAATCCAAGCAGCGCTGACGCAGTTCATGACGCCCGGCTGCTTAGAGACCGTTCACATTTCCCCGCCAACACCCAGCGCCTCGTACTGAAGACGTGGTGTTGCGTCCTAAGTGCGCTCGCTGCCTCTTGCGTCCAGGGCATCCAAGGCGAAACGCGCTCGCTCCACAATCGAGGCATCGGAACTGTTCACGAGCGGTTCGAGGTAGACCCGCGCTCGTTCATCGCCGAGTTCACCGAGCGCACCAATCGCTGCAAGCTGGACCAGCGGCTCTTTGTTCGCATGCAATGCCTCGACCAGTATAGGGAACGCTTCTCGAACACCCATTTCCCCTAGAGCAGCGATGATGCTGAACCGCACCACCCAGTCCTTCGACTCGTGGAAGAGCTTTTCCAGGTCTGGGAAGGCCTCGTGGAACCGGAGACCGCCCAGCACGTCAGCTGCTCCAGCGCGCACAGATGCATCCTCTTCTGTGTTCCATAGTATCTTGCGAACGGCTTTCAGGGTCCTTTGGCGATCGTGCGAGCCGACCGTTGCAAGCTGCGTAACAGCAGCATAGCGAACTTGGGGATCGGTATCCTCCATCATCTCCAGAAGGATATCGTAGCGAGTGCTCTCGTCCAGGTAGCGTGCATAGTTGATACCCAGCGCTCGCTCTGCAGGTGAGTTAGAGCGTAAGTGTTCACGTACTTCCGCTTCAGACTTGGGGTCCAGCGGGTCCGCGAGGCCGCTTTGCAACTGAAGCGCGTTGACCCGCACCCGGCGAGGCCGCTGCGGGGCTCCAGGACAACAGCGCCGGCGCTGCCGACACCCGCTCGAGACCGAGTAACCGGTGCAGCCCTCCGCGAGACGTCTGAAAACCTGCGTACCTGAAAGGCGTTGCGCGCTGAGAATGAACATCGGGCATCCACTGTCTTGATCGTGAGGCGAGGGCGTAAGCGCTCGTTTGCAGAGCGTGAGGGCGTCGGGCGATCTGCGCCAGCGCGCACGCGAAGTGGCCATCACCGAGGCGCCATTCATAAACAGTACATTTATGTATATGATAGTACAATAAGGATTCGTGCTTTAGAGCGTCCCGCAACACACGCGAACCCCAGGCGACGCTGCATCCGTGGATGCCCTGCTCCTTTGGGCTCCTGTTGCATCTGTCTGTTGACGCTGTGCATCGGAGGAGCTATGGACGCTGACAGCATCAAGCTACTGTGCAGTTTAGCAGAGAGCATCACGGATCTTGCACGAATCTAGTCGATTTGAAAAGTTTTGTACGCTATGGAAGCGCGTAGAGTCGATGAGTGGCGACGGCGCATGCGAAATGCATGCATCAGCTCAAAAAACATTTATCCACACGGATGACGACCCCGGTGTTGGTGCCGCCTTCTCCACGGCTGGAGTAGCGTGGCCTTGGGTTAGTTCGCATTCGGTGGGGAAAATGGCGTCTCCAGGTTTCATCTACCTGCTTGTTGTATCCTGATGCATCTCGCTCGCATACGTTGAACTTCAAAGCATGTGGCATTCAGCACAGCCTGGAACGACCGTAAAAAAGCGATTCTCGCTGAGCGATGCACCCGTATAACGCTAGGCTCGGCATGCTCAATAGCTTGAGGAAACAGAACTGGTGGCTCGTGCGTCTTTTCGCGGACAGTTTTTGTTCTGGCGACGCATGCGCTGGTACCGAGTATAATGCAACTGTTGACGCTGCGGCTGACTCTCGTGCATATTTAGCCCTCTCAATTCGTTTCGCTTCGTCCGAACAATTGACCCGATCTGAATTCGATAGCGAGAATACGCCATGATCATTGTCATCATCGGAGAATGCACAAGGCAGGTGTGATATCCCAAAGGCGGCATGTTTCCTTTTCGCCAGCGTAGCGAGATGGCGTCAACTGGTACTAGCGAGCCGTTTCGTCACCTCAATATTCCCTGCGGATTGCGTACAGAATACGCCCTTGCTGCGTACACAATGATTCAAACTCGTCAGCGAGTGCCAAAAAAGAGAACTCTTTTTCGGTATTTCATGTGTCACATGGAAAACCTGAGTTATAGCTTTCATGCTCGGACGCATACGAGGAGACACAGCAAGTAAACTAGTCTGTCGAGTTTCTTCTTCGTAAAGCATGGAAAAATCTGAGATGCTCATATCCCGCTAAGAAGCATGCGACGACACGTACCAGTCGATCGAGCTTGTTCTTCAGGCACGCTCCTGCAAGAACATGCTGTCTCAAAAGCCGCCGAGTCTCTGTACGAGGTCCAGTTTGGCGGCGCATGCAGCAACGCGGCGAGTCCTCGGGACAGCTCTGGATGCACGTCGTATCGCCAGATCGATCGAGCGTCTATTCCTCATCGGTAAATAGAACTTGGGCCAGCGGAACTTGGAGGCGTCTATGGAAGCACTGGAGCACCTTTGTTGGCCACTGACAGCATCTGCGTGCGTCTCAGGAATGCTTTACAGGTTCCTAGATCCTCCGACGTGAAACAGAGGCACTAATTTGAATAGGCGCTGGGGCACCTTTCATGGCAGTGACACCGGCACTGCCGCTCTAGCGAGGCGGTGCGACTGCTGGTTTTTTTCCAGGAACTTGGAGATCCTCTCCATGAACCAGGCATCTTAAGCATCGCTTCGGGTATTTCCATCCAGGGAAGTAGCATGCAGAGAGCTATCACATGCCTTCTTAGGGACTTGGAGATCCTCTCCATGAACCAGGCATCTTAAGTATCGCTTTGGGTATTTCCATCCAGGGAAGTAGCATACAGAAAGCTATCACATGCCTTCTTAGGGACTTGGAGATCCTCTCCATGAACCAGGCATCTTAAGCATCGCTTTGGGTATTTCCATCCAGGGAAGTAGCATGCAGAAAGCTATCACATGCCTTCTCAGGGACTTGGAGATCCTCTCCATGAACCAGGCATCTTAAGCATCGCTTTGGGTATTTCCATCCAGGGAAGTAGCATACAGAAAGCGCTTGAAAGTACGCTTGTGATCGCGCGATACCTTCAACACCTGCCCTGGCTGAACGGAGCGCTGGGCTGGCGGCACGTCGTCGCCCGGCGCAGGCGCTGATTCACGCCGCACCGGTCATTCATCGAGGAACGCCACCGAATGCCACTGCTCTACAGGCAGCTGCATAGAAACGCGGGCCGAGACGCAGTGAACCATTAGAAAGTTCAACTTTCGTCAGGTTCTTGTGACTTGTGTGTGTGTGATACATTGGAGCGTGATACAGTCTACAGAGTTGCTGCTTGGTAAAAACCGGTGGATTCACTTTGAATAGAACGTGCTTCAGGGTCGCCGCTTCCAGCGCTGCACCACGTCGAGCGTGAAGCGGCGCCTCATTCACCGAAAAGCGCATCGCCCAAGGTTTCAAGTCATTTAGGCCTACTACGCATTTTTGACATATACACAGTACGTTACTGGTGGACTAGCACCGACGTGAGCACCATTGTCAACGAGCCCCGGTTCTCGCTGACGCTGGCTGTGTACCGAGAGGCCTCACGAGACGCCTCAGTCCGGCGACGTGTCGCCGCCGACTGGACGTGCAAACGCGAAACACGACTTGGCTATGGACACACAACCAGGTCAAAACGGGGAAGGCGCCGCTGATCGCGAAGGTGTTCAAGAAACAGCAGCACGACATGGGGCTGACGCATCCGCTTCCCGTAGCGCTCAGCCGGAGTGGCCCTATTCAGGGCAGCCTGCAGAAAGTGTACACGAAGCACAGCCATCAGTACCGGACGATGAATTCGCCGAGCAGCTGGATATTGCTGTCGCGGAAACAGCCGAACAGAATGATCTGACTCTTGGACGGGAGCGGATGTCGCTGGTGCGTCATGAAGTGCTCTCTACACCGCTCGCAGCTGAAGAAGATCCAAATGTGGACGGTGTGCCTCGCACTGCGGTTCAGGAAGCAGCGCAAGCAGATGGTATTGGGATTGATCCGGCGTCGCAGGAGAAACACCCGAAGCATGCAGCAGACGCTTTAGAGAGCCAGTCCACATCAGCCATTGCCACAGCCGGCTCTGCATACTTTCAATACCAGGGACGCCAGGCTGGCGTTACGGACTATCACCGGTACGCTCAGGACCAAATGCGAAGGATTGCTGAAGCGGCAGCATTGACGGCAACAGGAGACTCGGCATCGCGCAAGCCGCTCCCCGAATTAGAGGCATCCTGGCTCTCGCGGTGGACATTTTGGTGGTTCGGCTCCCTCATATGGCGTGGTTGGCGTCGAACCCTGGACGACTCCGACCTGTATGAACTGGCACCGGATGATCGCGCCCAGCCGCTGTCCGAGCGCTTTGCAGTGGCCTGGGTGGATTTCCTGGAACGTCAGGAGGAACGCATTACCAGAGAGTTGGAACGCGAGCGTCAAGCTCGAACAGCGAAAACTGGTGCACTCGACGGAGTTGCGCCCCGCAAAGACGACTCTCTGGACCATGTTGATGAGGAGCAGCTCCGCATCCAGCGACGTTCGCGTTGGCCCATGTTCTGGGTCATCCTGCGGGTGCACACGCGCATTATCATTGTGTCCGGTATCCTGAAATTCTTTGATGTCGGTCTAGGTCAGGTTTCTCCAGTCTTCCTGAACAAGCTCTTGATCTGGCTGGAAACGCCCGGAGCGCCCACATACCAGGGGTATCTCTGGGTGCTTGCAATCTTTCTGGCCCCGTTCCTGAAAGCGTTCGTGGAGAACCAATACTTTTACCTGACGTTTCGGTTGGCGGTGCGAATTCGTGGAGAGGTTCAGTCCGCGGTCTACGACAAGTCGCTGCGGTTGAGCGCAAGTGCGCGCGCGCAGACCACCACAGGTGAAGTCGTGAACCATATGCAGCTCGATGCTCAGCGTCTGAGTGACTTTATGCAGTATGCCCACGTCCTCTGGGCTGCGCTCTTGCAGATCGGTGGAGCACTTGCCCTGCTCATTGTATACTTGGGCTATAGCGGCCTCATTGGCTTCCTCGCGGCGGTGCTGACGGTGCCGCTTCAAGGATACCTGGTGAAGAGACTGTCGGGATTTCGCAGGCTAACCTTCGGAATCACTGACCGTCGAGTGAAACTCTTGAATGAAATGTTTCAAGGCATCAAGACGCTGAAATTCTATGCTTGGGAAGAGCCATTTGCCGTCAAAGTTACGGAGATTCGGGAGCAGGAACTTGCCGCTTACCGCAGGACTGTTTTTGTTCGCACCCTCTTCTACGTGGTGCTATTTGTGACGCCAGTGCTCGTCTCTGCGGTGACGTTTGGGTTTTATGGTGGCGTATTTCACAACCAACTGAACCCAGCGTTTATTTTTGCTGGACTGAGCGTGCTGAATAATTTGCGTTTTCCGCTGATTCAGTATCCGTTCGTATTTACTGCGCTCGTGGATGCCCGCATCGGCGTTCAGCGTTTGCAGCGGTTTTTCGCGCTGGAGGAAATCGAGCCTTCTCCAGCGACGGAGCGTCTTAGCACGGATGCAAAGAGCTCGAGTTCAAGCTCCGACCTCATGGGCGATCCCGCTCAGAAGCTAACAGACAAACAGAAGCGAACACCGTCTGCTGAAGATGCGCAGGTGCCGCCTGCACCGCACCAACCCGAGTCAACCCGCTCCCGTTGGCGTTTCTTTTGGCGGAAACCGGTCGAGCGAGCCGCCAAGCACTCCGCACCATCGTCTGAGCATCCAACAGATGCAATTGATGGTGCTGATGCCAGCGGTAGTGTTATGACGCGAGCTCGCGAACCCTCTGGAGCGATTCCTGCCGAGGAAGCATCATCGCTGCCTGGCGCCTTGCACTGGGGTCCGTCCATTGAGCTCCCAGGCGAATCAGCGGCTTTTCACGAGCAAGCTGAAACGAGTACAATCCTGATGGACTCTACAGATACAGCAGAGAACGGCCAGGGCACCGGAATGCTGCTCGATAAGCCTAGCAAGGATCTCAGCTCAGGACTGGGTAGAGCGTCGTCGTCGTTTCGGAAGGAGCCCATGTACGTCATCGAGATCGAGCACGGGTGCTTCGACTGGACGCTCAGCAAGGAGCAGCCAGCTCCGGCTTCTGCCTCTGCTTCTGCCACAGAAGGACAGCAGCTGCCCAAGCGCCGCCTAGCGCTTTTCCAGCGCCTCTGGCATCGACGCGAGCTGCGCAGACAACCTCCCCAGCCGGAGGTGCGATTGAAACCCGTCGAGTTTGTACCCGCTCTGGAAGATGTGAACCTGCGGATACCGCCACGCGCGCTAGTGGCTGTTGTGGGGCGCGTCGGCTCTGGTAAGTCATCGCTGGTGTCCGCCATACTCGGCGAACTGCAACGACGATCGGGCACGGTTCGGGTTCACGGCTCTGTGGCTTATTCTGCACAAGCAGCTTGGATCTATAACGGGACAGTGCGCGACAATATTCTCTTCGGGCTTCCATATGAACCAAAGCGATACAGGCGAGCCATATACGTGAGTGCGCTGAATGCCGACTTGGAGATTTTACCAGCTGGCGACTTGACTGAGATTGGTGAAAAAGGAATCAACCTCAGCGGTGGACAGAAGCAACGCGTCAGTCTGGCTCGCCTCGTGTACGCAAATGCAGATGTGAACATTTTGGATGACCCGCTATCCGCCCTGGATGCGCATGTCGGAGATCACGTCTTTCAGAAGATTCTCTCCAACGAGCACGGCGTCCTACGACGTAAGACGCGAGTGCTGGTCACCAATCATCTGCAGTATGCCTCGCGTTGTGACTGGATTGTTTTGATGGAAAATGGCCGCATCGCAGGTCAGGGGACGTTGCAGCACTTGACAACGAGCTCACCGCGCTTTGTGGAGATGCTTGCGGCAATGACAGCGACGCGTTCCACGCAATCCAAGACGCAGGTCGGGGATCCGAACACCGAACCCGCCGAAGACGACCTCCACCGGCTGGACGCAGACGACGCAGACGGGCATCGAGAACGCTCGGAATCAACGAAAGAGAGAACGAGTTTCTTCTCAAGCAGTGGCGTCGGCAGCGGCGACCCGAGCGTCACTGGACGTGAAACCCAGAAATCCACTGACAGGGGTCAGCTGGTCGTTACCGAGGAAATCAACAAAGGTCACGTAGCACTCTCCGTCTACTGGGGCTATGCGAAGCGCTGTGGGAATCCGTATCTCTTCATCGCGATCTTGTCGTTATTCTTTGTGTCGGCCGGCGAGGCAGTGGTCAACAACTGGTGGCTCAGCTTCTGGAGCGAGCACGAGCAGCAGTACACATTGGGCTTCTTCCTCGGCATCTACTTCGCGCTTGCCGCGGGTCACGCGATTATCTCTTTCTTCCGCACGTACTGGTTTCTGCTGTTGACGCTGGTAGCGGCGCGTTACCTGCATGCAGAGCTGCTGGACTCGGTGCTGCGAGCACCAATGGCCTTTTACGATGTGACACCTGTCGGACGTATTCTGGTTCGCTTCAGTCGCGATATCATGCAGATTGACTTTCAGTTACCGCAGCAGTACATCTCATTCCTGCAGCAGATCGCCTCGATCATTGCCGCCTATGTTTTCATCGCTGTTATATTTCCGATCTTCGTGGCGGCCATGGTGCCCATTACTGTGCTGTATTTCGTGCTGCAGCAGATCTATAATCCCGCGAATATTCAGTTTCGGCGGCTGGACAGCATCAGCAAGGGTCCCATCTACAGTCACTTTAGCGAAACCCTGAATGGACTGACCACCATCCGCGCCTACCGTCGACAGGCTTACATGCAAGCGGTCAACCGCTTCCGCATCGATATCAACCAGCGAGCTTACTACCACCAGGTAACCGGCAACCGTTGGCTTGCGCTGCGTCTCGAGGTGCTCGGCGCTCTTCTGGTCTTTATCACGGGGATCTTTGGAGTGACCTCCAAGAACACCACCTACGTCGGGTTGACTGGCTTGGCGCTTACCTACGCGCTCCAGGTGACGTCGGCGCTGAGTTTAGCGGTGCGATCGATCACCGAAGTCGAGCAGCTGATGAACTCGGTGGAGCGCAACTTTTACTACACGGACTCGATTCCGCACGAGAACCTGGACGGCGAGGAGCCGCCTCCCAGTTGGCCCCAGGTGGGCGAAATCGTTTTCGAGGACGTTTCGCTGCGGTATCGTCCTCAGTTGCCGTTAGTGCTGCAGGATGTGACGTTCCGCGTCGCCGGTGGCGAACGTGTCGGTATCCTGGGACGCACGGGTTCCGGCAAGTCCTCCATCATTGTCGCGCTCTTTCGACTCGTCGAGATACCAGTGAATGAAACGACAGGCAAGCCGATGGGTCGCATCCTCATCGATGGACTCGATATCAGCAAACTGCGAGTGCGCTCGTTGCGTTCCCGGCTCACGATTATACCGCAGGATCCGGTGCTTTTCTCGGGGAGCATTCGACTCAATTTGGATCCGTTTGGGCTGTACACAGACGCGGAGCTCTGGAGTGCGCTGCGCTACGCCCATTTGGACGACGCAGTGCACGCTATGCCCGGTGGCCTCGAGGCCCAGGTCGCCGAGTACGGAGAGAACCTATCCGCTGGCCAGAGGCAGTTAATCTGTCTGGCTCGGGCGCTGTTGCGGCATCCGCGGATTCTCATCAGCGACGAAGCCACCTCTAGTGTGGACTTTCAAACCGACAAGGTCATTCAGGACGTTATTCGGCAGCAGTTTGAGGATGCAACCTTGCTGGCGATTGCGCATCGCCTCTTTACGCTTGCCGCGTTCGACACCTGCCTCGTCATGCATCATGGGCGCGTGGCGGAGTACGGCGATCCCGAGGAGCTGCTCTCCACACGTCCAGACGGTCAGTTCAGTCGACTTGTGTACTCTCTGGGGCCACGTGCTAGCGCTCGATTCCGTGCGCTCCTTCGTGAGCATGCACCCCAGCGACGCCATCGTCAGTCAAGTCGGAAGGGCCGCGCACTTTCAATGACGGCAACCAGCGGCAGCGCTCTGGAGGCAGAACCCGATTCTGTGCATCCTGAAATCGATCCGTAAACTCAAGCGGAAGCGCTTTTTTTCTAAGTGGGGAATGGCTTTTTTGAGCGGCTGCGGTGTGCTGTGACCTGGCGCTGTGCGCTCGGTTCCATGCAAGGCATCCATGTCTTTGCCGGATGAACATGGAACACTGACCCGTGGACTCTGTTTCAGCACTTTGATTTTGTGAAGTGTTTCCAGATATGCACGCTCAGCATTTGAAATGTAACGGCCACTTGTTACGGAATCATGCGAGAAATTCGGATTCTGAGTCCGTGGTATCGGAGTGGCGCTCATTCGACGATTCGCCGCTGGAATTCGTTTTGATATAGGAACCAGGATCATTTGTGGCGCCTTCGAACACGGATTCCGAAACTATACGATATCGGTATCCAGTTCGTAAGTAAAAAGTGATATGCGTCGCATTTTCACACGAAAAGCATGCCGAAACTATGCATGCTATACGTTTTCAATCGTTCTGGGGTACGGCGTATCGTGGAGGCAGCAATTCACGCCGCTGGATTGACATCGAAAGAAACTCGACGTGGCTTCTCGGCAACGTGTTCACAAGCTCATGCCGAAACGTCACGGAGCACCGAACGGGATGCTGCATTCCATAGATTTTGGTAATCAAATCCTACTCCATTTGTTTCCATCGAGGAGACGGCGCTCGCCAGTAACATGACACCTGTTAAGGGATTTGCCCTCAGAGGTGCTCGCCTCATCTGCTTGCATGGAAAAAGGTCTTTGACTCGGACTTGAGCCATCGTAGCGATCGCTTCCAGGACAGAATGCGTCAGCGCTTGGAACGTCAGGACCGCAACCGAATCGGCATTGCTCGATTCTATCTCCAGTCCGGATTTTGTTTGCGGTACTTGTTTCACCATGACCAGCATCGCTTTGAACAAATCGTCTATCGGATTGGTAAGCGTGCGCTTGCGTGTGCAGCGCACGGTGCACTTGCCGAAGGGAATCGCCTTGAAGAATCCCTTGTTACTGGGTTATGGCACTGGGACCGGAAAACTGAGGAGGGCATCGAAGACAGCCCCCTCTATCTGTCAAGAATATGGACTGAGCGTTGACGCAAGCGTTCAAGCGCAACAGAGCACGGCTCGGCGGAGCAGGCATGCTGGACGTACGGGAACACCTGGCGGCGTCCCAGTGTCGCCGCCGCCACGGGGGCAACAACACTTTCTGCAAAGAACATGGAACCGGGAAGCGAGACGTAGATCTCAACTTCCTTCTATGTGCGTAAAACGCATCGGCAACATCCGCCTGCGGCTTTATCGGGACCTGAACGCTGCCATCAACATCCTTCGACTGCTGGCAAGTGAGAGCCCGGGAGACAGGACAGACTCGCGTATTCAAAGTCTGAGAGAAGAGAGAGAGGCAAGCAAAGCAGTCGCATCAACAGGCCCGCCAACGCTCGTTTTGTAAACAGTGGAAAAAGCGCCAAAATTGAGCGTTTATGCCCGAGTTTGTAAATCTGACCAGTTCCATTTTATTCCGAAAAACGTCTCGAGTGATTCATGCGAGCTCTGGAGGAGAGCGTTTCAGCGATCCACCCTGCGCGAGCGGTTGCCTCTTCCTAAGTTGCAGTCCACGATGAAGTCGATCCATGCATCTGTGCTACGCTGGGCGCGCGGCAGCGTGTACCCGCCATGACTGCCAACGTGCCGCAAAGCGATCTACTCGAAAGCGTCCAGCGGAAAAGGCAACGGACAACGACAGCAAGCGTATTCGCAGGCAGCCAAGCGTCCATGCCTTAGATGCATGATAACGCAGCGACTCTCCTTAAGGTGCACACACTGCGGGTTGCCGTTCACGGTACCCAGCTGCGGTGCCTGTAACCAAAAGACGTGAGCTGTGCATAGGGTGCCACTGTGCGGTGGTACATTTGCCACACAAGCGCCTGCCGTTCTCATCGAGCACCCAGTGTCCGAGTGAAACGCGCTCACTCCGAGGCCTGTTGCGGCTCTGGAGTCTGCAGTGCAACTGTTGACAGGTTCGTCTCATCGAGGTAACGCTCGTAACTCCGTCGTGCAGCCTGGAGGTACTGCTCGCGTCGCGCGGCGTCTTGTGTACTGCGCGCTTTCTCGTAGCTCTGTTCGAGCTCATCAACCAGCGCTCGTAGCTCCCGTGTTTTAGGTGACTCGTAGTTATTCGAAAATGTTCCAGCGTATATGCGCATAGCTCGCAGAAGACGAGCCGCGTCCGACCGCTTGTTGCTCAGGTCCCAGCGGCCGTTCGCGTCCCTGTTCCCCGCTTTGAGTGCGCTTTCCAGCGCGCTCAACAGCTCTCGACCCGAGAGAATGCGCGGTGCATACCGCTCAAACGCACGTTTTGCGGACTGCGGTGTGTAGTCTGCTCGAGCTTCGGGAAGGCGCTGCCAGGCAGTCACCGCTAGTAAAGCACACTGGGCAAGCTGGTGTAGAACTTGCCGCCGACTCCATTCGCGCACCGGCTTTGCGCTGCTGTCCATATGCAACCAACGCCTTCGTTGATAGCAACCAGCACGCTGATAATGTACGAGTCCAGTCTGAATGAACATGAATGCAACTCCTGCACGTGTCTATCACTGGTGACGCTCAGAAGCGACGCATCCGAGTGCCGCGAGTCGTGGACGCATTGCCTTTGCGCGCCGCAGATTCGCAGCGTATCACGAGCTGCGGAAAGAACAGAAACTATTCACTAAATGGCAACTCGATAACATTTGCGCTCGACCTTGATCGTAAGCGTTGAAATGGGGAAAAGTTTCAGTATCTTCGAAAGTTTACCTTCTTGGCGGAAGGTCCCGCGAGCCGGGCGAGTCTGCCGGGCTCGTGCTTCAGGCTTCCATTGGCAGGTACTGTGGCGAGACCTGCGCAGCTCGTCCGCAACGCAGTTCATCCTGGGACTAGATGCAGCTTTGCTGCATCTGGGCGTCGCCCTGCTCGCAGTGGACTCCTACTATATCGATTCGCGCTACCGCGGGCAGTGCGTCTGTCTACGCAGCTTACAGGCTCTCAGAATTATGATGTACTCCGACCCCATGTCGGATGAATCATCCTTCGAGCCGACGCCCTCAGTGGTATGCCAAAGCCGTTCTGTCTCCCTGCAGCACCTGCTTCAGCGGTATATAAGCGCAACGGCGGGTGTTCACGGCAGGCTCGGCGTACGATAGAACATACGAAACGACCAGTATATCCGAGAGGAAGTCTGGGTAATGGAACTTGAAGTTAGGCGCCTCATCATGGGCGCTTTCCCGAAAGCTATTATTCATTCCGAATTCTGGGATCCATGGTCAATCGAAACGTTTTGTCATCAGATAAATCACGAGCTGCGCCCTGGGGCCTCCACAGCGGATGCGGCGGCGGCAGCAGCAGCAGCAGCAGCAGCAGCACCGTGGTGCCTCACTTGCCTCCGCGTATCATGCTGGTGCCTATCGGCTAGCATCATCATGATCAGCTTGAACCTTACAAGCAGCAGCAGCAGCACCGTGGTGCTTCACTTGCCTCCGCGTATCATGCTGGTGCCTATCGGCTAGCATCATCATGATCATCTTGAACCTTACAAGCAGCAGCAGCAGCAGCACCATGGTGCTTCACTTGCCTCCGCGTATCATCCTGATGGGTAAAGATAAGTATCCTCATCATCATCATGAATCTTAAAACCAGCAGCTCTGCGGCATAGGCGGCTCATTGTCTGGAGTCCAGCGTCGATCCGCGTGTACGACATTGGTGCACTCAAAGCGCGTCGGCTTTCGTGGAAGCGGCAAAGCTAACGTACCGAGACCGGGGTTGCGTTCTCGTTCACGGGGGTATCAGGGCTGGTTTATCGACAAGGCAACATGCCAGTGCTGCGACGACCAACCGTTCGTGAGCCGGTATTGCACACGGATGTTACCGCGTGTGTGCAGGTCGACGAACATCGTGCTCGCACTCGCACTGCACCGTTCGCAATGGTGGTGAAGGGCCCGCACCGCCCAAGTGGCACTGAGCGTCCGATGCAAGCGTTTTCCTTCCATGTACCTCGAAACTTGCACGGACTGTCGTTTCGAAGCGACTGGCGAGTCGCGCGTTACTTGAAGGTCTGCAGGCGCAGCACAAGCCCGGGTTTCCAGGGCCCCCTTGGTGTCCGTGCCGGAGTCTTCGACTTTCTTCGCAATTTTGGCGAGCAAGCACGACAGGAACAACAGGCTCTGGTCGATGCAGTGAAACAAGGCAAGTTTATGGACTACGTTCGAGACAAGGCAGTCCGAGACGCTGCGCAAGTGAGCGCGTTTCGGGAGGGGCTCACCAAGACGCGTGAGCGACTCAGCCGCGAAATCGAGACCATAGTCGAACGCAACATGGGGCGTTTGGACCAGGTTGACCAGGCTATGCAGGATATCGAAAATGCACTTCTGGGAGCTGACCTCGGCGTCTCCGTCGTCGATCGCTTGATGGAGAACTTGCGAAAGGACATTGCAGAGCAAAGGCTGCGGAGCGGTGCAGAGGTCAGGGCCTCGCTCGCCGCGTCACTGCTCGCGCTACTGACGCGCGCCCAGACTGACGCGCAGAAACGTATACAATCACAACGATTGGCTGCGCAGCAACACAGCGGCTCTCCCCAGTGCGAGGTGCTGATGCTTGTAGGCACGAACGGCCATGGAAAAACGACATCCGCTGCGAAGCTGGCCTATCGACTGCGGACACAGGACAAGAAAAAAGTGTTACTCGTTGCAGCGGACACTTTCCGAGCAGCGGCGGTGCAGCAGCTGGCAGAATGGGCTCAGCGAGCCGGAGTCGATATCGCGATGCCGCTCGAGAATCAGAAGAGCGCCGCATCGGTAGCCTACGATGCCCTGAAACGGGCTGTTGATGAACGCTATGACGTTGCAATCATTGACACCAGCGGTCGTCTCCATACGAATGAGAACCTCATGGAGGAAATGAAGAAATTACGCCGTGTCGTGGAGCGTCAGATCCAAGGCCCCCTGGCTGAATGCCTGCTGGTACTCGACGCTCCATCTGGGCGCAACGCTGTGGCAGCTGCGCGGCAGTGGCTTCGCGATGTCCAGGTTACTGGCCTTGTTCTGACCAAACTGGACGGAACCGCACGAGCGGGCTTCCTTGTCAGCGTGGTGGAAGAACTCGGCATTCCGGTGAAGTTTGTGGGTGTTGGCGAGAAGCTCAACGATCTGCGCGACTTTGACCCCGTTGCGTATGTTGATGGGCTCCTGCTGAGCGACACGCCTGCCGCGGCACGCAGGGCGGCGCCCTGAGCGCAGCACGCCGTCCGCGAACCGGGTGTCGCAGTCGGTGTGCTGCTTGACAGCGCTTCCACACAGGGAGTGGGATTTCAAACACTGGACGGCGTTTCGGTGAGAATGCGACACAGCGATGGCGGTAGCAGTGCAGCGCAGAGCGCCTGCACACAAACGAATGCCTGGTATATCCGTGTGTGGGCGTATATGAAGTCGAACAGGTCTGCTTTGCTAACTTGGGCGTACACGCTAAAGTTTGGATGCCTTGCAAGTGTCATCGACAGAAGCGTTTGCACGCGTTTTTCGTCGATGACTGTTTCAGTGTGTGTGTGTCCTCTCTGTTGCCCGTATATCCGGATTCCAATACACTGGTCTTGATGCATCTGCGTCCAGTTCTGTCGTCTTTGGACGACAAATATTGATGGTAGCGTGCAGGTCCCGGTTTCTCCGCCTCCGGCTGTTGCCGACGCATACCAGGCTCATACGAATGTTGCGATCAGCACTGCGCTTGCAGTGTTCTTTTTCTGCGTTTACAACCTCGGTGCGCGCTTTGCAGCTGTGACAAATGACTGAGGTCAGGTGTTTTCGTATGGCCACCAGACCGTCGCCTCCGAGATCCGCGCTGTGGCACGTGGACGGTTGCATCATCGACCAGTACGTACACCTGACGTGTCCAGCAGGCGCCCGTCGACGCCTTGCTCTGGTGCTGTGCTCGGTACCGTACCCAGCGATCGCAAGGCTTGTTCTGGACGATCTCGTCGACGAGTACAGTGTCCGCTGCCCACGCGTGAGCGGTCACTGCTCCGTTCAGTGGGGTATTGGCGGCAAACGATGTTGTTTACGATGAAACAAGTCCTCGAAGAAATATCCAGGCTGGAGATGGAGTCGAGAAATTCCGATCAGTCTCCGATCCCTTCGTGCTAAGCGATGACGCATGCCCCACTGGAAGCGATCGCTACGATGACGCAACTCGGTGTGTCCCAGACACTTTTCCATGCAAATAGAAGCAACCACAGCGTCCCAGCGCATATCCGCTTTGAGGTATGATGTTCTTGTCGAACGCGGTTCCGTCGATGATCTCGAAGCGGGGAGCATTTGTCTTCCAAAACGGAGTCGATTACTTGACGTGACATGTTCTGTGAACTTGAGGCATGAGCGCTCGAAGTAGTCGTCAAGCGACGACACCCATGATTCCGCTTTCCGTATGAAAGTGGCGCGAATGGCAGCGCCCGTCAGTTGCCTCGGGATCGACTGATCCAAAACCTGAAGAATGTGTGCGATTCGAGCATGCTGCACGCAAGGCAAGGCAAATGCTGGAGTCTTACGCGTCTGAAAAGGATAATCATGTCTGTTATTCCGCGAGCGCTTGTTCGTGTGCATACCGAGTCATGTTGCTACAGGTGACGTTCCGAGTGCCAAGCGCGGTAGACCCGAACGCGCCGCTCCGAAAGCAAGTCACAGATTCCGTAAACGACCTCTGAAACGGTACGCCTTTACTGCTGCACGTCGAACGTCGAGCATGCACATCTCCAGAAAAAAACCTCGGAAAAATCAAAAGGCGGGAAAATAGCCTCCAGTTCAGTGCCGGATATATCAGCCCGTCGCGGGTTTTGCAGCGCGCGCTGGAGCCACAGCCCCGGAAACCTAACGCCAATGACTACCGCGCCTGTGCGGATGAACCCCATGCAGGACTTGCGTCTCCCGAAACAGCACTGCGCCGCTCTGAGACACGCCCCTGTTCGGTCGAAGCCTGCGGAGCCGAACGTGATGAACGCTCGAAACGAGCCAGCTCCCGCTGCACCTGGTCTCGTAGGACAGCAATGCGACGATTTCGTGCACCCTCGCTTTTCTGAACCAATGCTTCAAGTCGCTTGAGACGTTCCATGTGTGGCTCCAGAGAACGCCGGCGACGTTGAATGGAAGGATAGCGAGCCCAGGGCAGCGCGTCACGGTTCCAGGTTGCAGCGTGCACCGCATGACGGCCGCCATTGTCATCGCTGGTGAGCCGCAGCGTCGTACCGGCCTCGGCGTGTCGCAGAAGCTCCAGCATGCTCGCAGGATCAAGGCCGATACGAGCTAGTATCGTTGCAGCGATCAAGTCGGCCTCGAATTCGTTACGCCGCTGCACAGGTCGCATGCACAACGCCACAAGGGGCGCGCGGAAGCGCTGCAAGGTGTCGACGACCCAGTGGGCAGCGACGGCTGTGCCGCCTCCCCAGCGAGCAGCCAGCGAAGCAGGTGCTATCATGTTCACAAGACATCTTGGACGCCAGGCGCTCAACGGGACTGCACCATAAAAGAGCGCACTAAGTGCCTCAGCCGCATGATTTGCCACGCCATGCGCCAAAGCATGCGACAATGCCGCGGGAATGAGTGCAGGCTCCATTTCGGCTGAGACGTACACGTCAAACGAAGAGGGGTTCTCGGTCTCGGACGATACCGGTCCAGCTATGCGCTGGACGCAGCGAGTCTGGAAAAGCGGCCCGTCGTCGATGGCAAATACAAATTCGGGCTCGTTTGGGTAAGCCGGTTTCGCAGGTACGCGCTCCACATGGACCTGAACCTGCAGATCAGGCGGCATACCCGGTGTTTCGAGTAGCAGCTTCAGCACCGTATCCGCAAACTTTTGTTTCGCGCGGTGCACTGCACCCAAGGCGTCCTTTGAGACGGCAGGTGCCGGCTGCGATTGTTTAGTCTCCAGGTCCGGGTGGTCGAGGGCTAGCGCGTGCAGTCGGCGCTGCACACGATACGTAAACGGAACGAGCGCATAGAGTGAGAAGCTCGGTTGCAGCGTGGCGAGCCAAGTCAGCATGCTTGTCGCTCCCGCGACGGCAGCATACGCAAGCGTTGAAAACTGAAGCAATTTCCATACCCGTGGTCGAAAGTGTTGTATCGACTTAGAGAGCGCGCCCTTAATCTTCGACAGGTTCAACCAGCGGCTTGGATCGACAGTAGCCAGCACAGATGAGCGCTGCGCGGAGCGCTTGGTGGTCGCCTTTCGACACGAGCAAGCACACGAGCACGGCTTCCAGGGGCCATCTGCAAAGCGTAAGCACCGCATCTGTCGCACTGCTAGCACACCAGCGGAGGACGCCACCGAACCCTCGAGCCTGTGCGTCTGTGGGTGGCGCTTTCCAAACGCGCCGGCACCCCTCAGCCGGTCGCGCGCGGACTGCTCACGCCAGCTTTGCAGAAACTAGGCTCCGTTACACTTGCCGAGTGTGTTTAGGGAGGCGCGATGTGCGCTCACGTGCAGCTTCCCAGCGAGACCGCGTACTAGTGCCACGTTCATAGACACGCGCACTCGACGGCGCCCAGCGTGCGGTCTCGTACAGGCGCCGACGCTGGAGATCATCCGTAGGACGCTCCCCGCAGACAAGTTGGCGTATGCTGGGATTTCGCCACATGACGCCCAATATTCGTGCCTCCAAAGGTTCGTTTTCTTGTTCAGTGAATTGCAGAAGATGCGTCAACGTGATCCGCCCTGTGCCCGACACCCACAGAGGCACTGCAAAGCGTTTCGCAGCGGCGGCATATCATCCAGCATCACTGCAGGCACCCGTACGAGATCCGACTACCGCATGATGGACGCCAGGTGTCTCGTGCTCATCATCTCGGCCGAAAGTCAATAGTGGCGTTCGTGGAACACAGCGGAATCTGAAGCGTCGCTCTGATCGTTGCTTTCCCGTTTGCCGCCAGCAAGCACGCACCTCCGAAAACATCCTGTTGGATGCATCCATCGTTCGTCACGAGAGCATGCGTCGCTGGATACGTTGAATCCATATTCCTGAAGCAGACACGTTTTCGCAGCTTGCCGAATGTACAAGCGTCTTTGCGGAATGCGTGTCGCGTGCCTTGGGCACCAGCAGCACTCGCTCGTCTGAGCGCTACACCGCACCCTGTGTTGATGCATCGATGCCGTTTGATCGGCAGGAAACTTATTGTCCACCTTATACCATGATATACAGTAAAATATGTTTGTGTCCAAGAGTCCTGTAAGCGACTGCGCGCGCCTACCCGCTTCTCCTGAAGCGCGCCGCATCTGACCCGCGCACACTTGACCGTTTTGCCTCTACTGCCGGAAAGTACGACGTTGCCGTTGTGCTTGGCTGCACAGGTGATCGCAGTGCCTGCATATTGGTCGTTCGCTTTTTAGGGAAATCCCCCGGAAATCATCTCAGGTGGCAGCTGATCACTGCCTTGGAGAGACGCTGCGGAAAGGCGGCGCTTGTCTCCCGAGTAACGCAACCATAATGCCGGTGCAGCAGCCACGAGCGTCGGTACTGTTGGTGCAGAGCGCACGGGGCTCACGTTTGCTGGCTCGCTACTATGACGAGGAACGCTTTACAGACGAGCGCTCCAAAAAGCACTTTGAAGAGCAGCTGCATCAGCTCTGGCGAAGCGCTGGCAGCTCCGAAGCCGCTGCAGACAGCTACTGGACGGCCGGGCTGGACCCCGGTACCTTCGCGGCAGTGGGCTCTGCGGCGGGTCTGCTGGGTGATAACGACGTGCTCGTGAGCGATAACTTTGTCATACTCTACCGCAGTGGCGTTGACGTTTGTTTCTTATTGGTCGTGTCACTTGCGGAGAACGAGATAGTCTTTTCGCAGGTGCTGAGCTGTCTAACAAACGCTCTGGGAGCGCTGATCGGAGAGCTCAGTGAGCTGCAAATTCTCCGCAACTATGAAACGCTGCTACTAGTTGTAGACGAGGTTCTAGACGACTCTGGTGCGATTCTGGAAGTTGACCCAACGGAAGTGCGAGAGCGGATCGCACCAGTGCTGCCACGGGTGTTGAACCTCAGCGAGCAGGGTTTCGCCGAAGCCTTAAATTATGCGAAAACAACGCTCACTCGCAGACTGCTCAAGTGATCCTCGAACAGCACGCATGCTATCGAATACAAATGGATCTTGGTGCCTCTGGCCAGATGCCTTCGAGCGCGACTCAGGGCCAATGCTCCCACCGATCCGATGCATCCACGCTGTGTGGCGCTGCTTGGTCTGTAGGGCGCCGAACGCTACGCCATGTTTTGCTTGCAGCATGTTTGCGGGGGCCGAAAGCCGCTGCCGTGCTGCAGGTCACGAACAGGTGCGACGCGAGAGCGCGCGCGCTTGCACACGCAAGAAGCTGCAGCTCGCATGCCCTGGCTTGCTCTCGAGGAGGTACCGCGTCGCTGTGCCCAGCGCAGGGCGTAGTTGAAGACGGATCGACCATATGCGACAAGTAGGAATTTCGACGGCAGAGCGGCTGCGTCTATGTTCGCAGAGGTCGATGCTGCGGAGCCAGCAGCCAGCCTCGATGCCGAGAGCTCCTTTAACCGTCAGCAAGGCCCGAAATCGGCGCCGCTGCTACATAAACGTACGAGCGAAACGAGCGCTTCCCAGGCCGTTTCGATGCTCCATAAATGCAGAGTCCATGCACCGCTGCGATCTATATGTTGTCCTCGCTCCATAATAACCAACTTGCGATTGCGTTCGCCGCTCATTGCCAGATGGAGTACCCAAGCCAGAGCTCACGCTTGGCGTCTAGGGAAACCAGTCGATGCTCGCCTGACGCGAACTGCTCGCCATCGCTGCCCGAATGGCTTCTCGGTGATCTCTTTGCCGCGTTTGCGCTGTCGCTCGGTACAGTTGGAGAGCGTTCCTTCACATCTTCCCGATGGACATGACGTATTCACAAGGTCCATGCACAAACAGTGCGCGCAATGACTCTAATACGCGAGCACGGCCCGATATGTGTCCTCGGCATCTCAGAGGTACAGCCAGTCACGTATTAGCGGAGTCAGCAGGCGCTGCGCTTGACTCGTCGTCGACGGCCGCGGCAGGCGTGTCAAGACACCAGCGTACGCGTGCACTGCCGAGCCACTCGAACCATGTGCATGTCTGGCCCTGCTCCATCAATCGTTGGCGTCTGGTACTGAAGAACGCAGCTATTGTCATTTGCGGCGTTTTGCCTGTGGTGACGAACCAGCCTCTGCGTAAGAGTTCAAGCGTCAATTCCGAGAACGTGACCGGCTTTCCATTTGCGCTTTTCAGCGCCGCCATGATTCCAACGACGGCACCTGTATTTCCTTTTTCGTATTTCTCGTATTCCGCTCGAACATACTCGAGGGCGTCGATGTACTCCCCGCTGCGTCCCTGGACAAGAGGGACATCACCACGCGCTTTCGCTTCCTGGATGCGCGCTGCGCCCTCGTGAGCGGCCTGGCGAATCATCTTTGCAAAGGTTGCTGCGGATGGGGCGCTCGGCGCTACCGAATGCCTGGATGCCGGACTTGGTGCTGTTGCGAGGCGCTGTCGCTTATCGTGTCGTTGTGTCGCCCGCTGGACACGCGTCGAAGCACCTGCATCTTTCCAGGTAGCTGCGACGCACGCTAGCTCCGTCGGATCTTGACCTTGGGGAGGTTCCAGCCAAACGCTACACGAGCAGCAGCTTATGATACCTGCATCCCATACGTACCATTCGGAATGGTCTTCTGGCCAACCTGCTTGGTTGGGAATCGAGCAACTGAACGGGCACGTGCGACACTGAACCGCTCGAAAAGGCGGCACTTGCGTGGTCGTCAAGGTGCCCGAACTGTGCCCATCTGTCGATCGATCCACTGCCGCGTGCTCCGAGGCTGCCGACTCGTCAGCGGGTAACCGCCAGCCATCGCTCCGTGGAACGACACCCAGCCACGGGATACGTTCGAGCGTATCGGACGGAAGCGCTGACGCATGCGCTTCCAGCAAGCTGATAAAGTCGCTCGGATAGGGCTCGCTGGGCAGGTACCATCCGGTAGATCGGTCGAAATGCCAGGGGCAATACCAGTGTCGTCGTTCCGTCAAATCAGAGCCGTTCGTGAAATAGGGTGCCCGCGAGAGACAACTGACGCACGAGGCATGGTAGACTTTGCCGCAGCCGGGAATATCGCAGCGGTGGAGCAGCTCTCCGCTGCCGCCTGGACGTCCGCAGCGGAAACATATCGTCCCGTGTCGACTCCAGAGATCATCCCATCTGAAGGGAAGCGCTTCAAGAACGTGGCGCTGGACCGGCAACCACAACTCCGGCACCACCGATGCGCAGACTAACCGCGACCACGCAACCGCCACGAGCAGCTCTCGAATCGCGATACACAATATGGAGTAGACTCGATACCAGTCATGCACCAAGCCTGAATCGTGTTCGGTGCAATCAAGCTGTAAAGCGTCTGACTCAGTAGGCCCTGTCGGGTACCGTTCGAGCAGTTCCTGTGCACGCGCGTTTAGCCGGAGCGGCTCCGCCATGCCCCTTCGCATGTGGCGGAACCGCTGCTGCCGACTCGGGAAAGCTCCGCCAGACGCCATATGCAGCTCTTCCAATGCGGTTAAAAGCTTTCCATAGTCTTCATGCACTGTCTGGACGCGCTTCCAGTCGCCAGAAAAGGCCGCGTCGAAAAGCTGAGTCAGCTTGCTCCCCGCGCTGCACTGGGTCCAAACCTGAGGCAGCTTGAGCGAGCCGCACCACAGCCACCACGGGTTCCAGCTGCGATAATCGTATCGCTCTCGGAAAGTCGTCCATTCCGCTAGTCGTCCGCGTTGTGGTGCTTCCGGCAGGTCCTTGAGCCAGCTTTCAAAAGCCAGCCTCAAACCCTGCTCACGACAACAGAGGGGGCACATCCAGGCTGGTGCTGGTAGCAAGGAAACACGCTCATCGAGCGGTTCCACTCCCTTTTTCCAAAGAATCGCGTTCAAACGCTGCACAATTCGCAGGCCTTCGCTACCGAGAGCGCACGGAGGAGTACGCCAGTCGCCCAGCGTGCAACCGAAGCAGCGATTACAGAACGTAGCACCACAGCGCTGACAGCATAACTGACGCCTACCACTGTCTGCACAGACAGCACAGCGAACTTCAGTTGCAGGCAACGGTCTGCCGTTGCGTTCCCGTTTTCCCGGTGACGAACGAGCACCACGCGATCGGAGCTGCTGCACGGTTTTTCGGCATCGCAAGCACAACCAAACCTGCGACCAACGCGAACCCAGCAGTGGATGCGCCAGCGCCTCTCTCTCCGCTTTATTCTTGGCGAACAAGAGCTCTTCGCAGTATGAACAGACCCCTCTTTCCACTTGTTCGCTCGTTTTCATGAAGAACGAGCGAGTACAACCCGGCGCTCGCTCAGCTGCGATACCAAGTGGCGCGAAACGTGTCGGTCACTCGCGCGCAGCGTCTCCGCCGGTTCGCTAGAGGCCAAGAGGTCCCTGTTCGTCGGAGCGACTGCAACCGGAACACTGGTTTGTACCTGGTCTAGTGAGGTACGCAACTTTGACGCAGTCCGCAGCGCGAGCGCATGCGCAGAATATTGGGGCTTGACTTTGGATAACGAGCAGCGGTGAGCAGTCAAACGGAGCGCTGCTTGGACAGGTAGGAGCAGCCCGTAGGACGCTAGCGGCAGCGACATTGGCAACGGCGGGGGAGCAGGACGCAGCGGGTGCCGCTTTCGCGTTTGGAACGGTCGAAGTTCTCGAGAACTGCCTTGAGTGTCCAGACGCTTCTTGAACGCAGCGTTTCTTGCCTGCAGTCGAGGAAAGCAGATGAGGCACATCGGCGCCGCCGGAGCACGGATGCGCGCTTCGGCGCTCTGCTTTGTCCAGTTCTCCACTCGCAGACGAATATGGAAGATCGGGAGAGTGGCAACCGATTCACCGGAGGTCTGGTTAGCTCCACGGCGCTCGATCCTGGTCAACGAATAAAGGAAAAGTTTTGTCCAACAATGTGTGATGTGCGCACGCCACGCTGGTACTCAGTATCGTTGCTGGGAGCGCCTCGCGCTCCTTGGATGCACGCTAAACAGATGCATTGGCTGCGATGGGATCCAGGAATGACGTATTCGAGGCACCAGTACGGTGATCGACCATTGTCCAGCGGCGAACGGGCACGTAGAACGCTACCGTTCCGGGGTTTTAGGCGTTGGCGATCGTATGTTGCGGCTTCTTGATGCCGCCGGGAAAGTGTCCTTGATAATCCTGCACGGAAAAGCATCGGTATTTTTTATGATTGAGAAGTATTGAATTTGATGATGTATCCCCAGAGAAACGAATGTTACGAGGAATCAGGGAACAGACTCAAGTTCCTGCACAAACGTTTTCACTTCTATCTATCTATGCACGTGCTTTACTCCGGTGAGGGGGAGACGCTTACCTGAACCAGCGACCCTTTGGGTGCTGAACCTACCTCAGACGCTTGCTGCGACGTCAGCAAACCTTCGTAAAGAAACAGGGCGCCTTGATGATGCTTATTCCGGATGCCGCCTCGCGGCAGTCGCAGTGCACATCGATGGCGGGCGCCTCGTTCCTGCAAATCGACAATCGGATTCGCGCGCGTTCTTCGCGCTGCCCCTGATCCTGTACGTTTCTGCATGATATCGCTCAAAGCAAACTGCCCTTAATCTTCTATGTTTCTGTACGTTACCATTCAAAGCGCACATATTCGTGGTGTGATGTTCGCGCTGCCCCTGATCCTGTACGTTTCTGCATGATATCGCTCAAAGCAAACTGCCCTTAATCTTCTATGTTTCTGTACGTTACCATTCAAAGCGCACATATTCGTGGTGTGATGTTCGCGCTGCCCCTGATCCTGTACGTTTCTGCATGATATCGCTCAAAGCAAACTGCCCTTAATCTTCTATGTTTCTGTACGTTACCATTCAAAGCGCACATATTCGTGGTGTGATGTTCGCGCTGCCCCTGATCCTGTACGTTTCTGCATGATATCGCTCAAAGCAAACTGCCCTTAATCTTCTATGTTTCTGTACGTTACCATTCAAAGCGCACATATTCGTGGTGTGATGTTCGCGCTGCCCCTGATCCTGTACGTTTCTGCATGATATCGCTCAAAGCAAACTGCCCTTAATCTTCTATGTTTCTGTACGTTACCATCCAAAGCAGACATATTCGTGGTGTGATGTTCGCGGTGCCCCTGATCCTGTATGCTCTTTCGATATCGCACAAAGAAACCGGACCATCGTGCGCGGCGCCCGCCGAGTTCCGTCCGCCATGCTGTTCAGCAGCGTCCAGTGCCCGGGCACTGCGTCGCATCCTACGCTGGAAACAAGGCTGCAGTCGATCGATGATCCTGCCATTCCTGTGTTTTCCCGGTCCATATTCATGTGCAGCAGCAGCAGCAGCAGCAGCATCGATTGGGCATGCTCCAATGACGCCCCGGTTGCATCGCGACAGTCCTTCCGAGGTCTTGCAAAGCGCATCGCTCTGCGGATGCCCGCAACTGTTTTCCAGTGCTCAGCGTCGGTGTCGCTGGTCAAGCCACGCTGCCAGTTGCGCTAACAGATCCGCGTGATCAAACGCAAGGCGAGCACGGCCCTCGTGGCTCTTCAAGAGCGTCTCGACGGCGTACCAGCCGGCGTTGGCGGCATCGTCGCCTGCGCGAGGCTCATGCTGTCCTTCAATATCCAGTTTGTAACATACAGTTACGACATGCTGCCGCGGATCCCTGGAGGGGTGTCCTCGCACCGCCACGAGCTGCGGGTTCTTGGCCTGAATACCACATTCCTCGGCCAACTCGCGAACCACAGCGTCCTGAGGATCCTCGTTGTACTCGACGAAACCACCAGGGAACGCGAGCTTACCCTTGAAAGGTTCTCGAGCACGCGTCACAAGCAGGATCTCGAGTGCCTCCCGCGGTCCACGAAGCACTGCCGCATCAACTGTGAGTGCTGGTGAGCGATAGCGACTGCCGCGAACTTCGTGATCCACCGAAGGGCTCCTTGAGGAAGGACGCTCTCCTGCGACCTCCGCCGGTACCGGCTGTCCACTGCGAAGTGCGCCCAGGAGCGCGTTCAGGCGTCCGCGTAACGCGCTTGCTTCCGGTGGCGGTGGCAGACAATCAATCAAAAACTCAACCTCGTCCAGCGTAAGCACTATTGGGCCACGGTTTGCCCCGCCACGGAGGCGTAAGAAGCGAGCCATGGCCGTAAACGGTCGCCAGAGCGTCGCAAGCAGCAGCACCAGCACACGCTCTCGGAGTCGTTTACCGGTTGGCTCGCGCTGATTGATCCACATGGAAGCGCGGCACTGCGTTGCTTCTGCCACGCAAAGCTGCGCCCGCGTCCGTGTGCGTCAACGCGACACCTCAACAAACGAGACAGTCATACGCGTATCCTGTGAAAGTTTAAACATTCAAGAACTCGGTATCAACCGATGAGCGTGCGGGCACTATAAGTCCTCTGAAGCTGACGCTATCCTCGAGCGTTCCAGGTGTTGCACGGCGTGGTGACTCTCCCAGTGAGGCTCCGCGCACGACAGACCTCACGGTAACGTTTCACGGTCAAAGAGAGTATTCTCCAGTCGAGGGCGGCGGACACCACTGCCAGCTGCTGTACGCGCTGGTAGTTGTCACCTAAGCGGTTCGTTGGCTTTACCTGCGGCCTACTCTGGTTGCGCTGGGTAGCAGGACGTCCCCGAAGGGGTACCAGCAGAGGCCGGCAGCGCACGTACCGCTGTCACTTCTAATGATGCCGCTGCTGGTGGGGCGAAGCACGCCTCTAAGTCGTAAAAGTCGGTAAGGAAAACTCGAGGATGAGGTCACCCTTGCGCAGCACGGTGCCTACAGCGGCGCGAATCGAACCAACGACAAGTGTTTGCGCACCTGGAGGCAAGGATGGAGCGTGGAGCATGTTCCGCATTTTCATGGATTCCAGTATCGCCACCGGCTGCTTTGGCTGAACCTCGTCACCCACGGAAACTAGGACTGCAACGAGTATACCGGGCATGGGCGCATGCAGGGCTCGCCAAGCATTCGCCTCGACTGGCGCTGCTGATACTGGCTTTCGGATGCGCTCCCAAAGCATCAGCTCGTCTTCATCGAAAAGGCGCTGCACAGTGATAGGCATACCGCGAAACAGCAGCCGAGGAGCTCTGCGTGGTGCCATCACGAACAACGGCGACTCGGGCGTGTCCGACAGGGCGTCAAGTCCGTCGCTGTCCTGCAGAGGCAGCGGCGCTGTGGCTCCAGAACTCGCAACCGAACCTGCCACCGTGTCATGCTCCCGGTCAAAGCGCACTAGTCCATATTCGACGGTAAGCGCTGCAATCGGTTTCTTGGTCCCAGGATCGACCTTCATTCGATTTGCCATGAGCTGGAGCGCTCTGCGCGCATCGGACTCGTTGAAATGCAGAGCGTAATCTTTCAGAAAACGGGTAGTGTATATCCCGTTCGCAAAATCTGCATCCTTGGCGACAATATCCCGCAACAGACCTGTTGTGTGCTCGACGCCATCAATGAGCAACGCGTCGAGCGCCAGAGCCAGTCTTCGACGTGCCGCGGTTCTCGTTTCTCCGTGAGCGATCACCTTGGTCAGCAGCGAGTCGAAGAGTGGCGAAACCGAATCGCCCTCATCGTAGCCGCTGTCGACGCGCACCCCAGGTTGCGATACGGGAAGGCGAAACTTGTGCAGGCGACCTGTACTGGGTACCAGTGAGCCCGCAGACCAGCCCTCTGCGCAGATACGCGCCTCCAGGGCCCAGCCTCGCGAGCGCAGCATTCGGCACGTTTCAAACGGTGGATCGTGATCCAACTCGAGTCTGGTGATGTTCTCGGGTTCATCTAGATCGACAACCTGGTTCGATGCCGCCCGAATCATGTGTTCGATGAGGTCTACACCGGTGACCGCCTCACTCACAGCGTGTTCAACCTGGAGTCGCGCGTTCATTTCCAGAAAAAAATGCTCTTTCGTGTGCGCATGCACGAGGAATTCCACTGTCCCCACCGAATCGTACTCGATAGCACGCGCAATTCTGGAGGCATCGTGGAAGAGTCGCCAGCGCAGGCGCTTATCGACGAGCGGACTCGGCGATTCTTCCAGTAGCTTCTGGTTATGGCGCTGGATGCTGCATTCGCGCTCTGGAAAGACAACCAGATTCCCGTGGCGATCACCGAGTATCTGCACCTCAATGTGACGTACTGGCTCGAGGTATTTCTCGAGGAGCAGCCGGGAGTCGCCGAACGCCTGTTTCGCCTCGGCAGCACAGACCTCAAACTGGGTACGCAGCTCCTGTTCGTGGTGGATGACGCGGAGCCCTCGACCGCCGCCTCCGGATGCAGCCTTGAGAACAACCGGGAAGCCCAGCTCTCTGGCAATATAGCCTGCGTGGTCAACATGCTCAAGTGGATCCACGTAACCCGGCACGACAGGGATGCCGAGCGCTTTCACGAACTTTTTCGCTTCAATTTTATCGCTCAGTCGAGCAATGGCACGTGCAGACGGTCCTATAAACGTCATGCCTGCCTGCTGAACGGCATCTGCACAGTCGGCTCTCTCTGCGAGGAAGCCATAACCCGGAAAGACCGCGTCTGCGCGTGCCCTGCGAGCTGCAGCAACGACCTCGCTTATGGAGACGTAGGACTCGATTCGCTGCTTTCGGACTGCTTCTCGAACGTGTGTTCCTGTTTCATCCGCTTTGGTATAAACAACAACAGGCTCGATATTGAGCTTCCGAAGCGTTTTGGCTGCTCGTCGCACAATTTCCCCTCGGTTTGCGATGAGCACTCTCCGAAACGGCATCGAGCCCAGCGCTGCTGCGTTCCAGGTAGCCGCTTCGTCTGGAGACGCCTCAGGAACGCAAGAGACAGCGCAGATGCTCTATGTAGGGTTTTTGTACATTGAATGCCCGTTTCGTGGTCCGTCCGGGTTGCCTGTCTCTGACTATTCCCCGCTGCCGCTTCGCACACGTGTACCCGAGCGTGAAAGCTGTTCTCGGGAGCGCTGCAACGACCTTGCGCGTCCCGCAGTTTCCAAAGGGTCGTTAGGGCGCTCCTCGTCGTCAGATAGGTTACGTGTTACGATCCAGGTACGCGCTTCGTACCGGAAACGCCGGGCCGTCCACAGCGCAAACCAAGTTCTTTGGCCAGCAGGCGGCTACCATTTGCATGCGCTGCACTTTGTCCGGGAACGAGCTCGTTGTAGGTCAATGGACGTTCTCCAGGATACACGGAGGTTGGCAGTTGCGGGGTCATCGAACTTACCTTATACGCGAGGATTTCCAGGTTCCAGCTCTAGTGCAGAAGCTCCGCATGCACTTGCTTCTTCTGGAGCAAGACTGAGGAGTCTCAGCGGGTGCTCCCCTGAATCCATGGGCGTTGGCAGGCGCCGAGGAGGCATTTGCACTAGACTACTTCGGCGAAAACTTCGACTTCAATATATTCCCGATTGCATTCAGTCAGAAGGAGGTGTGCTGTTCGACCTATTTCGTCGAAAGAGGTAGAACGCTTCCGAAAAATCGAACGGACCTGGTCTCTCAGAGAGAACGGGATACCAACGGTTGGGATTCACTGGCATTGTAGGCGCAGAAGTTAGAGCGAAAACGTTGTGGTATTGCAAGTAGATGTCATTTTGGGGGGCGGGAGGTCTATGTTGAAGAAAGCGCAGCAGGGAAAACGCAACTCGCTCCTGGATTCTCATAGGATGTCTCTGGACTAGGTACTCAACACGCTTAGAAAAGTGCACAGTGTTGCATCGATCCGGGCAAGCACGAAAATCTCCACATGGCTATCGAATGCGTCCGGTTTGTATATTTGCGACGGCTGGAAACGGGCACTGGGCAGCAGGTTCCGGAACGGTCTCCAAATCCTGCCATACAACGTCATATCGATACCAGAATTCCTGATTAGAGGATGTTGTACTCACGCAAGCTATGACCTGAACCATCCGCCTCCTCCGCGTGCGGCTCATTCGCAATCAGGCACTCGCTGACGTCGACCCACGTCCATCGGTTCCGCATGCCTGTTAAAAAGCACAGTGAAAGATTCAAGTCCCGCACCCTTGACTGCGCTTTAGAGAACATATTCAAAGGTATACTGCGCTCGGGCCGCTCTTACACCTGGATGACGCGTCTACGTAGAAGCTTCCTACAAGACAGCAGTAGACATCTGCGCATACAGTTGTATTCTTCCCAGTCGTCGCAGAGGTTGTCTCCGTCCTCAGTATCATTTCTTTTTCTGCTCGAAGGGGCTAACTGCGGATTCGCTCACTTGCTTCTTGCCCTGCGGTGCGGCCCGTCGTCAATTGTCCGGTTCACCGAGCGCTCTATCCGTCCAGGGACGCTACGGCCTACGCGACCGCACTGCTGCACGCCTATACTCCGCGATACGGGACTCAAGGCCCGGGGCGTGCGTCGGGGCACCACCAGCGGGCTGGCATCTCTGTGCCCAGCTCGAGCTTCGCACCCAGGAAGCCCGCTGTGATCCTAACAGCAAAAACGACCCAACTGTCGCTTCAGCTGACGACCATGCGTCTGAAATACAAGAGTCTATGATGAATGCCTCGGCCGTAGGAAGGCTACTGCGTACGCAAAATCTGCATATGGAGGCAGCACATGGTAGAAACGTTGTCCAGCGCTCTTCCGAGGCAATGCAGATCACACGCCACGAGGCCGATCGCCGAGATGCTTTGTAGAGCGAGCGGATACGGTTAATGCTCTTCAATAGACAATAGTCTTCTCATATTCACTTCAACAGTAACCTTATAGAGAAAAGTATGGTGAGCAATACTGCAGCGGCTTCGGCTGTGGAAGGCAGGCGACGTGGGCGTTTCTGGGTCCTCTTGCCGCTCCTTTCTAGTTTTCTCTTCTACAGCGTTGTTTATGTTGAAAGCAGCTCGTGTGTGTTCACCTGTGGAGGGTCACCTGCTCGTTCCCGCGAAGTTGGATCCTGCCTCAGCGACTGTCTCCCATCGAATCTTTGCGCTAGCGGAAAGTCGTTTTCAGGCCTGTGTTTAAGCTCAGAGGGAAACGGAAGCGTATACCTGAGTTTGCAGGGATCGCTGGACGCTGCGCTCAGCACCGGGACGTCACATTGCCCAGGGAGCGTGCACACCATATTTTCCCTCGACAGTTTAAAGATTAAACCCGGGAAGCTCTGTCTCGAGCGCTGCTGCGACAAAGAGGTCACGTTGGCGGCCACCGCGGTGGATATTTTGCTGGGGTCGTACGAGCTAACGGCTGACGGGACGCTGGGTGCGCTGCTGCCGGAGACATGCGATGCAGCCACCAATCTTTATTATGCGTTTGCAGGTCAAAGCACGGTCAATGGTCAAGATATGAATCAGTCGTTGGTTGTGTTGTACAAGCCGCAGCTCGCGGCTTCCTGTGTCTACACGCTCCCAGCATTGGTTGCCGCTTCCTAGCCATCTCCCACGATCTCGGCACCGTAGCCGGCTCTACGCTACACGTCCACGGATGCAACATCCGTAGCATCTTGAGCGAGGTCAAGGACGAAGCACTGTCATCGGAGCAGATTGAATAACCAGTGTTGGTGCTCGGGTGTTGGCGCCTGTGTGTGCGCTAAGTTGGGAATGCCTTACCGACGGACTCGCAAGTGAAAAAATTCCCTCCGAGGGAGACAGCGCCCAGTTCCAGAGGAGCGTTCGATTGCGGCTGGGAAGGATCCAACCAGCGTGATGATCCCCGGCTTGCATTGTTGGGCTCTGTAGCGCTGACCCCATCGATGAAAAATGATGTCGGATCGGGGCGTGTCTCGTGCGCGGGTTTTTCCAAAAGCGCAATACCCATAGCCCCCGGGGGCGAGGCACGAGTGCTACCACTGGACTGCCGGCTTCCGCTCCTCGCTGCATGATATGTCGAAGGCGGGGCTTTGGCCCTGGATCACGTTCGCTGCATCGCGAAGCGACAATCATGCGGGTGTGAGAAGAAGACCATTCGGCATTATCGGTCAGGGTATCGGAGAACCATTTTGGAGCTGGGCATGGGTAGCGCTTGCGTCGCATACACCGCTGCAGCTGGTGTCCGCGGATTTCTCGGCATCTAAGGCATCGCGGGATCGATGGAGCCTCCGCTTCCATCGGCTAGATCGAACTGGAATGCACGGGACATGGAAGCGATACAAGAAGAACGGCGACCTATGCTCTGCGCCCGTATAAAATTAAAAGAGAACGCTGAACTGCAGGCTATTTTCCCGCCTTTTGATTTTTCCGAGGTTTTTTTTTCTGGAGATGTGCATGCTCGACATTCGACGTGCAGCAGTAAAGGCGTACCGTTTCAGAGGTCGTTTACGGAATCTGTGACTTGCTTTCGGAGCGGCGCGTTCGGGTCTACCGCGCTTGGCACTCGGAACGTCACCTGTAGCAACATGACTCGGTATGCACACGAACAAGCGCTCGCGGAATAACAGATATGATTATCCTTTTCAGACGCGTAAGACTGCAGCATTTGCCTTGCCTTGCGTGCAGCATGCTCGAATCGCACACATTCTTCAGGTTTTGGATCAGTCGATCCCGAGGCAACTGACGGGCGCTGCCATTCGCGCCACTTTCATACGGAAAGCGGAATCATGGGTGTCGTCGCTTGACGACTACTTCGAGCGCTCATGCCTCAAGTTCACAGAACATGTCACGTCAAGTAATCGACTCCGTTTTGGAAGACAAATGCTCCCCGCTTCGAGATCATCGACGGAACCGCGTTCGACAAGAACATCATACCTCAAAGCGGATATGCGCTGGGACGCTGTGGTTGCTTCTATTTGCATGGAAAAGTGTCTGGGACACACCGAGTTGCGTCATCGTAGCGATCGCTTCCAGTGGGGCATGCGTCATCGCTTAGCACGAAGGGATCGGAGACTGATCGGAATTTCTCGACTCCATCTCCAGCCTGGATATTTCTTCGAGGACTTGTTTCATCGTAAACAACATCGTTTGCCGCCAATACCCCACTGAACGGAGCAGTGACCGCTCACGCGTGGGCTGCGGACACTGTACTCGTCGACGAGATCGTCCAGAACAAGCCTTGTGATCGCTGGGTACGGTACCGAGCACAGCACCAGAGCAAGGCGTCGACGGGCGCCTGCTGGACACGTCAGGTGTACGTACTGGTCGATGATGCAACCGTCCACGTGCCACAGCGCGGATCTCGGAGGGGACGGTCTGGTGGCCATACGAAAACACCTGACCTCAGTCATTTGTCACAGCTGCAAAGCGCGCACCGAGGCTGTAAACGCAGAAAAAGAACACTGCAAGCGCAGTGCTGATCGCAACATTCGTATGAGCCTGGTATGCGTCGGCAACAGCCGGAGGCGGAGAAACCGGGACCTGCACGCTACCATCAATATTTGTCGTCCAAAGGCGACAGAACTGGACGCAGATGCATCAAGACCAGTGTATTGGAATCCGGATATACGGGCGACAGAGAGGACACACACACACACACACTGAAACAGTCATCGACGAAAAACGCGTGCAAACGCTTCTGTCGATGACACTTGCAAGGCATCCAAACGTTAGCGTCTATACCCAAGTTAGCAAAGCAGACCTATTCGATTTTTTTGGTTGATATTTATATTCTGGCAGCAACATCGCATCTGAAGAATCCCACTGAATGTATCGATCTCGCAACACCATGATTCGTGGCGTTTTCCACTGAACGCGCATCCTAAACAGATGCGTCACACAGATGAGGATGCTATTGCCGGTTTCATACGATCGAGTACGTACTCTTGGCTGACGATTACCTTGTCTTGGTTTTCTGATGAACCCCTGCAGTCCAAAACTTTACAACTTACCTTGGAAGAAAGATGCGGTCAGTTCCGGGACAAGGTCCGGAGCTCGCCTTCACCCACTCTTTCTCTGTACACTGCTGACGTTGGTGCTCCTAAACTGTCTGCCTCAAAGCTGCAGTGCGTTGGACCTGTGCACGTACGTCTGCGGGACGACAGAGAACGCACATATCGTGAGTGACTGCAGCACTGAGTGCACTGTGGAAACCCTCTGTGGGGGACGAGGCTTCGGGCTCGCCGTGTGTGAGAACGCAGCAGGCAGCACCGCAGGGATATCGGTGCGGGCAGAGCAGGCGCGCGAGACGGGAGCCCCCTCGAGCGGGTGTGCTTCGCACTTGCTAGCGTACATCAACGCGACCGCACTCGTTCCGACGGTAAAACTCTGTCCAGGGACTTGTTGCGACTTGGATATTCCGATTGTGTCTGAGAACTTTCAGTTCCATTCGGTGAGTTTCAATATCACGGCGACGAACGCGATCCTGGCTTTCCTTCCCAGGAACTGTAGCAGGGGTCAAACGTTTGCCTTTTTCATTCCAACCGTCAGCAACGTGAGCATCAACGGGGTCGCGTCGACCACCGCTCTTATGAGCGTCACAGGCACTGATCCGGAGCAGGTGTGCATTTATGGACTGTGATCCGCGTCTGCCGGGCCGTGCCTTGGAATGCGACAGTTCGCACGCCGAGAGCGCACGACGCTGGAGCGAACAAAGTATTCAATGAAAGTACAAACTGGTCTCAGATTTGAAGACGTACAGCCCGCAGACTCGCTTGTACTTGACCGGAATCGTTGCTAGAGGAGCTAGGGATGTCTCCGAGAATGGACAACGTTGCAACTCGGCGTTCGACATGCGACAACTGTTTCCCGTGTTTTCAAGCAAACCGTCTCCAGAAGCGTCCGAGCTGGACGGCGAATTGTAGCCACCGGAATCACGGATATATCCGAGGGTTGAACGCATTCCAGCCTGGCCTTCGATAGGCATGGCACGCTCCATATAGGCAACACGTAAATGTGGCCGGTCAGGCGGGCTTTGCGCCAGTCGGCGACGAGGCTCGAGCCCGACCACCATGCGAGTCCCAGTAATGGAGAGGGCGCAACCTCAGAGTCGAACTGGCACTCTCAAAACACTCATTGCACGCAGTTGAAAGAGAGGAGCGCGCAGTCATTAGGACTCGCTGCCTCAGTCGATAACAAGCAGAGCTCATGCCCAGAGAACTGCTGCTTCGTACGGCTCTGTCCTGACCAGGGATCTAAACTCGATGCGACGACGCTGATGTTCGTATCATTGCTAGGAATGAAAATTACGGGTTGCGCTGCAAGGTACATGTTTGTTTCCCGCATCCTATACAACTGAGGCTATCCACGACTGAAAGCTGCGTGCACGAAGCCAAGGCGATCCTGTGCCGCTCCGCTGAAACCAGCGTCTGCGTGAAGGCTTAGCGTCCACGGCGACGCATTTGCTGTGGATACATTTCAACGCTAGACTGAGTCAGAATGTTCATACGCTTTGCCTGGTAGCCGGCGGCTAGAGCATCCGCAGGCGAGGCTTCCGCGGGCCCCCGGCTACGCTGCACCGTTTCAGGCGTTCCAGCGAACGACTCGCGTCCAAGGACACTGATTGCCCAATACGAGCAGTGTTTTTCGTCTTGATCCTAGGCGACGAGGAGTGCTGGCGTTTTTCGGGAACTATACAAAAGTGTTACTGAAGTAAATGGATTCACTATGGGCAGCTTTATACCTCCGATAAACTTTAGCTGGGTCGAGGAGGACCTCTACCGCTCGGGGGTGCCAAACGAGCTAAACTACCCGTTCCTGGAAAAGTTGAACTTGCGCAAGGTGCTATACCTCTCACCGGATGAGCTCCCGCCGCAGTTTCTCAATTTTCTAGACGATCACGACATCGAACTCGTTCCTGTTGGCTGGGACAGCGATCAGACACCTTGGATGCCGATCTCTGAAGAGGTTGTGCTCGCTGCGCTGGACGTTATTCTGGACACGGAAAACTACCCGCTCCACGTTATGTGTAACCTTGGTCGACATCGGACGGGAACCGTGATAGGTTGCTTGCGCAAGCTCCAGCAGTGGAACTTGACCTCTGTTCTGGAGGAGTATCGCCGATACGTCGGAGGAAAAGTGCGCCTTCTCAACGAACAGTTCATTGAACTCTTCGATGTCGACCTCGTGCGGATACCGGAAAATCCACCAGCCTGGCTGTAAGGCTCTCTAAAAAGCCCCGCGGCTTGAGCGTACCGTTCACGAATCCCGCAAAGCTGTCATCTGTGGACTGGGATCGTGTTTCCGTCGTGCCTCGTGGTACAGGGTGCAGCGTTGTTTCACATGGGATGAGGGTGCAGCGCACGGCCTCACAGCACTGCCGCCGTCGAAACGCGGGCAGGAATGTGTCCAAAACACGCGGGCTCGGGAAGGTCCACCCACGACCAGCACCCGCAACCCGTGGAATACTCAGAGCAGTGAATTCTGGAGCAGGTATGCAAACATTACTTTTTTGTTCGTTTTTCTCGCAGGCATTCGACAAAAAAAGTGGATCTAGTAGACTGAAGAATGGTCGTGGAAAGACGTGATGCTGTCACCACTAGCTTGCAGTAAACGGCCTTACGATGACAAGCTAGTCACGCTGTTGTCAGCAGGTGCATGAACCAGCCCGCTCGTTGTCCTTACCCTGAACGTCGTGCACCCGATACGGAACTTAAAGTCCGTCGTAACGACTGCCTCCTCGTCAATCCATTCCACTTCATACATTCTCCATGAAATACTGCGAAAGAAGCACCGGAATGGCACGTTTTCGTACAGTTCGTACGGACGGTGATGAAGACACGGATGAGCCAAGAAAAAAGCACTCGTCTTTGCGAGATCATCGTGCATTCGATGACTTGCGATCGATTTCGTACTGGAACGCGAAAGCTTGGTAAAGGAGCGACAGTTTTCGTTTCACTCGACGAGACATGTCTCGGGAAAAAATGGTAGGCCTGCATGTAGGTGCTCCGGGAGAGGCAAACCGCTGTTCGTAGAGATGAGATCAAGGAATACGCAACTCGGATTCGGGTCGAACTGGTGTTCGTGCCAGACTGTTCTCCCTGGTTCGATCCATTCGAAGGCGTGCTCTCTGTCGCCAGACACCATTTGCCGCCCATGGACCAACAGACCAATCGTTCGCCTCCGCGGCACAAAAAAGGATGCAGCACGTCACCAGGGATTGCGGAGCTTCCAATTTGAGGAAGGCTCGCTTCGCTTCACTCTCCTTGACAAACATCTCGTTGCGAAACTGTTTGTATGGGGTCTGGACGAAGGACAGCGAGCTGCCCTCCTTCCTCTGGAATTTGTCAATCAAAGACTCTTGCGACGATGTAACGGATGATCTGGACAGAAGGCGCAATACGGACTGATAGTAAGATCCAGGATTTGTGCACATTCTTCCCAGCAAATGTGACACGTCGCTCCGCCTCCTTTGCGATCGGAACTCGTACGGCGCATATGCCAAAAAGTATCAAACCAAGCCCACAACTCAAAAATGTGTTTGGGTTAATGATGACCGGATTACAAGGCGCACATTGCTGGCGTTGTACTTTCGCCTTACTGACCCCGGAAACTGGGTACTGATGGAAGCGCCCCGTCGGGTGTCGATCAAGGCAAATAGCGAGCTGGCGGTGGCGAACGAGATCGAAATGGTAGCGCATTTCGAAGAGAGGTACCAGTGAGAACGACAATTTCTTCAGAGCGTCCAGGCTCGCCGCATTGCCCTCGGCCGCGGACCGACAAGCGTTGTATCCAAAAGATGGCAAGGACGTGATATCCGCCTTGCGTGCATCTTGCACTACTGCTCGCCTCTGAATAGATGCCTCGTCAGCAAAACAGATGCGCTCCCGGAATCCGAGCGCCCTCGCTTCCTGAGGCGTCTATTCGACATGGTTTGCATCTATGAGATGCAGGCTAATCATATCAATAGAGACCGTTCAGTACTGTATGGTCCCATCGGAGGGTCACGCCCAGTCTTTGCGAGCGTCTGTGCAGCATTTGAACAACTTCACGGAGGGCATTGGCGAAACCCGTCCAAGATTTCTCGTTTGCAGGACAGAAATGGAAAGGAGTTCACAAGGGTTTCGATGTCTGACGGGATATCAGTGTAGATGCACTTGGTAGATCCGAGGCCCTGTCAGGCAAAGAGATGCATTTCGAAATGGTCAAGGTAGATGGAGTGAAGGCTTCGTGATGGGCGTCGCATCCGGTCTGCAGTGCGTCGCGGCCGTCGCCGTACCTCTACATCATCAGGACGTAGCCAAATACCTGAACAAAAACCTGATGGCGCTGACCAAATTTTCCGGGACTTTGTGATCATCAAGAATCGGGCAAGATAAACCCCATTCTGCGTATCAACAAGTGGAATGGCGGCGCGCCAGGGCCCATCTCAACGCTCAGAGCATCGTACCGAGCAGCATGGCACACTGTGCACGCGTCTCTCCGAGAATACATGGGCGTCCAAACGGCTCACGCTGATGACCTCTGACAGCACTGTACGAAAGCTTGCTGGAGTCGCAACTGGTCTCGGTGGTATGCAGGCAAGATGCATGCATTCACCAAATCCCTCAATGGGGCGAATTACGAAATCACCGATGAATCGCGCTGTTTGGGGGTGGTCCATGCCGCTCGATGTGCCGTAACGCGGAATGGCTGCACTTGCGCTCCTTCGACGGGAACGTATACAACAATGGTGCCGGGATCGACGCTGCACGATTCCTGTCGATGCGCTGCCTACGAGACACAAGCATCACGAGCACGGACGAACGCTATAACGGATTGGGAATGAGAGGATGACGCAGACCCGGATGCACGATATGGTGCACGGTAAGCTGAACGAGCGTCAGATGGAGAGGCAATCGAAGGCGAGCGGCCTGCAGTGGTGTGATTCCTGCGGAAAGAAAGCGCGCGTGCACCCTCTGTATCAAGACTTGAACGCCGCAATGAACATCCGGAAATGCCTCATGCTTCGGAAGAATCCGGTGGTTTGCGTCGAAGGAACTTTCGACGGAATCGTTTAGTGATCAGCGTGGGCATTGCTGAAACGCGGAAGACTTTTGATGAAAAAAATCAGGAGCCAGGACAAGTGGAAATGGATTCTCGCCAGGATCGAGGCGATGGCATCATAAGATTCAAAACTCAAGCTAGGCTAGAGCACCTTCATATATATACACCAGGGTAGGTTTTTCCGGGCAATTCCTGAACGATAACGGAGTAGCGTCATTCGATAGGACAGCGCATACTCGTGTGACGCGATCCCGCGCATCCTCTGTCCGTAAGGCACACAATTTTCCTTACTTGAAAAGCGACCGAGCCAGTTTCTACATATCTACCCCGAAAGCTACTCCTGCAGTCCTGAATGACGGCAAACATAGCGACTGCAGCAAGCATCGCTCATCCAACAGGCTCACTTACGGTGCTACAGGTGCGCCCGACCCGACCTGACTCCCTACTGCAGGCTCCAGAGCGCGCTCCGCCACCGCTACCCTATCCAGATCCGGGCGCCGCAATCGCGTGGTGGCCGCGCGCGCCTCCGGTGCCCCAGCGCCAGCCCCAAATCACAGACACGGAAGGGCGGCGACCGCTGGGGTCACACGCCGTGCGCGCCAACAGTAGCAATCGCTTTATATGCAATTTCCTGCATGGTCTCTCTGTGCTCCCGACGGAATCGCGTCTGCATAGATCATCGCAGATGTCTTTCGTCTAGGGCGCGTGCGCACACGGTGGTGGCCAAGTGGATAAGGCGTCTGCCTACGGACCGGCTAGCGACCCGTCGCTGGACGGCAGCGAGCAGAAGATGGTGCGGTACGCGCGCCTTCCGTGTGGGTTCGACCCCCATCCACCGTGGTTTTTTGCCAGGCACGAAAAGCCACAGGCCGCCGAACTCCCAAAATCGTAAACGGCACAAGCCCAAACAGACTCTACCCAACAACAACCTCGATCGCCGGTAAGGTGCAGCGACCCCGCCCGGATGCGTGCAACACCAGTACCCTGGCCGGGCTCGCTCGCTGGAGCACCTTCTCCGAAACGCAACCCCCGTTGTGGATCGACGGGCGGAAGCGGCCGGTGCGTGCGTCGCAGCGACACGGCAGACACGAGCCCGCTGCATTCGCGCCGGACAACGACTAGACAATACTTGAGCAAGAACGCCTTTCACTTTACGATGCCGTGCGGATACGGCTTCCCGCTGACGACCCTCGGACGCGATCAACGTTGGTACTTAGATCTGAAACCTACTGCAGCCTTGGTGGCCAAAGTAAACAACAAATCCTCCAAACTGGCAAGCAGGCGCAACCCCTCAGTACACCAGCGATGGTTTCTTCGGATACGGGAGCATGTTCTTCGTTTTCACGACCTCGTCAATCAAACCATAGGCTACCGCCTCCTCGGCATTCATGAAAAAGTCACGATCAGTGTCCCGTTCAATTTCTTCCACCGCCTTGCCTGTCTGCGCTGCCATGATCTGATTAATTAGATCCCGCACGTAGAGAATCTCGCGTGCCTGAATTTCAATATCCATGGCTTGACCTTGCGCCCCACCGAGCGGCTGGTGAATCATGATGCGCGCATGCGGCAACGCCCGACGTTTGCCTTTAGCCCCGGCACACAGCAGGAACGCACCCATCGACGCCGCGGTTCCGAAACAGACCGTCGCAACATCGCACGGTACGTACATCATGGTGTCGTACAGCGCAAGTCCAGCGGACACCGAGCCTCCCGGTGAGTTAATATAGAGCGTAATATCCTCCTCTGGGTTCTCCTGTGCCAAAAACAACATCTGCGCGACGAGCTGGTTGCAAACCTCATCATTCACTTGAGTACCTAAAAGCAGCTTGCGATCCTTCGCCAAGCGAGAGTAAATGTCAAGCGTACCCTGGTCCGTTGCAACCTGGGGCACCGGGATCGAAGGCATCCGACGCGGCGACGGATCCCGTCGACCCGGCTCGTCGGGTTCGTCCGGGTTATCTGGAGCCATAATCCAAGTTGCCATTTTCAGCGAACGCGCCGACCGTCGACGGCTACAGCAGACCCTGCTCGGTTGCACGCGCAACTGCGAAAACGCTTGCGCCACGAACATTCTTTGTGGTTTTTTTCTCAAACACGTGAAATAGATGCCCCGCCAAAAAAGTCCCACTGCGCACGCCTAGTCGATCAAAGGGACTCGTATTCCCTAAGAAAGATTCTGTGGTAGAGTGTGCCTCGGAACGTCGTTTTGTGGACGAGGTGAAACACGTGCCAGCACCTGGTGTGCAGCTTAACTCCCCGGGGCGTCGACGGTGGCGGCTCGGCGAGACGGGGGCCGCAGCCGCGCCCAGCGCGCACGCCATCAACCGCAGCGCTGTGCGACGCTGTGCTGTTTTCCGTACTGATTGCGCATGCAGAATACGCAGGGTGAATATTGACACGGTATGCGTTGCGGCAGTGGCGGGCGATGCCTGGTGAATTGCGCCTGCCTGTGCGTCTGTGAGTGTATGCTGAAAGAACCTGTTTCGGATATGGAACTGGAGGGTTAAAGTGCCCAGCTCATGGATCTTGACGTGTGCGAGAGAGAGGCACTTGTGCACTCGACTGGGTTCCGTTTCAAGTTGTTGGACTAGTGGTCGCAGTAGGCTCCGTGGTGCTTGGCAAAGAGCTTGCTGCGTCCTAGTTCAGGGTGATGCGCTGATCGCCACTAACTGCGAGCGAGCGTTTTGACGATCTGGGTTCCTGACGGAACGCTGGTCCGCTTTGCCTGCCGAGTAAAGTCGGAATCACGCTACGATCTGTGAACGAAACGGGCGTCTGGTAAAATTTGCAGGAGAGCGCTATCCTACCCTGTACACACCCGGCAACTTGGGAATCACAGTATAATCCGCGAACGAAACACGTCACAAGAGCGTATGCGTCTTAATCAAAGTCCCTACCATGCAACCGCGATCAAACTGACGCACTCACAGCATAGGCAGGCATTCGGCGCGCTGCCGTCATGAAAATGGCAACTTGCAGCGATGCAGCTTTTGGTAGACGCAGCGATCACTCCATGTACGTAATGACAGCATAAGCGTGGCTAGCCGCGGCAAAAGGCGCCCAATGGTGAGCGCTGGCTTGTCAGGGCGCGCCCATGTCTCATTGCCGCATTCCGGAGCAGCGGCGTTTGTCGCCTGCGAACCCTGTGGCGCTGCACCTGCTCAACGAAGCGTCTGTGCAGGCGTGTTCGCGATGAATTCTGCTTTTTCCTCTGAAGCATTTCTGGCTGGGTTTGGACAGAACGACCTCCGCGGTTTTCACTGCAGCAGCTCAGCCGGTGATGGCGTCAGCGACGAGATGCCTCGCGACCAGCTCGAATGCATGTTTCGGAATACGATGGTAACGCTTGGCGTAGCCGCGAGATGCACTCGCTGCAGCAACTGCATTTCGAGAAAGCCATGCGCGGTCGTGGTGCAGCATCGGCGAACGTGAGTCTTGCATGGCAGCCGCGTCGCGTAATGCGAGGCGTTATATCGAGTTCTACGCACCACGCTAGCGTACCGTATTCATGAAACATGTAGCGGAGCGTCGCGAACACGTGTCTGTGCCGGTAGGCTTACCAGCCCACATTAGCGTGCATTGTGCGTGCGAGGCTCGCGTCTCGCCCTGCCAGACCAGGCGCGAGGAGCAAGCAGAGCGAACGCTCAACGCCTAGCGAGCGGGTGATGCAGAGCGGGCGCATTACAGAACGTCACCTGCGCCCGTAACGCCCCCCGATGCTCCTCGACACGCTCGATTCTCGCGCTCTGACATGGTTAGGATCGTCACCAAAATCGGTTTATACGCTCTGTGTTCGTCTAATCATACCCAACAGTACCTTTTTCTCGACAGAAGCACAAACTCAACGACTTTGGGGTCACGGAGTGAATTTCTGTTTCACGAGCTGTTCGATGACGCCCATCCCACCGGAGAGCACCTCCTGATGCCAGAGCGCCAGCATCGCAATCATCGCCAAGCGCCCGTTCTTAACCTCTGCGAGCTCCATCCTCTTACGCGAGGCCTCATCTTTGCCCCAGAAGGCCCAGGCGGTTCGAACCCTAATAGCCCGGCAGACGTCCAGAGCCGCGGACGGTCTGGATAGCTGCCGGCACTCCGGCAGCGATTTCAAATGCACTCGTGAAGAGGAGGATTTGTGCCAACGCCGTTGTCACAAAATGATCATGTGCACCGACTAGGGTCGTCGGCGCGCCCTTGTACCATGGAAACTGGTATGCCTGCTGGGCGAGTGTGCCCACGAAGGCGAGCATTGCAATGCGCCCGTGCTTGACCTCGGACTCGCGCATCCACGAGATTGGTAGGTAGGAGGTTACCATCAGGGGATCGAACTCCGCTTCACTGCCGGCGAGCCCCGACTCGCGAACTGCTTCCGGGACTGGTGCAAAGGGCACAGAACGCGAGTTGCCACTGCTTCTCGCAACGTTGGTCATACACAGCTGCCGCCGCAGGCAAGCTCTCGTTTGACGGGTGCCCGCTCTCGGGAGTCCTTTCGCAACCCAGGCGCTTGTCCACACGAACATAGTTATGTTAATTGTGCTCAAAAGAACGACGTCCAGGCGGTCGAACAATACACAAACGCTCAGGCGCTCAGTTCCGCGAGGAACTCGGATTCGGGGAAGAAGCCCTCGGTGCGCTCGCTGCTGCGCGATCAGCGCTGCGACGCGATGCACACCAGGGCGCACCGCGTCCTCCCAGGGTGTGCGTGCGTACCTGTGCCTGTGTGCGCCTCGCGGCGCTAGCGCCTCGGAGGCCAGCTCCAGCGCCTGCTCCCAGGCAGCAGGCAGCATCGGCGATGATGCCGAGCTCAGCGCACGCACGCACAGCGGCTGCGCTCGCGCGTCATCTCCAGGTCGCCTGTGATGAGCGCGTATTCGGGGCCCTCGCGGAGCACGCACGCACGCACGCACGCACGCACGCACGCACGCCGCAGAGGCTACGCGTGCGTGCGTGCGTGCGGCTGCGGAGCTCGCTGCCGCCGCCCCCTCATCGACAGCAGCCAGCAGCGGATCTGGGCGGGTTTCGAACGTCTGGCGAGCGCTCGCCGCAGCTCGCGTCGCTGGCGGAGCAGGGCATTTCTTACGTCGCAGGTCTGGAGGTGTGCTCAGCGACGTGCGACCTGGAGTCTTTACGCCGTACCCGCTTCGCCTGTACCGTTCGCTCGTCTTCCGAAACCATGGCCTTCATTTCTGCGCTCTCTTCTATTGGTCTGAAAACAGGTACTGTTACCCGCGTTGCATGCGTGACTCGGGTACCGGCGCGTGGTCTGCGAATGCAGGCACCGTCGGGAGCGACGATGCCCTCTATGCCGTTTCTGAAACGCCCCTCGAAGCTCGATGGGTCGCTTCCCGGTGGAGAAGGCTGTTTCGACCCGCTGGGTTTCACGGAAGTGTTTTCGCTCGAGTGGCTGCGCGAGGCAGAAATCAAACACTGCCGGGTTGCCATGCTCGCAGTTCTCGGGGTTATCGCGCAGGAGTTTGGGACGTTCGATTTTTACAACGCAAAGTCGAAGCTTCAGCTCTCACCGGACTTGCACAACCAGTTCGTTCAGAATGGGGCACTGCAGCAAATTCTGCTCTTCGTTTGTGCGTGGGAGTTCATCGTCGGACTCCCGGCGCTTATCGAGTCTGTGAACGGGAACCGTGAGCCGGGCTACTTCGGCTTTGACCCGTTGAAACTCGGTGGCACCGTCGGTAGTGCTCAGTGGAAGCGTATGCAAGCCGGTGAACTGCGCAACGGAAGGCTTGCCATGATCGCTTTCGGCGGCTTCTTCCATCAACAGTTGCTCACAAAGCAGGGTATCATCGAGCAGCTCGCGCACTTTAACGCGATCAAACCGAACTGAAGCTCTGGGAAATGCTTTACTTCGGTGGAGGGACCAGGCGGAAAGCAAATTTTCTAATAACAGATGATCGTTTGATGATGGACAAGCAAAAGTCGTTTCGCATATTGATGCGGGTGGGTGAAGAATAGTTGCCGGGTTGTAAACAGCGAGTCAGGAATTTTTGCATCCATGCGCTACCGCCAGTGTCTGGGCGACAACCGCGTCGAGCACGGTCACCGACGCTCGAGCCGGCACCACTACACCATGTTCCTCTGCGTCCGCGCGTGAGCGTCGTGTCTGGTATACGCCAGCTCCTATACGTTGCCGTTGCCGGCAGTGAGCGCGCAGCATCTCGAGGCTGGCGGAGCGCGTCCCCGGTGCCGCACACGACCGCCGAGTGCCACCGTCCCGTTCACACTGGTCCGCCCGCCCGTGCATCCTTCCCCGACGCAACAGCATCGGATAACGAGCGAAGAGGCGGTGCGGTGCTCGCTACCGCCCGGGCCGCCGGGCCTACACCCGGTCTCTTATACACAGGCGGCTCAAGTCGAATACCGTGTTGCAGGCGGTTCCATTCAGAAGCTTCTATTGCAGAGCTGAGGGCTCTTTTCCGGTCACTGGAGGCGCTCGTACATCCGGGGTACGCTGGTAGGACCCATCGATGCTGTAGCATGAGAAAGAGAAGGACCCGTAGCAGGTGCTATCCGCAGCGCACACGCACATGGCGTAGCGACGTTCATGTCTATAGCAATCGCCCTCGTTGACCGTGTGTTTTATTGTCGAACAGGTCTCCGGGACGCGTCATGGTGGCGTATTGATTGACGCTCGTATGCTGCAATCAGGTGCAGAGCAAGTGTCCATCATTCAGGCTGCAGCCTGTAAGCATGCAGGGCGTGTGCTCTGAGCTCGCTGCTCGTTCGAGTCTGCATCGACCGCAGGTGTGTCAAATGCATAGCTTTGGCGTGCACCGTGACCCATCGAACGCGCTTTTCGCAAATCGATGATGCTCGTCAGCATACCTAGCTCATACGCGTCTACAAGAGCAGCTCTTCGACGCGCTTCTCGAGCAAGTCTGCTAGATCACGCAGGAACTCCGCAGCTTGCGCACCATAGATATGGCGATGGTCGCAGGTAATCGTGACCTGCATGACTTTCGAGACACCTATAAGCCCGTTCGATTGGAGTCGGACCTGCGGCTGGCTCGCTGCTACAGCAAGGATGGCGCCGGTGCCTTTCGGCAAGATTGCATCGAAGGAACTGACGCCGAACATGCCAAGATTGCTCAACGAAAACGTTCCAGACTGATAATCCTCTGGTTTGAGCTTTTTCTCCAGCGCCAAGCGAACAAGGCTCCGCCATCGGCGACTCAGTTCATAGATATCCGTATCCGCGCAATCACGCAAAACGGGTGTAATCAGGCCGCCGTCGGGCAGCGCAACCGCCACTGCGATATTCGCTCCCGGTTGATACACGATGGTGTACGGCTCTTCAAACCGTGCGTTCAGTAGTGGATGCTTCCTCAAGGTAAGCCCGAGCGCCTTAGCCAGTAGCGTCGTCATGGTAACGCCTTTGGATTTGAGTTTGGACAGGAGTGCGTCCACCGCATCTGTTGTGATGCTGTACGAAACACGGAACACCGGCACCTGCAGTGACGCATTCATGTTGTTCACCACGGCTTTCTGCATGGTGCTCATTGGCACAGGTCCCGACAAGGCCGCCTTCTCTGTGGCTGGTGCAGCATCAGCGGATGATGCTCCGCGCCGCGCTTTCCGCTCAGTCTCTGCACCCGCATCGCTCCCGGTGGAGCGCCTCTCCGATGTTACCGCTGCTTCCGCGGACGCCGTTGGTGCACTTGTTTGCGAGTCGCTGGACGCTTCACCTAGGGCGCGCTTCACGTCGGCCTCAGTGATGCGGCCGTATGGACCAGTGCCCCGAACTTTGGCAAGATCTACGCCCCGTGACTTGGCAAGCTTCTTCGCCCCAGGAGTCGCTATCATGCGGCCACTCACTGCAGAAGCCTGCAGTGGCTTCTCGGAGGCTACCGAGGGCGTCTGTGCTGCAGAGCGGGCTAGCATGGCCGCTTGGACATCAGCAGCCAATATGCGGCCGCCAGGACCCCTTCCGCGCAGGGTACGCAGGTCAATTTTGTTCTCTTTCGCGAGCCGCTTGGCATACGGCGACGCAATGACTCTCCCCGTTGGAGCTGTCATGGATTCCCCGCCAGGTGCCAGATCATCTTCCTGAATTTCTGTGCTCGTCGGCGTCGGGGTCGGCGTCGATATAGCAACATGTTCTGGTGTCGTCACAGGCGCTGATTCGGACCCGGGCGCTGTAGAGCGCACTGCGGCCGATGACTCGCCCGGAGCCTGGTCCAGCTCACGAGCAGCGCTCTTTGCCCAGGCCTGCACGAGAGGCACTGATGCCTTGTCGCGAGCAAGGTATCCGGCAACCGCACCAACCGGTGCTGAGATGCCAGCTTCAAGTTCAATGTGCGCGAGAAACCCTGTCTCAAAAGATTCTACGTCCATGTCTGCCTTGTCCGACTCGACAACCATGATGACGTCGCCGCTCTTCACCTCATCGCCAATGTTCTTGGTCCATTCTACGATCTTGCCTTCTGTCATGGTCGAACTAAGCGCTGGCAAGAAGACCTCAACTGTGCCGGCCGGTTTCGGCACCAGTGGAGCGGCCGCTGCAGGTGCAGTCACTATGGCGTCTCGTCCCCCGAAGGCTGCGGACCGCTCAGCAGCAGACTCTCTCTGGTGCGTGGACGGAGCAGGTGCTGCATCGCCAGGTTCCACCGCCGTTGTTCCATCGTGCCGCGACCCGCTGCCATCCACAATGCAATCCAGTCCACAGGCCTGAATCGCTTCGATATCTTCAACGTTTTTGGCGATCAGGCCTATCGTCGCCCCTACGACGGCTGTTTCGCCCTCTTTTGTTAGTATATGCGCCAGATAGCCTTCGTCGAATGCCTCGACATCCATGTCCGCCTTGTCCGACTCGACTACCAGGATTACGTCACCCTTCTCGATGCGGTCGCCGACTTTCTTCAACCACTGAACAACTTTCCCCTCGGTCATTGTCGAGCTCAGCGCCGGCATGAAAACCTCATGCGCCTGGACTCGCTCGCGAACCTCAGGTGAAACCTCCATGCGCAAAAAGCTACGCCCAAGCTGCCGAGGCGCCAAGCGCATCCGCGCGCTCCCCCATCGCCAAGTGCACGGGAAGTTACTCCAGAAGGGCGGTGACCCTCGAGGACGGGACCCCGGGCGCACTGCCGCGCGTCTCTTCGAGGTCGGAATTCCTCCTACAAAAGCCAAGCTTAGGGCGTGTCCCGCGCCGTCCAACACCATGACTCGTAGCGTGCACTGTTCCAACAGGCCCAAGGACCTGCAACCGTGGCACTTGCCACACTGTAGCGCCTCCTCGGATGCCACGAGTGCGACTAGCACTGCCACTGGTATGCGCAGGAGCGTTTCCGCGGCGGCGGCGATGCGGCGGCGGCGGCGGCGCGGCGGCGATCCGTGCACCAGCGAATCGCTTTCCTGTCGTAGTCTTTCGACTCTCTTTGATTTCACTCAAGATGTGGTGTGCAGCAGGTGATCGACATCGCGATGCAATGTATTCTATAGATCTTAGACGAACTGCCTATGGGCTAGATTATATATGGAATAGTGCAAAGAGGAATGTATTCCTCGTTGAGGTCAGTCATACAAGAGGACTTTGATGGTTCAGGTACGCTGAGAGAATCAGGTAGATGCACGATGCGTCAATAACCGATATGCCGTGTGCATGCTTGCGGCGATTCGTGGATAACGACCTTTTGGACGCATTACGAAGAGCAAAAAGCGACGATGGCAGTCTCCAGGGGCGTCTCTTTCTCTCAACAGCTTGTTCATTTTGGCCCTGAAAACACCGCGATACAGTCTCAAGGAAAGAGTCCAAGTTCAAGCACCGCCATCTTCCACCGACATCATAACTGCTACAACATTCTTGGAACTTTGGGATCGGAATGAGGCACAGGCACATCGGTTTTTCTGTTTCAGTTGACGAGACTTGCTTCGGACGAAACGGTCGGAGTGCACCTGGGTTGTCGCGCAGCCGGGAGCCCGTTGCATGTGAAATCGAACCCAGAGAGAAGGATGACATCACCATCTATTCTTGGCGTGGTGGATTCATTCGGCGACCTCGGTTTCTCAAGTGGAAGAGCGTCATACAACAGCACCGTCAACTTTGCCGAACCATTGGAGACTCCTCCCTGACGTCTGGCGACGACCTCCTATCCGACAGCGTGGTATTTGATCATTCCTCTTGCGTTCGAGCTGTTGCCGATTCTATCCGGGGAGTAGAGCTGCTTTTCATTCCTGCGTACTCTACGAGGTTCAGCTTCATCCAAGGAGTGCGTTCTACCGTGAAACGTAATAATCGGTCCACTGGGCGAATCGCTGAAGCGTTCCGCACATGGCGCCATACAGTGGCACATATCGTTTCTCTTCCGCAAGCGCTTACCCCTCCGGAATGGTTCTCGCCGAAGCCTCTAAAGGAATGTATTCGTTTTCAAGAAATTAAGCGACGACCTCGGACGCATACTTCAGACGGTTTAGGTGGAGACAAGCCAGCAGTGCGCTTTGTCGATCGTAAAGTACAGTGTGCTGCCAGAACAGCACATGTCACGGAGGGCACGAGCTCTAGCAATCCTTACACTGGTGAGTTCCCGCAGCCGCAATTAAAGCAAGGAATTTTGCGAGCCGAGACTTCAATGCCGCGATCAATATCAGGTGATGTGCGGTGCTGAAGACGAGACGCGCAGAGCTGGCATGAACCAACTTTGTGGGTCAGCCTCCGATGCTCGAGGTGTACACGGAAAAGCTGAAATCGATAGCAGGAGGCTGGTCGAAAAAGGCTGGGAGGTGTCTGCGCGTGGGTAGATACATTTATGAACCATGGTCGCAAACCGGTTTCATTCCATCGACCCCATGGTATACCCGGCGAGTGTGGTGCACAGTTTGAGTGATGCGTTCCGCTGATGCTCGCACATGCTGCCGTCTGCTAAAGCTTCGGTCTTTCAGGGCTTCAGGTCGCGCGGGCGTCCCTGCTATCGCCTACGCGAAATGGAGAAAATTAGTTGGAAAGCCATGCTGACCAGACACGTCGGCTGAGCGAATGCGTATTGCATCACCGCAGTGCAGGGTGGCGTGGCGACACTCACGGGGCGTGAGCGCGACGCAGTCGCCTGCAGACTGTGAAGGGATGCCCAGCAGTACCGCGCCGCTGTCGTGTACGAGTTCCTTCATGGAATCGTTCGGCGCCGCTGCACGCAGGCCTGGGCCAACCAGCTGTGGGCGCTCATGCCAACAAGGAGTCCCGGCTGGTGTGCCTTCTCTCCACGCGTCGAGCTGAGGTCTGGGAAGGCATCGCGAAGCCGTTCTATCTCTGTGGAGCGCTTTTGACTGCACATTCGGCACGTGAATCGAGACACGCCCGTGTCAGACCATGATGGAACAGGTCACTTTGTGAACTCGGGTGCATACACTAAAGATTTTGGTCTCTTACGAATGTCATGAAGACAAGCGTTTGGGGCGCTTTTTCGGTGCTTGCTCCCGTTCCAGTACGCCTATCGCGCGCTTTCAACACACCGGTGTTTCCTGGCTCGCCGGCGCCGTTGTGTTATCAGTCGAAGGATGCTGATGTTATCGTTAAAGTCATTCTATCGCAGCTTCCGGTTTTTTCTTCGCGTTTCATGCAGGGGCGTTCGTTTCGATCGGCGCTTCGCACGCCTTCTGCATCTCCTTCGTAGACAGCCTGGGTGCGTTATTCGCATCGGTTGTACTTGGCTGTGGTCAGGTGTCTGCAAATTTCCATCGCACCTCCTGGTCAGGGCACAGCTCTGTGGCACGTGAACGCTTGCCTCATCGCTCGATACATGCTGATAACGGGAACAGAGGGCTCCTCTCGATGCCCTTTCTCCGTTTCCGCGCCCGATGCCGTACCCTGCGGTCACAGGCCTTCTCTGGGCAATGTTCGCCGGGGTGGACGCTATTCGCTGCACGCTCACGCTGTTCCATTCGATGGGTATTTTTGTATAACGTGAGCTTGTCCATGACGAAACAGATATGGAACGCAAAGCCAGGCTGAAGAAGCCGAAAAAATTCTACCCGTATACGCTCCCTTTGTGCAAACCAGTAAAATACGCCCCGCAAGAAACGATCGCCCTGATGACTGAAATCCGAGTCCAGCACGCTCTGGCATACAAACAGAATAGAAGGAAACCTCTCGGAGCATGTCCCGTGATAAGTTTCATGCTGCCAGTGTCGAGTGCGATTTCGTCGACCGCAAGAAAGAAACAAGGATTTATATTTCGATCAGAGTTCATCATCTGACGTCACAACTTCCGCGTTCTTTCCGTATGAGCTCGTGAACAAGTCATCACGAGGCGACATTCATCGTTTTGCCTCGCCACACCAGCAGCGCCCAATGCTGCACCAGCGAATCGCCTTGAAACAGGAAGGTCGAAACCCCCAAGAATACGTGATTTGAGCGTGCGACTCGTAACGAAAGTAGAAGCGTCGAGACTTGCACATGTGCAATGGATCAGGGTGTTGGTCGTGATCCGGGTGCTTGTTCGGGGGCATCGCGAACCTTCTTGATTCCCGTGATGGAACGAGTTCCAGCGGCAGAGCGTCATTGGAGTCACTCTGGAAAACACACCAGAGAAACCTGAAACCATTCACAAATCCCAAAGCCATTTACATTCCCACGTCGAATCTCGGCGTATTATATCCAACGAAAACTTTGGAGAAAACTTCATACCAGGAAGAGACCGAATAGTTTCGCGTTCCATCTTCACCTGGCACTGGTCTAGCGTCTACTGCAAGCCGGGTACCCGCAGGCTCACCGCCTCGATCGCGTTCCCCAGCGTCCAGCAAACGCTGTTCTCGTTTCGCAAGCGTCTCCTAGTGTCTGAAGCACAACTCACCTGAAATGTACCTCGCCTCTCCGCAGCGTTGCCGACTCACCGGAACACTGCCTCCATCCGCGGACTGCACTCCAGCAGGCAACACGACTGGTGTTGCGCGCTCGAGGTATGCGCTTGGGCGCGCGCGCGCTGCAGCCGCACTGGCCAAGCTTTCGCTTCTACTCGCGTACCCGCTACCGCTACCGCTACCGCTACCGACACCGACACTGTCTGGCAAGGCCGTCGAGGGAGTGTGGCCCCAGTGAGGCGTAACGGTTCCGATGGACGCTTCTGAGGACACAGATGAGAATCGAATTTTCATAGAGCGTTTTCTTCCGAGATTCTCGGGTGTTCTGGCGGAACTTGAGCTACCAAACTCGACGCCACTGCACCAACAGCCGGGTACACCCTCTGGCGTGCTACAGCCACCGACGATTCCCGGCTGGTCCGCTGGAAGCGTTCTCGTGAGCCAGCTTCGTCTGGTTGCACGCCGGCTTCCCAGCTCGGCGTCGGCTGCGTTTCACGTCGGGCTATGCTACTTACGCCTTGGTGACCGGAAGGCCGCCCAGAGTTGGCTTGAGCTGGCCGCGCAGCGCCTCGGCTCCGCAGGGCGCAAGCATTCGCTGTACTTTGGGGTGCTTCACGCGCTGTGGATCACCACCCGGGGCCTAACGCGACTCGACGGGAAGAGTGGTACCTCATTCTGGGACTGTAACGTCGAGGAAGACCAGGCCTGGCTAGAGCTAGACGCAGCCAGTCGCGTCCACCGGATGCAGGATATCGTTGGGCGCGGTTGTGACGATGCCGACCACTGGAACAACCTTGGCGTGGCGTTCACCCGCGATGAACACTATCTAACTGCCGCAGCATGCTTTGAGCAGGCTATTCTACGCGGATGCACTGCACCTGCGCTGGGCAACTATGCGCAGCTCATGGCACTGTCGCCGCACGCGCGCACCAGACATGAGCACGAGCGTCGACAATGGCTGCAACTCCAGGCTGACAGCCGCCTGCCCTCGTTCGCGCTGCTGGAGGCCGTCTGTGAGACGCAGCTTTCGTCGGTCGCACATGCGTCGACGGAATCACCGGAATCGCCCCTGTATCCTTTCCTGGCCTTCACATGGGGCGGTCTTGCGCTTTGGCACAGTCTCCGTAACGAGCACGTGCTAGCGCATGCTGCTGCTTGTGTGTCGGTTAGTAGCTCGCCTGATGAATTCCAGGCGGAATTTGCACTGCTCGCACGCATTCTAACAGCGTATGCAGACCTCTCCAGAGACGCGCTCCGGCATTCGGAAAACGTCGACCGTCTGCGACGGGCGGCATCCAGCCTCAAGCTGCTTTCTGAACGGGTGAGCCGGTGCACTGTGCTCCTGGAAGCAGCGCAAATCGTTATGGGTCTATGCGCTCGACTTCGCAGCGAATGCGGCGATGAACATGGACACTCTCGACTCGCTGATAGTAGTGCTCGTCATTACAGCCTGGCACTGGAGCGCCACCCAGACCATGCATCGAATTGGATTAGCCTGGCGCTGCTGCTGGTAGACATCGGCGAGTACGCTGACGCTGTTGATCTGCTGCTGCAGGCCTGGGATCGCGATCAGGATAATCCCGTAATCTTGAACAACGTCGGTATCGTGCTCGGTTTGTCAGGGCGCCCAGAAGAGGGCTGCCATGCCCTGTGGCAGGCGCTGCAGCACGCGGGCGCATTGCGGTGCCCGACGCTGTACGCTGCAATTTGGACCAATCTCGGATCCCTTTACCGTCAGCGAGGGCACCATAATGAAGCGCTTCGTTGCTACAAGCAAGCGCTTGTGGCAGGCGGTGAGCAACCATTCGTGTACAACAATCTCGGCATCCTGTTGCTCATGATGGACGCCACCCAAGAGGCCAAGGCGATGTTCACGCGCGCTCTCGAACTCGACGCTCAGTACGATTGCGCCCGCTCCAACTGGAGGCGAGTCGATGAGCTCATTCAGTGGAAGTCGCAGCGAGCAGCAGTCCCGACATCGAATTAGCTCGCAAAGCGCATCGAAGGTTTTACTGCAGTGCAACCTTGCGAGCGCGTGCACAGGGCAGCGTTTCTAACCCGGTGCGTGCTCCAGTGGGTCCGCAGCATGACGCATTCGGCTGTTCGGGCGTCGCGCATGTTTTTCAGGTTTGGAGGTTTCCGCTCTTGCACTTCGATACTGGTAACACTACACGAGGCACTGCTGCCGAGTCCGCTCAGAGACAGCCAGCGACGGCCCCGATGTCGACAGTCATCGTGCACCAGTCAATCCACTTCCAGCAGCACGAACGCAAAACTGAGGCGCGTGCCCTTGTCGGTGTGAGAGCGTGTCACGAGTGCGTTGTAGGAGCTCCCGCTGCAGCCAGGGTGCAAACTTGCGACTTGTTCTCGTGCCCCTGTCGGTGAGAGAGTGTGTGTCATGAGTGCGTTCCAGGTGCTCCCGCTGCAGCCAGGATGCAAACCCGTGACTTGTTCTCGTCGCACTTCTGGTGTGCGTTCCCGTTGTGCAGATAGATGCTGCTGTTGCGCCGCCTTTGGACTTGCGCTGGACGATGCCTTTCAGCAGGCTTGCCGCACAGACTACTTCGCGGCACGCTGTTTTGCCTCTTTCGAACGAGTGCGAATGGATGGCGTCCAGCGATCGACGAGAACCTCATGCAGACACACGGTCTGGAGCCAGCGTTCGCGATGCTGGAGATGCTCCATCGCTGTGCTCATGGACACCTCCACGTAGACAAGGCGCTTAGCCACTTGTTTGGTGAGCCTCAGCTGATTCTGGACGGCAATCCAACGCTGATGGATGCGCTCGTTTGCACTCCGAACGAGAACCGCGTACGGTGCGTGCGAATGACGACCTTCTGACGCTCGGAACCGGTAAAGTACAAAGTCCGCGCCATACTTGCATCCGGAATGCGGTGCCCAGCCTGCGTGCCGATATGCTCGATAAACTGCATACTGTCGCAAGTGCTCTTTCGGTAGGGATACGAAGTACGTCCAGAGTGACTGGGTGTTCTCGAAACCTTTCACGGTCAGAAATTGTTCGTCAAAAGCGAGGTAGGCTGCTTCGAATGGAGCTAGGTGCAGGTGCTCCACGTCCTCCTTGTCAGTCCGTGCTGCAAAGTGCCCGGCACGCACCAGGCTGCGCAGCGCTCGTCCCAAGTGGACGTGATCGACCGCACCCCGGACTAGCTCCCCGTACACAGGTCGACTACGGCTCAAGTTGCCTTTCCCGAACCCCATGAGCGACTGCCAACACAGTCGTGCGCTCACTGGGTCAGTGACCCAAAACTCCCCGCCAACAAGTTGCGCTTGAACGCTCATGAACGCTCTGGGACTCGCTGCCTAGGTGGTACGCACGCACGCTCGCACACACCAAGCCCGTCAACGTTTTCTGGAAAGAAAAGCGCCTTCTCGAAGTGCCTCGACTGCGAACACGGCTCACCGCCACTGGACGCTTGTGTTCTATCCCGAGGTGCCTGCTGGAAGCGACTCGTGCGACCTGGATGCTCGCTGCGAATCTTTCCTTTTGGAGTCTTTCAGCTCTGTATGATTTCACCCCCGAAGTGGTGTGCAGCAGGAGATCGAAATAACGATGCAATGTATGCTGTAGATCGTAGACGCATTGCACATAGGATGTGTTCTTTAATGAAAAGCGCAAGGAGGACAGCATTCCTCTCTCAGGTCGGTCATATCGCAGTCCTCACATGATTAAGCCACAGCGACAGAAAGAAGCCTATGTGCGCTCTGTGCCAAAAACAGGTATAATCAGACGCTGTTTGCCGTCAATGGTAGAAGACGACCTCTTGGACGCATTACGAAGAGCAAAAAGCGACGATGGCAGTCTCCAGGGGCGTCTCTTTCTCTCAACAGCTTGTTCATTTTGGCCCTGAAAACACCGCGATACAGTCTCAAGGAAAGAGTCCAAGTTCAAGCACCGCCATCTTCCACCGACATCGTACCTGCTACAACATTCTTGGAACTTTGGGATCGGAATGAGACACAGGCACATCGGTTTTTCTGTTTCAGTTGACGAGACTTGCTTCGGACGAAACGGTCGGAGTGCACCTGGGTTGTCGCGCAGCCGGGAGCCCGTTGCATGTGAAATCGAACCCAAAGAGAAGGATGACATCACCATCTATTCTTGGCGTGGTGGAGTCATTCGGCGACCTCGGTTTCTCAAGTGGAAGAGCGTCATACAACAGCACCGTCAACTTTGCCGAACCATTGGAGACTCCTCCCTGACGTCTGGCGACGACCTCCTATCGGACAGCGTGGTATTTGATCATTCCTCTTGCGTTCGAGCTGTTGCCGATTCTATCCGGGGAGTAGAGCTGCTTTTCATTCCTGCGTACTCTACGAGGTTCAGCTTCATCCAAGGAGTGCGTTCTACCGTGAAACGTAATAATCGGTCCACTGGGCGAATCGCTGAGGCGTTCCGCACATGGCGCCATACCGTGGCACATATCGTTTCTCTTCCGCAAGCGCTTACCCCTCCGGAATGGTTCTCGCCGAAGCCTCCAAAGGAATGTGTTCATTTTCAAGAAATAAAAAATCCAAGCGAAGGGTATGGACATGGAAGGCGGGGATCCCGGAGGGCCGTCATCGCCGGCTCACCGAAAAAAAGAATCGATCAAATCCTCTTCTAGCCGACCATCAAGTGAAGAAGCGCAAATGACGAGAAGAAGAAGAAGAGGATGTGAGATAAGCGAGAAAAGGTGTTTACTCAACGGGATGATGAGGAGACTTTGGTGGCACAGAGGGTGCGAGCTCGAGCACGCTCTCCCTCGGTGAGCTCAACCAGAGGCAATAAACGCAAGGAGATCATGAAGTGGGACTTCAATCCCGCGACCCATACCAGAAGATGCTTGGTGTTGAAGACGGGACCCGCGGCGCTGACGCAATCAAACTTCGTAGGGCTACCTCAAAGGCTCGATGTGTGCAGAGAGAAACTAAAACCAATAGCATGCTGCCGGTTGGGAAAGGCTGGGAAGCGTCTGCGGATGGTTGGATATATTTATCTTCCATGACCGTGAAACATTGTTCGTTTTGCTGATCTTGTCTAGAATGCGAATACGACGCAGCGCACTGCACGGCAACGTTTTCGGCTTGTTCTGCACAGCGAAGATGCCTTCGGCGCTCTGCCAAAGCCAGACGTACAACTCCCCGTGGAGCCTGCAACGCGCTTGCACGAACGGCAGCAAGCTAGGCCAGTGCAAACGGCAGCTATCCGCAAGCGCTACCATGTGGCGAATGGTGCTGCTCTGCATCACGTTTCATGAGGCTGGACTGGTGCCTGGTCCTGGCCCTGAGCGAAAGCGTCGCAACGCCCCTTGAACCGTTCTGGGAAAGACGCGAATGGATGGATGGATGGATCCGTGTCAGCGCTGAGCAGTCTCGAGGGCATCTGAATGTATCCAGCCGCACCGGGGTGACGGGGGTCGACTTTTCCTTGTCAGATTCCCGGATTGCTCACCATTAGAATTTAGTCTAGCCATGCAAACGCCCCCAGAAAACAATCCAGCCTGCTCCAGGATTACAAAGGCAGCTCCGTCGAGCCGAACTTCGCGTATGAGTCTCGGCAGGCGGGCAGCTCGACGGCCGACACAGTCGAGCGGGGATCTTGGGCACCAGTTTCTTCGACTGCATGGTCGACGGGAACAGGCCATGCGCCAATCTGCAGTGACTGGACACCGACGAAAGCTGAATGGCATTCGTTCGCGTAACGCCGCTGCAATGGGCATTAACCAATACCAGCGTTACCGGAATGTCATTTCAGGGTACAGCTAGCGTCGGAACCAACTATGAAATGCGTACGGAACAGTGTCACTGCTTGCAAGATGCCCCTTAATCATCCTCTTATTTTCGAAAACGGTGCGATCGCGAACGTCCGCACATCGCTCCGCTCAGATGTCCAATGCGTAATTCTCGAATCCATACATAGCAAACTCCTGCCAATGCGGAGAATTCCCAATGGTGCTTTTCACATCGACACGCTCTATCGCGATTGGTGGTTGCAAAACGAATACCCTGCAGCGCGGATGCACTGGGACGGTGACCTTGGTGTCCGCAAAATCAGCGTTCAAGACAAGTTCGCTCGTGATGCTTAGAAAACGATTTCGAAGAAAACGCACGGGATGGTCGACGGTATCTACGGCTAATTTCGCGAATTGTTTCGATATCATGTACGCTTGGGCACCCGACCAAGTGCCATTAAGCTGGAACTCGGCCTGGGTTCGCGGGCTGATATGCTTGGCGTGATCGAGATACGAGAGCCGAACCACATCAGCGTCGTTGAGCAGTTTGAATGCGTCGCTGATTCGCTGCCAAAGCAATTCGACGTCGCGCAAGAATACGACATCGTCCTCGAGAATCATAGCTGCCTCTGCATCGGGGTCATCTATGAGCGTTTTCAACGCTTTGAGGTGCGACAAAAAACATGCCACCACAGTTTGCCACGGACCAGCAACGTATCCGCCAGCACCTTGCTCGTGGAGGTGTACCTGTTCACTCGGCACGATATGCCAGTGGTACCATGATACCAACTCAGAGTCCGTCAAGACCGCGTCAATGATGGTGTAGTTCGCACGAATTCGCTGTAACGCTCGCTCAATAGTTTTTCGCCGGTTCTTCACTGCTATCGCATAGATACGAAGCCGACATAGTCCGCCTTCTGGACATTTTTGCAGATCATGGATTTCGGCCTTCCAACCTGCTGGCGATAGCCTCTTGAACCGAAGGCGAAGGCTCAGAGCTGATGCTGCAAACAAAACGAGCACCACCAGAGAGAGAACCCTGGAGCGACGGAGTCTCTCGTGAAACGCCCGCCGCATACACACGAGAAAAACGAGCGACCAGCAGACAACTAAAAGAGTAAACCGTCCAGAGGCTCTCTTTAAGTCGCCTTGGAATCCAAGCAAACGTCGCTCACACGCAACTGGAGTGTGGAGCACCAGAGAGGCATCGCGAGCGCCGCTCCCTACGGCACGCTCGGGTACCAGCGCGCACGCATGCAGGCTACGGAGTCGTCGCTGCATGTGCGTCACGCCAGAATCCGATGCGTCACACAGCGGCGTTCAGCGCATCGCGCCCATTCAGCACCCCGGAATCGGACATGTTGATCGACCTCCAGCGGAGGCGCAGCAGGGCAGCCTGCGCTTTCGGCGATGTTGCGGGTACACGTGGTGAGCACTGCACCCAGCGCTTCGCTCGAACGAACGTTGAATTCCAAGTCAAGTCTGGTTTGTGGTTGGTGCAACTTGGAAAACCTGGTCTATGGTGGTGGTTCATTTCCCGGATGCCGATAAGCATCACGGATCTGGGGCGGATCCCCGGGGGGCTCCTGTTATCGATTACAAACCATAAGGAGAATCAGAGCGGGACTGGAAGCCGAATACTCCTGTTTTCCCGATCTCATCTGATACGCGCTGCTCCAGGTACGGTACCCGCCAGACAACGACGTACTCTATTCAAAATACAGCGCAAACGCGATGTTCCTGCACCACGGCGCTAACGATCCATCTGCTTCTACGACGTGCATGCATACTTGCTTGCACCGAGCTTACCTGAGGATGACCGGTTGGAGTCATATCGAGAGCGCCACGCACGACCTGAGCTGCTGCACTTTGGAGCTTGGCGAACATGGCGGCATGTCATGATCGGGCTCGCGTCTAATGCCGTACTGGCGCGCCACAACATACATCCCGCTTCCTGGGCGGTATCGAGCGCTTCGACAACCCGGGATACGCATGGTCAACGCTGTTGGAGACACGCAACGGTGCCGCACGTAATGCAAAAAGCCTCCCGGCGCATGTCGAATCCTTGCAGCGAGGCACTCGATCCCTGCCCGCGTCGACACCGGTGCACAGCGCACTCGTAGAGCGTCTCCATGGTCATATATGGCACGCCTGCGACGCAGTAGCGCTTCAGGCGTGGACGGGTGCATATCCCTGGATCGTTGGCGCGCGTAGCCGCGTTCACCGGGTGCGAGGAATATGGTGTTCCGTTGCAAACGGTCGCCCGACTTTGTCTTACGGTGTTTATCCAGACCTTGCGAGACATCGAGATAGAATGTATCGGTTGGCGACCGAGATAACCAGTGACCCCAGAGTCGTGCGTGGTAAATGCAACATGGAACAATTGCGGCATCGAGCGGCGCTGGCTGGCCTCCCAGACCATACGAGCAGCGACGCAGCATGCGTATGCGTCGCCACATGGGTTCAGTGACGCACCCGGCATATCCTTTACCCGCAAGGAGTGACGATATCGTGAGATCCGCGGGTTCTGGAGCCCCGGCCCCAGCCCTGTGATCGCCGTGAAACAGATGCAAGCAGCCGCTCGCCAAGTCGCAACGTCTCCCCATCTAACCTACACATATTACGAGGCCGTCCGGGTTTGCTTTTGTGGTGACAGCACTCCGATCGCTGACGAGTCGCTCAGGCTGGTACAACGACTGGTGCGGGCCGACTCGGGCCTCCTGTAAAGAAATTGTCACAGATGCGCGCACAACCTGACAAGCGGCGTCGTTGTGTCATAACCAATGAGCCCTGGTGCACGCCTCGATATCCCTAGCATACGCTCATCGCTGAGCAGCACCGCTCCATATCCTCGCTGCGTGAGACTCCGGTGCGCAGTGCCGAGCACGCGTTCGCATGCAGTGAACTCGTTGATGCGAGTTCGCGTCTCGATCGCTGGACGAAACTCGCGCCGCACTGCGTCCTGTTGCGAGTCCGACTATGCGCAAACACATAAACATATGCGAACACGCAAACACACACGTGCCCAGCTGTTGAAGCGGATGCGTCCAGCCTTCAGTCCCGCGACGGTGCAACGCTTGCTGCATCGGGTGAGCTGTTCAGCAAGTCCTCTGCAATCTGCTCGGTCGGTGATTGCACGAAAGCGTGCTCTGCAACGTCGATGGCTCGACCCAGCGCCGCAGCCTTGTTAATCGTTTCCAAATACTCTGACTCGGGGTTCGAGTCCAGAACAATACCGGCCCCGGCCTGAATATGGACCCGCCAGGCACCATTCGAGCTCCGCATGGCTGTGGGAATCACCATGGTACGGAGCGCGAGCGCCACATCCATCTCGTTGCCATCGAATGATACGTAGCCAATGCCGCCACCATACGGACCCCGCTTTGTCGGTTCCAACTCGTCGATAATTTGCATACTGCGAATCTTTGGTGCTCCTGATATCGTTCCTGCCGGAAGCGTCGCTCGTAGCGCGTCCCAACAGGACAGCTCGGCTCGCAACTTCCCAGTCACCGTCGAGCTAATATGCATCACGTGACTGTATCGCTCAATTTCAAATAGTTTCTCTACTTGCACAGAGCCCAGTTCGGCAATCCGCCCAACATCATTGCGACCGAGGTCTACGAGCATCACATGCTCGGCGCGATCCTTTTCGTCCGCAAGCAGTTCCTGCTCGAGCCGAGCGTCCTCCTCGGGTGAGGATCCGCGCGGCCGAGTGCCAGCCAGAGGTCGGTTCCAAACCTTGCGACCTCGAGTCTTGCAGAGGATCTCCGGTGAGGATGAGATCAGAATGCAGTCCCTGGCCCGCATGTAGAGCATATACGGCGACGGATTCACAATGCGGAGCGCGCGGTACACCTGGAACGGGTCGGCGAACGTATCCCTCTCGAAGCGCTGACTGAAGACCGTTTGAAAAGTATCACCAAGGTAGATATACTCTGAAATGCGTTCGAGTGCATGGAAAAACTGCTCCTTGGTCATGTTGCTGCGCATGGGCTCGGGTTTCTCGACTGGATCCAAGAGCACCTCACTCGATGGCAACAAGAGGTGATCCCGCTCGGCGCAGGTGAGTACACGTACCAGCTGCTCGGACCGAGACCACCCGTGGGCACGAGCCGCTTCTATTGAACGGTGATCCTCGAGCGGTACCCACACAACAATGTACACAGTCTTGGTTACATTGTCAAAGATGACCACCTCTTGGTACAGTGCAAAGTGCAAATCAGGTAGGCCTCGATCGTCCCGCGGTGCCGCTGAGAACGGCAGCTTCTTTGGTTCCGAGTAGCGCACCGTGTCGTAGCCGCCAAAGCCGACCCAGCCACCGCAAAACGCCTCAGGCACTGGGCCCTTCTCTGCGACCTTGATCTGCTCCGTCAGCTGTCGCATAAATACCCACGGATCCGGGACGTGTAACTTGTGCTGCAGGTGCTCGCTGCTATCAATAATCTGGATATCGTTTTGATAGGCAATGATCTGCATACAGGGCGAAGAACCCACGTAGGAAAAGCGTCCGATTTGGTCGCCACCGACAACCGACTCAAAGAGAAAGGACGGCCTCGGGTCTCCGGAGGCATCATGAACAAGCCGTCGATAGGCCATCACGGGTGTGAGGTCGTCCGCGAAAATCCGTCGATATACAGGCAGCAGCGTTTGTTTGCCGATGCCTGCTGGCAGCGTCACTCGATTCCGCTCGTAGTATTCGATGAACATGTCCGAGAGTCGGCCGCTGCCCTGCGCGCGAAGCGTGAACCTGCGAGCGCTGTTCTTGCGTCGCCCACACAGCGGAAGACCTTTCGACGCGCTTGATGCGGGCGCCAGGATCGATTTCGAGCGCCCCCAGGAATCTCTGCGCTGATCCTTGACAGATATTGCTCGGGGGTGAGCGCAGCGGCCCTCAAGCGTGCCACATGACGCTCGCGTTTGTTGCACGCGGGCACAGGCGCTGCCGCCCAGTATCGGGCTGGTGCCCGTTGCTGCCGAAGCAAACGCTGCCAGTTCCATCCAGGCGAGATCCAAGTACTGCGATAGAGCGTCGGTGCTCAGCGCATAAACCGAACCTCAGGCAGTGTACCCACAGGCACGCGCTATGCTACACCAGACCGTGGCGGGTGTAGTGTGTACCCAACGCGCCGACGCTCCTGTCGTCCGTTACGCTGCAGGTTCGTATTTGACGCGCCTGCGCATCGCGTTGAGTCTCGGCGGGCCGGCGGCTGCAGCGGAGGCGGCATACGCTTCCACACGGCATGTCCTTTTGATACATACAAGGCCCTAAAAGTTCTGTTTTATCCATGCACTGGTTTGCCGTAGCTTCGACGCATGTTCTGTTTGGCAAAACTTGTCAGTGTTCCCCTACTATGTGCGTAGTATCAGCGCGTGGTGAAGCATCCATCTTTCTACCAACATCCAACTTCCATAACCCATGAGTCTTTTCGGCTATATTGGTCGTTTCATACGTTCTCTCGTGCGCCGAGTGCACGCATTGATGGATTCGCAATAGCGCCTACAGCGCCCGTGCTGTCGTGGCACCGAGAGATAGATCGGCGTTGCTGTACCGCAGAGGGTGTCGGCTCGAGCTGGTACACTAATACCCATGCGAAGAAGCCTCCCATCAGTTTTTGACCGGCCACGGGTTGACGGCTTCAGCTCCACCGTGTACACTTCGAGTACAAGAGACTGCTCCACAAAGTGTTGGATCGCATCAGCTCCTCGTGTCTCGTCTTCAGCACCATCCATCGTCTGATATTGATGGCGGCGTTGAGGTGTCGTTTGACAAACTGCTTACGTGCATTGCCGCTGGCGGAACGCACCTTTGCATGAATACCTAGAACCCGTGCGCTCTGTGCCATAGCAGTCTCGTCATCGTCCCGTAGGGCAAGCACCTGTTCTCGCGTACAACCCTTCTGCTGCTGCTTCTTCACTTGCGCTTCTTCGCTCGATGGTCGACGAGGAGAGTATTTTTTCGTTTTTTCGTCGGATCCGACGATGCCGGCCCTCCGGGATCCCCGACAACCACGTCCGTACCTTTCCCTTGGATTTTTTATTTCTAAACATGAACGCGTCTGCTACAACCGCGAAAAAAGCATTCGATGGCACGTACCTGAGGATTGAGCACAATTGCGTTGAAAGACGATAGGATCAAGATATCGAATCCGATGACTCTCCCGGCAAGCAAATTGCCCGCAAAATACGAAGCGAAGCGATTGCTGTTCCGTTGCAACAGGTACTCCACTCCGTCATTCTCGGACCTGTCTTTTCCTAAAATTTTGGTCCATTCCCGGGACTAGGAATGCTTGGAGGCAGACTTAGTATATGCGACGGTGAACTTGTAACCCGAAACCGCGAGACCGGGAATTCGACATCATCTCGGGGCGTTGAGTATCTTAGGTGGTCGCAGCGACAACTCTCGAAGCATCTAGACACGAACTGCAATGCGTGGCGGCACCAACTACTTGAGAGAAGGTGCCGCGTCACTGGCAAGCGGCCGACGCAGCTGTTCTGTACCTCTTCCAAGCTGCGCTGCGACTGACTGCAGCGCGTTGTGCTGTCGTAGGTGGTTTCCAGCTTGTAACACAGCAGCAAATGGATATGCGTTCTTCGAGTGTCGCACCTCAAAAAATGCGCCGTAAACACATCATCATGAAAGCAGAGAGGAGCGCAAAGTCATGTGATCATTTTTTGAAAATCGTGAACTGTTCACGCACCGTTGTGTAGATAATATCAAGTTTTCTGGCACGTTTACAAAAACCTCGGCTCATCACGTCCGATGCATGCGCTGCAATCGAAGCTGCAGCGACTGCATGACGCGTCTGCAGCGAGCACTGTACTCGCTCTATAAGCAAATGTGCTGTTGCGCATTTGGTTTTGCGGGCTGGCGTCCAGCACCGCCATGATGAACGAAGCGCTGAACTGCAGTTGACGCGAACGCCGTGCAGCTGCCGCACATGACGAAAACAGCCGCCCATCCTCCGAATCTTGTCTAGTCAACCTGCAGACGCTTCGGTATCTCCCAGGTAAAGTCGGGATCATCCTCACGGCCAAAGTGACCATATGCAGCGGTTTTGCGGTACTTGGGCTTCAGTAAATCTAGCTCGCGAATGATCGCGCCAGGGCGGCAATCAAAGTTCCTCTCGACAACTTTCAGGATCTGGTCGTCGGTCCAGTCGGGCTTGGCTGTCCCGTATGTGTCCAGGAAGATGGACGTCGGCTCTGCGACGCCGATGGAATAACTGAGCTGAATGAGACAGCGTGCAGCGAGGCCGGCCGCCACCACGGATTTGGCCATCCAGCGCGCCATGTACGCCGCGCTACGGTCGACTTTCGAGGGATCTTTTCCGGAAAAGGCACCTCCTCCGTGCCCGCCCCAGCCTCCGTACGTATCGATGATAATTTTGCGCCCGGTGAGACCCGCGTCACCAGCTGGACCCCCAACCGTGAAACTCCCACTCGGGTTCAGCACGTACCTCGTTCGATCATCGAGGAACTCGGCAGGCACTACAGGTCGAATGACGTGTTCCCGCAAATCCGCTCGGAGCTTCTCCTGCGATGTATGCGGTGCGTGTTGCGTTGAAATCACAATCGTATCGACACGCAGCGGTTTCAGAGCGCCTCCACGTCTTTCGTACTCTACTGTGACCTGCGTCTTCCCGTCAGGTCTGATGTACGGTAGAATGCCTTGCTTACGCACATCCGTGAGTCTTTTGCCTAGTTTCGTCGCTAGAGAGTGAGAGAGTGGCATCAGCTCTGGCGTTTCGTTCGTAGCGTATCCGAACATGATGCCCTGATCACCCGCAGCGATATCCAGCGTGTCCCGACCTCCGTATACGCTCGCTGCGATTTCGCGTGACTGCTCGTGGATCTCCTGCAGCACCCGGCAAGAGCGAAAGTCGAGACCCTTTTCTTCGTCGTCGAAGCCGATCTCCCGAACCGTCTCACGAACAACTTTCTCATAATCGACAGTCGCTTTCGTTGAGATCTCCCCAAAAACCATTATCAAACCTGTTTTCGTTGCTGTCTCGCAGGCCACTTTTGAAAACGGGTCCTGTGCCAGGCAGGCGTCTAGAACAGCGTCAGAAACTTGATCACAGAGCTTGTCCGGGTGTCCCTCGTTCACCGACTCCGACGTGAAGAAAAAGCGACGAACCTCCTCGGTGGCTGTCATTTTTTGCTAAGTACTAATTTGCGTATCGGAGGCTTCAGAAACTGTTTGAAGTGTATCAAAGCGACGCCTACGTCGTCGTCTTTGTCGTCGTCCACAATGCGCTAACCTGAAGGCATCACACTGGCACCGCCGTCGCCACCGCATCGTCCGCATGCGCTGACGCGTGCGGTTCTTGGATGGACGATGTGCGTGTGCGTGTGCGTGTGAGTGGCGCGCGCAGCGGCCGCTCTGCCCTCGTGCGCCGTCGATCGCCGATGCTCGCGATGCCGATGCCGGTGCCCTCTGATGCGTGTGCCTGTGCCGATGCCCTCTGATGCGTGTGCCTGTGCCGATGCCCTCTGATGCGTGTGCCTGTGCCGATGCCGATGCCGGTGCCGATGCCGATGCCTCTGCTCTGTGATGCGTGTGCCTCTGCCGGTGCTGCGTTTTACGGTAGAGAAGAAATTCATAGAATCTGAATCCGCAGGATGCATGATTGCTGTCAGTAGAAGGGACATCGAGCGTCGTTCTCGCTGGCACTCTAGCAGGCATGAACAACGCCACATTAGTCGCCCGGTCGGAGGTGCCGTATTGACGGGAAATAGGGACGATTCGGATTTTGACTGGGAAATGTCTGAGTTGTCGTGCAGCTCGATCACCGTGCAAGCTCGGGGTAGCACCAAACGACAAAGGCGGAGCTGTTTCTTGGCATTCGGATATGCAAGTTGGAAATTGGGTATGCCCGGGCACCTGTGCGTTCCCCATTGTTGGTAGCTGCGTTCACGGAGCAGGTCCACACAGCAGGTCCGTTCGCAGGTTCGCAGGCGCACCGCCACTGGAATGTGCCTGCAGAGTCGTTCGATTCCACGCCGCATCCGTCGCCGTTGCCTTGGTGCCGCAATCCATCGACCGCAGATGCATTCGCTGAGCATCCCCGTTCGATTGCGTGTCCTTTTTTGGAGCCACAGCAGGCGCCCTCTGTAGGCTTTATGCGCTGAAGGTCCTTAGAACCAAATATGATACCAGAAATAATGAAGCCTGATCAGCGATTCATGGCACGCAGAAGGTAAAGAGTGGGGTGGTTGTCGCTTCCCTGGCTGCCGATAGCCAACGTACACCCGCAGGATCCCTGGTTGTATTCATCGATCTCGCAACATACCAGAAACTCTGTGTCACAGCAGCAGCAGCAGCAGCAGCAGCGCCCGTTGGAGGGTTCGGAACGCGCCCATTGCGGAGCTCCTTGATGTGCGTACATCCACCGCATGCGCCTCCCGACGCTTCATGCCGCTGCCGTTGAGGCTGTGCAACACGAAACGAAGCTGCAGCTGCAGCGTCACTCGTGATGTCTAGTTGTGGACTGTCGGAGAGAGCGGCGGGGTTCATTCCTGCGGGGCCGGTCTCATGTTCTGCGCGACAGCTTTGTACACTTCGGGAGGTCTGCAAGCAGCATCCGCCTGGGCAGCAGGCGCTGGTGCCGCTCGCTTTGCGACACGGCCGAGCGAATGTTGCTCGTCACTTCGTGGTAGGCAGGCAAGGGCGGCCTCAGCTTAGGGACTTTTGGCTGCACATGGCCGTTTCTGCCGACCCGAGCGGGGATGGGGTGCCTGCTGAGGAGCCCGGCGCCCCGCAGCAGGCGAAGCCGAAGCGGTTTCCTCGTGGACGCTACGAGCAGATGCGCAAGTACAAAGTCATTCGGCAGGGTGTGACGCTCCCTGGCGGAAGACGACGCTGGCAGAAGGTTGCCATACCGCTGGAGCCGCGGCTACGCATCACTGGTGGCACGGCACGCGGGCGACGACTCGAGTCGCCACCCGTGTATGTACGTCCAGCCATGGCTCAGGTTCGGGAAGCGTGTTTTTCTATTCTGCGGGAGTTGCAAATTCTCCCATCACGACAGCCTGTTCGTTTTCTGGATCTTTTTTGTGGCGCAGGCACCATGGGCTTCGAAGCGTTGTCGCGAGGCGCTTCCTCGGCAGTCTTCGTTGATCGTTCCCCGGAGTGTTGCGCGTGCGTTCGGCGCAACATGAGCAAGCTGGGAGTGGGCGAAGGAATCGCTCTTGTCCGCGAGACAACTGTCGAGGAATACTTGGCGACAGCGCCGGATGGCGTGCTTCAAATCGTTGCGCTCACGCCGCCCTATGAGGAGATAAGTTACGACGAACTGCTGAGGACACTGAGTCAGAGCGCCGTGATTAGTGAACGAACAGTTGTTATGCTCGAGTACCCGTATGAACTGGGCTCGCTGCCGCCAGTGATCGAAAACCGGCTCATTGGGATGCGCAACCGTCGATACGGGCGCACCGTACTCGGAATGTACGCCTGCCAACCGGACCCCAACTGGGATATGCGGACCGAGGAATTCACGGACGCGTTTATTCGTCGTCGGCGGAACTACTTGACATCATAGGCCAAAACAGATGCCAAAGGCGCGCTGTCGAGTAACGAGGTCGTCGCCAGAATCGAGTTGTTGTGCCTCGTTGGGCACTGGAATGAGACCATAGCCCTTTCGCAACCTCGAAGAGCAGCGCATAGAGGCATGTATTTCCCAGGTACAAATACGCTGTACATCTACCGGAGCTGGAGCCGCGCTGTGCCTCGACCAGAAACGCAAGCGGTACTATGACGGACTCCAACGCATGGACACCGGCATTCTTGTGCGAGCGAATGCTTTTCAAAAGTTCTGGAGGGGATTTTGGGTACGCAGGCCTGTTGGATGAGGAGAGATGCACCGACTACCTGGTAGTCCGTACAAGTGTCCAGAGACGCATGGTAGTCTCTCTTCTGGCTGCCAGTGGCGTTTGCGCTTCTAGGCAATCCCATTTGCATGCATCGATCATACACGATAAGAATGAAACAAGTGCCTGGGCTGGTTCGCTGCTTGGCGAAAGCACCACTCGTCTGGATTGCTGATCATACCATACCAGTGCATTGGTTTAGGCGGGAACCAAGCGTCCTCTATCCTGACCATTGATTGTTGTCATCGCAGGCTTTCATTGTCTCAGTGTAACACCCATACTGAGTACAAATTGAAAGCCTCAAAGGTTCGCTTGTAACACAGTCGATAAACGCTCCGGAATCACGAGCCGTTTTCGGATATTATTGGAGGCGTTCGTGTCACGATGCGAAAACTGTGTGCACGCCTAGTTGCTGGTGGAACCGCATTATAACATGCCTCTCAACTTCGATTGCCTCACCATCCGACGATCGGTCAGCTTACCGTGCACCATGTAACCCATCTGGTTCTGTTTTACGCACTTCTTTGCCAGTATCAGCGCGCACCCGTGCTCGTGATTTGTATTCGCAGACCTGAAGTTATCGATGGGAATCGTGTAGAATCCATTCCTGCACTCGTTGCACACTCTGGTCGAATGAGATGGAGTGCAGCCGTTGCACGGTGCGGCACGGCCAGCGCCGTAGGCTACCTCAAAACGACGCTGCTTCTTCGTCTTTTCAGATTCATTGAACAAGTTGGTGAGTGCAAGCCTCCTGCCTTCGTACAACGGTGACCGGTGGATGCCCCGGCGCTGTCTCATATCCTCCCGCAAAAGATGCTCCACATAAGCGATTCGGACGCTGATCGATTCTCTGAATGAAGCCGACAACGTATGCTCGTCTGCTCGATACCGTGCTCAATGCGTCGAGGTGGGTCCCGACGCCGCCATTCTACCTGTTGAGATGCCTCGTGGAGTCCATCAGGCCCAACTCTCGAGAATGCCGATCCGTGGGAAAATTGAGAAGCAGTGCCCGCTTTCCGTTCAGATCTTCGGCTGCGTCGTGCTGATTCAGGGACAGGCAATAACCACGATATTCTCAAAAAAAACAGATCCACGCGAATTCGTGAGCGTTTCTTTTAGTCGATTTTGAACGGCTGAGAACGAGCGTCGTTACTCGGCACAGGCCGCGGCTTTACAGCTGCGTGCACACTGATATGCCTTGAGTCACCGTATTCCCTGTCAACGGATTTCCATTTCCTCCCTGAAAACGAGGATCCTTGAACGAGCTCCGCCAACGCACTTTGTGGAGTGCTCTGAATGTTCAATGATTGCTCGCAGAGACCAGCTGTGGCTCACTGAGCAATCCACATAGCACGAACGAGTCTTCGGTGATTCTACGAGCCTTGATGTTGCACGTCGAAACCAGTTCTAATACGCGCCTGAGGAGGGGATTACGTTCAGATTCGAGAATGGAGTTTGCTGCGCTCCGGAGGGCTCTGTTCAGGAGAAAGTAATTGTGCGAGATGCAAGCAAGTCGTGCATTGCGTTTCAAACATCCTTTGGACACGACCTCTGTCAGTTCGATGCCGACGACCACACAATGAGTTCCGACGAGCTACAGCGACGCTCGCTCACACTGCGGCATTTCTCCCGATCCCGGTACCAGCTCGCTCTCCGCCGCAACCAACTCGTCATTCGCCTTGATTGAAACCCCAAGAATCCCTTCCATTCGTCTCCACTTTTCTGGTCCTCTATGATGAAGCCCTAACGCCCACAAGGCGATTTTCATGAAGCGCTCTACATTGACCCCGTGCACGGTTATTGAGGATGGCTTGGTACTCGTTTGGCACTGTCGCTGCAGATCATCCCATCGCCTGGGTTGCGCGGCATCGCGTCTGGTTCTTCCGGAAAGCGTGTATGCAAATCTTTGAATTCATAATCAGGCTGTGTCCCGTCTTCTGTCACGAGCATCAGTTCTCAGACAAAGGACTGATCAACGTATTCCGGTGGAATATGGACGGCTTGCAGCCTTGCACAGAGAGCTCCGATCAACATTTGCCTGAGGAAGTGCGCCAACGCAAGGGTAGATGAACAAGTCCTGCTCGGGTAAGAAGTTACCCCATCTGAAATGGGGCCCTCCGTGCTACGTTTCGGAAGATTCTCTCTGTTGACATGTTTTAGTACAGGGGCAATGACAAAATGACTTCAGACCGGGCATTCCGCCTCGACAGTCTCTCCTTGTCGTCCTTCATCGTCGGCTTTTAAGAAGAGTCTTTCCCTTCATTGTCCCGTTGTTCCTTCTTCTTATACTTCTCCGCCTCCTTCTCTACTTGAAGGAATCGAATGCAGTCGGGCGCAGTACCTCATATCCGTTTCTGCTCTGGGTTTTAGACGCAGTGGGTAGACCACGGCACCGGAGCTGGCATTTGCTGTCTTCGTATCTAGTGCTTCTCAAGTACATTTGCGTCACCTTACGCGTCATGACCACGGACCGAAGTACACCTTGCTCGCTCTTTCTCGCACATGAGCGGAAACGAAACAGGGCAGTTAAGGGTTGGTGTAAATAGGGAGCAACTCGGCAAAGAACGGAGTGACGGATGCATACAACTCGAGAACTGGTGTGTGCGGGTAAAAATGACTCTTTACAGCAGAGGAACGCCTTCGGCTGGATTGAACCAGGTAGATTTCGGGGGCACAAAGAGCAGCTCAACGCCAACCTCAGCTGCATACTCTTTGATTTTTTCAGGGATAGAAATCGAAGTTGTTCAAGAACAGGCCAGAGGAATATGGAGCGGAGCAGCCGCGAAGGGCGCTTGTACGAAAGATGAGGAGCCGTGCGATCCTGTCTTTTATGGCGACTTGTACGCGAGCAAGCAACTGAATCGTTGCTAGGGCGGATGTCTTCGTCATTCTCGCTTGTCTCTTCTTTAGCAACTGCGGTTGACCTCTCTTTGTGTTCCCATATGCAGGTGTACCCTTTTCCACGAATCAGGTCCCCTGGCGTCTACATGTGTAGCTTAACGAAAACGTTTCACAACCATGGAGGATACATATCTACCCACTCGCAGACGCTTCCCGGGCTTTCCCGACTGAACGACTACTATCGGTTTCAGTTTTTATACGGGCATACTTCGAGCCTGGGAGGCTGCCCCTGGGATTTTGGATCGCGTCAGCTCCTTGGGTCTCGTCTTCAGCACCAAACATCGTCTGATATTGATGGCGGCGTTGGTGTCTCGGTCCATGAACTCATTACGTGCATTGGCGCTGGTTGAACTGATCAATGCGAGGAGTCCTCGAAATTGTGCCCTCTGTGCCATTACAGTCTCGTCATCGTCCCTTCAGGCACACACTTTTTCTGGTTTATCTCACCTCTTCTTCTTCTCTCGATCGTCGGCGAGGAGAGGATTCTACCCGAATAGAATCGGCAAATACTCGAACTCGAGGGGAATGGTGAAATGCCACGTTGTCCAATGGAAGGACATTGCCAGGTGTCGTGGAAAAAGTATTTGATGATTCCATGTCATGGGTGCTGTTTTATGAGCCATCTCGACGAGCGAAACTAATGTCGCCAAATGTATCCACCGCAGCTGTTACAGATGATGTCATGGTTCTCTTGGAGTTCGATCGGATATACAACGCGCTATTTGCTCCGCGAATACCCAGATGGGCTCCGATCGTCTCCTTCGAAGCAAGTCACATCAACTAAAACGAGAAAGCCGACGTCCCTGTACTTCATTCCGATCGCGACGTTCCAGTGATTCCGTAATTGCGATTGCGGTGGAAGATGTCCGTGAATGATCTATGACCTTCTTTACGACTGTATCCCAGTGTTTTCTGGACAATATGAACGAGCTGTTGACAAACGGAGATGCCTGTGGCGGCTACTGTCGTCGCTTTTCCTTCCCGGAAGGTGTGCAATGGGTCGTTTACCACGACAACCGGCAATCATTCTTAGAGAATATCGGTTTTTGGCGAGGGACGCATGTTCTTGGTTCTTTCAGTGTCTCTCAACTATCTGAGTACTGTGTTAGTACTGAAATGAGGAAAAAATGCAGTCCTCCTTGCAAAGTTCATTAAAGAATATATACTACAAGCGATCCGTCTACGATCTACACAGTGCATTCCATCGTGATTCCGACCTGCTGCTATACAACGCAACACTTGTGAAACAGAATTGAGTTCAAAGACTATAAAGCGTCCGCGTTGTAGTCCGAAGTGGATCGCGTACCGGTCAACGCGCAATGGCTTTTCATAGAGGCGCCCTTTCTTCCTTCGTCGATCTCTGCCGCTTCATCACCGTGCTTGTTAACGGTATGGACTCTTCGAATACGGTGGCCTTTTTGGTAGTCTTTCTCAGAGCACGTATGAAGTTGAATCGGTTATCGAGAAGGCCGTCGCCCACAAGCATTTTTATAAGTTCTACTCTGGATGCTCGAGCTTCACGATATGGACTGCACGAAGAGCGGCTCATCCGAGTGCAAATCGAAGAATGAAAGACTTGTAGAAGTTTCGGCATTTTCGCAAGCTAGCCGTCATCTCAAAGTCTTTCCGTCTCCTTTCCGCAATCCACAAAAACATTCTTTGTGTTGAATATCTAGCAGAAAACGATTCAAAAGGGCGTGCTTGGGCAGGTGTTCCAGAACCCATTGCACCCAGTATATAATCCACCGCTACGAACGTCCTCTTACTTTATGTAACATCATCTCCGAGGCACTTACAAAGAAAGCGCATCAAGTCTTTCAACGTTGATCAGGATTGGCTGCTATGAACTATCAAAAGCGCTGCTTCACTGAACGAACGGAAAATTGGAAGAATCATTCGATCAGCCAACGAGCCAGAACGTCTCTGAAAACGATCGTTGGTTCTGTACCCGCTCATACCAGCAGGCCTGAACGCCGCAGCGTTCAACGGCACTGAGGTGCTCCTAAACTGGAAACTGTCTGGACTAGTGGGCGCATGAGTTTTGCTGGCGCGAAACTTGGAGACCTGCCGGAGGACATTTGGCGCTCAATTGTTCTCAAACTAGATGGCCGCACTGCAGCAAACTTGCAGCGCACCGCACGCTTTCTCCAAAACGTGCTCGACGATTCTGCCCTATGGCATACGCTGTATGCTCGGGACTTTGGATTTTCAGTCCTTCCACCTGCAAGAGTGCTTGCGACCGGGTTTCTGGACTGGAAAGGGGCGTATGGCTTGCGCTTTCTGCGTGAGCAACGACGTAAGGACCAACTCAGGGGGTCGACTGCGTTGACGCTTTACAAGTTGCTGGACCAAGAGAGAACACACCTGAACAGTCGAGAGCATACTGAAGCAGAAGCCTGCGCGCCACTTTGCAAAGAGGGTTGGCGCGGCACTATTCATCGGTACGACTGGAAAGCTTTCCAGCGCACTCGTCGCAGGGTCGTGGAACCCGAGTGACAACCGCCTTCGAGCGGGCTGTGCAGCCTGGCCTCCGAACCTGTCACCAGCGGACAAAGCGGTTCCACTGGAAGTGATGCTCGTGGAGGCCGCCTTAAGCGCTAATGAAACCACATCCACTTGAGGGTCGGGTCGGGTCGGGTCGGGTCGGGTCGGGTCGGGTCAGTGAAGTCACATGAAGGCGCCCACTGACGTCAGCTATCGATGCTGCCCAGTCAAGCCGGCGGCCAATAGACTCAATGCCCTTCGGTGTCTTTATGCCCTTCCAAGCTGTGAAGCGCGTCATAATTTGGAATGTATGGCTTCACGTCCACGACCTGCAGCGCTGGCTCTGTGCTCGCGCCTTGTCCTAGTGTTTCCAACGTGCGCAAATGAAGAATGCATTCGTCAGCAGGCAGCCGCTCAACCCTTAGCAAGTTGTATAGCCGGAGATGCAGGCTGTGGGTGACGAAAGGCGTTGTCGGCGCTTCGCCGGCACTACCCCAGAGCTCATGGGCCTCAAGCACCCACACAGCGTCGAAGCCGTCGATGCCACGTAAACCTCGTGCATAAGCTCTAGAAACGTGCAACTTGTAGAGCGCAGAACTGTCGCGCTCCCCGACGCGCTGGAGCAGTCCGATGCAACGGAAGGCTATCCGCCCCTCATGGTGCGTGCAGGGGTCGCTAAGATCCCGAAACTTGGACTTGAAGTCGGCAGCCTTGCGTGCTCTTTCGTGCCACTGGCGTTTTGCTTCCACCTCCTCCTGCCGTGCACGCTTCAATGCCAGCTCTGCGTCCCGCCTTTCGCGTAGCAGCTCCATATACGTTGCAGCTGCCGCAGTTAGAGCAGTGTCATCGCCGCCGAAGTACTGGTATGCCATACCCGCGTCTGACGCGGACGCGCGATCGGTTAACCGGCTAAGAACGCAGCGACGGAGCCACGGCGCCACTTTGCTCAAGAACGAAACCCTAAAACCGAATAAAAATGGATCTCGAGCCACTTTAGCCGCCTAGAGTTGTTTCAATAAGTCTGAGAGGCGTTCCGCTTTCGCGTTCCTTTAGGAAACGAACGAACGCCGCTCCATACCGGGACCAGCGTAAGTCTACACCATAGCGATTGTCGGCAACGAGCGCTGATAGCATCGCAGGCGGCATTGGCTCGTCGGACTGCAGGCGACTGCGGTGAACATGCGCTAGAATCTGCCAGGTAGCATGATATCTGGGGCGAGCGCCTATGAGCTCCAGCGGCAGCAACGCATAGAGAGGAACAAAGAACTCTTACACCAGTTTGGTATTCACGATCTGGGCTTGCAGCGCGTTCGGAGCGTGACTTTGGCCAAAAGGCCGTGCAAGGCAGCGTGCGAAGCGTCGCCCTCGCACGTACTCGAGGACAATCCAGAGGCAAACGCAGAGTCCACAGAGACCCGGAACACGAGTTTCACTCTGCGTCGGTCCACACGGCTACGGGAACGCGAACTGGTGGCGTGCACCAACCAGGAGCAGCCATTGAACTCCCGTATCGTTGCCCGCCTACATGGCGTCCGTTGCAAGCGTTTGCGCACGTCCGTGTCGGATCCACGAGAGACGGCTTCTGTAAGCCTGTCGGCAAGCAACTCCACAAAATACTTGAACTGCGACGTCGACAAGCTTTCTACATACCTGGGAGGATTCGTTCCGGTACCACCGCGTCTGGGAGGCCAAGTAAAACGCTCCGTCATCGAAGCTGCATGCGCAGCTGCCGTGCGGCCAGTTTTCAACCGCATGTCAGGTATCTGTGAATGGTGGAATGCAGTGATGTTGTTTGTAAACCTGCCCGCTGGTGACCGTGCGCTGCAAAATGACAAACCGTCGATTCCGAATGCTTCGCTGGGCCGCGGCTACGTGAATGTGTTTTATGGATCTGGTGAGTACATCGTCTGGTACGCGCAGCGCACCCAAGACCCTGAACACCCGACATTGCGCAGACTGATTGTTGATAGCGAACGCCGTGGTGCATCAGAAACCAATATACTGCTCTTTTGTCGTATGCCCAAGCCGTACGACTCGCACTATCTCTACTGCGGACGGCTTCGTTATGTAGAGCATAGCAACAAAACCCATCCAATTCGCTTCAATTTCCAACTGATGGACTTTGCATCGCTCATCGAGCCGAAGTCTTCATGTGGAACTCCCGCGTCCGCGTATAGCACAGCAATTAGGGGCGACTATGCTGCTGCGTGGGAGCTCGCTTCACGGCGCTAGATACGTTTCGGTAACAGCGACCCGCAACGCCATCATCCTGAAGCTGGGAAAAGCAGTGCGACCCTTCGGATATTGGCGGTGAAGCCGTGCCTCGCGCACCGTTCAGTCATGCGTAGGAACATACTCCATACAAGGGGCGGAGTCCGCGCTTACGCTGCACATATACGGGCTGATCCAAGGCACGAGCTCCCGTGCGCGGCTTCCGCTGCCATGCGTTGAGCGCTGCATCACCGTGCCAGTGGCAGCGTCAAGCGGCTCAGGAGTTGTTCTTTTCAGAAGCGGCAGCAGCGGCTGATATGGACTTTACTGGATCATCGAGCAGTGCCGACTCCAGTGTTACGCGCGAGGCCACTTTACCGTCCTTCCAGGTCGCCTTTATCATCGAGTAGCCCGCTCGGGAAAGCGCCTTCGTACGCTCAGGTTCTTTCAGAACACGACGCACATACTCCGCACAAACATTTGCATATTGTAAATACGAAAGTCCAGCAACGCGCCAGTACTGAGGCATCCTGTTCGCAGGACGTGTATTCCCGTTCTCGAACTCGATATGGAGCAACGATAGCGCATGCGCAGCGCGGGCAGGGATGCTGATGACGCCGCACCGGCCGAGGCCCTCTGCGCGTTTCGCGAGCAGAAACGGCGGTACGCGGCGCATGTCCGTGATGTACCTAAAAGTCGTGCTTGCGATTACCGCCTTTCGGAACGATAAGGTACTGCGATGCGGCCGAATTTGTAATTTATAGAAACGAGTAGTTTAGCGCTCTCTTTGAAGCATTGCAGCAAGCGACACAGAGCAACGCGGACATCCAGTTGAGAACCATGAAAAACGCCCATTGCGCGAATACGGGCGTGCATACTAAAGTTTGGGTCTCTTTCCACGATTATCAATACCAGCGTTTGTGGACTTGGTTATGCGACTGCTTCATTTGCTTGTCTCTTATCTCAGGGTTATTTTACGCAGGTCTCTTCTGTCTATCCAGATTCATTGTTTGCTGGCAAAAGATAAAGGAGACAATGTTCAAGTCGTGGTTTTGGTACTTCCGGATGTTGTTCAGGCATTTGATTCAGAGACGGAAGCTGCAATCCATGCTTCGCTTCCCATTTTCATCTTCTTCGTATTGAGCCTGGATACACTATTTGCACTCTCAATACGTGAGCGTGATCAGGTGTTCCCATAAGTCCGCTGCAATATCCCCTACTCTGAGCACCGCTTTGCGGTAGGTGAAAGCGTGCTGCGGTGCTCGATACATTCCCGTGACGGGAATTGAGGGATGTCGTCGGTGTCCTCCTTCGTTTCCGCGCCAGGTGCCGCACCCTAAACGATAAAAAATTCTGTAAGGCGATACCCTCGACCAGTACTCTGTCTGCTACTCACGATAGCGTATGCTGTTCCGTTGGATACAGGAATTGTATAACACGATATTGTCCACGATAATACGAGCACCAGAAGGAAAACCCAGGCAGGGAAACAAGTCGAGAAAGCTCGAGCCATGCACGCCTCCGCGAAACAGAGTGGCGCAGCCTACACCGGAGGCGATCGCTGCGATGACAGGTCCGAGTCCAGCACCCTTCTCCATCCAAACAGAAGAGATGTAAGCCTCTGGGAGCATATCCAGTAAGACTTATGATGTAGGTGATGAATTCCATTTCGTCGATGACCATAAACATAGGAGGATTCATTTTTCAAACGGAATCAATCACTTGTCGTGGCATTTTCAGTCACTTTTCGTCATCAGCTTGTGAACAAGTTTTCAATAGGCGACATCGAGATTCGTTGCTCCTCAGTTCAGCGGCGTCAGTCGCTGCGCCCTCGAATTACCGTCAAACAGAAAGGCTGGCAGGTTGAGAAATGCGTGGTTTGTGCATGCTACATTTGAGAAAATGCGAAGATTTGAGTCTTTTACGTATGAATGGGATAATGATATCCGTCATTTTAGGAACCCGCGTTCGAATACATCGCGAGTCATCTTGGTGGCGGTGAAGGAATAAATTCCAGCCGCAACGCGTCGAAGGAGCATCTCCGAAAAAAACGAAAGAGAACCCAGCAACCTCGTACAAGTGTATAAACTCTTACTGATGATCTTCGAACGTCAATAACCTAGGTCTAAGAAAAAATTCGAAAATAAAAAATCCAGGCAGAGTGCGCTTCGTTCTTTTTCTATTTTAACCTGAGATGAGTGTGGTAGCGCGTGTGCATCTCGCAGGCATAGCGGCCGGGCGTGCGCAAAAGCCCACACATCATTCGGAATTAAGTTGGAAAGAACACTTGGGGCCCACATGCAAGCAACTCTGAGGACATTTCAACGGGCGCAGCATGTTTGAACCACTGCTGGATGCGCGCGAGGTCAGGTCCTGATTGGCGGGCGCTCGCTAACCTCAGCGCAGCACGCTCGGCGCAAGGCAAGCCAAGGCGCAACCAGAACCACACAACCAATCCATATGCTCAGAGGACGTACCACGTGTGGGCATTCGACCGGACCCGGCATCTGGAGCAGTATCCGCCATAGGTGCACGAGTCTCTTGGGCGCGGCGTGTTCGGAGACCTCCCTGAAAGCCTCCATCCCATACGACACCCTCGCCGGCTTCCGTCCCTGCTCCGCAATTTCCGTATCCAGCGCTCAAGGCAGCAATGTTGGCATCGGCACGTATCCCTCGTGCTTCGCTGCCAGGCGACCACTCAATTTCACCACTCTTTCTACGGAATCGATGTCGCGTCATCGCTACGAGGCCCGAGGTCGCTGCTCTTTAAGCATACCCGAAAGCTGCCTCTCTACGCATACGCACAGCATGCACTTCGTCGGTATAACTACATCGAACATAAAAAGCTTTCGCAATACAGCATTAGATGTATTTAGGACCCACTTGAAACACCATTGGGTGGTGTTCATGCGGCGAGAGTCCGCGGCCATTGCGCCCTATATCTGCGCCGCCCGTGCATCGACCAGGTTACGAAACGCGTTCCGCAGCGTCTCCATATCGTCTCCGCTTGCCGAGCATCGAAACACCGCCTGCCGGAGTCGACGAAGACTCGACCTCAATGCCAAGCGTGCATGTTTGCTCTCTAGGAGCCCAGATTGAGCGGCATCCGTGAGATAGATCAGCACCGCATGACGGTAGTCGCCCACGTCGCAGGCGAGTTCCATCATCGTGCGGAATATCTGCACTTGCTGCGACGCTAAGGAATTCGTACCGTCTTCGGAAGTTTCCGCAGTGCGTCGTTCCCGAGCAAGCTCCGCCCTGAGCGCTTGGTAGAGCCAGTGTGCCACTTGGAGATTCTTACAGCGCCTGCACGCAGAAAGCAGCGCACTCGCCGTACGCAGCCGCGGCTCAAAGCCGCCGGCTCGCATATCTCTCCAGACTCCGAACGCTCGATCAAGGCGCTTGATGCGCGCCCAGGCGTCGATAAGAGCACAGTACGCTGACTCCGATGGAGCAACGCCATTCGACTTCATCAAGTCCAGAACCGCCATTGCGTACTCTGGTTGGCCACTGCGTCCACAGGCATTCATGAGATTCACGTAAATGGGATGCGTGGGATCCCTACCCCAGGCCCGCATCTCCCGGAGAAGTGCAAAGCCGCTTAAATAGTCCCCATCCGCCGCACAGAGCTCCATCAAGTTGGCAAACACCGCAGTCGTCGGAGCAAGGCCACGGCGTCGCATGAGTCCGCGAACAGCGAACGCGAGGCGACGGTCTCCAGAGCGGGCAACTGCCGCGAGCAGAGCTCCGTACACCGCACTGTCTATCTGCTCGCCCTTGCGCTCGATTTCTTCAAAGACGTGCAGCGCGAGCTCCGTGTTACTGCACCTAGCGCAGGCATCCAGAAGAGCGCAGTATGTATGGGTATCCGGCGAAAAGTTGTCAGGAGGACTCTGTAGGCGTTCGAAAAACTCAAACGCCTTGTCCAGACGCAGGGTCCGTGCGCAGCCCCCAATAAGTATATTGTACATCACAAGGGTAGGATGCACTCGACTAGCGCGTTGATGCCGACCGCCGCAGGGTGCTCCATCCTGGGCGGCCCCACGAACCACATAGTTCTCAAATATATCGATGGCGGTATCAATGCGCTTCGCCTTGCAGAGGGCGTCTAGCACGAGGGTATACGTGCGATTGTCACGTGGAATATTTCGCGACTCCATCAGTTCGAGGACCTCCTCCAGCTCGTCGAGGAAACGCAGCCCCGCGAGGCAGCTCAGCAGATCGTTCATGTCATTGGTAGTCACGAGTCTTTCGGTGCCCGCTTCTCCCAGAAGCGCGATGGCACCCTCCAGGGTCGAGCGGAGACGACTCGTGAGCCTCTCGCGTCGATTCCACCGTTCAGCGTTGCACTCCGATACCTCTCGAAGTGCGAGACTTAGCATCCCTCGAAACTGAGCATAATACATTCGGGCCAGCCTGAAGACTTCCTCATCCGTTGCGGAGTCATGGGCATCTTTCGCGAGCCGCTCTGGCAGGGCGCGCGATGCCGGAGGCTGCTCCGGCTCGGGGGTCGCTATCCCGACACGTGTCCCGTTCCCAGTTCGCCGTCGATAGCGTTTCCCAGGGCGCATCGATGCTTGCGACACAGGCTGCTCGGGGCCGATTCGTGCATCTTCGCGCGCGCGCTGCGTGTCGTTGCCAGGCACATCCATGCGCATTTGCGTGCGTGACGCTGGGCGCAAGCGCTGCTGCATCCGCCCATACGCATCGCGTGTGTCCAGGGTACGATCGTCGTTGGCATGCTCGACTTCCGACAATTCTGAGAGGATTTCTCGATCCTCGGTAGCGTGGTGCGCGGACTCCTGGGCTTTGATATCTCTTTCAGAGGGGTCTTTTGCACTCCCTCGTATCGGGTTTGGCGTATCAGAGTTGAGTTGTTGTTCGGGTCTGTATTCATTCGCTCCATCAACCGGGTCGTACGCGCTATCATCTGACCAAGTCCACTCTTCCGCGTGAACGGAAACAGTGCTCCTTCTGTGTACGGCAGTGGGCGGACACACTGACCTTTTCTCAGGGCTGTCCACGCCTGAGGTATTGATGCCTGCAAGGCGTTCTTGGCCGTTTTGATTAAAGTCCGCGCCTCCGGGCTGAGAAGCGAGCCGATCTCGCGGGCTTTGTGTGAGGCAGTCAGCAGCCGGCCCAAAACTCGATGCACGCCTGGGCTGGGTGGAGCGAACCGCGTCCGACGGTTCGTTAGGTTCAACGAGCTGCCACTGACTGTCGGGCGCTAGGGCCTCATCCTTAAGTGCGAAATCCGCACTTTTCAGATCGTGCACTGACTGACGCTGCGCTACCTCTTCTACAAATTCCCTTATTTTCGACAAAAGCTCTGTCCTCAAAGGCTGTGGAAGCTTACCTACGGTTTCAGCTTCGCTCACGTCGCGCTCTAACGCCTCCCACAGCAACCTTTCGTGGTCGCCTGAGGTTCCTGTGCGGTCTGTTCCACCAAGTTGCACCAGTCGTGGGTCCGTCTCGCCCGAGTGCGACGCCCGCACCGACCAGGAGCCACGGCCTCTACGCCACGACAGCTTCCGGGTCCGCTCGCAGCGAAGAGGCCTCCCTTTAGGAGACGCCGTCCAACTCCATAGCTTGCCGTTGAGCGGAAACGCGCCACTTTGCAAGAAAGCAACCATGCGCCCGTCAACAAAGCCACACAACTTTCACAAACGCTCAGTGAAACGAAAACTTTCTCTCGGCCGTGTTGGATAAATTCATACCAACGCGCAGGCGCCTTACGGCCTATTTTGACTGGCCCGCTGCTATCGTCTTCAGCTACTTGTACACTTCGACCCTGATAGGCTGCACGACAAAGTTGGATCGCGTCAGCTCCTGGGGTCTCTTCTCCAGCACCGCACATTTCCTGATATTGGTGGCGGCGTTGAAGTCTCGATTCACCGACTCTTTCCAGCATTGCCGCTGGCTGTACTCAAATATGCAAGGATTCCCCGAACTCGTGCCCTCCGTTCCATTTGCTCTTCTGTCCGCTCTCCGGACTTTTCTGTCTCCGAAACGCTCGGCTGGCTTCTGTCCGTATCGACCTTCTGAAGTGTACACTCCAGCCCATCGAGCACGTACGCTATTCGGAACTCATGTATCGATATTGTGACAAAACGCAGTGCGCACTCCATGTCCGCTCGTGCCGATAGAGCTCGTATGCTCCCTTTTTTGGACGCCCAGTTCCCTGCTCCGTGTGCCAATAAAAGCCTTTGACTCTTGTCCTCCTTGAGGGCGGTCAACAGATTAAGGAAGTCGGCGAGTGCGTGCTGCTTCAGTCTGTACAGGTTCATACGCTGACGAGCCCAACGCGGCTTTGTGTACTCTTTCCGCAGCTCCTCGTAATGAGCAGCTTGGGTTTCCATGAATTCCGGAAAAACTCGAAAGTACACTCCGCGGAGCGTTACATTGCTGATCGCTTCCAGATGCTCCTTTACTCCTGAGTTCCATATCTCAATTAGTTTCCTCGCATTAAATACCCCAGAATCTCTGTAATATTTCGCTCTCGATAGCTTTAAAAGATGCATGTCTTTTTGGCATAAGTTGCCGTCGATACCATCCTCCCCACACTTGGACACAGCGATGCTCATGATATCCTTGTTCTCCGGGCCCACGCCGACGACAAAGTTGTTCTCCGGGGGATTATACGTTCCAGGGCCCGCCTTCTTCTTTTTGTGCTTCGCCGAGGGCGAAGCCGACGACGGAACTGGACAATCTGCCGTTAAGCGCTGATAGTGCACACGCATGGCTAATACATCGGTTTCGATCGCCCCGTGCGTACCCTTTTCTTGCTCGTGTTGAAACGCTTGAATCGAATCTATTTCTCCAATAAGTTTCCCGGTTTTGACCTGTAAACTCCTTGTTGCTGATAAAGAACTCCGGACACATATCCCTCATAATACCGTAAAGGACGCTGGAATCGATACTCATGAAACATGACTTTATGTTGCACAACAGAACGACGCCGAAGCGCTTCCCAAGTAGGGAAACCTTCCGTTCCACCGACTCTGCTTTTTCTTCCGCACGCTGCTCCATATCGGGCTTGCGTTCGAGCTCTCGGTTCAGGAGGACGAAACAGCGCAGGATGAGGGGATAGCGTCTTTTTTGTATCTGTTACCTTTTCTGTTGGATTTACAAGACCCAAGACCGCACGGTGCTCATGAATAGTCGCGCGGATTACAGAAGCTTCATTCTTTCTCTTGCGTGGCGTCTTCTTACCGACAATTTCGATCTCCTCTTCGTTCCGACGATCGTTCATGCTGACATCGATGATGGCCCATGTCCGCTTGCGAGACAGGCCAGGGAAGAACGCAAAGATGGAGCGTATCATGAAGCGTTTGAGGTTCACGGTCATATGGCTCTTCAGGTTCGTGATGTTGTCCATCACGCCGTATTCGTAGATTCGCCAGTGTCCCTATATCTAGTACCGTTGAAGCGTTATTCAGCATGATTTTCGTGCGGGGCTTGCACTCGCTCATTTCTCCTCGACATTTCCCCTGTGCCAACCATCAGGTAACGAATAAAGGTCCTGTCGAAAAATTCCCCCGAAACCTCGACTGTTTTGATCTCCGTCACGTCGTGATCCATCTCCCTCACCAAACGGATTATTCCTGGAGAAGCGATACAAACACTCGTAGAGTACGACGCGATACGGTTTCTGATGGCCTCTTGCATATTTCGCTTGTGCGGATCATTGATATGTCGATGAAGACTGGCTTCCACTACAATCTCTTCACAGTCTAGCCTTTCGAATTGCTGTTGACGTCGGACCTCCTGCTTTTGCCTCTTCATCTTCTCTTGGTCCTCTGAGCTCGGCATTGTATTCCGTGCTTTTTCCAGCAGGCGCCGACATCGACCCTCCAGGATCCTAGACTTCCATGTCCGTACCGCTCCTTTGGAATTTGTACTTCTTTTAAATGAACGCACTTGTGCCGAATCTGCTATAAACTGCGAAAAGCATTTGATAACAAGAACCCCGGGGATGGAACACAATGGAGATGAAAGACTGTACCACAACAACATCCTGTATCGCCCGTCAATCCATTCAGATGTGCAGCACGGCGGCGGCGGCGGCGGCGACTTCCAGCTGAGCACCGTCGCGACCCGGTGCACGTTCGCAGTTCATTCCGAGAAAACTCTCCTCGATTCGCTGCTGCAAGCGGTGACACCGTTGGAGTTTCTCTGAGCTGCGCAGAGATACGCGTTTATTTTTGTGCTTATGATTGGTTTTGCGTATCCCGGTGCCTGGAGTCTGTGTCCCTCGGTTGCCGTGGCAGCGAGATCAAGCTCCAGGGTCGATGCTAAGGGCACCGGCAGGCGACGCCGTGGCGCGACGGCACCGCTGATAACGCTCCAGGAGTCGTCTTCGATACCGTCCAGCGATTCAGGCGAGTCGCATGCGGATATTCCCAGCGTGCTTCCTATGCGGCCGCGGAAGACACAGGAGCAGCTTAAGGCTGAGCTGAGGGCAATCAGCGAACGAAGGGAGCGGATGCGCAAGCAGGCGATGAAAGCACTGGACGATTTGCGCTCACAGCTCGACGAGCTGCTGCAAGAGGTGCGGGCAAAGATGCGCCCAGAAGAGGGCAAGGCGGCGTCCGGACAAGAGGCAGTTCGCGCGCAAGTCGGAAGGAAAGTTGCGGTCTCCGATGCGGAGCTGTTTGTCGAGCCCGAGCAGGACACTACCGGCTGGTACCAGCTTCCTCGGACGGGCCTGAACGATGCCGGTGACGACTATGCAAACAGCGTAACCTACACAGCAGCGTCGACTCCAAATCTGGACGAAATGGGGCAGCAACTGCAAGGCGATGAATACTCTGCTCCTGCCATGGAGCTCCCAATCCAGAAAAGTGAGCCTGCGCAAATGATCGTGGAGTGCGATATCAATGGCTGCTGCTCGCTTATAGTACGCGATGGCGATCATTCGGCACCGCGAGGCGTACGTCCCCAGTATGTTTTCAGCGGGCCAGGTTTCAAGATCGGCCACGATCCCGCGGCACCGCCGTCTGACTGTGCTCTCGTGGGCGATGATCATTGGACGATTGCACTCTCGCGCGAGGAATTCCGGCATTTTCGGAGGCTGGTGCAGGCCCTACAGTACAAAATGGGCGATATAATGAATGGCGTGGCGTCGAAACCCACCGCGCAAGGTGTACCCGTGCATTCGGGGGATGGGTTTTGTAAGGAGCGAATTTCGTGGAACGCGTCTGACGGAGAAAGCAGCAGAATTGTTGCCGAGTTCGAGAGCAGTTTGATGTGGCTAGGCGCCTCGGGCAGCCCCTACAGTTACGACCTACGCTTGATCCTGCTCGGTAGGGAGCGAATCGTCGAGGGTCTCTGGCCTGCACAGGTTGTGCCGTCCTTGTGCGCGAAGCTGATGGAGCTGGAAGAGCCCGAAGCGCTTATGTAATCGCGATTAACGCACCACTTCCTGGCAATCATAAAGTCGAGATGAAATCGGAACCATTGATCTTCGATTAAATGTTCAATTCCCGCGGACCTGTCTAATCCTAGTGACGCATCGACGTCCGGTGGGCCCTGGACAGTCGCTAGTAGCTCTGGATGTGCTCGGGAGCCTCGCTTCAGCGCGTATCTCGTGTATAGAGCTCGGGCTGCGGTGCAGCACGCTGGAGCGTAGCGCTCTTCTCAGGTTCCTATCTGTGTACTTGACGCGAAATGTCCAGCAAAGACTTATTTGGATCTGCTGTGTTGCATTGCGGTTCGCTGGAGTGGAGTGCTCTTGTCAGGTTCCTAACTGTGCAACTGACGCGAAATGTCTTGCAAAGACTCTACCTGTATCTGATGTGCTGTATCGCCGCAGGTTGGAGCGGAGCACTCTTTTCAGTTTCCTACCTGTGCACTTGACGCGAAATGTCCTGCAAATATTGTATCTGGATCTGCTGTGCTGCATCGCCGCAGGTTGGAGTGGAGCATTCCATCCAGTTTCCTACTCGTGCAACAGATGCTAAGTGCTCTGTAGTTACGCTTTATGGATCTGCAGCGAGCACGGAAGCCCCGAGGAGCGGTTTACAATCCGGAGATCGTTCAGGTGCGCCATTTGGGTCATTGCAAGACCTCGTCATGCCCAGCGCCTTCTGTCGCATATATGAAACAGCCGAAAATGGAGCCTGCAATCATCTACACACACTGCGTATTCCAGGATCGTGACCAAGCAGCGTGTCGTTCGGAATCAGCCTCCGGCAAGGAGCCTCTCACGTCGAGGGCATTGCAATGAAGGCAGCTTCCACAATCGCACTAATTTGACTTATTACAGACGGAAACAAACATACTTATGACTCTAAGCGCCTGTGCAAGAGAAAACAAGTCACAGACGCCAGCACAGGCGAACATTTCGGGAGCATAACTTCTTCGTGAACCTATCCCAAACAGGTTGCGTACTTCTAGCGGCATGCGGCACGGAGCACGTTCAAGAACTGCATCCTAGTGAGCCGTCATCTTAATCCAGCATTTCTGACAGCACTTTACAGAATTCATGCATGGGCAGCCCCATGACGCAGAAGAAGTCGCCTTCGATCCGACGAACCAGAGCACCACCGTATCCTTGGATGCCGTAGGCGCCGGACTTGTCCATGGGTTCCCCAGTCCGAATATATGCCCAGGTCTCTTCGGGCGTCAGTTCCGCAAACTCAACCTCAGTTTCCATGTGGAAGGTACGGCTCTCTAGGTTAATGACATTCAGCACTGTAACCGCGGAGATGACCAAGTGCTTGCGTCCCGATAGAAGCTGGAGCATTCGAAAGGCGTCGCCTTCGTCCGTTGGCTTCTCCAGTATATGCCCGTCCAGGACGACGATCGTATCGCTGCTCACGATAAAGTCCGGTTTCAGCGGCTCCGTTTCCACTTTCAACGCGTTCCGGTCTTTCAGCTTTTCCAAGACCGCGAATGCTTTTCGTCGGGAGTTCTCTTCTGCGTATGCCGCTGGCGTTACAAAGACTCCTTTGTCAAGAGACTCCTCATCGAATCCGGACGGCACGACGACAGGCTCTAAACCTAGTAGACGCAAGATCTCTCTCCTTCGTGGCGATTGACTCGCTAGCAAGATAGTTTTCTTCCGCAAGTACTCCAGTTTATGCAAGATCATGCCCACGCGCCTACAGTCGCTCACCTTTCCAAGAACGTGCAAAGGAGGTTCTTTGCAGCTCGCTGCGTACGGCTCAAGGGCACTGCCAGCTGCAACAGCACTGGGATGCTGGCGCTACCGCTCCGTCGACGTGGAATGTACTTGTTTGTACGCTTTCGAGCTCGCTGCTAACGCAAGACCCTCGTTTTGGAGGCCTTCATCGATACGTAAATGGAAGCTGGGAGCCAGCAATGGTCGCAGAGCCAGCCGGCTGCTCTCGCAGAAGCGCTGTCCCGGCTAGAAACTCGCGGTGAGCTGGTTACAGAAGACATCTTGAGCGCTTTCTGCTTCCTGCCCAGAGTGGCGCGTGCCTTAGAGCTTGCACTCGACACCCTGCACGTAGACACCGTACCGGAGTTGGAACTTGCTCGTGAACAATCTGGTAGAGAACCCTCGGATGGAGACGAACGTGCAGATGACGCTGCTTCTTGGCAGCAACGTGCTGACGAGGTCAGCGCTCTGATGCTGCGGGAAAAGCGTCGGGAGTTGGAGCGACTGAAGGATGCGCTTCTGCTCGAATATTTTCCGAGAATGAAGAAAGTTGTAAGCTCCTGTTTCGGGGGCAGCGAACTCTCAGAACTACGCCTGCAGGATAGCATAGCTAGCCTCGAGCAGCGGCTTGCTGAACTACGCGCTGAGCGTCTCATTCTCATGCAAGAGATGCATGCAGTCAGGGACCCACAGCCCGAAATCCAGTGTGCTCTGATGGATGCAGGAGATAACCCTCCGGCAACAAAACTAGCGAAATACCCCAGACACTGAGCGATACGCTGACGGAGCTAGCACCAACGCCTCCGACATTGCAACGATCCATTGGAGTGTTGTGACAGAAGGCGGAACCCCGCGCTACTGGACACCCAGTAGCTGCCGGGTACAGTGCCTCAAATTATCCGCCTCTGCGAATACTTCCGCGACTGTGACGATGCATCCTTGAATAGGTGAGGTCCAGGAACGCCAAACTGAGCAGTGCATGCGCACGATACCACTTCTTCGTGGCTAACCTCTCGGAGGTTGCAAGTAAGGCAGAGGACCGCAATTGACGGACACACAAAATAATGACATCGATATACACAAGGCATACTGCTAAGCGGTCGCCTCTATGCACCGCGAGATGAGGAACCTCTCGTGCATGTATGTAGAGTTTGCAGTGCTGAAAGCATGCGACAATGTGCATGCCTGCATATATAGCTCAAAGTGAATCTTCCAGGCATGTAAAAGCATGCGACAATGTGCATGCCTGCATATTCTGCACAAACAGATCCGTTTAGAATGACGGTGGAGAACGGCTGCGGGGAGCATTTGCATCGGCTACGGGAAGGCGCCCAAACACCTTGAGGGAGCAGCAGTCTTGTCGGCGAAGCGTTGCCCTGACGGTTGCATACACGTTCCCTGAGTAATACTCGTACGTGCTCTAGCGACGCTAACGGCTATCGGCGCTCGCCCAGGGCACCACGAACCGAAGAGCGAACCTATGGACAGAGGACCCGTTACGCAAAGCGAACATCAAGCAGAGCGCCCTTGAAGCGGCGCACCACGACAGCGCCAGCCACGCGAGCCCCACACGCTAGGTTCGGTTCCCCAACACCTCTGAAAAATAGTTGCAAGCCATGTCAGCATTCGGGTAACGAGACACGCCCGAACCCGTGAGCAGCTACCCGCTATGTGTTTTCCACGCGTGGTCAGTGTAGAGCTCCCAGTACCGAACACCTTATTGTGTGTTTTTGATCCGGTTCTGGTGATACTTGTACCCTAAACGGCTCCATAAAGTCTCTTCATTAAATGGTGGAACTCAAAAGCTCCACGATACTGAAACACAGCAAAATTTAATAACGCTTTCCCAAACGGCTTCTTAACGCAGCTTCCTGTCCAGTCCAGGAAGCGCAGCGCATTACTCGCGGTTGCTCTCACGCGCATTCGTAGCTGAAGCACACCCGTACGCATTCGTAAGCACTTGTATAGGTACCAGACTGAGCTCCCACAACTCTGAAAGTTTGCGGAGACGTTCAGGACGCTCGGTGCCCTGCTAGGAAACGCTGTAGGCGCTCCGCTGGCTACGAGAGAACACGAGCCAGCGGCTTGGCCTCTGACAAAGGTGGCGGACTGATCGCCCTACGGCGACTGGGCACTTGGGAGCTGCCTGCTTTTGGTACGGAACTCACGAGATGCGCAGCGGAGGACCGGACGCTGCTGGCATGGAAGCTCGTCGAACACGAAATGGCAGAAAGGAGCTGTCCCAGGTGCCGAAAGCTTTCGTAAACCAGAGTCTGCACATCTGCTCAGAAACGGAGCCGGACACGACGAGCGGCTCGGACACGGACGACACCGCCGAAACGAACGAGCACAGGCGCCAGCCGGAAGTCGAAACACCTTATTCGGCACGCAAGTTGCACACACGTACTGCTGAACACGCTTGGGAAGCTGGCGAAAGCACGCCTCCTGGCAGCCTCCGCAGACAGGCGCTCCCCTGGGAGCAGAGGCGCGTTCGGAGCCGACCAGTCGACACAGCAACCGGCGACGGAAGCACTGCCCTCCAGGGTTTGCGCGGAGGACACAGCCTTAGGGAAGTCCGCGCGAAAAGCGACGGGTTACTTCAGAAACTGCGCTCTTTTGCAGTCAGAGCGGTTTTTACGCTCGTCATGCTCACGATTTTCACTCGCATTGTCTACCTGGGGCACCAGAAAGTTGCCTTGATGGTCTTTGTGCTGCAAGCACTCATTGCGAAGGAAGTGCTTTCCATTGGATATCTGCAGGCCAGCAAACGCCGCATTCCGCTCTTTCGGACGATCAATACATGGTTCCTGCTTAGTGCGATGTACTTCATTTACGGGAAACGCACGCTGAGTCACTTTTACGACAAGAGATTCGCGTTCATGACAAAGCGACCGCTCGTATTCTTACTCATGCACCATACGTTCGTCTCGTTTTGGCTCTTCCTTATCGGCTTCATGATGTTTGTGCTCTCACTCCGCCCGGGATGCTATCGCCACCAGCTGAATGAGTTCGCTCGTATGCTTATGCTGCTTTTAGTGGTCGTTGCGCAGGCGAACTTCATCATCTTCAACATCAAAGAGGGTCTCATCTGGTTTCTGCTGCCGGCACTGATGATCATCACTAACGATATCATGTCCTATTGTGTGGGGTTCTTTTTCGGCCGCACACGATTGACCGCGCTGTCGCCGAAAAAAACCTGGGAGGGCTACATCGGGGGCGCCATTTTCACTTTCGTTGCCGGTATTCTGCTCACCCATCACCTCTCACGCTTTGAGTACATGGTCTGTCCCAAGACTGATTTTGGCGATTGCGATATCCTTCGGCCGGATCCACCGCTCCACTGCAGTGTCCCGCCGACGTTTCTTCCCCAGCCTTTTGCGGTTCCCAGCTGGGCTCGACCGTTTCTCAAGCGTGACGTTCTGTTGATCAAACCGATCATCATTCATGGGATGGTGCTAGCGGCATTTGCCTCGACTTTGGGGCCATTTGGGGGATTCTTTGCCTCAGGCGTTAAGCGGGCCTTCCGAGTGAAGGATTTCGCGGACCTGATTCCCGGCCATGGTGGAGTAACGGACCGCATGGACTGCCAGCTTCTCATGGGCGCTTTCACTTTTGTGTACCGACTCAACGCGGTTAGTGTCTCGGCACCAGACGTGGGAAACTTACTTGCCTATATCGCGGACCTGAGCTTCCAGGAACAGCTTGAACTGCATCGAGCACTATCCTCTATGCTTGAGAGCCGCGGTCTCATCAGGTCCGCGCAATGGAGCGTGCCTTCAGGGAACGCTTCCGTAACATGAACGTGGCGACGACAGGCACTGAGAAAGAGACCTAGTTGAATGATCGTCTTCTGAGAAGACCCTGGACGCAGAGGCATCCGCGTTTACGACCGCGCGATGGTACCAGAGCTCAGCCCCGGAAGGATTAGCTTGCCCTGCGAGCGCCTCTTGACACCGGGGGTCTGCGTCTGACTCACCGCAAATCCCTGATGCCACGCATGCAGAGCAGCTGTGCATGTGTTGGCGTAAACGCAGGAGTGCTTGTACCTGAACAAAGCTGTAGAGGATCAGGCGGTGCGTCGCTCCGTTCAGGGCATTTGGTACAAGCACTCCTCGTTTCTGCCAACACATGTGTGTATCTCCAGGCGGGCACGAACAACACGTGCATAATACAGGCTCAACTCGAATACGATGAAAAGGTTCCGAAATGCCTTATCGCAAAAGCGGATCTCCAGCGGCCGCATAAAGCACATGAGGGCTGAGGACGGATGCTCATATCTTTGTGGCGTCGCGTCGCGTCGCGTCGCGTCACATCCTTCAGTTGCCTATTTCATCTAGATACCCGTCTCCGGAGGTTCCAAATTCATAGGTCCACGAAAACGCCCCCAGTTTAAAGGGGACAGGCCGAGTTTGCACCTCGTCTCGCACCACACCACAGAAAGGCGCTATCAATATCCATCGACATTCGATGGAGAAAAACTCGAAGAACCCTTGTCAGTGGGATGCTTGCCGCAAATCAGCGACCAGCACGGACACGAGTCAGTAAAGTCAGTCTCATGAGCAGGGATGCACCCGTGTCATGCTCCTATACGGTATCCTGTGAAGCGGTGACGCGCTATAAGTTAGCACCGCATCATGCGCTCAAACGCCGCTCTATGCGTGAGGGATGCTCCCTCCTCGCACGAAGCAAGTGGATGCACTTGTGCTGCTGAACGAGCAATAAAGCCTGCTGCAGAGCCTAGGTGTACGGCTCGGCACGTTGAGCATGCGATGCTCTATGCAAATGGTACTGCACCCCGAGCGCCGTCCAGAATACATGCTTTCGATCTGCGACTTGTGAGTTTCCCCGCCAGATTCGTTTTTCTTGGATGCGCTTTATTCGAAGTTAGCTACAGAGACGGAGCTTGACGCGTAGCATAGAGAGCTTCGTCTGGTCAGTCCGATCCATCACAGAGCGGGTCGATCAAAAACAACGGCGCACACTTTCTGCGGTGCGTACCGCTGGTATACTTGCCAGTTGGTGCGTGCTCCCCTAGCGTAACGCGAGCAGCGGCGACCAAAGGACCGTTACCCGGCGCTACGGACTTACACTGCTGGAAGAAACCTGGCTGAGAAGCTTGCCAGCTGCCTGGAGTATCGGGTTCTGTGTCGCCCTTGGCCTGACCGAGAAGCCAGATTGGGTAGGGGCGGAGGACTTTGCTGGCAGGCACTTGCACTGCGGAAACTGATCGAAAACCTCGACTAGTATGCTCCGGCACTGGGCGTTCGCAGGGACGTTCGGCTCCTTGCGACAAAGCCTGAGGCGTTATTCGGTGCTCTCTCACCTGAATGAGCGCGGAGAAGCGCGCATGGTGGATATTAGTACTAAGGAAGCCTGTTTTAGAAAGGCCCAGGCAGAAGCGAGCCTGAATATCGGCGACCAAGGCGTCTTCACTGCTCTGCTCCAAGGCGCGCTTCCCAAGGGGGACGCTTTTGCTGTCGCGCGACTCGCCGGGATTCAAGGAGCAAAGCAAACGAGCACGCTCGTCCCGCTGTGTCACCCGGCGCTACCCCTCGACATGGTCAACGTGGAGCTGGACCCCGATCCTCAGACACTCAGCGTTAGAATACGCGTCCAGGTTTCGGCAACTGCTAAGACTGGAGTGGAAATGGAGGCGTTGACGGGCGCTGCTGCTGCGGCGCTCGCCCTGTACGATGTTTGCAAGGGAGGATTCAAGGCATGTACCGAGATTCCTCATGGAACGCTGTGCATCCAAAGGATTACGCTCTTGTCTAAAGAAAAACGAAAACAATACGAGTGAACGCCGCTCAGCAGCGAGCATTGCTACTGCGGAGATGGATCGCGCTGAACCACATGGCTTACCTGCCTGTTACGGCTTCTTTCCTGGTGAGGCGCCCACCGAGGCAATTTCGAAACCTCTCCAGAAAACGACTGAGCGGTCCAAAGAATTCCTCCGGTTGGATGGACTGGGCCTCTGCAGAGCTGTAACCCAGAAAGCGGAGGGTACGTTGGTACTCCTGAACAGCCAGTCGCACCGTTTCCTGAATATCATGGAGCGCCTCTCGGGCTTCCCGCGCGAACGCTTCCATGCAATGTGCGAGTTGACTGTTTTCGTGAGCATCTGAGCTGCCTCGAGGACACTGTTTAGTGTCGTTGACCGCCAAATGGATCGAATCAAGAAGAGCCTCCAGTTCAGTTCGCATTCCAGCTACCTCAGTCTGAACGTCTTTGAGCGACTCCCGCGCGGCAGCGCGGCACGAACGCTGGAGTTTCTCCAACGATGAAAGAGCTTTGCACTCGCCATCGGTGTTTGTGCGCTGCCCTGCCCTGCGCTGCTCGCCGCGAGAATCATTTGGTGGTCGTTCTTCGGCAAAAAATCGCCCACAGATGCACGCAACGTAAGTCAGAAGCGTCATTTGGCCATCAAGCGCCTTGGTGTCTCCGAGCTTGTCGAGAGCGGATATCAACTCGAACCCGTCGGCTTGCCCGCGACTGGTGCCGCCGTTCATGTAGTTTCCCAGCGAAAGCATAACCGCTAGAATCGTCCGCAACGCATCGGAAGAGCGAATGGAACGACATGCCGTTTGAATGGTCTCCAGTGGTGCTAGAATCTGTTCAGCGCGCTCCTCAAATGACTGCCGGTAGATCAGGGCCCGTAGTCGGATCGGAGCAGACCTGAGTCTCGCGAGCTCCCGCAGATACTGCTCGGTTTTGTTCAGAGCACGGCCCGGATGGACCTGCAACAACCTGGATGCCTCCTCGTCCGTTGGAATGATTTTCATTAGCGCATCGCAATCTCCACGACTGAGAGCCTGCTCGTCCATACGCAGCAAGGCCTCTTTGACGCGCTCTATAGGCGGCAGCGATGCAGTGAGCAAGCCTATAAGATGCGCTCGCTTCGGATCCAAAAGAGCGGGCTCATCTGCGGCAGTCCGTCGCGATCCAGTACCAGAGGACGATGCATTCAACAAGCCCGAGTGCTCCAACAACACCGAAGACTGGTCCAATGCTCGGGAACGTTGATCCCGATTGCCCTGGAGTGGCATCGTCTTCTCTGACCCATTTCCTGGAATGACTGCTTGCTTATTTTTGCTGGGTGGTTTGCGAGCAAAAAGACTCTCAAATTCATCGAGATCGAAAGGTACTTCGTGAATCTGGGACCAGATCGTCTCATCTGGTTTGTTCGCTGCTTGATCATTGGAAGATCTGCTAGAGCTGCTAGCCGGTAGAATAATGCGCTTCCAGAAGAAACTCCGCATTTCCACCCGGGGATGGATGGGCGGTTTTCGCGGTTGGAGCGCATCCATAGAACCCGACTTTCGTACGAAATGTTTTTCTTCATTCTGTATGCTTTTGGGAGCATCATGCAGCGGTGGCGGCGGTGGCGGCGGTGGTGGCGGTGGCGGCGGTGGTGGCGGTGGCGGCGGACCCCCTGCACTTTCCACCTCTTGCCCGCTCAATCGTCCAGCCTGTGCACCCAGGGATGTTGGCGGTGGTGGTGGCGGTGGCGGTGGCGGTGGCGTCGGATCCGTTGCGGAACAACTCCGGATATCCTGCGGACCCAGAGAAGATCCCGCTTCTGGGCACTGACCTTGCGGATTCTCTTTCTGCTCACTTGGAGCCTCCTGCGAGAACTTGTTGTGTGCTCCAGTCTGTGTCGTATCTCTTGTCGGAACATCCGCGGTGGCACCAGCACTCCGGATATTGCACACCGGAAGCCGCATGCGCGCACCACACCGCTCGCAACGAATGCACTCTTCTCCGAACTCCTTCTCCAGCATCGGTTGCATCATATGATCTAAAACGCTAGCTGAACCTACCTCCTGTTGCGCGAAATCCTTAAGTGCGTGAGCTTTGCCTCTTTCATGTGGACCTCCCGCTTTGAGCTGTTGTGCGGGTGCGTCTCGCTTGCGGGCCTCAGGTATCGATTGGTGCTGCTCCTGCAGAGCGTAGTGTTTCAGCTCTTTCCGCAACGAAAGAATGATCTGCTGGGCTGATTCGTATTCATTCAAAAGGAGCTCGGTGTCCTGTTGCAATGCCAGGGTCTCTTTCTGGAGCTGTCGGTGCTCGCGCTCAAGGCACTGGAAACGTTCTCGTTCGGCCTCCATAATAGCCTCCTTCTGCCGCAGGCGCGCCCGCATCTGGCGAACATAGCCGTCATCGGAGGTCCGCTGTACGAGCTGCCCGTCTTTGCTATGAGCGCGCTCGATTTCCCTCTCGAGTTGTGCGTTTCGCTCGCGCAGCTCCTGAAGTTCCAGCGTCACCGCGCGCAGCTCCTCGCGACCCGAACGCCTACTGTCGGGTGCTCGCGACTCTCCAGGGCGCCAGGTATGCCGAGCAGAAGCCACTTTTCTAGACTGGTCTATCTCCATATCGCGAAGGACCCGTTGCAGCACGGATACTTCCTGCTGAGAGGCTGCAAGCGCAAGCCGCAGTTGACGCTCCGCGTCGCTAGGGTCCGCCGTGGCTGTCCCCTGTTTCGAAACTCCCCGCTCACCTTCGTCCCGCACGGTAAGTGCATTCAAGAGTGCAGATTCCGTCTGCTGAGGCGCTAGTTGCTGTTCATGCTGCCGGCGATTCGCTTTGCCGCGGACCGTACGAAGCCACATAGCGAGTCGAGTCTGGCTTGTGCAGTCTGTTCGAATCGCTTGTCTGCGTTCGCGCCATGTCGATTTTTCTGCTTCGCAGCGATTTGGTTTCTATTTTCCGGGGACATCATCCACTGGAGTTTCGCATAGGCTTCAGTATAGCACAAGGAACCATGATCTCAGATGATTGCTCTGGTATCTCGCACACATCCAGGGGGAACCGTTAAGGTTCATAGATCTTACATGATACCGAAATCGCAGCCTGCCGGGGTCTAGCCCGGAGAGCAAGCCTTCCGCAGCAGATCATCGAAAGCGCACTGCAGGGGATCCCAGGGAGGTCCATCGCTAAAATGTCATGAACATCAATGCGCAGTGCAGGGGATCCCAGGTAGGTCCATCGATAAAATGTCATGAACACCAACGCGCTTTAGGGGATCCCTGTGATGCGGCTGGATCATGCTGCATGGAAATGAGAGCGTTGAAATGGACCTCAGGAGGCTACCGATCACGCTCTCTCGGAGAACACAGGCACCGAAGTGGATCCCATTTTGTGTCGCTCGTTCGGTCCATCATCGATTTGATCTCATGGAAAGGACGGCCCTAGATGCCTATTTCAGAATTAATTCGAAGCACCCCATTACGCTCACTCGGGCATACATTCTAAAGTTTGGGCCTCCTCCCATTGTCATCAACGAAAGTATCTATGGGCCTTGTCTGCGACTGATTCCTTTTCTTCTTCCTTATTCAAGGCTCTAAATACACCGTCCTCTGCTTCACCTCCAGCTCCATTTTCTGCACTGAAAGCATGTTCATGGCAGCCTTAAATTCCCAATGGAGTTGTTTCCAGCTGTTGTCGGTATATTTCCTGCGCAGGCGGAAATTGCGATATGCGCTTCACTCTCCAATTGCATCTTCATTGGATGCATCCCCCGGTTAGCTGTTCGCAGCGTTGACAGTTGACGGTCGACAGGTGTTCCCATATGTATTCACCAAAGATCCTGCTCCAAGCTTCGCACTGTGGCGAGCGAACGCTTGCTTCATCGTCAAATATATGGCGTCGAAGGCTTTAGCAGACTACCCTCGATTCCTTCCACCGTTTCCGCTATCGGTGTCGCATCCTGCGCTCACGGGTTTCTTCAAAAGGATCCCCTTGGCGACCAATCTGTATGCTGAACGCGGAAACGTCCGCTGTTCTTGTCGATAGTGGATTTGTGGAATGCGATATTGTCGATTACTGAACGAGTACATGATGGAAAACCAGGGCTTGAGAACAACTCGAGAATTTTCGGTTCGTCGACGCTACCGATATGAGAGACGGTGACGCACTCGCCTCGGAAAGCAATCACTGCTGTGAATCAAGTCAAAGTCCAACACTCTTATCCACTCAACCAGAAGAGACAGGGAGCGTTTGGGATCATATCCCCAGACTGGAATCAAGCAAATGTCGAATTCCAAAAATCACAGGTGACGATACAGATCGGAGCATCCGTGTTTTGAAAGGAATCAATTTTTTTGGCGTGATGAATGCATTGAACGTTCGGGATGATCTCGTGAAAATATCGTCAAGGGACTAGGTCAATTCATAGGTTTCCTCGTCAATCTATTGGCAGGAGTGGCTGCATCAACGTGCTCCCTTCAAACGAAAAGGTAAAAAGCTTGCAGAAGTTGTTATCTGTGCGTGCTGCACATAAGCAAAGGAGAAGAGTTGAAGCCTACACAAAAGCATCATATAATACATCGGTTATTTTATGAACCCTTGTTCGATGCTATCGTGAATCATCTTGAACCAGGGTGACGAATCGAATTCCAGCTGCAGTGTCGAAGGGGCCACTCTGAGAACACAACCGAGAATCCTAGAACTTCGTATGAATCTGTAAGCACATATACCTGCGTTTCCAATGCCAAGGCTATGTATCTAAAAATGCACGGAAAACGCGACATGCATAAACGTAACGGAAATACAGCGTTCCATTTTTATACCTGACGCTGGCGCAGAGGAGTATCGTGTCGCTGCTATCGTGAGTTGTCGACAGCTTGTATGGGCGCCGTCGAGCAGCTGGTTTACGCTGAGCTGCAGGCGCGAATAATCAGGAACAAGTATTCTCCCAGTCCAGAGGAGCGTGAGACCTTGGAAAAGTGTCGCTCGAAAGCGCTACGAAGCGCCTTTTTCGGAGGAGGAGCAGCGGCCGTAATAGCGTGGCTTTTCCTTTCGCGGCCGTTGAGCACAAGCTGGGGCGCTCTTGGCCTCCTGCGGTTTAACCTATGGCGCCAGAGTCCACTTGGCAGAAACGGCGGGGGTTGGCAGAGTAGATCCTCTGGGTCTGTCGCGCCTGACTCGCTAGGCAGGTCGGGATTCGGCGAAACCGGTGGGTCTCCGAGCAGCGGCCCTGCTGCCGATGCCGGACCGCATCCTGAGGGATCACAAACACTTCCGCACAGCGCTGCTTCCAGAGTGACTAGAGCGGATCGAGCCCCCGCCTGGAGGAGAGGCGTCCTCGTGACGTGTGGCACCTTGATAGGGGCTTACTATGGAGCCCAGCGCACCGGCACGTACTGCCTGGAGGACCTGCTTGCTCTTGGCCCACGCTCTGCTATGGCGAACGAGATTCGCTTCATTCTCCAGGATGCGAAGCAGTCCCTGGAGCTCGTTGGCAGCAGCCCAAACTACTCAAGTACGGCCGCGGAGTCTGGCGAACTTGCGGACGGAGCGTCGTCGCCGGAACTTGCCGCGAATGAAGACGCTCCCATGGCCGGGCCAGGGCGCACTGGTGCGGGTCTGCTTACGGAGAGGGCAATGAAAATCCTCCAACAGAGTATTCGTCGCGACGAGATTGAGCACTGGCTGCGGCAACATGACACAACAGCTCCATTCGACAATGATCAAGTTTCGCTTGAGATAGAGACGCCGTGGCAGCTCGAGACAGATAGAGCCAGCGGCTCTGCATGGCATGCGACCGATGCACCCGGGACGCTCTCGGTGGAAGATACGCCAAGCGCTCGAGCTGAGGATTCGCTAACTGTGGGGTTTGGCAGAAGCCGCCCCGACGGAGGTGCTGTGGCGGGTTTGCGCCCTCGAATCGGTCCATCGTTGCCAGAGCGACCGGTTTCGAGCGTTGCACCCAAGAGACGAGAGGCAGTCCGCGGTGGAGAGTTACCGAACCTTGTCGAATCCCAGGTGCAGAGCCGTACAGATATATTAAGCGCAAGCGATGCCCATGCGAACGACGGTGTGGACGATTCTGTTGAAGACCAGGTACCGGGCCGTGTCCCGTGGTCAGTTCAAACGGCGGAACCGAAGCCTTCATTGGCCGACGAAGTGCGCAAAGCCGAATGATAGAAGAAGTAGATGGCGTTCTCTGGTGCTTGCATTGGTGTATCTAGACGAATGAGTTCCGGTATGCGTGTATGATCAGACCCTTTTTCTTTTATCTGTGTTTCTCGCCTGTGTCCAACAAAGGGAATGTTTCCTATAGATTGGAGGAAGATCCTGGAAGGACTATATGCAGCCATCGCTATCTTGCGAAAAACTGCCTCACCTCTTTAAGTCAGTCATTCTGTGGGCAGCAGGTGGATGAGCTGCGCATCTCAGGGTCCCTATCCTGAAGGGCTTTCATCCCGAGTAGAGCTCATCGCACACTGCACACAAGATTGCCAATTCGTAAATTCATTCAACCGCATGTGTTCTCTCGCAAGTACTATCAATCTAGTCAGAGGATTTGAAGTTTCATGCCCTTGACATGAAAGGTATTGAGGAGACACGTATGGAGAAAGAATAAAGCAGGTTTCTGTGTCAAATCGTCGCCACTTGACTAGAACATTTTTGATATCGCACTGAAACGCGAACTCCTAACATAGACAGCACTCGTATTTGTTTCGCCGAAAGAGACTTGAGTCTGGAGAAATGCTTGACCTGTGTGTGGGATTCTCCAAGACGGACGAACCCGCAGTTCACAAAGAAAAGGGAGGAGAATGACAACAACATATATTCTTTCGGCGATTCAGTCATGCGGTATCCTACGCATCGCCGGACGGGTACCAGCGTTCAACGAACCATTGTTCGATAAAGTACTTTTCCAGGCTGCTGCTTCCCATATCCTTCTGTACTGCTCATACACTAGATAGCTATCCATCATTCAAAGGCGGTCGGCGGAACGCGCTTCGATTCATCCGTCAACTCTCCTTGTACCTAGCCAATAGCGGGCGCTTGCTGCAACATTGGATTCTCCGCCGCTGCTGCAGTCGTCATGCAGAGAAAAAGCGACTCCACTAGAGTCGCATTATTGGTTGCAGTGCATCTCTGGGGCGAAAGCGTCACTTTCTGCCGACGAATTGCAACCCCAGTACCAATCTAAGGGCGCATATATTCTGATTCACAAGTAGAGACATCGGTTCGCCCGAGATTCTCACACGGCATTACAGTGCATGGGGATCCAGAACGCGTTTTTCAGACCGCTGCGCTATATGTTGTCTTGGTCGAGTCCATGCGGATCGGATGCTCGTCGCGATGGACGTCTACCGCGTCCCGGAAGGTTAGCGCCGGGGCCCAGTTTCTTCTGAACACGCTAGCACCTGTGCTCACATCTCCGCCTCTTGGACTGCACTTCAACGTTTAAGGGCGTCGTGGCTTCCTCACCGGACCTATAGCGGAAAGCTGCAACACTTCTAATACCCAGTGAACAAAGTGCCGCCCCGTCGATGATGCGCGCTTGCGTGGCGCATGCCCCAAGCGCTCCAGTCGAGCGGCACACCCAGAAGTCCAGCGCTCGCCATTGCATTCCCAGGTCTATTGTTTAGGTCAGTGGCTCGCGGTTCAACTCATTTTGGCAGCAACAAGGCGCACCGTGGGCGTCTTGAACTCCAACTGCAACGCAAATGAGCGACGAATACAACCATGACACACGAAGCGGGAACATTCCTTCCTAGGTAGCTCAGGCGTGCATTCTAATGTTTTGTTTTCTTCCCTTTGCCATCAACACAAACCATTCGTGCTTTTTCTGAGTCTGCTTCATTTTCCTCTCTCTTGTATCTGGATTCAAAAATGCCGGCCTATCCTTACCCTCGAGCTCCGTTGTCAGTGCTTAAAGGAGGTTGATGCCAGCGTTCAGGTCCTGGTTTAATCGCTGTCCGATATTGCCGGCACAATTCACGTACATGCGGAAGTAAGAATCTATGCATTTCTTGCCATTTTCATCTTCTATGGATACAGCTATGACGCACCCTTCGCAGCGCTGATGCATTGCTGTGGTGAGTTGTACACATATGTTCACCAGATCTCATCTTCCGAGCGTCGACCGGTGGCGCATGAACGTTTACTTCATGTCAGTATACGCCCTTGACGTGTACAGGGGACATCCCTCTATGACCTCCTCCGTTTCAGCCACCAGTGCCGCACCCTACAAGGACGAGCTGCTTCTGCGCGATCCCTTCGACAACTACTCTGTCCCCTGCTCACACAGGTGCACACTGTTACATTCAACAGACTACTTTTCGGACGCGATGTTTTCCATAGTAAAAATAACAACGGAAGCACAATACAGATTCGATATCAAGTCGGGAAATTTCGACTCGTCTAATCCTCTTCTACTGATGCGGTGGCGAGCTCTTCAGTGCAAGGGATTGCCGCAATGACTGCAAGCACCGTCTATGACCATATTCCTTGTAGTAGGAAGACGCAGAATCTTGTGGAAGCAGATCCCATTTGAAGTAGTATGCTGCTGTCGAATGCCGTTTTGTCGAGAGCCACGAAGTGAGGAGTAAGTGTTTCTCGAAAGTAATCAATTACTTGACATGAAAATTTCAGAGAACTTTCGGCATGAGCATGTGCTGAAGACGTCAAGGGACAGCGTTCACTGTTTTGTGTCGCCAATACTGCGGCTCGAGTGGCAGCGCACACGAGTTGCGATGAAAAAGTCGCAAATTAAAACAACACGTGATTTGAGCATCTATACGTAAAAAGGCGAGGAGTGGAGGCTTGTGCGTATGAAACGGGTAATGCTATCCTTTATTACAGGGACCTTTTTTGGGGTAATTCGAATCATCTTAATTCCCGTGACGTAACGAAATTCAGTGGCAAGTGATCGAAGAGGCCACATTGAAAAGACGGGTGAGTTTCCTCAATCCGCGTTTGAGTCAGTACGTCCCTATTGATCTGCTGCGAAGTTTGAGGCTGCTCATCCAAAAAATTATGGAAAATTTCGAAATACATGATCAGAGCGAGCAGTTCAGTGCTGCATTTTTTGTGAACGAGGGTCGAGTACATCGCTCGCAAGCCGTCGATGCGCATTGCTTGTGTCCAACTTCTTTTACTCTTGTCATGAAGTATTCGCATAAGTACATATTCCTACATATCAATACAGTCCAGCTCCCGCTGCGCTGCGTATAAGCGGTCGTCGCATTCGAGACAGCCTGCAAACGGACGAGCATAGGAACAAAGGCCACAGAGCTTGGGTTCGAGGCTCAGGCTACGTCCAGGATGGTGAATCTGCAATGTCGTATGTACGAGAATCCCTTTCCAGACCCCGACGATCTCGTAATAGCAGTTGTGCGAGACATCCAAGAAATGGGCGCGTACGTGACACTCCCCGAGTACGCAGACTGCCAAGGCATGATTATGCTGAGTGAAGTTTCAAGGCGAAGAATACGTTCGATCAACCGGCTTCTTCGTGTTGGCAGGCAGGAGGTTTGTATGGTTGTACGTGTTGATCAGGAGAAGGGATACATCGACTTAAGCAAGCGGCGCGTCTCTCCCGAGGACGTGCAGAAAATGGAGGAAAAATGGTCCAAGTCGCGCACTGTGCACTCGATCATGCGGCACACTGCTGAATCTGTTGGAGTAGACCTAGAAGATCTTTACAAGCGCGTAGGTTGGCCGCTCTACCGCAAATATGGCCATGCGTTCGACGCCTTTCGCCTCATGGTGGCCGACGGGAACATTGACAACCCCGTGGCCGTCGAGGCGAACGTATCTTCGGTGCTGGGCTCTCTGGATATTGGTCCCGAGGAGAAGGAGGAGCTACTGAAGAGCATTCGTCGAAAGCTTACTCCGCAGGCGACGAAAATTAGAGCCGATATTGATGTCACTTGTTTCGACTTTGAGGGTATCGACGCTATCAAAGAGGCATTGCGCCTTGGCACTGAGTGCATCACGCAGACGTCGAATTCCGTGAAAATTCGTCTGTTAGCGCCGCCAACGTACATACTCACAACGAGTGCGCTACAGCGGCAAGAAGGCCTGGAAGCGCTTGCGAAGGTCATCGAAGTCATCCGCAATGAGATTGAAGCCCGTCGGGGCAAATGCGTAGTGAAAGTTGCTCCCCGCGTCGTGAGCGAGCGCGATGATCGCCTGCTGTCGAATCTCATGGAAGAGTTGGAGCTGCGTAACCGAGAGGTGCCCGCGGACGATGAAGGGGACGACGATAGCGAAAGCTCTGCTTCGGATTCAGACTAAGAAACCGGTTAGAATCACCAGGCATGCCCGAGCTCGCATGCCTGTGTACATTCCACGCATCGATCATGACACATTACAAAGACCTTCTTGTGTTACCTGCTTTCGCACTCCTTGTTTCCAGAGTGGAGTGATCGAAACAAGTGCGAAATCCTAATCTAGCGCACGAGTTTTGGGGTGCGCATCTCGCCGGTGCAACGAGCTCGGGACAAATGCTGCGGCTGTCGCCAGCTACCGGGCGACAAATACTCCAACTGCATTGCCTGCGGTACAGCGCTAAGGCGCACGCGATCAACTTGAGACAGGTTCCGTCTCTCAACTGCAGCGCTATGCAGCCAGTGCTCTGTCTCAGAACCCGCTGGACATGGCGAGCTTGCAACACAGGAGACGCAACGCCCTGCTTACCGCTGGTGAAAGATCGCCCGCAATCTCAACGAGAACGTTGCTCGCACGTAACAGGCGCCTGCAACAGGTTGTTGGCAGCGCAGGCGGACAGTCAGCTGAAGCCGCTATGCGTTGTCGTCTTCACCGATAGGCCCGTCACATAAAAACAGGGATCACTGGGACCTAGTAATCATTTTCGAATTCGAGCTCTGAAAGCTTGAAGCCTTGCACGAATGACGGGACTCGAGGCCGATGCGCCGTCGCTGTACAGCTGAACTTCGTTTCAACTGTGCTACCACGAGCAGCCGCATCCACCAGCATCCGCAGACTGCACAAATCCTTCATTCAGTAGCCATGATAAATTTGGCGCCACCTCGGATGCCATTGCTCCCTTTATTTCCAACTATCTTCATCTCCAAAGTTCCTCAAACTACCGCTCCTGTAGCCAAGCGAATCGCAGGGAGAAGTGCTGTTGATTCTCATCGTCATGGCGAATACATACCGACGAGAGAGTCTATATATACACAACCACCTGCAGACGCCTCCCGCCTATTTTGGCCGGCGCCTTGCCATCGGCATTGGCTTTCCCTTGTACGGTTCGAACCTGACAGGCTGCCCACAAAGTTGGATCGCGTCAGCTCGGCGGGTCTCGTCTTCAATACCACACATCGTCTGCCATTGAGGGAGGTGTTCAATTCAAGCTTCACAAAATCCATGCGTTTATTGCCGCCGCTGGTTGTACTCTCTGGGGCAAGTCGTCCTCGAACTCGTGCTCTCTACTCCACATCCTTCTCTGTGAGCTCTCCGTACTTTTCTATATCCTCAGGGCTCCGCTGCCTTCACTGCATCTCGATCCTCTGGAGCAGGCACCCCAGCTCGTGGTGCACATAGGTCGTTCGAAACTCATCTATCGGTACCGTGACGAAACGAATGGCGCACTCCTTGTACGCTCTCGTTGATAGAGCTGGTATGCTCTTCTGTTGGGCCTCCAGCGCCGTGCTCCATAAGCTACTACGAGTCTTTGACTCTTGACCTCCTTGAGGGTGCTCATCTGATTGAAAAGTTTGGCAAATGCACGCTGCTACCCACAGTACAAGTTCATAAGCAGACGAGCCCGCGGGGGCTTTGTGTACTCTTTCCGCAGCTCCTCGTAATGAGCAGCTTGAGTTTCTATGAACTCTAGGTAAGCTTTGAAGTCCGCCCCATGGCTAGTCACCTGGCTGATCGCTTCCAGTTGCTCCCTCACTCCTGCATTCCATTTCTCACTTTTCCTCCTCCAATTCATTATTCCCGATTCTCGGTAGTATCTCGCTCTTGAGAACTTCAAAAGACGCATGTCTTTGTGACGTAAGTTGCCGTCGATACCATCTTCCCGACACTTGCGTGCCGCGATGGTTATGATATTCGTGTTCCCAGGATCTGCGCTGACCAGGGAGTCGTTCTCTTGCATCTCCTTCGTCTTATGGCCTGCTTCCCTCTCATCTTCATGCTTCAGCGAGGGCGAAGCCGAAAACACAATAGGACGATCCGCCTTCAAGCGACTATAGTGTGCGCAAATGGATACTCCATCGGTTTCGGTGATCTCCGTGAATAGCCCTTGCTTGCTCGTTTTGAGACGTTTGAAATGGAAGGTATTCTTCCAGTACGTCTCCCAGTTTTTGCCAGTGAACTCCTACCTGCTTACATCGAACTCCGAGCGGATCTCCTTCATGACGCCGTAAAAGATTCTGGAGTCGATCGTCACAAAATGTGACTTGGTGTTGCATAGCGGAACGACATAGAAGATCTTCTTCAAAGGCATAGCATTCCGTTCCACCGACGCTTCATTTTCTTCCATATCCTGATCCATCTCTGCCTTGCGTTCGAGTTCTCGATTCAAAAACACGACATAGCGCAGGATGAGGAGATGACATCTTTCTTCATCTTTTTTCATATCTGATACTCCCACTGTGGGTTGACAAGCTCCAGGACCGAACGGTGCTCTTGAATAGCCACACATATTACATAACCCTGATTCTTTCTCCTGTGTGATTTCTTCTTGTCGATGAATTCTATCTACTGTTCATGATGACGATCTTTCGTGATACCGTGGATGATGGCCCATATCCCTTTGCGAGACAGTCCCGGGTAGAGTGCAAAGAAAGAGCGTACCATGAAGCGTTCGAGGCGCACGATCATGTGGTTCTTCAGGTTCGTGAGGTACTTCATCACCCCGTATTCGTAAATATGCGAGTCATCCTTGTATGACGTACCGTTGAAGCGGTACTCCGCGAAGTTTTCCTGGAGGACGTGCACTCGCTCGTCTCTCCAAGACGTTTTCCCTGTTCCAGCCATCAGGTAGCTGGTGAAGATCCTGTTGAAAAACTCTTACGGAACCCGAATCTTTCCATGTGCAGCAATTCGCGATACAGATCTCTCGCCATACGCATCAGTCTTAAAGAAACGTCACCCACACTCGTGGAGTACGACTTGACAGGCTTTCTGACAGCCTTTTGCAACTTTTGGTAGTACGGGCTCTTGATATGTCTCAGAAGACAGGCTTTCACCAACTTCTTGTCGTGGTGTCGTCTTTCGTGCAGCCATTAACGTCGGGTCTCCCCCTTATGCTTCCTCGTCTTCTCTTGTACCTCTTTGCTCCGTCATGCTTTTGGTTTCTTCCGCCAACCAGCGATACTGGCCCTCCAGGGTCCTCCCTTTCCATTTCGATAACTTTTCTTTTTTTTTGAAAACGAACCCGCTTCGAACACTTCTGTTATAAACACCGAAAAACACTAGAATATGCTTGCTTGCGGTTTGAAATACGATTGAACTGAAAACTTTCTTTGCTACGACTTCAACGCAAATGCAACATGCCCAATAGAGCAACAAGTCAACTAGTGGTAAGGATCGTGTTTCCTTTCAACGGCGAGATGCGCCTCGTGTCTCATGCATGCCAGATTTGTATGTACGCATATCGACTGCGCTCTATAGAACAAAGAACAGAAACTGACCACTAACTAGCGCCAAGATAACAATTTCGTTCCCCTCTAGGATAAACGTTGAACGGGGAATAGGTTTCCATATTGTCGAACTTTTACATTCTAGTCGGAAAGTCCCGCGAGCCGGCTGAGTCTGCCGGACTGGTGCTTCATGCTACCCTCGGTGGCAGGTGCAGTGGAGCGTCTTGAGCTGCTCGTCCGCAACGTATTTTATTCTTGGATAAGGGGCAGGTAGGGTGCGTTTGGGCGTCGCATCGGTCGCACTGGACTCCTTGTAAATCGCTTCCCGCTGCCGCAGGCAGTAGATCTATCAGCACAGCTTGCAGGCTCCCAGAATGATAATGAATCTCGACCCCGTGTCGGATGAAACACTTCTCGAGCCGATGCCCTCTGTAGCATGGCAAAGCTGTTCTGTCTCCGTGCTGCTTCAGCATTGGCGGTTTGGGCGCTTTAGCTGGAGCTCAAAACAGGCACTCGGCGCTCGATGGATCGTGTGAAGCGACCAGTAAATTCGAGAAGAAGTTTAAGTAATGGATATCGGAGGTAGGATCCAGCATGATGAACGTTTTCCAGAATGCCAATATCCATCTCGCACCCTGCGATCCATGGTCAATGTGAACGTTTTGTCATCAGAAATCGTCATGGCGAAGATTCAGCGCGGATGTCTCGTGCACTACGCCGCTGCGAACTTCAGCTACAGTTGCACGAGGCCCGCTTCATAGTGGAAGACGTAAAACGCGTGATGAGTCGCGGGACTAGTGCCGGCTATGACCGGCATATAACCGTGTTTTCACCTGAAGGACGGCTGTTCCAAGTAGAATACGCCTTCAAGGCGGTGAAGCTACCGGGCACAACGGCGGTTGCAGTTCGGGGCACGCAGTGTGTGTGTGTGGCAGTTCAGCGGAAGCTGCCGGATCGTCTTGTGGAGCCGGACTCGGTGTCGAGCGCTGCGCGAATATCGGAGCAGCACGGTGTGGTGTTTGCTGGCCTGGCTACAGACGGAAGAGCGCAGGTTCAACGACTTCGTGCGGAGGCCTCGGAGTTTCGCTACGAGAACGGCTACGAGGCGCCCGTGTCGTATCTGGCGACGCGGCTTGCGGACATCAACCAGGTGTACACACAGCACGCGTATATGCGCCCGCTTGGGGTGACGCTGCTCTTCCTGGGCTGGGATGATCACGAGGGCGGCTACAGTGGACCACGTCTCTATAAGGTTGATCCAGCCGGCTACTGCATCGGATACCGCGCATGTGCCGCCGGGGCGAAAGATGTTGAGGCCCAGAATTGGCTGGAGAAACGGTTGCGAGAGAAACAAGAAGAGCTCAGTGAAGAGCAGCGCGATCGGCTTGCCGTATCAGGAGCTGCGGTGCAGGCAGGATACGGTGCACCACTCTGCGACATACCGCTCTCGGACGACGAGACGCTGGAGCTTGCGATCGGCGCACTTCAGTCCGTCACGAGCGCCGAGCTCAAGCCCTCCGACCTGGAAATTGCCATCGTGACCAAAGAGAAGAAGCGCTTCCGGGTCCTGACCGAGCAGGAAGTGGATGGAGTGCTTCATCGCCTATCAGAACGCGACTGACGCTCGTTATGCACCGGATCGCCGCTGGATGCCCGTGCAAGCCATAACATGCAGCCTCTCAGAGCACGACGTTTAGACTCGATTGACGTCCTCCATGTCGGTGGTACATGCATCCCAGTTATGCGCAGATGCACGAGCGACCACGCTGTATCGGTAAAATAGTGCGCGGCTGTTTTTTCCAGCAGCCGCGCTGCGGTTCAGTCGTGACGCGATTCATCGCCTGGAGGTGCACACAGTACTTTTTTCGACGCTGGAGGTTGTTGCACGAGTGGAAGCGTTCGCAACTGCGGCAGCTCCCTGTTATTGTAAACGATTAGGACTCGTTTCACAGCGTTTTGCTGTCTGTTAGTGGTATGGTGTGCGCATTTGCACCAGCGGGTGGCTGCCACGGGAGCAGCATAGTTGGCATACAGCAACGCTCTTCGCTTTGGCGGAGCAACGACAGGGCGCGCTTCTCTGCGGGGAGGCACTCGAGACCCACGGAGTTCTTTAGGGCTGCTCGAAGCAAGCGATGGCGCAGAGAGCTTCGAGCTGTTGCAGAGATGCCCGGAGCGAGCAAGACGAGTTCGCGCCTGGAGGCCTTTGTTAAATGGCTCGCTGCGAACGAGGTTTTTGTGTCAGATAAGGCGACCTGGGGGCGAGCATCGCATCCGCTCGTTGTCGCAGAGCAGACGCTAATCGAAAGCGAGCCGGCTGGACGCGGTTTCCTTGCTCGTCGCGACATCCAGGCCGGCGAAGTTCTCTTTCAAGTTCCGTTTCATCTGTGCTTCACAAAGGATGTCGCAGTGCGGCGGTTCGCCGCCCTCAATGTTCCCGAGCTTGCAGACGAGGAGGAGTTTTTTGCGCTTGCTACACTTCTTCTCTATGAAAGAGGGCTTGACGAGTCATGGAAAAAGAGTGGACGAGGGCCAGGCTCCTTCTGGGGACCTTACCTCGACATCCTGCCACCCGTGCCGTGGGAATTCAAAGGGGCAGAGCCTGCCGAGTCCCTGTCGATGGATCCACTGGATGCCCTTTGGCTCTGGGCAGAGGACGAGATGCAGTGGTTGCAGGGAAGCCCAACGCTATTGTCCGCTCGCGCACTCCGATCCAAAGTCGAGCGGGAATATGCAGAAGCGTGCGAACGTTTGTATCGACGACATCCGCATATCTTTGATTTAGAGGGTGCCTTTCGCCTGGAGCGTTTCCTCTGGGCTTTCGGAGTCTTGTTCTCAAGGGCGGTTTCACTTCCGGCGGAGAATGGTATGCTCGCGCTGGTTCCATACGCGGACCTTGCGAATCATTCGGCGTTCTGCGTTTCGTTTATTGATGCCCGCACCGCAGCGTTCCCGTACGCTTTTCGCGCTTCCTCGAAACAAAAGCGCGGTCAATGGTGGCAACGATTCCTGGCCCCGAATAGCGACGATGCCGGCGCAGTCGCGAACACAGACTCTTCCCATTATCGCGAAGACGCCCAGCGAGAAGTCGTTGCATATGCAGACCGCTTTTACGACAAATTCGAACAAGTGTATGTTTCCTACGGTCAAAAATCCAATGCTGAGCTTCTTTTGCTCTACGGCTTCGTATCGGACCGCAACCCATACAACTCAGTTGAGGTCTGCGTGTCACTCTCCGGATCAGAGGCCGCGGGTGCTGGGCTTCTCGACCGGAAACGATCGTTTCTTTTAGCTTGTGGGCGCGATCCGGATAAGCCGGAATGCTTCCCCCTGTACGCTGACCGATATCCGCTGGAACTTATGCAGCTTTTGCGATTCGCCTCGCTTACCGAACAAGATGCGGCGGGATATTCGGATCTCGAGCAGATCGATGTCGCGCAACCGGTAAATCGAGAAAATGAAATCGCAGCGAAGAGCGCTCTGCTCCAAGCGTGTAAGATTGCGCTTCAAGCGTATCCGACTTCCGCCGATGAAGACGATGCTGCGCTCAAAGACAAGTCCATGGCGCAGCTTCTCTCGCGCAAGCAGCGACTCTCTGTGCGTTTGCGTCGAAGTGAGAAACGCATCCTAGAGAGAACGATTGCAGGTCTTGAGCGAGAGATCCAAGATCTCAGGTGCTAGATGTTTCATCGACCAACAATGCGGTGTGTGTACTCGTGGATGTTTTCATGCGTGAGCAGCGTCAAGTCAGCAAGTCGAAGTGGCTTCTTCGTGAATGGACATGTGTTTCGGGGGTGTTGCTGAAGAAGTCGCCTCCAGGTTAAATAGCCTAATACGTGCCCCGATGGGGATATCGCTGGTCGACGTACGGGCTCCATTGTAATGACATCGATAAAGTCGGGAAGCGGGTTGTCCGAATCTCGTGCATGAGATCTCGAACGGAATTCGTTCCCATTGAGTTCGCACAGAGCTCCGGCCTTGTCTGAATACTCGGACGGCGTCGAACTGTCTTTCAAACTCGAGCGCAAAGATGATTCGCCAGAATCTGAGGCAGATGCGGTAACTTGGGATATCATCCGTAACTCATTGTTCGGAGCACCTGATTCCGTATCCCGTCGCGATCGCTTAGGGTTCGTGCCGGACCCAACAGCAGCGGTACCATCCGGATGCATCTCCATTTCGCCAGCATTTGCAGGCGCCCCGTCCTCCACATCGGCGTAGTTGACTATCCTTCGCGACCGCGCCGAGCGGCGAACAGACTGCGCAGACACGGCATGGTTCGGAACGTATTCAGTCTCGTCGTCATCGGCGGCAGAGTCCGAATCGTCCGAGTCCCAGAGAGATTGTTTTCGCTTCGCCAGGCGGCGCTGGCCGCTGCGTTTCGTAGCGACTCTGGCAGCATTGGAAACGGCACAGCTAGTTCCGTTTTCGTCTGACGTCAACTGGACACCGCTCTTGGTTTTGAAACGAAACTTGGGTTCACCCTTCTCGTTGAAGTAGTAGTTATCATCTTTCACAATGCCCCTCTTGAGGAGAGTGCGGTAATAGTTGCTGCACTGGTACCCGACCCGCCCAGGCAGTGCCATCGAGAAGATTCCCCACTCGTAGTTCTCTCCGATGTGGCATTCTTTCAGTCGCTGCATGAAGCGCTCGTGTTCCTGCTTGGTCCACTTGCCGTTTCGCTGCTCTTCTCCAGGGTCGTTAAATCGGTAATAATACGCATTCGGATTCGCATCCTTGTTGAGCCAAGCTTTGATCCGAGCCTCACTCCAGCCATCAAAGCTCCCCGTTTGCTGCATCCTTCGCAGAGCCTCGTCCAGGCATAAGCGACCATCTTGCCTGCGCCCGATGCGAACCCCTTCGAGCATGAGCTCGCTGTTCGACTTCCTCGATGTTCCCCGGTTGGACGGCTTGCGCCTCATACCGCTCCCGCCGGCTCTCGCATCGAGAGGTGGTCCTGGTGCTAGGGCACCTCCACTCGCTGCCGCAGCGGAGACCTCCTTCATATACCGGAAAGCGACCTCCTGTCGCACCACCAACTCGAAACCGCGATCCGCAAGACGAGTCACGGCCTCATCCTCCACGCCGAGCACGGCAATGTTGTCGTCAAGCTCCCTGCGCTCTTCAGATATCAGGTTCATCGCAGCAACACACTCCTCGTGGCATAGGTAAGGATAGACTGACTGAATCTTCGCAACTTTCTCGCTTAACTCTCTTTGCGCATACTGCACAAACCGCCGCTGGTGCTCCACCAAACGTTCCAAAAACAAACGCCGCTGCTCAGGATCGAGATCACCAAGGTCAAGCTGCGCAGCTACTCGACCAGCAACGTCGTGCCCGAGCCCTTCCGGCACCGCACTAGCACCGACGCCTGCAGCCTGCGGCCCCGAGTCCGTTATCGTTTCAGCCTGTCTCAGCAGCCGATCGCGCAGCGCCTGCTGCAGCGCGCTGAGCACAACAGCCGCCTCTCCGGCAAAACAGCAGATCTGCTCGCTCGCCGCGGATCCCTCATTCGTTCCGGAACGGTAACCAAACGTGCCTTGAACACAAGCCATGTTCCGCAAGGAACAAACAGGTCACCCGCTGCAACCAGTCAAAGCGCTGTAAAGGTACCCAGATAGAATGCTGCCGCGTGACGTAAGCGCTTCGGACATGGCAGCATGGCGGGAATCGAATTCGAAATCCGGACGGCACGCATGGCGTACCGTGCATGCGTGCGTGCGTGCGTGAATGCATGCGTGCAACGGCTTCCATTTGGCCGCAGGCGGCGATGCGCTGCATCTGGGGCATGGCGTCGATGCCGCTACCGCCAGAGGGCACTGCCTCATGGGGCTTCCGATGCATCAGGCGCAGTTGGCGCGCCTTCGGTGCCTGCAGGCGTCGACTGCGCGCCATACGCTCGATGAGCCGTTCAAGCGTGTCGGTGTGCGGTAGTAGGGGCGGCGCTTCGCATTCAACACCCCTGTAGTTGGAACTTGCTTGGTTGTTGCTCGTTTGGGTGTCGGGGGTTTTGTTTCTGGATCTGTTGTTTGTGAATCGTATTCGCAGTTCTGTGTCTTGGTCGACGGGGTGTCATAGGGTGCTCTGTACTTCGACACGCACTCAAGTGCGAAGACTGTCTTTTGCGGTTTAGCACAGACTGAGGATCACGCTTGAAATGGACTCAACTGCCTTGGGACGCAGAGGTACACAGACGTATCTCGCTGAAGCTGGGAGAAATATTCCCGAGCTCGAAACTGGCACGCGGGCTGCGGAGGAACTCGGAACAGTGTCACTCTCGCCATGGGTAGCGCAGCTCGGGAACTCCAATGGAAGTCTGTTTGGTCTAGGGCTCGATAAAGGTTTGAGCCTCCATCAGTTGCCCTCGCTGCTTTTCGGAAGCAGTACGCTGCTCGGGCATACCCAAACAGGCGGAGCAGTGCAGAAGCTAGGCTCTGATACTGGCACGGACTGGTGTCTTGCGATAGAGGGGACAAGCAGAGATCACCCTGCGCCAGGATTAACCAGAGTCGCTGCCCTTCCGCGCACAGAGAACAGCAACAATGCCAATTTTGGGACCGGTTCTTCACTGAGACCGGATATGCAAGGTGCTGGAACCGCTGGAAGCACGTGGAAGAGATCGGCCGGATGGATGCGGTGGCGAGGAGCGGGCCTAAAGCGCCAGGAAGTCACTGCTGCGCACAGGTCTCCAGCAGCGGCACGAGCCGCCACTACGGCCTCCGAGCTTGCATCGGATGGCACGAAACATCTGCCAAAGACGGACGGGGCGCCATCCGTTAACATCGGCGTCTGGAGCGAGCATGAAATAGAAATGTTTTACAAAGCGCTTCTGCAGGTGGGGCGCGACTTCCAGGCTATGGCTCGCATCATTCGTACAAGATCAGCATCCCAGGTGACAGGAGTTTTTCATCGATGTCTTCGGAGGGCAATCGATCCAGTCAAACGAGCAGCTATGATTAGCCCGGAGATAGCAGAAATAGCCGAATCCATGCACTTATTCGACCGCGTTTTACAGCCGGATCTGCAAATTCGCACTCTACTCGCCGCTAGGCAGCTGGAAACCAGAGGCATCCAAAACAAGGACGGCGTCCGTTCCATCGCTGACCAAACCGCCACCGCATTCGGTAAGTGCGCGTCGACGTCCGATGCCTGCAGCTGGGCCGCTGCGCTTTTGAGCCTACTGCGACAAGAACCTACAGCAGAAACGGCAGCCAGCGCCAGGCCGGAATCAAGCGCTGCATGGCTGAACCGCGCCGGTGCCGGGGCCTACGCCGCGCTCCGCGAAAGAGATAGCCATCATACGGAGCCTGGGCACATGGTTGATATCGAACCAGATCGCATACTTCGCAAGGCGCTCACGAATACTCGCGATGGCAAAAATTTGAACATGGAAGTCAGTCTGCAAATCGTGCCGTTGCCAAGGAGTCCTGAAGAAATCAAACTTGAGCAGTGGAACCGCAACCCTCGCATCCTCCTCACGCTTCGCTTGAAGAAAAGATTCGCTGCAGTGTTCGACCATCTCGCAGAAAAATGGGCATCCTGTATCGCATCTTCTGTGCAAACCTCAAATGAGATGCGGGAACAACTACCGCCTGCCCATTTGCTCCGCCTACGGGTGTGTACCGACGAGGCTTACCGGACCGGAACAGCTGAATTTGACGAGCTCTGGAACGCGAATGCATGCCGCATGGCGCGGGCAAACGGACTCGGACATTGGATGCGTAGGAGCGACGAAGGTGAGCAGCTCCTCGTGTCAGAAATCCATCGGTTGTGCGGTTCACCGAGCCACATCCGCCTCCAATATGCATGGATAAGTGCCTGCGGTGACAGCGAATCAGCACTTGCTCCAGAATCGTTTGAGCCTCGGACTGCAGTTGCCAATGCATGCGATGCAGCATGCGTCGCGTATTCAAAGCCGCCCGCCGTGTGCACAAGTTGCACTCCGCCACGATTTCCGCAGGATGCGGTGGAAACCGGAGCAAAACTTGAAATGAGCAGCAGAGAAAACAATCAACAGTGGGGGCGTAACGATGTTCACCGAGAGGGTCGCGACGGTGTAGGCTCGACTTCAATTCAAACTGCTGGGCAGCGAACACTCGACGATGCACAAGCCAGCACAGACAGCTTGCTGCGATCGCTCTTATACGGAGTCCAGGCTAGTGAGAGCAACTTCACAAACGATGGATACACCAGCGGAAACGCCTCGAATATGGTATATGTGCCATAAAAGCCATAGAGCGCACCTCCAGACGCGAGGTACCCTGCGAACCCTGTTCGGCGGACATTTATCACCGGGCGAACGCCATTACCCGTCTCCGCGGTTCGTCGCGGCTGTTCACCTACCCGTATTGGGCCAGAAAAGGCCAAACACGAGGACCTCCTATCCCTCGGGGGACTCTTCTCTAGACGAACCCGGCCGCTGACCCTCCTGCTCTCGATGGCGCCGCCTGCTGCGATGGTACCGCAAGCCAGCGACGTATGCCCCGTCTGAGACTTTCAGTTGCTCCTTACCATCATCACGCTCATTAACAGCAGACAGTGCTCTGTCGTTTTCTTCATCGAAGCCAAGATCTGCCGGGCTCTCCGGGGTCATTAAACCGTGATTCATGCGACACTCGAGATAGGCCAGCTCTTCACCGCGGCACGCCGCTGTCCGGCCCTCGCGCTCCCGCAGGCACCGAATCACAGCCCGGGCAAAGTCTGCACATAGCCCTTCGCGGTCTAGCGGAAAAGAGCCCTTCTCAGGCGGGGATGGCCGTGACGGCTTCCCACCGCTCAGTGCGTTCGAGGTCGTCATAGCATATCCCAAGCCGTTCTGCGCCGTCGGCGGCGATCCGTTCGCGCGAGCAACGCACAGCGTCGCGTTTCTTGTCAGCGTTTTAGAAGCAGTTCACTAATGCAGACGACAGCTGCGCTTCTAAGAGCCTTTCGACGAAGCGTACAAACTACGCACATCCTTTCTCGCTCTGGGTTCTTAGGCTGCGTGGGGCTCTGCGCTGTGGAGGCGCCCCGCGCTGCAAACGAGCCAGTGCGCTGTGGTCCAGAACGCCGACTCCTCTACGAGGCAGCAGCGACAGCGAGGTTGCTGTCAAGTTCGGTAACATGCGCAGGTTTGCGGTTAAGCAGCCCGGAAACTTCATCATCTCATCTGAGTTCGGTGCAGAATGGTGCACTTCTGGCGGCTGAGGCGCTGCGAAAGTCACAGCGCGCGGCGCTCACGAGTTCAAGCTCGGATAGCGTCGCGCCCCTGGCTGGCGACGGGGCCGTCGCCAGTCGCGCACCGCAGTCGACCGCTTTGCCTGTTGGGTACGCGGACGAGTACTTTCGAGAGCCTCACTTGTTACCTCGTGGCGATCCGACCAGGCGGGCTTTCACATATATGATGCTTGGGTCGGCGAAGCTTGTCGCTGCTTCAGCTGTGCGTGTTCTGCTCTTAAAGTTTATCTACACCATGAGCGCCTCTGCGGATGTGCTTGCGCTTGGTACGGTCGAAGTCGACCTGTCGGCTGTCCCGTTGGGCCAAACCGCGACGATCAAATGGCGCGGGAAACCTGTGATGATTCGGCATCGCACACCAGAGGAGATCGAGGCTGCTCGACGTGATGATAATGCTCCGCTGCGGGACCCCGAGACCGACGCCTCAAGAGCCATCAACCCGGAGTGGCTCGTGGTAGTTGGCGTGTGCACCCATCTGGGATGCGTTCCAATCGCAAACGCTGGCGACTGGGGTGGATTCTTCTGCCCGTGCCATGGCAGTCATTACGACGTTAGCGGGCGAGTGCGGAAAGGTCCAGCTCCGTTGAATCTTGAAGTTCCAACATATTCATTCACAGATGATGGCAAGATTATAATTGGCTGATGAATGAAAGTGTGCGCCGCGGCAATCGAACGGTGTCGACGGACGCATGTCTCGTACGGCATCCGCGCAGAGTATCCGTCGGGCGAGAGATCAATATCGGCGTTGCTTTCTGTTTTTTTTGTGTTGTAACGGTTTCGAACGCATTGCTGGCGCACTTGTAAACGGCTGAAGTCTCTGAACGCCAGGAAAGCGTGCTACGAAAACAAGTGTTTAAAGTACAGGCGCACATAGTACTCATAAGCATCGATGTATCGAATCTTTTCGTTATCAAGCGCCTAAAAGTCTTCATTCAGTAACCACGATAGTGCGCGGATGCTGCGAGCAAAAAGTCGAAGCAGCTCAGCAGCTCAGCGGCTCCCCGGGTTCGGCAACCGGAATCTCTTTCTTTATAGTACGCCGATACCGTGTCAGTTTTAGATTCAAAGACTCAGTTTCTCTCTCTTCGGGGATCCATGAATGCGTCGAGTTCCTTGCATACTATGGAGTCGCTTTCCTTCGGAGACCGCGCCGTGCAGAATCAGAAATGGCCGGAGACGCAATAACCGATAGACTTTCTGCGTCTCAGTAGAAGACGGCATGCAGTCAGGGAAGAATCAAGGAAGCAATGGAAAGAATGCAATGAATGCTCTACGATTAATGTTCCGATTCTCCCGCTTTTTCTGAGAACATGCATCGCCGGCTTAAGGAAATCAGACCGTTGCGTCTCGTTTCGGTGTGGCTGTATCCCGTCGAGAACCGTAGAGGCGCTGTGGGGCCTTTCTGTCTCTGTGCGTGGCGACCGAGGCTGCGGCACATCATCCAGCATCGCTCCAACAACCAGTGTTAGGCTTGGCTCTCGGATAGTCGCTGGATAGATCAAGCGTCCAATCCCGAGGCGATTTCTTGTCTAGAAACAGTGGAACGTTGAGTATTTGGCGAGGTGCTCAGGTGGTTGCTTCCCTGGGCTCAGTTTACAAACGCGTTTCCACGAAATCTCTGCTTAGTCTCATCGATTCCCAACCATAAAGCATCCCGCTGCCCCCGAATTCGACCGATTAATGCGTTGGTTGGTAAGGTGCAGCTACTACGCAGTACAGCGAGCGCCGTGCATGTGAAACCCGCGACTCATACGGCCCCCATGACACGAAGAGCTCGATCTCTACTCTCCAACGCTCCAACTGCGTTCCTCGGAGTCCGCTGCGCCCTTGGAGCATGAAACATACTGAATCTTAGTATAACAGATAGAAGGAAACCGAAGCGCAGCTCATCGAGCAACAATGGGGATAGTCGCCGTACCTTCAACCCACACGACGCGTGGCATATTACATGAAATCTCTATACGGGAAACTCTTTACTTGAAAATATGAGTTTTCCAGGGAATTTAGGACGGAGATTTAAGTTTGGGAGCGCCGATCCGCGCAAGGCATTCGCCTTTAGAAAGTAGAACTTCTGAAACAAGAGTTCGCTCTACTCGTTAAGGACATCTGCATGTACAGAAGCAGGCGCAAAACTACCAATTCCAGCGCTGCGACCTGCGTTGACACACCGATACCAGATTGCAAACTAGCACCCATGCGCTAAGCGGATTCCGGGCAGTGGCACGGATGCATTCGAAGGACTGCGCAACCATTTACAAGCACCGGGCTGCATCAGTGTTGGAGCGAGGGCGCCGTACACGGGCAACTAGACATCCGAAGCCGCGACACGCGGATCGAACCACTGCCCGACTAAGCGGAGGCCGGTTTCGCGGTCGCGCGGCATGCGTCAAAATTGAATTTCAAGAAATCGAAATTCGTCCTGAGTTATTTCGCCAATCGCGGATTCCGGAACAGCAAGCGAAATTCGATTTCTGCACGCCACGCCCGACCGCGCAGCAGTACAACACCTATACCAGAATACAATCGAACCAGTCTTTTATACTTAGAAGACTCACACAATAAAGTATGGATATCTTCCCACTGTCATCAAAGTCAGCTTTGTTGGGAACCATTCCTGCGGCTGCTTCCATTTTCTCTCATTCTCATCTCAGGCTTTAAATTCGCAATGCTTTCCTTTTTCCCGAGCTCTGTTACGAGCAGTCGAAGTGTTTCCACACTTGCGCTCAGGCAACGATATAGATTTTCCAGCTGTTTTCGCCTCATTTTTATCACATGTGCAAGCTACGGTCCCCGCTTCGCTTGGCACATTCATCGTATTTGAATCCAGCATTGTTGCACCTTCCGAACAGGTGAAACATGGCTGTGGTCAGGATTCTCCACTGTTTCACCACGAATCCGCCTCCGAGTGTCGCTTAGTGGAGTGTGAGCGTCTACGTCGACTTTCGGTGCATGCCCTTGACGAGTACAGGATGTCCACTTCGATGCCTCCCTCTCTTTCCGCAACTAGTACCGTACCCTACGAGCACGGGATTCTTTCTCGTCCACTTTGCGAGCACTCTGACTGCTGCACGCCCAAGTGCACGCCTTTCCGTTCCAATGAGGATTTGTCGGATGCGATGTTGGGCATGACGCAACTCGAACTGGAAGGATCAAAAAGGCTGGAGATCAAGTCGACATGCTTCGATCCAATCCCGCTTCCTTCGCGCAAAATGGTTACGCACTCTCCACTGGAGCCAATCGCTAAGATGACTCAAGCCCAGTCCAAGACCCTTACCGATTCAAACAAATGAGACAGGAGCCTATGGGATCGTATCCCGTGAATGTAATTTGCTGCGCTGGAATACTGCATCTTCGCGGTCACTTCGAGAGATGGATTTGTCTCTCGAAGAGAGTCAAATGTTTGACGTTACAAGTTCAGTGAACCTTTGGCATGAGCCTGTGTACCATTAGTCAAGGGAAGACGTCAAGTATTTTTCCTCGCCACTCCGCCGGTGCGAATCGTTGCGCCCACAATTTGCCGTGAAACAGAAACATCGAAAACGAGAAGAATGCCTGACTTGCCCATGCTACACGTAAGGGCAGGAGAACAATGGAGACATGTTGGTATCAATTGGAGATCGTGTCGGTTTTTTACGAACTGCAATTCGGATTCGTCGCGAATCATCTTGATTCCTATGAAAACGCAAGCTCCATTCGCAAATCTCCGAAGGAGCCGCACTGAAAAGACGACGAAGAATCCTAAAACGAAACCTGAATCCATAAGCCCTATGACGGCAATTCGAATGCCGAGCCTAAGTATCTGAAAAAATTTGGAAAAGCAATCGAAAGGCAGAAACAGAGCGTGCATGTTATTAAACAATGTCAGCCTGACCCGAAAGTAGTGTTGCAACGCGCCACGCAGGATCGCATGAATATTCTCGACTCGAACCATACGCGCTATCGTTCACATACTGAGCAGTGAAGGAACGTGACCAGGGGGCATTTGGCCTGCGACTGCTTGACGAACAGCCACACACTACAATATCTGAGCGAGCAGTTACTGGAATATGGTAACGCGCGGTGGGTAACCTGCATTCTGGTGCCCCGCCAGCCAGGAGCTAGTGGAAAACGGAATGCTCGTGGCGAGATTATGAAAAACGCGCAGAATGAGACTGGAATCCCCGTACAGTTTGTGGCAGGCACCGGCGGCTCTCCGTCTACCCTATGAAGCGCCCCTGTCAGGATTTCATTTTCAAAGTTTTGGTCGAATTAGCGATGTTAGCCTTTCGCGTTGCGTCTCGCGCACCAATTGGATTTGGCTGAAATTTTCAAATTCGTCTGCATGCATGACTCGCAGAGAAGGCTTTGATTCTAGGCTTTATAAGATGGACCGATGCTTCCCTAGATAGCATGTGCGCTTCCGAGGGTTCGATCAACTAGTGCGATCTTCTTAGGAGGCACTGGCTCCAGTACGGAAAGCACGCGGCCCGCGGAGCTTAAAGCAGTAGAGGTAGAACTACATATTCGAGATAAAAGAGCTTCCAAATGTCCATGTAAAAGTTGTACACCACCTCGCTACGATGCGCTTCCATCATGGAGGCTCTCGATCTCCACCGCAGCCAAGCAGCAGCAACGAAGTGAAAACCGCCTGCCGCAAATGCTCGATGCCGCGGGACCGTCGCGAGCGCCGACGACATGCAAAATATACCGCCAGCGATGAACATGAAGATCAACATCGTGACGCAAAAGCGGAAGATGTTCCGTTCTCCGAACTGAAGCGTGAAACTGCTGAGTTGATGCTGGTTATCACCTTTCGCATCGGGAATATCTTTCATTAACGCAATCACGATCCCGTACGCAGCAAAGAACACCGTCGTGAACTTGATCAGTGGGGAAAGTTCTGCTAGCCATGGGCCTCTCAGCGACATGACAGCTGAGCGCGCGTGCAAGTAAAAACCAATGTTCACGACCGCACCTCTTACGACTAGAATGCAGAGCGACGCCAGCAGTGGGAAACGCTTCAACCGAATCGGTGGCAACGAGTATAACGTCCCTAGGATGCAGCTTGCGACAAGTGCAAAACGTAGGGCCGCGGTGCTCTGTGGAAGCCAGAAGCCTAGGCTAAACGATCCCAGAAGACACATACCTACGAGGGAAACTGCAGCGGGAACCGATAGCTCTCCGCTTGCTAGGGGCAAGTAAGGCTTGTTCACACGGTCAACTGGAATATCACACAGTTGATTCAGACCGACGATATAAATGTTCATCAAGAGCGCTGGCACGAGACCCACAAGAAGGACTGGAAAAAGTTGAGTCCAAAGTGGTAAAGTGGCTGCACCTAGAGCCTGCCCGGCAGATACGCTTCCCATCAAGGAAAGCGAGCAGATGGAAACCGCACTTCCTAACATCGTATGCGGGCGAGTGAACTTGAGAAAAACGCGCAGTGCACGGCGGACCGCGAAGCGCTCGCCTTCCGTTTGACGGCCTACTTGGTGCACAGGGCGGCCCTGATCAGCGTCGCTGGCTCGTTGCCCGAAGTTGTCCCCAGCCCTGACTGCGTCGGAGCTGGCATCCAACTCGGAGCTGCAGGCCCGCAACGAGCACCCTGTCGCAGCTCTGAGGCCGCAGTTCCCACTGCGGAACGCACATCCGGCACCAGTCCCCTTCCAACAGCGTCCTAGAAAGGAGCGTGCTTGTCTCTTCCCCAAGGAGCAACATGTTGCGGAAACGATGAACATACAACTAGCCAGCAGCTGAGCCAAGTGGATGCTAGGGCCTTGACGCGTTCGCATTGTCCGAAGCCGATCGCTCATGCGTGTACGGCGCCCAGCACATTTAGCCTTCTGACCTCTATGATGTTTCTGCAAGCGTCCGGACTGCTTCTCGGGTTCCCGTATCGGCAATCGAAAAACAAGTTTCTTTGCATTTCACGAGTTGTGCCGGTGCGGGGGAGTCGGTTCCTACGACCGCAGCGACACCCTGGAGGCGTCCTTAAAGTCCGAGGCGAAGGGAGGTCGGACCTGGAGGCGAGCGAAACCCGTCGGGGGGACCTCAGCGTCGCTCCAGAATCGCGCTGCTGCTTCGTGTCGATTCTTGGTCCGTCGAATACCGGGAAGTCGACCTTGGTGAACGCCATGGTGGGCAGCAAGGTGGCAATTGTGTCGCCGAAGGTGCAGACGACGAGGTTCCAGGTAAGGGGCATTGCCATCGAGGAAACGCTCCATGCACAGATTGTGTTTATCGACACCCCTGGCGTATTTCTGCCGAAGCGGAAGTTTGACCAAGCTATGGTAAAAAGTGCCTGGGAAGCGAGCAGAGGCGCCGACATTGTGCTTGTCATGCTCGATGGGAACCGCTATCATCATTTCCGCAAGCTGAGTCATGCTGAAACGAGCATCGCTGAGAGGCTTTCCAGGATCGACAAAGAAGAGCTAGCGAAAACGCCTATCCTTCTTGCTGTGAACAAGATCGATCTGATCCCCCGTAAAGACTTGGATGCCGTCCGCGATGGTCTTCTACATGAAATGGGAGGCCCTGAACGGATCCGTGAAGTCCACCAGATCTCCGCCCGGACTGGAGAGGGCGTCTTCGAACTACGCAGGCGCATCGCGGAGCTAGCACCATTGGGGCCATGGCACTACGATCGTGAGCAACTCACCGATATACCCGAGCGCCTGCTAGCAGCGGAGGTGGTGCGCGAACAACTGTACCTGCAGCTGCGCCAGGAGCTGCCGTACGAGTGCGCGGTAGAAACGGAGCGGTGGGAATCAAAAGAAGACGGCTCCGTGGTCATTGGATGCGTTATTTACGTCAAACGTCAGAGCCAGAAGGCTATAGTCACCGGCGCTGGTGGAGTTCGCATAAAATCCATCGGTGTCAAGGCACGAATGGAGCTGGAGCGTCTTCTCGGCAGGCGTGTTCATCTTCTGACCTTGATCAAGTGCCGCAAATGGGACGAAAACCCTGTGCTCTATCGCCAAATGGGTCTCGACTTCCGAGCTTGACTCCAATCTACCTCTGCGCTGGAAAAAGAATCACGAATCCAGAACCAGAATCACGCGGGTGCTTGCCCCAGCGGCGGTACCTGTCTACAACGAGGTCGCAGACGGGAAGAACGCGCTCGCCACTCGACTGAGCGCGACCCAATATCTCTGCGGGGTGAGCGATCGAGTATGTCCACAATACTGATTCTTGTGAATCGCTGCCTTGTACTGCTGCAGGAAAATTTGTGGATTTGGTCTCGCTATACGACGGTGATCGCTGAAAGGGCGCATATGCGCCGCCGCGCCCTTCACTCATTGCTCGATGAAGCCTGCGTGTCCAGTGCTGCGTGCATGTTCGAGAGCTCCCGCCTCACCGCGAAGCTGGGCTCCGCATTCTCGACATGTGACGAGAAAGTTTGCTGTGTCTGTGAAGGAACGGCTCGCGTGCAGCGTTTGAATCAGCTCGGCTGCTAGCGCCTCTGATTCGCCGTCACTACTGGGAAATACGGTTAAAAGGTCGTCTGTGGACTCGTCTGGGTGGGACCGCAGCGCCAGAGGATCGTAGTGGATGCCGTCGTAGCAGAGATATACGCGGGATGGATACGCTGCAGCTTCGCCGAAAACATCCATTCGAGTTGTCCGAACATCAAAACTCGCTATCTGTACTCCAAAATGATTCGCAAATATGCCAAGCTCGATAGCTCCGCCCCAGCTCGTTGGGCGCTTAATCCAGTCCTGATATTCCTCATTCGTTTTACCAAGAACAGCATCATTGTAGGTCCAAGGATCGGCCGCAACTGCCTGGGCGACCAGCTCTCGGAGCTCTTCCGGTAACAATTCGATGCCTCCCAGCAGCTGTTTCAACACAAACGCGACCGCCCGAAAGAGGCAACTGTTGTCATCGGGGACCACGACGCGTTCAAAGCTCGGCGCTGTCGCTGCAAGCGGCCTGTGTGGTGACGCGACTGCTGAACGTACCGGGCTGGGGCCGGCCTGCGTGGACGCTTCCTGGCAAGCCGGGTCGTGTATACTACGATCAGCGCCATAGGCACCAAAACCACTACTGCCGGCACTACCGCTACCACTGGCGGCGCTATAAACGTCCTGCTCCTGCTGCTGTGCGGCCTCGATAGTAAGAAGGTCACCGCTTTCCAACACGTTGCCGACTCGCTCCTCAGGCGCTGCGATCAGCAGGTTTGGTGGAAAGCCCCGCAGTATCCGGAACGACTTCAAACCGGTCTGCTCCTTGAGAAGCGCCTTCAATCCTTCCACAGTTTGGTTCTCATCGATCTGCAAGACCCTGGTTCCCCGGGGGTCCCGCAGGCGCACAGTTACCGACACCATGCCGGCCTCAAGTGAACCCGCCAAAAGCTCTTACTTAGCGCGGCAGATGCTTCTCCCGGTAGCACTGTTGCCAGCGCCGTTTTCAAAGCCCACACCCACGTTCGAATAAAATGGGACAGATCTCAGAGCATAGCCGTCCACTCTTAAGTTTGGATCTCTTCCTATTGTCATTGACAAGAGCATTTACGGGACATTTTAGCGAAAGATTCCTTTTCCTCTCGCTCTTCTGCGAACGTCAAATATGGCGGTCTCTCGCTGCCCTGCAGCTCGGTTATGAGCAGTTGGAGGATGCTCATAGCAATATGAAGGTCAGGATTTCGCTGCTTGCGCTTGTTTTCGACGTACTTCATGCACAGAAGGAAGCTGCAATTTCCGCTCCGCTTGTCATTTCCATCATATTTGTAAATAGCATAGTTGTGGCCTTGGCGGCGTTGAAAATTGGCTGTGGCCAGTTTTTCACACCTCTACACAACAGCTCCATCGCTGCGAGCCGTCCTGTAATGCATGAGCGCTTGTTTCACCGCTCGAGACGCGTTCCTCATGGCTACAAAGGGCTTTCTTCGATGCCCTCTGCCAGTTTCGTGCCCACAACCGTACTCTACGATCAGGTACTTCTTTTGAAAGGTCCCATCCTAGAGCACTCCGTCCGCAGCAGGTGCAAGCACACGCTGGTCCATTCAATAGCTCACAGTCGGCGTCCCTGCATGCTGTTTGGTTCCTGAGTGCCCTCCCCACAAAACGTGCCTACCAGGGTAACGGTCATTGAAGAAATATATACAGTCATGGGCACAGTTTCCACATGGTCCACTCAATTGCGACATTGCGGCTAAGGAGCCTGTGACGCCCTTCCGTATCACTTGCCTGCTGGTCGAACTATTTTCTAGTTTGCTCCCGTTTGCTGAGACGAAGATGCTAGGCACACGCTTAGGACCTAAGATTGTAGTTGAAACACGAATAGGACGGAATTCGAGCTTCCAGTAAGTCGTCGATTATCCCAGGTGAATCGGGTTTTTCTTCGAAACTCATGAAAGCACAGGTGTGGAGGTTCGCTCTCTCTGGGTCCAGACCGATGCAAATCGCTATGGAGGCCAAGTTCGCGAGGCCACACTTCTGTATACCTCCTTGCTCCACGGCGTGATTCCTCTTGGGATCAGGGGCTCGTCTCAGGTCGGACGGTTGCAAGACGTTCGCTATTGATCATGATGCCTACTCCCACACCATCAATCTCGAGGAAGGACACCGCGCCTCTTCGTCGCACCGAGGCCGTCTCGTTCGTCCCCTTCTCTTCCCATTCGCAGTTTTCTCTGCCTTCCGTCGCTTGGCTTTCCTGCAGCGACTCAAGAGTTCCGCCGAATCTTTGGACGACGTGTACGCGATCCGCTTCATGAACTCCATGCTATCAATCAGCTACTATTCTTCTTCCACGCTACTTTTAGAGCCTCGAACGCATCTACGCCGCCTTTGCACAGGCATTCATCTCCACAATGAAGCGAAAAAGTCGCGAATCGAGGTTGTCGTAGCAGCGACCCGTAAGTGCGTTCAAAACTGGAGAAGATCTCTCCCCTACGGGAGCTGCGGAGCATCAATTCAGATGCGAAAGTGTAGAATCGCTCTCGTTGGCGGGTTACTCGAAGGCGCCAGATCCATCATCTTCTCGCCATCGTCTCCTTTGGGAGGTACTCGACTGAGGCTTCTCACTGTCTTTTCATCCGACGAGCCTATGATCTGCGAAGAAGCACCTGTCACAGAGAGAACCTTCACGTCGTCCAGGCTGATGACTACGTCCTCGTGCATTCACTTTTACGTCAACGACTCAATCACGCGCCGAGAGAGATGACGCTGAGATGGTTCAGAGTCGCAATGCGTACTTTTCCGCTCATAGACCTCCCCGGCGAAGAAGTCGAGGATTTCTATCAGTCTATGCTCCCTTGGCAAAGCGGTGAAACACTTTGTACTGGGGGCCGTCGCTAGAATGACTTAGGCACGAGTCTGTGGTGCTTTTCTGTGCAGACAAAAGAAAGCGCAACCTCAGGGAGCATATCACGTGAGGGGTATCAGGCTGCTGACAAATGCCGTTTCGTTGCGAACAACGATACGAGGAGGCTTCGTCGTGCGAACGGAATCCGTTGCTTGATATGAGGATTTCGATGAACTTTCTGCAGGAGCTTGCGAAGAAATCGTCGAGTGACGATGCCGATTACGTTTCCTGACCTATCCAGCAGCGCGCATCGCTGCACCATCAAGTTTCCTTGATACAGAAAGCGGAAAACTTGAGTAAAGTCTGATTTGAGCACGCCATTCCTAAAGAATCGAGAAGCGTGGAGTTTTTTACGTAAAAATTCGATCATGATATCGGTTATTTAGAAACCCTTTTTAGAGGGCGTCGCGAATCAGTTTGATTCCGGTAATGTAACGAGTTCCAGCGCCAAAGAGTCGAATGAGCCACTCCGGGAAGAAGAACCAGACTTCTAAAAGCAGATGTTTATCCGGAAGCCCCTATTGCTGTGATTCGTATGCCGAGTCTGTGGATCTAGAAAGTCCGGAAGAAAAATCGAAAGTTAAGAACAAAGCAAGTATTTTCGTATTCTATTTTCATCTGACACGAGTATAGCCGCCACTGCCGCCAAGCCATTGCGCAGCAGCGGAACGAGCGCCGCCACCGGCATCTTTTTGAAAAGCCTCGTTGCTGCCGTCCAGCTATGGTGCCGCAGCAGTTCTCGCCGGATCCCTACGAACCGAACGATGCTCTCGATGATGACAGCTTTGAGGTAGACGTCGATGAGGCGGCTTACCTTACGAATTGTGAGCCTGTGTTGGAAACGACCGGGGGCGCGCTCTCGGGTCACGAGACGGACCAAGAGTCTATCGAGTTCTTCAGGCGGCTTTGCGGTCGCCCTGCTGCTCGGACGAGCCTCCTGAGTGCCTCCGAATCGCTTTTATTTAACCAGGTGACATGCGACTATGTGGTAGAGCGGCATCGCGCTGCTGAGCCGCACACAACGGTTCGTGTCTACGGTGTTACGCTGAGTGGCGAGTCTGTGCTCCTGTGTGTGCAGGGCTTTGCTCCGTACTTCTATGCATCGGCGCCGAAGGGTTTCGGGGACGGCGCTCTTGGCGAACTTCGAGCCGAACTGGAGCACAAGTGCCGAACAATGGGCCGCGTTGCCGACTGCTCCGGGGATTGTATCCTGGGTGTCGAGCGGGTTCGACGCCGCTCCGTCTTGTACTACAAGCCGGGCGAAGACGATAGCGAGTTCCTGCGCATTACCGTGCGTACTCCAGACCTGGTGCGCGTGGCGGCAGGACTGCTCAGTCAGGGCTCTGTCTTGGGTCGCGTGTTCGATGTGTTCGAGTCATCAGTCGACTTCGTGCTGCGCTTCATGATCGATACCAAAATGATGGGCTGCTCGTGGATCGAAGTACCTGCTGGTTCCTATACAGTGGTCTCGAATGCGCTGAGCCCGAGTTATGCGCAGATCGTTGCCGAAGCACACTGGCAATCAGTGGTGTGCCACCCACCCAGCGGGGAGTGGCTGCGAACGGCTGCGTTTAGAATACTCTCGTTCGACATCGAGTGCGCTGGAAGAAAAGGAATCTTCCCAGAACCCGAAAATGACAGCGTCATCCAAATAGGCTGTCACCTCGGGGAGTACGGGAAGACGGAGCCTCTCGTGCGCGCTATCTTCACGCTCGGCTCCTGTGCACCAGTCGCCGGTGTGCAGGTGATTTCCCTCAACCGCGAACAGGAGCTTTTGCAGAGCTTTCGGAACTTTCTGGTTGCTGCCGATCCAGATATCATTACAGGATACAATATTGTGAATTTTGATCTACCCTACCTTTTGAATAGAGCGTCTGCAATTGGTGCGAGTCGCTTCCCCTACCTGGGACGTATATGTCGCGAACGCACAACCATGCGTCGGACGCGTCTTTCATCGAGCGCTTTTGGTACGCACGAGAGCATGACGTTCTCCATTGAGGGTCGAGTCATCATGGACATGCTGCAGGTGATCATTCGCGATCACAAGCTGCGCTCGTATTCGCTGAACTCGGTGTCATCAGAGTTCCTCAACGAACAGAAGGAGGACGTCCATTACTCTATCATCACCGATTTGCAGGCAGGTAACGAGCATACGCGGCGACGTCTTGCGGTTTATTGCCTCAAAGATGCCTATCTACCGCTGCGGCTGATGGACAAGCTCATGTCGTTGACGAACTATATGGAGCTCGCTCGTGTGACTGGTGTTCCGCTGGACTGGTTGCTCAGCCGGGGTCACATGGTGAAAGTTGTGTCGCTCCTGCACCGCAAGGCGCACGAAGCTGACCTGCTCGTCCCTGACCTGCCCCGCACGGAAGCTGGGGGGCGCAGTGGCGACGGCGGTCCGCAGTACGAGGGCGCCACGGTGATCGAGCCAAAGAAGGGCTTCTACCGAACACCAATAGCCACCATGGACTTCGCCTCGCTGTATCCCTCCATCATGATGGCTTACAATCTCTGCTATTCGACACTCGTGCACGAGTCGGATGTCCCGAAGCTGAAACCTGACGACTACATCCGCACGCCTCTGGGCCACTGCTTTGTGAAACCGTCCGTACGTAAGGGCATTCTCAGTGAGATGCTCGAGGAGTTTCTGGCATCGCGGAAGGCAGCAAAGAGGGACATGCAAAACGCGACGGATCCGTTTCTCCGAGAGGTTCTGAATGGCCGCCAACTTGCGTTGAAAATATCGGCAAACGCTGTATACGGGTTCACGGGAGCCTCCGTGGGTAAGCTGCCCTGCATGGAGATTTCAGCCTCTGTCACGTCGTACGGCCGCAATATGATTGAACTAACGAGGAGCACGGTCGAGCGGCTCTATCCGGGTGCCGAGGTGATCTATGGCGATACGGACTCAGTGATGGTCAAATTCAACGATCACGCGACTCTGGAACAGGTGATGGAGCTCGGCCGCGAAGCCGCAAAGCAGCTGACAAACATCTTTCCGCCTCCTGTTAGACTGGAGTTCGAAAAAGTGTACTATCCGTATCTGCTGATTTCAAAGAAACGCTACGCTGGTCTCTACTGGACGAGACTCGAGCGGCACGATAAGATGGACTGCAAAGGCATCGAGTCCGTGCGGCGCGACAATTGCCGGCTTGTCGCGAACGTGGTGGACACCGTGCTACAGAAGTTGCTTATTGAGCAGGATGTGGACGGAGCGATCGAGTTTGTGAAGAAGATCGTGTCCGATTTGCTGCAAAACCGTATCGATCTCTCCCTGCTGGTTGTCTCCAAGACGCTGACTCGAGCCACAACTGACTACGAAGCCAAGCAGGCGCACGTTTTCCTGGTGGAGAAGTTGCGGAAACGCGACTCAGGCTCTGCCCCGTCCTTGGGCGATCGGGTTCCGTACGTCATTATCAAGGGAGCAACAAAGAACGAAAAGGCCTACACCCGTGCTGAGGACCCGATATACGTTCTCGAGAACAGCATCCCCATCGATGCTCACTACTACCTAGAAAATATGCTGCGAAAACCCCTTGAGCGCATTTTTTCTGCGGTCATGAAAAGACCAGAGACGCTCTTCAGCGGCGCGCATACTCGCAGTATCCAAGTCGCAACGCCGAGAACCGGAAGCGGCATTATGAAGTTTGCAAAGTTCCGCCTCCAGTGTGTCCGCTGCCGCGCCGGCATCAATGAGGCCGAGTTACAGAAACGAGGCCTCAAAGGAAGTGCCCTCTGCGAACACTGCAGGGACTTTGAGGCGGAGACGTATCTGCGTCATCTCAAGCAGACAGCAGAGCTCGAGCAGCTGTTCAGCGCGCTATGGACACAGTGCCAGGAGTGTATGGGTTCTTGTATCCAGGACGTGCTCTGCAGTAACGGCGACTGTCCGATATTTTACCGGCGGCGAAAAGTCCAGAAGGACATCACCGAAGCGCAAACTATTCTCGGGCGCTTTGGGGATGTCTGGTAAACGACGAAGCGTATAGCTCGCCTTACGTTCCTAGGAGTGTTCAATCGCCAGCGGCCGTGAACCAGGACCGGGTTTGCTTATGAAGCTAGTCGGATGCTTTCCAGTGCGCTTCGGATAAAGTGCCTCAATACGTTCAAGGAGCATCGCTACCGCGTCCGCACGTACAAGCGTCACCGTGCATCCGCCAAAACCGCCTCCCGTCATGCGGCTGCCGTAGACTCCGGGCACTTGGCGAGCTATCTCCACAAGAGCATCGATTTCATCGCAACTCACTTGGTAGTTGGTCCGAAGCGACTCGTGACTCTCGTACATGAGTTTTCCGAAGCGCACGTAGTCGCGCTCCTGGAGAGCGCTCACAGCATGCAGGACCCTGTTGTTTTCCTCAATCACGTGGAGCGCTCGCTCGTAGACTTTCTCTTCGGGTGGACCCAAAATACCTCGCGTCCGACTCGCCTCGAGCTGCTCTCTAGTCGCATCGCGCAGTGAAGCGACATTCAAGGCCGCTGCCGCCTGCTCGCATGTTCTTCGCCTTCGCCCATACTCCCCGTCCGCTAGAGAATGCTTCACGTTGCTATTCACAACAACAATAACCATCTCTGGGTCATCCAGAGGGATCGCTCGTGTTTCCAAGGTCCGGCAGTCGATCAGGAGCGCCGAACCTGCGACGCCTGCAGCGGAGATCAGCTGATCCATGATACCGCTGGGCACACCGGCATATAAATGCTCTACCCGCTGACCCATGCGAGCACGCTCCACTGGGTCGAGGGAAACACCTGTTATCTCCTGGAGAAAAACCGCGCACGCCATCTCTAGCGCAGCGGACGACGAGACTCCACCTCCGAGCGGCACCTCCGACACCACGACTGCGTCAAAAGACGGCACCCGCACAGATCGCTCCAGAAACTGAGCGACCATTCCTCGAATATAGTTTGCCCAGGCCGGGCCAGCGTACGCCTCTCCTGGAGATATGTTTCGAAGCGCGAACTCCACAGGCTGGTCAGGACAAAGCTCGGAAACCAGGCGTGCCCTTGGAAGGGACCCAAAGCCTGAGTCCAGGAAAGAGGTTCCCACAAAAACGGTTTCACGGTCCTCGAGTGCCATAGGTAGCACGAAGCCCTCGTTGTAGTCCGTGTGCTCGCCAATGAGGTTCACACGGCCCGGTGCGGCGCTCGCGACAGTTGGTTCCCCAGAGTTTGGAAAGCACTTTCGAAAGAGCGTGATGCCGCGCTGCACCAACGCCTCTGTACTGACGGTTTCTAGCGTCGGCATGGAAAAAACACTCACCAACCAAACGCACTGCAGCGACGAACAGCGTAACCGAGGCTGGACAAACGCACGACGCTACTTGCAAGCCCGCAGCCACTGGACTTCGGTTAAATTGAGATGGAATAAAGAACGGCACGCTTTATTGTTCTCTTTCGATTTTTCTCAAACTTTTCGTAGATGCAAAAGCCTCTATAATTGAAGAGCATCAATAAGGGTTTACGGATGCAAACGTAGTTTCAGGATTCTCGGTCGTCCTTCTGGAACGGCTCCGAGGCTCTGCCGCTTGAATTCTTTACGTCACCGGAAATAAGATACGTTGCGATGCCCTTGAAGAAGGATTCGTAAACATGAACGATATCATATCAAACTCATACGCATGAGCCTACACTCTTTCCCTGTTCTTACGCGAAGCATGTTCAAATTACGGATTCTCAAACCGTTCTATTTCTGTTTCAAAGCAGACTGAAAGCGCAGCAATGCGGGTCGCTGGATTGACGATGAAACGAACTCGACGTTGTCCCTTGACAACTTGTTCACAAGCTAATGCGGACCGTTCACTAAATTTCTCATGCCAAATAATCGACTTCCTTCGAAAGACGTATCCTACTTTCCATGTAGCCATCGAAGAAACGGCATTCGACATCAACAGCATGATAGCACTTACGGGATATGCTCCCAGGGGCCCCTTTCTCTTCTGTTTGCATGAAAAAGGGGCTTGGACTCGGACTTGAGTTGTCGCAGCGATCAATTATAGTGGAGAACGCTTCACCGCTTTGCACGAAAGGAGTGTACACAGATCGAAGGTCCTCGACTCCTTCTCTAGCCTGGATTTTCGTTACGGTCCGTGTTTCGCCATAGACAACATCGCGTTCCACGAAACCTCAACAGAATGGCACTGCGTGCGCTTCCGCATGTGTAGCGCACAAGTCCCTCGCTGAAGGATCGTACAGAAGAAGCCTTGTATCGTTAAGTGCGGTACCATGCGCGGAAACGGAGAAATGCATCGTGTCGATCTCTGTGTACCTCACAACGGCATGTACCGAGACATCGAGCAGGCGTTCACGTGCTACAGAGCGGCCCTTGGATGAGAAGCTATGGTGGACAAATGGGAACACCTGACGACAGCCACGCGTCGCCACAGAAAAGTGCACACCAAGGTAGTATACGAAGAAGATCAAAGTGACAAGCAATGTGTAGTTAGCAACTTCGGTCTGTTGATGAAAGGCCTAGACAGCGACCTGAAACGGCGAAATCGGGACTTGCACATTGCCGTAAACATCCTTCGGCTGCTGTGAACCGAGCTGTAGAGAAGCGAAAGACCTGTGCGTTTGAAGCCGGAGACAAGAATGGAAAAGGAAGCTGTCACAGAAAAAAACTGCAGAGGCTAATGTTGATGGCGGTCGGAAGACCCATATTCTAGTGTAGACACCCGAGATAGATGAGTGGGCTTGTTCTGTTGTACTCTGACATAGGTGTAGAGGCTTTCTGCCCGAGTCGTGTCGAATGCAGACAGCGCGGCTGCAGACAGACTAGCTATGGAACATGTTCACTACTCGATTATGTGCTGCTTGAAGAGAAAAGATTCGGTCCAGCGTCACTTCGGACACTGAGGCCGCGATCAAAGAATCCCAAAGTGCGGACTGCTTGCACTACGGCAGGATCCATCCGATACCAACAACTGCTGAGCATATATTAGAGTTCTGGAACGTTTTTGCTTCGGGACGCTGCGCTTGCCTGTGCATCTTTACGTAAGCGAAACCTGTTAACCACAGAGGTCGGTTTATTTTAAGGTTTACAGCGGCGTAGACGCTGCCGCTGTAGAGCATAATTTCACTCGACGAGCTCCACTAGCTTTAGGTGAAAAAAAGCGTTTGAGGAGCACGTCCTGCCTCGCTCCGAAGCGTTGGAGCATTTACCTTGCTCGTTGAATGCGTTACAGGAGGCGTTCTTGGCTTTGTCAGACAAGCTGGGAACAGAAGTGGGAACAGTACTCGAATTGAGTACTCAGGGCTTCCATTCGCTCCGGAAGGCAGCCAGATAGTGCGCTGTGAAAGCATGCCGTGGACGCTGTTTTTCGGGTTCGCTGTTGCAGACTGTGCGGCTCACCGAACCTCATATGTTCCAAAGGCTTGTGCCCGCCTAAAACGGCTGAGATGTCCTGTAAAGCGGCTGTCTCTGAGGTGCCGTGGCAAGTCACGGGGCTCTACCCACCTACATTTGCAGCTACGTGAACCTCCGCTCCGGCGTCGCACAGTTCGTGCAGCTGCTCAGGATGCTCTGCAAGTTTACCGAGCACTGAAACCTCCCTGGTGCCAGCCGTGGACTATTTTGCTTTTTGGTGAAGCTTGCATCACATTTTCTTGGTGCCTGTTACCATTCCGTCCATACTCAGCGATAATCACATCAGTGCTTATTCTGGTATGGTGGTACGTGTTCCTTTGGGAATACCCACGCATCGCTAAAGCAACGCTCCACAGTTTCCGCTCGACGGCCTCCCGGGGAAGAAAGAATCCACAAGATGATCCTTGATGGTTTTGGAAACAGCACGCTCGTCACTGTGAAAGACCTGCTTGCGCTCTGGTCGTAGGCAACTGAAAACTCAGTCAGATTCATTGAGCTGCAGTCATTCAGTGAATTTTTGAGAGGGGCCGACCCTTTAACGACTTTGAACCCCAGACGCTGTTCGCGCTGATTTTTATACAGCGCTTCCGTATGGAACTGATCGGTTGAGTGATAGAGACCAGTATCACAAGGTGTTCGCGGATGGTGCTTTCGATCGGATGAAGCACAGGATACTTGCAATGCCGTTCGAAAAAAACGAACTGCGGCACCCGCTTCGGAGACACTCGTGGATGCGCTCCGTACTTTGTGTAGGCAACGCATACCCAGGTGAGTGCGAACGACCCAACCTGTATAGTAACCCTGCCGGGCGCGCATAGTTTCGCTCTATACTGCGCGGTAAAGACAAGATAGCGGCACAACTATTGGAAAGACCCACGGCAGAATAAACGCGAGGCGAAAATCCCACCTCTAAACAGTCCAGCGCTCCCGGGAGGAGGGCCATGGACGTGCGCTGCTGTTTCCGGTCATACTGACCCGCCTGTTGCTCCTTGGGTTCGCGATGCCGTTCCTGTAGCCGATTTGCAATATCCTCCTGAAATCGATGGCGTATGCATTGAGCTATCATGTTCACAGACCGGCAGGGAAAGGCTTCCATTTCGAGCTGCACGCTTACCTGCATACAAGGGCCAGCGAACACCATCGAAGTGTCCTCATTGAGCGGATTCACTACATGCATCGGAGCCGCCTTGTTGCTGGCAAAATGTGCGAGTGAGTCACCACATAGGACAGCATTTCAAGGCGCGGTCTGGTGCCTTCTACGGATGACGTAAGCGTACAGATTGCATGTTTTGTAGTGTAGGATTGTTGGATCGAGCGGCTTGCACAGATGCCCGTGCCGCTCGGACCGTGCTAGCGGCGGCCAGCCCAGTGCATCAGTTCCGAGTGGAGAAGCGTCCTTGACAGAGCTCGTCGAGCACTCTCTGTGAATACTGCGGTGCTGAACTTGTTCTGCAACTTCTCAATGAAGAACACCGTTGGTGCTCTGACAGTCGTCGCGCTCCAACCACGGTGCTGTCAACGTCCCTTGTTAAGAGGTCGTATGGGAGTCTTCGGCGGCGTTCTAACAGAGGTCCCTCCATCCTACAGCATTGGACAGGAGTCGTACGACCTATTCGCATCGTAGCTCCCTATGGTGGACTCGGAACGCTCGCGTGGAGACTAAAGGGGGTCGAAAGTTGATGTACTACAGCGAAACTTGCCAGCCTTAACGTGTCATACGAAAACCAAGACATTCAAGAAAGTGCCTCCTGTGGCGAGACGCGAGTTCACCATGTGCTCAGGGCATTATATAGAGCCCAGCAACAGTTGGCCACACCTTTTGCTGAGGAGAACATACTAGGTAACACCCTGCTCTCTCTGCGATATTGCCAAAGAGATAACGCTCGTTGCTGCTGTAGCGACCTCGCTGCTGGAGTCTGATGCTTCCAGCCCTTGAACAGGACTTTTGGATATGCTTGTTTCGATGCATCGACATTACACCATAAAACCGCACATAATCCCTCAAAGCGTCGCTCGCAATCGATGTATCGGCACGGCAGTTCTGTTCCATGCGGAACTTCTGTGGGCACCAAGCACGGCAGAGCAAGCTGTTTCCCTCCAGATTCCAGCATCCTTCAAAGCATCGCTCATTATCGATGCATCGACAACGGATCCTCCAAAGTATCGCCTATTATCGAAGCATCTATACTGCATCCTTCAAAGCATCGCTCATTATCGATGCATCGACAACGGATCCTCCAAAGTATCGCCTATTATCGAAGCATCTATACTGCATCCTTCAAAGCATCGCTCATAATCGATGCATCGACAACGGATCCTCCAAAGTATCGCCTATTATCGAAGCACCTACACGGCATCCTTCAAAGCATCGCTCATTATCGATGCATCGACAACGGATCCTCCAAAGTATCGCCTATTATCGAAGCACCTACACGGCATCCTTCAAAGCATCGCTCATTATCGATGCATCGACAACGGATCCTCCAAAGTATCGCCTATTATCGAAGCATCTACACGGCATTTCTATTCCACGTGCGATCCCGAACGCGGATAGCTATCGTTCGAAGCTCTTGCCATGCACGCCGCAAACCTGGTTTCTCTGGCTCGACTTGTGACGGCGCCTGTTATTGGGGGCCTAATAGTAAACGATTACTATAGTATAGCTGCCTTGGCCGTAGCAGCAGCAGGTGTTAGCGACGTTCTGGACGGATACTTGGCCAGAAAGTACCAAAAGGTGACGACGCTGGGGTCCATACTCGACCCCGTGGCGGACAAAGTAGTGATCAATGCAACGGCTGCTGCCCTGAGTGCGAAGGGTGTCCTCCCGCTTGGGCTTGTCGGTGTGTTTCTGGCTCGAGACTCGCTCCTCATCCTGGGTGGAGCCTACTTTGCAGTGAAGCTCTATCGTGAAGCGCGTCGTCGGGACGCCGCAGTTGGGCAACCTGCGCGTTCGCAGAGCAGCGACGCCTGGCCATATCGAGTAGCGCCGCTGTTTATCAGCAAGCTGAATACTTTCGGGCAGTTCTGCACCATCTCGTATGCGAGTTTGGGAGCAGCAATGGGTACCGGTGATGACGACCCTGTTCTGCAGGCGCTCTGCTGGGTCGTGGGGTCCACCACCGTTCTCAGTGGAGCGCTCTACGCTCGAGCAGTATTGAAAGCTCCGTCGGGATATCCGTCATCCATTCTGCGCAAGGTATGAGGATGGGTGGTGCGTGCCGCTCCCGCCGTTGCCACATGCTCGTCTCAGCGTCAGGGTGGCCTTTTCGAGACGACACGTGCGCGGGCAACGTGCACGAATAGTGCCTCATGCAGAAGCGCGTGCCGCGTTTCCGCACAGGATGCAGAGTCGTCCTCATTACAGGACGTTCCTGTGACGCATTTGGATCATAAATCACGCCACCTAGCCTTTTAATATAACACACTCGCAGAGGCTAGTCCGTAGAAGCGATGAATAAACTTTGGCGGAGCCATCTGTGCCAAACTCAGCGGATCAATTCCTTAGGGAACAACGCGCTTGTAAACGTAGGGTTTTCGCGGTTGATCGGATGCTCGCGCTTCTGAGTTCATGAACGTCGTAATTCTCGTGTGAGCGTCCCGTGTGCAAATTGTGAGCTGCCGCTCCATCAGGCGGAACGGCGCTCTCGAAGTGTTGCTGAAAAAGTCCACCGGTATATCGCGAGATGCCATGCATATTCTGAACGCTTTACAGAAGGAAGCACACAGCAAAGCACGGAACCCTCGAGAGAATGATTGTATGCGGCAGCATTGCGTCACAGATGCATCGACGCCACATGCTTTGAGTCGACGCCCGTCATGGCGACGAAAGGCCGTTCTGTCTCTAAAACGCGACAGCATCGTTCGTGTTTCCGGCGGTGCAGTGAGCACCTACGCTTGCAGACGCACCGGAATGATCTCTGGACGGACCCATTCTCTGTTCCGAGCTGTACGACTGCTTTGCTGCGTGCGCAACGTGGAAGCATACATACATGAACGGAGCTCCTGTTTTCGGTTGCAGATAATTCTCATGCAGCTTAGGATTCAGGTTTGATGCATCGATCTTGCACCATGAAAGATACTGACCCCACATTACGCGGCTCAAACCTAGACACAAATGCGTCGCCAGGGCTTGTTCCTCGCCTCGGGTACTTCAACAGGTACAAGCAATGCATGATTCACGTGTCGACCATCCGCAAGCCCAGACACAGACGCGTCGCCAGGGCTTGTTCCTCGCCTCGGGTACTTTAACAGATACAAGCAATGCAGGATTCATGTGTCGACCATCGGCAAGCCTAGACACAGACGCGTCGCCAGGGCTTGTTCCTCGCTTCGGGTACCTCAACAGGTATAAGCAATGATTGATCCATGCGTCGACCATCGGCATGGGCAACCACGAAGCCTTCGTGCGTCGCATGTGCACCCCAAGCGAGGGCATCACAGCGCACGGCAATGAACGCGCCACGGCAATCTCGACCTGTCTGCTCACGGTATCTCATGACCCGCTGAACGGCCTCTTCACATGCGCGCTGGGGACTCTGTCCATTTCGCATGAGTTCGACAATGAGATGCGTCGGGCACAGACGCATGAGGTCGTCACCATCACCAGTAGCTACCGCCGCCCCCAGCCCCGATTCACAGAAAAGTCCGCCGCCGGGTAGCGGTGAGTCGCCCACTCGGCCGGGTCGCTTGAACGGGTATCCCGAAGTGGCGCAGCCGGCGGCAATATCACCTGTGCTTTGAGCCGCTATCATCCCTACGGTGTCATGCGATTCATTGGGCCGTCCTTGGAACCTGCCGGCTCGGTATTCCGCCAGACGGCGTCGAGCGTGTTCGGTTAGCAGCTCCGAATCGGGCAAGGGTGCTTCACCGAGAACTTCCTGGGCAAAGTTCACAGCGCCGTTGCCCGCTAGTGCCGTATGCTCGCTGCGCTCCAGAACTCCCCGAGCGATCCCGATCGCGCTGCGATATCCCCTCAAAGCAAACACAGCCCCGAAGTGGGCACCGTCCGTGATGGCTGCGTCGAGCTCTAGTTCGCCGTTCGCGTTCGGCAGGCCTCCGTATCCGACTGAGGTCACAGTCGGTTCGAGTTCTACAACGTGTATGCCAGTTTCAACTGCGTCGAGCGGTTTTCCACCTTTCCGAAGGCAGTCAAAACAGCTTTCGACTCCGCTTTGCGAGAACTCCCAGGTTGCGACAACAAGTGACTCGTGTGCAGTTCCCATCCGCAGCCTCTGAGTCAGAAACAGCGACGAATGTGCATACAGTGCGGCAATATACCTGCTTTTACGTCCGCAGTCAGCTGGAATGCCTCCTCGGAATGCGATCGGAGCGCTCTGAGGCTGGGTTCGTTTAGTACAGGAGACTCCATAAATGTTCAGAAAGGGAATCGCATCAAACTAGAGGCTCCTAGGATGCTGTCTGTGATCGATTTGCACCTGTCCGCTTGATACATTTGATTACATAGTTTTCTCAAAAGGTGATCATGCCCTGACGCCCTCGCCGCGGATCACCAGCACGCCTACAGTGATTCTGCAGCAGCAATACAAATCTGGTCGTATAGTGTGCGCCACAAGTGCCGGATTCAGCGCATCTCGCCGATGTAGCATACTGTATTTTCTCTCATACGATTGCTTCATCGTGACGCTTCACGTTACTGGGCGTCATAGCTTTCTGAACTTAAGCCTCTCTGCATCAGTTATCATGCACTTGACTAGTAGCGCTGTGCGGCTGGTGTTGGCCGTTCTCTTATGGGCAGTGATGCTCTGTGAGGCGCTGACTCTTGCGGCCGCTGCAGCAACACGGGTGCTACCCCTCGAGAAACGCCACCAGAAAGTTGCCGAAGTGCGGCCCGCTTTGCTCAAGTACCAGCACGTGCGGGCCGGGCTCGAGGGTGCGCTTGGTTCGAGTGCAGGCGGAGCGAACTTTGCTCCAGCGGTGCAGCGGGCCTCTGCGGCTGCGGTATTCCGCGCTGGCGCCGTTGAGCCGCTACACGGCGAGCTTCTTCCACTTGGTGAATACTACGCCCGGTTGGGTGTAGATGGTCAGGAGATTGGCGTTCAGATTGACACGGGGAGCGCCAACCTGGCCTTCGCAGTGTCACGATGCCTAGACTGTCCGCGGAGTGACGGCATTATACGATTATCGGACTGGAATGCCACCAGGGTTCCCTGCAGCGACTCCAGCGTGTGTCTATCGGGGACTTGCAGCGCGCTCTGTGGAGCATGCTCTCGCAGGAACGAAGCATGCTGCTCGTTTCTTGATCCTGAAAGCTGCGGCATGATATTGTCGTATGCGGACGGTTCCTACGTGTTTGGAGCGTTGCATCAAGGCCCTGTGAGTTTGCCCGGTGCAGGGCTGAGCGTTCGAAAAGCATTTTACACGGCGATTTTGTATGACTCTCCAACGTTCGAACGGCGCAATGTGGGTGGCATTTGGGGGCTCGCATTCCAGGAAGCAGCATGCTCTCCATCATGCCCGAAACCGCTGTTCGACATCATGTTCGAGGAGGGCGTGGTTGCGAGGAATATCTTTAGTATTTGCCTATCGGATACCGGTGGCGCTCTCATTCTCGGCGCAGAGGCGGACACGCGTTTTCGACGGGGACCCTACTCTTGGGTACGGTATCTTCCTCGGAGCCTTGTCCCATATTATGCAGCCAGCGTCAAGGAGTTCCGTGTTGGCCCAAATGGATCCAACTTGCGCTCATATGCCGATCCAGTGGTCTTCGACTCTGGCACAACGCTTATGGCGTTAGGTGGCGAAGCATTCACCAAAGTGATTCAGGAAATCAAGTCAGTTGTCTGTGCAGCTGACGCCCACCTGTGCCATAGCAGGTTCTGGTCGGAGGCACCTAGCTGTACGCTCCTCTCGGATGCCGCATACCGTAGTTTCCCGGACATAACAATAAGATTCGACAGTGACGCGACGCTGAACATCTCGCGCGACACATATCTAATAAGAGTGGAACTCGCTGGAGAGCTGTACTATTGCTTGGGCCTAGAGGTTCTCTCGCCCACAGGTGCACTTGTTGTGATTGGCGACCTTGTCCTCCGGCGTTTTACAACTGTCTTTAATCGCGAGAATTCGTCCATAGGCTTCGCGCCCTCTGTTCCGGGATGTGGACAGTGAGTTTCTCTATGTAGTGACGGATGAGGTGTGGTGTTCTTTGAATTGCTGATTGCAGAGCGTTCGTTGCGCTATTCATTGAAGCAGTGGTTGTGGGCTTGGTTGGTTTTTCGGTCGTGGAAGGCGTCGACAAAGATCCATCGCCCCGACGCAACGAGCGGTCAGTTTCCTTAAACTTCATCCAAAGTGAGCATCGCTTCACACCTATTTCAGAATAAAGTGGAACCGGTCCAGTCAGCTGACTCGGGTGTAGAAACTAAATTTTGGGTCTCTTCCCATTGCCACGAACATTAGTCGTTGGGGGATAATTCTGCGACAGCCTCCTTTCCGCTTCGCTGACCTTTGGCTTTAAATACGCCGGTCTTTCCTTTCCCTCCAGCAGCGTTGTCAGCAGTCGAAGGGTATCGGTGGCAGCGTTCAAGATCTGATTTCTAGATTCCGAGTTGCTGTCGAACGATGAAATGGACTGGCCCAAGATGCGATCTTCGTTTCGCTTCCTATTTTCATCTTCTCTGTGTGCAGGCTCGGTGCGTCCCGCGTACGGGCGCCCTTGAACCTGCTAAGGTGTTCCTATATATCATTTGGACCTTCTCCTCCTCTGAGGACCGTCACGTGACGCGTGAATGCTTGCTTCATCGCTTGGTACAGGCCCTCGGCGGGTAAAGAGGGCTCCTCGCGATGAGCCCCTTGGTATTCACGCCTGGTGTCGTGCTCTTCGATCGTGGGCTTCTTCTGGACGATCCCCTCGCCGGGTAATCCGTCCGCAGCATAACTAGGTGCAGTTGTCCCATTCGAAATCTCTCCATCTGCTTCATTTCACGGCCCCGATGACGTCCTCTATCGGTTTGATAGATGCAGAATAAATGGGGTTGAATATGATGACTCACCCTCCGTTCTCTGCTGTTTTTCGAACAGAAGAGAGTTTATGGGACGCGATGCTGTCCATGGTGAAAAACGTACCATGAGGAAAATCTAGACTCGAGATCAAGTCAAGAAACGTCGACTCCTCCCTACGCACATTTCGAATACAGCGGAAACGCACTCTGCACGAATAGCGATCGCTACGATGACTCAAGCCGGAGTCCAGAACCCTTTACCACGCAAAGAAAAGAAACGGAAGCATCCGAGAACATATCCGTTGAGAGGCGTCGCGCTATTGTGGAATGCCGTTTTGTCTATGGTTGCAATGAGGAAAGGATTTGCGTCTCAAACGGGATTCATTATTTCACACGAATATTTCAGTGAACTCTAAGCATATGCATGCAATGAGCTCGACCATGGACGAAGTGGAGAATTTCTCCTCCTCTTCAATTCAGCAGCGCGCATTGTTGCGCCAACGAGTTGCCTTACAATAGAACGACTGTGAACTTGGAGCATGCGTCATCTGAGGGTGCTACACGTAAGGAAAGAAGGGGGTACAATCTGGTAAGTACCTACTGATTAACGATATCGCTTAATTCACGCATCTTTGTTCGAGGGCGTCGCAAAGCGTTCTAGCAGTAAGGCCTCGAAAAAGTGACTCCGAAACTATGCCGGAGAATCATGAAAATAAGTACGCATCCGTAAGTTCTCACTGGTGCACGTTGAGTGTCGAGGCTGTATATCTGGAACAAGCCTAGATAAATAGGGAAGTGCAGGGACCGAAGCGCGCGTCAGTACTGCCTCCTAAAGTGTCTCAACTCATTTACGCTCCAACCCAGCTGCGATGTATAGGATGGGATCGAAATCATGCTGGAATGTACTGTATATATCCTAGACGAATTGCATGTAGGATATATTCTGCACTGAACAGCTCAAGGAGGACTACTTTTCTCCTTCAGATCAGTCATGCAACAATACAGAGATGATATAGGAACACGGAAAGAAAGAAGCATATGCGCTCCGCGCCAAAAACGGGTATTCTTATTGCGTGCTTGCCGCCAATGGTAGAAAATGACTCGTCGATGACTTTACTGAAAGCGAAAGCGACTAAAGTAGCCACCATGGGCGTCTCTGTTTCTCGATAGCTTGTTCCTGTTGTCCTAAAAATACTGGGATACAGTCGCAAAAATGGGGTCCAGTTCCACGCACGGCCATCTTCCACCGAAATCGTAACTACAACAACGTGCCTGGATAGGTAGTATCGATATGCAGCAGAGAGACGTCGGTTTGTTTCTTCAATCGATGCGACTTCCTTTGGATGATACGGTCGGAGCGTGCTCGGATAGTCCAGGAGCAGCGAGCCCGTTGAATATCCGATCGAACTCGAAGATAACTCGGAAATCATCATCGATTCTAGATGCAGCGGATTCTTTTGGCGGCCGCAGTCTTTCTCGTAGAGAAGGCTCACACAATCACACTCGCTTTGCCAAATCACTGAAGGCTTCTCCCTGAAGTCAGGTGACATTTCACCATTCCCCTTGCGTTCGGGATTTTGCCGGTTCTATAGGGATAGAGCTGCTTTTCCTTCCTCGGTGCTCTACGTGCTTCAATGCCATCGAAGGAGTGTTTTCTATCGTGAAACGCAATAATCGCTGCACTGGGCGAATCGCTGAAGCGTTCAGCACACGGCGACACAGTGGGGCATACCATGTCTGCCGTCCGCAAGCCCTTCTCCCGCAGGGAATGTCTTCATCTAAGGGCATAAGCAAGTGCGTTGATTTGAAGAAATAAGAAACCGAAGGAGAAGGTATGGACATGGACGCCGAGGATTTTCGAGGCCCGACATCGCCGACTGCCGGAAAAGAACGAAAAAATCCTCTTGTCGACTAAAGCCGAACGGAGAAGATCAAATAAAGAAGCAGAGGAGGGGAAATGGGTCAGGAACAGTGTTTGCCCAACAGGACGATGACGAGAGTACAGTGGCAAAGACGGCAAGTGTTCTTGGAATCCCTCCATCGGTGAGCTCAAGCAGCGTCAATGAATGCAAAGAGATCGCAAACTGATACTTCGCCGCCATCAATAAGAGAAGATGTGCGGTGCTGAAGATGAAACCACAGGAGCCGACTCGATACAACTTTGTGAGGCAGGCTCTGATGCTCGAAGTGTGCAAGGAGAAACTGAAGCCGATAGCAGGCGACTGGTCCAAAAACGCTCTTAGGCGTCTGCGCATCGGTATTAGTTTATCCTGCATGTCCACGAAGCATTTTTCGTTTTACAAAATAAGTATTGGCGCGTTTTGCCTGCTACAAGCCCTGCATAGAAGCGAGGCGCTGCCGCTCAAGTCCGCTTAGGAGGATCCAAACTCTAATTCTGTTCCAGGGCAAGAACTCTGTGCAGAAACTTCAGTTTAAAACCTAGATGATACGAGCGCTTGCTGTATTGCTGGTGAGCGTCCTCTGCCTTGCAGGCGCCGTAGGCCTGCTCGACAATATGGTTCTTGGCAGGGGGCCTGCAGCTGTCGCAGAGCTCGCTGGACGCGACGGCATTGTACTGCCTCTCGAAAAGCGTCCTGGAACAGTGGAAAGGATCTATTCGGCGCCAAGGAGGCACGGCGAGCTTGCCGCGCTTCTCCGACCAGCGGTGAGTGGCGTCCCGGGCGGCTCCTCTCAAGAAGATAAGCTGCCCGTAAACCCGCTCGCTGGAGGAATCGTGAACGTCGGTGAGTACTATGTTGCTATATCGGTGGATAATCAGACAGTTCACGTCCAGATTGATACAGGAAGCTCCGCAATAGCTTTTCCTCTGAGCCAGTGCAAGAACTGCCTCAAGGGCGATCGTCGGGTGACTCTAGCGAACCCCGACTTGACACGCATATCCTGCTCGAATGAGTCTATTTGCAAACCGTCGACATGTAATAGCCTGTGTGGTGCGTGCTCTGAAGCGAGCAAGGCCTGCTGTGCTCCAGTAGACACCAAAGCATGTGGCTTTCGACTCATTTACGGGGACGGCAGTTTTGCCATTGGGGCGCTCCATGTTGGCCGTATAACGCTTACGCAAACAGGGTTGTCAGTGTATCCCGCATACTTTGGTGGGATCCTCCTGGACTCTGCATCATTTGAGCACGTTGATGTGGACGGTATCTGGGGTCTCGCATACCCGTCGCTGGCGTGTAATCCATCATGTGTCCCGCCAGTCTTCGACACGATGGTACGCACGGGGGTTGTCCCGCGCGATATGTTTGCGCTGTGTTTGACGGACACATCTGGGGCTTTGGTGTTCGGCGGTGCTGCCGGCCCGGAGATGCGCAAGGGCGAGTACCGCTGGGTACCTATGGTGAATCGTGCGGTTCGCACGTACTACGAGGTTGGCGTCGAGTCGGTTCGCTTCGGCACCGATGAGAGCGCTGGTCTCCCAGAGATCCGATCCGCCATTGTCGACTCAGGCACAACACTGATCGTGATAAGCACGAGCGCCTTCGGCACATTGCGAGAGCACCTCCAATCCCGGTACTGTGACCAAGTACCAGGCCTATGCGGCGAAAAAACCTGGCTCGAAACCGGTCGATGCGCAACGCTGACCGACAGGCACGTTTCGCGCCTTCCACCGATCAATATCCGGCTGGCAGGCGGTGTCGAACTGAGCGTTCCTCCGGAGTTGTATATGCTGCGTGCCCAGAAAAATGGCCGAACATTTCGTTGTTTTGGCATTCAGCACGTTACGGGGGAACTTGTCAATGGACGGGTCATTCTTGGAGACACATTCATGCGAGCTTATGTCACAGTGTTTGATCGAGAGAACTCCCGGATCGGTTTCGCGCCGGCGGCAGAGAACTGCGGAATGCCTGCAGCCGGAGATCGCGGTATTGTGTACACCTCGTCGAATGCGACCGACATGTTGCCACGCGCTGGCTCGACTAAGGACATCGCTATCTTTGGATTTCATGTTTCGCGCAGTGCGGCCTTGCTGTTTGGCCTGGTTCTGGCAGTGGCTCTATTGTTATGCCTTGCTGCTGTAATAGTTCGCTGCATACGGTCACGCCGAGCGGCTGCTCAGACGGACGACCCCGGCCCTCGCGCGGACGGTTCGAGGACTGCCCTCCTGTCGGATGTGTAAACGTGCTGCTTACCGCCTCCGACTTGACTCGCCTGGAGCGCTGAACAGGGAGTCTCTGTCCCTTTTCAGGCGATTCGGGTTCTTGCATTGTTCCGCGATGTTGTGGAGGTACGGACTCGCAGGACCATGAAAAATTCGACATTTGACCACTTTCCGAGGAAGCAGCACATCGCACCCGCGCCGTCGCCGAACTCCACAGAGGTACGAAGGAGTAGCGGAATCGCTTCCATCGCCGCGATGATCGGGAGAGACGGCGTCCGATGCGGCGCTCCTGGTGCAGCACTAGTGTTCCGCGCTCGCTGACATGTCGAGCACTGCGCATCGGAGCGACTCCAGTCGATGTCATCGATCTCCCATTATGATAAAAATCCCGAGTGCCCTTCGCCCGTCGGCGTGGGGAAATCACGTCCATCTTTGGGATGGAGGTGTCTGCAGCGCACCCGAAGATTGAGCATCATAGAACTGCGTAGCCTGCGCGTCTCAGCTCTAGCCTTTGTGTGCTACTGCTCCAGAGGCGTGTTTGATAGTGCACTGACGCTGATGGCTGGACAGCAACGCTCGACTCGCATGCCCGATCGTATCGGGAATCCCTGACTTGTTGCAGCGCCCGTTGAGCACGATTCAGCGACGCGCTGAGCGATGTAGGCTGATCACCTGTTGTTTCGATTTCGCGGGCTGCGCAGTGGCTGCCAGGCGAGCCCAAAAGACGCTCACTCGAAAAAGCGCGACTTGCTCGACAACGCCAGGAAACTGTACAACCTAAAATGTGCCTGGTTCAGTTTCTGAATCGAATTCTTCGGTTTCATGTGTCGCCATGTGTATGAAAGGTGGAATCTAAACATATGCGAGCTTTCACGACATCATACCCGTGGGGCATCTGCGCACGGGCACACGTGTCCTGCGATGCATGCGCTCCAATCGGATCTATGGCGGTAGGGCGTCGATCGTCAGAGGCATCCGCTCGGGCATCTGCGCACGGGTACACGTGTCCTGCGATGCTGAGCGCTCCTCGACAAGGCAACCCATACCGAGGATCGGTGCTGTCCGCTGGGTACACGCATGGACGCAAACATGGATGCGTGCGTGCACGGAGGAATGGATGTATTTATGCACGGATGCATGCAGGGTTTCATCCACAGAAGCGCGAATATGTGCATATAAGCACGAACGTGTGCATATACGCACGCTCACACTCATGCAGGCACGAATGCATGCATTTGTACAAGCAGGAAAGTTTGCACACAGGCACGAATGGATGCATTCATAGGAGCGCGAATGTCTACATATTCATGCGCGATTATGTGCATATAAGCATGCGTGCATGCACGCATGCTTATATGCGTGCATGTCGACCGTGTACAGGACACGCACGGTCCACCAAGGTGCACTGGCTTTTTCTGGTGTTTTCTGTGCGTTTTGTGCTGGACTCAGAGGAGCCCCCTGATCTGGTTGGTGACGAGAATTTTCCAGGTTCTGTGCAGGGTTACCGGTTCTTGCTCAGCCGAGATCACTGTCGGCGGCGAGTCAAAGTAAGTAATCGAACAGATGAGCTCGACTATGCATTCTCTGGGTTGCGGAGCCCCAACCCGTCAGAGTTTGATCGATGAGACTGACGGAGGCGAAGAGATCTTCCTTATGACGACGGTGCGGAAGCAGCGTGTTGGCATTGCATGGTGCTCGACGATATCGCTTGTGATACGCTTTTGTGAGATAGGAGACTCGGCGCCATTTTCGCAAACCGAGCGCACCCTTCGAGCGATCGAGCCGAACCTTATTTTAACCCCCGCAAACGCCATCGACGAGTTCAGGGCGATGCTAACGCGGGTAGCGTCACAGGCTGTCCGCGACATGCACCGCAGCGAAGTCCAGCAAATCGAAGCTTTCCCCGCTGAAAGACTCACCGCCGTTTCCGGTGGACTGGGCGATTGCCTCGAACTCGCTGATGGCGGCGGGCCGCTGGTTCTTCTCGCCGCGGATGATGTCGCGCCTCAGCGCATAGAAGAAACTATTCGCTGGTGGCAAAATCCTGTAGACGCCTTCGCTCAGCATCAATTGAGCGTAGATGTAAGCGGGAGCTCGTCTCCGGACCGGCGAGCACCATTGGATGATCAGGGGCCGGTCGGGCAGACCTGCCTAGGGGCGCTGCTGTCGTTTCTAGCGATGCGCTGTGATGTTGATATCCACACCGTACGCGCAGAGCCCTTTTATATGGAGCAATTAGCTATATCGCCGATGAGTCTTCTGCGAGAACTGAGGGTCCTACCGGCCAAGGTTTCCGCGCCTAGGTCAGGCGCTCGAGTCCATCAACACGGGCTCACGCTTTACCAGATCATTAGCAGCTTCGGGGCCTCGGCGCCCGGACAGAGAAAAATCCGCGAGATTCTAACGCAGCCAATCTGTGACCCTGCGCGCATTCGAGAGCGTCTCGAAGTGGTTCAGGCCCTGGCCGGCGCCTTGGCCAGCATCGACATGATATTGTTCAGAAAGCTCCTGAAAGCTGTGCATCATCCACAAAATCTTTGGAGGCGCTTGGTTTCGGGCGCAGCGACTGCGGAAGACTGGGCAGCGCTCCACGGATGCAACGTGGCAGTCGCGGGGCTCTTTAATGGATTCTCCGACTTGGTTCAAATCGTGTTGCCTGTTTGGCGCGAGAGAAGCGCTTTTCTGCAAGAAAATGCGCAAGAGTTGACACCCGTGCTCGACCCGGAATGGTACACAAGCGTCGCGACACGAATCGGGGCATGTATCGACATGAGTGGATCCAAGTCGGGCTGGAATCCAGCCGTCAAGACCGGCTTTGATGAAAACCTTGATAATATGAGATTAGCCCTTGAATCTCTGGACAGTTTTCTCGAGAGCGTGGCTCAATCGGAGAAGAGCAGGTATTTTGGGTCGTCCGCCACGGAGCGGTCGATCTGTGTACAGTTTCATCCGCGCCTCGGCTATGTGATGAAGATCTCCCGCTCAGACGCTGCCCAGATGGAATCCGATGCCTCTCTGGAGCACGCGCTCGACACCGATACTGATGCATATGTGAAGAACGACAGAACGCGTCAGCTCGATGAGGAGCTCGGTGATCTGCCCGGGGCCATCAACGACCTCGAGAAGAGCATCATTCGAGATCTCGAGGCCGCCGTGATACCCACGATACCAGTGCTTAGTCGCACATGCGACTTGCTGGCAGAGATCGACTGTTGGCTCAGCTTCGCCCTCTCTGCGATGCGCTATGAGTGGACTTGTCCACAAGTCCTCGGGGCAGAATCAGCCTGTCACATCGACGTAATCGACGCTCGCCACCCGATTCAAGAGCTCACCGTGGACTCTTTCGTTCCTAACAGTCTCTCTGTTAGGCGCGGGGATGTCTGTGTCGTCACAGGGCCAAACGCAAGCGGCAAGAGCGTGCTTCTGCGCCAAGTTGCGTTGATTGTACACATGGCACAGGTTGGCTCCTACGTGCCGGCGCGTAGCGCCCGAATCGGCGTGACCGACCGGATATTTGCCCGAGTGAAGAGTTTCGATTCCACCGGCCGCGAGACATCAACATTCATGAACGATTGCATCCAAATGGCGCAGACGCTCAGGTACGCCACTTCCAGGTCGCTCGCTATTGTTGACGAATTCGGCAAAGGCACTTCCGATGAAGACGGAAGGGCACTTGCGGCAGCGGTGCTTTCAGAGTTGGCAACCAACGTCACGGGGCAAATGACGGTGCTATTTGCGACCCATTTCCATGAGGTGACCGGGACACTCTACGCGCAAGCTCACGCGAACTCGCGGCTGCGCTTCTTCAAACTTGAAGTGCTCGTGCAGGAAAACCGCCAGACCGGTGATGCTCCAGATCAGAACGACGACGTGGTCTTGACCGCGCTGTACAAGTTGTCTGAAGGGGCGCCCTGCTTGGACTCCTACGCGCTGGCCTGTGCCCGCGCGAACGGGATGCCCGACGCCATCCTCTCCCGTGCACGAAAGATTCGGCGCTTTCTGCAGGCGCGAGCGCTTCCACCGGAGGCCTCTCTGGAAAGCGCTGCGACGCTCCAGCTCCCTATACGCGATGCATGCCCTGCGAGGCGCTATGTGCGACTGCAGCATATCGTGCGCCAGGTTGGTATCGTGGCGAGCACCGCTGCAGCTGGTAGTCCCAATCAAGCCCACGCAACAAGTCCGCGTGTTCTCCATGCTGTTCAACAGCTGCTTCAGGATGTCAGCACTGGACGCATCTGGGCCTGCTCCGAATCTCGCCCGGGAAATGTCTAACCAAAGTGCGTTCGAATAGACGCAGATTCAACTTTTCCATGCGTGGTGTATTTGCTTATTATCCGAGGATTTCAGGGCACAAGTAGCTCGGACCAACATATTTCGCTTTCGTAACGTGTAAGACTCTCTGCAAACTTTTTGCTCAGGTTGTGTTGTGTAAAAAAACGGATGCGGGTGTCGGTTCGCGGTCAACTGTTCAAAAGCTGGAGGTTGCGTCGGAAGAAACCTCGTAAAAGGGCCACCGACACCGAACGCCGTTCTAAAGTCGGACGACGCCGACCGTTTACAGTAGTGGCGAGAAACCCGCCCTAGACAAAAAGTCTCCAACTGACGTGCAGACGCCTCCCCGTCTTTTTGGACCGGCCACCCACTACTGCTTCCAACTTCTTCTCATATAGGTCGACTTTGAGAGGTTGTCCAATAAAGTTCATTGTTGTTGACTCTGGAGGTCTCTTCTCCAGCACCGCACATCTCCTTACATTGATGGCGGCGTTTAAGTCCCGGTTCACGAATTCCATACGTTTCGTCCCGTTGATTGTACTTACTAATGGAAGGAGTCCACGAACTTTCGCCCTCCTTTCCATTTGCTCCTCTGCCAGCTGTCCGTACTTTGCTATTTCCTCGGGGCTCCGTTGGCACTTTTCCATCGCCACTCTCTGAAGTGTGCAACCCAGCTCGTGGTGTGTGTACGATGTTCGAAACTCATCTATAGGTATCGTGACGAAACGCCTTGCGCACTCCTTGTACGCTCTCGTCGTTGGAGCTGGTGTACACCCTTTTTGGGTCTTCCAGTGCCCTGCTCCGTACGCTACTACGAGCCCTTGACGGTCGTCCTCCTTCAAGGCGCTCAACTGGTTGAAAGAATTCGCGAACGCCCGCCGCTTACCACAATACAAATTCATTCGCAAACGAGCCCACCGGGACTTGGTATACTCATCCCACAGTGCATCCCAATGAGCAACGCGAAATTCTATGAACTCCCGAAGAGCTTTAAAGTCCGCTCCGCGGCTCGTCACCTCGCTCAAAGTTTCCAGGCGATCCTTCATTCCTGCATTCCATGTCTCGATTTTCTTCCTTGCATTCACTATATCGGATTCTCGATAGTATATCGCTCTCGAGAATCTCAACAGATGCACGTCTTTCTGACGCAAGTTAACCGGTAAGAACCGGAAGACGTACTGGAAGAATATATTCGATTTCAAACCTCTCAAAGTGATCAAGCAAAAGTTTTTCACTGGGATGATCGAACCCGATGGAGTAGCCATGTGTGTACACTATCGACGGTTGAAGGCAGATCGTTCAGTCCCGCCTTCGGCTTCGTCCGTGAGGAAGGATGAAGATAAGAAGACGGCGGATCCTGCGACGCAGAAAGTGCAGGATAACCACGTTATCGTTTACGCGGCGAAGCATGAAGAGAAGAAGGAGGCGGAACCTGCGACGCAGAAAGTGCGGGATAGCGACTTTGTCGTTGGCGCGGACCCTGGGAATACCAATATCATAACCATCGTAGCACCGAAGCGTGAGGAAGATGGTACTGACGGCAACTTACGTCAGAAAGACGTGCATCTGTTGAGATTCTCGAGAGCAATATACTATCGAGAATCCGATATAGTGAATGCAAGGAAGAAAATCGAGACATGGAATGCAGGAATGAAGGATCGCCTGGAAACTTTGAGCGAGGTGACGAGCCGCGGAGCGGACTTTAAAGCTCTTCGGGAGTTCATAGAATTTCGCGTTGCTCATTGGGATGCACTGTGGGATGAGTATACCAAGTCCCGGTGGGCTCGTTTGCGAATGAATTTGTATTGTGGTAAGCGGCGGGCGTTCGCGAATTCTTTCAACCAGTTGAGCGCCTTGAAGGAGGACGACCGTCAAGGGCTCGTAGTAGCGTACGGAGCAAGGCGATGGAAGACCCAAAAAGGGTGTACACCAGCTCCAACGACGAGAGCGTACAAGGAGTGCGCAAGGCGTTTCGTCACGATACCTATAGATGAGTTTCGAACATCGTACACACACCACGAGCTGGGTTGCACACTTCAGAGAGTGGCGATGGAAAAGTGCCAACGGAGCCCCGAGGAAATAGCAAAGTACGGACAGCTGGCAGAGGAGCAAATGGAAAGGAGGGCGAAAGTTCGTGGACTCCTTCCATTAGTAAGTACAATCAACGGGACGAAACGTATGGAATTCGTGAACCGGGACTTAAACGCCGCCATCAATGTAAGGAGATGTGCGGTGCTGGAGAAGAGACCTCCAGAGTCAACAACAATGAACTTTATTGGACAACCTCTCAAAGTCGACCTATATGAGAAGAAGTTGGAAGCAGTAGTGGGTGACCCGTCGAAAAAGACGGGAGGCGTCTGCACATCAGTTGGAGACTTCTTGTCTAGGGCGGGTTTCTCTCCTCTACTGTAAACGGTCGGCGTCGTTCTACTTTAGAACGGCGTTTGGTGAACGCTTCGACGCTATCATGGATGCAGTTGGACTCTGGTTACTTTTGGGTGGCGGTGTATTCGTGCTGGGTGCGCTTCGCTTGATGGGTAACCACGTTGAGAACCCTGCAGTGCAGCCGCCGCCACGGCACCATGAACGGCCGGCACCGAGGGCGTTCACTGGCGAAGAGCTTGCTCAGTACAACGGAACAAAAGGGCAGCCGATCTACGTGGCCGTACAGCCACGGCCTGGGGCGCGGGCTGAAGTTTTCGACGTCTCCGATGCGAGGTCTTTTTATGGGCCCGGTGGGCCGTACTTTGTCTTTGCTGGGAAGAACGCGAGCAGAGGACTCGCAAAGATGAGCACGGAACCTGGCGAAGTCTGTGGCGCTATTGATGATTTGACGGAGCACGAAAAAGAGACGCTGTACCAGTGGTTTGAGAAGTTTCTCCAAAAATACGAAGTAGTTGGTCATCTGCGCGAGGATCCGTCGGGCTCTGGCAGTTCAACGAACTGCACAGCTTGAGAACTCTGTTCATTACTTTTTTTCGTGCCAGGAAAGCACCCTTGTCAAATATACGGCTACCAGAAACGCGCTTGTAGTATATGTCCATCGTGCGGAAAGTGGGATACGGTTTTGAGACCAGGTAAATTTCAGTGTAATAGACAGCGGCTGTTGCTGCATTGCAATGGTGTAGCGTCGATCTAAACTCCAACGGTATCATGCGTCCCGTGCGAGGGCTAGTAGCTGAGCCAGACGGGCACGCTGACGGGGCGCCCACATATCCCTCGCCGTGTGCAGTGAAAGCTCCAGTAAAGGCATGAGGAAACTTTGTTAGACGTTGAACACGGTCACCATCATCTGCTGCTGCTGCTGCTTTCCCTTTGTATTCCAGTGCTTTATTGCGATCACATCGAAGGCAATGCGTCTTCGGCTGGACAGAAAGGATGGTTGTGTACAGCGGCCCCGGGGTGGAGCAGCACACACTAAATACCGAAAGTCAGAATGGGGAACAAGTTCCTAGGCGTTGCGCGGCGCTTTCATTAGCTCTCAGCCCGCGACGAGGTTCAGGTGTTTCAAAGATTCAGGACTAGGCAACGCGCGCGTTTCGATGCAGCCGTGTTACCGAGCGCGGATGGATATTGCGGGTTTTGGCAACCCCGAGCGCATTTGGATACATACGTAGAATCACAGTGACGCGTGTGCTACCCGAGCGCTGTCCGGGGTTTGCAGGGTTGGCGCTGCCGCGTTGGATACCCAGCCACGGACAGGGCGCGTCACTGAAGGCTGGCCACTCGACGTCATGTCCGAGTCGCTTGCCGCGCTGCCGTCGAAGCGGCCTCGCGAGTGCGTTTCCCTTCAGCATTCTTGCAGATCCAGGGGCCCTGCGGATTCTGCCCGAGGGCATTTGGTTTAAGAGCTTCGGCCCGACACCCGCAATGGCACGGCGGGGCTGCTCTGTTCCAGTGCGGTCACCGTGGTGGCGTCGCATCCAACCTCGGAGCAAGTAGTATCGGTAGACGCGGCGCTATACGGACACATGCCGCTGGATCGATTGAAAACCATGCCCCAATGGAAAGAAAAGTTTTGGGCCACTGGAACGCAGACGCATCTGGAGAGCAGAGCTGCTCCCTCCACTAGTTATTGGCTGCTCTCGCACAACCGGAGGAGTCAGGCTCTACGCAACAACATTGAAGCAGGTGCCTAAGATAGCTTGGCTCCCGGTTGTTCACTGGGTCGAACAAGCCTCTATGCCGTGGGCATTTCACAGTACCGTGGCTGGCGGAAGGTCCAAGCGTCCGCAGCGAAACGACTGTTTCTAAACTGACCGCTGGTAACGTTCGCGCACCCGAGCGAGTCTGGTCAGTTTCAGCAAGCCTAGACCGTAGCAACGAAAGCAACCTCTGGAGCGTTAGTCGCCCCCGCTAACAACTCCATTGAGTGCAGTATGCGCGGTACACAGCTCTGAGGCTGCGAACCGCAGGAAGTGTCCCCGAGCGTCTTGCTGCGTAGTGCAGTACCTCTAGTGCCAAAGCGGCACGAGCTTGCAAAATGTGAGGGACACCGGATTTGAACCGATAACCTTTTGATCGCCACTGCGGACTGGAGTCAAACGCGCTACCGTTGCGCCAGCCCCCCGAAATCGAATGAGTCAATTCGCGAATCAGTATATAAAGACTTAGCAAAAATCTCCATGCGCGCTGTTTTCGCGCGCTTCCCAACGGTTGCTTCGCTGGGTGGATACAAGCGACTAATACAACGCCCATGTCGGGCGTTTCTACGTATACGTTTTATGGGAGGGATTTCACACCGACGAACCAAGCCCGACTCCTGAGCCAAGCGCGCAATCAGAGCACCGGGAGCGCTCGTGCACTTTTCCGGCACTTTGAAGTGCAAAGTTCCGCACTAGCTTTTTCGGAGGAACGTGAGCGGGCGCTGCGGCACTCTGGCCTCACGGAGGCTCTGTTTGTTTTCGCTCGTGAGCTAGACGCAACGGGCAGACGGGACTACTTCGTCGGCACGCTCGACTCGTTTCTTTACAAGAGCTGGCGTTACGTTCCGCGTTGCTTCAGCGAAGTACTCAGAGAGGGCTTCGCGTGCAAGCTCTTCTTTGACCTGGAACAACGCCTTTGCCCGGACTGGGCGGACGAGCACCGCAGCCGAGTTGTTCAGCAGCTTGATGCTGCGGTTGAGCGTCTCGTTCGAGTTGTCCGAGAGGCTGTGCGAGAGTGCGCAGGCGCGGACGTTGGGAGTCGGTTTCTCGAGGTTCTGGAACTGGACTCTAGCATACCGGCGAAGTACTCACGGCACCTGATATTTCCCGGAGTTTTGCTGCATGATAACATGGCTGTTGGCTGTTTTGTGAGGACCAGAGTTCTTCCGCGGCTTGAGAACGAGCTGCCAGAGGGTTTCATTGATATCAGTGTTTACTCGCGGAATCGGTGCTTTCGACTACCGTATTCTCAAAAGTTTGGACGCGATAAGGTTTTCGAGCCGACCGCAAGATGGATGGGCTCGATATTGTGTGCCTTGTCCACCGAGGAGCAGCGGGCCCAAGTTCTCCGCACTGCAATGCTGACGAATGCATTTTATGAAACGTCGTGCTCGCTCGAGCTGCCGCTGCCGCGGACGGGCGGCACTGCCCCGCCCGTGCACTCTGCGAAGCATACGCCGAGTGCACCAATGCCGGTTTCTGGTCTGGAACCAGGCCGTCTTCGCTCTCTTTTTCCAGCAATTGAAGACTATGTCATCGAGTATGCGCGCTCGAAGGATACCTCCACGTGGCCCCGTATCCGGAACTGGATGTACTTCGCCTCCTCACGCACGCTGCTACTTTCGATGGCGAATCATCGCTACTGCGCACGCGTTCGTCGGCAGCACCAATCGAATCATGTGATCTATGTTGTTGATCTGAATCAGAGCGTAATGTTTCAGAAGTGTCTTGATCCGGAGTGTGCAAACTGGCGTTCCGAGCTGCATGCGCTCCCGCTTGTCGTGCTTGGGCCCAGCTGCGCTGCAGAAGCTGCTAGTGCAACCGGAGCTGAAGACGCGCTTGATCGAGCTGCGCTCGAAGCGCTCACTATCGTCGAGGCCTGCTCTGGGTCAGAAGACGCGTTGCTCTACGATTTGGTGACTGCGGCGGAGGTGCAGTACGGGGGAGCAAAGCAGTGGGAACGCGCGACCCCTGTGAATGATGATGGGTTTCTTGGCCTCGTCGAGGTGTGCGAGTTGAGCGAGGATCTCTGTGCCATACAGATGCACGTGAATGCTGATGAGTTTTCGTGAATTTGTGGAGGAGTGCGAAATCTGCCAGAATCCTTGTGCCGTACAAATGCTTACGGATGCTTGCTCTTGACCTGCGCTGTGTGCATCGCAGGAGAAACGGAGGAAGTTGAACGTTTCTTCCAATATCTAGAGTTCGCCGTTTTATGGGCCCAAATGGGGCCCTAAAATTGAGACTCCGCCTCACGAGCACTGGCTTGTGCCGACGAAGAGATCTCCGCAATCGGTTGACCGTGTACTCGCTGAGTTGCTTTTCGGCGCGGTGGAGCGCACTGAAGCGGGGCAGAACGCGCGAGTGGCGCCCCTTTTGATGATTGCCTCGGCACGGCATTACATGCCAGTGAAGCGCGGGCCTTCACCTATGGCCTTAGCTCGCAAGTTGGTTAGTGGATTTGTGTGGTAGGCAGCAGTGGACATTCAGTACGGCTGAGAGGCATTCACGTGCCATTGAGACTCGCGCGGTGGGCATGGTGCTCCATTGTCGAGGATATATCTAGAAGCGCTCAAAGCAGAACTTTATGGCGGACGCCGCGAGAGTGCTGCGCATCTCCAGCACAAGCCGCACCAGAGGATGATCAGGTACAGCACACGTTGCTCGATAGATGCTGCGGATAGACTGCGTACCGATTTGTTTAGGGCCTATTCCGGAGAATACTTCGATCTAATCTCTTTCAAGATTGTTCGTTCTCCTGCACGAAGGCCACTGACAGAGCATGAAGAGCCGTATACCACGCGTCGGAGTAGTTCGATCGTATGCACAAGATACGGAATCGGGACGTCGCCCCTCTCGTTTCTTTCACGCCGAGGCTGCACGATGTGATTCAGAGCGGCTCCCTCGTTGGCTTTACGTTCACTGTAGGTTGGCTTGTTCCGAACAGTACGCATTTTCTTTGCACTTCGCGTCGAAAATGAGTGCATCTACATCGTTGGACAGTTGCAAGATCGATATGCTCGCGCGCCGGGGCGAAAACGAACTGAAACAGCATGTGCACTTTGGCAGTAAATTCTGGCGTACCTGTAACAGCACGCCCTTTCCGATTTTGTTTGTTTTTCTTGCACTTATCCAATACAAGGAATGTATCATGTAGATCGGACAAAAGTCGCGAAAAGACTCTTTATGCTCACGGAGAGCTTACGAAAGGCGGCCTTAATGGAGCACGTCGGTCACTCACAGGGCAGCAGGTGGATGAACCATCCTTCTCGGAGAACAAGCATTATACGTCGTGTGCCTAGAACAGAACGTAACAAACTCTATGGACAGGTTAATCTCTTCGTCAGTCTGTTCCACTGCGTATTTCTCTCAGAAAAGCTTCCAGAGAAGCTACGGGATGTGAATTTTTGGGACCTTAGATGCGAAAGGTGACGAAGGGTAGATAAACAACAGAGAAACGTGCGTCTCTGAGAGAGGATAGCTTGTTGTGCAGTATACTCTCCATTTCGTGCTGGAAATCGAACACTCTGTACTGGAAGCAAGGGAGCTCGTCTCACTCAATGCGACTTCACTCGGATGAAATGGTACACCTTTGCATACGGGTACGCGAAGATGGGGCCAAAGCTACTCTTACAGAAGATTCTAGCGCAAATGTCGACAAGATCAGCCCCAGCGGCGACTCAGATGTGTGTTCAATTTAGTATCCCCAAAGAGACGGGCTTTCTACATCTCATCGTTCGCTGGAGCACGCCACGTGCTTTCATCATCCCGTATTCTTTTGTTATGCACTTAGACAACGTCGCTTTGTAGAGATCCAAGGCGGTCTGGGTGTATGCTGCAGCAATAGGTAGTGAGCTGTTCTTCGTGCTAGCCTGAACTCCTCGGTCCACAACAGTTGAAGGTAAATTTTCTGTCGGCAGACTCCGCTTTCATGCTCACAGATCAGTCGAGAAGTCGTTCGCTCGACCGTTCTCGGACGAGTGTTTTTCTATGGTAACCAGCTCTGAGCTGATGGTTTGCTCCTCCGCTCGAGCGCATCAGGGAGGGGAAAGCGTGCCCCGCACCGCGAGCGCGCTGCCCGCAGATACGGTGGCAAAGAGGTGCTTCAGGAGAAATCGACACTCACGCAGAATAGATGAGCTTCATTGCCATCTATCGCCGAGACTGTTTCAGCCCAGAGAAAAAACAGATATGAAGTATATCGACCGCATCGGTACCAACACCGCTTTGTGGAGAGGGAGAGGAAACCACTAGACGAAGAGGGGAAGGATCCTTCCGAAAAGTGGGCGAGGAGGGACAAGAAGAAAAAATTGTGGTAGCGGATAGATCAGTCTGCACTCGTTGTCGAGGCTTTCCACAGAAAACGTATCAAGCTGGTGAGTCTTCCAAAAAGGATGAGGCAGCTGGCCGTTGAGGTTCGCGCAGCTTCCACCTCGGCGGAAGCTCGCCATGCTTACCTCTCCTTGACACACCTCGCCAAGCAACTGCTCAGGGGCGCTGCGGACGCTGGGCTGCCAGTTGTCCGCATTCCTCAGGAAATCTTCTGTCAAACCTCCTTGCAGCAACGGATGCTTCGGATAGAAGATGCCATTCGGCTTGTTCATAGGATTAGAGATTTGTACACACGCTTCCAAAACTACCCCGACGCCTCGCCGTTACACATCATCCATCGGAACATGTACGCCGCAGTTGCCAGAAAGTTTCAAAACAACCTCAACAAGCAAAACCATGTTCAAGCCAATGACCGGGGCTTCATGAAGCGCACGCTGTGGTCATTATAGCGTCACTATTGAGGCTCAGAACAGTGAGGATTACATGAAGGGATTCTTCGGGTGCGGACGTAGGCAAGTGGCTTGCTGGCTACGGACGAGATGGAGTTTGTCGCGAAGTTCAAAGAGATGCGTTAACGAGAGCAAGAGACGCTTCATGCTGTCCAAGCTCATCGTGTTGCTCTCTGCCTCGGACCAGCGGACGTCGTATCCGATGTATAATTGAGACGTGATATCTACCTACCTACATTCCATCTTGAAGCACTACGTGTTCCTGAGCAGAGCCATCCAGAGCGCGGTCGACTCCCTTCCCGAATTCGAGAGTCCTCGTCTCCTCTGGTGTTTATTTTGGATGTGGTTTCCATGTGTGACATTAATGCTCATTACATCGCCATAGATGAGTGTCTACAATGTTGTGTGGCCTCCTCAGCGGGTTAGGGCGGACACCCGGAAGCAAATGTGAAGAGTTCAAACGAGTCCGCGAAATGTATTGGTAGAGCTCGCTCAAGATTTCTCCTAGACCGGGCGAAAACGGAACGAAGCATACAGTAACGTTGCAGACCAACGAAGGCTTAATCTCCATCGAATTCATCGGAAACCGAATCATGAGTCGAACAATGCGAGTCGTATCCAACTGTTCACGGTAGGTGATAAGAAACTCTTCGTGGTGGGCGTGCATCCAAGGTCCAGCAATATCATGAGCGTCGACGTACCTCCAAACCATAATGAAGGATCCAAAGATCCGAACGGATATCACAGGAAGCTGCTCATGGTTTCCAGCGTTCAGTATCATCTGCAGCTGGGCATCATAGACGCCGCGGGACATTCCAACAGATTGAGGAATGCCGTCCGGACCTGTGCCGACGCTCTGGGCGCCGTATCGTGCAGAGGGCGTACTTTCATCACTTGATTCAGGGAGTATGCGAGCGTCAAAATTGCATATGAGAATGAGATTTAGCAGGAGTTCATGATACCGTACTGGTGTCGTCAGCGCTTCGGGTTGCACGTTCGCAAGATGCGTGCATTCACCAATTTGCTCACTGTGTTGAAAAAGGAAATAACCGATACGTCGTGTCGTTTGGTAATGGCCTATGACGCTGAACGTGCTGTTCAACACAAAGGCTGGACTCATGCTCCTTCGCTCGGAGCGTAAAACGAATGCAGGAGCCGATTGTGCAGGATTCCTTTGGACAAGTTCAGGACGACATGAAAGCACCACGAGCTGAGGTGCACGATGATGCAGCTTGAGAAACAGAGAGGAACAGGTCCGAATGTACGACATGGTGGACGTGAAGCTGACCGCACGTCAGCTGGCAAGGTAGTCTATGGTGACAGGTTTACTGCGGTGCGCATTTCCCAGCAGTCATGGGCAAAAGCACTTTCTCCACCGGGAGTTCAACGCCTCGACCAACATCCGGAATATGTCTCGTGCTTCTGCAGCGCCCAAGACTCTGTGTTAAGCGAAGTATCGAAAAAGTCGTGTCGTAGTCATTGCGGGCATTGTGCTGAAAATCGGAAGCCATGCGATGAAGAAACAGCGGCCAGGAGGGAACGTTTGGATCCAAGCATGAAGCAAGGCACTGGTGTAGTGCGGTTAAGCAATCCAGTGATGCTGGAGCGCCGTATAGATACACCGGAATCGGTCTTCCTAGGCAACTTGTAGACGATACAGGTGTTCCATTATTCGATTTTACTTAGTGTATCTACTTCGTAATCGATACTGTTTGCAGCGTGCAGTGACTGGAGCCGATAAAGCTCTGCTCAAGCGATTCTGCTCTGCCACCTGGAACGTCTTTTGCTGGGCAACAGAACTTGATGGCGGACGTATCAGTCTTTCGGCCTAATTATGACATTGGATAAGGAGGACGCTACGAATACAGCATTCGAGCTGAACACGTATGTGAAGGTTTCTTTCGGATGACGTGGAGCAGGCACCAGGCAGGCCTCGAGACGGCGTCCAATTCTTGAAGCGATCTGTTTCACCGAAAGCACGCGCTCCGCTGGGCGCTCTGACGACTATGACTCAATCTTCACATACACACACACAGTGCGCTGGCGTGCGAACCTGCGCCCAACATCATCCACGAGCGGTTTAGATCACAAGCGACCCTGCGAAAACGCTCTCTGGGTACGAATGAAAAAACCAGAACGATACTTCCCCACGTAGTATCCCAAGCAGTCGCAGATGATTTGCTAGCGTATCCGAACGGCTCTTGGGACGAGCACAGGGCCTGCGTTCCCAAGCACTGTACACGAGTCGAAAAGACTTGCACTGGGAGCAGTTGGAGGCACTGCGGGAACGAATAACAATTTTGCCGGCAGCAGACGGGGCGAAGATCTGTTTGCATACGCGACTCGAACACGGCAGAGCGTCGGGAGCCATTATCGTGCCACACGTATGTCCCCCAAGCACTGAAAAAGGCATCGCATTTCGCTCTTGACGACTACTGGCTCATCTGGGCCGTGCGGCGCCATCTACAAGCTTGAGCACACACCGCAGCAAGCGTCGCGAACGCGGCAGTCGATTTTCGAGCGATGCCGAAGAAGCTCTAGTGCAAGGCGCTGTCTGCTGCTGCTGCTGCGGCGGCGTGTAAACCGCTGGTGGAAGCACCATGTGGTAGAATTCGAAAAGAGGGGCAGTTCTCGCAGGTTAACCGGACCCCACGCGGGACTTTTTTATCATGGATCGGAGTGAGAAATTGAGAGTCCGAGTGCAAATGACTGTTGAGGAGAGGTCGCTGAACGCCGGCGGGATTGTATCGTCGATGCCTCTGTGAGGTGAATCGCTGGGTCGCGAGCCCCAGTTGTCTCACTTGCTCGGCTTGGGCGCCTTCTTCATGGAGACTTTCTTCGCCGGTTTCGCAGCGCTCTTCTTCGTCACAGCACCGCTTGCTTTCTTGGAAGGCTTTGCCAGCTTTTTCGCTTTCGGAGCCGAAGTCTTCTTCATAGACGGCTTGATGACTTTCTTAACTTTGACGGCCGCCTTGCGCGGCTTCTTCGCTTTCGAAGTAGTCGCCTTCTTCACCGCCGACTTGGTGACTTTCGCCGGCTTACGGATTTTTTTCTCCTTCTTCTTCTCCATGGAAAGGCGTCCTTTGCTCGTGAGTCGGTACCGCGAGCCGTCGCTCGTCTTCTCAATTACCCCCTCTGTCGCAGCCTTCTCCAGTGTTGCTCGCAGAATGCTGTTCAGGGCCTGAATATGGTACGTCTGCTCAATAAACGACTTGATTTTCTGTCGGCTTGTGCCCTTCACAGAATAATTCTTCCGTATCGCCTCTTTCACCATATCAAGATATTTCGGATGACTCGCTTTTTCCGGCATTTTGAGCGCAACACAGGTTCAGGATATCGCAACCGCACGCGGGCTACTTCTGCGAACAAGCAAAAACACGAATCTCCGCTGATCAGGCGCCCGTTGCGCACGCATGCGCCAGGGCGCGCTGGCGCGTGCGCAGATCGATGCCGGCGATCCGACATCCCAGCGTGTGCCATTTCCTTCAAGATCGCGTACCGCTTGCTCATCGCAGGGATCGCGAAACGGACAGCACGCGTTCGAAAGCGCCGCGAAAAGCGTAACGATATCGATCAGCCGTGAGGCAGACGTCCGGGGTCAACGAAACTGTGCCTGAGCGAGCAGCACGCGCTACACGTTGCTGTCCAGTCGTGCCGGGCATCGAGCGATTCGCCTCGACCGCAGCCCTCGATACGGCACTGGTGGTGCGGTTGAAGCGCGTAGTCGGGGATCCTAGTATAGCTTCGATTGTCCTACACCATTAAGACGGATACCGCGTTTCAAACGCGCACCTGGGGATCCCAGCTTAGCTTGAATTATCCTACACCATTGAGACGGATACCGCGTTTCAAATGCATTCTTGGAGATCCTATCTTAGCCCCGATTATCCTATACACTATAAAATAGATGGGTAGCGCCTTTTAAGCCGGGGCCACACCTAAACAAGTGGCATATCCGCGCGACGCTCAGAAAGCGGCATTCCTGTGGGATTTGCTGACGACCTTGCGCCTATCGCACGGTCTCCGACGCGAGCGGCACACACACCAGGAAGAGCAGCGTGCTTCACTGCAGCATGCACGCTGCGATATCGGGAGCACTTGTGAACCCGAGAACGCTGGCTACCAGCGCCCCTTGTGTGTCACTTTTAGACACCTGATTCCGCCGGCCATGGGACGTCCACAGCATCGGTCGATGCTAGTGGAAGCCGTCGCTGTCAAACGGCTCGCAGCGCATCTTCCAGTGAGAGTGATTTATGAATACAGTTTAACTGCAGATCAAGGTAGAGCGCGAGCGCTTCCCGTAGCCAGCCTTGCAAACGGTCGACCGCAGTTTAACTGCAGATCAAGGTACAGCGTGAGCGCTTCATATAGCCAACCTTGCAAACGGTCGACATAGCGTAGAGCGCTCATCTGGCCTTGTCACGCCGCTCCAAGCGCTCCGTTGCCAAACACGTTGCGTCCGCAGGCTCACTCGCTGGACCGGGCCTCTTCCGGGGGCAGTCGCAAGCGAGACAGCGCCGCCCACACACTGCAGCGCGTGGCATCTAAAAGATTCTCATTACATGTCCAGGTTGGCCGCTAGTCTGCCGAAGTTAGCGCACACTGATCTGCGGTTTGCAGACCAGACTTGTTTGTCCTCTGTCTCCTACTAGTACGGACGCGTCTACAGCTGGTCCGATCCTTCAACTCCACGCCGTAAAATACCTCTATCGCGAAGCGCCCTTCAGTTACGCCGCCCGAGTCCGTCTCGAAGGAGAAGTTCTCATTCATCTCCGTTGAGACCGTCTCCAGTGCAGCGCGAAAAGCCGCAGAACTGCCCCACTTCGCTGGTGTATGTCCCCGAAGCCGTCGTCACTACGAGTAGCGTAACCTGCCAATTTCCTTATGCCCTCCGGAAGAACGACTCCAGTACCCTGTTCGAGGCAGTTGCACGCTGCTCTGTGCGTCCAGCGTCTGCGAAACGACTCCTTGGACAAAGCTGGTGCCTTCGTCACTGGGGCACACGAAGCTATCCTGTTATGTATACGCAGTGCGCTGACTGTCTGTGCAGCCTGAGCACCTCCTTAACGTTTCGGGTCGAGAGGAACCGACCCAGAACCCTCCTGATTCGCGTTCACCAACCACTGCCTGTTGCTGCTCGGGCACTATCCTCAACTGGTCCGCAGACAAACCTCTACTCTCGAGCTCCAGAGCGTGTCGAACGACTGTGTCCGTATCGTCAGACGTAGCACGCTGCGCTGTCGGGTGGCTTCGGAACCTCTCTCGAACAGTTCGGCGTTGAGGCACGAGCCAGCGACGTCGATAACCTCGACGAGCGGCTACAAGCTACCGTGCAGCCAGACGTGGAGTACCGGGCACCCGGCGTTTGCGTTCGTGCTCGTGCAGGACCAGCAGGCCTCTGGACGATCTGGGCTCTTGCACTCGGTCTACTGTAGCGGGATGTTTACCTTACAGGCAACGGACGGAAGTGCTCGGGCCGGGGTCCTCCACCTGCGACACGGCACGACGCGGACGCCCGTGTTCATGCCGGTCGGTACCCAGGCAACCGTGAAGGGCCTCACCCCGGACCAGCTTCTTGACCTCGATCTGGATATTATTCTGGGAAACACGTTTCACCTGGGACTTCGACCCGGCGGGGAGGTTCTCAGTGCGCTCGGTGGCGTACACACGTTTGCACACTGGCCGAGAAACGTGCTCACCGACTCGGGAGGGTTCCAGATGGTATCTCTGCTTCGTCTTGCGACAGTTTCCGAAGCTGGTGTCCACTTTCAGTCGCCAGTCGATGGGTCGCAGGTCCTGTTGACCCCAGAGCTATCTATTCAGCTACAAAACCAGATTGGAGCGGATATCATTATGGCCCTCGACGACGTGGTGCCAACGACAGCCAGCAACGTAGAGCGCTTTCGCGAGGCAGCTGCTCGAACGGTGCGCTGGCTAGACCGATGCATTGGCGCCCATGCAAGGCCCAGTGAGCAGCTTCTCTTTGCGATCGTTCAGGGCGGGCTCAGTCCCGAGCTGCGGCGGTACTGTTTGCGGGAGCTCGTCGCGCGGGAGCTACCAGGGTACGCCATAGGCGGGCTCGCAGGTGGCGAAGAGAAGGACAAGTTCTGGCAGGTGGTGCAACTCTGCACGAGAGAGCTACCGCACGACAAGCCGCGCTATTGCATGGGGGTTGGTTATCCTGAGGATTTGCTCGTATGCGTTGCGCTGGGTGTCGACATGTTCGACTGCGTGTATCCCGCGAGAACGGCTCGATTCGGGAGCGCCCTGGTCGATGCAGAAGCACCCGGTATGCTCAAGATCAAGTCAGCTGCCATGTTCAAGGACTCGCGACCGATAGAGCCGCAGTGCCCGTGCGAGTGCTGCCGCCACTACTCCAGAGCGTACTTACACGTGCTCGTGAACCGGGATCCGGCAGTTGTTGGGCACCTGCTTACGGTCCATAATATCTCCTACCTGACGCGGTTCATGCGCGGGGCGCGGGAGGCCATTTTTAAGAACACTTTTGCAGACTATGTACACAAATGGTTCGCCCGGCGGTACCCCAGCGGTGCCTATCCGAACTGGGTGTGCGATGCGCTTGCGTGCTGTGGTATTCGGCTGACGTGAACTGTATGAATCCACGGATGTGCTGCGAAATGCGGATCCGGATCGAAGAATAGGTGCTCGAGTGCCCGGCTGAGCTGCCAAGTTAGCCGTCGCTTGGCATCAGAGGCTTCCGGAAGGCGAAAAGTGCGGCCCCGGTACTTGACAGCTGCCACGGGGCATATCATCGCCGCAGTACCTGTTCCGAATGCTTCCACAATGCGGCCCTGCTCAATCCCCTGCACAAGTTCATCGACAGAGAGGCTGCGCTCGACAAGCCGCCAGCTCGAATGGTTCGCACCTGGTGGGAAACGGCCCTGCTCGATGAGCTGGATCACCGCGCTGCGCATGACACCAGGCAGAATGAGGCCTTTGCTCAGCGGCGCCGTCACCACCTCCCCCGAAGAAGTGACAGCGAAAAAGTTCATTACCCCTGCCTCTGTAACGTTCCGGTCTGGATCTAGCCAAAGCACCTGGTGGCATCCCTCCGCGTGTGCAAGCTCTTGAGCCACGAGACTCAGCGCGTAATTGCCTCCACATTTCGTGTCGCCAACACCGCCTGGCCATGCGCGTACGAACTCCTCTGTAGCGAGCAAGGTGACGCCAGCGTTGTTCGCTGCGCTATAATAACCGCCCAGGCTTGGAGAGGCGATCACATAGAAGAGCGCCTCTTCCGCGCGTCGTACACCCAGTCGTGCGTCCGTTGAAATGAGGCAAGGCCGCAGGTACAAAGACACCGCTCTGAAGTTCTCGTCTGGCGCGCGTACTGGTACCCAGTCCGCCTCGATGCGGACGTACTCCTCGATTAGCCTCAGCATGGAGCCGGTGTCAAAAAGCGGGAGTGCAAGGCGCGCTGCGGAGCGATACATACGCTGGAGGTTCTCTTGGGGCCTGAAGAGCCGCACAACGTCCTCGGTCTCGGGCCCAACCGGGTCAGGCCGGTACGCCTTCAAACCCTCAAAAATCTGCAAGCCGTACTGCAGGCTCGAGCTCGCCGGATCCAGCTCAAGCGGGCGACGACTGGTTATCAGCGGATCCATCCAGTGGCCACCGCGATAACGAACAAGGAGCATATGGTCAGTGAACGTGACCCCAAACTCCTGCGAGCCAGCGGGTTGTCGAATCTGGAAGTTCGACCCCCGCGCGTAAAAGCTGTGTACCCCAAGAACTTCCCGAGCACGCACCGAATGACCGGAACTGTCGACCACGGGCGCCCGGTCTACTACGAGTTTGGACGCGTCGGGCCCGCACAGTGCTCCGTCCGTCCGTTCCGCTAGCGCGAGAGCGCGCCGCATCGTGGGCGACAACGGCACTTCGGTCGCGAACTTCCGGACCCATTGCAGGCATCCGCCGAACGAGCCGCGAACTGCGCGGAACCCACTGTACAAGCCTCCCTCACTTAGCGGCATTCGCAGTTGTTGTTCTGGAGAAACGCAAAATCGCTGCAAAGTCCCCCGCTGTACAAGCTTTTTCGCTGAGCAGCTTCCAGAGTTACTGTCTACAGAAAACGCACAATCGCTCCCCCAATCCCCCACTGTACAAGCTTCTCGCGTCGATCACTTTCCAATGTTGCTGGTAGTGGGAAAAGCACAACTGCCTGGGGGCAGCCCGCGCTACGAAATAGCCTCAACCTATGCGTGAGCTAGAGGAGCAGCAGCATTCGATATCTGCCACGTGTCCCTGAACAGCGTGGCTCCACAGCGTTCGCGACTCGGCGATCCAGACAGCAGAACGGTGGTGGTGGGATTGCGATCCGCGATCTTTTAGGCTTTCAACCCATGGTTACTCGACACGATCTGCGATGTATAGCAAGAGATGGGAATCACGTTGTAATATACTGTATATATCGAAGTCGAATTTCATGTAGGATATATTATATACTGGATATTTGAAGGAGATCTGTATTGATTCTTGATGTCAGTCATGGAACAACACTCAAACGGTCGAGGAACACTAGAGAAAGAATTAGATGAACTCCGCGAAAAGAAACGGATATTCTCGACGCGTGCATGAGGTCAGTGATAGAACACGACCCGTTGCCGACTTTGCGGGAACAAAAAGCGACGATAGCAGCCATCACCGGTGACTGTTTTTGTCTACAGCTTTTTCGTATGGTCCTGAAACCAGTGGCATACAGTCACATAAAATGTCCTAGATCGTTCACAGCCATGTCCGAACGAAATGGCGACTAGAACACAGTCCCTGAAACATCGCGCCGGCTATGAGCCACAAGAACGTTGTTTTTTTCATTCCACGAGATTTGCTCCACACAGAACCGTCACAGTGGATATGAGTATTCGCGATGAGGGGCGCCCGTTGGATATACAATCGATATCGAAAATACATAAGAATTTCTCTACTCCAGCTGCAGTGGATTTCTTTTGCGGCCTCAGTTTCGACTCCAGAGAACGCTCATACAACAGTTTTCACATCGTAGAATCTTTGAAGACGATTCCCTGACGTCTGGCTGTGTTCTTCTGTTCGACTTTTTGGAATTTCACCATTCCCCTCGCATTGAAGCCTTGCCCAATTCTACCGGAGTAGGGCTGCATTTCATTCGTCAGTACGCTTCCGGTTCAACCACATTGAAGAAGTGTTTCCTATTGTGAAAAGTAAAGATCGCGCCACTAGGCGAATCACTGAAGCGTTCAGAACACGGTGGTACACAGAGACACATGACGTCTTTCTTCCGCAAGTCCTACGCGCTCCTATAAGGTCGTCACCTAGGGGCATAAAGAAATGTGTTTAAAAAATCTAATGGATGTGCTGGGGTGTATCCTTCATAACGTCGAGATGGAGAGAAGGCAACGGAGCACTTTGGGAATAGGAAACCTTGGAGAGGTGATGGAGCACCAAATGGCACCGAGGGCAGCATTTCGAGGGATCCTTGCATTGGTGAGTTTAATAAGAGACAATAAACGCATCCAGTTCGTGATCCCAGACTTCAACGCTGCTATGAACATTAGACGACATACAGTGCTCAGTAGAAGACCCAAGGAGCTGGTTTGAGCCAACTTTCCGGGCCAGCCTCTCAGACTCGAAGTGAACAAGATGAGAGTGAAAGCCCATAGCAGGCACCCGCTCGTATAAGTCCTGCGGAAAGCGTGTGAGTGAGTCTATCTATTCGCTCTATGCTCATCTTAGAAGCAAACGCGCCGATGGTCCATACGAAAGCGCTGCGACGCATCGGGTAACAGAAATGGCTTCGGGTGCTCGTCAGCTGGGGAGCACTGCGACGCGCCTGGGACAGTGTTTTATCGACGATTCATTCAAACGCCCGCCGCTGGCAGGAAAAACAGCTTCCACGGAGGTAGCGGGGGTGCTACAAGCAGCTGGACCGACCGTCGGCAGCGGGGCGACACACCCCGCAAGCCCGAATTACAACCACAGGTCCGCTGGAACAGCGTGTTGGAGCGTGCGCTGCGTAGGCTTTAAGGAGCGGACCTGCTAGGCCCTGCGAGCGACGTGTACTCGGCATCGCAGCGTGCTGAAAGTCTGCCGAACTGGGATGCGTGGCTCGGTGCCGAGCGTTCGTGAGATCGAGACGCTGCTTTCACAGCTTCCGTGGCGCCAGTTCCAGTCCCCGCGTGTGCACCTGGAGCAGTACACGACACCGGTTCATCTGGCGGCAAGAATCGCCCACCATGTTGCCCTATGCATCGACGAAGATGAGCGGAGGTCAGTGCAGGCAGTGGACCTCGGCACCGGGACTGGAATACTCGCTCTTGCACTGTGTCTCGCTGGACTCAACCACGTGCTCGGAGTGGACGTCGATAGCGAGGCCCTGGAGCTGGCACGGGCCAATGCGGCAGCGCTCTGGGAACTGTGTCCCCAGTCCGTCGGAGCAGTCTTGGAGTTTGCTGCGGTGGACGTCCAGCCCAACTCGTTGGCATTGGCACCAAAGTCATTCGACGTCGCTGTGCTTAATCCGCCCTTTGGAACGCGACAACGATCCGCCGACATCGCCTTCCTCGATGTAGCATGTCACTTGAGTCGCCGATTTGTGTACTCTCTGCACAAGTCGAGCACGCGCAGTTACTTATCGAGGAGGCTGGAGCGTTTCGGGTGTACGGCCCAGGTGTACGCTCGCTTGCGTTTCGATCTCCCCGCAACGTACGTGTTTCATAGGGAACGTGCCGTGGACATCGACGTCGACCTCTGGCAGATAGAGGTGAAGAGGTAGCACAGCGGAGCCAGGTGCGGCACACATTACTGGGCTATTAGCTGCGCAGCCGTTGACATTATCACGAGTGTTATCGGCGTGGAGCCTACGCGAGCGCTTCTCTTCAATAGGGTGTCGTGCCGGTGAATGCGAATAGACGCTGCGTTCCGTCGAGGGAAGACGCCCCGGCAAAGACACCCGCTGAGGCGGCTGAGTGGCCTTCGCCCGGAGCCTAGGTGCCCCATGTTTCCTTGCGTACTTTGCTGATCACATGGAGTTCGTAAGATATTTGTCTCGCACGATAAGAGCCATCTCTGGGTGTATCGCTCAGGTACAGGAAACCTGCGCTGTTTCACTGCACCGAGTGCGTGTGACCGCGGCTGCTGCCCCTGCACACCCGGGTACAATGAGCGTTTGTGCGCTTTGTTTGCCCGGAGGATGCGGGTGTACCACTCGTGCACGTGCGTGTTGGGAGTCGCCAGGTGCGGAACCTCTGGTGACTCGTGTAATCAGGCGCTTGTCGTTACACGGCAGGCCACGCGAACCTTGTCGTTTGAAGAGACTCGCCCAGTCATGCATCTCTGCCGCCACTGGCATAAACACGAAATGGCAAACATGAACGTCCTCTGACATGGATGTGGACGAGCCCTCTCGACAATGCCCCTCGGGCTGAGGTGTGCCTTTACCGCCATCTCCCTAGCATACTCCTATTGCGTGGATGCTCCAGCGGCGAGCTACCACGGCCATATGTGACGCCTCGTCAAGTCTTGGGGCAGCGCCAGACCCAGATGCACAGCGACGCCCGCTGGAAAGCAAAGTCTCGCAAAATCTCATCCACCAGCGTGATGATCAAGTGCGAAATCGTCCCTTCATGATATCTAGCTTCCGTAGGCTGGGCAGCACCTGCAAGCGTGCAGACAGAGTTCCCGAAAGGAGCGCGCTCGTCGCGGCAGAAACGAGCGCGCTGTACCTGCACTCGACTAGATGACAGTTCTAGAGCCAACGCCCTCAGTGGTACGCAAAAGCCGCTCTATCTGCGTGCGGCGTCTGCACCGGCTCTAAAGGCGTCACACTGGACGCTCACAGAACGCACTCGGCACCTGGGCGACCGTATGAACGATCCATTATACGCGATGAAGAGTGTGGCTAGTGGTGATTCGAGGTACGTGGACGTCTGAATTCCGCAATGATCGCTGCTGCTCTCCTTGATGCTGATATCCATCGCACAACGACGGATTCTCTTATTCGTGTAAACAATCCTAGACGCTTGCCCCGCGCCCCCGAGAAAAAACACAGACGCGTCGCGTGCCGCAGCGAACTCACCAGCTCGATACGGGGACGCAAAGCGCAAACTTTTCGCATGACTCGCTTCCGATCTGAAAGTTCGTGAAAGCTCTATCGTCGCAAACGAGTCCAGATACTCTGATCAGGAACCGGCTGCGCTGGAGCCGCTGGCGAAGATGCCTCGGATGTTGTAGTTGCTGACTGCTCAGCGGGATCGCGGCGTGGAATGGCGAAGATCCCCAGACCTCGAACAGGAGCGCGCACACCGTTGCCCGATAGATGACCGTCCGCGGAACTTGAAGACGCGGTTGCCGCTCCGGCTACTGCCGCGAGCTTCTGTGACGCAAGGACGGACTCGACCTGCTGGCGACAGGCCTCAAACCGCTCGGCAAAGCTGCGGCTTGTCGTCCGATCACAGTTCCGAACGGTGGCGATGATCGGTCGTACATCAGCGACATCGTTGCGAACGACCCATTCGAGGAATGCAGTAAGACGAAGCAACTCCTTGTCGTCGGGGTCAGTGCCGTTCCACGGGGCGATTTCGATGCCGTTCTCGGATTGCAGCGCGAATACTCGAGGGTCATTATCGATGATGATGGTGCGTCGTAGATCGCGGTTGAGCTTGGCAAGGTCCTTCATGTGCAGGCCGTCGCGGTATTTGGTTTCATGCCTATACAGGCGGTGCGTGATGTACCCGTTTGGATCCATCCTGTCTAGAATGGGATCCGCATAGCCGGGAAGGGCGCTCGTGAAGACCACTATCTCGTAGAACTGCGCCATGTACGCCAGAAAGGCGTCTACGCCCGGCCTTTTTGAGGTTCGCCACCCCGTCGATCGCGTCCAGTCTGAGTGCACAAGGGTCTCGTCGAGATCCAGGACCAACGTTCGTGGCGGCAGACTGCCGGGAAACGGAGCAACTGGGTCCGGTAGGAGCTTTTCTCGACTAGGCTCGACGTAATAGCGGATGCGCGACTCCAATTCGTGCCGTAGCCGCTCGAGACGTGCTACCGTTCCCTCGGGGTCGACGACCCAGAAAGTCAGCACTGTCGCGGCTGAGCCAAGCGCAACGAAGCCGAGAAGACGTCCAGGTCGAAAGAGAGCTCTCCATCGCGAGTGCTGTGGGCGCTTGGACTCTGCCGCGCCATCCGAGGCTGCCGCTGCTCCCTCTTCTGGGTGGATCGGCCCCGAGGTCGGCTTTGACCCTGCTTCACCAGCTGCGCGGCCACCGTTGCCCGAGGTGAGACACCGGAGCACGCGCCCAGGCCGGAGCAACGCGGACCCTATTGGCCGTAGGGCACGCAAACCCGCGTATCGATCTACAAGCATGTCCCCCGAAAGCCACTCGAAGTGGACCGCACAAGGGTGGGTCCGCGAACGCTCTGAACAAGGCACCTGGTGACGTTCGCAGCCTGCCTTGAACGTCGCTGCTGTGGAGGAGGGATCGAAGCGCTCCCGCGCAGACGGCCGAAAAAAATCGTAGAACGAAAGGGATAAGCTTTTATGGAGCTTGTATGGAGCTTTCAATGAGGTTGCCTATCTCTATACGATTGAAGGGATTAACTTTGAAGAAGCTTTCAGTGAGCTTGCTTACCTCTATACGACTGAAGGGATAAGCTTTCAATGAGCTTGCCAATCTCTATAAGATTGAAGGGATAAGCTTTTACGGAGCTTTCAATGAGGTTGCCTATCTCTATACGATTGAAGGGATTAACTTTGAAGGAGCTTTCAATGAGGTTGCCTATCTCTATACGATTGAAGGGATAAGCTTTTATGGAGCTTATATGGAGCTTTCAATGAGCTTGCTTACCTCTATACAATTGAAGGGATAAGCTTTTACGGAGCTTTCAATGAGGTTGCCTATCTCTATACGATTGAAGGGATTAACTTTGAAGGAGCTTTCAATGAGGTTGCCTATCTCTATACGATTGAAGGGATAAGCTTTTATGGAGCTTGTATGGAGCTTTCAATGAGCTTGCTTACCTCTATACGACTGAAAGGATAAGCTTTCTTGATGCGTTTATGGGACTCTCAGTGAGCGATATCAAGGAAAGCACTGCCGTTTACGGTGACCGTCTCTGATCTCTATCCCAGTCAGATGAGGTATCAATGTCTGTGCCCAGCTGTAACGAAGAGCACGTACTTATCGGCAGCATTGCACCGCACAGAAAAGCATCACCTGGAAAATAAGGACCATAAAAGAATGATCTTGAGCGATCTAGGAACGGTGCCGAACGCCTGACCAGCACCCACTACTAAGGCCTACCCCCCGGTGTGGACGTGTCGTCGTCTTTTTGTTTTTTGGAGTGAGCCCCAGCCGCAGGGCCTCAACGCACCCGCATCGTCGACTCGAGGCGTCGCTGCGCTTCGCCGCTCCCAGCTCCAGTCCAGTCATTCGGGATGATCATCGTTGCCACTGTCGCTGCTGCACCACACTGAACTCTCGGTTACGAGCGCGTTTAGCGTGTGTATAGGTCACTGTGGCTGGTGTTATGTTAGACATTCGTCTTTTTCGTGCGGAACAGGGTGGCAATCCCGAGCTGGTTCGAGAGTCGCAGCGCCGTCGGTTTGCGGACGTGAAGCTCGTGGATCGCGTCATTGAGTTGGACGAGCGCTGGAGGCAGGCCCAGTTTCGGGTGGACGCGCTCAGGCGCGAACTGAACGAGTCCTCGAAACGGGTAAGTGGCCTCATCAAGTCTGGTGCAGATGCGAGCGAGCTCATCTCGTCTGTAGCGGACTTGAAGCGTTCTATACCAGCGGCGGAACGAGAGGCCGCTGCTCTAGAGCAGGAGCGGGATGCTTTACTGCGTGAGATCGGTAACCTTGTGCATGAAAGTGTGCCTGTTTCTGTGGACGAGGCGGACAATCGAGTCGAGCGTCTCTGGGGCTATCCAGAACTCGCTGATGAACGCGTGAAGAACGCACACCGTAGCCACGTAGAGCTCCTGTTGGCACTCGGCGCTGCAGACTACGAGCGCGGAGCTCGCGTTGCCGGAAGCCGGGGCTACTTTCTGATAGGCCCTGGCGTTCGCCTCAACCTCGCGCTTGTGCAGTATGCGTTGAACTTTTTACGAGAACGCGGCTTTCGTGAAATGCAACCACCATATTTTATGACAAGTGATGCGATGGCACGCTGTGCGCAGCTCTCTGACTTTGACGAGCAGTTGTACAAGGTGACCGTTCGCTCTCGCGGAGCCGCAGCGGGCGAACCAGAAAGCTCCGGAACTGGCGGCACGAATGCAACGGCAGCCGCGGCCGAAGACGACAAATACTATCTGATCGCGACCTCGGAGCAGCCAATTTGTGCCTACCACACTGACGAGTGGCTGGATCCGTCGACATTGCCACTATTGTACGCAGGGTTTTCGACCTGTTTCCGGAAAGAGGCCGGCGCTCATGGACGCGACCAGCTGGGAATTTTCCGAGTGCATCAGTTTGAGAAAATAGAACAGTTTGCGGTGACATCTCCACTGGACGGGGCCTCTTGGGAGATGCTCGAACGCCTCCTGGGGAACGCGGAAGAGTTCTACCAATCCCTGGGAATACCATACCGAATCGTGAGCATTGTCAGTGGAGCGCTTAATAACGCCGCTTCGAAAAAGTACGATCTCGAGGGTTGGTACCCTGCCAGCAAGGCGTGGCGCGAGCTCGTCAGCTGCTCGAACTGCACGGATTACCAGTCTCGTAGGCTGCTCACTCGTTACGGTATGAAAAAGGGCGGTGACCGCGAAAAGAGGTTTGTGCACATGCTGAACAGCACTCTGTGCGCGACCACCAGAGTAATATGCTGTATTGTGGAAAATTATCAGCGAGAGAACGGGGTGGAGGTTCCGGCAGTCCTGCAACCGTACCTTGGTGGCGAGACGTTGCTGCCGTTTGTCAATTTGCCACAGAAAGGCTCACTTGCCGACCAGTCAGGCTGATACGCTTGTACTGAAGTCATCTTTGATGCACGATAGGCTCCACCATGTATACTCGTCTGCATGCTGCGGTGTTTCCTTGCAGACTTTAGGGTATAGGCGCCGCACTGCATCCTTTTGTGGGTCGCGATGCAGCCGGCAACTGCGAAAGCACCACCTGAGCCCACAGTGAGTGCTCAGCATGTGCGCGGGCTCCTACTGCGTACACCGGAGCCTACTGCTCATGCTTCCATTTACAACGAGAGCGGCACGTCGTCACCAGAAACGACTGCAGTGTTGCGGGCCCTTTGTTTCTTCGGAGCGCCCGGCCGATGGACGCGACCGTATCGAAACCTGTTTGGCCCCAGTACCGACGCCGACCCTCCGAGCTAGTCTATGGGTCGAAAGCGTCAGTGAAAGAGAACTGCGATCCAGTGACGAGGGTAACGCATGGCGTTGGCGGGAATCCAAGCCGCTGAAGCTTGCTAACATTTGCCGGATTATCCGTTCTCTATGCATGACCCTACAGAGGAAAACTCGTGACCTGCGCACACCAGCACTTTTCAGGTGTTTACAATGGTTTTGCGCCAGAGCTTCCCGGAATGACGCCAGTTAGGCAGTAGACGCTCCTCAGAAGGCGGCAGCAAGCAGGGGATTGCCTAAGTGATTTCCGACGGCCGGTGCAGCCGGGTTAGCGAGCCCATAGCGCATTACGCAGGAGACCGCGGATGCAGCAACACTTGCACACATTCTATAAACGCTGATGAAAATCTATCAGCCTAGCCAGTAGGGTATCAAACGGATATACGGAATCTATACTCGTTGATCACAATCTATCAGCCTAGCCAGTAGGGCATCAAACGGATATACGGAATCTATACTCATTGATCACAATCTATCAGCCTAGCTAGTAGGGCATCAAACGGATATACGGAATCTATACTCATTGATCACAATCTATCAGCCTAGCCAGTAGGGTATCAAACGGATATACGGAATCTATACTCGTTGATCACAATCTATCAGCCTAGCCAGTAAGGTATCAAACGAATATACGGAATCTATACTCATTGATCACAATCTATCAGCCTAGCCAGTAGGGCATCAAACGGATATACGGAATCTATACTCGTTGATCACAATCTATCAGCCCAGCGAGTCGGGTATCAAACGGATATACGGAATCTATACTCGTTGATCACAATCTATCAGCCTAGCCAGTAGGGCATCGAACGGATATACGGAATCTATACTCGTTGATCACAATCTATCAGCCTAGCCAGTAGGTTATCAAACCGATATACGGAATCTATCACTTACATATGCAATCTATCGTCATTGATCCCCATCTATCGGTCAAGCAAGTAATCGATGAAAGAAACTGCTCGAGGAGGCATCGCCCTGAGATCGACGGCGACAGTGCAGTTGCGCTGGCCGGTGGCCGTCGACTTGTACCGCCGACGTACGTCGCTGCACGGGCGCTGTGAAGCCACGACTTGTGAGACGTTCGCGTGCAAGCACCTTATCCGAAAGAGACCAGCAGCGGAACAGACGTTTAACCGGAACGCGTGTACGCTTGGTGAAGCATCGGCAGATCTGTGCATGCAACGCACGCTTGGGTTTGCCTGTGAAGCTACTCGAGCGTCAGCACGGCGACATCCGACAAGTCTTTATTGCAGAGGGAGAGCTGCTTCTGTTTGTTATCGTCATAGCGGGCTGAGGTCGCTGATCAGTGCTCGAGCCGGGCGCAGGACTCTGGATCAGTGCTTTGGTGTCGGTGCGCGCGGTGGGCCGTTTCGAAAGCAGGTGCGACGTCTAGAAGGTCCCGTCAACCTGCGCATGGCGCGAGAGGTGAAGCATTCCGCCGGTTTGGCGGGGATGGCGCCAGACGCCCCAGCCGAGTCGTACCGCTTGGGGCCGTTAGAGTATCTGCGGCGTAGCGTTATTGAGGTCCTTTCTAAGGAGTACGGGGATGCGCTCCCCGAGGTTGTCGATCCGATGGTCGTCTTTTCGTCGCGTCCGGAGTTTGGTGACTTCCAGTGCAATGTCGCCATGAGTCTCGCGCGACAACTCAAAAGCAAACCGCGAGACGTTGCGGAGCGTCTGCGGGTCGGCCTAGAGCAGAAAGTTGCGGGCATGTGCGCGACCCCACTGGAGGTGGCGGGCCCGGGCTTTGTGAACTTTCGGCTGAGCGATGGCTACCTGGCCTCTGTCATACGACAGATGATGAGCGACCCGCGTGGTAAGCTCAACGTTCCTGAGCCGCCGAAACTGCAGCGTATCGTCGTGGACTTTTCTTCGCCGAATATTGCGAAGGAAATGCATGTGGGGCATCTCCGAAGTACGATTATCGGGGACACGTTGTGCCGGGTGCTGGAATACCTGGGCCACACGGTGATACGCTTGAACCATGTTGGCGACTGGGGCACGCAGTTCGGGATGTTGATCGCGTACCTCGCAGAGGTGGCCCCCGAAGCGCTCACCGGAGAGCGTCCACCGGACCTCGGGGACCTTGTAGCATTTTATAAGCAGGCGAAAAAGCGTTTCGACGAAGACCCAGTCTTCCAGAATGCGGCACGAGCTCAAGTCACGAAGCTGCAGTCCGGTGACGAGGCGTCGTTGCGGGCGTGGCGCCTCCTTTGCGAGCTTTCGCGCCGGGAGTTTGAAAAAATATACCAGCTTCTCGATGTGCAGCTGACGGAACGTGGCGAGTCCTTCTACAACCCATATCTGCCCGATGTGATTGAACGCCTCGAGCGAAAAGGACTGGTGCAGGTCGACCAGGGCGCATTGTGCGTGTTCCTGGAGGGCTTCAAGAATCGGGATGGCTCTCCGCAGCCGCTCATCGTTCGGAAGAGCGACGGTGGCTACATGTACTCGACAACGGACCTGGCGGCAATTCTATACCGCGTCCAGGAGGATCGTGCGCAGCGAATTCTCTATGTAACGGATGCGGGACAGGCGACGCATTTCGCTCAGGTTTTCCAGGTCGCTCGTCGAGCGGGGTTCTTCGACCCCGCGGAAGTCTCGCTGGAGCATGTCCCCTTTGGCCTCGTTCTCGGGGACGACGGCAAGAAGTTCAAGACCCGATCCGGAGACACGGTGCGTCTGATGGACCTGCTCGAGCGAGCTATCGAGCTGGCACGTCACGATCTCGAGCAGCGAATCGCTGAGCAGCCGGGACGCACAGAGTCGCCCGAGTACCTAGAGCGGGCAGCGCGGGCTATCGGTATTGGGGCTGTCAAGTATGCGGACCTACGCACAACACGTACAGCGGATTACCGATTCAGCTACGAGAAGATGCTCTCGCTGAACGGGAATACAGCTCCGTATATGATGTATGTCTTCACGCGCGTGAGCGGGATAGCGCGGAAAGCCGCCGGCCTCCCAGCAGACGCGGAGGTGTGCATGCAGGAGCTGGTTGCGAACTGTGCCTCAGAGCAGCAGTTATTGCTGTGCGTCACGGAGCCTGCTGAGGGGGCCCTCGCACGGCAGCTGCTCCGCTTCCCGTACGTTCTGCTGGACCTGGAGCGGGAGCTTATGCCGCACGTGCTCTGCGAGTATCTGTTCGAGCTCTCGCAACGCTTCAATCAGTTCTACGAGCACTGCCCTGTTCTGGGTGCGGAGGACGACTCGGTGCGGCATTCGCGGCTTGCGCTCTGTGCGCTGACTGGATACGTCGTGGAATCTGGCCTGCGCCTCCTCGGCATTGAAGTGCTTCCTCGGTTGTGAGTGCAGCTTAGACTGGCATCCGAGCGCCGACGGACACGGAGGGTGCTGCGGTGCCTGTGCTGGCAAAGGCGCTGGACAAGAAGCGCCTGTCGAGGTTGGTGATGATGATGATGATGGTGCTCTGCGACGCGTTCGCTTGCAGGTGACTGTCAGCGCCCGCGCTGAGGCGCCTCGAAGGCGCGGCCCTGACCTAGGAGACGCCCCAGCGTGGGGCTCTCTCAGCCGCACAGGTTGCAGCATATCCCGTGCTGGTATCCTGGCACAGGCATGTTGCTGCGCTAGCTGTTTTCCTCCTTCTTGATTTGCGGATCGCGTAAACGGACTCTGTAGGACAAGCGAACGCGTTACTTTGGGGTACTTGATCGGGTGCTAGTCCCTGTGAGGGACGCAAGGGCAGACGCCCACCCCGTCCTGAGGCCACATATCCTTGCCATAGGCGGCTAACGGACCATTCACTGCCAGATAATGCCTGAGCTCCAGTTACTTCCGCTGCTGGGGCCACGTCGCGGTCTCCATTCCCGAGCCAGATCAACAACGCTTCTATCTAGACAGCTCGGCGGCACCAGTTGTGAGCAAGCACCGCCTTAAGCCCGTTCACCACGGATGCGGCGTGCCAGCTGGATATCCTTCGGCATAATCGTCACACGCTTCGCGTGAATCGCGCACAGGTTCGTATCCTCAAACAGGTTCACGAGGTAGGCCTCGGCAGCCTCCTGCAGCGCCAGCACCGCAGACGACTGGAAGCGCAGGTCCGTCTTGAAGTCCTGCGCTATCTCTCGCACCAGGCGCTGGAAAGGAAGCTTCCGGATAAGCAGCTCCGTAGACTTTTGGTAGCGCCGGATCTCGCGAAGCGCCACCGTACCGGGGCGGTAACGGTGCGGCTTCTTCACACCGCCCACAGACGGTGCCGACTTGCGTGCAGCCTTGGTTGCCAGCTGCTTCCGAGGCGCCTTGCCACCGGTCGACTTGCGAGCAGTTTGTTTCGTGCGCGCCATACTAGTCAGAGAGCTTTGGTCGAGAGCTAAGTCACCCAGCAAGAACGTCGAGAGCGTGCACTATGGCGTCGTGTAACGGTGGCAACGAGGACGATGACGCTATGAGCGGTTCGTTTACAAGAGAGCGACGCCTCCTGGGTGCGGAGTTCTGGTGCCGGGCGCCTCACAAGCGAACGGCGATGTACAAGCACTCATAGTATGGGGGTCTGCGCATCCTCGCGGGAATGAAACAGAACGTATCCAGGAACTCGGGTGTGTAGACGCTCACGTTAGGGTCTTTTTCTATGTTCATCTATACCATCCTTTGCGGACTTGAAGACGAGTGTTTCATTTTCCACGCTCTTTTATTCGGCTGAAAAATAAGGCGGTCTCTACTTTCAATGTAGCTCTGTTGGCAGCAGTCGAGGGATGTTGACGGTAGCGTTCACGTCCCGACATCGCTGCTTCCGGGCGTTATTGACGCATTTCGTGCGTGGATGGATTCTGTGATCTGCGCTTCGCTCGCGCTTTTCATCTTTCTTGTAAACAGCCCGGTGTGTGCTTCGAAGCAGTCATACTTGGTTGTGGTTTGGTGTTCCCACCGGTCGATACGGCGCAAAATTCACCGCCTCCTCCTCCTCCTCCATCACAAAGGCAGGGCTTTTTAGCGCGTGAACACTTGTTTCATCGCTCGCATCATGCCCTGGACGAGTACAGGGGGCTCCAATCGATACCCCCTTCCGCATTGAGGTGTTCTGGGCTGTAGTCAGTGATCGTGGGCTTCTTCTAAGCGATCCTCTCAGCGAGTGCTCTATTCGCTGCGTGCGTAAGCGCAGAGCGCTCGATTCGAGAGAAGAATGATGGATTGCAATGCTGTCCGTGGTAAAACAGGTACCGTACGTAAAATTCAGATTGGGGAACAGGTCAGGAAACTTCGATCCGTCTACCCACATTTCGTGTAAAGCGGAGACGCACCCTGTACCGGTAGCGATCGCTGCGATGACTCAAGTCCGACTTCAGCAGCCTTCTGCCTTCTACACGAGGCGTCTCACGACGTCCCGTTAGTGGCGACGAGGCGACGCCTGCGCTTCTGACTAGCGCGTAGGCTGGGATGCGCCAGGTGCACTTGCGGGCGCACTAGGTAGGCTCGGCGCTCGACAGAACGTACGAAATGATGATGATCTCGGAAGGGACGTATACGTCATAGAACTTGAAGGTAGGATGAAGACTGATAGATACTTTTCCGATTGCTGATATCAAGCGAGCAGTCTGTACTCCGTGCTCAGTACGGAAACGTTTTATCGATCAAAGACGATGGACTGCATTGCCCGAATGGAGCATGTCGAGTGCAGCAGACCCTCCACTGAGAACGATCGCGGTAGTCGCCGGGAGTTTGCGCGTTTTCAGCTCCCGCTATGGACGTTGATACTGAAGAGGCGGACTACATCCAGAGACACAGGCTGCCGCCGAAACCGAGACCCGAAGACTGGCTGTTGGAGTGGGATGTCATTGAACGGTCTCCGCTGGGGTTAGCGTCGAACCGTGCTGTGCACGTTGCAGTTCAGCAGTTTCTGGTGGAAGTTGCGAAGCAGCTGGGGCTGGGTTCCTACGTGCGTGCAACGGCCCACGTGCTCTATATGCGGTACTATTTGTACAGCGATCACATTGTACCGGTCACGAGGGCGGAGTTAGAGCCTGGCTCTGGCCGAGGTACCAGTGAGTGGACGGCGCCGGCCGCGGTGCCTTTCGACCCATACCAGATGGCATCCGCGGCGGTTTTCCTGGCCGCCAAGGTGGAGGAGTGCCCCTGTTCTCTGAGCAAAGTGATTTATCTGAGCGTGAAGACGCGCACGCGGAACAGTAGGACGCATCCAGGGGGCCTCGAGGTCTACGAGGGCACCGAGCGCTTCGTGGAGGAGAAACAGCAGCTCTTGTTCGCTGAGCGGGCGCTTCTCCGCGCTACGCACTTTGATCTCCGCATGGATCATGCGTATCGGTATCTTGGCGCTGTACGCGACCTTTTGCAGCGATCCGACTGCATCGGAGAGTGCCCAGCCTCATGGTGGGAGCGAGTGTACGCACGAGCTTGGGCGGCGGTGACGAAGAGTTTCGGGACTGTGGGCTGCTTGCATTTCCGAGGCCGAGACCTAGCAGCTGCGGCGATGGCCCTCGAGGCTGTGGATACCGCAGCCCCTGAGCGGGTGGACGAGGCTGGGCTCGAGGCACTCGAACGGTGGGCAGGTTGGGAGGTTCTCGGGAGACACGAGCACCCCGATGTGAAACGCCACCCATACCAAATCCTGAGTTTGGAGCATGTTCCTCTTTGCGATTATGGCCTCGGTATCAGCCGCGAGGAGGCTATCGAAGCGATCAGGAGGGGCGTCATTCGTCGGGTCTATGAACAGCATACGTAGCAGCGCGTCTGGAACTGGGAGCCCTGCTCGATGCGATGCATTCGTGTCGCAGGGCTGGCGGAGACGCACACCGTCGAATCCTCTTTGGTATCAATCTGAGGCCGTATACTTGGAGCGATTCAAACCGTGCGATAGATGCGGAGCGGGAAACGCGACGACGAACATGCACGGCGGTGACCAGGGACTCGGACGCTGGACGCAGGAAACAAATCGGGTTAAGCAGAACACCAGTTTACTCGCCTTTGGCTTTCTTCTTCGGGAGAAGCACTGCGTGGATATTCGGCAACACGCCGCCAGACGCAATGGTCACGTCCGCCAGGAGCTTGTTCAGCTCCTCGTCGTTGCGGATCGCCAGCTGGATATGACGCGGGATGATGCGCGTCTTCTTGTTGTCGCGCGCAGCGTTGCCCGCCAGCTCGAGAACCTCGGCGGTCAGGTACTCCATGACTGCAGCGAGGTAGACGGGCGCGCCAGCGCCGATGCGCTCCGCGTACCCGCCGTCTCGCAGGTACCGGTGGACGCGCCCCACCGGAAACTGCAAACCTGCTTTGCTGGAGCGTGACTTTGCCTTGCCCTTGGGCGCCATGGTGCTGAAAGCTTCGAGAGAGAACGCGAGAGACCGACCGCGAGAGAAACAGCAGCCGCAGCGGTATACCCGTCGACGGCAGAGAAGTGAGACGAGAGCAGGAGCGACACAGAGCGCTGTGTCACACGGTATCAGTCGCGAGTACGAGAACGCCAAGTGTTGCAGCAGTGGTTGCGAGCGGCACAGGCGCGCCGTACCGTGGTGGCGTCTGCTGCGGGAGCCAGGGGCACGCGTTTGTTCGCGATCCGCGGCGGCTGCGCGCGATGCGCAGGTGTCGATCATGGATCGCCATCGCGCTGGAATACCGGACTGGCACCTGGTACAGAGCGGGTGATCGAGCGATCTGGCGATCTGGCGATCGGGCGATCTACGCGGCGACACCGCGCATCGCTGCCCTGCTTCAGTCTTCGTACATCGTGTACGATCTGGCGATCTGGCGAACGACCCTGCAGCGCTATGTTTTGCTCGTGCAAGCGAATCGCTGGGATGCGTCACTCCTCGTACATCGTCTTCGATCGTCCGATCGACTGTGCGATGCTGCGTGGCTGCTGGTGCCGGCAACTCGCCCCTGCGCCATTCGTGGTCCTTCGTCAGCGATCGGGCGACCTCGCAATGGATTCGGCCAGCTCTACTGTTTCCCGGTACTAGAGACTCGCTCCTTCACCATACATCATCCTTCGTCAGCGATCGGGCGACCTCGCAATCGATTCGGCCAGCTCTACTGTTTCCCGGTACTAGAGACTCGCCCCTGCGCCATTCGTGGTCCTTCGTCAGCGATCGGGCGACCTCGCAATCGATTCGGCCAGCTCTACTGTTTCCCGGTACTAGAGACTCGCCCCTGCGCCATTCGTGGTCCTTCGTCAGCGATCGGGCGACCTCGCAATCGATTCTGTAGCTCTGCTGTTTTCCGGTACTAGAGACTCGCCCCTGCGCCATTCGTCGGCCTTCGTCAGCGATCGGGCGACCGCATGATTCAGTCTTAGGCATTGACGATGGCGCAGCACGGAGCGGGCAGGCGATAGATCTTGCTTCGCAGCCATTCTTGCAGATCACCCGGTGTCGCGCGGTCGCCAATGGCAGTGATCGGCACTGCTTTCGCACCCGATCCTCCGATGCCTCGTGAGCACTCGGGCACGCGATACCGTGCCCTCATCCGGCGCAGGTCCGCGAGTCCAGCGATCTGAAGGGCTGTCGGCAAGCGGACACTCCCGCCGGGGACCACGAGCTGATTCTTGAACGCGCGCAGGTCCGCGAGTCTCTCGATCTGCTGACAAGCGCGCTTGCGATCACGCGATCGCTGTGCTACATTCCGTGCGCACGGATCGCGCCGCTGCGCGTCCGCACCGCGCGCCAGAGATGTGCGCCGGCAGCGCGAGCACCGCCGATCGCGGCGGCTCAGATCGCGCGCGCCAGCCGATCGCGATCCGCCCTTGCCGAACGTGCGTACGCGTGCCATCCGCAGCGCCGGATGCGCAGGTGCCTCTGGGCGCTTGGCAGGCAGCGCGCCCCCGCTCTTCCGCCTTGGCGCTGTGTTACACGGTACACGCGGGTCTGCCTCGACAAGTGCCTGGCCTGTGTGCGTCTTTGTGTCCCTGCCCGCGTGTGTTTGCGCGTGCCCAGCTGTTGTTGCTCTGTAACCGTGAGCGCTATCGCTCGAGTGTGTCTGACTGCGAACCCGAGACATGGCTATGAAAGGGAAGACTGTTGCGAAGAAGGTGGCGAAGGCGCCCGCTAGTATCGACAAGAAGAAGCGCAAGCGCCTCGAGACGTACAGCATCTACATCTACAAGGTTCTGAAGCAGGTGCACCCGGACACGGGCATCAGCTCGAAGGCGATGTCTATTATGAACTCTTTTGTGAACGACCTGTTCGAGCGGATTGCGTCGGAGGCGAGCAAGCTTGCGCAGTACAATAAGACGAAGACGCTGACGTCGCGGGAGATCCAGACTGCAGTGCGCCTGCTGCTGCCGGGCGAGCTTGCGAAGCACGCCGTCTCCGAGGGCACCAAGGCTGTCACCAAATACACCTCAAGCCAGTAAAACGTTTACGTCGCCTGTGCATGTCTCGACTGCTGGGTGCGCTCCTGGCGGGCCGGCTGCCCGTACCAGTCCGAGTACCGGTATCCGCGTCGCTTCCAGCGTCCATGGTTCTTTGCTGCCCGTGCCGGTCCGAGTACCGGTATCCGCGTCGCTTCCAGCATCCATGGTTCTTTGCTGCAGGTTCCGGTTCGAGTACCGGTATCCGCGTCGCTTGCAGCGTCCACTCTTCTCTGCTGCCCGTACCAGTCCGAGGCCCGGTACCTATCAGAGGGTGCTGCTGATGGTGGCTGCACAGGGGCAGCGTCAGCTCACAGTTCAAGCCGCCCACTTGCAGTGCATAGCCCACTGTCGATGCCGGTGCCGCGCTCGAGGAGATACCTCCACACGCCCTTTGCGCTTTTTTGTTCCAGACACTGCAAGGTCCATGCACGCCACGGCGGCTGCCCCGCGCACGAGCGCGAAATGTCGTAGCGACCTCTACTGGATGCATCGCGGATACCCGCTCGCACGACCAGTGGAAGCATCAGTGATGGGGGGCGGGCGCTGCACGGCCCGTCCAACGCTTCTTCGCTGCTTCCATACACCCATCCCGTGCTCTGTGACCGCAACTTGGGTATTTCAGCGGGCGCTGGCGGTGTATGAACAGCGTTCCGAGTACAAATCAAGACTGGCGGCAGCGGATGCGCTTGAACCTAGAGACGACGTGACATTCTGCTTCGCACGCTGCCTCTTTAAAGGGTATGGCAGCTTGTCATTTCTATAAAATGTCCCTGCTACTATTCAGCGCTGACGTCACTAGTGCGGGATGGGACCTGTCGGTGAGCGTCGGTGCCGGAGCGTGCTGTTTCGCAGACGTAGCTCGTCGTGAAACAGGGAGCTCAGGCGCTTATCCCGTGTCTCGTTCCGAGAATCTGCCGCTGTACTTGAACAAAAGCCGGTGCACCTGGCATCTTCCGCGACACCCTGCCCAGCGACCCCGAGCAGCAGTGCTTGCGCACTACAGCTCTACAGCGGGAAACCGGTACTCGGCAGCTGCGTTTGCACGATATTTTAGAGACCAGAGCGACAGCCTCTTCCACAAGACTGAGTGCACAGAGACGCGTACTTCCGTTCCTCCATTCCGACAGAGGGCGCTTTGAAGCGCCTCGCCGTGTACAAGCACCGGAAGCTCCGTTTCCTATGTGGATTGCCAGACGCACGGCAGCGACGCACTTCACGGACGTAGATGTAGATGGATACAGGCCTGTTTAGCGGGCAAAGTGTGAAAAAGACGCAATGTATGTCGGTTCATATAGACGCGTGCAGCGTCCGGGACTCCAAGGGATGTTCCTGCAGTGCAATGATTGCAAATAGCAGTCGACATTTACGATACGAATCAGTGGACAAGCGCAAGGCAAGCCGCCGAGTGCGCAGAGTCGTGACCTACCACACAGCGGTGGTGCGCTTACACAAACATAAACACTTGTCGAGGTTTACAAGTCCGCCCAAATAGACGCCCCTGGGCGCGTTCCACGTAGACGACGGGCGCGTCAGCCGCGCACCAGTACCGCAGGCGGACCCAGGCGCCTCCAAAGTCACACATATGCGCTCGGGTGTGTAGCGTGTCAAGAGCGACGCAAGCTTTACGGAGAGAGTTGATGCAGTGCTCGCACACTGCAGGCGAGGCCGCGAGCGCCAACGAGCGCGACGCTCGTCGGCACCCACAGGACGCTGCACCCGCTCGGCGGCACCAGTTGTGAGCAAGCACCGCCTTAAGCCCGTTCACCACGGATGCGGCGTGCCAGCTGGATATCCTTCGGCATAATCGTCACACGCTTCGCGTGAATCGCGCACAGGTTCGTATCCTCAAACAGGTTCACGAGGTAGGCCTCGGCAGCCTCCTGCAGCGCCAGCACCGCAGACGACTGGAAGCGCAGGTCCGTCTTGAAGTCCTGCGCTATCTCTCGCACCAGGCGCTGGAAAGGAAGCTTCCGGATAAGCAGCTCCGTAGACTTTTGGTAGCGCCGGATCTCGCGAAGCGCCACCGTACCGGGGCGGTAACGGTGCGGCTTCTTTACACCGCCCACAGACGGTGCCGACTTGCGTGCAGCCTTGGTTGCCAGCTGCTTCCGAGGCGCCTTGCCACCGGTCGACTTGCGAGCAGTTTGTTTCGTGCGCGCCATACTAGTCAGAGAGCTTTGGTCGAGAGCTAAGTCACCCAGCAAGAACGTCGAGAGCGCTGCGACTCGATCGACAACGGCAAACGGAATCGTCGTGGCAGATGTAGTCGGCGGCGCCCGTAGGCCGCGCCATTGGCGCTGCGGCCGCTGGCGCATGATCAGGCGTCAACGGAGGAGATGGTGCCGATCGCCCGCGTGCGGGTGGTGAGTGCGATCGGCGAGACGCGTGCGCGCCACCAGCGGGGTGCACGCGTGAGCGATCTTGCGATGCGGGCGATCTTGGTGCTTCAGCGATCTCGCATGCCTCGGTAGTGGATCGCGCGCCGTCTCCGGCGACGAGACCAGGAGACGCCCGGTGCAGATCAGAAAGTTCAGCTGGCGCCGACGATAGGCTCATCACCCGACTAGTGTATATCGATAGATCGGTCTGGCATGCATTTGGAGCGATGAGCCGAAGATACGCACAGTGCAGATCAGAAAGTACAGCTACTGTTGACAGTAGTCTCATCACCCGACTAGTGTGTATCGATAGATCGGTCTGGCATGCATTTGGAGCGATGAGCCGAAGATACGCTCAGTGCAGATCAGAAAGTACAGCTACTGTTGACAGTAGTCTCATCACCCGACTAGTGTATATCGATAGATCGGTCTGGCATGCATTTGGAGCGATGAGCCGAAGATACGCTCAGTGCAGATCAGAAAGTACAGCTACTGCTGACAGTAGTCTCATCACCCGACTAGTGTATATCGATAGATCGGTCTAGCATGCATTTGGAGCGATGAGCCGAAGATACGCTCAGTGCAGATCAGAAAGTACAGCTGGCGCCGACGATAGTCTCATCACCCGACTAGTGTATATCGATAGATCGGTCTGGCATGCATTTGGAGCGATGAGCCGAAGATACGCTCAGTGCAGATCAGAAAGTACAGCTACTGCTGACAGTAGTCTCATCACCCGGATGGTGCATGGCGATACATCGGTCTCGCGTGCATCACTGCTGAGGACATACCTGTGAGTCTCCCAAAGTCCGGGAGCGCCCGCTGAGGAGACGACATCGCGGGGCTGGGTTCCGGCGAAAATGCGTCTCGCGGAAGATTCCAGTCCTTCTCTGCGAGCTTGCAGCGGAGAGAGCGCACGCGATATCACGGCTCCAACGACGGGCAGCTTACCGCAAGCTTTCAAGGGTGCAGCATGGGCTTTACGACAACAGGTGTCATAGCATCAGCGATGCGGAATGCGAGATTGGCGGGATCCGATCGGCAGCGCCGCCTCCCACATATCCGGCTTGATGACCGGCGGGCCGCGAGCGGTACATGTGCTTCGTAAATGGACACTCTGACGCCTCGTGGAATGGAGTCTGCTCAGCAGCATGGTGGGTAAACGAATGGGCGATTCACAGGTTCCGCTCAGCACTGATGCGAGCAGTGTGATGACAGACTGGACAATGTGCGTGCCCCAGCCAGCACTGCTCTATATGGTGCAACGCCGCTCGACGAGTGTCGCCCTCCGATTCCGACCGGTCTATGCTGCATTCCCGAATGCACCACTGAAACGACCCCAAGCGCCACTGATCTATGCTCCATATCACCGATACCACCACCGCAAGCTTCCGATCAGCCGTGCTGAACGCGTCATGCCCGATCCACCGACGCAGAGGTGCCCGGCGCCAGTCCTGCTTCCCGCGTTACCTAGTCGTCGGGCGGCGAGCTCCGGTTGGCTCCTGGGCCTGCGGCATCACCGCCCTGACGAGCGCCATGCGCCAGCATCCACCGCTGCCGGGCACCGCTCCGGACAGCTGCGCGCACGAGACCACGAGCGCCACGGCGGCGCCAGATACACCGCTGCCGGGCACCGCTCCGGACAGCTGCGCGCACGAGACCACGAGCGCCACGGCGGCGCCAGATACACCAGCCGCCGCCCAGCGCCGCGATCGAGCAATGCGCGCACAGGGCGCCCGTGCGCCGACGTGCTCATCGGATCGCGCGCTCCGTTTCAATGCGCCGCACCGATGACGCGCGCGCGCGCCAACTGGCGCGCACGATCCGCGCACCAGCCGGCGCCAGATCGCGCCACCCGCCGGTCCCACGATCACAGCCTCGCGCTCCGTGTTCGAAACCGATCACACACGCACCAAGCAGCGCGTACCGGCTCGCGGCACGCAACGCACACCATCACCCGGAACACCCGCCGCACGCACCGCCAGCGCAGCGCTCAACGCGAACAAGCGCGCTGCCGGCGCTGCAGCAGGGCCCCGGCGCCGGTCGCACACAGGCGTCACCTCCGGCAAGCCTTGGCGCTCTCCGCCCCGCATAGAGTCCCCAGGTACTCGCAGCGATCAACCACCGGCCAGAGGCGCGCATCCGAGTTTGCGTGCATCCCCGGCCTGTGTCTGAACCCGTCTCTCCCGCTCTCTCTGTGTGCGAGCTGCTTGTGAGCGTGTGTCTCTGTGTGTGTGCGTGCGCGCTACCCGCAGCATTTCGTCTGTGACGTTCGTGTACCGCCGCCGTGCGCATCGCGTGCTTGCGTCTGTGCGTGCGTTCTCGTTTACGATTCTCTTCGCGCGTGTGCTTGCGTTTGCGTTCTCGTTTACGCGCGCGCACGTCTACGGTTGAGCCTGTGTTTGCTCTTCTTCTGCGTGTTTGTTTGCTTGTGAGCTAGCTTATCTTTTGAAACAATGTCAGGTCGTGGCAAGGGCGGCAAGGGTCTCGGGAAGGGCGGTGCGAAGCGCCACCGCAAGATTCTGCGCGACAACATCCAGGGTATTACGAAGCCTGCTATCCGGCGTCTGGCGCGCCGCGGCGGTGTGAAGCGCATCTCCGGCCTCATCTACGAGGAGACGCGGAACGTTCTGAAGGTATTTCTGGAGTCGGTGATCCGCGACGCGGTGACGTATACGGAGCACGGCCGGCGCAAGACGGTGACCGCGATGGACGTCGTGTACGCGCTGAAGCGCCAGGGCCGTACGCTCTACGGCTTTGGTGGCTAAGCGTTGTGCTCGCTGCAACCGAGTACGTAAAGACCACTTACACTGTGCGGCAAATAATCCCCAGTACATCCGCTACCGTCCTGCTTCCGGTAGAGAGCCTTTCACAGGCTCGCGCAGTTCACCTGAACTTTGCATGGAGAAAAGTTCTCCAAGTCCGCAACAGTCGGGCGCGCCGCGTGCTGGGCGGCCCCCTCAACTCCAGTCTGTGGTGGGTATCGCGCGCCGCGCAGCTCGGGGGTGTGCCTTACCAAGTCGCGTTGCTTCGCGGAGCAACAGTTTCCGGTGGCATCGTGCATGCTCCGCTTGGAGCTGCCTCGATATGGCGCGAGTATCGAACTTGCGCTCGACTCCAGCTGAGCGCGCACTCGCAACGCCAACGTCAGCCTCTGTAACGGAAGCAGCTCGCCCATGCCAGCCCTCTCGCAGGGGGGCGCTCGCCTCGTCTGCACTGCCGTTCGCTGCACTAAACCGAGTTGGGTCCCGTGCTTCGCGCAGACCTGACCAAACCGACGCACTAGCGCACTCAGAAATGTAAGGCGCATTCCCGAGAGTCCTCATGTGTGCCAGACTTGCCAGCTGCGACACCGCGTTCGCGAGCTGCTTGCCACAGATCGTGGCCTCGTCCGATCCAGCGGTGTCGGGGCGTGACGCGGCCTCTGCCCCGGAATCCGCTTGTCGCCATAGACTCAAGGTCGCGTTCGAAGCATCAGTGACGTCCTCAGCGCGCGCGGTCACTAAATGCTCGCTGACGGAGCTTGCTTCCGCGAGTAGGCCGCGTTCGATGCAGAGCGGCAACCCAAACCGGTTGTAAAAGAAGCTGACTAGGCTGCGCCGATCGCGCTCCAGCATCTCCAGCGCGTCTCGATGCCCGAGTGGCACCATTTGCGGAAAGTCGATCACAGTGATCTGTTCCGTCTCACAGTCGACCAGGACGTTAAATTCATTCAAGTCGCCGTGGACCAGGCCAAGCTCAGTCAGGCGCTCCTGAAACTCCCAGATTCGTTCGAAGACTGCTCTGGGATCACGCAGCGATCGAGCGTGGCTGAGCGGCAGCGCACCCTGTACAAGCCGCTGGACGACGCAGTGGCGATTCGCATCGATAGGCTCCGGCACCGGCAGGCCCTGTCCATACAGAAACACTAGAGCTTCGTACTCCCGCTGGGCCGCAAGTCGGCTCAGATACAGCCAGTTCGCTACGACCCGTCTGTCGCTCGACTGCGACGTAAACCTAACAATATTCCCATCGAGCCGGTCTGCGGGGACGCCCTCGCTTGCGCGTTCGCTCTCGGATACACCCTCCACAGTCGGTAACAAGCGTCCTGAGCTCCCCGCTGCAACGTCGGAAGTCGCTTCCTCGGGCACAAACGGCGTCCGTTCACAGTAACCTCGCTTCGTTCGCGCCCGCCGGAAGCTCGTCCGGCCCAAACGGTGAACCTTCAGCACAAACAGCTCCGAGCCATCCACGCCGCCGAGAACCTCGTGCACGTCACTCTCCTTGCCCGTTCCGATGAGCCCGCCCACAGAGCAGACGCTCGAGCGCTCCCGCAGCGCGCGCAGCGCCAAGTAGTCATACCCTAGCGGAGTCAGCCGGTACGACTCGTACGGACGCGACTCGTGGTGAACGAGCTTGTGCCGAAGGAGTACCTGCAGCGCCCGACGTGCACCACGGTTTCCCGAGAGCGCTCCAACAAGCTCCACGGGCACACGCTCGTGGTTCCGCATACCCAGCTCCACGGCCGTTAAAGTGCGAAGCTCGCCATCCGTGAGATGACGAAGCTGCGATGCGTCGAGATGCATCGACCGCTACACAACGAGCACGCCCCGCACAGTCGCAACGTTTGTCAATGTATATCTGTTGGAACACACAGTGTAGGCACGTCCCGCACAATAGCAACGCCAGCCAAAGCAACTCCACACGACTATACTGCAAGGACGCTCCAGGCGCAGGGGCTTCGGCATACAGGCGTCGACGTCAATGCTCGAGCGCATTGCCCAATGGCATCAATAGGTCACACGTGACATCGTGCGCGGCGCTGCACGGCGCGGCGCTGCACGGCACGGCGCTGCACGGCGCGGCACGGCGCTGCACGGCACGGCAATGCCATCAACGCCTGCCCGCATCGCATGGCCTGCACGCGTGCACGCATCCCGTGCGCACGCATTCGTCGCCGCACTGCCGCGTCGCGCCGCGCTGTACAGGCTCTACGAAGCTCAGTTCGTTACCTGAGCGCTTCTCACCGTCGTGACAGACTCGGTTTGCTTGTTTGTTGGCGAATCAGCGCTTGTAGGTGCGCAACTGAGACGGTGTGCGACCTTGTGGTGCTGGGTGTAGCTTCCTGCACGCTGTCGCTCTCTTGCTTCGTTCCTGTGCTTTTTTGAGGTTCTCTGCGTAAGCGCGTGAGGGTGCTGCTTTAATCATGGAGGCTGGTCGTAGACAGGTTTCTTGGAAGCGCAAGTTTGTTGCGGACGGCGTTTTCTTCGCGGAGCTGTCTGAGCTGCTCACGCGTGAGCTGGCGGAGGACGGGTACGCTGGCGTTGAGGTGCGCGTGACACCTCGAGGCCACGAGGTCATTATCCGAGCGACACGGACGCAGACTGTGCTCGGCGAGAAGGGCCGGCGCATTCGTGAGCTGACTGCGCTTGTTGAGAAACGCTTTGGCTTTCCGGAGAACCAGGTGTCGCTGTTTGTCGAGCGCGTGCCGAACAGAGGTCTGTGCGCGATGGCACAGGCCGAGTCTCTGCGGTACAAACTGCTGGGCGGGCTCGCTGTGCGACGTGCGGCGTACGGCGTGCTTCGCTTTGTGATGGAGTCTGGGGCCAAGGGCTGCGAAGTGCAAATCTCCGGGAAGCTCCGGGCGCAGCGGGCAAAGACCATGAAGTTCATGGACGGGTACATGATCTCGACGGGGCAACCGAAACTCGACTTTATCGACCGCGCCGTGCGGCACGTGCTCTTGCGGCAAGGCGTACTCGGGATCAAGGTGAAGATCATGTTGCCGCACGATCCGACAGGCCGTCAGGGCCCGCGGAAGCCGCTTCCGGACTCGATCGTTATTCTGGAGCCGAAGGAGGAAGACACGCTCGGCAAGGTTGTTGCGACACACACGACATACGGCCCGGCGGCTATGCCGGCAGCACCCGTGGGTGTGGCGCCTGGTGTCATGGGTGGAGCGCCTGTTATCGGTGTCGGAGCGGCGCGACCGTGAGCGGTCAGGCGCGATACAAGGTAGCTGTTCATTTTAGGGGCACGTTGCCGAGCTCCGCCGGATCTTTTCCAATGGGCTCGTGCAGAGGCCTTTTCTACGGCGAGTTCTACGCTCATGTCGCTGTCGTCTTCGATGCCTCTGAGGCATGTGTTCCCCTCGTGTTTTGCGCTGCATTGGATGCAGTGCTCTACCCTGATGCGACGTGCATTAAGCGGTGCCCGCCGCGCGGGAGACCCGACCAGAGTTGAACGGGACCGGAAACCTAAACGCTGAGCTATCTGTGTTGCCTCTTCGAGTGGTGACGGGTGCCTGTTCCAGGCGTCTGTCTTCTTCGAAGCCTCGCGCTGATCCATCTCGGGTACTGTATTCGACAATTTCTGGAGCGACAGGCGTTCTCGTCTCCAAGCTGGGGTGCAGTGCTCGTCCAGATGCTCGCCAAACACGATAGAGCATGCCTGCTTGCCAGCGCGCACTGGAGCACGTCAGCGCACTGGAGCGCATACGCTACTCGAGCTGGCGAAGGCGCTCGTCCGAGTCTCAGCCGCTCCTTCGTGAGCGCTGACACGGGTCAGCACAAGTCCCAGGCGCACAGCGCAGTCGTATTCCTGGACGGTGCGCTTCCTGTGGACCCAGCCGGTGGTTGCAGCGTCGATTCCCGAACAAGCAGCCCAGCGGTTTCGTCCAGGGGGAATGGCGCGGCATGTCGAGAGCTCTGTGCCGGGCCTGCTCGAAGCACTTCGTTCGCGCGGACACTCGTGTGTGTATGGGGTAGAGTCATTGAACCCAAATAGGGATCACAGCATCCGTGGCAGCATGGACGATCGCTCGAGCCGGCTGCCTACCTTCACCACGTCGATGCCCGCAGCGGGCAGACTGTCGTCTGGAACTAGAAGCCGAGGGCGCGCATGACTGGTGCTTGCCAGTCAGAGGTCGTCGGACATTGTATCCTCAGTGCCCACACATGATCGAGTGAGTCGAACACCAGTAGCATGGAGCGCTTTCGCTATCCAAGGACGCGAACGCAGCTGCTCGAGTCGGAGCGCCCGCGACTCCCAACTGTAAATAAACTCCACGGCAAACTATTCGACAGCGCCGCATGAGACTCTGGACGACCCCGGGCAGAGGCTTTCTCTGTTCAGACGTTAGGAATAGTATTAGCATATGCGCAAACCAGCATGATCAGGTCGCAATACGCAGTTTGTGAGCAGGAGCAATTCCCGTGATATACACACTGTGTCCCCGACGTCCTATGACTCTTGGCTGTCTACACGGGAGACTCTTCGTACCGCTCGGCGGGAGCAATTCCGGTGATATTCACACCGTATCCCCGACGTCCTATGACTCAACGTTATCCATGCGGGAGGCTCTTCGTACCGCTCGACGGGAGCAATTTCGGTGATATACACACTGTGTCCCCGACGTCCTATGACTCTTAGCTGTCTACTCGGGAGACTCTTCGTACCGCTCGGCGGGAGCAATTCCGGTGATATACACACCGTATCCCCGACGTCCTATGACTCAACGTTATCCATGCGGGAGACTCTTCGTACCGCCCTGTGGCAGTGAGTTCGGCAATATGCACCCAGGGCGCGCAGTGTCCCGCCTACACACGTCTCAGGCGGTCTTGGTGCTCAGAGGATCCCCGTTCGTCACCAGGTGCCTCCAAGAAAGTGCCACGCCCACGAAACGGCAGAAAGTGCGCAGGAGTGAAACCGTCCTGCAACCGAAGCGCGCACGCTGCCTAGAAGGCCCGGCCTACACGCGACGGAGCAGCGCCCTAACCGTCGCCGAACCGACGAGCCTCTGCCTCGGGGGATATCGCAGCGTGAGAGGTCCAGCAATGGGAAACGCCCTCGGATGTTCCGCCTACAGCCGCCACAGCGGCTTCGCAGCAGCGCTCCTACGGATACGACCCCGAGGCGACCCTTGTGGCAGACGCTGCTCAAAATTCAACCCCAGCTAAAGCCGAACGTACCGCGGCTGGCAACAGAAGCCTCAGCAAACGCTGCTCCGCAGCTGGCCGGCAGGGTGCCGCGTTGCGTTGGAGCGGCCGCTCGAACCGCCGAACTTTGCGCGTTGCTTTGGCTGTGCGCGGATATCGCTGGCGAGTCGCACTGAGACTCTCACCGGTGGTGGTTGACGCCATCCAAAAGAATCGGTGTGCGGGAACCAGTGGCTCTGTTTGCAGCGGTATACGTTGTGCTTTCTGGTAGCCAGCTTGCGATAGGGCTTGCAGAGCCTGGGATACGTGTCCGGGACTCGCGACGTGCACTGTAGGAGCTCGTGGTGGCTGCAGCGTGTCGAAAGGAGACTCTATCGTTGTGGCGACTGGTGCGAGTCGGAAAATCTTCTCTCGTGACGGACCTGGTCGCACACTTGCTTGCTTTTTGGTGCTCTTGCTCAGAGTCGCGCAAAGCTTCGTGCAGCTCAGTGCAGGCGCGTGGACTCGGTCACAGTTTGGTGCTGTAGTTCGCAGGTTGGTGTAAGCACTTCAAACGGCGCACAATTGGCTAAAAGTAGGGAACAATAGAGCGGGATGTGGCCATCAGTATCGGAGGAAACAACAGGATGCGGCTCGTCTGGGACTCGTCTAACGCCAGTGACGCGCCGACCGCGCAAGCCGTACCGCCTCATGAAGCCACGCGAAGCGTGGACAGCGGAGGAGCACGAGCTATTCGTGGAGGCGCTGCGGCTGTATGAGCGGGATTGGAAGCGCATTGAGCAGCACATAGGGACGAAGACGGTTGTACAGATCCGGTCGCATGCACAGAAGTATTTTCTGAAACTGCAGAAGAGCGATCAGAGCGCGTGGATTCCCCCAGCGCGCAAGCGACGAACTGCGGGCGGCGGCAGCAGCGCCGCCAGCACCGAGGCAAGTGACGGCGGAGCGGCCTCCAGCACGGGTTCGCGACCCGAGACGCGCGCAACTGCGGCAACCGTCGACAAGGCACCAGTACGCACCACAAACGAATCGGACAGCGCCCTTTCGCCTCAAGAACGGACCCTATTGAGACCGCACGCCGCGGAGGATGTGTCTAGCGTGTCTGCTTCGGGCGGAGGCGCAAACTTCTCAACCAGCGCATCGCTAGCGCATGCGGCAGCGCGCGATCGAGGCTGGCGCTGGGCATTGGCGGGAAACGCACGCATACGCGCAGCATCAGCGGACACGTGTGCCCACGCATCGCCACTGGACAGCGTGGCGCTGGACGCAACACCAGCAGCACCAGCAGCACCAGCAGCACCAGCAGCACCAGCAGCACCAGCAGCACCAGCAGCACCAGCAGCACCAGCAGCACCAGCGGAATGTGGTGCTGGAAGTGGTGGAGGCGCAAACGGTGTGCGCGCACTGAAGCGGCGGCTGCCGAACGTATCGCTGAAGGGCGTGCCGGACGCGGCACCTGCGGGAATCGCTGAGCTGCACCGGGGTGCATCGCATGCGGATGCGCTGGGCTCGGCAGCTAACTTTCGGGCTATCTACGGCTTTTTGGCATACTTGCTGATGCCATACGAGGAGACTGGTGGCGAGAGCGCTCGGCATTCGGATCTGTGTGTGAACGCTAGCTGGAGTGATGCGCAAGCCGCAGAGGCTGGCACTGGGCCGCCTTTGGGCCGGGATCTACGCGGATGCGCTGAATCCCGCAAGGACTGGCGTGAACGCTACCGATCTCTGAGCGCTCTGGAGCAGGACATCGTGCGGCAGATGCTGAGGCGTCTGTGTAGCAATTTGTTGGACCGGCGGTTTGTGGAGGGCGCTCTCCGCAGATTCCGGGAGGCTGCCCTCGAGGAGAACGCCTTGGCGATGCGGAGATAGTGTTGCCCCGTGTGTGGGCGCACAAAACCGGGGGTTTATAGAGCACCGGCGCCGAATGGACTGGTTTTGGGGCGCTCGGCTCGCCTGTTGCTAAACATTGGTGGTGACATGGGTGGCCGGGCACGTGGTACCCCTGGCGGTTGCCGCTGACTGAACGGCTTGTTGGCCGCTCTTGTCGCAGTCGATGCACAGCGGAGAGCAATTTGGCAGGTGTTGTCGCGACTGCACCGCGGGGGTCAATGCTTGCAGTGCTTGCAGTGCTTGCGTACATTTCCAGCCTGGATAGAGCCGGTGAAAGTGGCTGCTGCTGGGGGCTCGGGCACACTGGCCCCCGAGGGGCCGCGAGCTGCCGACGCCACGGCGTGTCCGCGCGGGCCTTCCTGTAGCGTTCGTAGCGCCCCAGGAGGCGCTGTTTTCCTCAGTGTTCTCAGAGCACCGGTGCGTGCCAGTGAGGTACGCTCACCAGCCCAAGGGAGTGCACCCGGACGCCCAGTCTGATGCAGCTTGGGCAAGGACGCCTATGGCGGATCGTTTAGAGGCGATACTCGGTCGTACGGGCGGCCTGAGCGTGCGCACTTGGAAAAACTGACGCGCTCAAGTTGGTACCGCGCGTGCGTTGTTGGTAACGTGGACATTCTGCAAGATGCTCGTACAGTGCATAGAAGCCATTTTTACGTTATTGCGGATTCGCTGCGGGCGAAGCCGGTGATGTCGCCGAGATTGTGCCGGGAAGAGCCAGAGCGAGCCCTACGTTACCAAGCTATCGCAAGGGGGCTGCGAGGTCACTGCAGAGCGCTCGGCGCCGACATGAGGCCAGCGCGCAACAGCAGGAGCGGCTGCCTGTGAAAGAGCGAACGCGCCGGGGCCCAGAGAGTCGGACAGGCGCCGCCACAGCCGTCAGCGTTTCTGGCGAAACCCGCCTAGCGCGCGGATGACGCGAGGCGCACCTGCGACTCGACCCATGCATACTCGAGTTCCTCCTCGTCGGTCGCCTGCACCTCCTTTTGGACACCGTCGAGAACTGCGACGATCGCTTGCCTCGAAGAAGTGTAAACCATCTTTGACCGGATCGGTGCGCTAGCGGGGGACCAGAGCAAGAAAATTATTTTGTTCTTCTTTCCCGTCTCCGCAGTATCGAACTCAAAGTCGTAGACCGCGTACCGGCAATCGTCCCGGGGTAGGTACTTGTCACTCGTAAACTCCTTCCAATCTTCCACGGCGCTCCGACCAGTGATGTTCGACGACGGCAGAACGCGGTCCACTATAATCGTACGAAGGTCAGGCGACACTCGGTAAATAACCGCTCGGTACTGGCGCGGACACGCACGGATAAGGGTCAAAAGCTCCGCAGAGCACGCTGGATCAACCGAAACCCCAGACGCCATCTCTCTCAGCAACACCAAAAAGCCCACAAGTGTTCGAGCGAGGTCCCTACAGGTAACCGCGAACAACACCGCTCACCGAGATGGGCGCAAGGCGTACTCGCCGCGAGCGTCGAGGCTGCAGTTGAAAGCAAAACGCTTTGCGCCGGCGCCTACGGCGGGAATCTGGTGGCGTGTCCTCGGCGATCATCGCGCAACGGCGGCTGCTTTGCATTTTTTTCCATAGACAAAACGTTTCCATAGGCCAGCGTTCGCCGATTATGCGCATTTTTCTCTTCTCACCTTTTTTGCGTGTTTTTTCCTGTGTGCGGTGAAATATCCACCAAACCCGCTACCTCCAAGTTACATTACCTATACTTCTTCTCGGATATTCTGGTCGTTTCATACGTCCTATCGTGTGTGCCTGGCACCTGTCGAGAGCATCCGCAATGGCGCCTATAGCGCCGGTGCGGTCGCTGCACGGAGACAGAACGGCGTCGCCGTACCGCACGGGGGGCGTCGGCTCGAGGCGGCTGCTTGCAGTGCGCGCTGCGATCAAGCGCACATTCGGGGAAGGCTGACTTGTATAGAAGTTTTATCCGTGAGAATGAATTCGCAATGCCGCGTCTGGAGCCAGTGCAGAGTACTCGACAGACACGACACCTGTAGACTGGGATGTTATCACGAGTCGTTTCGGAAAAGTCTGGTCAGTAAGCAGTGGAACGCACGTCTGCGAATTGGAGACGTAGTCGATACCCATCTTGTCGAGAATGAAATCGCGCGTTCGAGAATCCCTGGTTCGACTGAGCAGTGCTTGTGCATAACGCAGTCCAGACTAGAATGGAACGGATCCAATGAAACAACCCGGATATACTTTTTCGAGTTTGGGTCTCTTTCGATTGTCATGCGCATCAGCCTGTGCGGGATTTTTCTGCGACTGGATCCTTCTCCTCTCTCCTATATCTGGAATGAAATGCGCCAGTCTATCCTGTTTCTCCAGGACTGCTGCCAGCGTTCGAGTGATTCTGGCGGTGGCGTTTAGGACCTGATTTTGCCGCCTCTGGCTCATGTCGACGAGTTTCGTGCGCATGTACGAGTCGCGATCGACGCATCGCTTCCCGTTTGCATATAGGTTTTATAAGGCCTCGGTGCGGATGCCGTATCGGCGACAAGTAAATTCGTTCAGACGGTTCGGTATGGGCACCACCAGCACCACCAGCACCAGACCTCCTCCTCATCCGCTGCCGAGCGCTGCTTCGTAGTGGGTGAACGCTTGCTTCGTGGCCTGCTACATGCCCTCGATCCGTGCAGAGCGCACCACTCGATGCGCTTCTCGATTTCCGCACCCGGTGCCGTGTGAATCGATTCCGAGATTCTTCTGGGGATCGTTCTGCGAGTTTGCTGTCTTTTGCATGCGCAACCGCAGGGTGCGCTATTAGCTAGAGGATTTCCAGCGTGCGATGTTGTATGCGATGAAGGAAACACCGCGGGGAAAACTCATTCTGGAGATGCTGTCGAAAGCTTTCGATCCGTCTACGCTCCCTCCGTGGAAAACGGTGGTGCATTCCCTCCTTGAAACGGTCGCTTCGATGACTCGACTCCGAGTCCAATGCAGTTCTTTATGCGAATAGAAGTGACGGGAGCCTCCGGCACCAGCTCCTTTGAGAGATACCATGCTGCTCTCGAATGTCGTATCGGAGGTAGCGACGACGAAAGAGCGATTTGCGTCTCGAGCGCAATGGATTATAGACCTAAAAAATTCAATGTACGCTCGACATGAGCTTGTGAGGAGCTTGTGCGTCGTCGGGAATTCATCCGCGCCAATCCAAAGGCGCGAATTGCTGGGTCTATGATTCTCGTTCCAACGGAACGACCGAGAACTTCAAGAGTGTGCCTTTTAAATTTAATATACCCGGGCAAAGAGCAACCACAGAGGCCTGTACGCATGCACTGGATATCGATATCGGTTCGATTGCGAACTCCTGCTCCAGAGCGTCACGAAGCATCCTCACTCAAGGAACGCTACGAGTTCCATGAGTGGGCCATCGAAAGAGCCTTCCGGAAACACGACAAAAATTCATCAAACTAGGTATCCATCCGTAAGCTCGTGTTGCCCCAGTTGGAATGTCCAGGCTATATGCCTACAGAAACCCTCGAAATACAGATCGAAAAGTAGGAACAAAGCGGGTAGTTCAGCGTTCCCTGTCGATCGGGCATGCGTGTGTCGCGCAGCCGCTTTCGCCCTGCACGAGGACGGCACCGGCAGCAGCGCTCTTGACTGTCACAGTACCTCTGGGACGCGCTTTTCGGAGGAGTCGCTGCGCTGGGCTAGGCTACGCTGGGCGAGGCCGAAACTGAGCCCCAGCAGGGGAGGTTCACCTTCCGTAAAGCTGGGTGTGTATATTTTGGTTGAGTGCTCATGGATCGGCCGCTCGTGGGTCTGAGGGTGCGCCTTGTGCTGGACGAATGTGTGCCGGACGCGCCTACGGAGCCGTCGGTACCTGCTGGCATTGAGGGTATTGTTTTCGCGTATGATGAGCGTCGGAACCTTTTGGTGGTTTGTACGCCTTCGTCATCGGGTGCAGATCTGTACGATGTGCACGTTCTACGGGCTTCGCACGTGGCAGAAGTGCAGGTTCTGAGCGAGGGCATCGAAGCGAGTCAGCGGCAGTCGCGCTGGCGGAGTGGACGCGAGCGAGCGCTATTCTCTGGCGGTTCCCTTCCTGCACTCAGTATCGAGGCACTCCGGCAGCGCGAGAGTCGGAGTTTAGCCCGGGCGCGTGAGCGGTCTTCGAAGCTCGGGCGGGGCGTGAGTGTGCTCGGCCAACTGGTCTTCGACGCCCTCGACAGGACGCTGCCGTGTCGCTGGGACGAGCCGAACATAATCGTGCTTGACTCTGTCTATGTGCCGCCGCCGTATACAGCGGAGGGAGTTCGCTCGCTGGACGACGACGAGGCTGCGGCGCAGCGGGTACGACTCGTGCTCGAGCGCGAGCTTCCACGACTCGTAGCGGGCTCAGCAGCTCTGGACCCACAGGACGGGTAACCCGTCCAAGGAACGCTGTTCATGCACCGCCAGCGCCCGCTGAAATACCCAAGTTGCGGTCACAGAGCACGGGATGGGTGTATGGAAGCAGCGAAGACGCGTTGGACGGGCCGTGCGGCGCCCGCCCCAGTCACTGATGCTTCCACTGGTCGTGCGAGCGGGTATCCGCGATGCATCCAGTAGAGGTCGCTACGACATGTCGAGCTCGTGCGCAGGACAGCCGCCGTCGCGTGCATGGACCTTGCAGTGTCTGGAACAAAAAAGCGCAAAGGGCGTGTGGAGGTATCTCCTCGAGCGCGGCACCGGCATCGACAGTGGGCTATGCACTGCAAGTGGGCGGCTTGAACTGTGAGCTGACGCTGCCCCTGTGCAGCCACCATCAGCAGCACCCTCTGATAGGTACCGGGACTCGGACCGGCACGGGCAGCAAAGAAGCATGGATGCTGGAAGCGACGCGGATACCGGTACTCGGACCGGAACCTGCAGCAAAGAACCATGGACGCTGGAAGCGACGCGGATACCGGTACTCGGACTGGTACGGGCAGCAAAGAAGCGTGTATGCTGGAAGCGACGCGGATACCGGTACTCGGACTGGTACGGGCAGCAAAGAAGCGTGTATGCTGGAAGCGACGCGGATACCGGTACTCGGACCGGCGCGGGCAGCAAAGAAGCGTGTATGCTGGAAGCGACGCGGATACCAGTACTCGGACCGGTACGGGCAGCAAAGAAGCGTGTATGCTGGAAGCGACGCGGATACCGGCACTCGGACCGGCACGGGCAGCCGGCCCGCCAGGAGCGCACCCAGCAGTCGAGACATGCACAGGCGACGTAAACGTTTTACTGGCTTGAGGTGTATTTGGTGACAGCCTTGGTGCCCTCGGAGACGGCGTGCTTCGCAAGCTCGCCCGGCAGCAGCAGGCGCACTGCAGTCTGGATCTCCCGCGACGTCAGCGTCTTCGTCTTATTGTACTGCGCAAGCTTGCTCGCCTCCGACGCAATCCGCTCGAACAGGTCGTTCACAAAAGAGTTCATAATAGACATCGCCTTCGAGCTGATGCCCGTGTCCGGGTGCACCTGCTTCAGAACCTTGTAGATGTAGATGCTGTACGTCTCGAGGCGCTTGCGCTTCTTCTTGTCGATACTAGCGGGCGCCTTCGCCACCTTCTTCGCAACAGTCTTCCCTTTCATAGCCATGTCTCGGGTTCGCAGTCAGACACACTCGAGCGATAGCGCTCACGGTTACAGAGCAACAACAGCTGGGCACGCGCAAACACACGCGGGCAGGGACACAAAGACGCACACAGGCCAGGCACTTGTCGAGGCAGACCCGCGTGTACCGTGTAACACAGCGCCAAGGCGGAAGAGCGGGGGCGCGCTGCCTGCCAAGCGCCCAGAGGCACCTGCGCATCCGGCGCTGCGGATGGCACGCGTACGCACGTTCGGCAAGGGCGGATCGCGATCGGCTGGCGCGCGCGATCTGAGCCGCCGCGATCGGCGGTGCTCGCGCTGCCGGCGCACATCTCTGGCGCGCGGTGCGGACGCGCAGCGGCGCGATCCGTGCGCACGGAATGTAGCACAGCGATCGCGTGATCGCAAGCGCGCTTGTCAGCAGATCGAGAGACTCGCGGACCTGCGCGCGTTCAAGAATCAGCTCGTGGTCCCCGGCGGGAGTGTCCGCTTGCCGACAGCCCTTCAGATCGCTGGACTCGCGGACCTGCGCCGGATGAGGGCACGGTATCGCGTGCCCGAGTGCTCACGAGGCATCGGAGGATCGGGTGCGAAAGCAGTGCCGATCACTGCCATTGGCGACCGCGCGACACCGGGTGATCTGCAAGAATGGCTGCGAAGCAAGATCTATCGCCTGCCCGCTCCGTGCTGCGCCATCGTCAATGCCTAAGACTGAATCATGCGGTCGCCCGATCGCTGACGAAGGCCGACGAATGGCGCAGGGGCGAGTCTCTAGTACCGGAAAACAGCAGAGCTACAGAATCGATTGCGAGGTCGCCCGATCGCTGACGAAGGACCACGAATGGCGCAGGGGCGAGTCTCTAGTACCGGGAAACAGTAGAGCTGGCCGAATCGATTGCGAGGTCGCCCGATCGCTGACGAAGGACCACGAATGGCGCAGGGGCGAGTCTCTAGTACCGGGAAACAGTAGAGCTGGCCGAATCGATTGCGAGGTCGCCCGATCGCTGACGAAGGATGATGTATGGTGAAGGAGCGAGTCTCTAGTACCGGGAAACAGTAGAGCTGGCCGAATCCATTGCGAGGTCGCCCGATCGCTGACGAAGGACCACGAATGGCGCAGGGGCGAGTCTCGAGTACCGGGAAACAGTAGAGCTGGCCGAATCGATTGGGAGGTCTCCCGATCGCTGACGAAGGATGATGAATGGCGCAGGGGCGAGTTGCCGGCACCAGCAGCCACGCAGCATCGCACAGTCGATCGGACGATCGAAGACGATGTACGAGGAGTGACGCATCGCAGCGATTCGCTGGCACGAGCAAAACATAGCGCTGCAGGGTCGTTCGCCAGATCGCCAGATCGTACACGATGTACGAAGACTGAAGCAGGGCAGCGATGCGCGGTGTCGCCGCGTAGATCGCCCGATCGCCAGATCGCTCGATCACCCGCTCTGTACCAGGTGCCAGTCCGGTATTCCAGCGCGATGGCGATCCATGATCGACACCTGCGCATCGCGCGCATCCGCCGCGGATCGCGAACAAACGCGTGCCCCTGGCTCCCGCAGCAGACGCCACCACGGTACGGCGCGCCTGTGCCGCTCGCAACCACCGCTGCAACACTTGGCGTTCTCGTACTCGCGACTGATACCGTGTGACACAGCGCTCTGTGTCGCTCCTGCTCTCGTCTCACTTCTCTGCCGTCGACGGGTATACCGCTGCGGCTGCTGTTTCTCTCGCGGTCGGTCTCTCGCGTTCTCTCTCGAAGCTTTCAGCACCATGGCGCCCAAGGGCAAGGCAAAGTCACGCTCCAGCAAAGCAGGTTTGCAGTTTCCGGTGGGGCGCGTCCACCGGTACCTGCGAGACGGCGGGTACGCGGAGCGCATCGGCGCTGGCGCGCCCGTCTACCTCGCTGCAGTCATGGAGTACCTGACCGCCGAGGTTCTCGAGCTGGCGGGCAACGCTGCGCGCGACAACAAGAAGACGCGCATCATCCCGCGTCATATCCAGCTGGCGATCCGCAACGACGAGGAGCTGAACAAGCTCCTGGCGGACGTGACCATTGCGTCTGGCGGCGTGTTGCCGAATATCCACGCAGTGCTTCTCCCGAAGAAGAAAGCCAAAGGCGAGTAAACTGGTGTTCTGCTTAACCCGATTTGTTTCCTGCGTCCAGCATCCGAGTCCCCGGCGAATGCCGTCCCTTCCCTGCGTGCCGAAGACGATCGCTCGAACTGTCGAGGCATGCAGTTGCCCGGCAACCGATACTTCATACGGTGAGATACACTGCATACAGAACATGCTTTCTGTGCAGACGTCTATCACTGAGACGCTGTCGTCCGCTATGGTTTGTATACGTTTCCAATTCAACATATACAGACGCTACGCAAGGCCGTTGCGATGGCGCTCGACGGCTTGGTTCCAGGAAGGTCGCTGGATACTCCACGTACGGCCATCGGCGATGCTAGCAGGGCTACCAAGACGTTTCGGACAGGATACCCACCTGAGCGCTTTATTCAGGGCGCTGGGCGATGCGGCCGCGCGAGCGTTCGCACGACTGGAGTCCATCCAAGGGGAGGTTAAAAAACAATGACGCTATGCGATGTCCCTCGCTGCATCTATGTTTTCAGGGCTTACACAAAAGCGAAGATTGCGGTAAGTTTGTGCATAGAACTGAGAGTTTATATGAAATGTACGCAGAAGCAAAGGTCTTTACGTACTCGGTTGCAGCGAGCACAACGCTTAGCCACCAAAGCCGTAGAGCGTACGGCCCTGGCGCTTCAGCGCGTACACGACGTCCATCGCGGTCACCGTCTTGCGCCGGCCGTGCTCCGTATACGTCACCGCGTCGCGGATCACCGACTCCAGAAATACCTTCAGAACGTTCCGCGTCTCCTCGTAGATGAGGCCGGAGATGCGCTTCACACCGCCGCGGCGCGCCAGACGCCGGATAGCAGGCTTCGTAATACCCTGGATGTTGTCGCGCAGAATCTTGCGGTGGCGCTTCGCACCGCCCTTCCCGAGACCCTTGCCGCCCTTGCCACGACCTGACATTGTTTCAAAAGATAAGCTAGCTCACAAGCAAACAAACACGCAGAAGAAGAGCAAACACAGGCTCAACCGTAGACGTGCGCGCGCGTAAACGAGAACGCAAACGCAAGCACACGCGCGAAGAGAATCGTAAACGAGAACGCACGCACAGACGCAAGCACGCGATGCGCACGGCGGCGGTACACGAACGTCACAGACGAAATGCTGCGGGTAGCGCGCACGCACACACACAGAGACACACGCTCACAAGCAGCTCGCACACAGAGAGAGCGGGAGAGACGGGTTCAGACACAGGCCGGGGATGCACGCAAACTCGGATGCGCGCCTCTGGCCGGTGGTTGATCGCTGCGAGTACCTGGGGACTCTATGCGGGGCGGAGAGCGCCAAGGCTTGCCGGAGGTGACGCCTGTGTGCGACCGGCGCCGGGGCCCTGCTGCAGCGCCGGCAGCGCGCTTGTTCGCGTTGAGCGCTGCGCTGGCGGTGCGTGCGGCGGGTGTTCCGGGTGATGGTGTGCGTTGCGTGCCGCGAGCCGGTACGCGCTGCTTGGTGCGTGTGTGATCGGTTTCGAACACGGAGCGCGAGGCTGTGATTGTGGGACCGGCGGGTGGCGCGATCTGGCGCCGGCTGGTGCGCGGATCGTGCGCGCCAGTTGGCGCGCGCGCGCGTCATCGGTGCGGCGCATTGAAACGGAGCGCGCGATCCGATGAGCACGTCGGCGCACGGGCGCCCTGTGCGCGCATTGCTCGATCGCGGCGCTGGGCTGCGGCTGGTGTATCTGGCGCCGCCGTGGCGCTCGTGGTCTCGTGCGCGCAGCTGTCCGGAGCGGTGCCCGGCAGCGGTGTATCTGGCGCCGCCGTGGCGCTCGTGGTCTCGTGCGCGCAGCTGTCCGGAGCGGTGCCCGGCAGCGGTGGATGCTGGCGCATGGCGCTCGTCAGGGCGGTGATGCCGCAGGCCCAGGAGCCAACCGGAGCTCGCCGCCCGACGACTAGGTAACGCGGGAAGCAGGACTGGCGCCGGGCACCTCTGCGTCGGTGGATCGGGCATGACGCGTTCAGCACGGCTGACCGGAAGCTTGCGGTGGTGGTATCGGTGATTTGGAGCATAGATCAGTGGCGCTTGGGGTCGTTTCAATGGTGCATTCTGGAATGCAGCATAGACCGGTCGGAATCGGAGGGCGACACTCGTCGAGCGGCGTTGCACCATATAGAGCAGTGCTGGCTGGGGCACGCACATTGTCCAGTCTGTCATCACACTGCTCGCATCAGTGCTGAGCGGAACCTGTGAATCGCCCATTCGTTTACCCAACATGCTGCTGAGCAGACTCCATTCCACGAGGCGTCAGAGTGTCCATTTACGAAGCAGATGTACCGCTCGCGGCCCGCCGGTCATCAAGCCGGATATGTGGGAGGCGGCGCTGCCGATCGGATCCCGCCAATCTCGCATTCCGCATCGCTGATGCTATGACACCTGTTGTCGTAAAGCCCATGCTGCACCCTTGAAAGCTTGCGGTAAGCTGCCCGTCGTTGGAGCCGTGATATCGCGTGCGCTCTCTCCGCTGCAAGCTCGCAGAGAAGGACTGGAATCTTCCGCGAGACGCATTTTCGCCGGAACCCAGCCCCGCGATGTCGTCTCCTCAGCGGGCGCTCCCGGACTTTGGGAGACTCACAGGTATGTCCTCAGCAGTGATGCACGCGAGACCGATGTATCGGCATGCACCATCCGGGTGATGAGGCTATCGCGAGTGGTAGCTGCGCTTTTGAATGCACTGCGTATCTTCGGCTCATCGCTCCAAATGCATGCAAGACCGATCTATCGATATACACAAGTCGGGTGATGAGACTACTGTCAGCAGTGGCTGTACTTCCGAATGCAGTGCATATCCTGGACTCAGTGCTGCAAATGCATGCCAGACCGATCTATCGATATACACTAGTCGGGTGATGAGACTATCGTCGGCGCCAGCTGTACTTTCTGATCTGCACCGGGCGTCTCCTGGTCTCGTAGCCGGAGACGGCGCGCGATCCACTACCGAGGCATGCGAGATCGCTGAAGCACCAAGATCGCCCGCATCGCAAGATCGCTCACGCGTGCACCCCGCTGGTGGCGCGCACGCGTCTCGCCGATCGCACTCACCACCCGCACGCGGGCGATCGGCACCATCTCCTCCGTTGACGCCTGATCATGCGCCAGCGGCCGCAGCGCCAATGGCGCGGCCTACGGGCGCCGCCGACTACATCTGCCACGACGATTCCGTTTGCCGTTGTCGTTCGAGTCGCAGCGCTCTCGACGTTCTTGCTGGGTGACTTAGCTCTCGACCAAAGCTCTCTGACTAGTATGGCGCGCACGAAACAAACTGCTCGCAAGTCGACCGGTGGCAAGGCGCCTCGGAAGCAGCTGGCAACCAAGGCTGCACGCAAGTCGGCACCGTCTGTGGGCGGTGTGAAGAAGCCGCACCGTTACCGCCCCGGTACGGTGGCGCTTCGCGAGATCCGGCGCTACCAAAAGTCTACGGAGCTGCTTATCCGGAAGCTTCCTTTCCAGCGCCTGGTGCGAGAGATAGCGCAGGACTTCAAGACGGACCTGCGCTTCCAGTCGTCTGCGGTGCTGGCGCTGCAGGAGGCTGCCGAGGCCTACCTCGTGAACCTGTTTGAGGATACGAACCTGTGCGCGATTCACGCGAAGCGTGTGACGATTATGCCGAAGGATATCCAGCTGGCACGCCGCATCCGTGGTGAACGGGCTTAAGGCGGTGCTTGCTCACAACTGGTGCCGCCGAGCGGGTGCAGCGTCCTGTGGGTGCCGCCGAGCGTCGCGCTCGTTGGCGCTCGCGGCCTCGCCTGCAGTGTGCGAGCACTGCATCAACTCTCTCCGTAAAGCTTGCGTCGCTCTTGACACGCTACACACCCGAGCGCATATGTGTGACTTTGGAGGCGCCTGGGTCCGCCTGCGGTACTGGTGCGCGGCTGACGCGCCCGTCGTCTACGTGGAACGCGCCCAGGGGCGTCTATTTGGGCGGACTTGTAAACCTCGACAAGTGTTTATGTTTGTGTAAGCGCACCACCGCTGTGTGGTAGGTCACGACTCTGCGCACTCGGCGGCTTGCCTTGCGCTTGTCCACTGATTCGTATCGTAAATGTCGACTGCTATTTGCAATCATTGCACTGCAGGAACATCCCTTGGAGTCCCGGACGCTGCACGCGTCTATATGAACCGACATACATTGCGTCTTTTTCACACTTTGCCCGCTAAACAGGCCTGTATCCATCTACATCTACGTCCGTGAAGTGCGTCGCTGCCGTGCGTCTGGCAATCCACATAGGAAACGGAGCTTCCGGTGCTTGTACACGGCGAGGCGCTTCAAAGCGCCCTCTGTCGGAATGGAGGAACGGAAGTACGCGTCTCTGTGCACTCAGTCTTGTGGAAGAAGCTGTCGCTCTGGTCTCTAAAATATCGTGCAAACGCAGCTGCCGAGTACCGGTTTCCCGCTGTAGAGCTGTAGTGCGCAAGCACTGCTGCTCGGGGTCGCTGGGCAGGGTGTCGCGGAAGATGCCAGGTGCACCGGCTTTTGCTCAAGTACAGCGGCAGATTCTCGAAACGAGACACGGGATAAGCGCCTGAGCTCCCTGTTTCACGACGAGCTACGCCTGCGAAAGAGCACGCTCCAGCACCGACGCTCACCGACAGGTCGCATCCCGCACTAGTGACGTCAGTGCTGAAGAGTAGCAGGGACGACTTGTGGCAAACAAAACAAAACGCTGAGCGATGCCTGCTGAAGCCCCTTGTCATCCATCATGGATATTCCTCGCTTGCAGCGAATAAGCATGTATTCCTGGTCATGCCAAGTTCGATGATGCTGTCTTCGCATACATCATCGCTTAACTGCTTTGTTCTCGCTATTTTTCCGGCCGGTAACAACACCCAAACACCGGATTTTGTAATCCTTGTTCCAATACGTGAACCGCACCCCAACTGCGTCAGTGAGTGCGTTACTGACGTGATGCACATCCACGAACAGAACACACTCGAGCATCGTCGCGGTTCAGGGCGGGAATCGCCTCCCGAGACTCCTGTCTGGGCTGGTCTACGCGCCTCCATATAAATGTCACTGCAAGCTCCAAGAGCGATATCGTTCCCCAGCACTTGTTTATGGATTCCGGAGCATAACCTTGCCCGCACCCTCAAGTATTCCTCACGCTGCATCGCACGACGGTGATGCTCAAAGGTTCACTCACCGACGGTCGTCAAGCCTGCGAACTCGACCAAGCGCCATACCCTGGCAAACACTGAGGCGCTCGCTCCGCCAGACAGGTTTATCGATTCAGTTTATTACACACGATAGCGCAATGGCATCCAGCTCCAGCGCAAAGCAAAAGCCCATGTGTTGGCATCGTGTTCGAGACACCGAACCGCTCACCGTCGCAGTGTTCGCGATCCAGTGCCCTGGCATTCTGCACACCGTGTTCGCCGTAATCCCACACATACATAACACATCAGGGTCGCGGTCGATTTTCCTGTGCCTTCACATGCCTCGCAAACGTGTTTCCCGGTTCCTTTGCATTTCTCACATCGAACCGTGCGTGGTCGTGCAAACGGGTTTGCCGGGTTCATGATAGCCCGCGGCTGGGCGCCCGCCTTGTACTCAAAGTCGATATTGTCGAAGCGATTCAAGGCCCTCAGCGTCGAGCTCTGATACGCATCTCTGGTAGCGCTCTCCTTCATTCGATACACATCGATCACGATCTCATCAATACCGGGAAAAGTCGCTACCTTCGTGCTACAGACGCGGACCGTTTGCCGTCCCCCAGGGAGTGATGGATGAACCATGTCGCAGGTGCACGCTCCACACACCCCGGAAGTGCATCCGCGCGGTATCCGCAGACCGAGCTCATCCGCTACCGCGAGCACAATACTGCCTGGGGGTGCCATGGTCTCAAGCTCAAGACCGCCAGGTGTGTTGATGAAACGAACCTTCACCAGGGAAGCGGCACCGGCACCGACAGCGGCGGTTTCTACTTTCCCACCAGGACGGTTTGTCGCTGGCGAACGCTCCTCGCCCGCAGTCGGTTCCTGTTGGCACCAGCAGCGAAACGCTCCAACCGTGACACGCCCCTGTCTCTCGAAGGTCGATCGACCTGTTCGCCGCGAGCGCTCGCAAAGGAGTCCAGCGTTCGGCAACCAGACCTGCCGCGTCGGACGCGCTGCTCCGCAAACAAAGGCCGGCTCTCTGGTGCATTCAGGAGTCCCAAGTGTCCTCAGTGTTCGCTCCAAGTTATCGCCTGACATTTGAGAAGCCAATTTGTTCAGACGCTTTTCCATAGCGACAGTGACGCTCCAGTCGAAGCGCATCCCCTTTACCTGCGCCGACGTGGTACCACTGGGATGCCTCTTATTCAAGGAACCTGTTGACCAGCCACTCTGAGTCGCTCGTCTCCACTCAGAGCCCTCACAACACCTCACTCGTTTCAGCTTAACGACAGTACACGCTCGGAAAGACCCAGCGCCTTCAATGAGCGCCACCAGGAACACAGGAATGAACACTGTGCGCTAGGGTATGCGAAGGAGGCAGCGGGAACGCGTGAACACAAGTGTGCGGCTGACACCGGGTGCGCCCACGGCGTTCAGCGGAAGGTTGTTACTGCCGTAGAGACTTCATCAGCGTCCCGCAAGGCGAGTGACGTGCTTGGATTTGCCTCTAGTTGACGGACTGTGCATTCACTGGAGTGGATTTAGGAAGAGAGTTCGCTAGACTGGAACCTAGGGTCGGGTATCGCTGGCGTCGTGCTCCGGCGCCCGGTGAAGCGCGTCTGGCTGCTCGACTCGGTCGCGTGCTCGATCGCACCCGGAAAGAGAGCTTTACCAGTGGGTGTGCTTCGCTAGAGCGTGTTTTCTGGGACAGTATTCACGACCTCTGCAAGCGTGTTTCGAGGGTCCGTTAAACGCATGGACAGTGACGAGCGGCAGCTTCGGGCTGGCGAGCACCGAAACCCCAGTGCGGACTGGGAGGACTTTTTCCGTGCACTAGAGCATGCTCTGGATAGCTGCCAGCAGTGCCTCACAAAAGAACGCGACCAGAAGCGTGCAATCATGGATACGCTTCGGGCGAAGCAGGAACGTGAGCGCGCGCTCGAACAAAGTCTGCTTCGCCTGGAGGAGGAGTACGCACGTCTTGAAGGAGCCTGGCTGAATGCCGAGACATCTGCCGCAGAGGCTTCATCGCGTGCCAGCGAGCTGGAAAAACTTCTTGCGGAACAAGAGTCTGCCCTGGAAGACCTCAAACGGCGAGAGGCAACTTTGTTGGCGCGCACCTCGGAGCTGGACGTGCACTCTGAGGTTACAAGTCGACTCGCTGCAGCTGAACGCGAAATCGAGCAGCTGCAGCGTGCGCTCACCGAGCGGACGCGTGAACTTGCTGAAGTCCGAAAAGCGCATATACGGAGCACGGCGGATACGGAGGCACAGATCCACACGCTCGAGTCGACGTGTGAACAGCTGGAAGCACGTCTTGCAGAGGAGCGCTCTCGAGTCCGTATCGCACGCGAGGAGCAACAGGAGCTTGAGCGAGAGCGCGTGCGGCTCGAGGGCGAAGTCGCTGCTGCTCGAGCTCAGCTCGAAGATGTGCTCAGCAAGGCAGGTGAGGAAGTCTGCGTGTGGAAGGATACGTGTGCAGCGCTGGAGAAAGAGCGGGACGCCTTGCATGCTCGCGTGCTAGCGTTCGAGAAAGCGTCTTCATCTTCGACGACGATGAATGCTGGTGCTGACGCTGGCCCCACAACGGGACCTGCGACCATGTCGCCACTGGGGAAGCGGCCTCGACGCTCCTTGCTGGCATCACCCGCACAACGGGTCCCGGTGGAGACGAGGGATCCCCGGAGCGGACGCCCGTCGCCTTTCTTTGGCTCCGTCCAGAGGCGCCTGCTGCAGACGCCGACGCTTCGCTCGCCCGTTTCTTACGTCTTTGCTGAAGACGGCATTGCAGGTGCAGCGGCGGACAAGGCCACACCGGCGACGGTGGCGGCTATTCCGTCGGAGGCATCCTGGGAGCGGCTCGCCCGCGAGGGCCGTCACCTCTCCTACATGCGCTCGCTATTGGGCGAACTTGAAGCGCGTCTGCCGCTGTTAGAGGAGCAGAAGCGTCGGTTTCAGTTTGTCATCGCACAGTTCGATCGGATGCATCGGGCACTGCAGGAGTCGGAGCTTGCAACAGAGCACTGGAAACAACGAGCCGCCACTGTCGAGCGCGAGCAAGCGCAGCTCAACGAGCAGCTTCAGCAGTACAAAGACGCTTTTGAGCACCAAAAACAACGCATCCAAGAGCTGGAGGGTCTTGTAGCGTCCACAGAAGCATCGACAGGCGCCACTGCGTCGATGACGGTACCAGCGCACCAGCTTGCCCAGCTCGAAGCCGAACTCGAACACATACGCCGACAACGCCAGGAGTTTGAAGCGGTGGTGAACGCTGTCGTGAAACAACGTGATCTCTATCGTCAACTGCTCCTGCGATCCCTGCGTGGTGAGCAGGTAGCGCCACCCTAGGCTTGCATAACCCTGTTTATGACACTGTCTAGAAATGGATGTGAAGGCGTTGCTGTAGGTTTCGCTCCGCTCCCAGCTCTCACGTAGAGCGTGCGGGGAAAGCAGCAATGATCCCGGGAATGCCTTGGATCGTGTCGCTCCTGTGGAGCAGCCCGGATACGCAGGCAACCTTGGGCGCAAGAGACCGGCATTCTGGTGCAGCTCACGTTCCACGCTCAGTGCATTGCCGACACCACTGGCCTAGCGGCTGGAGGTGCTTCTCGAGTGGACGCCAAACGCCTTGGCAATACCGCCAGCAACACGATAACCCGAGTGGATCGCTCCGTTCGCAGTCGGGGTATCGCACCAGTCGCCACAGACGTAGAGTCGACCAGCGTCCAAACAGCCGTCCTCGTTGGGCATCACAAAACGCTCCCCGTTGAGACGCTGTCGCGGCTGAGCGCCGCGCACACGATATCCTCGAAGGAAGCTCCAGTCATCGAGAAGGTGTCGTTGACTAGGATACCATTTGTAGAGCTGGGTACGCACGAGCGCTTCCAGCTCACCGCCTGGAAGCAGGTCATTGTCTTTTGGATCGAGTTGCTGGTGAAGCGCTGTCTCCACGACTGTGCAGCTCACTAGGTACTTGTTCGATGGAGCATACGAACGAGCAACCGCCGACGGGAAGCACAAGTTGTTGACGAGCGGGCGACGTGGCATCCCCGAAGGACTCGGGGCGTCTGCCGCGAGCACCAGGGATCTCGGTCGGGTTATGAGCGCTTCTGGTGGCTCAGCGCCCTCTCCTCCAAAGTAGAGGCACGTTGAGACGCGCTGCAGCGTCTCATGGACACCGTCGGCACCGGCAGCGAGCCAGCCACACAGCAACTTCCGTATATCTGCCTGCGCTTTCGGCGAGAAACGGTTCGCGACGCTCGCCTGCTCCAAGAGTTTCTTTGTCGAGGCAACGTCGGCTGCCAGAACAAGCACAGCTCTGTCCGCCAGCGTCGACAAGTCGGTCACTCGCTGGCCATAGTGAATCGTCAGGCCGTGCTCGTCTCGCAGCCGCTGGGCGAGGAAACGCGGCAGTGCCCCGATACCGTGACCATTATCGGGTAGCGATGCATACCCGACCGCAAGCATGTGGTAAACGTAGCGAAAGAGACGAGACGAGATGTTGTACAGTTCATCCAAGAAGATGCCTCGATAGAACGGGGAGAAGAACGATTGCCGCAAGCCAGGTGTCAGTGCGGCGAGCGCCTCCTCTGCCGTCTCCTCCCGGTTGCCGTTCATGTTGACTTGCTCCAGAATGCTGTTCGGGTTCGAAGTGTATCGCAACTGCGTCTGAAGACGCATCCAACCGACTCGTGCCTTGTCTTGGATGGTTCCCAGAGGCGCTAGCAGCGTTGTCCAGACATCCCCGAGGTCGCTGCGCAACGGGTCTCCCACATAGGCCCAGGTACCGTTCGGAAGACGTACCGTAGCACCGGGCAGAAAGCGCCGCAGTTTCAGTTCGTCGGGATATGCTGCTCCCGTCACCCGAAAGAGCCGTTTCTGCTCGGGGTATGCCTCGAGCACCACCTGGAAACCGCGGTCGAGAAGGTAGCCCTCAGGGAGGCGGTCCGTGCGAACCCTCCCGCCAACAGTGTCCGATGCTTCGAAGATGGACACGCTGGCTGGATCCCAACCGTACTCCTCGATGAGTGCAATGGCGGTGGTGAGTCCGGCAAGGCCGGCCCCGACGATGCGCACCTGCGGCAGCTCGACTTGTGCCTGGAGCACCTGCCGACGAAGACGTTGCCTCCACGCTGGTGATGAGAAACGCTGTAGACGCCCTCGTCGCTCCGGTTGCCGTTTGCGTACAAGGCACCTCGGGTGCTTTCTCGATGCCGAGAAACTGCTGCCCAACACCTGAACGCTAGCACCGGCATCGGCACCGGCGTGCAGAACAAACAAGGTCGTCGGGTTCATATGAGAATCACAGTGAACTCGGAAGGCATCACCAGTACGCACGCTGAGAGGTCGCTCCTGGAAACCTTCGTTGATCTCGCTCCCTAAAACGAGGCTGTAAAGTAGAAGCGATCGCCTCTCGAGGCAGCCGCAGCACCTATCGCTCAAAGCCAAGACTTGTGCCATTGCCTGGCTACTGTGAATGACAGGACGCTGTTGCAGTTTGGTGCTGAGGCCTGCACACCGCACCGTCCCAGCAGGAGCAACAGAAGCACTAGTCGTGGACGTCGTAGCAAAGGAGCGCAAGAAGGTTTCGTGGTGGTGGTGGTGGTGGTGGTGTAACTCCTGTACGCACGCGCTGAGGTACTGGGTCGCAAACGTTACGACCCGGTAGCGTTCTTTTCTCAGGGGGCCAGCTGCTTAGACACAACGATCCCGGACCTTGGAGTGTTCGGGTACGGAGTCACCTGATCGACCAAAGTGCCCGGTAGCGTTCTTTTCTCAGGGGAGCAGCTGCTTAGACACACCGATCCCGGACCTTGGAGTGTTCGGGTACGGAGTCACCTGATCGACCGAAGTGCCCGGTAGCGTTCTTTTCTCAGGGGAGCAGCTGCTCAGACACACCGATCCCGGACCTTGGAGTATTCGGGTACGGAGTCGCCTGATCGTTTACCGCGGAAGCACAGCTTGACTGAACAACGTCCCACGAAAGGGTTTTGGAGTCGCTTGGGGCAAGTCACTCGTCTCTGATTACCGGTGGCGTTTACGTGTTAAGACGAGCTGCACTGCACACTTGGAGCTTGGACTGCGAAAAGCAGGCCAGCTCGCGAAACTAGCGAGCACAGCGTTCCCCGAGGGTGTTCGCCCAGAAAAGCCGACCGTTGCAGCGTTAGCGTGTTTGCTGGGGTACGAAAGTGGATGCAGCAAGCTGCGAACGAGCAAGCCGCCCACGCTGACGGCCTCGAGCCTGCCACACAGACAACAGCGTTTGGTGCACTCCAGCCTGAGTCTCAACCTCAACCGCAACCTCAACGACCTCTGAGCGTTGTTGCTACAGAGTCTGTGTTGATTGATCACGGGCCGCGGTACACTCGCGGTCTCCGGGATGCACTGGAGTTGCTGGGAGCTCGTCGGCTCTCGTTGCCGACCCAAGCTGGGTTCACTGCACCACCCGGGCGTCGACTCGATGCAGGCGAGCAAATGATCTCTCCGTCGCGGATGCACTGGACAGACGCTACCGAGTCTGCGACGGGCTCACGTGCGCTATGGAGTGGTGTGCCGCAGGGCCCGGCACTCGCGGGGGTGCACGTCGGCAACAATACCAGGCCGCTCGTTCGCGAGGGTGCTCCACGTTTGGGGCTAGTCTTCGACCCCGAGGACCCGTGCATCCAGCGCGACATGCTGCGCATGATTCGCCAGTATCTCGAGGACCATGGCTACGTGTTGTCCAGTATGGTGGTCAACGACGAGGCGAACCTAATGGAACGCGAGGCACGTAGCCAGCAGTGGCAGGCACGTCGAATCCGCAGTGCAATTCTCACTGGTGACTGGTCCGAGGTAGAGCGGCTCTGTCAGAAGACCCCGCTGAAGAATCTGAAAGTGTTTCTCTACGCCCTCTATAGACAGCAGTTCCTGGAGCTCATTGAGCGCCATGAGACAGAGAAAGCTTATGCGGTGCTCATGAAACGTCTCAAGCCGCTGGAGGGACACGCGCCACGAGGCCCCGCCGAGTTTCGAGACCTCTGCTACCTGCTGACCTGCAAGTCTGTCCATGAGGCGCACGCGGCGTCCATCCCGCTCTCTCTGGACTGGGGTGGCTCCCAAGCGGGCCGTGAGCTTCTGGCGGAGCAGCTGACGCGCCTACTCGACATGGAGCAAGAGGCAGAATGCGTTTTCGGCGATCCCCAGGGCACGTCGCCACAACGCAGAGAGGTGCCGCCCCATCGACTCGAGCAACTGGTGCAGCAGGCCTATGCCTATCAAATAGAGTTCGCTCGATATCACCCGCTCGTCCTGCCCCGGATTCGGACGCTCCTGGAAGACTACCACTGTTTCGCGATTCCGAATGCGGAGCGCCCGCCACGACTCTGCGGCCACGAGGCGAACATCAAGTGTGTCACTTTTGTCGGCAAGGAGGGTCTCATGCTGGCGACGGGTTCCAGCGATCGCCGTGTAGGCCTCTGGGATACCGACTCCGGGGCGCTGCTCGGTATGCTGAGCGGGCATTCGTCGCGGGTCTGGGATGTGAGTGCTTCGCCCTCGGGCCGCGTCCTTGCGTCGGGCTCGGCGGACGGGCGCATTGGCCTCTGGGTAAGCGAAGCGCATGCGCCGGGCTTTCGACTCGGAGCGATGCTCGCACACCATCCGGCCGTGGGGCACGGCTCGGTAGCGACAAGCGCAGCGATGCAAGGCAGCAGCATCAGCAGTATCGGCAGTATCGGCAACAGCACCAGTGTTCGCCCTGGAGGCGGGCTCTCAGGAGCTGGACCCGGCCATGCGCTGACCAAGCTTCCAACCACTGGTGGCGATGTGTATACGGTCTGCGTGCATCCGGCGGAAACGCACGTGCTCAGTGGCGGCTACGATAAGACGTTGCGACTGCACGACATCCGCACGGGTCAGATTGTGCGCAGTTTCGTTGGTCACCAGGCTGCGGTTACGCGAGCAGTGTTCAACCCGCATGGCAACCTGATTGTGAGCGGGAGCAAGGACTCCACCATCAAGTTCTGGGATATCATCAGCGGCGTATGCGTTCGGACGTTCAGCTTCCATTTTGGCGAGGTGACCAGCGTTGAGCTCAACTCGACGGGGACGCTGCTCTTGAGTTCGAGCAAAGACAACTCGAATCGGTTGTGGGATTTGCGGGCATCACGGCCGATCCGACGCTTCAAGGGCCACCAGAACACGAGCAAGAATTTCATCCGGGCCTGTTTTGGCCCGAACGAGCTACTTGTGGTTGGTGGCAGCGAGGACGGCCAAATTTGTATCTGGGACGTTGAGAGCGCTACGCTCATCCAGCGCCTTACGGCGTGTCGACGGGGGCCTGTCTTCAGTGCAGTCTGGTCCCAGCAGCAGAGTCTGCTGGCCAGTTGCGGTAATGACGGGGACGCGCGCCTCTGGTGGTACGATCCGAGTCGACCGCTGAGCGTACCCGACGGAGCTGCTGCGTGACTGGGCACTCCTGACGACTCGCTTGCTTGCCGTGTACATGAACAGCTCATTGGTACGAGGACGCAGGACTGCTCCAGCCGATTTGCACTGTGCGCCGGTGCCTTCCAGCGAATCGCAAATACTGCCATCGTGCGATACGCAGACGCGCAGAGATATACCGCAACCGCGCCCCAGGTGCGCGGCATCTTATAGACAGAGAGCGCTCACCCGAACAGGGCACCATCGAATACCGCGTTTACGCTATTCCTGATAGACACAATGTCATGATGCACTTAAGCGGCGACGCTCGCCAGACAAGCTAGAACTGGAGGCCTCGCCGCACGCTCTGGGAACGAAGGTTCTTGCGTCGCAGCGTCATCGGAGTCGGCACTCGCGGACGACTCTTACGCGCCGTCGTTGTCGTTGCTGGTGTGCGCGCTGTAGATGCCGCCTTGGCTGGTGTCAACGCCCCAGCAGGCGTCTTCAAAGCACCAGCGAGCCGTGCCTCCTCTGCGGACGCTGCTGCGAACTTGCCGTGGCAGCGGGCAAGCACCGGCAACACCGCCACGATGTAAACGGACGTAAGCAGGAACCCGGCAACGATACACCCTACATGGAGGGCGAGGTGAAAGTCGCCTTGGCGCGCAGCACGCATGACAACTTCGAGCGCACGCATGATCTGTTGACTGGATGCGTGCGCGGATTGCTGCAGAAGCCGGAGGAAGAAATTACGCCCCAGCTGAAACTGTAACTGCCTTTGCGTCAAAAGTGTAGTCCATTCGAGCACCCTTTCAGCGAACGCGAAGGGTTCCCAGACGATTCGCTGCAAGAAAAAGGCCTGGGCGCCAGCCAAACGAGCGAGAAGCAGCAGGTTCATTGCTAACGGGAACCACGTGTCGTAGATGATGACAAGTTCGACAGCTGCGTTCTCTTGCTCATAGTTATGATGCACGAGTGCGTCATAGATGTGACCACCCGCACAGGCCATGTACAGCATTGAGAGTAGGCATACGATGGTGCTAACCTGGGCCCAGTGGTGGTCGGCACGGCCCCGGGCAGCGACGAGCGCGACGCAGAGGACGTTGAGCACCACGGACACCGCTAGATGCGAGAACGACATGAATTCGACGACGCTTTCATTTTGGCCGTTTTGCTCGAAGCAATCCTCGGTGACGTGATCCCAGAACGCACGGAAGGTTACCACCCCGAAACCGAGGAGTAAAGCGACGATCACTGCCTCCAGCGGAGACGCGAGCACTTCCAGATGGATCAGGATAGCTGCCACAAGTCCTATGAAGGCACAGACACTGACGAGAAACCTTGACGGCCGGAAGACGCCAACCCAGTACAACATGTCTCTTCTCGGAGGTCCTTATTTCCGGAGAAAGTATCCGTACACGATGAACAGTAGCGGTTGCGTTGCGAACACCCGTTGGAGCCGCGGCGTTGTGGCGTTTCAAATTCGACGGGCAGCGCGGCACGTTCCCGGGGACGGCGCATCCGCAACGCCTGTCACGCGGTATACTGAGGAAAATTGGGGTATCTTGGAGAACGTCGCAATTTTCATGCGATATACTAAAGTAAGGAGGGGTATGTAGGAGAACATAGCAATTGTCACACAATGTGCTTCGAAACCTAGCGGTACATTCGAGAACGTTGCATTTGTCGTGCGATACACCGACGTAAGGAAAGGTGTATAGGAGAACGTCCCATTTGTCGCAAGGTACACCTGGGAACAGAGGGCTACATAAAAGAACGTCGCTCTGATCACGCAGTGCGCTGGGAGAGGAGGGAACGTACTACTTCGGCGCGGAGACAATGGTGTTCTCGAATAGCGTCCGATCGATGCATCGAGTTAGCGTCCGCTGGATGCGCGGTTGGTGCAGGGCACTCGAAAAGAGGCGACACCTCGTGTCTGGATGCTTCTGAGTTGCACTACTCCCGGATCAATCCTTTCGTCGTGCATTGAGGATAGATTGATACAGAGACGCTCCGGATGCCGCGTCTGCTTCAGACGCTCCCTGCTATGCTGGATGCGTCGCTGCCGTGGTCGCCGGCCAAAGACAGAACAGCTGCGAAGCGCCGTTGTGTGGGTCAGCTCGAAGACGCCTAGACGCGAGCGCCGGCGTACCATCCGAGTCCTGAGTGATCCTGGCGATTGCTCCCGTAATATGCTCGTTTCTGCAATCGAAATCCGAATAGGCTTTGTTCGGGTTTACCACACAGGAAAGTTCACCGCTGCGACAAGACGTTGAAGCTCGTGGTACTGCACAGAGCCTCCTCCAGCGACAGGTGTTCCACGGCGTGCCGCACCACCACGTGATCCTCATGAGCGGGCTGAGACGGCACGGTTCGAGGTGTATGCACGCGCGTCAGCCGGAGCTGGACGAGGTGCGGATGCTCCACGCCCCAACGGATGGCCTGCTCGAGCCGGCGCCGATATCGTGCCTCCCGAGCGTCCGCGGCGACAAGGTTCATGCCTTGTGGGATACGTTTGGGGTCGCGCTCCAGACGAACACCACAAGCTCGCCGCCAACCCTGACGCAGTTCGCAAGTCTGAACGTCTTTCCAGTTTTCCGAATGCTTCCATGCATCCTCCAATGCCTCTAGTCATGACCATAAGAGGAGCAATTTACGATTGTTTTCATAGCGGCTTGCTGAATCCGGGCAACTGACACGCTCGATGCCGGCCAAGGTGCTCCACACGCCACGTCCTAGATTGTCGCTCAGTTCCTCGACGCTACTGTGGCTTCCGCGCTTGCTCTGGTATCGCTACAAAAGTGCAAATTGCTGCCAGTCGAAATACCTCGGCCACAGAGGTGGCGCAGCACGGCTGCTAGTCCGCGCAAAGGCCCCAGCGACCGCACCATTCCTTTGCCAGCGAAGTGTTCAGACACTGCCGGCTCTGCATGCGGCTCTGGAGACCGCGCAGGATCTGAATCGTGCGCAGTACGAAGAATAAATCACCGGGAAGATGCCGCACAGGCGTCTGCTTCAGCGGGCAGTTCGGATCGAACGGCGAAATGCTCCGGCCCGCAGGCAGCGGCCGCGTATCAAACATAGAATACGCTAGAATGGCAACGTCATTCGGGTCGTAGAATTCGGGCTCCCGCTCCAGTGCGATACCCAGATCGAAAAAAGCGGCTGCAACGTGGTGCCCTCTGTACATCGCCCGCATGAGCGCGCGCAGCTGACGCAGTCGCTCTGGAGTCAGCTGCTTGCACTGGCCAAAATCCAAGAGGCCTAGCTGGATTGTCGGCTCAACGAGGCCGAGATAAGCCAGTGTACCCTTAAAAAAAGATCGATTTCCGCTCCAATTCCTCTGGAGGACGAGCATATTTCCCGGATGGGGATCCGCCTGGAAGAAACCCTTCCCGAGAAGCATCTTGCCATACACGAGCGCAATCGAATCCATCAGGTTCCGTTCCAGCATTCGCTCCAGTCGGGCGGGTATTCGGACACGTCGGCGTCGTAGTTCCTCCTCCAGCTGCGGGATCGGCACTCCATCCAAGTACTCCATGATGATGAGGCGCTTCGTCGCATGATAAATCCGCGGCACCTGGATGCGGGCTCGCAGTTTGCGGCTTCCAAGCACAAGTGAGCGGATGCGCTCCGTGTTCGCTGCCTCGCGAATGAAATCGAACTCTTGGCGGATCTGACTTTGCAGTTCCAAAACTGGAGACTCCAAGTCGAACTTTAGTTCGTAGCGCTGCAGGAACCGCGCCAGAATGAGCAGCGATGCGAGGTCGTTCAGCATCATGTTTTCAGCGTCCGGGTATTGGACTTTGACGGCGACCCAGGTGTCGCGATGACGCTTCCCGAGCGCCGCGCTGGCAATGCTCTTTCGCAGCTTTGCACGGTGCACTTGCGATATCGATGCCGCACCAAGCGGATCCGACTCGAAGCACTCGAATATGTCGTCCAAGTGCTGAATACCGAGCTCGCTCGCAACGACTCGCTGCGCAGCAGCTGCGGTGATCGGCTCCACATCGTCGTGTAGCTTGGATAATCGCCGAATAAACGGTTCGGGCAAAAAGTCGGCTCGTGTTGCCAGGAACTGTCCAGCTTTGATCAGGAAACCACGCATTTCGCTGCACATGTTGTACATTGCTTTCGATGCTCGTTCGTGTTGTGAGGACCAGGCCGCGTCACGATTCAGCGCTCCCAAGCGCCCGAGAGCACCAATGAAAAACTGAGACCACTTGTAAGAACAGTATATGGAACCGGCACGCCACCAGAACTCAGTTGACCGGCGCCAGAGTCTAAAACGTACGTCCCAAGGCATTCGCGACTCCGGGGGCTTGCCCGTAAAGCGCGTCAGCGGACGCGTCTGCTGCCTCACCTCAAACATGAATTTGAGCTCTCGCTGCCCGTGCACTTCAGGAACGTCGATAGAGCGCTCGTCTCGCGAAAGATGTGTCGCGAGCACCAGCGAGATGTTCGCAGCCGAGAAGCTCGCGACCCCCTTGTCGTTAGACGTTCGCGGAAAGAGCCCTCCTCCAAACACACGACGCCCAGAGCACGACCAACGCTGTTACTGTCGCTCTACCATATCCCGAGTAAAAAAGAGGTCGCGTTGGCCACTCTGGTTCACTGCACTGGTTTACCAACACTGTGCTCGCTGTCGCGCTCTCAAGTCACGAAGCGTTTGCGAATACTTCCCAGAAAGCGTTGTTGGTATTGCTGTCGTTGTACACGTACGGCACGCGGGCTACCAGCGATCACGAAGCCGCAGCGTGCGCCGCGTCGCCTGTGACGTGAAACGCCTTCCGGCTCTGTGGAGTACGAAGAAGCAGTTCGTGGATGCTTCACGATACATGCATTTCGTAAGCGTCTATGCCTGCACCCGCGTCAGATGAAATTAGGGCACGGAAATCTTCGTCCTGTCCCTGATTTTCCAGGTATTTCCGAACCCTTCTTAGATACACAGCCTTGATGTTCCATACGCAGTGATAAGCGCTTGCGGAGATATACGGAGGTTCAGGATTCCCGGTTGTCGATACTGGGACAAGCTCTTAAACAGGGCAGGGCATCGAAGCGAGCCTTGTGTACCTGCCAAGGATACGTATCGAGCGACGAAGCAAGCCTTCTGGGGCCATGAAGTTGCCCTCTGGGGAATATATCAGTTGGACATGTGGGAATCTATGGCCAAAGCCAAGCATCAGCGCTGCGAAGAGCGCACCGAGACTCTATACAGACAAAATGAAAATTGCAATCGAACCTAGATCGCAATGTTCACCTGCGCATGTAGCGCGTGAACAACACGCGCAAGCACAGGACTCGAGATTTCGAGACTGCTGTCTACATCCTTCGACTTTTGGCCTCGGAACTGGATACAGAGAAGAGACCTGCGTATTTGAGGCTCCGAATAAGATAGAGGAAAAGCTGCAGTCACAAATATTGCCCATAAAAGCCAGTGTCGATGAGCATGCGAAGAAACGCAACATTCAGAGTGCACGTCCGAGTTTGTCCGTTGCATCTGTTTCCACTCGATTCTGGTACAGGTACAGCACCGGCGGACGGGCGGGCTGGCGCGGCACGGGTACGCGTGCATACCAACGAAGCTCCTGTACTTCATTGTACGTAAATGTATAGGGTGTGTCAGAAGGCACTGATGCACCTTCGTGCGCACGAAGCTTACTGTACCGTTTGGTTCATAAATATACACGATCTACCACCGCGCATCGTCGTGCGTGCGTGCATGCGCTGCGCTCGACATTGCGCTTCTCGGATCTTGGCGAGAGCAGCAGCAGCAGCAGCAGCAGCGGCGCGGTGATCGCTGCCCTCGGCGCACGCGCACGCTCGAAGCGTCGCCTTGAAAAGTCACACAGGGCACTTGGCTTTGTTGGAACACACACAAGTCGCAGTGGACCGTGCTGCAACTTGTGTAGGAGCGAACTGCGCGTTTAGATCGTCTATTACTTCTCTGATAGCTTTGTAATCGAAATGGCGTTCATACTACCGAGCACGTGCAGTGCGTTTTCTGTGTTGGGGTCGAAGCGTGTGACGTCGCCGCAGTGCGCAACACGGCGTGCTCGAGTCTGTGCGCTGGCCGGGTTGCGTCTCCAGACCGGAGAAGATACTTTCGACTTTTTCCTCGGCAAGTCCGAGCGCACTACGGAGAGCCTGCTGCCCATGGATGGTTCTGATCTTCCCGAAGGAGGCGGCAATAAGACGTGGCTGAACCTCCAGCGGGTGCGGGCGGCCAGCGCGCGGTTCCGAGTGCACGAGCGGGACACGGGGTCCCCGGAGTACCAAATTGCGGCGCTTACAGAACGTGTTAACATTATCACGGAGCACCTGAAAGAGCACCCGAAAGACTTGTCTTCGACGCGAGGGCTTCAGTTGCTGAACTCACGGCGGCGGCGTTTGCTCCGGTATCTGCAGTCTCAGGATCTGGAGCGTTTCGACCGGCTGGTCAAGGCTCTGAACATTCGCGTTCGCCGTGGCGATACGGCGCTATCGCGCCGACGTGACTTGGCCGGCGGTCGCTAAAGGTTCGCACGGCAGCTGCACGGCGTTCCGTTGGTGCGGTTTTGGGTTCAAGTCTGCTGTTGACGTTTGGCGAAGCTCGTGTGGTCGTCCGAAGAGCGTGCACGAGAGACATGGATTCTTTACAACGATTGGTATCATGCGTGTGATGCTTTGGTGTTGAGGAACGTGGTCATGGAGCGGACATCCCGCCGCCTGTGCTCACGAGCCTGCGGATCGTGTCGCCTTCGTTGCGCCTGCTGGATGCTCCACAAACGAACTTTCGTCGATGGGAGCAAGTCCTTTGCGTCCGGTGAATGGGCAAGGATGCACGGCTGCTGTACCTTGCTGGAGCAGTTACGGGCAAGCGCATTGGTGATGTGTGTCGTCGGGCGACGAGCGTCTAGCCGCAGACTCACAATTGTTCGATCGTAGAATGCCATGGTTGACTACCGCAATGGCCCCGAGTTCCGATGTTCGCAGTTCACTGGCTACAGGCGGTACCACTAGACTGGGCTCAGACGCCCTCTGCAGGCACATGATCCATTTCGAGCGCACTCGCTGACATCGTGATGAGCGGGAACCCGGTCGCCAGCGCTCGACTTGGGCCCCCTGTTCGCGCACCTGGGTTCCGTGATCACTGGCTGCGGGAAACTGCCTCGAAATAGCACGTCGAAACGCGGGACAGAGAACGGCAAGGGCGCGCGTCCGCACAAGGTCGATCAACCTCACTGCGTTGCTCAATGGCACTGAGAAGCGAAAACGAGTAAAGAATGCTAAGCACCATGATTCCAGATACCATGTAACCCGGTTCGAAACGAGCCGATACACGACGACGCTGAGCCAGCATCGAGCAAGCGGCCGCAACTTTGTGTCCCTGCGCTGCACCTAGACGCTCACCGCTGCGGGCACGTCTCGCTCAGCGTACGTGCAAGCACCATCGCCGATAAAGGTTGCGTCGTAGCCAGCGGTCTACGCACTGGGGTCCAGATGCTGCTGCTGCTGCTGCTGCTGCTGTTGCTGGTGCTAGAACCTCGCTTGCCGATACACCGACAGGATCAGGCGACTGCGGGCCTATCGCTGACGTGCAGCGCTCGGCAAGCGCAACCCTCATGCCGATTTTGTTTATGGTACAGGATCGATACGTGGAGCTGGGTTCTTCGTATACTTGGGTGCCGACGGCACTCGCGGCAGAGGCCTCTGCGCCCCATGCAGACGCCAGGACGTCGAACAGTTGTCTGACCAGTCTCCGCGTTGAGGACCAGAGGTTTCTCGTGCTGGTGCCCGCACAGGTTTGAAAAAAAGCCGTATCCTCTTCCTACGACGTCCGCAGCGACGCTTCAGAGGCCGCAGATAGCGTTCTCGAGGTAGGGAAGGCACCAGGAGAACCTCGTGAACGAAACATCATGCCGAAAGCCGCGTATGACGTGTGTTCCTAGTGGAACCTGGAGCGTGTCATACGCGAGAGCATTGCTTCCCGAATTGCCGATACCAAGTGCAACTCCATTCGTCTCGGGTGAGAATCGGGGAATCTGGTGCACCAACACCGGCTCATTGAGAGCATTGCTTCCCGAATTGCCGATACCAAGTGCAACTCCATGCGTCTCGGGTGAGAATCGGGGAATCTGGTGCACCAACACCGGCTCATTGAGAGCATTGCTTCCCGAATTGCCGATACCAAGTGCAACTCCATTCGTCTCGGGTGAGAATCGGGGAATCTGGTGCACCAACACCGGCTCATTGAGAGCATTGCTTCCCGAATTGCCGATACCAAGTGCAACTCCATGCGTCTCGGGTGAGAATCGGGGAATCTGGTGCACCAACACCGGCTCATTGAGAGCATTGCTTCCCGAATTGCCGATACCAAGTGCAACTCCATTCGTCTCGGGTGAGAATCGGGGAATCTGGTGCACCAACACCGGCTCATTGAGAGCATTGCTTCCCGAATTGCCGATACCAAGTGCAACTCCATGCGTCTCGGGTGAGAATCGGGGAATCTGGTGCACCAACACCGGCTCATTGAGAGCATTGCTTCCCGAATTGCCGATACCAAGTGCAACTCCATGCGTCTCGGGTGAGAATCGGGGAATCTGGTGCACCAACACCGGCTCATTGAGAGCATTGCTTCCCGAATTGCCGATACCAAGTGCAACTCCATGCGTCTCGGGTGAGAATCGGGGAATCTGGTGCACCAACACCGGCTCATTGAGAGCATTGCTTCCCGAATTGCCGATACCAAGTGCAACTCCATGCGTCTCGGGTGAGAATCGGGGAATCTGGTGCATCAACAACGGCTCAACGATGCCCTGATTTTTTTCATTGACAAAACGTTTACCTAGGCAAGCGTTCTCCGATTATGCGCATTTTTCTTTTCTTACTTTTTTTGTGTGTGTGTGTGTTTTTCAGTGCTCCGTGAGGTATATCGCTGCCCTGATGCTGCCGCGATGCGTCGAGAATCCTGCGCGAGCGCTGCACTGCGGCAGGCGGGCCCCAAACGCCACCAGCTCCGTCGACAGGTGACGTAGCGGGAGGGGCGACACCTGAAAAGCGCTCACGCTGCCACACAGCGTCTCTGGTAGTGGTGCTGGTGCTGGTGCTGGTGCTGGTGGTAACCTACCCGCACAGGTTCCATGCGGAGGCTTCACTGCAGTGCTTGTGAGCGAAAAAGCGCGTTTGTGGCAGGCTTTCCCAGCAGCAGCGCTCGCTCACAGCGCTGTTTCGTTGTGCCTTTGGTGTCGCGAGGTTGCCGCTCAAGCTTGCGGAAACGACTAGGGACACAGCGCGCACTGCTCGTCGGTGTGAACTCGGAACCAGCGATAACGAAAGCGCAGCGCCAGCGACTTGAGCGCATCGCGTCGTGGTCTGCTGTACCAGATGCGACATGCAACTTTGAAGCGCTCACGGAGTCCCTACGCACAGTGTACGCGGATACCAGTTCACTGCCGCCGTGCCTGCCCCAGACCGTGGAGTTCTCTATCCTGCAGGCGCAGTATGCGACGCTGCACGTCTTGCGCAAGGTCCCCGACTGGGGGGTCTGGTCCATAGAGCTGCCCATGGGGCGCACCAAAGACAAGTGGTACCATGCCGTCCCGGCAAACGAACTGCGTCGCTACTCTCGTGATCTCTTTCATGACTATGTGGAAGTGTTCACGCAGCAACGCGGAGCGCGGGTGTGTGTTTGTGTGGCGCCTCTGGACGCCACAGCTCGGCAGCTTGGGGGTGGAGCGCTCATGCCCCTGCGGCGGTGGCGAGGGACACAAGCTCGTCACGGTGTTGCAGCGGACTCGCCCGGCACACGTGATGCCGACTCGCTTCGGGGCTCAGCGCCCAAGTTGCTAACCTATTACGAAGACATAGATCCCAATGAGGAAATAGCACGTTGCCTCATGCGCGCTGTGTTCGACTCGGCCCGCAACGTGCTGGAGGCGAGCCATACCGCCGACGATGCATCCTTTCTGGATGTGATTGGTATTGCCGACGCGGCTGCAGACCCGGAACGCAACCTCCTTGGACTTACTGCGTTGGATACGCATCCAGAGGCAGCGGTGGCGGCCGGGAGTACCAGCCCCTGGATGCTGGTGCCTCGTGATCGACGTTGCCGACTACGGACGCTATTTGCTGTGCGAAACGCGCTCTTAGCCGATGCAGGATGCACCCATGTCGCGCAGGCATTCGACGGAGATTACGGCGACGACTTGCTTGCAGCACTGCCGGATGTGGTTGTCATTACAAATGCGGTTGCGTCGAGGCATCTGGGGTCCGTGCTGCGCATTGTGGATGCTTGTCGAGCGGTCGGCGTACCTGTCGTGCTGTTTAATTGCTTTCTTGACCTTGCACGTCTTACGGACGTGAGACGTACGCGGCTCGCTACCCACGAAGAGGCTGCTCTCGAGGCTAGCGCCCACGTCCAGCTGGCACGACAGCAACTGGGCGAGCCGAAGCTGCCGCTTCCCGACGTCTTGCGGCGAATCCGAGACGGATCCGTTCTCGGGGCCGAAGCATGTTACGTTTGTCGGTGTCTGCCGCATGTGGGCGCGCTTTGGCGCATGCGTGGCGCTCACGAGGTCGGTCTGGGTGCGTTTCACGGCTCAACAGCGCTTGGCGAAACGCGTCCGGCTGCGTCGCTGTCGGGATCGCTTGACGCGGACCCGTGGCACCTCTTCGCCGAGGTCGACTGGCTGGAGTACGAGTACGCTACGAGCGTGTCGTACACGCTGCGCCCAACGCTGATGGCTTCGGAGCTGGAAGACATCCTCCTTCACGACTGCGGGTATAGTCGTCGTCAGCCGGAGCGCTTGTTATGGAGTCCGACGAATTCCGACTCGGAGCCGCTCTGGTCGCGACGAGGATCTGTCCACCACGCCGGCTACTGGCCGAGTATGGTACCCGCCATGGACTTTGACCAGTGGGCACCTCCACTGGACGCCGGCATCGACACATGGATGTGGCGGTAGCTCGATGTGAAGCAGCGACGCATTTTGTTCCCTCGCGGGCAAGGTGGCATCTGAGCGCTGGTTTCCAAATGCCGGCTGCGACGCGCGGAGACGACAAACGAGCCACATCGACATAGGCAATGCTTCAGAGCATTGCTTCATACAGTGCCATACAGTGACTGCTGCGAATCTACGTGACCTTAGTGCCGGTAAACATGGTCTTCATCCATGCATCTGTTTCGAAACGTGCTGATTCCTCACATGAGGTTGCGTGAACGTTGCGAACGTGAGCGGTGAACCCGTACTCTGATCGTGACTCGGAAAAGCGCATGTGGAAGCTCCCCACGGTGGACGTCCGCTGCCTTCGGCTATTGCCAGCGAGTGGCTCCCGTCTGAACATAGACAAGTGTGGGGAGACACTGATGGCGTGCAGCGCCGACCGCAGCGCTGAACGGGTCTCGTTCAGGCACTGGAATGTCCGAGCCAAGCGACATGTATTCCGTCGAGAGGGGCGGGTGCTGGCTGCGGAGCACCGCCTCCTCGTCTGGTGTACGCAGCAAAGTACACTGGCAGGGCGACGGTATTCGGGCATTGAAATGCAGCCAGCTTGCGATACGCGTTAGTACGGATCCTAACCAGACGCACAACCACTTCGTGGAAGAGAGCGCGGGTGCTTTGTTCGGCGACGAGGCAGCATCGGACGCATCAGGTGCCCTGATCCTCAGCTGGAGAGTGACTGTACGATCGAGCTTCCTCAGCACGCCTGTAGACGTTTCCGAATATGACAGGATCGGTGGCTCGTTTGTTTTGCGTCAATGGGAGCTCGCAGTCAAGCGAACCTGTAGAGCCCGCCTCTGCCGGATGAGAGCGTGATCGCTCTGCAGGCAGCGTCGACTGGCTTCTCGCTGATACGACCCCGCACACTGGTATAGGGTGCAGCGGCGGAGATGGGGTACTCGGCCTGCAAGTGCCAAAGCGCAGCGTCCTGTCGCGTATCATGTGCAGGGAATCAAGGGCGAGGGCCGCGGGCTCTCCATAGACCCGTGCATGCTTCATCCGTTCTGCAGGAGCGCTCGTGTCTGGAATAGGGGCTTGATCCCGTCGGAAACGAGGCTAGGGCGGACCCGCTGGCCAACGTGTCCAAGTGGAGAGGAACTAGCCATAGGACAGCTGCTGCCACGGACAAGGAAGAAAACGAATCACGAAATAGCAGTGATTTGACTGGGTAATTCCTGTCGACGGGATGGGATGTAAGAATTAGCAGCTTTCCGTGCATTCGGAAGTTTACCTTTGAGACATGAGGTCCGGTCCCCTGACCCCGACGCTTCTACCAAGCTGGTGTGTGACGCTCGCTCCAGTGCCGGGTGCTGTGGCGAAGCCCGAGCACCTCGTCCGCGACAGACTCGCTTCCGCGACGAGATGTGAGAGGTCAGCATCCGGGCGTTGCCCTGGTCGCTGTGGTCACGTAGCACATCGCTTCGCGTAGTCGCAAGCAGCGGGTATGTCTACGCAGCTTGCAGGATTCCGGAATGATGATGCGTCCCGACTCTGTGACCAATGAATCGTGCCTCGAGCCGATGCCTTCCGTGGTATGGCGAAGCCGTTTTGTTCAACGTGCTCCATTCGCACTGGCGCTACAAGCATTGCTGCGGACGTTCAGGTCAGGCTCGACGCACTGTGGAACGTTCGAAATCGACTAGTATCTCGATGAGGATGCATGGATCATGAAAATTGGAGGTAGGGTGAGGAATGATAGACGCTTGCCCGAATACCTGTATCGGACATATAATGTAGCATTTATGGAACGGTAGTAATGTCTATACACGTCAGCAAAACGAACATCGTTTCACGACCATGGAGGGTAAATATGTACCTATTCACAGGCGTCTGCCAATCTTTTTTGACCGGCCGCCTGCTATCGGTCTCAGTTTCTCGTTGAACACTTATAGCCTGAGAGGCTGCCCCACAAAGTTGGCTGGTGTCAGCTCCCTGGGTCTAGACTTCAGCGCTACACAGCGTCTGATATTCATGGCGGTGTTCCGTTCTCGGTTCTCGAACTAGATGCGTTTATTGCATCCGGTTGAACTCATCAGTACGATGATTTTTCGAACGCGCACTCATTGTGCCATAATAGTCTCGTCATTGTCCCGTCAGGCAAACACCTTGTCTCGCCTATCACCGCTCTTCTTCTTCTTCTTCGACACGTGCTCTTCTACAATCGATGGGCAGCGAGACGAGGACTCTTTTTCTCGTTTTTTTTTTCTGGAATCCGGCGGCACCAGGCCCTCAAGGATGCCCGTCTTCCATGTCCATACCTTTCTATTGGTCTTTTTATATCACCAAGTGATCGCACTTTGAACGCTTCTGCTTTTGACCGCGAAAAAGTACCCAATGGCATGCCATTGGAAATGCTGCACCACAGAGAGGTACCCGCATAGCGCAACGCCTTCCGTGCGCCATCCGTTCAGCAGCGGCGCAACTTGGATCAAAGTGATATAAATTGTTCATTTAAGATCAAAGGTGCCAGCACACCACCGACAGCTATCCGTGCGCTGTCCGTTCAGCAGCAGCCCAACTTGGATCAAAGTGATCTAAACTTGTTCATTTCAGCTCAATGGTGCCAGCACGCCACCGACAGCCATATCTGCCCGATCGTAGATATTTCTGCTGCGCGGCAAAATTTTGGATGGAACAGACGCTCTCTCTAAGCGACTACACGGCAGTTGAACCGTGTACACGTCCATTCGCATACTGGGTTGTGTCGTTGGACCCTATGGACTCGTCCCAGACCGGGCGTTTGAACAGCTCGGCCTCCGGGCCTGGGGGAGCGTACGCTTTTCACGTCAGAGACGCTTTTCTCGGCGTTGGCGTTGTGAGCAGCGTGCGTGACGCCTGCGAGACCTCGACCATTCCCGCAGTGCCGGAACAGAGTCTCGTGCACTGCGCGAGCACTTCGGAAACAGCTAGCTTGAATGAATGGACATCAGATGGATACACTAAGCTGTGGGGGGGTTGCGAGAACTCGAGAATCAACGAATATGGAACTTTATGTGTGACGGCACCACAGCCGCACAGCGCGCCAGCAGACGATCGCTTGCCAACAACGCCCATATCGTCTGACTCGGAGGGCGGCGAGCGGGGCGTTGCGCTCACCAGCGGTCCGACTTCCGTCGTCCGTCGCTATACGCACACGGACTCGGCACCCATGAAAGGCGGTAGCGATCCATTGGCTGCGATGGCCGATTGGCTGCCGAAGCTCTTCCGCACCTCATTCTACAGCATCTGCGGCGTGCATAAGAGCGCGGGACACGATTCTCGGAAAGTTAACCAACGCTGGATTGAGCGCACCGTGTTTTGTCTGCACTGCTGCGAAGCGGTCTGCCGGCTCTGCGTCGACCGACAGCGCCAGTTGGAATTCGGTGATGCACCACACGCCTCGCATCCACACATTGGCATTTGTAGATACATGTATCACGACGTGGTGCTCGCCAAGGACATCTGCAAAGAGATGGACGTGAGTCAGGTCCAGAGCTATTTGAACAATGGGCAGCGAGTCATGTATCTAGTTCGTGGATCGGGCTCGGACACTGGCGCCGCCCACGTTCCAACTTCGTGGCAGGGGGCATCGAGCAGCGCTAGTCGCTGTCGAACGTGCTGGCGCCCTCTTCAAAAGGATTACGCGTTTTGCTCCATTTTTTGTCTGGTGACCCAGCCAGATGATTCGCGCAAACGCTTCGACCTGAATCCGTCATTTCGCCGCGAGACGCTCAGCGAGTTTTGTGCACGGGCAAAGCGCGAGGGTCGCCTGCGCCACGTGAAGCCTGGCAATGTCCAGCACCAAGTGATGTATGAGCGCGCGTTTCAGGATGCACCTGGTATGCGGGATAGCGGCACAACATCTCAGTCAACGGAGCATCATTCGGCGAGAGGTCGGCGTATGCGTCCACCGCGTTCAGTGGCAACGGGACGCGCGATCAAGTCTCTCGCCAAACGCGTCGCCAATGGCCGGGGATCGAAACGCGTCCAAGACAGGACTAGTGGCACGCCCGGTGGTACAGTGTGGATAGGCAGCAGTTCGAGGGGTTGCGGGCGGGATGCAGGTGACGGGCACGAGCTTTCGGTATCCTGCTGTACCAAGTCAGGTTCCACGAGCGCCGAGCGCAACTGGCTCCCGCAATACTCTCCAGGCAGCGTGTTCGGTGTGTTTCATTGGCCTTGGCGGAGTGCAAGTGGCAGCGACACCTGGACTGGCGGCTGTGGCGCGAACCCGGCACACGCAGCAGACGACCGGCGTACTGGTGGCGACGCTTCGCTCCTCGCTATGGATGGATGCGATCCTAACTTGAATTTCGAGACTCGCTTGTTGCGTCTCTCGGGCGTCCGCAAGAGTCGTCGGAAAGCCTGGCCGGTTCCTGCAGTGTCTGTTTGCAACGTTCTGAACGCATAATCGTAGAGTAACAGTTTCATCGGGTCTAGTTCGGATTTTTATCCGTGTAAACTTTATGTTGTTGGGTTCGATTCGACCAGGGCTCGGCGCTAGCTGTGGAGCACCTACTGCTTGGGGCGCCCTGGCAGCGCGCGAGCCACGACATTGACTTGGTGCTGATCAGCGACTGGTGCCGCCAGGCTGCCGCTCCGCTGCGGCGACAGCGCATCAGTGGAGGCATTCGAGCGGTGACACCCGCATGGCGCTACGACAACAATTTGTCGCCTTCGTGTGGCAATGCCTGGGCGCGTGAGCGAGCGCTCACAGTAGGTTCGCATCCAGACAATCCGATGGACGCATCATGACTCGAGAAGCAATGCGGATTGAAGCGTAGTGGAACTCGTCCACTCCGGTGCGTACAGACGGCAAGTTGACGGGGTAAGCGATCCCTGTCTCGCGATGGCAAGTCCATGTTTAGTTTCAATGACATTTCTCCGTCCCAGGATCGATAGCGATGCGATGAATCAGGTGTGCACGCTAGCCACGGGGTGTTCTAGTCGATGAGCCGAAGCCCTCTGACAAGCGGCAAAGTCGTTCGTTCGCCATGCAGCGTCTGGAGTATCGCTAGAGGCGCTGTTGCGGGCGTTCACAACAGACTCGGCGTACGGTGGAGCATACGAAATGACCGGATTGTCGCCGACACCAAGAATGGATCATGGAAAAAAAGAGGTCCGGTAAAGCATGATACACGCTTTCCCGGATTATCGCCGACACCAAGAATGGATCATGGAAAAAAAGAGGTCCGGTAAAGCATGATACACGCTTTCCTGGATTATCGCCGACACCAAGAATGGATCATGGAAAAAAAGAGGTCCGGTAAAGCATGATACACGCTTTCCCGGATTATCGCCGACACCAAGAATGGATCATGGAAAAAAAGAGGTCCGGTAAAGCATGATACACGCTTTCCTGGATTATCGCCGACACCAAGAATGGATCATGGAAAAAAAGAGGTCCGGTAAAGCATGATACACGCTTTCCTGGATTATCGCCGACACCAAGAATGGATCATGGAAAAAAAGAGGTCCGGTAAAGCATGATACACGCTTTCCTGGATCATAGCGGTACCATATCGCGTGCACGATCGAGGATTCCTGGTCAGTCTGCTCGATGTGTCTATCGAAAGAACAAACCGCTTGGATTCTGTGGTATCACGCGATGGACTGCTGCGCTACACTTCCGAGAGCGGCCTTGACAATCCGGTTGCAGCGAGCCGGCAACAGGTCCAGTGTCGTAGCGCTACCAGTGTCGTCGTTTTCGCGCTCCACTCGAATAGCGTGCCCAAGTCCCGAGATGAGCATGCTTACGCGGTACTGACGGGCAGCTTTTTCCGCTACTCATGCTTTCTTTGTTCGCGTTCACACAGGCGCGCGCTTCGCTACACCGTCCAAGGCCAGCAGCGACCCATACATATCGGGCCGACGATCTCGAAACACGCCCCAGGCGAGTCGCGCTTCCCGATACGCGTCCAGGTCCATAACGGGGCTGAAGAGCACCACCGGGTCAGCGTCTCGCGATGCCTCTGCCACGATAGCACCCGTATTGTCGGTGATGAACGAGGAGCCGTAGAAACGAATCTGCATTGAGCCGTCCTGGGCAAGCTCTATTCCGGTACGGTTCGCAGCCATAAGCGGCATCAGGTTCGCAGCAGCATGACCCTGCTGGGTGCGACGCCAGTGCTCCCGCGAGTCCAACGTCGGATCCTGGGGCTCGCTCCCAATAGCGGTCGGGTAAAGTAGCACTTCTGCACCGTTCAGCGCAAGGCATCGTGCGAGCTCGGGGAACCACTGATCCCAGCAGATACCGACGCCAATGCGAATGCCCCGACTTGTCTGGTACACCGTGGGCGGGGTATCGCCAGGCGAAAAGTAAAACTTTTCGTGGTAGCCCGGCGAGTGCGGGATGTGAAGTTTTCTGTAAACAGGCTGAACGAAGAGGTCAGCAGCGCCCGGGTCCAGCACCGCCAGCGAGTTGAAAAACGTCCAGCCCCCGGCCTGCTCGAAGAACGACACTGCCAACACGACCTCAGTCTGTCGACAGAGACTCGCCATCTCGCGCCAGAACCAGTGTTCAGGCTCGGTAAACGGCGACGGCACTGCCAGACTGTAGTGACGCGGTTCCCCGCCGTCTACAGGAAAGTACTGCGCGGCAAAGAGTTCCGGCAGAAGGGCTATCCGTTGCACACCAGCTGGTGCGGCACCAGCCTCGGTCAACGAGCTTTGCAACGTTTGCACTGCCCGAGCCACGTTCTTCGCAGGCTCGTTTGGCACCATGGACATCTGCAGAGCAATCAGCTGTACTTGACGATTTTTCATGGTAGTAGCAGTCGTTCCCAGGGACGACATGAACTCGTTTGAAAGACGCGTACCTAGGATGGCAACAGCGCGCTGCAACGCTAACGCTTCTGCATGGAATCGGGCAACGCTGATGGTGCGAACGTGCTGCGACTATCGGGAACTGTGGACGTTATGCACCAGGACTGGGGGAATCTGCGTAGATCCATGGATACGACGGGGTAAAAAAGGAACTCGACAATCTGATGCATCTGTATCGGGGGTATCTCACGATTCGTATGGTGCTATAGATTGAAAACCAGCAAACTACATCGTTGTCTCTGCGGTGTGTTCGTTGACGCTGGTGCTGGGGTGTGTTGCGCTGGCTCCTTTGTTCACGCTTTGAGGGGAAGCTGCAGTTTATGGCATCAACAACGAGTGGACCGCGTGAATTCCGTGAGAAGCACGGAGTCGTTGAGGCTCCGATGAGTGTGCTCGCTTCGAGGGGCTTTCAGCGTGCGCGCTGTTACGCGTCCTCCAGGGGCGCTGTGCTCCCGTAGAGACTTTTTCTGCGTTAGGATGGAAGTCCAGCGCGCAGTACCCGAAGTATTGCTTGTGTGCGGTGCAGACAAGGTCGTTGCCCCGGGGGAAGCGCAGCCAAACAGGGGCATTTACTTGCAGCATGTCCAGTAACAGGTATAGCGAGCTTGTCGCGCAGAAGACTCGGGTACAGTGCCGAGCGCTCAGTGCCTGGTATCTGTCGCAGCTGCCACTCGGCTGGCGGAACAAATGGAGAACGTCGCAGAGAGGTGCCTCATGGTGTCTTTTGTGGTCGCACTGGGAAGCGCTGCAGCGCTGCATGACGCCGAGGTGAAGCGCGTTGTATCGAGCTGCGGTTCTAGTTGCGTTGCACGCCCTGAAACTTGATCGTCCTCACAGGCACCGAGAACGTTTCTCTGGCGGACCGCTAAAGAGAAACACCCGGCCAGGCCGTACGTTGCATTTCTATTGTGGATAGGTCAGGATACATGCATGACACCGAGCGTCCACGCAAACCGGTTGCAGCGCGAATGCCGCCGCCCCCGGGTGCACGTCCAAACAAAAGCGTTCCTCCGCAAAGATGCTACTGGAAACGCGCTTGCTCTACCACACTTGTTGGGAAACGCGTGAGAAGCGTTTCTCCACAGAGACGCCAGGGTAAGCATAGTGGCAGCCTCGGCTCGCTGCACAGGTCGTCCTCTCGGATACTGGTAACTGCTTCCGGCACCCGCGCGGCTTTCAAGTTCAGTGCTGTAGAAGCCGTCTTGTTGGAGCATGATTGTTCTCGCTGCTCGCGTGATATGAGCGGCCCACGACCGTTCTTGTACCTACTGCTGCTTCGGAAGCCCTTGCAGATACCTCTTGCACGAGCGACTACTCTTCGTAGTGCCGTATATCCGAGCAATGGCTCTCGAGACAACGTGCTGCAGCGACAAGAGCAGCATCACGCTCCATCGCAGAGTCCACCAATATCCATAGCGATCGCAAGCGTCGTAGAGCGCTCTGCAGACGCAGACATCAGCACCTGCTCGTAGCGTCCTGCACTTGATGCATCCCGGTAGCACGTTAGCTAGCAATCTGCCACATACATATACACACCCACACACCCAGACAAGCGCTATCTAGGCCTTGAGAGACTCGACCGCTTCGCCACACACTCGATGAGTCCACGAGGAATCCACGATGCGACCGAGGTGCTCGGCAGTAAGGCCCTCGGCAAAGCGCCCAGTGAACTTGCCAGTAATATTCTATTCGTGTACACTGAGCGCATCGAGGGTAGACCGACAATACAGCACCCAGTAAAATTACCAGTAATGTTCTAGTCGTGTACACTGAGCGCATCGAGAGTAGCCCGACAATACAGCACCCAGTAAAATTGCCAGTGATGTTTTCGTCGTGTACACACTGAGCGCATCGAGAGTAGGTTGAGCGCATTCTGCTGCATCGCCGCGAGGTCCCTGACTCACTCTCAGCATTCCTGGCGCTTACAAGGTAGTCTGTGCATGCCAGTCGGGTGCATTTCAAATACAGTCCCGCCTCAAAGACGCGACGGCAGGCACCAATTGCTAGTGTATCAGCGGCAGACGAGTTCGAGTGCCTCGCTCTCGCGCCGTTCACAGGGAACTTCCCAATAGCCAAAGCGCTGCGTGAGCACCTCTCGGTCGACAGTATCGGCAGACAACGTCAACGGCTGCGTCGAGGTCCTCTTACCAACTTTTCGACACACGCTCAGCCCTTCGCAGGAGCAGCGGTAGGACAAGCGCGCACCCCGAGGGCGCAGCGCACACGACACACCTCCGTTGTGCGAAACAAGACTCCGTACTCGTCGCGCGTCCGGGTAGAGGCTCAGCATACGCACTCGCTGCGTGCCGCAAAAGCAATGCGTCCGATTCTCGCAAACACCGAGGGCATGGTTCAGCTCCAGTTGCGCTGGTACCAAGCGCTGCGAAAAACGCCCTAACACGGACCAGTTCAAGCGTCCACTGAAGAGGCGTCGGCACGCTCGGGCTCCTGTCAGCCGCGCTGAACCTGACTTTGACGACAAGAGCACAAGGAGCAAGATCAGCGAGCACAAACCTATTCGAAACCAATCTTTGCCTGATCGAGCCAGGCGAACTATCCACATGTTCCCAGACTTGTGAGCACAGCAGCGGCTGGGGAAACGGCTCGAGCAGTGCGGCTCGGAACGCGCGCCCGCTGCGGCGTTGCCTTTCAAGCGCTGACCTGCAACCGCCGCCTTGTTGGACGTTTCAACCAGCGTTATGACTCGTGAGGCGCAAATCGTCCGACCAGAACGTTTAGGGCGTGTTGTCTGAGGCGCCTACCGTCCGTGGCAGTTAAGCAGGTAGACGCTGTGCGTCGTTGGCTCGCTGTGCTTGGGCCAGTCCGGGTGGCAGCACCACCGGAGACGCGGGTCTACGCTTTTTACCAGCAGCCTCACGACGCGACGAGTACGCAGTCTGCTGGGTACTCGGATAGCTTGCAGAGCCGCCTGGAAACGTCCGCATATTTTTGTAAAAGCTGCAATCTACCTCAGTCCGGATCCGGCTCGAGCGCGGTATGCGACGATGCAGCGCTGGTGCTGGTGCTACTGCTGGTGGTAGACTCGGCAGCGGAGCGCATCGGCTCCGCACCGTTCTTGTCGGTTGGGAGCAGTCCCAGTTGCACTCGCTGCTGTTCAAGCTCAGCCTCGATCGCTAGGCATCGATCAATGAGTTTCTTTCGACGCCCGATGAGCGCACTGATCTGTTTTGCCTGCGCAGGCCGCCGTAACTGGTGCGCGAGCAGCAGCGCTTGTCGCGAAACCCCAGGCACAGCGTCCAGGCCCAGAAGCATCGTTGTCAGCTGCTCGTCAGCCCAGTCTGCGCGTTTTCGATACGCCTCTACAGCCAGGTAGCGCGTGCGGCACGCCTCAGCGAGAGACTCCGGGGCGAACGCCTCTCTAACGAGGGGCAGTGCTGGTTTCAGTGCATCTGCAACACGTCTCCAGACGCTCATGTCGGACGCCTCGGTCGCTCGTTCCTGGGTGACAAGCCGGTCGAGGTGTGCACTATGCTGCTGGTTCCACTGGAACACGAGCGGTTGGCCTGTCGACGTCTCTGACGTTCGCTCCAGGTGCGCTGCAGCAGGCACCTGCTCGACGAGTGCCCGTAACGCGTGAACGTCGCGTTCCAAGGCCTCGCTCACACTGTCAAACCGCTTCAACTGCGATTCCGCTTCCTCCAGTAACTGAGCGACCTCCTCGACAGAGGGCACTGTCATGTCCCAGGTCACAGGGGCGCTCGACGGGGACCTCATGCGCAACTGTGCTACCAGGAACGCTACAAGCTCGACGAGCACGTCATACGCAGCAACAAAAAGCAGGAACAAAAGTGACAACAAACGCTGCTGCAACAAAAAGCAACAAGAGCAATAACCAAAGTAGCAGTAGGAGCAACAAAAGTGGCAACAAATGCTGCTACAGCGAGCGCAACAAGCACAAAAAGAGAACAAGTCGTAGCGCCGAACACAGGGCGCAGTGCAGCGGCAGCGGCGTCCCGGCGGCGTCCACGGGCAGACGCTGTGGGGTGCTGCAGTTTTGGGCAGCGCTTCAGCGCGTTAGGGACCTTGTTCTTTAAACGAAATGTGGGTCAGTCTTGCGACTCATACGCGTGTTAGCTTTGTCACGGTACCGACTTGTGGCTGGACATCAAAAGCACGCACACCTCGAGTAAGTGCGTCGACCTGGTGTTCGGTACCGCTGGGGCGGTCGAGGCGGAAGCCGCGCGCCCGACTGGTAGCAACAGCAGAGACAGCAGCAGCTCCTGATGCGCACGCTGCTCCGCTTCCGGGTACTGTCCAGGACTCCGAGTTTGAACGTGCGGAGGCTTGTAGTGTTGTGGAGGTTTTTCACGACCGAGCGGTGCACATTGGTGTGTTGCGCACGACACCAGCTGAGGCAGCGTGCGCAACGAGCTTTCGAGTTCACCTGGTTAGCGCCGATAACCAGGAGGTAAGTGTCGCCCCCGACCAAGTCATTGCGAACTGGAGTGAAACTCTGGTACCGCCGTTGCTGTTCGAGGAGCTCAGCACTGCTGGTGAGCAGCCTGAAGCGTGGCTACCTCCAGTGCGTTTCTCGCAGACGCGTCTGCAGCACGCCTGGGATACCGCCCGACTCTGGCTGCAACCGCACTCGACGGAGTCATGGCTCGCACTCCAGTCTGCGGACCGTCTCGGAATCCTGGCGTTGTTGTCAGAGGGGCTGTATGAGCTCCATCAGGAGGTGAGTTGTCGAGGCGCTCGCCGCGGCGGTCCATTCACATCCGCTGTCGAGTTGGCAGCTCGATACCAGTTGCGTTTGCGAGAGCGTTTTCGTCGTCGACTTTGGCCCGCGGATGAGACCACTTCACCGGTAGCCAAGTCGCTGTGTGATCCGTTCGTATTGCGAATACTCGCAGCGATAACGCTCGGGTCCGACAATTTTCGCTTCCGACGGGTTCCCCGGTACGGTGGCGGCTGGCGAGCGCTACCTGAGCCGATGGTACGCGCACGTATCGTAGAGTCTTTCTGTGAACGTGTACATGCAACGAGGCAGTCACTGGATCGGACATGGCATCCGGAGCATCTCGCAGTTTTACGCGAGCTGGAAATGTTGGCGGCCTCTCGCTCCGAGCATCGCCGCAACCTCGAGCCGTCGCTTCGCACGAAACGGCAGGGAATGTCGGCGCCGTCGACACGACTGGAGCGCCTCTATCCTTTGGCGGCTGCAGTTTGTCGTCGGGTCGCTTCGGAGGTCTCACCGAACACGGCTATCTCTATTTTGGTGAAGCTCGGTCAGTGGACCCTCTCGGAGACGTCCAAGGAAAGCGCCAGCACGCCGCCCGCGACACTGAAGCGCCGACCGAACGTATGCCCCGAGCCCAAGATCGGACAAAAGATCATCGCTGCTTTTCCTGACGCAGTGATGACTGCGGCTCGGGCACTACGTAGCCGGATCCTGAGCGGGCGTACGCGAAATCAGCGAAGCGTCTGGAGTCACCAGTTCGCGTTCTGTGTGGATTCCTCATCAGCGCGAATTCTGGACGATGCTTTCTCCGTTGAGATCGAGCAGCGCTGCGACCCGTCGTCGGGGGCATCGGGTCATCGCCCGGGCGACTTGCAGGTGACCTGGCACGTCCATATCGTGGATATTGGGCGCTGGCTACCTGCAGGCCACCCAGTAGACCAGATTGCCTGCCAGCGAGCACAGTCACTGTATCTGCCGGGGCGACCTCTGCACCTGTTGCCGCCACCGTTGGCAAACGCGGCCTCTTTCTCAGAGCATCTGGCGACTGACGCGATCACCGTATCACTGCGCTTCCGTGAGCGCAGCAACGACCAGCATACCGGGTCCGACGACCTCGGCGCCATCGAATGGTTCACGGTACGTCGAAGTGTGATACCGCCTGTGCAGCGCATATCATACGAGGAGCTCGATCGTCTGATCCTGAGTAATCGACGCGTGCGGGCATCATCATCATCAGCAGCAGCAGCAGCAGCAGCAGCAGCAGCAGCATCTGCATCTGCATCTGCATCGTCACCTACAGACACCAGCACCGAAACACTGCTGCAGAGAGCGTCGAACCCGTTGACAATATTACAGAAAGCGCTGAATTCAGCAGCGCTGGAGCAGCGCATGCGTGCACGCATGCATGCGCGTCAACGCCGCAACGCCGGGCGCATTGCGCGGGTGGCGCATCGACGCGACGGCAGCCTGGCTGTAGCGGAATTTGCACTCTCTCCGGGATACTGCCTCGTGGATGCGCTACTCGCTGCCGCTAGTGAGGCACTTATTCGATTTGCTGCACAGCACAAGATCCCTGTACCCGTCACTAGATGGACACGAGTCCAGAACACGGAGCTGGGGACGCTGGCGGCGCAAAAGGTAACCGCCAGTGAACCAAACGCAGTGCAGGCGTATCGGCCGCAGCGTTTCGGCACTGCACCTCTCCGTCGATACCTGGACCTCATGACACTGCGTCAGATCTCGCTCTATCTTGAGTATGGGGCAGAGGCGCCGCTGCTGACCAGAGCACAGGTAGCACGCATTGCTGCGCAAGTTCAGCGAAATGCGTCTGCGGGGATGCAGAAAGTGGTGGCATCTCGGCAATCGCTCATGCTGGATGTACTTGCTGAGCGGCAGTCACAAGTGCAGCGTCTCGGTCCGGGGGAACTTGTTTTGAACGGCTTGGTTGCATCCGTGTCGTCGAATGGGCGAACGGCGCTCATCATTCTGGAGGATGATCAAATGGAGGCGACGGTGACCCTAGAGCGCAGTCAGCGCCTTCGTATTGGCGAACGCCGTGCGTTCCGTCTGGTACGCCTCGACCGGACGCAGTGCGGTGCACGAGCGATCCAGTTGGCACTGGTTGTCGACTCGGTGTCGGTTTGAAGGGCCCACTTGTTGGCTTTTGCGATTCTGCGAGGCAATGCAGTGAGTTTGGGTTGTTTTGGGAGCGCTCATCTGCAGTCATGGTTTCTCAGAACGCGAGCGCATCGCGCGGCATATGATAGACAGGCAGCTGCCTGGCTCGCTCGCGATTGCATCGAAAATGCGGTTCAGGTGGGTATCGCTGGCGTTTCTATCCGGTGTTCACGCTCCTATGAGTGTCTCTGTCCTTCGCTGGGTTATTCTAGGAGCACCAGGAGTAGGTAAAGGGACATACGCATCCCGCCTTGCTCGCAAGTTTGGTCTGAAGCATATCAACTTTGGAGAGTACCTCCGAGAGTCGCAGCTCAACGGGCGCGGAGCGACAGCGGCTGCGGAGGCTATGCGCGTCCTTCAGCAGCAGGGCGACCTCCTACCAGACTCGTTCGTTGAACCTCTGGTCAAGGATCTGCTGTCTGATCTTGAAAGACGGTCTTCCGCGCAACAAGGATGGATTTTAGACGGTTTTCCGCGAACGGCAGCACAAGCTCGCTGGTTGGACGGCGTATTCCCAGTGCAGGGCGCTCTACTGCTGACCTTACCGCGCGAGGTTCTGATCGCCAAGTTGGCTGGGCGACGAGTCTGCGTAACGTGTGGCAAGACCTACAACTTTATGTATATTAACGAGGCGGGCATGCGAATGCCACCGCTGCTACCACCTGGGTGTCGCTGGGCGCCTTGCGTTTCACCCGACACAACGGTCTGCACGTGTCCGCGAGACGATACGGAGAACGGGGTGCCGCTGCTCTGCGAAGCGTTGCCAAAGGGCTGTGAACGAGGAACTGCGTGTTCTGGACGTTTGCACTGTCGCGACGATGATCGACTGGCAGTTGTCAGGCATCGCCTAGAGGTCTACGAGTCGCAAGGGGCAAGCGTCGAACACTACTACGATACGACCGGCCGATTGCATCGTTTCGCCCTGACTGGTGGTGTTGACGCGATCATTCCTCATCTCGAGGCTTTCTACGGGGAGCGAGCGATTGCATCTGTTCGGGGATCTCGGCACCAGCACGCTGCACATACGTCCATGGGGCAAGCGCCAAGCGCAGCGGCGACCAGTGATGAGCGCTGAACGTGAGCCTCCGCTCCTATCGCCGGAGAGCGAATGCCTTGTCCCAGTGCTTGGCGTCAAGGAACGCTTGGCAACGGACTGAATCGGTCGTGAATTGTTGACTGGTATCTACGTACGAGACAGATGCGAGCTTTGGATGATGCTGGTCGGCCTCAGGTGCAGTCACGTGCTGATTCGCTGGTTGCATTGCTCGTGCGCAATGATCTTGGACGCATTCCCTGTGCGAAGCACACGAACTTGGCACCCGCATACGGTCCAGTTGAATCGGATATGGGCTTCATGTTGCAGAGCAAGAGACCTGCGTGCCATGCAGCGCTGATCGCACAAGATCAATGTAAGGTACGCTGCTTGCGGCAATCGTAAGAATGAAGTGAACGGTGTTCAGGCAGAGCGTGCTCTGCAGCGCGTCAAGTGTTGCAGCTGATTACGAGTCAAAGACGGGAATATTGATCGAGGAGCAAGGCTTTGCGGGCGTCCAGCATGCACCGACTGAACGCGTAACCACCTGGCCGAGAAGGGCGCACACTTCTCGCCGATCGGATCCCGGTGCGCTGCAGCTCGACGGGGAGTATCAGCGGGAGGCGGCGCCTCGTTCGCTGCAAACCCTAACGCTCCGCTGCTCTCAATGAAGCACCACGTGATCAAGCGTTGATGACGCAATCACAGCGGTGGGCGCTCATTGGAAGCACTGGTCGGCATCAGGTCGGCACCAGGGTTCTTCAATCAGACTAGATATCGCTGCATTCTGTGGTGCGTTGCAGCTACTATCCTAGCCAGCAGTAGCACCGTTAGCCCGCGATAGCCGACTGCAGCTTGCCCTTGTTGGGCATTCTGACGACAGCCCGCGGCATACAGCGCTCTAGGGCTGGTTTCCTTGCTGCCGTAAACGCGAGATACGCTTGCTCCTGGGTAGCGGCACGCTGCAGTGGACTCGCGGCCGACCTGGACACTGCATCGTACGGTGCTGCCTAGATGAGCGACGTGCATACCGCTGACCTGGAGTACTGAAAGCGAATACCTTGTCCACCCGCTCGACGCCAGTCCGTTTCCGAAAAGGCCTTGTGCTGCATTTCGCTAGGTTTGGCGGCTCACCGATCAGGTTGTGCTGCTGCCGCGGCTGTGCACGTTTTCCAGGCCTAATGTGTTTACAGATGCAGCAGCATAAGATATGGAGATGATGCTGGTCGCGAAATTCGCATGCTGTGCCTCTGCATGGACTCGGGTGATCGTGTCGATGTGCGCTCGCCAGCTTGTCATCTTTCACCTCAATGGTATTTCATATGTGGATGCATGTCTTCAAATGCTTCTTCGCGGTTTATAGACGACGCGCCCGAGGTGCGTTCATCTGAAGGAATCCAAAATTTGATGGCTAGGTATCGATGTGCAAGTCGGGAATCCTGGGGGACGCTGATCAGCGGGTGCCTCAAAACAAAACGAAAAAGAATCCTCTGCTCGCTGACCATCAAGCGAAGAAGAGCTAGTGACCACGAAGATGAGGAGAGACAGGCGAGAAAAGGTGTTTACCCGACGGGACGCTGACGCGACTGAAGTGGCATAGAGGGTGCGAAATAGACGACTACATGCATTGGTGAGATCAACCAGCCTCAAGAAACGCATGGAGTTCGTAAACCGAGACTTGAACATCGCCATGATTATCAGAAGATGGCTAGTGCCGAAGCCGAGCCCCGCGGAGCTCACACGGTCCAACTGTGTGGCGCACGCTGTCGTGCCCGTCGTGTGCAAGCAGAAGCTGAACCCAATAGCGGTAGGCCGGTCGAAAAAGACTGAGAAGCGTCTGCGAGTGGGTATTAAATTACCCTACAGCTGCGAAACCTTGCTGTTTCACTGACGGTCTGGGCAAACACCCCGTACGCCAGTGCAGCTGGGAACTCTGACACAACGCGCAGCATACGCGAGCGCCTCAGTGAACCTTCTTCAACAGTCGACGTACCCGAGCGGACTGGGGCGTAACCATGGCTGGCGCTCTGAGCGAATGGAGTGCACCCACTGCGTACCGACGCTTGCTGCGTGCTTGTCGAGTTGCCTTTGGTGACGACAGGCGCACGTTGCGTGCAGCTGCGAGACTTGTTCGTCACGAGTTTGAGACCAGACCCCGAGTTCAGCAGCCGCTGGAAGCAGCGGAGGCACTGGCCCAAGTCCAAGAGGCCGAGCACGTGCTCCGCAACGAGATCAAAAGAGTCGCGGTTTTTCGAGACTCGGGGTGAAAGTTGCCGGAGCACCACGGCAAGTGCTGTGGGAGCGTCCGGCTGGGGTTTTTCCGAGAACCGCGGCTTGCACACGCGTTCCTGGCGTACTCCAGTGAGGCCAGTATATGGCGATGTCGGGGCGTGCCGCACGACTGCACTGTAACCGGCGCCTGTGAGCAAAGCACTTCCCTGGTGCGCTTCGCGTACCCACGAGAACGCGGGCTCAGTGTCCTCGTAGAGCGGCTTCCGTAAGAGCGTTCGCGGGGAACACAGCGTTGATTCAGGAGGAATACGCTCGGATCCTTGCTTCCCGGGCCGCAAGTGTATCCTCATATGTGAGTCGAGGTACAGTGCCGGCCTCGTAAGGCCTCTAGTGCTGCATCGCTGCGGCATTGGCTCGTCAGATGTGACGCAGCGTTCAGTGCACCCGATCCGGCATTGGAGCTCGATGAGAGGCCACGGTTGCACGACATACCCGCTGTCACAAACCTCGGCGCTATGTTCCGCAGACGACCAGTGGCGAAACGGCGAGAATGCGCTTTATGGTTCGCTCGCGAAAGCGGAGCACGCTCGAGTGCTTGCCATCAATGAACGGGGACTCGAGCGTGCTTCGTTTCGGGTAGGGCGCTCCTTTGCTCTATTGGATGGTACAGTACGAAGCATGGACAGAGCAGGTGCCGTTGCCGCTTGAAGCATAGACGCACATCCGACCGGTTCGTGGTGCGCCAGCGTCGGGTCCTGAGCGCGGCATGCACTGGTCGCCGCGCCTGAGTCCTCTTGGTGTGCACTGTCGACGGAGTACCGCATTCGTAAGGTTGTTGATACTTGCCGCTGGTGGCCCGTACACAAGCACCATCAAATCTGCGGCTATTCTAGCGACCATCATGTTATCGAATACGAGGCACCTCGCAGGCAATCGGTTTCTCGCTACCACGAATGCGGGTGCTCAGACACCGACCAAGCACCTGGTTTTGCGTGTGTTCGCAGACTGACAATGGATGCTGTGCGCACCGACTCGTGTCTAGTGTGTCTGACGCGGACGATGCGCCCTGGTAATCCGCGGTCTGCCATATCGAGCACTGCGCTGCGCCGAACATGGACCCTTGCTCAATTCTCCGCAGGGGAGCCTCTTCTTCGTCGAAACGTATACGCAGTGGCACGATAACCAGCGATTAAGGCACCGAATTCAGACTGCGTCGGAAAGGGTCCAGTAACGCGGGCATACAATTTATCGATTGGATCTCGTTTCAGTGTCTGGAATACTGACCTATCCGGGCTTTTTCTTTCACTGCTTCTTTCATGTCTCGTATCTTCGGCTTTAAAATACGCTGGTATCTCGCGTGCCTCCATCTCCGCTTACAACGCCCAAAGGGTGTTCATGGCGGCATTGAAGTCCGGATCTCGTCGCTTCCGGTTGTTGTCGACACATTTCATGGACAGGCGGAAGTTGCGCTCCATGCTCAGGTTGCCGTTTTCATCTATTTTGCACACAGCGTCAGTGCGCCTTTCGCCGCGGTGCGAGCTGGATGGAATAAGGTGTTTCTATAAGCCCAACACACCTCATTCCTCAAGGGCTATCTTGTGGTGCGTGAAGGCCTGCCTCATCGCTCGGTACATGCGCTCGGCGGGTACCGCATGCACCGCTGGATGCACTTGTCGTGTTGTGTACGCGTCGCGGTACCTTAGAATCATTGGCGTCTTGTAGGCGATCGACTCGACGATTACGCTGTACGCTGGAAGTGGAAGCGCACGCTTTCCCATTCGCTCGGAGTCTTGTGGAACGCGATGCTATTCATGATGAACTTTTGCACTGCATGGGAATTCAAGGCTGCGAAACAAGTCGAGATCTCTTGATCCCTGTACGCTCGCTTCGTGAAAAGCAGTAACGCGCTCCCCAGTGGGCGCGATCGCTGGCTTGACTCGAGTCCAAGAATCTCTCCTACGCAAACAGAGGAGAAAGAATCTGCTGAGCGCATTGCCCGGGAGAGCTATCATGCTGCTGGTGAGGAGCTCCATTTCGTCGGTAGCCTTAAAGAAAGACGATTTGGCTATCGAACGGAATCCATTATTTGAGGTGGCGAGTTCACTCGCCTTTTCGTCATGCGCTCGTGAACTCGTCTTCAACGAAGGACGTAAAAAATTTCTCCCCTCGTGTCAATCCTGCTGCGCAAATCGCTCCGGAAATACGACGCCCATCGAACAGAGAGATCGATTGCTTCAAGAACGCGTGATTTAAGCATGCCACTCGCAAGTAAAGGAAAAGAACGGAAACTTATACGTACGAATTTGATCACGATATCCGATATTTTACGAAGCATTTTTCGAATACGTCGCGAATCATCTTCAGTCCGATGCGGTATCGAGCTCAAGCGCCAACGCGTCGAACGAGCAACACCGAAAACCCTTCGGAGCGTCTTCAAGCTATGTATGAATCCCCAAGCCAGTACTGATGCACTTCAAACATGTAAGCGGTACATCTAAAAAAGGTTCGGAAAAAAAGAGCGCAATTCAAGAACAGTACCTACAGGTTTTGATGCCACACGCTCACCTTCCAAATCTATCCACCACACAGCGCAGATCGACGACGACGTGCCCACCACATTTGGAAGCGGCCCTGCAGCGACTGGTGCCGGGGCGTCGAATGCACGCGACGCGCCGCCACCAGCGCAGCTCCGTTCACCAGCTGACGGGATTGCGGCGCGGCGAGCGGCCGTCGCCAGGCGATCGCAGGCCTGCACGCCCCGTCCAATTGGCGACTGCCGCGCAGCAGGCGCGCGCCATCGAGGATCGCAGGTCTGCGTGTCGACGCGCTCGCAACGCAAATACCAATTTGGTAGCGCGAGATGCATGCGTGTGCGCGCACAGCGCCGACGATGCCCAAATTTGGATGTGGCCCGCGGGTGGCCCTGCGCGCGTCGGCTCGAAGTGCCGATTCTGCCATCGCTCGATCGGTGCGCCATGGCATCGCAGCGGATTTTCATCTTCGACATCATGTCAATCGCAATTGGTGGTTTCACGAAAGCAGCGATTGTGGGCATTTACCCTTAATAGCGGAATAGGTCCACTAGCCATGTACAAACGTATTAGCACGCTCTTTGCTCTATGCCTTGTCTGCCTTGCAGCGGTGGCGTCTTCGGTGCGAGCTCAGGCGAAGTTCGACCTGGAGCCTTCCCTAAAGATTCTCCAAGGTAGTCTGATGATCAAGACGGAGTCATTCACGCCACATGACTGTGCGTTTGAAATGGGCTGCGTTCTTGGAACTGGCCCGAGAAAGCTGCTGAAGCTTGCAGGTGCGATCGGTAACAACGGCCCCGATGATTTTGTGGTCGGCAACCCGGCGGATCATCCCAATATTTACACCTGGGATACGTGCACTGGTCAGTTCATTACGCGCAAACCCATGCTGAACTATTCCATCTGGGATTCGGCAGGGAACCTTGTGCGGAGTGGCAAGAAGGAGAGCTTCTGCATGGAGGATCTGGCTCGTTTCCCTGAGTACACTGGAAACCCAGCGCTCGTGCCTGCGGAGCCTGTCCATACCTGCACATTCCAGGGTATCAGCGTCGGCTGGTGCGATATCTACGATGACTCGCTGCCGTGCCAGTGGATTGACATCACGGGCGTTCCTTCAGGTCACTACACGCTGCGTCTTGAATGCAACGCGTATCACATTTTCAAGGAAACGACCTATGCGAACAACGTCGTCGAGACACCAGTGACGATCACCTAAGCACGCACGTCGAGGAGCAGCACTCCAGTGTGTTCATTGGCTCGTATATGGAAAGACCGGAATATGTCGATAGCGTTCGGATTCGACAGCAAGCAGCATGTATTGCGTCGAGTGTAGTAAACAGCATGTAATGTTCACAACCTCACTTGTTCCCTTACTGAGATCGGCTGAAAGCGTTTCCGAAGCGCAAGGTCATTCTGTGGTGAGCGATACGGAGCCGTGTAGACTGGCATTCCAGCTGGTGTCGTGGGAGGCTCTCCTGCGGATACTTTTTACACAACCAGCGGTGCGGGGCCCTGGGTCGATAGCGACCCTCCAAGGAAACATCACGGGGTGACTAGCGGAAGCCTCTATCCCCTGGTGAACAGTATTTTGGAGGTACCGGCAGATGCCCGCGTCTGTCGAGGAGCTGCGGTCTCTTCCCTGGCTATCGGCAGCTTGCACAACTCGAGTGATTCTGACTAGATGCATGAATCCTAGATCACAAAAAGGTGCACCAACAGCGTTTAGCGCGATAATTCGGTACACGACCACTGTATGTAAAGCACGACGCACGACCTGCTTTTACGAGGCGATAGGGTACTTGCATCCTCGCAACGCTGCGCTGTGGCGTGCCACTGCATACGGATGAAGCGCGCAGCGCTTGGGTCCACAACGTGACCAGAGGTCATGCGCACACAAACAGCGCTCGAGTGCAACGAGCGGTTTTCCGCAGATGCTGCTGCTGCTGCGAGGCGTTCGGCTCTCTCGCGCAGCAGCAGCAGCAGCAGCACCTACGACTTCAATGAGCTCCAGTGCGAGTATCGGGTAGCACGGTGCAGACAGCTCGCTACCTGCGCGATCTCGCGCCTGGGCGTATAGCGTTGACCATCGTCGGTGTCGTGCGCTAGCGCTCGTCGTGGCGGCAAAGTAAACGACTCGAAAGAAATCGCTGCAGCATGCTGCACTGAGTGCATCGTGCGTAGGCGCCGCATGTCGAATGAGGAGGTCGATATCGCCGAGTCACGATAGCGACCAGCGAGACGCTCGATATTGCAGCTGAATCTCGCGCTCACAGGAGACCGCCTCATGCACGGCCATGTTCTGCAGATGAACGGAAAGGTTTCGGGTGCTACACCAGCATTTCGTTCTCGAACTGCCGGTTGCGAGACATGAAACACGGAATGCCGGGAACGCGCAGGATGCCCGGGTGCGAACCTCGCCCTGACCGCGCCTTGACATCGGAAAAGGCTCGTATTCCGTCAAGGCGCAATACGTGGCTGCAAGGAAACCAAAACAGAAGTGCGCCAGCGGGAAAGCTGCACGATCTCACCGAGGCCTGCATACGGTGCGAAGCATCGCTGGCACGTCAGCCGGACCCTGAACTCGATGCACCTTTGTTGCACCGCTGCGAGAACGGAAGCAGGTTGATAGCAGAACGGTCATACAGGGAGCGAATAGATCCCGTCGACCGCGCTGCTGCCTAGGAGCGCCCTAAACACCACTCGATGCCGTGCGTACACTCGCGTTGGCGACTGCTAGATAACCGCGTGCGCTACGTCGATCCTTCTGGAAACACATACGATTGCGTTTGATGATTCGTATTCATGGAAGCGGATAGAGTCGCAGAGCGCTTCCGAGAAGCTCTCGCATGCCCTTGGAAGTGGTGAATGCTGCTGCATGCGCGCGCTCAGAGAATCAATACCCACAGCACAATAAAGAGACTTAAAACGCCGAACAGTTTGAGGATAAGACCGCGATTCGAGCGCAGGCTCTCAAAATAACGCAGCAGTTGACCATGCGCACCTTCTACGTGTGCCAGGGAGTCCTCAATGTTCACGTCGATGCGCTGAACAAGCTCGCCTTGCTCGGCTACCATTCGCGACAGCTGGTGGAAGATCTGGCCCAGCTCTACAATCGTTGCCTCCACGCGTTGAACTGCATCTGTTCGTTGCTGGTAGTATCGTAGAGATGCTGCTGGTGGCGCATGCACCAGCTGTTGCTCCTGAGGCTGGTACCATAGCTGCTGCTGCTGCTGCTGCTGCTGGGATGCGCCGAGGGAGCCACTACCCAAATCTAGAAAGCTGGAGCCGCGCTCTAGCTCGTTCGGCTTCAGATCGAAGATCGAGTGTGACACACTGGGAAGTTTCTGTGTTGCTGCCTTGTGTTCCGGGCGAACACGTAAGGTCGCTGACCGCTCCTGCAGCACTGACTGAAACGTTTGCGTCGCATTCAAAAGCCGCGCTCGCAACGAATCCACAATAATTCGAGTATGCTGTTGAGCTAGGGCGTTGCTGCCTGTAGTAGTAGTAGTAGCATCTGTCCGCTTGTCGCCTGTGCGTCGTTCGCCGTTGCTCCCCGGGTCCGCAGTTCTGCGAGCCAACTGTTGCAGTTCGTCGAGCTGATGATTAATATATCCGATATCGCTTTTGATTTGGCTGGTTAATCGGTCGATCTCCTCGCTATGGTCATCGAACAGAGAGCGCTGCCGCGCCAGTCGAGTCAGTTGAGCGAGTTTTGCGGACGTTTCGTGAATCCTTCCGCCAATCTGCGCTGCACAGACGGCAAAGTTGCTACGTTGCCAGCCGGGTGAGTGTTTTACGGCCAGCTCTGCAGTTCGTTCGGGAGTGAGCGAGGTCTGCGGGGCCGCCGCCCCAGCGTCCCCCGGACGTGCTGCAGCGGTGGCTCCACTGGTACCCGCTGCCGAGTCTCTCTCGAACAGTCGCGCGACAGAGCGCAACTCCTCTGTCCTGTCCTGAAGCGCTAGGAAACCCATGGGAGAGCTCTGCACACGATGAACCACAGTTACCGGGGCGATGAAGAAACGCTCGCAACGCTCACGGAGACCCCAGGGGTACGCTGCGGGGCCCGCTCAGTCACAGACGCTCGTGCGAGCGTTCAACGCAAGTTCTGCACAACGCAAGTCAGTAGGGTACAGCGTAGCGCAGCACAGCTTACTACAGCAAGAAAGGTGGCGTATTGCACCCGAAAGACGCAGTTCAACAGCGTTCTTGGCCACGACAATGCATCTTCGAGAACAGACTCGAGCGTGGGCGCGTTCCCGTCCCAGTTCAACGGTCTATCGTGCCGTGATCGTTGCCGCAGCATACCGCTACAATATTCGAGTGCAAGTTTAGCGAATGACCGGACTTTTATAAGGTGCAGGCACGGAAATAGTGGTTGACAAAACGAATATCTGCTTACGATCTGACTACGCGTCCGATGCTTCTTGGAAACAGCGGGATACTTGAAGGCAGTGGCACAGGCTGCTGCTGCTGCTGCTGCTGCGCGTTCTATGAACAAGTCTGTGATCCTATGCCAAGCAAGGAGGCCTATGGTGACTTGTTCCAGACCTCAACGGAGGCTGTTTCGAACTAGCGCTGTGTTTCTAGTATGCTGCTTGAGCCTCGGACAGGCGTTCACCGGTCTTATGGGATGGTGAGCTGTCCCAGACCTCAACGGAGGCTGTTTCGAACTAGCGCTGTGTTTCTAGTATGCCGCGTGAGCCTCGGACAGGCGTTCACCGGTCTCATGGGGTGGTGTTTCTCGCGAGCAGCCTCTTCGGTTGCCGCAACGCACCATACAGTGTCAAGTTTCTGCCTGCTACCTCCTGCGAGGTTGCAACCCCCACGCGATTGCAGCAGCTCCTTGGAAAAGGAGTGCACCTGCCCGCTGGCAGCCAGACCAGTAGCCTCAGAGAAGTGTGAACGTCAGACCGGCCGCTCGTCAACATCCCGCTCCTCGTGTTGTGTACATAGGATCCGTCAGCCGAACGGAACTCCTCACGTCCTGTGAATGCTGTCGCTTCCTTCACCCGTGTCAGATGGAACAGGGACATGGAAGTGGTCTTTCTGTCGACGCCTTGCGATTTTTCCGGAAATTTTTTCATTTAATGCAAATCCTCGACATTCCAAGTCCAGCAGTAGGGGCTTGCGAAATCACACGTAGGTTTTGGAAGCTCGATCGTGTTTTCTCAGTGGTCCGGTAAGTGACCGCGATCAAAATGATTTGCGACGCTTTCGAACAAGGATTCGTAAAATAACCAGTATCATGGTGCAATGCGTGCCTAAGAGCTGCCGCGCTTCTTATTTCCTTACGTGCAGTATCCTCAAATCCCGCAGTCTTCTCGTTTCCGATACTTCCGTTTCAGGGAGATTCGTGAGCGCTGCAATTAGCATCGCTGGATTGCCGACGACGAAACACACTCGACACCGTCACTTGTCGGCTCGTACACGAGCTCATGCCGAAAGATCACTGAGCTTGAGAAGCTAGATAATCGATTTCGTTCCAGAGAGAAATCTTCATCCCTCTGTTGCACGATGGGTGCGTTGACGGACCGAAAACTCTCAACTTGTTCTAAAGCATCGATTCTTCTTTCGGTACTAGTTCCATCATGGACAGCATCGCGCTCCACGAATCCTCTGTTCAATGAAACAGTATGCGCTTCCGCATACAGCGGACGGAGTATTCCCCGACGTGATCGTAGGGTACGGAACTCGGCACGGAAACCGGCGAGGCGTACCAGGGAAGCTCGCTGTTCTCGTCAAGTGCAGGCATCGAACGATGAGGCAGGCGTTCACGATCCACAGTGCGGTGATCGGCAAAGGAGACGTGGTTGATATTCGGGAACACCTGACCACAGGCAAATGGCATTGCGACGAAGGGTGCGCAGAGGCTGTATCCAAAGAAGATGAAAATTGCAAACGAGGTGTAGATCGCAACTTTCGTCTGTGTACCAAACGCATCTACAACAACCGCAAGCTGCGTAATCAGAACTTGAACGCTGCTCTCAACGTTCTTTGACTGCTGACAATGGAGCTGGACGCACACGAGGGACTGGTGTGTTTACATCCGCAGATGAAAGAGGGGGCAACGGAAGCAGTCATCGACAGAACCCGTATATGCAGGTGTTGATGACTGTGTGAAGAGCGCCATACTTGAACGTGTATGCCTGTGTTCGTGAACGTGTTCCATTTTATGGTTACATGGGTCTCGGGTTCGCAACCCGGCATGAAGCCGCGGAAATCGTCGGAATGGAGATGTGAGGCTGCTGCGCAGTCGACAGCAAGGCGGCAACGTCGCAGCAAGTACGCAACGCCTCTTTTGGGTGTTGCGCGACTGGTTCGAGTGCCCGACCCGTTGCCATGGACAGTAACCAGAACAGGAGTTCTTCTGGGCTGGTGGAAATCATCTCGTACACCGAAGAGTTCCACCGAGAGGATTTACTCCGGTTTTTGCACGAGCATCGCCTGCATGAGCGCGGTCTCCAGTACCACACGGTTGCAGTGCTGGGGTGTCAGTCTTCGGGCAAGTCAACGCTTCTGAACTGTCTCTTTGGGACTAACTTTCCGACCATGGACGCCAGTATCGGACGGTATCAGGTCACGAGAGGCATTTGGCTGGGGGTTGATGCACGCAGCGGCGAGATCCTGGTCCTCGACCTTGAAGGCACGGACTCGCGGGAACGGGGCGAGGGCGCTGCATCGTTTGAGCGGAAAGCGGCGCTCTTTGCGCTTGCGCTTGCGCAAGTCCTCATCATCAATGTTTGGGCGCAGGATATTGGTCGGTATAATGCAGCGAACCTAGCGCTGTTGCGTACGGTCTTCGAACAGGACGTGGCGCTTTTTCATCGCGAAGCGCACCGAACGCGGCTGCTCTTTGTGCTCCGCGACCACGTGAACACACCGCTCGCCCTATTAGAGAAGACGCTTCTCGAAGATCTCGAGCGCATCTGGGATAGCATCAACAAACCGTCATCGGTTGAGGGCGCGTCGTTATCGACTTTTTTCGACGTGGAGTGCACGAGCCTGCCACACAAGGAACTCGCTTCCGGAGCTTTCGAGCAGGCTGCAGCCGACCTCCGAGACCGGTTCTATAAGGGAGCCTCTGGTATCTTCCACGAAAGTTATCATCGGGGAATCGCGGCTGACGGGTTCGCTGTCTTCTGTCAACAGATCTGGCAAGTCGTTCGCGAAAACCGCGAGCTCGATATCCCGACCGAAAAGGAGGCTCTAGCTAGGATTCGCTGCGAGGAGATCGCCCAAGAGGCGGCAAGTACATTCGATGCGGATGCTGCGGACTTGTCAGCAGCATACGAGCGAGTGATGATGCACTATCAGGAGCGCTCCGCGCGCTACGTGCCCGTAGTTGCTGCAGCAAAACGAAAGCAGCTGCACGATGTGCTCTCGTTGCGCGCTCGCGAAGCCTATCGCCGTCGTCTGCAGCGCCACCTGGAAACACTGGCTGAGCGGTTCGATCATTTCGTGAACGATCAGCTGGCAGTAAAAACTGCCGCGCCTGAGCGCAGCGCGTGGAAAGGATTCATGGATCGCCTCCAGAGGCAACGGAGCGAGCTAGAGACTGCCTGGAAGGATGTCGCTGTGATTCCCCAATGTTTCGTTGAGGACGAATGCTGGAGCGAGCTGCTTGCCGAGCTCAGCCAAATCTACAGAGATCGCCTGGACGCAATCAGCGAGGCAGCTGAGCACCGTTTGGCAACGTTGTTGCTCGAGGAGGCAGCCGTTTTATTCTCGCATCGCCTCCAGGAGCCGCTATGGGAGGTACTCGATCGGGCCTCCGCCGAGCAAGAACCAGAAGTTTTCTGGAACCGAGTGGAACAAGAGGTTGTTGAGCGTGTTCGAGACGAGTCAGCGCAGCATCTGCACAGAGCGCTGATCTCGACTGGGATCACAGCGCCTGAGCAGGAGCATCATCAGCAGCCGGGCGGACAGACACAGTCTGCATGCGGGGACGATGCGCTGGCCTCGAACCTGCTGAAGCTGCACCGAGCGCAGACCATGGAATGTGTTTGGAGGTTCCTGCGAAACCAGGCGCACTCACCTTCGGCGTTACAGCTTCACCTGATGAAAAGATTCGAGGACGCGTTTCGATTCGAGTCCAGTGCGCACCGCATTCCGCGAGTCTGGCAAGCGAGTGATGATCTGCGCAAGATTTGGCTGGATGCGCTCCAACACGCTATGTTTCTCGTTGTGTTACTGCAGCACGTCCATCTCAATGGCAACGAGTCCTGCCTACTGGGCGAAGCCGAAGTCAAGCTGCTTCGTCAGGGCCTCGAGGAACGCGCTGCGATGGCCTACTCAGAGGCGGTTCGAGCACAACAGGCCGCTCGCGTGCACCGTCAGGTTCCCGCATGGATGCTGGTGCTTCTGGTGCTGCTCGGCTGGAATGAATTCGTAGCGGTCCTACAACGACCGTTTTTACTGCTGTCAGTGCTCATCGTGCTGGGCGTTGTCGTGACACTGGGACGACTCGGGTTGTTGGTGCCAGCGCGACGACTGGCCCGAGTCGCGACCGGACGTCTGCTTGCAGCAACGATACATTCATTGCGAGAAATGGGTGCACCCGGGGACTGGGGTGTCCTACAGGTGCCACCTGCTTCCCATGCTTCAGCAGCATCGCCAAACCGCGCACCCAAACATCATCCTGAATGAGAACTACAAGTCACCATGAATGCACGGTGCTCGGAATCTGTTTTCAATGGTGTAACGCTTTGGAAGGCAGATTGCTGGCACGATTGGACAGCGCACGGCGCTTTCGCGCCCAGTCGAATGATCAATGCCAGCGCGGACGCGCACGCGGAGAACTCCAGAGACGTTGCGGGGTGCCAACGAGGCAAGCGTTCATGGAGCGGGCGCTGTGCATGTAGAGCAGTTCGAATGCGAGCGTTGGCATGTCATCCAGGATTTGCACTAGTTTGTACGATTCCCGAAACAGAAACGCGTCGACTGGATTCTCTGAGCGGAAACCTGTGGGCACTCAATCAACCGTCCGGCCGGTGCATTCTCGGGAGCGGCTCGATCAAATACCGCCTCGCTGGAGATTCGTTGCGACCATGGTAAGTGGTCGCCTGCACGCAGGCCTCACAAGATGCACAAGATAAATCCTTGTCTGCAAGCTGAACTGCTGTCGATTCAAGTCAACAGACAGCGGTGTGGATCGTGCTAGATCTTTTGCGGACACGTGTTCTGCAGCAGAAAGAGCGTGCTACCCCAGTGCATGGAATTGCTCACCGCCTTATCGTGATGTTTGTTGCATGCATGCATATTCGTGTCATGCATGTATGTATGCATGCATGTATGTATGCGCTGTCCCGGCCTGATGCGTGCATCACGAGCTGCGCGGAGTGCCTTGACAGGCTTTCAACTCAATTTTGTTGCACAGGGCCGATGCAGTGCGGAGCAGGCGATCGACATCACGATGTCATGTACCGTGTAGATCGTAGACGAGTTGAATGCAGGGTATGGGTTTGGTACGGAACAGAGCAAGGAGGAGTGCATTCGTCTTTCATGTCAGTCATTTCACAGGATTCAGATGGTTGCGGAACACTGAAAGATAGAGGTCCATGCGCTCTGTGCCTAAAATCGATATCCCCAATGCGCGTCTACTGCCAATGGTAGAAAGCGACCCAATGATCACCTCACGGGAAGCAAAAGCGACGATGGTAGACGCCACGGGCGTCTCTGGTTCTCAACAGGATGCGCATGCGGTCCTGGAAACGCTGGGATACACCCGCAAGAAACGAGTCCAGGTTCACGCACCGCTGTTTTCCACCGATATTGCCCCAAGAGCGTTCCTGGCACGTCGCGATCGGTATGAAGCACCGGGATGTCGGTTTGTTTTTCCAGTCGGTGAGACTTGCTTCGGACGAAACGATCCGAACATAAAAGCGTCTTCGCGGAGCGGCGCGCCCGTTATATGTATGATCGAACTCGAAGAGAACGACGACGTCATCGTCTTGTCTAGATGCAGTGGACTCGCGTTTGGCGGCCTCAGATTCGCAAGCAGAGAAGGCTCATACAAGAGTATGAACCACTTTGTCGAATCATTGAAGACTTTTCTTCTGACGCCTGGCGACGTCGTTCTGTTCGACAACGTGTTCGTTTACCGTTCCCGTTGTGATCGAGCATTTGCCGATTCTATCGCGGTAGCTCTGCTCTTCATTCCTCCGTACGCTGCGTCGTTCAGCCTCATCGATGCAGTGTCTTGTACCGTGAAACGTAATCATCGCTTCGCTGAGCGAATCGCTGACGCGTTTAGAACATGTTGACATCCGAGCGCATGTCGTGTTTCTCGTGCGAGTCGCTCCTGCTCTGGGGAATTCCTTACCTAGGGGCATACAGAAATGTGTTCATTCCAAAAAATCTACGGGATGAGCTTGGGTGCACACTTGACAAGGTCGAAATGGAGACAGGCCAGCGGAGCGCTTTGGCGATAGAGACGAACAGAGAGAGGAGAGAGCGCCAAATAGTGCAGAGAGCGCGAGTTCGAGGACTCCTTGCATTGACGAGTTCAACCAGAGGCAATAAATGCATCGAGTTCGTGAACCGAGACTTGAACGCCGCCATCCATACCAGAAGATGTGCAGCGTTGAAGAAGGGACCTAGGCACGTGACGCGAGCCAGTTTCACGGGGCAGCATCTCAGGGTCGAAATGCACCACGAGGAGTTGAATGCGGGAGCAGGGAACCAGCTGAAAAAAAACACTGGAAGATGTCTGCGGGTGGGTACGTATATTTACCCTCCATCGTTGTAAAACATTTCGGTTTCACTGAAATGTTCAAGAATCAAACTTGCATCGTATGGATGCGCCCGTGATCAAGGGAATCTAGACAAGCAGCGGCGTTCATCGCGTCCTCGTCGATGAACGCTTGCGCTTTCTTCCATTGCTCTCGACAACACAATGGGTACGCCCTGACATCCAGAACTTGCCCGATGATTCCTAACTGGCAAGTTAGGGACACGCGCGTTCCAAGGTATCCATCATCAGTGCGTTGTGGTACGCAGGGCGAGCCCGTCGGATCGAAACGGGAGACCCGAACGCTTCCACAGCGACGAGGCAGACCACAATTCCTGCCTATGCCGCCGATCATGCACGAACAGGTAGGCATGATCGCACCGATGCTGCGACTCGGAGCGACAAAGTTGTGCAGTTCACAGCAAGATCGAACCGCTGTCCGGATCGTATGTGTTCTACTAGGAGTGTCGCTCCGTTTTCGCCGCTCTTCGATGGGCTTGTGCTTTCCGCCATCGAACCATAAGCTCGCGCGGGTCGCTCTCCGCTGCACCCGTATGGAAGAATGCATGTTCCAGCGCATCTCGCGCTGAAATACGCTCGTTGGGGTTCAGTGCAAGCATCCGCGACAGCAGATCAATGGCTGAGGGCGGGGCTGCGCGAAACAAGTCCGCCAGCGGCTGTCGCTGGACCGACTTGAACGGAAGGTACGCGGGCAAGGCATCCACTCCGGGCCACTGGTCCGGAGTGGGCGCTCCCAAGGTTGCCGCGATCTTCCCCAGCTGGTCAAGGTCATTCTGTCCAGGCAGAAAGGGTACACGGCGCATGAGCTCCGCGAATATGCATCCAACGGCCCAGATATCGACCGCGGGCCCGTAAGCGGTCGCCCCGAAGAGCAACTCTGGTGCTCGGTACCATCGCGTCACCACCTGATGGGTCATTCGGCGCCCGCCCTCTGTTCCGAGGTCCGGTTCAGCATAGACGCGAGCGAGTCCAAAATCAGCCAGTTTCAGCACCCCGTCGGTAGTAACCAGTACGTTGCTCGGCTTGAGGTCCCGGTGCAATACCCAGTTTTCGTGGCAGGCCGCGACGCCCTCCAGCAGCTGCCGGAGGCAGCTTTTGATGTCGCCCTGACTCAACATGAGGTTACGCTCGGTGATCAAATGCTCCAGATCGGTTTCGCAGTACTCGTAGACCAGGTACAGCTCCGAAGATTTGGTGCTAAATACGTCCAGGAGCGCGATGACGTTCGGATGGCCACCCAGTTCTGGTAGAAGGCGCAACTCTCGCCACGCTGTCATCGACAGACCTGCTGTGTAGTCCGCGAGGCGAACTTTCTTGAGTGCCACAGGCTGCGCAGTACAGCGATCGATCGCCAGATACACCACACCGTAGGTACCCTGCCCAAGAACCCGTTGCTTTTCATATCGTTCCACTGGTTGAAGCATCACGTCCAGGGGCTGCTTTTTCCGAAGGCGCCACGTCGAGACGGGACCCTCTCGCGTCCACCGCTGTCTTGGCTGGTCTCTGCGTCGTTCTCGCCAGCGTCGGACGCAGTCTGAAGACGCGCAGAGTTTCGCTGCAGCAGTGGCCCAGCTGCTTCACGGTGCCCTGACTAGAGCAGGCACCGGGTCCAGTCAAACATTCCACGGCGACTGCTACCTGGAACTTGTCCAGCTGCTGCGATTCGCGGGGCGCAGCGGTGCCTCTAGTGCTGGGCAGTGTGCCGACTTGTGCGTTTCGGTCCGAGACGCTCCACACGGGCGAGGAACGAGTGCCCGTCTCCATATCCAACAGCAACGAATCTATCTTCGAGCCGACGTTCGCCAAGGTATCGTCAACACGTGCTGTCTCTGTGCAGAGCAACCGAGAATGTGGTGCATGAGTCCTCGTCGCAAGCATTCATGGTAGAGCGGGGAATCCTTGGTCATGCTCACAGATTCTATAACATAACAATCCATCGTGGAACTTGCTACTCAAAAGTTCTCTAGATTCAGCTTCTGTTCCTGCGAGAAATGGGGCGCTGGGCATCATCGTAGGAAGAAGCGAATCTGAATCGATCCAGGTGTGTATTGGATTTTCCTCCTCCTCATGCTCCGGTAGCACCTGCAGATCCCGGTACCACGCGGTTCAATGCCGAGATCTGGTACCGAAAAAGAAATGTATCGACGCACATATGACCTGTACCCATGCTAGAAGGCAATGGTACGCGTCAACGAACGCGGGTGTGCACGCTAAAGTTTTGATTTCTACCCGCTGCGACCGACGCCAGCGTTTGGTAGCTGTATCTGTGATTGCCTCCCTTGTTTCTCGTATCTCAGGGTTTCAATACGCTGGTCCCCTCTGAACCTACAGCTCTGACATCAGCAGTCGGAGGATACTGCTGGTAGCGGTAAAGTCTCGATTTCGCCGCATCCAGTCACTGTTCACGCACGGCATGCGCTTGCAAAAGTTGCGATCTACACTTCGATTGCCATTCATGCTCATCTTGTGTGAAGTCAGCCAGGCAGCGCCCTTCGCAGCGGTTGCAGTCGACTACAGTCAGGTGTTCACGTGTGTACGTTACAGCGTCCCATCCGAGTCGCGCCTTGATGCCTGCGAATGTTTCCTCCAGCACGCTCTACATGCTCATGACGGGTACAGGGGACGCTCCTCGTAGCGTTCCTCTGTTTACGCGGCCCGTGCAGTACGCTGTGATCACAGGCGTCTTCTGGGCGATCCCATCGACAAGTGCGCGCTGTGTGGTGCACCTGCCACCGCGTGCCGCTCTAATCGATGAAGGATACGGGGAACGCGATACAACTCATGATGAAACAAGTAGCGGAAGGAGAATCTAGTCTCGAAAGGAGCTAGAGACACCTCTACTGGTCTGCGAACCCGGCGTTCAACGCAGTGATTTGTCCTTTACTGGAAGCGATCGTTGCGATGGCTCAAGTGCGTGCTGAGGCCGCATTTTGATGTATCTAGAAGAGACGAGAGCCTCTGGGGACATACATTCCGTGACAGACACGATGCTGCTGTTACGTTCCATTTCGTCGATAGCCACAGAAAGAGGAGGATTTTCCTTTCGACAAGAACCAATTCTTTGAAGTGACGAGCTCAGTGAGCTTTCAGTATGCGCTCGCGACGGAGATGAAGTCGTCAAGAACGGACGTCGAGGTTTCGTTTTCATCAATCCAGTGGCGCGAACTGCTGTACCCACGAGTTTCCCTGGAGCACACAGATGAAGGACGTGAAGCACGCGTGCTTCGGGCGTGCTCCATGCACGGGATTGCGATACGTGACAGCTTGTACGAATGAAGTAGATCGTGGTATCTGTTCTTCCAAAAAGCCTTATTCAAGGGCGGTGCGAATGATCTTGATGACAATGACGGAACGGATTCCAGTGGAAAAGCGTCGAGCGACGCCGCCCAGCCCCGAAACACTGACCAAGTCTCCCGAAACGATGCGTGACTCGTGAGCCCTCATCGCTGCACATTGAACCTGGAGGCTGCACATCTACATAAAACTCTGGAAAAATTCTAAATACAGAAACATAAGCAGGCAATCAATAGTCTATGTTGATCTCTCATGACCTGTATCTTGTCATTCAGAAGAAAAAAACAAGCTTCGTCTACGAAACATTCCTTGCACGTTCGCCGCCCCGGCCCGAAAGGGAAACGCGCCCGGTACGCGCGCAAAGAAGCGCGCGCTTCGGAGCTGCCCGCAGGCAACGCTGAACGCTTGACGCGCTCCATAGCTGGGCGGGTTTCTGGCTGATCCGTCAGCTGGTGCCGCGGTCTTGCACTCCTGAAACCCGAGTGCGGAACTGGTCTCTCTCGAACTGTCTACTGCGAGACACTGGATCGCGGAAAACACCGTCGAACCCGGTCGCGCTCGACACCGGGCGGCCTGGCGGGCGACAGGTGCAGCACCCCGGTGAGGCGTGTACCAAGGACGCATGCGCGAAACCTGGCCTCGATCGCAACCGCAGAGCGTACCCGACTCCGTGACCGAACCACAGGTCTGGGAGTGCGCGCTTCTGGAGCTTGAGGGAGAGCACGTGCAGTTGGAGCGCTGGGCGCTTCAGCGCCTCCCCGCTGATGCCGCCTGCTGGGCAGTTGCGAGACGCGAACGAGCACGTCGCCAAGCGGTCCTTCGGCACGCAACTGGTCTTGTAGAGGCGTTGCTCGGGTCGCTATTGCCGGACGCTGAATCGAGCACGAGGCTTGAGGTGCTGACGACCTCGGAGCTGGTTGCTTTCCTGTCCGACGCCAGTGTATGGCAAGCGCTCTCGCTGCCTTCAAACGCGGTTGAGGCAACGCAAGACCGGACCGATGGATGTGCTGGAGAGTCTGGGGTGATCACCAGCGCCAGACTGCGACACGGGTTTGCAGCAGCGCTCCAAACGCGAGCGCGAACCTGGCACCGCGACAACGCTGGCACCCCGACAGACGCACCTGTCGCCTCCAAGGGCACTGCGCCTGAGCGAGTCTCGAGCGAGAAAACAGCGTTCCGCAGCGCGAGCGGGAATGCGCTCGATGAGCAGCAGCCAGCCCAAAAGGCGCCCAGTCGGTTTAGCGTACCGCGAAGGCTGGGGGAGTCAGCCCAGCCGACGCCGAGTGCGAAGCGTTCGCGAGAGCCGTCATCACAAGGACCGGCTGCCGATGGCCAGCGACCTGACCCCAATCTGCCCAGTGTACCGAACGTCGAGCCTGCCCTCGTCGAGACGGTGATGCAAGAGATCCTCGACCAGTCGCCTGGCGTCAACTGGGACGATATCGCTGGACTAGAGTATGCCAAACGCTGTGTTATGGAAGCAGTCGTTTGGCCGATGGTTCGCCCTGACTTGTTTCGAGGAATACGGGGTCCGCCACGGGGCGTCTTGCTCTTCGGGCCACCTGGCACCGGCAAGACGATGATCGGTCGAGCGATTGCTTCGCTCTCTGGGGCTCGCTTCTTCAACATTTCAGCCTCATCGCTCATGTCGAAATGGGTAGGCGAAAGCGAAAAACTGGTGCGAGCGCTGTTCGGTGTCGCGCGAGCTCTACAACCCTCCGTCATTTTTATCGATGAGATGGATTCTATGTTGAGCGCTCGTTCCGAGAATGATGCGGAAAGTTCACGTCGTATCAAGACGGAGTTTCTGGTGCAAATGGACGGGGCAGCGACCAACCGCGATGATCGAGTCCTGGTTATCGGAGCGAGCAATCGGCCTCAGGAGCTGGACCAGGCATGGCGTCGGCGCATGGCTCGTCGACTCTATATACCGCTGCCGGATCGCCAAGCGCGACGCGGCATGCTGCAGAGCCTACTCCGCGACCAGAAACATGCGCTCGGTGAAGCCGAACTCGAGCGCATTGTGGACCTTCTGGACGGTTACTCTGGAAGCGATGTGTATGCAGCCTGCGCAGAAGCAGCCCTTGGTCCTGTCCGTGATCTCGGCGCTGATATCGCCAACGTCTCAGTCGAGCAGGTTCGAGCCATCCACGAAGACGACTTTAAACGGGCTGCAGCGGTTGTTCGGCGGAGCGTCAGCGATGATGAAGTTCGTGCCTATGAGCGCTGGAATGCAGAGTACGGATCGTTTCCATATGATCCAGCTCCCGCTGCGAGTTGATCTCCAGTGAAGTCTCGGGAGCAGGTGCCGAGCGGCTATCGCCAGGCCAGCCGTTGCCGTGGTGGCCGGTGACGCGGCCGATACACCGCTTCGCCCTAGTCAACTTGCGACAGTCTCTAAACGGCAATGCGCTCGCTGGGACGGGGTCAAAAGTCGTTCGTGTCAGCTCGGGGCGGGTGCGCGTCAACCAAGCCATATTCGACCAGCGAACGAATCGACGACGTTTGGATTACTCTGAAGCGTGCCTCGGAGGAAAGCGCTCGTCGAAACGAGATGCATGGATGTCCGCGTATCCCTCTATTCGTGATGTAAAGCGAATGGTTGCAGGCACCGGAGCACTGCTCTGATGCGGTAAGAGACAATGCTGGGGCGCTAATGGCACTGCTGTTCGTGGTACTTATATCCGGAGCATTTCACCGCTCTACCGATCATGCGTGCAGATCGAAAGCCTGAAGTGTGCGACTAGAAGGAGAACCGCCGTATCAGGCTCAATCGCGAGCATTGTCACGCTCAAACAAGCGATACACCCAATCAGGGTATCGAAGCTGGGGCAAGTGCGTATCTCACTCTGGGAGCGCTGCAGTGCGGTTCCGCCGTCCACCGATGCACTGGCAGGACACGAGAAAGCGTGCAGAACGCTATGCTGCAGCTCGCCAAGCAGCCAGTGTCAGCGAATCCGTACATGTTGGAAATGTTCGTCGAAGAATCGCCAAGCTTGTGTTCTACGAAACTCGCCTCAGAAGCGCGCACGTTATCATTACCAGTCCGCCAGGACACGTCACCGATTCGGCTGCATGCGTGCAACATATCGCATGCATGATGCGTGCGGGGAAATTCCCGAGTGACCGCTACGTGCTCAGACTGGAATCTTTCGCCCTGGAAGCGTGAAAGCTTCCAGAAGCATCTCAAAGATGATTTTCGATGCGTGTACATCACTACGGTCGATGCCAGGTCTAGCCTTGAAATCGAGCGACCGTGCTCGGATCTATTTTGTGCCAAGAATTCACAGCGTTTTCCTGGGTGGCATAGACGGCGCCATTGCTGCATTTCCACAGCGTGCTGATGCGTGGAAGCAGTGGTTCGGCGCGTTCCTCTAGGATGCATCTGGCGAGCGAGCTTGCGTATCGATACAGCTCGGGTACCCTCACGATTAGCGTTTCCTCATCATTCACATTCAGGCTGACAAGCGCGCTTTCATCTTTCTCAAATCGAATAATGGACACGGGATTCTCTACTAGGTTCACATGGAGCCGATAAGGTTGATGTGCATGTCGACTCTGTTCTAATAAGCAGCGATGTTCGCGTCGGCGTCCCGAGCGAGGTCGCTCTTTCTCACGCCCGCCTGGAACATAGAGCTTCAGCAGCGACGGATAATAAACTGCTTTCCATTCTCTGGAGCTCAGATGAACGAGCACGGCAATTGCAGCCTGGTAGCTGCATCGATCGTAGATACCACAGCGACGCGCGTGGACGAGTGACACGTACGCACGACCCGGGATGATCTCTTCGAACTGCGTCGAGCCGCGAAATATTTGAGAATCTCTGAAGAAGGTGTTGCTCGAATTGAAAGCGTTGAATGCCTCGGGACAGTGTGCCCTGTGTGCAATAGCGTGTACTCCTTGCGCAAAGACCTGATCTTTCCTCAATGTGCAAGGCCCGAGCACACGCAGCGGTTCAAAGCTCGTGACGATGTACAAATCGTCCCCATTCACGCAGAGTGGAACGTAATTCTTGTCAACCAGAGGTGAGTCCCGCCCAGCATGCGTGAGCGCTCGCGGCTCATCGATCCAGTAGAGTTCATTGCGCTCAATATCCAAGATATACTGGAAGCGTTGGTGCATTGGTGCGAACATCCTTATGTCCGGCTGATGGAAAAGCGCCAAGGTCCGCATGCCGCAGCGAATAATCCGTGGATCCTCTGGCCCGTATGAATAAACAGCATGCATTTGCTCCGAACCGAGCCTGAGCTGACGCGCAGAGCCGCCCTGGATCTGGTCCAGGCGATTAGCAGTAAAATTCACAGCTGCAAGCGTCGAGTTGGCCACCATGGATATGTCCCAATCGTCCTTGCTCGGATTGTAAGTACGGTGCGGCGCAAACGGATGGCGAACACGAAAAATACCGGCAATATATCCTTGATCCTGCTCACGCACCTCGATCGCGGCCAGGAACATGGTCTTGGAAACGTTTGGCGCCTTTAGACTCTGATTCAGCGTCAGCGTCAAGTTCGATTCGAGAAACATAAACGGGCAACCAACAGTCGTGTGCAGCAGGTTTGGGGCTTCCCATAGGCTCGCTCCCGAGCGAATGACACGAGGAGCCAGCACAAATACCAAACCTATCAGCAGGAACGAGCAAAGCCATAGCGGCCACCGACGGGTGCAAATAACGTTTCGCACTTTGTACAGGCGCTTGCGCAGAAAACGAGCCCGGCCAGCACCTGGGGCATTTTCAAAAACAGGTAGGTGCATCGTGTTCCTGGAGAGAACGCTGAACATTGGCCTCAAACTTGAGTCATACACCGTTCGTACGCAGCCCGAAGCACCAAACGCTCTTACGCGCCGTGCACAACGGCAGAGACTCGAAACGCACGCCGCTGCGTACTGGAGCGCGATCGATGGCGGCCAAGCTTTGGCGGACAGCGCGGCGGAACTGCGGAACTTGCGTCCCCAAACGTGCGGCGCGCGCGTTGCGGCCACTCGGTGTATCGATTGTCACGTGGCGCACGCTGCGTCCGACACGTGTCCTTGCAGTGCAACGCGTCCGTGACAGATTCGTGTCCTCTGTATCGATGCGTGCCGTGTCCGGGCCTCCGGTGCGAAATGATCCCAGATAGCATCGCGCTTGCGCGCGATGTGTGCCCCGGCCTAGCGCAATGATCGCGGCCTGGTGCGCGAACCTCGAGTTGGGCGCGTGTCGGTATCGTGGGCAAGGGTGCTACCCATGGAGAGACATCGCGCAGTAGCGAGCGGTCGGCGATGACTACACGCGCCTGTGCGAAGAGCGCTCTGACGGGAGGGATTCTTCTACTAGAATCCGGAACCTGCATCGGCGCGTTCTTCGTCCACGAGGGCTCAGCGGAAGCACCACGGATTCTAGGCGAGGTTAAGGACCTCCGCGCGAATAACCTGCTGCTGTGCGTGTGCACAGCGCGTACGACAGCGTCATGGAATGCCCACCATCGGTGGTTTGTTCGCAACGATTGCATCCGATGCAAATAAATGCATTGATCTTGTCAACTTTGGACGTATTTATTTAGTTCAGTCTGGACGCTACCAGCGCCACTGAATAGCCGGACACGGTCTAGGTGTCGTCATCATCACCATGCTCTGAGGGCGTGGAAACCTCATGAAGCAGGTATGCATGACGGTTCCTCATCGATTCCATCACGAATACCTCAGAACAGAGCATGCAAGTCCGCTATCGTCAGGGTTTCGACTAGTGCTTCGGATTTGAGTCAACGGCAGAGTGCCCTTGCTGCTGCTGCTGCTGCTGCTGCTGCTGCTGCTGCTCTGCCTCCAGACGAAGTTCACGGATAATGCCCGCACGCATCCGCGCTGTCTGACTGCGTTGGCGCTCGTGCACGAAAAGGATGATGCCGGCGGCAAACCCGAGCGATATAGCCAAGGCTACTTTTCCCTTCATTGGTACTTTCAAGATGCCCGCACAAGTTCCTCAGGGAGGTACCTCCTTGTGAGTGAGCCGTTCGAGTTGCCTACTTGTTTCGTTACGTCGAGGAGTGATCCAGCTGCGGCCAGCGTCCACTACTCTTGCGGAGCTGGTCGCGTGGGAGCGCGTTCAGCGTTTGAGGGTTCTGCGCTTGCACCAGGCGAAACGACGACGTTTCTTATCAGGCGCGTGTTCCGTCGTTTGGAAAGGGGTTTCTCAATTTCTGCAACTGCGTTACTATGCCGGAGACACGCTTCCAAGTTTTGCAGCTCTACCGAGCGCTTCTACGTGCGTGTGAAGGTTTCGCAGACACCAACGTTCGTGCGTACGCCAAGCGCCGCGTTCAAGCCGGCTTTCGAGAGAACCGCAACCTGCAGGACCCCCAACGAATCGATCAGCTTCTCGAGAAGGCCCAAAAAGACCTAGAAATGGTGCGAAGACAGACCACGATCAGCAAGCTCTACCCGCCGCCTCCGTACGTTGTGGAGGCCACGACAAGGGCCGTACGCGAACGAGGAGCGGCGGACGTGTCGCGTGAGCTACCGTAGGTAACGCAACTTGACCGCGGCTCTCTGGTCCGGTGTGTGTGTGTGTGTGGATGTTTGATCAGTTTCTCTGAGCCTTTGGAGGAAGCGGGTCAACACACCAGTCTCTGGAACCAGAGCTCAGGAGGCATGTAGTTTCGTTCAGCGAGGTGCTGCGCTCGCGAGCGGCATGGCTCTGGAACCGTTATCCTGTGCGAGCACCAGCTTCACAGTCTTTACCGAGAAGATTCGGTGCTCACGCGGTTTTTGTGAAAGTTCACCGACCTCTGGCGGCTGGAACGCTGTTCGCGGACACGTTTTCAATGGTCGCTTGAGGACAAATTGCTTGATCCACCTTTGCCATGCATCTCTTGAATCCGAGAGCAATGAGTGAAACAGGGTAATCCGCGTCAGGGCGCTAGGACGCATGCAAGGTGTCCCAGTTTACTCGAAGCATGAACACGTGCATAGCATGTGAAGCTGCGCGTCGCTATGGAGTGTTCAATGAAACAAAAAACGTTTTACAACGATGGAGGGTAAATATACGTACCCACCCGCAGACATCTTCCAGTGTTTTTTTTTCAGCTGGTTCCCTGCTCCCGCATTCAACTCCTCGTGGTGCATTTCGACCCTGAGATGCTGCCACGTGAAACTGGCTCGCGTCACGTGCCTAGGTCCCTTCTTCAACGCTGCACATCTTCTGGTATGGATGGCGGCGTTCAAGTCTCGGTTCACGAACTCGATGCATTTATTGCCTCTGGTTGAACTCGTCAATGCAAGGAGTCCTCGAACTCGCGCTCTCTGCACTATTTGGCGCTCTCTCCTCTCTCTATTCGTCTCTATCGCCAAAGCGCTCCGCTGGCCTGTCTCCATTTCGACCTTGTCAAGTGTGCACCCAAGCTCATCCCGTAGATTTTTTGGAATGAACACATTTCTGTATGCCCCTAGGTAAGGAACTCCCCAGAGCAGGAGCGACTCGCACGAGAAACACGACATGCGCTCGGATGTCAACATGTTCTAGACGCGTCAGCGATTCGCTCAGCGAAGCGATGATTACGTTTCACGATACAAGACACTGCATCGATGAGGCTGAACGACGCAGCGTACGGAGGAATGAAGAGCAGAGCTACCCCGATAGAATCGGCAAATGCTCGATCACAACGGGAACGGTAAACGAACACGTTGTCGAATAGAACGACGTCGCCAGGCGTCAGAAGAAAAGTCTTCAATGATTCGACAAAGTGGTTCATACTCTTGTATGAGCCTTCTCTGCTTGCGAATCTGAGGCCGCCAAACGCGAGTCCACTGCATCTAGACAAGACGATGACGTCGTCGTTCTCTTCGAGTTCGATCATACATATAACGGGCGCGCCGCTCCGCGAAGACGCTTTTATGTTCGGATCGTTTCGTCCGAAGCAAGTCTCACCGACTGGAAAAACAAACCGACATCCCGGTGCTTCATACCGATCGCGACGTGCCAGGAACGCTCTTGGGGCAATATCGGTGGAAAACAGCGGTGCGTGAACCTGGACTCGTTTCTTGCGGGTGTATCCCAGCGTTTCCAGGACCGCATGCGCATCCTGTTGAGAACCAGAGACGCCCGTGGCGTCTACCATCGTCGCTTTTGCTTCCCGTGAGGTGATCATTGGGTCGCTTTCTACCATTGGCAGTAGACGCGCATTGGGGATATCGATTTTAGGCACAGAGCGCATGGACCTCTATCTTTCAGTGCTCCGCAACCATCTGAATCCTGTGAAATGACTGACCTGAAAGACGAATGCACTCCTCCTTGCTCTGCTCCGTACCAAACACATACCCTGCATTCAACTCGTCTACGATCTACACGGTACATGGCATCGTGATGTCGATCGCCTGCTCCGCACTGCATCGGAGCGGAATCAAATGCTTTTACGCTATTCATAGCAGATGCGTTCGAAATGCGTCGATTTTCAAAGATAAAAATCGAAGAGCAAGGCACGGACATGGGATTTTGGGATCCTGGAGGACCCTCTTCGACGTGTCCGGGAAAGAATCAAAGAATCCTCTTCTCGCCAACCATCGAGCGAAGAAGAGCACACGACGAAGAAAAAGAAGAGGATTAATGATAGGCGAGTAAATTTGTTTCCCCGACGGTCGATGACGAGACTGGAGTGTCACAGAGGGCACGAGTTCGAAGAATCCTTCCATTGATGAGCTCAACCGGCGTTCATGCACGCGAGAAAATCGTGAACCGAGACTTTCGCGTCGCCACCAATATCAGACGATGTGCGATGCTGAAGAAGAACCGAGGAGCTGACGCGATCCAGCTTTGTGGGACACCCTCTAATGCCCGTGGTGTGGCAGGAGAAGCTCAAGCCGATAGCAGTAGGCCGGTCGAAAAAGACTGTGGCGCCCCTGCTGGTGGGCAATAATTTTCCACATGATCGCGAAACATTTTCGGTGGTTGAATCTTCTTGTCAGACTCTAGTGGTACAGACGGAACTCGAAGCGCGTATACGCCGATAACACCTTGCGGTTGTTTCGGCTCTTAGCTGAGCACGATAGACGTGTACCTAGAGAAGAGGCTCGGGCTTCGGGGTTTGCCGCGGCACGAACTGAACGGCACCCGCTCGCGGCTGTGGAGCTTTGAGGTCTAACGCTCTTCGCAAGCTTTCGCATCGCGTTTCAAGACCAGTGGTACCAGCTGCATGGACGCCTCCTTGCCTAACGTGTCGGACGTGGCTGCACCAGCTCTCACTGAAACAGAAAACGACTCAGGCGTAGCGACACCGTCAAGTAGTGTGAGTGCGCAGAAGCAGGGTCTCGAGACGTCGCTAGCACACGTACTGGAACCACTTTGTGCCGAGAACTCGAATACCGTTACGTCAAAGCCCGATGCGTGGAGCAGCGAAGAGCCACCAAACACCGCAAAGAGCGCAGCGGTGCAGAACGGTGAGCAGCAAGAACGAGAACTCGTGCAGCGCGTCTGGAGTGAACTTTGCTCTATGCACAAGTCGCTGGACAGAGCGGTGCGACGGGGAGAGGCTTCGGAGACTACCAACGATTCGTTCGAACGGGCATGGCGCTCAATGAAGCGGCTCAAGCAACCAAGTCGGAAATCCACGAGTCAGCTGATGCGACGTGAGACACGCTGGCAGGCGTTGCGGCGCTGTCAGCATCCAGTGGACGCCACTGGTTTAGATACTGCAACCAGAACAAAGGATAGCGCCGAATTAGACATGCTCCTGGGCCTCACTTCAAGTGCGGATGCCTCGACAAGTCACCCTGAAGTAAGTGACAGGCGCGTTCGTGCCGCTGTGGTGTCCAATCGACAGGATCCTCAAACCTTTTCTGCGCCCGCCTCGACGCTGATGAAACGTCTCCCCAAAATAGCAGCCGAGCGTGGGCGAATGCATCGTCCAAGCACCTTCGCCCTGACGCAACGGCAATGGGAGCGCTTCAAGAATGAGAAAGGTCTCTCTGAGGAACTAGAACACTATAAGAAGAGCGAGCAGCGCTATACAGATCGCTTGGAGTTTCTCGTGCAAACCGACTTTAGAGAATGGGCTCACGAGCAGGCTCAGAAACGGCGTAACAAGACGGAATCCGCATCAGGACGATCAGAGCTGGGTGATACTGATGCGATTCTTTCAAGTTCATCAGACGAAATGTAGTGGGTATGTTAAGGAATCTCCAGAAAGATCTTGGTGAGGAGCGCTCCCATCGGATGCTTTTGCATACCCTGCCTGGCGGGTATTTTGACAAATCCACAGAAGGATCTTGATGAGGAGCGCTTTCATTAGGTGCTTTTGGAGACCACGAGTGTGCGTCGATATGTGCCTGGCGCTCCGTGCACAGGTCTGCAGCTCCGCAGAGACTTCAACGAGTCTCCCTTGAAACACAGAAATTTCGCCCGCCGACACTGGTAGAATCCATATCGCCAGCGGATGCTGTGCTCGATTTCGCGTAAGCGAGACCTGATGAAACAACCAGCTTGTATAGAAACAGGCACTCGATTTCGCCGTGATCCCTTCGCAGCGGTGCATGTACATGCCCAGAATAAAATGAGGCGGTGCGCCCTCTGCCTGCCTGAGGCACAGCCACCCTGAGTTCAGATGCACGGCAGTGGGCGTGCTCGCTTCCACTGTACGGGAAAATGCAACTCCTTGAAAGCAATGCTTCGCTATGCGTAGCTGTTCGAGACGGCTTGCTGCAGCAGACCGTCACCATTCACCACGTTCGGACTACCGTAACTCGAGGCTTACAGGCCTTTCGCAGGCTTCTCGATGCGTGCCGGTGCACCGGTAGGCACTGGTGCCCGGGTCACGCGTCATGGCGCCCGAACACGAGACGTTCCGCTGCAGCGGATGGTTCACGAGACTCGCTGAAGCGGTCTCTCTTGCTGGCACCGCATCCTCCACGAGATCTACACGAAGCGTTTGTGACGTATGCCAGACGAGGTATCCTCATCTGCGTGGCGAGCCTCCACGTGCCCACACGAACGACTCGAACAGTCTTCAGAAGGACCCCGTGTGCTCATACTGGGTATCGTGCGGCACACGCGCTTTTCGTCAACGGTTGAAATAGTGAGTCTCATTTGAACACGGAATTCCGTCCCCTTTCAATGATTTTGTTTCTAGAACGCCGTGCAGAAGCTCAATAAAGCATGCATTTCGTTAACTTTATAGCTTTGGCTCCCAGTTTGAACCAGCAACCCCAGAAACGTTCGATAGAGTTCGGACACTTTCACCAAATTGTTCAAGGCTAGGAAACCCCGCCTGCTCACAGATGTAATACAACACGATTTTGGAACTTGTTCCGAACGTCTGTCTGGTTTTCCGAACGCCACCCCGGTACGGCCGAGAGCACTCCTCGATGCCACCAACCAGTGCAGCGGCTTGGTGTATGAAATGAGCGCCTCGATGGTGCGCTGGCGTTCGCTGCGGCTGCGGCTGCGGCACGGCACGGCACGGCACGGCACGGTGGAAAACTTGTGTCTAACGAGGCTGCAGGGAAAGCGCTTTCCTTTCCGACGCTTTCACGCTCGAGGCAGGGCACGTTTTTGCTTTGAAAAAGCAAAGAAATATCATTGAAAAGTTTTCCCCCAGGTATCCCCTGGAGATCGCTGCCGAACTTTCTATGCCGGACAAGAAGCGTCCTCGTTCGGCACTGGGCTCCGACACCGAGGACGTCGGCGCAGATTGCACTCTGACTGCTGCAGTGACAGAGGGGCACGTTTTCAACCAGGATCAAACAGCTGATGAGGTTGCAGAGGAACTGCGTCAAAAACTGCAGTGCTCAGTGATTGCGCAGCCGCTTGCGGGGCGTAAACTTACGAAACGGATCCTGAAGCTAGCGAAGAAACTAGCGGGTAAGAAGCAGCTCCGACGCGGTGTCAAAGAAGTAGTCAAGAGCATTCGGAAAGGTGCTCGTGGCTTCTGTGTGATGGCTGCGGACGTCGCGCCCGTTGATGTCATTGCTCACGTCCCGATCCTCTGCGAGGAGACGGGCATCCCTTACTGCTTCGTGCCTTCTCGTGAGTTGCTGGGCAAGGCGGCTCAACTCAAGCGGCCAACATGCGTCCTATTCCTGCCGCTCATCGAGGATACTGATGACGAAGAGGAACTCAAACTGCAGCGCAAGTGCTGGCGAGATCTCGCGACTCTGCAGAAGTCGCTCGATGATGTGTTGCGTGAACACTGAGACCCAGTGAGGAGACTCGAAAGCGACGCAGTCTCCGGCTACAGCATGCCCGCTACATTTTGCTCGAACGGAATTATCTCAGTAGAATTTCTGAGTGAGTGACAAGTTGTGATTTGCGTTCATGGGTTCGGGAGTTCCACCCAGAACCCTGAAGTCTGGACTGCATGCGCCGGTACGCCTCTAGTTGTTTGCTTCTTTCGCATGTGTTCAACAAAAGGAATGATTCCAGTAGGTCGGAGAACTTTCGTATGGAGGCCTGGTTCTGCCACTGCTGGCTTGCGAAAAAGGACTGACTTAAGATTGCAGTCGTTCTAAGATAAGCAGGAGGATGAATCCACCTGCTTTGAGTCCTTGTCGTGAGCTTCGTGTAGCCAAAACAGAACGTCTGAAACTCAGTCTGCACGACTGTCACCCTGTCCATCGATTCGACTCCACAGATTCTTTAGGAAACAGCACCAGAGATGGTACACAATGTGAGGTATCCATACCGGTGATACGAATGGTCATGAGGCGACACGTTTGGACCGAGAAACGAGCGCGTTGCTACAGGAGACCACCAGTTCACGGATACTACACGAACGGTTCCCAGATGAAACGCGAACCATGTCTACAGGAGCGACATGTGTTCGCCTCACACCATCAGGCATTGTTCAGGAGATATTGTGGACCCGTATATGGGCACTCAAAGAGCAGCATTCCGCTGTTCGTCAAAAAAGACCAAAGGAATGACGACAAATCAGCCCTACCAGTGATTGAATCGTGTGTTCGCCTACGAATCGCCAAGCGGACAGCATCGTTCGACACCTCTGCCTTTGTCGACGCATTTCACTGCTTCTAACTCCCAAATTCTTCCGCCCCGATGTGTGACGACGTAGCTTTCCGTCACGCAAAAGCGCTCGAGGAGTACGCAACCGCGACTGTCGTTGAGCTGTTGTTCGCGCCAGCCTATGCAACATGGGTGCACCAAGTCAAAGTCGTCTTTTCTGTTATCGAACGCCATATCCACGCCCGTCGATCAGCAGACAAGTCGTTCGCATGCGTAGCACTGTTCTTCGACAAGCCACTCTCTTCCATCACGAGCCCTCAAATACGCTGTTGCTTCTCTGTTCTAGAGCAGGAGGGAGCCCAACGGCGCGCTTCGTTCCGCAGGCATGCTCGTGACGGACACCATAAAGCAATGTTATGCGGAGAATAGGAGATACATGCACATTATAGGCGAGATTCTGGCGCGCTGGCCATCCAATGCGTCTGAATCCCAAGGAAAAACCGGATATGCGGGACAGGGACCACACCAATGCCAACTCAGCGAGTGAACGAAAAGTTGAGGATGTAGCAGAAGCCACCATTCAATGACGACAAGGATCATCCCGAAAAGCCTCCGAGAAGGGACAGGAAGGAACAGCTGTCGGGGCGGGCGGATAGATCACTCGGAAAAGCGCTTTCAGCTCGTCGCTTCGAAAACGCTTCGACAGAGATATGCTTCGAAAAAGCGAGATGCAGGACGCCAATAGAGGTTGCGTAAGTTTGTACGCATGGAAGTCTCGCCTAGCGTCTGTCTTTGTGACGCACCTCATCGAGAAACTGCTCATAGAGGTTTGAGTTGCAGGGCTGCAAGCTGTCCAAATTTCTCTGAAAGTCTCCATTCAGACCTTTAGGGAGCTGCACAGCTGATGCTCGGAACAGAAGATGCACTACGGCCTGATCATGGGATCAGAGATTTGCACCCATGCTGCTCGGAATACCTGGGGACGTCGCCATGCCATATCCGAGACTAACGCTTCTACAAAGCAGATGACAACAAGTATAAAAGCAGCCTAGGAGACCAAGACGACCGAGTTGGGGCTACTGTCGAGCGATTCCCGAGGCACGCACTGCGAGCGTTGTAGCCTCGTGTTTCCAGCCCAGACAGGGTACACTGGTGGACGGGAGTTTTCGGGTGTCGATAGAGTCAAATGGCCAGCTGACAGTGGCGGAAGCGATGTCGCGACAAACTCGAGCGTCACCTCAGATCGTCCAAGGCAGCGCTTCCTGCCTCGGACCGACAAATGTCGTAGCCAAACGATTGTTGAAACGCCTTCGCTGCATTCCTTTCATCTCGAGCTACTACGTATTCCTGGACTGAGCTTTTCTGATTAGATCAGACGCTCATCTCGAATGCGAGCTCGCTTGCCTTCTCAATGATCCATTCAATCTTGTCCCATGTGTCCGATCAAGGCCCATGAAATCACCGTAGTCACTTGGGAACGATACCGCAACATCAGTGTGTTGAGGCTGGTCTCTGCGGGCAAGCATGGATCATTTGAACAATCACGCGAATAGGACGCACGGAGCTCGCTCAGGGTTCCCAGTTTGCAGCCAGGGAATGGAGTCAGGTGCTCAGTGACGATGGACACCGACGAAGTTTCACCCTGCAGGCAGTCTGTGATATCGAGGCCAGATTCGAGCGTTGAGACTAGGGTCTGTCTGTCCAGAATGGCTGACGCGGATGCTTTCTTGGCCGGCATGGATGCTGCGTTCAAGGGCGTCGGGGTTGTCGTCACACCTCTACATCAAAACGACGCAGCCAAAGACCTGAAAGACAAGCAAATGAATCTGCTCAACGCTTCCAGGGCACAGTATCATCCGAATTCAGTCATCGTAAACGCCTGGGGGCAGGCCAGCACCACGAATGACGGCATCAGGGATGATTTCGACGCCCGCAGCATCGTATCGAGCAGAAGTGGATGCTTTTGCTCTCTTCATTCAGAAAGCGTACGTGAGCATCCAAGTAGATGATGCGGACAGTGTTTGGCATGGGGGTGTGCGAATCTGTGCTGCGGCCGCCAGTAGTTTCGGTGTTACGGAGGCGAAAAGTGTGCATTCCCAAAATTTTCGATGACACGGAGAGGGAAACGTGGACTCCTCGTGTCGTTTCGTGGTAGTCTGTGACCTTGGACTTGCTGTTGCGCGCAGCAGCTGGGCTCCTGCTCGCTCGACGAGGACCTCAAAATTGAGGCATGGATTCTGCACAATTCCCATGGATGCGTTCATGACGACATGGGCACCTTACCAGCAAGGGCGCACAGCGAAAGAGATAAAGAACAAAGGAATGATACAGTGCTGGACGCTCGAGATGATGCACGGCATGGTTACTGGAGGCCCCATGGTAACACAATCGACAGAAAGAGGCTTGACACACTGTGATTCCGTCAGAAACGATGTGTACGGGTTTTTCTCTCCATCGACCTTGGAACGCCTCGATCGACATTTGGAAATACCATGTCTATCGGGAGCGTCCAGCGGCTTTGTATGTCGGGCGAATGTCAGAGCGAGCCGTTGAGTACGCCGTCTACGCGTTGTGCTAGAACGCTGCAGACTCGCGATGGAAAACGATCAGGTCCGGGGGAGAGAGAGGGCATCGAGTGCCTCGCCTGCAGGCGAGGCACTCTTACGGTAACTTCAGCAACGCTGCCGGGCAGAGGCGCCGTAGCCATACGCAGAGAACGCTTTCGCGTGTGCATATGTGAGGCGGTACTGGTGTTCCATGATTCGATGGGACCCAGTCTACCCCAGTCGTGCTGCAACGCAAGATGGTGTCGATTGATATTCCTTTAAGGACGGCAACGTAGCGACGTGCGACAACGGTTTCTCCAGCGCACTGGGGGCATCAACGCTTCGCGAAAAGTACACCCCGGCGTCGAGACTGCCAGCAGCGAACGAGCAGCGAAGCAATGCACGGAGTACTGCACTGGTCGATGGCATGTACTCGTTTTCAAGTCCTGCTCTGAGAAAGAGCGCACTGTATGATATCCAGATAGATACCTGTGCGCACGAGAGAGTGGCAGCACATGGTCGTCCAGACGTCTGCAGTGTGAGCGTTTTTCTCGCGTGGGTTTCGATTCTGCGTTCAGATACGCGATTGGAGAACGCCGCAGCATTTGAAGCAACCTGCTCGCTCGCTTCCGTCTGGAATGCAGTGACGATACCCACGGTACCGTCACTCGTTGTATCACGTAGACGATTATCAAAGTGCTGTTGCGGGGTATCCAACGAATAACGTGACACACGTCGCAGTCTCCATCGAGCAAGATGCGGTATGTCGCTCTGCCAGTGATTCCGCTCAAGTGGAAGCGTTCACCCGAGCCACGAGGACGAACACGGCGAGACTTGGTGCATGACAATCCGTCACCAAGCCAGTTCGCTTATCGCGTAGCGTGAAGACTTGCTCGTCGGATACTAGTCCTGGTGAATTCCCGACACTGCGCATATCATCAGCTTCGTGTCGTAGACGCTGCACAATCAAAAGGAGCGCATATACTGCGTTGCCGCTGTCGCTGTGCGTTCAGCCTCTAGCAGAAAAGTTTGCATGGCTCACGAACCAATGAGGTTGTAGAGCCAGTGGCAACAAAATGCGGTTTCGAATCGTCACCAGGGTTGAGGACGGCAGCGGGAGTTGCAACACCGCACCAGTAGCTCGGGAGCGGAGCGCGAGTACGCTAGCTCGCCAGCGTCTTCGCTGCCGGTATTTTCGCCGAACCCGAGCACTCCAGTGCTCCTGCCGCTGCTCCGCTTGTTGCTCATCACGGTTGCCGTTGCGAATGTAGGCGTCCGCCAAAAGATTGGCCAACATCCAGCCATCTTCCAACGCTAGACCAGCGCCCTGTGAGAGATTCGGAGTGATCGGATGAGCTGCGTCCCCAACGAGCGCCACAGGAACGTCATCGAACCCCAGCGTACCGTCATAGACAGGCGGGAAGAGATCAGCACAAGCGAATGTATTCGCGGCTTCCGCTGGAGTTTCTCGAAACAGTTGTTCAAGTGCATTCCAAAGCACCCCGTGTGGACGTGCTACAGAGCGTGAGACACGTTCCCAGGCGCGTTGCTTGGTTTCGGAGCCGCGCAGCATGCGCAGCTCCTTTGACTTGTTTGCTGGTTGATTTGAGGCCGCACCGCAGTTTTCACAGTAAAACCAAAATACTTGATGTTCGTTGATTCTTTGCACGCCTAGGCGCGTGCCGTCCCCGCGGCCAAGCAGAAGAAGCACACGACCCGGTTTGGTGAGTTCGACGCTCCCCAGCGCGTTCCCAGGGTCCTCAGCGTTGCATCCAGGCAACGGAAGCTGCGCAACGCCTGTGTGGGCTACGTAGCCCGCATCGCGTAGCGGTCGGTCGTCTCCAACTAGTCGATGGCGAACGACGGAGCGAGCACCATCGGCTCCAACAAGAAAGAGGTCTGGAGGGAATGCTGGTGACTCCCAGAGCCCCAGTTTCTCACGACCTCGATCCATCTCCGGTGTCGAAGCAGGCTCTGAGACTGCCGCTCTCTGCCTGAGCCATTGCTCCATATCCATACCATAGTGCAGGTGCTCCGCAGGCAGGGACGCAGCCAGCGCGTCTGTCAGCGCTTGAAGCGGAACTCGGCGGAACTCGTGACCCCTGGGGAGTGCAAAACGACGCAGGCACGCATGCGCTGTCAAGTCTGCAGTTGGCAGGTCCTGGACCCAGAACTCTGTCGTATTCCACGGACTCGCTTGGCGAAGTGCAGCAGCGATCCCCAGAGCGTCCAGAACTTGCCAGGCGTTCGTCCAGAGGCCCACAGCTCGACTGGCACTCGCTCGTGCCGATCGGTTCGTTGCTTCAATAACCTGAAAGTTAGTCACGCCTCGTCGTTGCAGTTGGGCGGCGGTTGCGAGACCACCTACACTGGCGCCAACGACGAGCACCTGGAACATGGCGTCTGACCAGTGCGTCGATGAAAGCGCCGCAACGTATCCGACCTTCAGCAAGCGAACAGTCGATAACGCGAAAGCGTTGGAGTCGGGTTCCGCTCCGAAGGTGTCGAGCACGAGGAAACGCTGGTGAAGCACTTGTCCTAGTCGAGTCCTTCTCTGTAGACTCGTGAAGCACGCGAGTCGTTTGACGCACACGACTCCAGTTGGTGCGTTGCGTACCGGTCCGAGTGTCGCAGCACGACCCGAGACTACTCGACGTTCAGTAGTCTCCAGTGCACGTCCACCACCGCAGCCTAGGAGGTCTGCTTTGGTTCCCGTTCCACTCAAGTCGCGGCCTTGATTAGAAGTTCGGTAGCCTCCAGTGCACAAGTCGACCACGGCAGCAGAGCGTAGCGCTTCAGGCGACTTGAAGCGTTTTCCGTTAAGGCCACCACGGCGATGCTCCAGAGGCAATTGCGAGCCAAGTCGCGATGTTTTTCTCTGCAGGGTTTTCGCTTTAGCACAGTCAGAGGCTTAGGAATTTCAGAGACATTCGCTGTTCCGGAAAACTGAACGGTCGAATGCACTGAGAACTTATTGCAACAATAGCTGGTACTACAGGGGAACGTACCGTTGACCGCTGAACGGAGCCCGATAACAGTTGTGTTTGTACTGCTTGACGACGGCAGCTGCTGAGCTTCTCTTCGAGCACTGGGACTTGTCGACAGAGCTGGTCATCGAAAGACACCAGAAACGGCAATACGGGAACTCCGAAGGCTCCATTTTGTAGCTCATGACGTATAAGGCAGCCTCAACGACGGAGTTTGATGTGCGAACGTCAGACGAGGCGCTCCCGCGGTTCACGAGTGCAGCCTCTGAAGCAGTGGGCGGCGACTACCAGCCGCTGGATCTGGATCGGGTCCTCCCTCAGAAGGAGCAGTATCACGTGGAGGGAGAACCAGCAGTGTTCGAAGCGCCAGCGGCTGACGGCCCGGAAGTGTTCGGAACGACGTATGACCTCCTGCAGACGGAGGAATGCGAGGTTGACGAAGAGTTTGGCGCCCTGGTTACCGCCTTGGACGATACGGAGCGAGAACTCTTTCACGTGGATGCTGATGCAGTTCTGGAGCGCTTCACGGCGCTGCAAGAGGACCTCCCTGCGACCGATGAGCAGCCCGTCCATCCAGGGCTCGAGACGCTGACCCTCGAGCAACGTTACGGCCTGGGAGCGTTTCTCGTAACCCTCATTGCGGAGAAGGAACGAGAACTGCGACATGATGACGGACTTGTCATGAGCACTTTGCCCAGCGTCGTCACGTCTGCAGACGCGCCGCAGTGCGACGTGGACGGCGATCAGGCACCGGCTGCTGCTACCCAGGAGCACCGTACAGCGACCTCGCCCTCGAAACGGATACTTGAGCGTGATCTTCCAACGAGCAATGCGATCGAAGTGGATAGACCAGGAGCTGGGGATCGCGCTCCAGTGTCAATCGAGGGGCACTCTCCGGCACCGGAGCCACACGAGAGACCTTCGACAGCATCCACTGAGCGTCAGAGCGCTAGTTCACGGCGTCCAGCGCTCCGCAACCTACCCGCATATGACACTAGCTTTGCGGAACGCTACGTGCAACTGCTGCTGAGTGGCCTCGGTCTCACATGCAGTCAACGAGAAGCGCTCATGTATCTGTGGCGAGCCTGTCTAGAAGGTGAGCTCATTCCCGCGCAGCGCTGTGCCTTGGTTGCGTCCACGGCGGCTTTGGTTGGTGCTCCAGCGGTTCGCTTTGCAGCGCTCCAGGCCATGTTGACGCTATCGCTCGCTCCTGGCGGATACGACGCCCGTTGCCGCGTGTTCTTGCGGGACGCTGCACGCGAGCTCCAAATACCATGGCGAAAAATGGCGCTGGTCGAGTATGCGATAGCCGCACTTCTCCAGCAACAGCAACAGCAACAGCAACGCATCCGCGGCGTCACGCTCGACGCTGCATCCATCCTGAGTCCATCGACGCTCGGACAGCCAGAGGAAAGCAGAGCACCCACTTGCCCCGAGTTGAACGGCGGGAACGTGGACCCTCAGATATACGCTACGCTTGCCAAGAAGCGCTACAAGCGCAAGTCTCGGCGGAGAGCATTCAAAATAGCTGCTATGGCGATTGGCGGAGGGGCGCTCTTTGGACTAGCTGGAGCGCTTGCAGCGCCGCTTCTTCTACCGGCTCTAGTTGGCATTGGTATCACTGGTGCGAGCGCACTTGCCGCTACAGGCACAGTTGCATCTGGCGCAGTAGTGGGCAGCTTTTTCGGTGGCCTTGGCGCAGGTTACGTTGGCCACAAAGCGCGCAAACGGACACGGATGCGCTTAACGGAGTTTGAACTCGAACCGCTCGGTATCGAGGAGGCAGCTCGCAGCTGGCATCAACAACACACAAAGGCAGCAAAAACGACGGCATTGTCGGGTGAAGCAGCAGCGCCCCCTTCGACGCCTCGGTACGATATCGCAGTTGGCGCAGCGCACGTCTCGAGTCCCGTGCAAGGCGAGAGTGCTTCGCACGGGCCAGGCTGGACGGAGGCAGAACAACAACTGGCCGCTGCTATCCGGGAATCCCTGCAGGTATCGGAGCAGCGAGCTTTACCACATCAGCATCTTCGTGCGCTGGATAATGGTGAACGTGTGCGCCTCACAGCGGGCATGTACACGGGTTCGGGGTCGTCTTCGCCGTGTCGCCCGACACCAGTCTCGTTCGATGCAGCGAACGGCGTCGAAACACTGCAGTTGACTGCACTGGATGATGATGCCGATGGCAAGTCGTCAGAGCACTGGGGCGAATCCACGATGGAAAGCGCTGCGCAGCGAGGAGCGCGATATCCAGCTGCAGACACGAGCGAGCAGGTAGAGTCGCTGGAGACGTCACGATCATCACCGTCATCGTTGTCGAGAGCGAATTCTTCTTCACCACGGGAAAGCGCAGTGCAACAACAGCGTGCTCACTTGCATCACAGCATTCAACAGAGTACAACGGAACTCGGGGCGAGGATGTCAGGGGCCATCGAAGCCACGAGAGACGCTCCAGCAGAGAAGCTAGACGTGAAGCGAAGTGCAACCGTGCAGGTACCTGAATCTGCGATGGAAGAAACAATCGATACGGTTGATGATGCATCGGTGCCGGTGCCCGACCCGGTGACGTTCCAAGAGAGGCAGCAAACGCAGCGGCAGCATATCGATGACAGCGACTTGGCGCGGAATACTTTGTTTGCCGACAAAAGTCACCGTTTGCGCCTACCTGAAGAGCCTTCCCCGCAACAACCACAGCTACCGTTTGCGTCTATTCGAACGCTCAAGTCGTCTTCACATCCGGGTGGGTTGGCGCCTGCACCAATGCTCCCCGAGCCGCCAACACGCGGGACAGCACCGCTCGTAGCAGCGTCCAACGAGGATACCACTGGGTTTTCCGGTGAGTCTGTGGGCGCGCTATCGACGACATCACTGCGAACAGCGTCAGGTCAGGGATTCCGACACGCAACACCGGCAAGCATCCTGGAGAAGCGCCTTGCGGAGCGCACTTGGACGCTGAGGCCGCTGCATCCGACGACAGAAGCACACCGCGACGATGCTGCGGCAACCGAGAAAGCGTCCGGTACGTCCGCAGCATCCGATGGTGGTGCTGGTGGTGCTGGTGGTGCTGGCAACCAGGGCCTCACACGCGCAATTGCAACGGATGCTGCAACTGCAGATGACATCGACTCCGCTGCGGTACCGTCGAGCACCCATGAAACCCAGAGCGGCACTGAAGACAACGGCGCAGCAGAACTTGTCAAACAGGAGCACCCGCTCATGGCAACTCGTATGGTGCGGAGTCGAGGCCTTCACCTGGTGATTTTCGTTCCCGGCTGGCTAACGCGTTCTCGCCAGGAAGGAGCCTGTGCTTCGCAGTTCTACAGCGCGCTGGGGAATGGCAGGCTCTTGCCGTACGCAGAGCGCTATGCACTGCGTTGGGAACCCGATCAGCTCTTCGAAATGGGGAGAGCGTTTCTCAAGTTTTGGACAACAAAAGCAGCCACGACGGCAGCGCAGCAGGCTGCACCGCATGTGCTTCAGGCGGTCTCGTTTGCAGCGGGAACGCTGCTCTCATCTATCGCTTGGCCTCTGTTCGTCTATTCGGCAGCAGATATCGTGGACGGCCCCTGGTCTGTACTTTTGAACAGAGCGAACGCTGCTGGTGATGCCTTAGCGGACCTGTTGGCTTTGCGAGAGCAGGGCCAGCGACCTGTCACCCTCATTGGCTACTCGCATGGTGCTCGAGTCGTTTTCAAGTGTTTGGAAGCGCTCGCGGACGCTGGTGTCTACGGCGTCGTCGACGATGCCTTCTTGGTCGGTGCCCCGTGTACCGGCGACAGTCGACGATGGCAGCGCGCTTCGCGTGCAGTCTCGGGTCGTCTCGTGAATGCGTATTGTGGAACCGACTGGGCCTTGGCCCTATTTCACCGCGGTTCGAGTGGTCAGTTCCGGGTGGCTGGCCTCTCTCCCATTCGGGGATGCGGTGAACGCGTCGAGAACGTCAACCTGGCGCTCTTGGGACTCGAGGGTCATCGCTCACTGCGGGAGGCATTACCGCGCATCCTTACCGCGCTCGGGGTCGAGACCGGCGGCCTTAGCTTCCCACCGATCCTTCCACGGGATGTCGCACTGCTCGGGGAGACCGACGCACCGTCGCTCAAGCGTCCGCCGCGTGGCGTCTCGACAAGCGCAACGACAGCAGGTACCAGTGACGCAGCGACGATCGATGAAGTGTCCAGCGGAAACGCAGAGGCACGTCGAAAAGGCGCCCTGTTCGACAGACACCGACACTCCAGGCGTCGTGACGAGATGCGCTTTGGCGCTGACCAACGCGGTCGACTGTCGAAGCGGGAACTGTATGAGCAGGATGAGGACGACCGTCAACTCAGTCTCGACGAGGATGCGCATCTACATCTCTTGAGGTCGTCCACGGAGGGCTCGGTACCCGCCTCCGTAGCCAAACAATACTCGGGAAAAGCGGCAGTATCGCGGACATATGGGTCAATGGTGCAGCAGTCAGCGCTGCCGCTCATTGATATCGAGACTAGTTCGGATCTGTCGAGTGAAGAGCGCGGAAGCGGGTCAGCGCCACAGACGCGACCGCTACTGCCCTCGACTAGAGGCACTTGGGGCGGATCCGCGTCTGCATTTCCATCACGGGCAGGTAGCAGCGATAGTCTCAGCGGTTATCACGATAGAGAGAGCGGCTGCGAGGAAGCGGGACGCACGTTATCTGGGGTCTTTGCCCCTGGCACCACTGCTGCTGGTGCTGCTGTTGCCGTTGCTGGTGGCGGTGGTGGTGACGTCGCTCACGCTGCTTCGGAAAACACCAGTCCAGCAGTCCAGTCCAGCGTAGACGCTGCGTCGGCATCGACATGCTCCGCAGACTGGACAGAGTTCGTGGGTGTTGCCCCAAACCAAACCGAGGATCAGCCCAAAGCCCTAGTTCATGCACTGGGCATCGAAGTTGCCGGTGGACGCTTTCTACCGCTGATCGAAGCCGGCACCTGCTTTCCTTGCGAGCGGACAGTGACGGTAACCACATGTGTCGATCGACAGGATGCGATCGCCTTCTTCATTTATCAGGGATCACGACTCCGGTTACGTCCGCTGGGTGCAAAGGACGCACATCGTCACCATCGTCTGCTGAAGATCGTCGAGTTCCATGGATTCAAGAGTCCCGTACGACATCGGGCTGGCGGTGCTCGGGTCGAGCTCGCGTTCACGCTTGACGAGCACGGCAACCTCGAGGTCAGCATTCGGGATGTTCGTGGTGATGCCGAGGAGACCCGTTGTACCATCCCTTCGACGATGCTGGTCCAACGGCGCGACGCTTTCGATTCGGATACGGAAAGTAACGCTGCAGACGAGGTATCGTTCGCTGAACTGGATGATACGCTGCCAGGAGACCACTCGGAGATGCGTTTCCAGCGGGAGGCAGCGTCTCTGTCGACGTTGCGGCCTTCAGAGCGAACCGCGGAGTACACTGCACATGCCGCTGAAGCCTCTGCCACGGCACCGGGGACCCAGTGGCAGACACAAGGCTCCAGCGCTGAAAAAGCAAAGCGATCCAAGTGGTGGTCTTGGCGTCGCAGTCGACGTCATCGCCCTCATGATCATCCTTGTCAGCCGTCTGCTTCACGTCCACGAGCACAAGATGGATACACGACGACCACGTGGCACTCTGGAGCGTAAAGCAACTCCCCATACCATCGTTACCCTACGCATCCTGGATTCCCAGTGGAGACGAGCACGTTCCTGGCATTCAAAACGCTTGACATGCAAAACGATCCCTGAAACACCAAGCGCGTCGCTGTAGACGAGACAACTGCACGATACCGTTTTTTTTCGTGCTGTGCGACACGCTCTTCGTAACCATGCCACCTGGGGTGCAACGCTTCGGCAGACCTGTTGATCAGTCGTGTTCAGAAGGAGCCGCTGGTGCCGGGCGCGATACCCCTGCGACACGACCTGGAAACCTCGCGCAGGTACGAGTCCTGCATCGACCGGGTGTATGGTACCCGCAGCTGACAAACCGCCGAATACCATGACGAACGATAAACCTCGCTCCCTGGTGCCTTCACCAGATTTGAGGCGGTACCCAGAGCGCGCCTTGCTGGTACAAGCACGCTCTACGCTGTTGGTCACGCGTGCATGTCGGTGTCGTTTATCACGTCGCTGGTAGAACGTACGGTATCATGAGCTCCGGCGTGGAGGCGTCTATCGAAGCCGCTGTGGCAGTTGCGGGTCCCGGAAACGCCATCAGCACAGCGAGTGGCAAAGTGGGCACTCCCGTACAACCCAGCAAGCATCCGTCGCTTGAACGTCATCGACCGGTCCACAGACTGTTTACGAAGAGTCATCGTTCAACGAGTGTAGGGAATCTGCGTTAACCGCTTGGTGCACCAAAGTGTCCGGCTAGACGCAGGAGGTCCGCAAAGACACCAGCGGCGGTGACCTGAGCCCCAGCACCCGGTCCTCGTACAACTAGTGGCTGCGCATCATAGCGAACAGTTCGGAAACACACGATATTATCGCTGCCTTCGAGGCCACCAAAGGGATGACTGCGTGGATACGCGCGCAGTTCCACAGCACACCGCCGGTTCTGAACATCGACAACGCCAACATAGCGGAGTACTTGGTCACGGGAGCTTGCCTCCTGGACTTGACGGTTGAGTTCGTCATCGAACTCGGGCAAGCGTTCCATAAACTCGGCGACTGATACGCCCTGGCTGGCGTCCAGTGCGGCCGGTACCAGACTCTGGACGCTAATCTGATCGAGCTCAATGTCGAGCCCGACTTCACGTCCAAGAATGACGACTTTTCGCGCAACGTCTGCACCAGCGAGATCCTCCCGAGGATCCGGTTCCGTGTACCCAAGTTCCTTGGCCTGCTGAACGATGCGGCTGAACGGGGTACTTCCGTCGAAGCAGTTAAAGATGTACGAGAGCGTGCCACTGAAAATGCCTTCTATGCTGAGAAACGAGTCTCCAGTACGCAGCAGATCCCGGACGGTGGATATGATGGGTAGTCCAGCACCGACGTTCGCTTCGTAGAAGAAGTGTGTGTTCCGTGCGCGCATTGCGTCGCGAATCTCCCGATAGTACTCCATTGAAGCAGAGTTTGCCTTTTTGTTCGGTGTCACCAAATGGAGTCCAGCCCGCAACCAAGAGGCATACTTGGCACCAATCTCGCCAGAAGCAGTGCAGTCGACGAGTACCGCGTGTGGTAGGGTTCCGTCGTTCACGTGGCCTACAAAGCGATCGAGATCGAGCGTTTCCGCCCGTTTTTCAAAATCGTCCATCCAGTTGCGACCTGGTGCACTGAACTCATCGAAATTTTCGCCACTGCTGAGCAACCACATACGACTGCTGGACGCAATGGCCCGAATGCGAAAGTCGACTCCGTACTGGTCGTGGAGCTTGGCTCTCTGTTCACGCATTTGCTCGATCAGAGTACTGCCGACAAGTCCGCGCCCGATAATACCCACGGAAATGGTGTAGTCGCCGAGGTAGAAGGCAGCGTGCGCTGCTCGAAGTGCTCGCACCTCATCACCAGCCTGGATCACCACTGAAATGTTGTGTTCGCTGCTGCCCTGGGCGATCGCTCGGATATTGACACCGGCGTTAGCCAATGCGGTGAACAGGCGCGAAGAGACACCGGGTGTGTTCTGCATGTTTTCACCAACCATGGCCAGAATACAGCAGTCTGCCAGCAGTTCAACAGAATTGATGATCTGGTCTTCGATTTCGATACGGAACGCTCGCCGCAACGCCTCGGTAGCCGTGGTGCCGTCTGTACCGGGCACTGCAACGCAGATGGAGAACTCTGAGGACGCTTGTGCGATCAAAACAACGGAAACATTCGCAGCGTAGAGTGCGGCGAATGCACGGCTGGCAATACCAGGTACGCCGATCATGCCCGCTCCCTCTACGTTCACGATGGAAATATCCCGAACGGAAGTGAAGCCTTTGACGCCCGCAGTGATACCCATGGCCGCTTTCCTCGCTGCCAACGATGCAAAAGAATGTGCAACCCCGATCGATCCGTTCACTTGGTTCGCTGCATCGAGAGCCGCTTCACCAGCAAGCATTCGCGCTGACGGCAGGATCTCTGTGCCACCAGCATCCGGGCGGAACGTATTCCGAATGCGAACGGGTGTTCCGCTGATGACGACCGGTGTCAGCGTATCCGGATGGAGTACTTTGGCACCAAAGTACGCCAGTTCGGCTGCCTCTTTGAAACTGAGTTGTGGAATGATAATCGCATCCGGGACGCAACGCGGGTCTGCCGAAAATACGCCGTCCACGTCAGTCCATATCGTGCATGTGGGCGAGCGTACCAGCCGAGCGAAGATTGCTGCAGAGAAATCCGAGCCGTTGCGACCCAGTGTGGTAGGTACTCTCCGGTCTGCGTCCAGAGCCAAGAAACCGGTTGCTACAACGAGTCCTGAGCCCGCGTGTTGGCTCATCCACTCGTCGAATAGCTTTTGCGTCATATCCCAGTCCACGGACTTGCGCTCAGACGGCATGGTTGGTATACGTCGCACAGCGATAACGTTGCGTGCGTCGAGCCACACGACACTTCCTGGGGTATTTTGACCCGCAGCCACATGCAGGCGCTGTTGCTGCCGCAGGCGTGCCCACATAAGCTGTGCCGACCACAACTCCCCGTAACCCAGCACAAGGTCTTTCACTGCACTGGATGCCGATCTAGAAATAAAGGCAGCTCGCAGCAGGTCCTTCAGGTCTTGCATGGTTGACGATAGCATGGCAAAAAATGGCTGCTTCGCTTCGTTGCTGTCTAAGAGGGCATGCGCAAGCGTTTCGTGACGTTCCTGGAGCTTCTGTAATACTTCCAGGTAGTGCTCGTCCTTATTGCGCTCAATCGCACACTGCAGCGCGTGCTCAAGCGTGTTGGTGACACCGCTCACCGCTGAAACGACCACGAAGAGGCGGCAAGGAAGCGCTTCCCGACCAGCGGCCTCTGCTAGCTGACGAAGCGCAGCCGTCTCCGCAGCCAGTTCTTTCTCGAGTACGCTCACAACCTGTTCGAAGCATGGCGCGTCCGCAAGAGACGACCCTCCAAACTTGTGTACAAGGTAGTGCACACCGCCATAGTGGCGATCGAGCGGCGAAAAAGCACCGGTGCCTTCCAGAGAAGCACCAGCGCTACGTCCCCCATCTTTTCCGAAATTATTCATCTTTGGTGACGAAGCCTGTCCTCGTTTGTTTGCAGCGGCTGTCGCTACTGGACACAGCGTCGTCAGTGTTCCCCGTCGAGGGCGTCTTGGGGAGCGCGTCAGAGAGACAGCAGGCGTCCACGGTGAGCGCTTCCAGCCACACGAGTCCCGCGGTGACGCTACCCGAAGCCTAAAGCGATCGTTTATGGGTGCAGTGAATCCTAACGCACTCCATAGTCTATGCTCGGTTGAACTGTTCTCTAGTCTGCGTACGTTGCCCATGGTCGTCTATCGCCACTCCCGATACCACTGCTTCCGCGATGCTCGTCGCCGGCTCAAGTGCATATCGACGGCGGCGGCGAACTGCACCATCCCCTGGGGCAAGGCGTGTACCGCTGGGTTAACCTGCGCGGCTGACGCTACCAGCGCTCTTTCTATGGATACAGTTGGACGCTGATGGAGATTGCTTTCGCTATCATTGAAGGATGCGGTAGATTGCATTCGGGATTGTTTCAAAGCACGAATGTGTATTGCTTTCGGTATTGTGTAAGTAGATGGTAGGATTGCTTTCGGGAGCGTTTCAAAGCACGAATGTACATTACGTTCATTATTGTTTAAATATGTACTAAGTAGCTTTTCAGATGCTTCCAAAGCGCGAATCTGTACAGTGCTTCCACTGCTCCGCAACGATCTGGTACGTTGCTTTCGTTACGGGGCAAGGCTTGTTCGTGACGCTCTTGCATTCTGGGCCAGAGACAGAGCAAACGCGAAAGATGAAAAATTTGGAATCCGTGCAAAACGCGAGTTGTCCATTTCCGAGCACGTGTAGCGTGCACGCCTCACCGCGACTGACTCGCTGAGCGTACCACCTGCCGTGAGACGTCCAGCTTTTGCAGTGATGCGTACTCGGATATCCGTTGTGTTCTGGTGGAGCGCTCTCCATTCATGGCGGTATGCAGAAAAAGACGCGTTCAAGATCGCTCGGGAGGATGCGTTCATCGCTTTCACCCTCTGGTGATGACTTTTTTGGGAAAGCGTTTCCGGTCGGGGCGCAGCCACCTGGAACTACGCCTATTATGACCAGAGCAGGAAGCAACTCGCGGTACAGAGCTGTGTGCGTCGGAAATCTCATTATGGAAAATGTTGTTCTCGCTTGACATTGGTATGCGCATGCCACAGGCACAGCACACCTGGGAGATGTACGCGTCACGGGGCATTCGTCGTCTATGATTCCATAGAGGCAGACGCGCTCGCCGAGGCTTGCTCCATTCAAAAAGACCACGAATACGGGCTTGCGATGCCCTTGGCGGGCTCACTTGAGCCTGGTGCGTCGACGCCTCGAACCTGTGTGCGTTCATCGTTCGATGAATGCGTCACCAGCCGAACCTCGCCCGGCAAACATATCGATACTCGGTGGTGTCAGCAACAAGTCAGGGCATGGATATGCGCGATCACCGGGATGGGTTTCCATTGGTGTATTCATTGCGCTGGACGTTGTACTCGTGTGATGCACCGCATGCCAGCAGGAGCGAACTCGGTCTAGCAGGCGCTTGCGGAACGCCTGTTTCATGGAATGGTGCTCGCGATCAGAACCCGTGTACCATGGATATAGAATACTGAGCTGATCGCTCTGTTGCTGCTACTCGACTTCTTTCTCGAACTATTTCGTAAATGCGGTACCCTGGTATTCGAAGTGCAACAAGAAGGGCGTACGCATGGGAACCTATTTCTGAGATTCTCGGCTGCACGTTCCAGATGGCGCTTTCGAATCCTCGCCGATGGAAGTCGTGGCGGAGCGGGAAACAAGATGGCTCGCAGCGCCTTCGAACATGAATTCGTTAAATCATTGATATCATTTACCAAGTTCATACATACGAACATCCACGCATCTTATTTCCTTCGGTCTAGCATGCTCAGATCACACACTCCCCGAGTTTTTGATCTCTTCTGTTTCAGGGCAACTCATGGGTGCAGCGATTCGTGCCCCTGAATTGGCGAGGAAAAACCTCGGCGTCATCTCTTGACGAATGGTTCATAAGTTCATGGAAAATATGTCCTGAATTTGTCACATTAAGTCATCGATTTCGTTCGAGAGCCAAATCCGGCTCTTTTTTCCCGATCGATGAAACGGAATCCGACATCATCATGATATGTCTCGCGTGGAATACGTTCTCAGAGATTCGCGTCTCTCCTGTTTGCATGCAACAGGGCCTTGGACTCGGACTTTAGACTTCGCCAAGACCGCTTCCAGTGGCGCGTGCTTCACGACTTTGCATGAAGCGAACAAAGACAGATCGAAATCTCCGGACAGGTTCTCCAGACCGGATTTTCTGTCCCGTACTTGTTTCATCATGGACGACACCGCGTTCCACAAATCCTGTATCGAATGGAACAGCGTGCGCTCGTACCTGCAGCGAACAGCGCACTCGCAGAACGAATCACCGAGAACAAGAGCGTTACTAAAAGCCGCGACTCTGGACGTGGAAACAGAGGAGAGCCTGCAGAGAAGCCGTCTCCATCGGTCAAGGACATTTATCGAGCGATGAAGCAAGCTTGCGCGCTGCACGCGTCAACCCTCGAAAGAGGAACAGTGTTAGACATTGTGGAGCACCTGACACCAGTCGAGCGTTACCGCTGCGAAGGGCGCACCGAGGCTCCCTAAGAAAAAAATGAAAATAACCAGCGAGCTATAGATTGCTATTGCTACCCGTGTACCAACTGAGTCGATCTTAACCAGAAGCTGCGTCCTTGGGACTCGAATGCTGCTATCAATATCCTTCGACTGGTGACAACGGAGCAATAGAGACAGGAGAGACAGGTGTCGTTACAGCCTAGGATCACAGAGAAAACAAGGATGCAATCATGGGAAAAGCCCGAGCACGCTGGTATCTATAATGTCCTTCGACTGGTGACGACGGAGCAACAGAGACAGGAGAGACAGGTGTCGTTACAGCCTAGGATCACAGAGAAAAAAAGGATGCAATCATGGGAAAAGCCCTAGCACGCTGGCGTTCATGACACTGGGAAGAAGCCCAATTGCTAGTATGTACACCCCATGTATAAAAGTGTGTCTCGTGCTATGCTCTTCTGGCTTTGCAGTATCGACGCTGGATGGGAGAACAGCCAAGTGCCAGCCGCTGCGCGTCCCGCCACACACAATCTCCGTACGCGCAGCAATGCTGCAGCGCTCACTGGAAAGCGCTTCGCTACTTACAAGAACGTTCCTCTAATGGATTTGGCGTTCACGACGATATTTTCTGCAGTGCCAAGGGCGTTTCATCGACAGGCTGTCGGGGATCGACTGCCACGACACCTGATTACCACCAGTGTACGGCGGGTTCGTGAACGGCGCACGTCGTGCTGGTGGCGGAGTCTGCGTTTGCAGGGCAGGAGCGCGAGCGGCGCCGACCCCAGCCGGCCTGCACACGCTGCCCGTGAACCCGACGAGGACATAGACGAGAGTTTTTCGCCAGATATTGGAGACTCTGGGGAGTCCCCTAATAGTCTGGATGTGACTCGTGTGAGCGCTGCACTCTATCGCCTCGGGGCGGTGGCCTGGTGGGCGCAACTACTGCTTTCGATAGTTGCTGGAGGCATTACCCTGTTTGCGGTGGCCATTCTGCAGGGAACTCGCGGAGCTGGGACAACAACGACGACTGCCGCATCCACTGGCCTGATATTTGCCGGCATTGGCCTCGTTTTTGCGTTTATATCGGTGTTTTGGGCTTATGGGTACATCCGCCTTGCCCGGCGTCTGATGCGCGCGGGCAAGATGGGCTACGGCATACGCAGCGAAAACATCTTCCGCACGCTGCGGATAGGTGTCTTCATCAATATTTTAGGGATGGCGCTGACGCTTATCGGGGCGCAGAGCATCAGTGGAGTCCTTTTAGCCAAGGCGCTGAGCCAAGGCGTGGCAGGGCCGCTACCATTCTACGCGACCGGCAGTATTCAGGCCGGTGGTGGTACTGTCGGCTACGTTCAAGCGCTGGATATTTTCGTGGTGCAAGCGAACACCAACGCGCTTTTAAGCCACTTTGTGGGCCTTTGCGTAGCGCTGTGGATGCTGTGGCGCTTTCGAGGTTCGTACCAACGTCGCACATCCTGAATACTGTTGCCAGCGACCAGTCCACGGTATCAACATAGAGTATGATGCGCGTATATCGAACGGGGCGTGATCTGGGTTCGGTTTGCTCTGGAGTTAAAGGATCAGTGGGAGCTCGCACACAGATAAGTTCAGTGTCGAGTAGTGCGTCGAGATGTCGTCCTGCTCGTATGCGGGATTTCTGCACCGATACTGAAATCGCGTAGATTTTTGTGCTTGAATCCACTGCACTAAGGGCCAGTCGCGCTGTCTGCTCTGCGCTCGGGACGGTGAGCGTCTCGAAGTCATGCCGGTAAACCCATGCACCTGGACTCTGACCACCATGTCGAACTACGAAGCGCGCAAGTCGTGGCGACAACAAAGAAGCTTTCCATGTATTCGCTGCACGGCTTTATCTTCGATGTATGTTGCGCGGCGTCACCAAGGATTCATCTGCTGCTGCTGCAGAGCAGATTTCCTGTGATGGGTGCATAGCCCGGTACGAGCCATCAATACAGTGCTGGAACGTGGGCCGCACCGGTATTCTCGGGCTTCGTGTTGTACCACTGGCAAATGTCGGCAGCTCGCTCGTTCGAGCGATCGCCGCATACGTCCGTTGATAACTGCAATCTTGATTTGCACCGCCTATCAATGCCGTTCTTCGGCCCATCGTACCGATCAAACGGGCGAGGGTCCTGCCATATGAGTGGACGCTCTCGCACACGAGCAGCGATGTTCTCCGCGCGAATCCCCAGAGTTCAAAGCACCGCGTACTGCACCAGCGCTGTAAACTGCGCTGCATTAGCTGCATGCTCACCGCCGAAGCATCAACCGCAGACCGGACAACCTACTCGGAGGCTCATGCTTCCTCTTGACTTGGACGCGAGGCATGCGCAATGCACCAATGCCTAACGTGACACAAGCTCGACAATAAAACGCCAATCCGAACCGCGTATCACTGCCTGAAGCGAAGGCGCAAAGTCGAGCGCATGCGGGCCTACGAATCCCGCCGTGGACGTTCCGTTCGTGGCGCCATGCTCTCGTCGCGTTCAACAGCACGAACCGAGCGGGACATCTTCATTCAAATTGAACGCTCTCATGCCTAGCGGGTTCCGGAAACCACACCCTGCATAGCCAGGTACACGTCAACGCCGATTTGCGCGACTGCAGCTCGCTGCGCCTCGGCAGTGCCCGCTGCTGCCGACGACGACGACGAAGCCAGTTTAGCCTCGCAGTCCGCCAGCGCCTTGGATACCTCCTCTGGATCAATATCTGAGACTCGCACAGCCTCCACGGCACAAATATCGGTGCGATCCGGGTGCACAAACGTAAAGCCGCTACTGACGAAATATCGCTCCTCGGCGCCGCCGTCGCCGATGATCGTCACCACACCGGGGCGCATCTGCGCCACAGTCGGAACGTGGTTCGGCAGAATTCCCATCAAACCAGACGCAGCCGGAACAATCACGGAAACCACCTGTCGATTTTTCGCTATCACCTGGTGCGGGCAGAAGAAGTTGAGTGTCACGCGTCCGGCCTCTTCACTCGACGGCGAACTGGCCCCTGTTGACACAGACGCACCGCTTGTCGCTTCCGCGCTCCATTGGCGCCGCCAGAGCCGCAAAGTCGTTCTCAGCGCTGGACGGAGCCACTTGTTCATAGCTCCCGGTCACAGATACGGTGCTGGTCGACGACAAGTACACCTGGGCACCCGGTGAGCTCCAGTGCAAAGCGCTCTACGAAAGCGTCGCTTGGAAGCGTGCGCGAAAGCGTTGTGCGATGCGTGCAGGATGTCACGTGACATTGCAGGGGTGCGCCGCGCCTTCGCCCCGCAACGCCGGTCGATCCGCAGACAGCAGTGCTCGCCAAACTGGAGTCTTTTATTCGTTCGTATTTGTGGCATTGTAACGTTCGAACATGGTGAAGAAAAGGAGAAATCACGGTAGGAAAGGCGGTTGTCATGGTAGAGGAAAAGCGAGGCCGGTTATTTGTGACGGTTGCGGGGGTCGTCCTCGGAAAGATAAGGCCATTCAACGCTTCGTAGTGAAGAACCTCGTTGAGGCGAGCGCGCTGAGAGATCTCGCGGAGGCGTCATGCATAGAGAACTACGTGCTGCCCAAACAGTACATGAAGATACGCTACTGTGTCTCCTGTGCAGTGCACCGGCGAACAGTTCGGGTTCGGCCCAAGGAGGAGCGTCGAGTGCGGACTATTCCCCGGGCGCCGCGGCGGGGCGACCGCGACGTCGAGGGCATCCTTCTCGGAACGCGCACAGAGGCTGGTGCGGGCCGGCCACCAGGCGAGCGGCGTGCATAGCGGCAGCGAGTGCAATACGATGCACTGCCTGCACGCTAACGAGGTCCTCGTGAGCTGCAGCGGGCAGCGGGCGCGTGGCTGCACCTGCCGCGTGGCTGCGGTCGGAGCTTGCCGCGGGTGACCGTACGCAAACCTGCCAGCGTCAGTGGCGGTCTCTCTAAACGAAAGTCTGCAGTTTTACCTGATCGATAGGCGTGCACGTGGTAACATGCTTCTTCCTTCGAGTGCGGCTAGAGCGCCGTGCTTACGCGTTGTCCTCCTGGACGTAGGTAAGTCCGCATTTTCCACAGTAGATGCGGTCCCGATGTTGAGCCATAAAAACGCCTGCCCCACAGCTCTCGTTTGGGCATTCTTTCCGCAGCCGGGTCACCTTGTTCGCATCGTCCACTGCGTAATATTTCAGTGTAGCGAGTTTCACTTTCTTGTGCTTGTGTTTGATCTTCTTCGGCGTAGTGTATGTCTTCTTCTTCCGTTTCTTTCCACCGCCAAGCACCCGCACATGAGCTTGAATCACGATGGGCGCCTCTGGATCCGTGAAGTTTACCAGCGCGTCGCGTAGCGTCGCTACTGGTCGGCCACCAGCCACGGTGCCGTAGACGGCGTCGGCGTCAAGACCGGTGACTCGCGACAGGACAACCGCGAGGGAGTCCGTCGCCAACACATTCGTGGAGACTATACGTCCGTTCGGACACTGTACGAGGAGCTGTCGACGCATCGAACCTGTGGGGCGTCACGCGATCCGTGCTTCCGATGGCGTTGCAGCAGGGGGTTATCGCGCGCTTGAGAACGCCTATCCGGGGTAAAGGCGTTATGAAGTAGACAGAAACCAAGATGCTCACAGATTGCAGTTTCCCAACAAGTCGTGCCCGAAGCAACAGCCGTGGCAGTGGCAGTTGCTGCACAAAGTGTGCTTCTCGACGTCCTGACTTTGAAGGTGCGCAGCGCCAGCAAAAGTCTGCAGAACCTGGCCAGTAGGCGTATCGATCAGCGGCTGGATTGAGGAGAGGGCGAGCGCCTGGGGACGCGGCCTGCACCCCGTGAGCATCTGTTCATAAATGTACTTGAATGAATATAATGGGACGAATATGGTATTTAGGGACAGCGTCGCGCGCTCTGCTCCTATTGGCCGCTCGCCGGATCGAGGAGGCGGCAGCGCTCGCCCTGGAACAGTATGTCGGGGCAGTATGATTTTCGGTGTGTGACGACCCGCGAAACGAAATATATCCCAAGATCATACAGTCTAAATTCATGCTTATTCACAGGAGTTTCCCAGTGTTTTTAGACCGGCCCCCTGCTATCGCTCTCAATTTCTACTTGCACAGTTCGAGCATCAAAAGCTGGCCCAGAAAGTTGGATCGCCTCAGCTCCGCGGGTCTCGTGTTCAGCTCTGCACATCTCCTGATACTGATGGCGGCGTAAAAGTCTAGGTTCACGAACTTCATGCGTTTATTGCCGATAGTTGAACGCACAGGTGGAAGCATTGCTAGAACTCGTACCCTCATTGTCATTACAGACTCGTCATCGTCCCGTCCGATAAACTTCTTTTTCTCGCCGATCTCTCCCCCGCTTCTCCTTCATCTTCCTCGTTGGCTGCTCCTCTCCGCTCAATGGTGAGTGAGAAGGCATCTTCCCCCGGTGTTTTTCTCCGGCACCCGGCGATGACGGTCCTCCAAGATCTCCGACGTGCATCTCCATACCTATCCCTTGGATTTTGTATTTTCGGAAACGAACGCACTTTGAAAGCTTCTGGTATACCTAATGAAGCGGCATTTGATGACAAGCAACCTGGAGATGGAACACCAATGAGGTGAAAGACTATAGGATCGTTTCCACGAACCATGGATCCTCTGCGTTCCAATGGTTATCCGTATCCGGGAGTGCGTCCATCGGTCCGAGTCAGACCTTGAAATCCACAGGTCACAATGATCGGTTCGTCGATTCGGAGACTCTGGCGCCCTCAAGCGGTCCTGCAGGTGCCGAATGCCGCCCGTGAACGCCCTGTGCGGCACTTATGGCGCCGTGCGGACGCCCGGGTCTCGCGGACTGCGAGGACCAGCGATCAGGCGCGACAGACTCTTTCCCGAATGCCGCACCAGTGGCGCGCTTTCGGTGCGCCTGAGCAGAAGAACCATTTCCATACAATGCGAGGAGATGCATATCACTTTTAGACTCGAACGCCTACGCTCGATATCGTCAGAGCAAACTAGCATCATGGAAGCGCTCTAACGCGTATCTATTCGCAATCCCATCGGTTTGTGGAGCGTCAGACACTTCACGGAACCGAGAGCGATGCAGCAGAAACGAAAATCCGGAGCTTTCAGCACTTGCTTGCGTCATAACGTTCGCTTGTGCCCGTTATTCCTCGAGACGTTGCTCGGAAAACGACGTCATTGCGTCAGCAACGGTGACGCAAGCATCGGCGGCTCGGGCACCGGTAACACGAGCAGTCGAGCAAAAAACGCACGCACGCACGCACGCATCTTGGAGGCGTTCGAATACTCCCAGCAGCAGAACGTAGCTCCGAGGTCTTCGCAGCGACTCGGAAACCAAGAGGCACCGGCTGCGGCCCTGCTCAGCCATGCAAATGAAAACGCCGGCCTTCGTAAATCTCCAGGTGCCGATCGTGCTCCATTCGTCTGGTAGAGGGTTCACGAGTGAAATGAGACCGCGGCGCACGCTAATGCTCATGCTTGTGATCGATGCACGCGATCAAGTACCACATCCAGCATGGGGCGTACTTGCGACAACGCCTGCGTCCGCCTGGAGCAAACGTTATTTTCATTGACGCCCCATCGGATATCACCTGCTATGCGACACACTTACTGGGATAGATAAGCAAAGCCAGATGTGCTCGCTCGCGTTTCATGCTGAACTTGTCACGAGACGTATGGACGCAGCAGAACGATTCGTACCATACCTGGCCCTCTGTGGAAGACGGCGTGCAACAGCAGACAACGGCCTGGCGGATGCGCGAAGCAGCAAGCAGGCTCGCAGGCGCATTAGCAAACGAACGAAGTACCCAGCAGGATATTAGGCAAACGGATATGGAGCGAGCCTCGCTGGAAGGCCTCAAAGCGCTACGCGACACACATCCTAGCGTCACGTTGGCTGCATCCATCGATACATACCTCCGACTGAACGTATGGGTAGCAGTACTTGGAAGTAACGTGTGGAACAATGGATACTTTTCCATTCGTTGGTAGCAAGCGCGCCTTCGGAGATCTCTGGTCTGTATACGTGACGTATGTACGTATATATTCTATGAAACTGAGGAAAATCTTATCAGTCTATTTCTGAGATCGCAACCGCAGCACTGTCAGTCTTGAACACATATGTATATGGACGTATATATTCTATGAAACTGAGGAAAATCCCATCGATCCATTTTTGAGATCGCAACCGCAGCACTATCAGTCTTGAACACCTATGTATATGGACGTATATATTCTATGAAACTGAGGAAAATCCCATCGATCCATTTTTGAGATCGCAACCGCAGCACTATCAGTCTTGAACACCTATGTATATGGACGTATATATTGTATGAAACTGAGGAAAATCCCATCGATCCATTTTTGAGATCGCAACCGCAGCACTATCAGTCTTGAACACCTATGTATATGGACGTATATATTGTATGAAACTGAGGAAAATCCCATCGATCCATTTTTGAGATCGCAACCGCAGCACTGTCAGTCTTGAACATCGATGTATATTTACGTACATATTCTATGAAACGAACGAAAATCCCATCGATCCATTTTTGAGATCGCAACCGCAGCACTATCAGTCTTGAACACCTATGTATATGGACGTATATATTGTATGAAACTGAGGAAAATCCCATCGATCCATTTTTGAGATCGCAACCGCAGCACTGTCAGTCTTGAACATCGATGTATATTTACGTATATATTCTATGAAACTGAGGAAAATCCCACGATCCATTTTTGAAATCGCAACCGCAGCGCCAGCCGGCGCGTCGATCCGGCGCGCATTTCCTTGTCCCCAGTACGACTCCTGCACTTGAAGGCACGCGGTAGTTGTGCAGCGCTCATGTCGCGCACCGTACCCTGGCGCTTACCCCAGCTACGTGGAACGAATCTGCTTCTGCAAGATTTGATTGAAATACCGAGTAACAATGGCGCTGAGGTGCCTTTCGAATCGTCTGCGAAAAGGCGTCCGCGTTGGAGTCTGGTGCAGCGCTCAGCTGCAGGAGAAGCTGCCCCCGAGACTGCGGCGAAGGACCCTTTCACCACGTTGCCCGTGGAACTGCGGCTGCGCATTCTCTACCACCTGTTCGTTGACGTTGACGATAGCTTTAACTGTGATGATAATCACCCACAGTCTGAATGTATAGTTCCGAGCGCTGTGGAAAGTCGACGTGCAACCGAGCGACTCTGGCTGGCACAGCGCAGCGTGTACGCCCTGGTGAGCGCCTATCCTACCTGGGCAGAGGTCCTGGAACGCGGACAAGGCAGTTGTGGGAAACGTGGCGCATGTGCAGCGGCTTGCGAAACGCTTCCCTATGCTCGATGGTCCAGTTTCTGGACCACACTTGCCGCGCAAGTGTTCGGATGCTCCCTCAGCCGGGCGCTCTACACGGTGCGAAGCTGGTCACGGATCGGCGGAACACGGGTCCGCGCTGGCCTTGGACGCTCTCCAGCGAAGCTGGCCCAAGACGGCTTGTTGAGATACCACGAACCTTGTCACTGCTGCGGCGTTCGACAGAGCGAGCCAGACCTCTTCTACATCTGGGACGCATGGTGCATCGCCATGGCGACGGATACCTCGTCACCACCTTGTCGTGACTGTCCAGCGCAGCGCGCGCTCTGCTTCCCAGTCTGTCGAAGTTGTTTCCTCGGTGGTGCGGATAGCGCCGGCGACGCGCGAGAAGCCCCGAGCCCCGCCGCACCGGATGACTGGATCCACGAAACTGCACTGGCGGATCATGCGTATGCGCAGCATTCGCTTGCCCGTCCACACTGGTGTCGATCGATGAGTGCACATTTTGGACTGCGGCAGTCTGCTGTTGCATCGGTGTCGTCGTTCGCTAACCAACCTGCGTTTATCACAAAGCAACAGCGCGAGCCGGCTGCCGTCGCGCAAGCTCGTCGCACTGCTCTGGTCCAACTTTTGAAGCAACACCGCGATGGTCGCTCCGACATGGGCTACACCTACGCCAAAGCCCGTGACCAAGTCCATTTGTTTTTCCTACTAGTCGCGGGAAACCAGAGCGCAACGAAAGGGTCTGTTGTATCGAATCGCTCCGTTCGCGAGCTGCACTGGGATTTGAACGATTTTCGCGAGTACTTTCGATCCAAACGAGCGCTTTATCGAGTCGTCAGTGATGCCGCGCTGCCTGAAACCTCCTCCCGTTCCTCTACGCAACTTCCACTGATTAACCAGCGGGACCTATTGACATGGGTCCGACGCCAACGCCAAACTTGACACCAATAGGAGTGTGAACGTTCGTGACGCGACGCGACGCGACGTAGCAGCAGCAGCAGCAGCAGCAGCACCCTGCTTTTGATATAGCGGATTCTGCGGAACAATGCAGTATCGCCTCGGATACACCAGGTGTTGCCTGTAACCAGGGGTGCAAGCTCGCGAACCTTGCCAGCACTTGGAGGTTTCACGAGCTCCATATCAGTGTTTCTCAGAGACCTGGAGCTCATGTCCATGCAGAGATGCAGCAGCAGCTGCGTTTTCCATCATTGCCATGCGAAGACAGCATCGTTTGGTGATGCCTCTACGGACGACGACGACTCGATGACTGAGCAGGCAGCGAAGAAACGTGGATCACACACACACACACACAGACAAACGCCCGTAGCCGCACCTCGAGCAGCAGTGCTTCACCGCCTCGTCAGCACCCTGTGCGGATACCGCTTAACGATCCTGGCGCTGTAGCAAGTCGTGTAACGTCTGCGCTACCCGTTGCGCCACGTTTGTATACTGCCCAGCTTGCTCCAGGGGAAACCAAACCTGCCGTGCTTTCTCGAGGCGCCCTGTACCCGAAAGTGAGTCGCCTTCGGCGCCGCTGGTGGCAACCAAACATTCCCGTACGAGTACAGACGCATCGTGAGCGCGTATGAGCACCAGAAAACGACATGAGCGCGCTCCTGCTCGCTGGAGGTGTTCGTGAAGGCTTCGCCCCGCTAGACCATGGGTGTCGTTGCCGCTGTGCTCGTCATCGTCATCATCGTCATCATGATGATCGTCTTCATCACCGACATTGTTATCATCAACCTCATCACCATGATTGTCGTCGTCGTCATCGTTGTCGTCGGGGATACAGCACCAGCCTTGACGCCAGAGATGCCCCAGGAGCACCAGATACATCACACTGGCGGATGCTGCGCGTGCGACTGTCGTCGCTGTGGACTCGCGCAGCATCCCGACGTACACCGAGGCGAGCAAGCGGCTCGACAAGTCCAGCGAAGACGTCAGGCCCATCGTGGCCACGGCAGCCAGCAAACTCAAATCCACAACGAAACCACAGCCGTATAACTCGGGTAGCGTCAGTGGTGCCGGCATCGAGAGCCCCTTGGATGCTTTAGTGGCTGCAGAAGCGGGTGCCGGTTGTGGCGCCCGAAAGCCGCGTTGCCAGTGACCGCCCCAGAGCACTGGACGTACATGCCGCGTGCCCGTCTCTCCAGTGGTGATTAAAGACGCCTCAAAGCACACCTGATCCGAGCTTGTAAACCGCTCGAGACTCGCTGCCCCAACAGGCCACAGAAATGGGTCCACCAGTACCCGCACAGGTCCCTGGGGCGGCCACGGCTGCGCGACGGGCGCCTTCGACATGCCTGGGGTATCGGCTGCGTCTCTCGCTACTACTACTGTTGCTGTTGCTGTTGTTGTTGTTGTTGTTGCTGCTGCTTCCAAAGACACCCCAAAAGGCGCTAACCATTCGCCGTGGTCCAGCAGCAGCGCCCACTGGCAGAGGACGCGTTCGAGTTGAACCAGGGCGGCCTGCACGAAAGCCGCTTGACCTCCGGTAACCAGCACCGCCGTGCTCGTGGCCAACTGCTGGAGCATCGACAGCGGTGCAAGTTGCTGGCAAGCATGCACCAACTGCTCCGCATGTCGACGAGCAGTTTGGGCACTGGGCTTGTTCCACGGATGCTCCGTTGCCGTCGCCAACAGCCGTAAGAGTCCGTTCCACCCCAGTCGCAAGTGCTGGTGCAGTGCGGCACGTAACTGCGCAAGCGCTCCAGCCTGGTCGCCGACGTCCTCATACTCCAGCGCACGATACACATTGCTATTGCTGCAGCTGCTGCTGCTGCTGCTGCTGCTGGAACTTCCTGTGAGCAGCGCTCGGGTGAGTGCCCGCGTCAGACCCGTATGTCCGATGCGGATGAGCACCTTTTCAACACTCGTTGTCGACACGGACGCACTACCAGAAGCAGCAGAAGCAGAAGCAGAAGCAGCACCAGTGGAAGCTGAATGTGTGCCGCGGCGGTTCTGCCGCTGACGCGCTTTGCTCCCGCGACGTCCAGTCGACGTGCTCGTACCACTCGTTCGCTGTTCCGCTGTCGAAACCAGTTTCATTGGACCTGTAGACGGACAATAGGGCCAGAGCAAACTCGTCGCCATGAAGAGAAGCTCAGCATCGACGAGGAGCAGTGCGCTGGTTGTCTCTTGACCTCGTCGTTGTCGTTGTCGTCGTCGTCGCCGCCACCGCCGCCGCCGTAACTTCAACTGCAGCTCATCGAACTCAAGCAGGGTCGTCGCGAAAAGCTCGTGCCGCTCGGCTGAGGTAGAGTGCCACCATAGAGCGCTCGCAGCGCCATGCAGCTGCTCGTCGCTAGCGACGGTACCCATCGAAGAGGAGCGCGAAGCCTGCATCGAGCTCTCGTTCGAGCGCACTCGGCATGCCAACGACGACGACGACGACGACGACGACACATGAACGCTTGCCGCTGCAGACATTGCACCCGAACGGCGCTGGACGAGACGCTCACCGCTGCGGATGTTTGCAGGAGCGCTTTTGCTGAGCCCAGGCGCCTCGAAAAGCGCCTCAAGGTATGCACAACCCGCCAGCGGGTCGTCAAAGCTCCTGGGGGCATCCAGTGAACGCCAGCCCCAGACCGTGGCGACTCGATGGAAGCGCAAGGGAGGTGCAATGCTGGCTCGCGTCAACGCTTCCACAGCTGCACTGGATGACATCCACTGCTCCAGAAAGTCATGAAATCGTTCCGCAGGCAACCAAACGTATTCGCCAGTGGGCAATAACACCGGCGTGGCGGCTCGACGACCTGCTGCTGCGGCCTGCGAATACCCCGCCACACCTTCGGTACCCGCTCTGACAAGGCGTTGTGCACTCTCGACGCCACCGGTACCGTTGCTACCCAGCTGGTGGCGAGTCCGGTGCGCTTCCGTGGTGTTCACTCGACGCAGTCCGTTTGCGATGCGCGAATCCAGTACAGAAGCGTCCACATGGTGCTGGAGCACGAACGCAACACTCTGATGACGCTGCAGTACGGCAACAGCCTGGTGGAGGCAGTTCCAGGCTACAGGTGATGCCTCGAGGCAGCTGTGGACGATACCATGCGCTGCACCAGACGACGCATGTGAGGATTCACCCGGCGCCTGGTGGATGTCGCGCTTCCGCACAAGTGGTGCCGCTCCACGCAAGGCGCCCTCGAAAAGCGCCCCAATGACGCGTGTTCGGAGTCGCCGGTCCACAGTGGACACTGGATCTGCAACTGCCTGTAGCAGCTCGGACCAGTACTCGTGTTCGACTTTCACCGGAAGCATCTTCAACAACTGCTTTGCACTGGGGCGTTCGTCGGGGTTCTTTGCCATCAGGAGGCGGATCAAGCGGGTTTGACGCGGGAGCTTTTCCGCGAACGCTGCAGGTACTTGCAGCCTTTCGCGCAAATTCGTCAGTATCACAAAACGTTCGTGTTCGGTTACGGAGCTGGAGCCATCTCCACTGGTCTTGCATCCAGGAGCGGCTGTGGCAGCAGTACGCTGCATGGGACCGTAGAAGAGTTCGAACAAGATGACGCCGAGCGCGTAGATATCGACTTTGGTGTCGTAGGTGGGCGATGACGATATCGGCTGCTCGGTATCCTGCTCGTTGCTCGCTGGCCTCATGGATAATTCGGGTGCTCGATAGAAGGCGGTTCCAACTGAGCGCGTCAGCTCCAGGGCAGCACTTGTTTCACCAGCACCATCAGCACTAGCAGCATCAGCAGTTCCGCGTGCATTCGTCGCTTCGGCAGCGCCCGGGGCACGTCGGAGAGACGCCACACTCAGCGTGGTCGCCAGCCCAAAGTCTCCTATTTTGATCGAAATGGACTCGGTCTCCGTCCAGGTGTGCGACAAACGATCACCAAGCGTACCTTGAGAAGGAGACGACGAGACACGAGGCCCGCCAACGAAAATATTGGTTGGCTTCAAGTCCCGATGGATGAGCATCAGCGAATGCAGGTACTCAACACCTTCGACAATCTGTCGAAAGACTTGCCACAGATCGGTACCAGCGTCCAAGTCTTGATCGATAAAAGCGCGCAGTGTGCGTGGACAGTACTCCATCTGAATGAAGAGAAAAGCGACGATGGCACTCGATGACTCGGGGCCAGCGGACGTTGCTCCAGTTGTATCGCTGGAAGGCATCGAATACGAGAGCTGCTCCCGCAACACAAGCGATGCCAAGGATAAAGATGGCTGCTGCTGCTGCTGCTGTGCTTGGTACTGTGCAGCGGATGTATTCGCTGCAGACGCAGCACCAAGGGCGCGTTGCGAGTCTTGGGCACCAGTGCGAGCACTCGAAAGGGCCTCTGAGAACCGCAGCACATCGATAGGCTCCACCCAGCACCCATAGTAGCGTACACAACGTGGGTGCGCTAAGCGGCTCAATGTGGTGGTTTCTCGCAGGATCCGCGGATCTTCAAGGTCCTTGCGGTGCAGCGGCACGATCTTGACAGCGTAGATGCGCCCGTCAAGTCGCTGTCGGACCTTGACCACAGCGCCAAAACCACCACGACCGAGCAGCTCCAACATGTCAAAGTCTGTTTCGAAGCGGGAAGTACGTTTTCGAGTGCCAGCAGGCGGCACATTGCCCTGCAGCAGGGATCGATGTCGCCGCTCTTCTCCATGGCCGAATTGTAGCGTGTGCTGTGCATGTGTGTGCGACGTTAACGACAGGGGCGCTTTCCGTTCTTTCTCCTGACCTGACTGCAACGACTGCTGTGCACGTCCATGTGACGTCTTGCGAAACCGCTCTCCATGGACAAACTGGCGACAATAATGCCAGGCAGTGCTGCCCAGAACCCGTTTCACCGTCGCCTCTAGCCGATCAGGTGCCTTGCGGGTCAAGGCTTCCCCGAACGAGAGCAGATTTGTGACGCTACCATCCACGTCGCGATCATCGTTGAGTTGGATCATTAGTGGAGCACTGGGAATGCCCTGGATACGATCATCGTCGCAGTCTTCTGACGCTGATGCCGCCGCTGCCGAGCGCTCCAGTACAATGCCGAGTTTGCGATGCCATCGCGCACAAGCCGCAGCAGCCTCATCTGGTGTCATCTGGGCGCAGAGGCTCTCGAGAAACCACTTCAAGACCTGTTGTTGGTGCTCTTGTTGAACGGTATATGTGCTCGACGGAACTCGGTCGTGGTGGTGGTGGTGGTGGCGGCGGCTGCGGCGGCGGCGGCTGCGTCGCGCTCTTTCAGAACCGCTTTTAGCAGCGGTTCCAGGTAGCGTCTGCTGTGCAGGGCTAGTCTTCGTCGATGCAGAGGCACTGCAGCCCGACTTTGACGCCGATGATGCGTCTGTGGAGGTACCGCATGCCGATGACCTGTGTGGCTTCGAGTGGGTCCAACACCAGTCGGCAAAGATGCCAGTATTCTCCGAGGTCGACGGCGATCCGCTTACGCTGGCGGACTGACTCGGGTGCTTGCCTTTCCTGAGCGCACGAGGGAACTCGGCAACGGCGATACTGCTATCGTCCGAAGACGCACTACGCATACTATGGGATAAACTGGACGACGGCGATGATGATGACGTTCGCAGAGACCCCAACGATAACCAAGAGGAGCGAATGCCCTGCGAGACACCGTACGATGCCGCTTCCCAGGCGGCTACGCTCGAGACCCTCTCATACGCAGCAGCAGGCTGTGCGGTGGCATCACCGTCCGAATGCTCGCTACGTTCTGCATCGAGATCATCTTGGTGCCCCGACCATATCGACACATCATCCAAATCACGCGCTACACGCCTCTCTGACTGCTGTTGCAGAGTTTCCCGCAACGCTTCCAGAATCGTCCACGAAGGTGGAACGTCCCAGGGGTGTGCGTTCGTGGCAATGCCCGAGCCTCCTTCCGCTGTGCAGTGCCCGTCTTCGTCGACTGCTGTCGATGACTCCGCCATCCGCTGGTACTGGAGTTTGCGCGCAAGTCGCTCTTCGGCAGCGAGAGCCTCCAGCGTCTGAAGCCGCTCGGCCTCCTCGCGCTGCTGCTGCAACCTCTCGAGACGCTCTCGCTGCTGGGCGGTTCGTTCCAGTTCAGCACGCTCTTGTTCCTCAAACTGTCGCTGTTCACGCTCAAGCATGGCCTCGTGGAGTGGACGAACAATGGTCCCTGCTTCGCCGAGATCATGGCTTGCCTCGAGGTATTCGCGGAGAAAGGTTCGCGCGAGCTCTACCACCTCGTAGCCCACAGATGTTCGCGCTCTGGCGGCTTCCTCACAGAGGCTCTGGATCTTTCTCCGCAGTACCTCCAGATCATTCGGCGATAACGACCATTTCTGTGTCGATGCTGGACCAGCGGAGACACCAACACGGGCTCGAGCTCGCCAGCCTCCACTTGGATAGCCTTGCGGTAGATGAAAGCGTAGTCGCACGCCTAGAGCGTCGTTGGCAGGTTGGTTTGCACTCGCCACATGGACGTCGACCTCGAAGTGGAGTTCGTCGTCGTCGCTTAGGATGCGTAGCTCAGACCCGTAGATAGCTTGGAGTGCTTCAAGCTCTTCTGAACGAGCTTCGGCAGCGCCCATTGCCAAGGCACAATGTTGTGTGTTGGCGCTTGCTCACCGACTCGCTTACCAGTAAGCTCGAGCGAAGCACTCTCCGAGCATGCAGCGCATCCAGGATTTGGACTCGGAGCGTGCTCGCTCAGCTGGTACCGAGAAGCGGCCGTCACTTTACGGACGCTCGTATCAAAGTAGCAGTGTCGTTCGCAAACGAAACGAATCACAGACGTTGTCGCTGACCGGGATGCGGTCCTGTTCAACAACAACAGCAACAACAACGCCCCGGCAAGCTGGGTACTACGCGATGACGTTGACGTTACGCTCCAAGAGCGCTCTTGGCTAGCAGTAGAACGACCAAAGGCTTTCGTTTTCCAGCGCTTCAACGGACGAGGAACGAAGCGGTATCGTCGACGCAGCGCTTGAAAAGCGCTGTTCGCAACCTAGCGGACAGACCAATCGCCAGTGTCGTGCAGGTCTCCGTCGAAGACCAGGATACCTCGTTCAAGCAGTTTTTCTAACGTTAGCCAAAAGAAAGAGACCAGGCCAAGACCCAAAGTGCCTGCTCAGACAGTTTCGCACCGCGAGCTGAACGCCCAAGCCAACGTTCGTTGATACGGAGCTCCCAGAGGGATCGTTTTTGTTGTTGTTGATACGCAGACGCTCAAATGAGGACTCGTGGACGCACCTTGGCACTCAGACGACGTCAAGGTGCACGGTTGAGAAGGCTCTCCTATGAGGTAGGTGAGCGAGCTTCAGCGACATAGTATGATGGCTATGATTGCAGCGTTGTTGGCTGGTCTGAAAGATACGTTCCGCTGGAGCCGTTCACAAGAGTTTGGGTATTCTTCTTTGTACCGCAACTGGTGAACACGTAGGCGACACCGAAGCTAAACTATGACTCGAGTTCACCGTCTATTTCCGTTTTCTACGACCTGTGCTTCTCCTGGTGGTTCCACGTACCGGACCGGGTGCGAAAGGTATTTCGTACCTTGGACGCAGGCTAGGCACGGAGACGACCTCCCGGCAGGCGAGCGCTTCTAGTCACCTAGCGAGGCCCTGTCGAGCAACAGTAGGTGCAGGCAAGCGTGTCCAGGAGAATCGTCGTCCGTCTGAGGATATGAGACTCGAGTTTCACCAGCGTTTCTCGATGTTCCACTAGGTCGCCTCGGACGAGCGCATGCACCTGTCTCTAGCGGGTAGGTTATTCGGAGAATTCTGTCCGCAGACAAGACGCAACGGGTAGAGGTCTCGTCGGCTAACCGCGTGTCCCATAACGTCATACCACCTGAGGGCTTGACGAGGTACACCCATGTCAGAGGAATCGAACGGGTTTATTTACCAATCTGGGTCGGAAGAGCTCAGGTTTTGGTTTGTTTATACTGTGGTCAGTGTCAGGGTTGTGCGGGTGTTCGCTGTGACTGCGCGCTCTTCATCTCTCGCGTGTGTCCGGCTTTACATATGCAGGTCTCTGCTGTTGCTCCAGCTCTGTCGTCAGTATTCGAACGCTGCTGATAACAGCAGAAAAAGTCCGAACTCAGCTGCTCTCGAATTTTGCTCATGCATTTCATGCACAGATGTATGTCGCCAGGTACGCTTCGCTTGCAGTTTACGTACTTTTCATCACGGCCTCGGTACGCTCTTTGCAGCTGTGACAACTGAATGTAGTCAGATGTTCGCAGATGTACACGACGCCTACCGCTGTCCCCGAGGTCGACCCTGTTACGCGTGACCAGCACGACATCGCTTGCTCCATGCCGTTGACCGGTACGGGAGACTCGTGTTGTTGCCGTCCTCGGTTTCCGTACCCGGTGCCGTACCGCACGATCACGAGCTTCTTTTGGTCGATGCCCTCGAAGAGTTCTTTGTCTGTTGCACACGCAAGCGCATGCCGGTCCATCCGATGGACGATTTGTGGAACTCGATGCTGTCCATGATGGAACAAGCACCGGAAGGAGAATCTATGCTCGAGAACATGTCGAGAACTTTTGATCGATCTATGCTCCGTTCATGCATATCAGTGAGGCACGTTCTACTTAAAGCGATCTACTTGATGACTCAAGTCAGACTCCAAAAAGCGTTTCCATCCAGAAAGGAATGATGGAAGCCTCCGGGATCAAGGCACGTAGGCAGTATCATGCTGTTATCGGATGCAGTTTCCTCGATGATCGTAGACAAATGACGACGCGACTTTCGATCGACATCGATGGTTTGAAGTGACGTGTTGAGTGAACCGGGATCAAGTCACGTAGGCAGTATCATGCTGTTATCGGATGCAGTTTCCTCGATGATCGTAGACAAATGACGACGCGACTTTCGATCGACATCGATGGTTTGAAGTGACGTGTTGAGTGAAGTTCCGGCACGAGCTTGTGAACGAGTCATCGAGAAACGACGTCGAGTATGTCCTCGTGGTTCATCCATCGGCGCGAATCGCTGCGCCCACAAGCCGCCGTGAAACAGGAACATCGAAAACTTGAAGAACACCTGATTCGGGCATGCTCTACCTAAGGAAATGGGGAACACTGGGGACCTCTGCCCATGCCTTGGATAACGAACGATGATGCTGCGAGCCACTGTTCCAGGGTGTCGCGTATCATCATCTTTCCGGTGGTGCAGCGAGTTCCAGTTGCGACGAGCCAAAGGCGTCACACCGGAAAGACAACCGAGCATCCTAAAAGTACGCATGAATTTGACAGTCCCGATAGCTGCACTTGGATATCGACACTGTACATCTAAAACAATTATCGAATGACAAGAACAGAGCGTACACATCAGTGTTCCAGTTTTATTCAACGCGAGTTTAGGGCACGAACGAGTGCTGAGGCTGTCGCTCGACGCTCGACGCTGTGGGCGACCAGTTTCAGAACGAGAAAGCGGCTCTTTACTCGATAGTCGAACGGAAGAGCTCCGTCTAGCTACCGTACGAGGATGACGTCCGCTCCGGCGGATTCGTTTGGCGGAGAGCATTCGAAAACGTTCGTCTCGACGCTGGCCGGAAGCAGCGGGGCGGCTCCTGCACCCTTGTTCGCGGAGACTGGAGCTCTTGTGAGCGGTTTCGACCTCTCGCGTGAAGCAGAACAGCGAGAACGCCCTCTGTGGGCGCAACTCTTCGACCAGCCCGCCACAACGTATGGGTTTACGGACGTGGATCCGTTTCTGCTCCCCGAGGGCGCCGTACTGGTGCCGTTTGAGACGCTGGAGAAGCCTCGACACGTTGCCGAGGGAGAGGCTCCGCGCCCTGAGGCGTTGCACCTCTACGGAGTGGATCGTTTATCCACGCGAGACTTGAAACGTTATTTCGTGGAGAACGAGTGCATCGAGCCGAGCTGGATAGAGTGGATCAATGACTCCTCGTGTAACGCTGTTTTTGCGGATGAGCATACCGCGAACTGGGTGCTCGCTCGGCTCAGCATAGGTCCTCCGATGGAACCCGATGTTCTGCGTGCGGAGGAAGAGCGCTGGCTTGGTATTCAGCAGTCGTCGATGGCGGAGCATCAGCGCCGAGAAGAAACTGCGCAGCATGATCCTGAGCTGAAGAAAGACGCAGCGGAGGTAGAGGCGCCTGTTTCGCGGATGAACGACGATGCGGAGCAACCGAGCATGCTTGCCGCTACAGAGCCGCAGCAACCTCTGCAGGATGCCGCAGCGTCAGCGAGCAACGAGCACTCCCCGAAACAGGGCGCGTTGACTGCTCCTCCGGCGTCTGCAACAAACCTGAAGCCAGAGACGGGTTCGGTTTTCATGCCTGCTGCTGATCCGCTGCTGTGGTGGCGACCTGCACGACCCTTCCCGTCATCGCATAATACCTGGCTGCCTTTACGTATCCGCCGAGCGACGGTAGTCGACGTGCGGCCGGAGCGCCCAAACCCCCAGAGCGCCTGGAGTCGTTCGGTGAGGCAGCCCCGAAAGCAACAACGTCGTCGTTCGTATCCGGAGGAGTCTCGAAAGCGGGTGCCTCGAGAGCGGCGTTTTTCTGCCGCAGGAGCTGCTGGGCGCATCCAGGGCCGCATCCAAAAGGGACACAGGCGTCATCCGGGGAAGGCAAGGCGACCTCTTCGGTCGAGCATCTCTCGGGCAGATGCACTGGAATCCAGTGCGAAGCAGCGTGAATCGAAGCCCTCACAGCACGCGCGAGAGGATGCCTCCTTGTAAGGCAGCATGCGGCTCGAATATAAAGCTTGGATGCGCTACTACTACTACTACTGCTGCTGCTATCGCAATTTCGATTGCCTTTCGCACCAGGTACCAGTCCATGCAGTACGTAGTACGCTTTGATTGAACCCATCTGGGTACTTTTCGCTGGATCATCAATGATGATAGGCGTGCTGCATCAGGCCCGTATCCCGTTAGGGTCTCCGTTTCCATATGACGTCGCCGTGCCGCACGACCTACATTTCAAGCTCGCCTACTCGGCGTCGGAAGGTATCGTACAGCGTATCGACGTCGTGCGCGAGTTGTCGTTTGTCTTCCTCAGTGATCTGCTCATAGGCGTGCATTGCGTCTAGACGCCGAACCCACTGCACAATGCGCTCTCTCTGGACGGTAGCGTCACCGTCGGCTGTCCCAAAAACCGCGCCCATTCTGCCGAGGACCAGCAGGATTTCTCGCAAATACGGGAGCAAACGGTCGACCGAACGCTCGCCGAGTTCCAACGCGTCACGGAATGTCAAGAACGCCTCGGTTGCCTGTATTGCAGCCGCTGTAAAGTTACGCCTTCGCGTCTCATCGCTGCTGTTTGCATGCTCGACGGTGGCAGGCACACCGACCTGCAGTCGATTCATCGCCGCTCGGGCAGCGAGGTGGTACTCCTCAAGAAAGGATATCACAGACGGCACATCGTCCATGACGAGCTGACGCGTTGCCCGAAACTGTGCGATCAATCGTGAGCAGTTGCGTGTGTAGTCTTCATCGGAGACGGCGTTAGCGCGCCACGCCCGCTCCAGGTACTCCACGCAAGTGATGATAGCGTAGAGGTCGGCCATGGCGACCAGTGTCTCGTGCTCCGCCGGAGACTTTGCCTGCGTCGCTGCACTTATGCTATCGAGAAACCGCTGCATAGGAAACGCGGTGCACCAGAGGCTCGAGCTCTGCCCACAAACTAGTTTCGCGGACCCAGACAGGGTCTGATGAGCGCACAACGAGGTCAGCGCTACGCACTAGCGTGCGATGCCGCGCACGCTCCACCCAGTTGCGGGAGTACAGGCGAAACAGACCTGGAGCTGCACGAGCAAGCGAAACGTATGGAGTGCTCGTGCGCACTGACCGGTACGCGAGCGAGGTTCTGTGCTGCACCGTTGCCCGGCTGTGTGCGCCTATTGGGACATTTATTGACACGTGTTGTGGGGTCCATCCGATGAAGCACCTGCTGCAAAGCGGTATTCGCGATTGCGTTTCAGCGCAACATGATCGCTGGGGTACGCAGTGACGGTGACTCAATGGGGTAACGGATGCCGTTTTTCTCGAAAGATGGCGAGGGTCCACTGACACCAGGCTAGCCTTGCCGTCAAGAAAAGGCGCGCGCTGCATCCGGTGACGATTCGGGTGCCGAGGCTTCCACAGGCACCCGCAGCGGCGCTGGATGAGACGTTGCTGCCGCGCACACCCAGCAGGGACAGAACGACGTTGCGGTGCTCTAGTGCCGCTTGTGTAGATGTCAGCCCGAGGTCTTGAACCTGCGAGAGAGAGAGAGGTGAGGCCAAGACGATCGCCTGGACACAGAACGACACGCTGGAGGAGGTGGTCGACTTGGAGGCAGCGTGGACGCTGAGCACGCTCCTCAGCCTCTTTGCTGGACTCAGAGAGAGAGCGGTCCAGCTGCGCAGACGGTGCTGAGGCACTCGCCACCGCGTGGGTCTAGAACGCAGTGCCCGCGTGATTTCGTCGGACATGCGGAACGTTCTTCCTCCAAAATAGCCTCTGGAAGTGGAGGCTTGGGCATTCCACAAGAGCTATTTTCTTGATCGAACCTTGCGAGACACAAATCCGAGCCGAGAAACCCCCCACGAGCTACCCAGCGCTCACGGATACAATGCATCCGCGGCGCGTCTGCGGCAGTACCAGCACCACCGCTGCCGCCTCAAGCTCGTAGCGCTCGAGCGATATCCGAATCCGCTCATGTTGCTGCGCGATCCCGAAACAAGTCATCTTGAAGCCTTGCATCTGCGCTTCAGAGACAAAGACGGATCAGCCGTTCCATGTTGCACACGGAGTATACTGCCTGTTAACCATAGCCCAAGGTCTTTGTCGAAATCGACGCCATGGTTCAAGAGATACCAGAAACCTGATGCTTGACTTGGGCCGCTACCGCAACCTCCACCAGCGCGAGCTGCCCAAGACCAAAGAGCCGTCCTGCTCTCTGCTTGTCACTATGCCCAAGTGCATGCCGCCTTTCTTCACGAATCGGGACTGTTGCTATCACGAATTCCGTTCCAGCCTGCATAATCGCCCCAGCTCCATAAACGATAGAAACGCATCCGGAAACATGTCGCTTCCAGGTAACTGCGGTACGCGAGACTGCCTCGCTGGCCTCTACGGCGTCTATCGTCTGCCGCCCGTCCTCTGGCCCCGACATCTGTAAACTCTATCGACCGCTGCCCGACACTTGCGGTGTCTGCGGCACACACGCGAGCCTGTGGCAGGTGCTCGTGCGCCACAAACACGTGTCCCTGGGTGGCGACGATGCGCGACGCCCAGACGGAGAACGTTTGTTTTATACATTTTTATACCGATATATCCCGTTCTGTGTGCGATGGTGCGCGCTCGCAAGCAACACTGGCCGAGTGCAACATTGTACCTGGCGCTGGGTACCGTGGCTGCAGTGCATTCGACTCGCGTTTGCTGCCCGGTTGAAGCGCGTGTGTGGCGTTGCTGCTCGGAGCAGTTGCCCTACCTGAAGTATCTTGGTGCTGCAGCACCAGCTCCATGGGTTCAGACCTCGGGGCCAGCCGAGCTGCAGCTTCGTTGTATGCAGGGCGTGCGGCGAGCGGCCACCGACGCCGTGCGCGCCACCACGCAGAGGCGATGCAGCCACGGCAACGGCTGTGGTCTGAACGACGTTTACCTGCTCCTAAAAGCAACGGCTCTGTGCAGACCGGCCCGCAATCCACCCGTGAGCGCAAGAAGAGCTTGCTCGGGGTCGAGGACCGCGCGACCGAAGCAGTTTCGGGCAAACAACGGCGATTGCTCCCCGGCACGCTTGGCCTGGCAGTTTTGGTCTTCTTTGCGAGTCGAGGTTTATGGCGGTGGGGCTCTCGAAGACGGCAGCGACGGCGAGCCGGACGAGAGGGTGCAGAGGCGCGGTCTCATGAACGGCGTCGCTCGAGCCAGGGCGAAATATCCGTTGTTGAGCCGGCGCCGGTGACGGCACCGTCGCTACCAGAACTGCCCCAGCGCGATCCGCTTTCGATGTTGGTCGAGGCAACGGCACAGGACGTTGACGCCTCAGCGCTGCACGTGTCATCACATGAGGAGCCACCCGTGAGTGCGCAGCCAGCACCGCCGGCACCAGAACCCAAGCTCCCGAGCAAAGCGCGGCTACCAGTGACAAACAGTGAGAAACGCAATCCCGGTGTCGTCTCGGCGTTTCTATCGCTCGGGAGAATTGTCACAGGGGGTGCTTCGAATCGAGCACATCGACAAAACGAGCGCGCGAAGACGACGAAAGCTGCGGACAGAGCGGAGACCGCCACTCCCGTGTCCGAGAAAAACGCATCCGCCGCTGCTGTCGAGTCGGCAGCGGCACCGGTCGCTCGCGACGCTGAGCGCTTGCCCACAGTGGAGCTTGCTGGAGTCATTGCCGAGGATGCACGGTCCTGTCCAGCAGCAACAAACGAGAACGCGACCACAGGAAGCGTCCCTGGCGAGTCCGAGGTATCCAACGGATCACGAGCCTCGAACGCGAGCACCGACGCGAACACGAAGGCTGCAGGAGAACGCCCTCCACTGGCGCAGGTGCCCCAGTCCGCAACGGAAAGTCGATCTGGACCACAACTGAGAATCCAGAGCGCCCATCCGCTGTATAGCATGGTACGTGCTTCGCAGCTACTTGCGGCGGCGCGAGCATTGGAGCTGGAACTCTACGGCGAGCAAGCGCTTGTTCGCGATATTTTTGCGGAAAAGCTAGCCGGCGCTCGTTTTATGGCCGCCCAAAGGGAGCGCGCCCGCACCAGCACCACCGATCAACTATCCCGAATACCGGTCCGAACGCGCTACTTTGACGACTTTTTAATGCGATGCCTGTTCGGCAAGGAGCAGGGCTCGGCATCGAACGAACCACCTCCACGCCAGGTCGTCATCTTGGGTGCTGGGCTCGACATGCGAGCCTACCGGCTGGATATACCGCGGGATACAGTCGTCTACGAGCTCGACATGCCCGTCGTGCTCGAATACAAACTGCGGATCTTGCGGAACGATTTTCCCAGCTACAAACCAAAATCTCTGGTGAAATATGTGCCCAGCGACTTGACCAAAGACTGGAAGCAAGATCTCCTAGCTGCTGGCTTCGATCCAGGCAACAGCTCCGTGTGGTTGCTCGAGGGCCTCACCTACTATCTCCCCGAGTCTCTGTGTCGCGCGCTCTTCAGCGACATGCGCAGCCTCATGCCGGTAGGTCGAGCATCCTGGACAGGGGCGAGTTTTGTGCAGGAGGCCCTAGTCCGCAAACTACAAGCCCGAACAGCCTCAACGCCACGAACGAGCGAGGAGTCCACCGAAGAGACGCTCCAAAGTGGTGAACTGCCCCAGAGGCCTGGGCTCGAAGCCCACAGCTCCCGAAAGCGTGCAACACCGTCGAACAACCACAAGCAGAGTGAGAACAGTCACACGAGGCAGACGCTTGTTTTTGGTACAGACGATCCAGAGGGTTTCCTCAAGTCCTTCGGGCTCTACACCACAACGATTGTGTACCTTGGGGAGAAGGGAGCCAACTACGGACGCTTCGCCAAACCCTTCCGTCATACCATGTACGTCATAGCGTTCGCTGGATAAAGCAGCCACGCAGGCATTCGCTACCAGCAAGAGCGACACGCCTTTCAAGCGACAAACGCTATACAGCCGGTGTACAGTGGTGACGAGCGGCGCTATGCCCGCCGTAGGCTCTATGTCTGCCCACTGACGTGCGGACGCCTCCTGGTCTTTTTCGGCGGGCCCCTGCTATCGACTTCAGTTTTTCCTTGCATATTTCGAGCGAGAGAAACTACCCCACAAGGTTAGATTGCGTCAGCTCCGCGGGTCTCGTCATCAGCACCGCACATCGTCTGATATGGACGGCGGCGTTAACGTCTCAGTTCACGAACTCCAGGCGTTTCTTGCCTCTGTTAGATGACGAAAAGCCGCCTGAGGAATCGTAGAGACATACATAGAACAGTAGAATTCTGGTCCCGTCGTCCACCGAATTCGTTTGAATTTCGATGAAGAACACGGACGAAGAGCATAGCGACCAAATCCATGCCGCCCTGCAAGGTGCACGAGGAGGACACAATTCCACCAGTGAGAGAAGTGGGAGATCCTCTCGAAAAGAGTACAATAAAAATAGAAGCACACTCGAAACCGGCAGGCCAGTATGAGGCTATTGTCACGGGCTTCCGATGGAAGCATATGAAAGGCGAGCATCCCCCGAAAACGCGATGCAGGATGTCGTTCGGGATCGCTCAGCTTCGTACTTGGAAGAGGCTCGACGAGCCTCCCTCGCCATGTCGCACCGCTTCAGCCAACTTTCCATAAAAGTTCTGGAGGCATGGTTGTCCGCTATCCGTATTCCTCTGGGATCTTTCAATCAAACCTGCGTGCGGGAACACTACTGATGCTCGATGCAGTAGATGAGATGCGGCTGGATCGTAGGATTACCGCCTTGCACACACGTTTCACGGGATACATTGATGGGTCGCCATTTCCAATGACCATCTGACCAGCTACAGCGTCGGTCCCAGTACGTATACAGCCAAACGAACACATCATGTGCGAGGCACTGTAAAGCGCTTAATGAGGGACACGCTGTGGGCGTTGTAGTCTCATCTTGCTGGCTCAGAAATGTAGGGATTGATGCAACGGAGTCTCCTGTGGTGCCTGCAAAGGCTCTATGTCGCCTCAACTTTCGACGTAATCGTCAGTACTCAGTGTTGGCATGGTGTTGGATTGCTGCAGCCTTTCGATGAAAAGGAAATCAGCAGCCCGGAGAGCCGGTGTTGAACTCTCGCCTGGGGCAAGGCGCTGGTATAGTGCGGTTCCGTCATCCAACACGATTGGATTGCTCTATTTTTGAGTCGGATACCATGCTTCTGAGCAATCGGCGAAAGATATGGTTGTTTCTTTCTCCGATATTACTGGATATGCCAGGGCACCGACAACGGCTCCACAGGCGCTTCTGATACTTTTTTAGCGTGAAGAATCATTGCGTTTCAATGAACGCTCCCAAATACGTGAATGCTGCCGTCTGTCCGGCAAGCAACCGCAGCGCCGCTTCTGATACTTTTTTAGCGTGAAGAATCATTGCGTTTCAATGAACGCTCCCAAATACGTGAATGCTGCCGTCTGTCCGGCAAGCAACCGCAGCGCCGCTTCTGATACTTTTTTAGCGTGAAGAATCATTGCGTTTCAATGAACGCTTCCAAATACGTGAATGCTGCCGTCTGTCCGGCAAGCAACCGAAGCGCCGCTTCCGATGGTTTAAGGGTTCACCACCAGGTCTGGCACAGCTTCCATCTGGAGCATCAGCGCGGATGTCGAACAATCCATACGACCCTAAAGAAGCAGCGCGTATCGCCGGCGTCAGCCTTTGGCGGCACCGCAAGGCTACACAATGTCTAGAACGGGCGATGCCCGCATGTCCTGCGTGTAAACCTTCGGTACATCGCAGAACTGGACTCAATCCGGCCATCCAGGTGTGGCTCTGGATGCCGTTGCGTACCATGCAATGCATCACGGTGAGGGGCGTACCTCGTACGCCGTAAAGGACCGCGACGTCGATCCCGCACTGCCTCTGGCATTGACATAGACTCGTCTAATTACGTCGATGCGCCTTTCGAGCCGTTCCCTGCTTCCTAGATTCGTTCCAATGGACCAGGTCAATGATTATAGAGGAACGCGTTCATGAGAAGCCGCCGTACGTGCATTCGATACCGCAGACTCGGTGCCTTGGATCGCACACTGCAGCCGAGCTGGACTGCAGGGACGCCTCCGTAGTGCCTCCGGCACCGTTTCGTAGTCGCCAACTGGTGCCGCGTTTCCCGTCGTTTCCTGGGCTCGCTCACGAGCCAGCTCCAATGTGGCATGACGCTGACTCTGCTTTTCGCAGTAAAACTGCACAAATGCATACAAATGTGCTGATCGGGCATTCCTGTGCTTGTCATTCACGAGCTAAGAAGCTTGTTTTCGCGCAGATACTCCACAAATCCGTCTAGGAGTACAGGCCAGGCATCCCCCTGGTTGTAGTTCGCAAAGAAGCTGGATCCTGCGACCTGGGTTTCGCGCGCAAACATTAGCACCCAGTACCATGTATCACGTGAGATGATGGTGCCAGCCATTCCACAGCGCGACTCGAGGTATGCGTCAAAGTGCTCGAGATATCGCCATGGCTGATTGGCGACTCCCGCTGGCGTTCCCGGGGAAGCAGGCGTCGCGAGATAGCACGATTCGCTGAGAAACTGTTTCCAGAGGTAACGGGCGTCAGTGAGCGACAGCGAGCGCCGGTATGGGCTCTGGCGGTTCAAGTCAAAGGCGAAAAGGTAAAAATCAAGAGCGGCTTCAGCAGAACGCTGCGTGTAGGACAGGACGGCGTCCGGAAAGGCCGATCGGAGCCGTTCAAACAGTGCTGTCGATTCCCTTGGCCAGATACTGGTTTCGAGAAGCGTTGAGCATGTCGCCTGGACTTGTTCCCAGCGTCTGGGCTCATTGTGCTGCCGCCGGTCTAGTGCCCAGAGCGCGTAACGCACGCCTCGCGCAAAACCCTCTTCTCTGCAATGACAGGGGTACTGCCAACGTCCGAGCCAGGCAAACGCTAAGGCAGCCAGCGAGCGCATGTCTACACCAAGCTCAGTAAAGAAACGAACCAGCGCTCTTGGGCCAAGGTACCTGGGGCCACGTTCAGCACTGAAGATGTTCCCAGGTGCCGTAGCGCTGGAGCTGTTCGTTGCGTCGGATGATTGCGGTGGTAGCTGTACACTCTCGATGGATGCGTATAGTTCGAAAAGCTCACAAATTGCACGCTCAGTGAAGTCGGGTATCCGTGGAAGCTCTTCCAAAGCGAACATTGCCCATCAGCTGCGAGTTGGGTCCAAGTCAAAGGCACCGGGCATGCGGTCGCTGCTTCTTTGGTCCAGAGCTGGAGCGGTCGCTGCGTTCTGCAGCCTCCACTACAACGATGCGGCAGCGGACGTGTCGATCTCTCGGAGCTGGGGCGTAGACAACGCCCAGAAAGCGTGCCACTGCGACGAACTAGAGAGTATCTGCGGCTTCCAATGAGGCGTCAGATGGCGTGTTGGAGCAGTCCACTCTTTTCTACCACGCTGCTGCGCGTAGATGATAAGGGAAGAATATTCAGAAACGGAGGGCTTCCCGTGACCTGTTTCCTATGATGAATGGAATCTTCGGGAGGAAACGCTTCTACGAAGCGTGCTGTATCAAAAAGCTTTCGAATTGTTTGCTTCCTCTATTCAAAACCGAGGCCAGAGAATTGGCAGAGCAAACGAGTCTGTGATATGCGCCGATGCGGCAGTTCCGGAGGACACACACCGTCTCTCGCAGTCGCAACAGCTTTGATCTGCTTGAATGAGTTGTCGTTAGTCTAGCACAACCAGGAGAAGTACCGATGAACCAAGCGACATACTTTGCCACCGCGCTGAGAGAAACTGTGTATACAGGATTCAGGCTGTGGTCAGAAGGGAAAACAACAGACACCTCGTAAGCGACCTGCACGTACCTTGTTCCGCCTCCGACTCTGATGAGGCAGCACTTGGGAGTCCTCTTTCTCTGGATTTATCGTAAAAGCGTTATCTGCTGCTGTTGCTGCTGCTCAAACTGAACGCCTGAACCTGAACAATCTTTACGTGCTCGCGGAATCTCCCTCAGGTGAAGAACGAGCACAGAACGCGTACCACTCGGATACCCTCTCAGTGAAATAGATAAGCCACAGACTTTTACGACAAGCGGTGTTTTCAGGATTTATTGGTCGTGAGGCAGCTAGGAGCGGTAGCGTTGCTGGCGTTTCCGAGGAATCTTCCAGTGCTGCTGCCGCAAATTTCGCTTGTCAACAAGGCAGACGCGTGCTTTCTTCAATGATATCTCAGCATCCAAACAATCAACAAATACCTCAGACGTAAATCAGCTCGGAACTGGTCCAATGAACGTCTAGCGTCAAGCGTTCCTGCAGAAAAGCGGTCATGACACCGCCACCGTCGCAAACGGTGTCCGCCATGCGCCTTTTCTCGAACTGCATTCTGGAAAGGACTCTATTCACAATAGCAAGGCGGGCGCGACTGCCCGATTCAACTGAAACTAACGACTAACAATATACTCGTGTTCGAATAACTGTAAAGCCGGAGACCTCTCAGGTTTGAGTACGAAGGAGGCATGGGTTTCTTCACGAGCCTCTACGGAGGGCGAAAGCTCCGCGCTGCCTTTGCGACTTCCTGTAGCGACCCCTGTACCAGCACGCTCGCAAGCGCTTCGCGCACATACCTCAGCTGTCAACAGGGGAACTTGAAGAGGCCCCAGGGCAGCAGCTACGCTGGCCTGCGTTGCGGTTTCCACCCTTGTTCACGCTGGGCTTGCTTGCGTGGTTGCAGCTCGGGCAGCCAGTGGCTGGCACCTGCGCGCTCTGGGCACCAGCAGCGACTAGGCCGCGCACAGCACGGCGACCTAAACTGGAATCCTAGCCGGCGAAGAGGTGCATGGACAGGACTTGCCCAGAGCGGGCTGTTGCGTCGACCCTGGCGAGCCTCTCACTCGCCCAGTAGCATCCGGGAGCGTGCACATGCTCAAACCGCGGTTGTATTGCGCTTCCTGCGGAGCACGCTGCAGCAACTCGTAGGCAGCTCTCCATTGGATAAGGAAATTTCACGACTAGCACTGCCGGCTTTGGGTGCCCTAGCACTCGACCCGCTGATGACGCTCGTGGATACGCTGTTTGTGGCGCGGATTCCACGCTCCTGGACAGCGACAGTGTGGACTCCGGACCCAGCCCCATTAGCGGGCGTTGGTGTCTCGACCATGGTTTTCAACTTCTCCATCATTCTCTTCCAAGCACTGGCCATTGCAACGACACCCATCGTTGCACGGGCTGGCGCGGCTGGGAATCACGCTGAGGCGAGTCGAGCGCTAGCTCGGGGCCTCTGGTTAGCGTGCTCGCTCGGTTTGGTGCTCGCAGTGACGATTTTCCTGGGTTGCCCCTGGTTACTGGGGAAGCTCGGAGCCTCGGGCAGTGTCCTACAATATGGCGTCGCGTATATCCGCACCCGAACGCTCGCAATGCCCTTTGTCGTCGGCAGTATGGTCTTATCGGGGGCATTCCGTGGGTATCGCGATACCGCGACTCCCTTCCGTATCTCACTGGCTACAAACGTGCTCAACTTTTTCGGTGATGCGCTGCTTATATTTCCGCTGAGACTGCACGTGATTGGGGCGGCAGCTGCAACCGCTCTCGCACAGATTCTCACGTTCTGTTGCATGTTCCTAGTGCTAACTCGAAGACGACCTGGAACTGCGCCTGTGCCCCCACAAGCGCATGGACCGCAGCCTCGGTACCTGGTACATCGTTCCTGGACCGGTACACTGGAACGTTTCCAGCACTGGCTCTTTGCACAATCGCCCGCGGCGGGTATACTCGACTGTCGGGATCTGCGTCGACCTCCGAGTTGGGCACAAATTCGACCGCTTCTATCCGCTGGCGGCCTGGTGACGATCCGCACGGTGTCGATTCTAGTAACGCTTACTTATGCAACCAGCACGACAGCGTACTACGGGGGGCCGGTCGCCTCGTCCGCTTTCGAGGTCCTCCGACAGGTCTGGGTGATGACCGCTATGCTATGCGACTCGCTGTCGGTGGCAGCTCAGTCCATGGTAGCATCAGCTCTTGGCGGTGCGCGGCTACTCACGGAGAAGGATTGTGTGGCGTTGGGTGTTCCGCTTGACGCTGAAGTTCAGGACCCTTCGGATGTGGCGAGGATACAAGCGCGTTTGGCTGCAAACCGAATCGTTCAATTGAGTCTGCGCGTGGGCCTCCTGTTCGGGGTGCTCTGGTGGTCGCCACTGGGTCACCAGCTCATACCACATATATTCTCCCCGAATGCAGCCGTGCGGGAGGCGACGCGTCAGGGCACGCGGGTGATCGCTTTAATGGCCCCGCTGAATGCCATTACTTGGGCGCTGGATGGTGTTGCTATTGGAGCGATGGATTATGCGTATATAGCGAAGGCGATTTTTTGTGCTAGTGCGAGCTCGCTTCTGGCGCTGGAGTTTATCCGGCGGCAGTTTGCTGCTGCCTTGACTTGTGGGAAGACGCTGAGCGCACAGCACGTTGTGGTACAGGTTTGGCACGGCCTCAATATGCTGATGGTTGGTCGAGCGACTGCCATGCTGTTGCGCTTTCTGATGCCTCAAAGTCGTTTGCCACCATTACGAGCGCTGCTGAAACCGTCGAAAGCGAACTCGGAGCCGGGCGGTATCCAGCCGGAAGTCGAGGAGTCCTCTGGACGGGCTCGCAATGCGGCTGCCCAGCGGGATGCATCTCACTGACGGCCCGCTAGTGCTGGTTGCGCGGGCTCGCAGTCACGTCGACGTAAACTCATCTGCAGGGTCCGTTGATTCAGCCTTCAGTAAAATATGGCTTTCAGCAAGTGCTCACGCAAGTTGTAGGCGCATCAAGTTGTTTTCCAGGGTTACCTACCTGACGCGTCATCGCAAAGCGCTGTTCGTATACCCAGTCCTCCAGCCGTCGTGGACGAAAATGGAACAGGGACGTGCTCGCTCTGTTCCTCCTTTTCCATTTTTCCTGTCTTTTTTGATATACATCCTTGATATTCGAAGTACAGCAATAAAGGCTATCGACATCGTACGTAGTTTTGGGACTCGCGATCGTCTATATGGGGTGGCTCTCTCGACTTCGTTCTTCTCGCCGCAGCAATACGTTTCGTTAACGGAATCAAGATGATTCGAGACGCTCTCGAAGATGGGTTTCGTCGAACAACCGATATCGCGATGCAATATGTATGTAGAAACCTCCATGATTCTCGAATGCTTACGTGTATGAAACCCAAATCACGTATTCTTCAAGTTTTCGATCGTTAAGTTTCATGGTGATTCGTTGGTGCATTTATTGACGCGGTTGCATTGACAGCGAAAAGTGCTCGATGGCGTTTGTTGAGGAATTAGTCATAAGATCACACTGAAAGTCCACTGAGATTGTCACTACAAATCGTCGATTCCGTGCTAAAGAAGAATCCCCATCGCTTCGTGACCATCGACGAAACCGCATTCAACAGCAAAACAATACCTGTCATCGGGATCTGTTCCCAGAGGCCCGCACTGCTTACGTCTGCATGAAAAGCGTCTTGGATTCGGACTAGAGTCATCGCAGCAATCGCGTCCAGTACGGACTGTGTCACTGGTTTGCATGAAAAGAGCGCAAATGGATCTAGATTACCCGAATTTCTCCCTAACCTGGATTTTCCTTCCGGTACTTTTTTTCATGATCATGAACGTCACGTTTCACAAATCCTTCATCGAATGGAACAGTTTGCATTTGCGCGTGCTGCGGACAGCGAAGTAATCGAGGCGATCATCCAGCAGAACTATGTGATCGTAGCGTACTGCAGCCGGTTTGGAAACGGAGGAGTGCATCGGAATATGCCTCATGTACCGCGCAAGTGCACGAACCGAGCGATGAAGCCGGTGTTCACGAGCCACAGCGCGGAACTCGCAGCACGACGTGTTATGGATAGACAAGAACACCTGATCGCACTCAATTGTCACTGTTACAAAGAGCGCATCAAGGCTGCACATAAACAAGGTGAATATATGGCAAGCAAAGCGCAGCGCCCGACTTACATCGTGCGTGAAATGTGTCGACAACAGCCAGAAACATCGTCCCAGGGACTTGAACGCAGCCATGAGTATCCCTCGACTGTTGACAACAGAGCGGTCGAGACAGAGTAAAGCAAGAAAGAAGCAGTCGCCGAAAAAGCCCGCACGGGTTGTTATTCGTACCACTGGGAAGAGAGCCAGGCTTTGGCGTGTGTACGCCCGAGTCCGTAGACCTGTTCGGTTTCATTCTCGTGTGAGTGTGCCTATGCGAAGAATCGGCACGACGTATTCCGAAAATACCAGCGACGAACGAGCCTGCGGTATTTCCCTACGGTTCATTCCGCGCTCTTTATTGATGGAGCTGCTCTGTGCTGAGAGCCGACTCCAGTCCGATGTCTGCGGCCTAAGCATCCTTGCGTGGTCCGCGCGGAACCTCCGTTTGCCTGTAACGATAGCAACTGCCAGCGCGCATGAAACTGTACTCGAGCCAGCAACTCTTTCAAGAGCGTACGCCCAGAAGCGCCCACAAACGTTTCACGAATGCGTACTAGGGGCGACTGCCGCACGCCCAGAACAGCAAGTCCCGTACTCTTTTGTTCCTGATCGAGAACTGGCGGGGCATCCCGTGACATACGCTGTTGAAGGTCTCGCGTGATGCACGCTACTCGCAACGAGGGGCAAGCCCCAGTGGAAGACAAAGTAACCACCAAGGTCAAATACTGGGAAAGGCTTCCTTTTGAAGCGATCCAACCGGCTCGATGGAAACTGTGTGGCTTCCCGGAAACGTTGCGGGGCGTCTCAGTTGCCCCTGGTTTTATTCCCGGGACGCTGCACGCGAGCGTCTCTGAATACTCGTTACCAGCTGCACACTACGGTGAGTGACCTCGTTGTCGTCAATTAATCACACCGTCGCTCCAGTCACTTCCCGCTCCCCTGGCACTTGGCTCGGCTGTGTCGTACGTTCAGCGCTTCCAGTACCAAGAACCCTGAACGCTCCATCCCTACTTAACAAGACAGTGCGCAAACGTGCATTCTACAGAAAACATGAGCCCTGAATGTCGAACTCAAGCAAGTGCTCACAAGCTCTGGTGAGCAACCAGCCAGCGTCCCAAGTGGCGGTGTCGTTTTCCTGTGGCACCCAGGAACGTTCCGAGCCAGCTCCCTACCCTTAGTAGACCAGAACAGTTACCGAAAGTCAAGCGCTGGTAGTCTGCATTGCTAACAACAGCCCCCATCGCCACTATTTCACCAATGACTCTTGATTTCAGGGTCACTTGCCCTCCGGTAGTGGTTTCTGTCTTTCATGGTGTCCGCTGCAACACCCGCTTTAGGTTAACCGGTTGCCAAGCGTACCGCTGCCAGCGGTGCGCTCGCGTACGTTCCAAGAGGCGCTCGTTTTGTGAACGCTGCGAACGAGGAGTTTGGAGCTGGTTGCGAAGCGCCTGGGACCCGCTCAGTCACAGAGGAGATGGAATCAAACCAGCGAGCACCCAAAAAGCTCATTATTCGGCCGCTCCGGCGGGAGCCGAAACTCCCCCAGGAGTTCTATCAGGAGAGCTGGACTCACCTGGCACGGGCACTCGACCAGGTGTTCTCGCCTTCTTCGCGGAGGCCGCTCTCGTACGAAGAGCACTATCGCCGCGTGGAGGACTTGTGTCTGCACCATCTCGCAAAGCAGCTGTACGCGGACTTGCAGCGGGAGGTGGACGGGTATCTCGAGCGCGTTTTTCGGGAACAGCTGAGCGATCCCGTCCTAGCGGCTATGCTGCACGTGGCACAGGGTAGCGCTCAGGCAGTTGAACCAACGGAGCGGCCCGCTTTTGCTCCTGTGCTCGATGTGTGGCGAGCTTTCTGTGAGCGATTTCGGGATATCCAGGCGATTTTTCTCTACCTCGATCGGACTTATGCGGCGGAAAGTCCTCAGGTGCCGTCGCTGTGGGAGATGGCGCTAGAGCTGTTCGCGAAGCACATGCTCGCGGAACAACAACGCGTCCTCCTGCCGACGCTCGGAGCAGTGCTTCTGGAAATCGAGCTGGATCGCAAAGGCAAACAGCGAGGAGATTGCTCAGACTTACGCGCTATTCTTAGGGAGATGTTCGCACCGTTGGGTTTCTATCGCACCCACTTCGAGCCGCTCTTCTTCCAGCAGACGCGCGCATTTTATGTGGCGAAAGGCACCGAATTTGTCACACAGGGAACTCTATCGGACTATTTGGCCTATTTTGAGCACAGTACACAGGCCGAGGCTGAGCGCTGCCGCCTCCACCTCGAGCCGAGCACGGAGAAACCGCTGTTCGCGATCCTGCACGATGTGCTCGGTCGCCACTGTGTGAGTGTGATGATGGATCGGGGCCTGGAGAGCCTCTTAGACGCTGTATCTCTAACGGATTTGCGTCGTCTCTATGTGCTGTTGCGATCCATAGATGAATTGTGGCGTCTTGTGCCGCGCTACAGTGATTATATTCGTGTTCGAGGGACACAGATCGTGAACGATCGGGCGCGTGATCACGAAATGATAGAGCGATTGTTAGCGTTGCTGGATCGTGCCGAGCAAACCGAACGGGAAGCGTTTCAGGCAGACGTTCGTTTCCATAATGCAGCCCAGACGGCTTTTGAGGCGGCGCTGAACACCCGCCAGCCTACACCGGCGGAGCGCTTGGCTCGCTCTTTTCACGACCTGCTGCGCGTGAGCAGCACCTCGATTCCGGAGCCGGACATACGGCGCAAAATCGGAAAGCTTTTGGAGCTCTTTCGTTATCTTAGCGGCAAGGATAGTTTTCTGGCCTTTTACAAAAAGTATCTGGCACAGCGCTTGCTATTCGATCTCACTGCGTCGACGGCCTGCGAGCAGTACGTGGTGGAACTGCTACGCGCCGAATGTGGCGCAGTCTATGTCAATCATCTCGTCAATATGCTCAAAGATATGGATCTTAGTCAGGACCTTTTGCAGGAGTACCGAATGGGTCCGGGATCGGGTTCATCTCGATTGCCGTCGTTCACCTGCAAAGTCATCACACAGGCATACTGGAACAGTAGCGAATCTTTCTTGCTGCAGGTACCACCGGGGCTGGAGAGTCAGCAGCGCTCTTTTCATCGCTTTTATCACGCACGATTTTCTGGAAGGCGCCTTATCTGGGAGCCGTCTCTGAGTTCCGCAGAGCTACGGGTGCAGTTTGCTAACGGCGAGAAAGTGCTTCACGTTACGCTGAGCCAGGCCGTGGTGCTGCTGCTCTTCAACGAACGGGATGCTTGGACGCTTGCGGAACTACAGCAGCAGACCGGTATCGCGGACTCTGCGGAGCTTGAACGGATTCTGGATTCTCTCTCCTCATCGCAGTGTCCGGTGCTGATTCGAGAGCGTGGTGCAGAAGCTGCCTCATCAGGGCCTGTGACCGCTCCTGCACGCTATCGTTTCAACGCCGATCTGCAGACAAGTCGTCGTCGTTTGCGACTTTTGGACATTGCCTTGTTGGAGCGGCCGCCCGAGCAGGTACCGAGCGGCCCGGTAGCGAGCCCTGATCGACAGCACCAAATCGATGCAGCCATCGTGCGGTTGCTGAAGAAACAGAAGAGTCTGTCGCATGCAGACCTCGTGCAGCAGCTTGGCGCCGAGCTCTGCTTCGGACCGTCGGTTTCGGATGTGAAGCAGCGCGTTGAATCGCTCCTCCAACGTGAATACATCGGCCGCGATGAGCGGGACCCTAACCTGTACCACTATGTGAGTTGAACGAGTGTTTCCAGTCGCCTGCACCGCTGTATGCGGTGATCGGCAGTGGTGCTTTGCGCGCGTACGGCGCATATGCTAGAGATCACGTGCCGCTGAGGGATAGCGTACGGATACAAACGCACGCCTGCACAAAAACAAGCCCCAAGGCGCGTATGCGCTCAGGCGAACATGGATTCTTCCACAGACAGAGGCGAGTGCGGTCCCGGTTTGGAATGGCTTTGTATTTAGGGACGCATTTCGTGCAGTCCAATGTTGCTTGCGCTGCAGCTTGTTCGGAGAGGTAGCGCGTTGGCGACGTCTGGTCATTGTCAGTGGTTTGATTTCCGTGAACAAGCGCCCGATTCAAGCCCAGTTTGCTTGATCATGCGTAATTCTTTGGGCATTTCCGCGTGCTGCACGAATCGAGGCCACGGTATTCGCGTTGACCCGCTATAACACCGAATGAGTCCTCGCTGCTGCGAGTGCTGAAGCCATAAGACCGTTCCTGGCGTTGCCCGACAGACCTCGACAGTGAAAGCGAGTTCGCATTGATCCTCAGATATGGCCATGGGATGCTCATGAAGCGTGCGCTGTGCATACGGAGCTGAGCATGTTCATCTACGTCCCGGTGCATTTCAATTTGAGGCACCGCGGAAGCTGTTCTCTGGAGCAGTGCCTATGTTCCGCTACTCGTAGAGAGCAGCGGTTCAATCTGGTTCGTCATGCGTCCGTACACGGGGCGCTCCCTAGTGGCGGACTCGTCCTTGGAAGCGTCGCTGGAGTTGCAGTTACAAAACGTACAATGTTGCGTCAATTTCCAAAAATGAGGAGGAATCCAGCGGCACCGAGCGGCACTGGCGCGAGGTTCCATCGTCCTCTATGTCCATACAAGTCGAGTTTTGATGAGGTGCGTGGATCGTGCTCGTAGTCCATCGACGGCAAGTCACGAAAGTCGAGGGTGGCGCTTTCGGCCGACCAGGAAATGTTCGAAAACGAGTCGACAAACACTTGAGCCGCACTTTGGGGTGCTTACATTGCGAGCGCTTTCCGCATATGCATCACGTTTTATGTCATGAAGGGAAGTTGTTGCTGGTATCTGAGCGCGGTTCCTTGGAATTTTTCAAGTTCTTGCGGACACAAGCTGGTGTTTATTGGAGGCTTCGAGAGCAGATGCGCGTGCGATACCCTTTGAACGGGGCAGAGTGCGGAATGGCGTTCCAGAAAAACCAGAGCGACGATTGGCGCACACGAGTTGCTCACCGGGCTCGCACTTTGATACCCGTCACGCGAGGCACATCAGCAGCGCCCTATTCTCAGACGCCGGCGGGATAGAGACTATCAAGACTAAATGAATGCTTTGAGGAGCGCTCCATCACTACAGACCTGTTCGGAGCGCGCACGGCGGCAGCGACGGATGCTCAACTCCTCAAGGAACCGGACACAACAGTGTCGACGAATCCTACCGTTGCTGACTCGGATGTCGCACGAGCCCGTGCTTCCCCGAAACGCGAGAACGCGCATCGATAACGGCAAAAGTTTATCGGATCCTCCCTGAAAACGCAATGACCAGATGCACAACCACACGACTTGACGTTTCCGCCTAGTTTAGATCCATGTCAGACTGGGATGGTGCGGGTCGCACTTAGCCAACTCGTGTGTACACGCTAAAGTTTTTGTTTCTTCCCCGTGTCATTCAAAGCGCACTTTGGGCGCTTTTTCGGCGACTGTTTTCTTTTCCTTGCGCTTACATCCCGCGTTACATACGCCGGTGTCTCCTGTCCTTACAGCGCCGTTAGCAGCAGTCGGGGGATGTTCGTGGCTGCGTGAAACTCCCGACTAAAATGCTTCGGGTAGTTGTTCACGCATTTGATGCACGGAAGATAGTGGCGAACGATGCTGCTTGTGAAAATTTTCATCATCTTTCTCGATCGTCTCGATGCGCCGTCCGCAGCGTTGACGCTTCAACGTAGCCAGATGGTCACATATGTCTACTAGTGCTTTTCATGCGAGTGTCGCTCTGTCACGCTACAAGATGCTGAACATGGCTGGCGCATCCCCAAGACATACACGGAAAGATCTCCTGGATGTTCTCATCCGTTTCCGTGCCCGATGTGGTGTACCAGGATCACGGCCTGCTTCCGGGCGATCCCCAAGGCAAGTCCTTTATCCGCAGCACACGCGGATGCACGCTTTTGCGTTTGAGAATGAATCTGCGGGGCGCGATGTTGTCCATCACGAATTACGAATTCAACATAAAGTTCTGATCTAGAAAGGGAATCGAGAAGTGTCCAACCGTCTATGCTCCCTTCGTGCCAAGCGATGACGTATCCTTCACTGGACTAGATCACTGAAATGATTCAAGTCCGAGTCAGGGACTCTTTTCCGGGCAAACAAAACAGACGGGAGCCCCTGCGAGCATTCCCCCTTCGGAGGTATCGTGCTGCGTCGAATACCATTTTCACGGTGGCGATTAAGAGAGGAGCATTCGTGTTTCGAGCGGAATCGATTATTTGATGTGCCGGGATTCGTGAGGAGCTGGCATGAGCTTGCGGGCAAATCCTCAGGAAATGACACCGAGGATATTTCGTCGCCAATCCAGCGGCTTCAGTCGCTGTGCACACATGAAATGCCATGAAACATAAGAATAGAAAACCTGAAGCGTATGCGGTTTGGATATCGTACACGGTACGAAACGTCAAGGTTTATTCCTACATATTCAAGAACGATATTGGTCTTTTTTTTGAAATCCTGTTCGAGTGCGTCACGCATCGCCTTGACTCCCGTAACGTCAAGAATGCCCGTGGCAAAGTTTCAAAGGAGCCACTCCGAAAAATACGACCGATGATCTTGAAAACACGTACGAATACGTCACCAGTTAGAGTTGTACCTGGAATTTCAAGGCTGTTCATCGAAGAAAAGTTCGGAAGAAGTTCGAGATGTGGGAACGGAGCGAGCAGTGCAGTGTTCTGCTCGAACCTGACGCGGGTGAAGCGGAAACGATGCGACACCCGTCTCGCCGAGAAGGACACAATCCTTGCTCACAACGTTGTCGCTGCGGCGTGGCTTGCAGTGCGGGCGAGCACCTACGGTCAGTCTTACGGTAAGGATAACGATTTTAGCACCGGTTCGGGAAAAGAAACGCATATTTTCAAGGGCATTGGTTGCAAAGTTACCGATGCCACCCCGTCTGTACTTCCCGAACTTTAACCTTCGTCTTCGCTTTGAGCCGGCCCTGCGTGCCGAGCAGAAACAGCTCTCCAAGTCCACAGCGGACACTTTCCGCACGCGCTTCATCAAACTCAAAACCGTCCCCAGCTTGACACGAGTGGAGATTAAACAGATTTTGGAGAAGCTATATGGACTTCCAGTGGAGCGAGTGAATACCCTCAACGTTTACGGGAAACGGCGACGCTACCTCGGCCGCTACGACTGGCGAGACCAAGACTTTAAATACGCCTACGTTAGGTTGGCTGAAGAAGCTGAGGTACCCCGCGACCCGCGGCCCCCGTCTTCAGGGTAGTAAGCGTAGAAACGCAGCAATTGCGAACGCTTCCCAGCCGCCTCACACTGGGTCGCGTCCATACCGCCTCGGATACGTTGCCAGTTACCGAGTCACTGAACCATGTACGCGCATTATGCCTCGACAGCGCTTTGTGCATATAGTCGTATCTGTAGCCAAAGCGTCCCGAATTTCTCTACCGGTTATAGCTTTGCATGCGCAGTGAGCAGCTCTTTGCAACGTGTACGGAAGCAGAGTCGCCAGAGCAACGACTCAAGACACTATCCTCTGTGCGTCTGTAAGTGTGTTGGGGCCTCTTGCAGAGGCGCAGAATACCACGACGATGCGATGATAAGCGCGCATGTAAACATGGTCGTGCGCTGCATAGGGCTATTTCGTGGGAAAAAGTGGAAGCGAGCAGTACTCGTTCTCGTCCGAGTTTCTCGAGTCTCTCATTGACGCATGTCGCGAATCGTCGACGGCACACGCGCTCGCTTCCGAACTACGACGCTGGCCGTTGCGACCCATCAATGGGCAGGAATCTCAATACGAGATAGCGTGAAAACGGGACAACTTCAGGGCACGAGAGCGGGCATGTTTCCGCAAGCGGCGACGCTACAACACGCGGAGAGACGGTAGCGACCGGGCGGTACGAAGCGCGCGCTTCCGATAAACCGCGATACCTCTGCAGGGTACTCGTGGTACCGCGACGTGGCCATCAGGGTTATGCGGCCGCTGCTCCAATATCACTCCGAGCAAATGTGAGTTTGCCTAGCAAGATGTTCCGAATGGCGCCTCTCACTAGCATAAAACGACAGCATCAAATCGTTCAGGGAGTCGCACTGGTGCAGACGCCGGTACGCGAACGAGGCTCATCGTTTATAACTCATCTCTGGTTGCATCCGTCGAGGGTTCTAAAAGGTCGCTGAGCGGTCGGTATCGCAGATCACCTCCCAAGGCGCGATCAATAAAAGCGCTGATCCCATCCGCTGCGGGTAATGCGTTAACGACGTCGTGTTCTAGCACAGCTATGCGCTGCTTACGCGGTCGAATCACCAGCGCCAAGGTATTTGGGGCGAGTTTGAGTCGCGAGCGTAACACACGTGCCTCTCTCATGGCTACGTGCACGCCATCGTGTACGTATTTCTCATTCAGTGCGTCGACAAGCTTCTCTAGTTCTGGTTGAGCTAAGATCACGCAAAGTCGGACTGAATCCCGAGCGGTGCACTCATTTCCGAATAGATCGTGCCAACTGTTTCCGGCCGCCTGCGCGGTCGTGCTGGAGCGTTTCTCTATGTTTGCCGTCGCCGTCGGCTTTGTCGTCGGTTGGCGGTTCGTTTTGTTGACAAGTTGCCTCACCAGGTCATCGAGAGCCCGGATGCTCATTTTCTCTCTATCATTGAGGACGAGTACCGTATTTGAGTCCAGGTCTGCTCCAGCCGGAACACCGATGACCGCGGGGAGACGAGGTTGCGCCCCCAGGCGCTTCAAGAGCGCGCTCATAGAGGCCTCATCATGCGCGGCAAGCCGCATAACACCGAAGAGTGCACGGTCGACATGGCGCTCAGAGAGCGCTCGATAAATCGCACTCGTGCGCTGGTTCGTGGTCACCAGAAGCACGTGGCCTTTTGAGGATTCCTCTCGGAGGAAAGCGTCCACACCGCTGGGATCCACTGTGTGGACATACCCGACGAGCGAGCGACGCGCGAAACGTACAATATCTTTCAGTGAGCGGCCTCCGTGGTAGTCCAGAGGCTGGCGGCGCTCAGTGGTGCGTTTGCGTCCGGTGAAAAGCTTGATCGTTGGAAACGCTTGAATATTGTACTCCTGGGCCAGCGCCCTGTTTTGCTCGCAGTCGACTGCACCGACACGCACGAGACCGTTCAGTCTTCGAGCCGCTTTTTCCCAGTTTGGTGCGAGACTGCGACAGTGGCCACACCAGGGTGCGTAAAACTCTACCAGCCAGGTTTCTGACGAGTCCAACACCAGTCGTCGGAAGTTGTCGTCTGTGAGACGGACAACAGGCGAATGGTCTGCGTACAGCGCTCTTGAGACCGCGAAACCCTGGATGATCGACAGACTTAAAGTGAGTAAGTGCCAGAGAAAATGTCTGTGTATGCAACGCAATCGGTCAGGACTTGAACACCAAAGCATTCTTTGGAACGTGCCTACAAAGGAAAACCTATCTGACTTGCATCGAGAGCGCAAATTCGCAGGAACGCAGGAGTTGCCGCGGGACCCAGCGGGTCGCCAGCATCCTCGACTTTTATGCACGTAACTTTCCCATAGATTTTTTATTTATGAACATGAAGGCACTGGTTTATGGCCTGAGGTGACGACCTTCCCGGAGCGCGAAGGACTGGTGGAAGCAAGAGGTTATGTGCCCCGGTGTGTCACCTTGCGCAGAACGCTTCAGCGATTCGCCGAGTGGTGCGATCCTAACGTTCCGCGATAGAAAACTCTCTTTTGATGAAGCCGAAACACGTACAGTACGAAGGAATGAAGAGCGACTCTGTTCCCAGATATCATCCGCACAAGCTTGAACACATTGCGAATGGTGAAATACCACGTTGTCTGATAGAAGGACATCACCAGACGTCAGGGAAAAGTCTTCAATGATTCGATAATATGGTTGGTGCTGTTCTGTAAGTCTTCTCTAGGAGCCAAAACTGAGGCTGCCAAATGAATCCATTCCAGATAGAACGGATGATGATATCTCCGTTCTCTTCGAGCTTCACCAGACGTACAACGAGCGCCCTGCTCCGCGCATACCCGTATACGCGCCGCCCGTTTCACCCGAAGCAAGTCTTATCGACTGAGAAAACACACCAGCGTCACTCGGCTTCATATCGATAGCGACTTTCCAGAGACGCTGTTGTTGCGAGTTCGGTGGAAGTTGGTCGTGGGTGAAGTCGGACTTTTCTGCGACGGTATCCCAGTGATTTCAGGACCACACGAACAAGCTGGTGAGAAACAGATACGCCTATGGTGGCCTCTATCGTCGTTTTTGCTTTCCGCAAGGTAAAAGATGGGTCGTTTTCTACCATTTCCCGCAGGCACTCTTTGAGAATATCGGTTTTAGGCGCAGAGCGCTTATACTTCTTCCTTTCCGTGTTCCTCAACCAGCGTAGTACTGTGGTATGACTAACCTGAAGAAGAGACGCAGTCCTCCTTGAACTATGCAGTAAAGAGTATATCCTACTGGCAACTCTTCTACAATCTACAGGGTACATTGCATCGTGATTTCGAGCTCCTGCTCACCACCGCAGCTAGGGTGAAACAAAATTGAGTTGAAAGATGTGTCGAGCGTCGCTCGCGCGCGCGCATCTTGTAGACGGCTGCGGTGATCGCTGCATCGCCTTCACGCCGCTGCATTGCCTTCACGCCCGCTGCATCGCCTGCTCTTCGCTGCATTGCCTGCTCGCCGCTGCATCGCCTGCTCGCCGCTGCATCGCCTGCTCGACGTCCGGAGATACCGGGCGAGAGCGCACCCGGCATCAACACTAATTCCCATAGAGCGATTTACCTGTACGGCGTCTCGCAAGAGTGTCGAGAGTGTGCACGACCATGGCATTTCAATGGACAGGAGCACTTGCTCAACCTGGTGCTCGCTTTCTGCGCCAGAGCTTCAGTGGTTGTTGGCTGCAGTCGCGTTTGCGAGACCGTGCTGCATGCGCTCCCGGTCGACGCCGCGGTACCGGGGTAGAAGCGAACGTGCGCCATTGCTTTCGAGTTCGGCGCGAAAACGGGTTGCGACGACCGGCTGCTTTGGTCGGCTGCAGTACCAGCTCTGAGGAGCTTCATACACGAAATGTCGAGCGAGCGTGGCACGAGAACCGGCACCAGCTTTCTACTGGTGAGCGAGCGCGAACTGTGCTGCACGTCTGCGCGACGGGTACCCTGTGTACGGCGTCGTTCAAACACGGTGGACATCCGTTTGGGACCCACGTTGACTTCATCCTTGATGAGTGGGGGCGTCCCATCTTTCTCCTCGCGAAGAACGCAGCACACTCGATCAACCTGCGTCATGACCCGCGCTGTTCGCTCTTTGCGCAGCCACGTGACAGTAGCGGCCAGGGCGGGCAGCGCGCTACGCTTGTGGGCGAGCTCTATGAGCTCGAGGGCAGCGAACTCGAGGAGTACGCGTACCGCTATATAGAACGGTTCCCGCACGCGGAGCAGGCACTGAGCTACCCAGAGTTCAGGTTCTACCGGATGGAGGTACAGGATGTGTACTATGTGGGCGGTTTCGGAGTGACCGCCACCTGGGTCGATGTCGAGGAGTACCGCAACGCAAAACCTGACCCGCTTGCTTTAGACGCCCCAACGCTTCTCGTGCGTTTGAATCGCGAACACAAAGAGGAACTTTTGCGTTTCTGCCGGGTGTTCCTGGATATTGAGCCGCTGGACTGTTCGATCGTGAGCCTGGATCGGCTTGGTTTCGATCTGCGAGTTCGGCTCTGTCCTTGTGAAGAAGACGCGGAGCCGTCGCGCCCAGATCGTGCTGCGAACGGAGCCCAGCAGCGAAACGTCTCCAGTTCGAGCAACGGGCGAGCTTCCGAGCTGCGCGACAAGCGTGTATCCGGGTCCGAATCGAGCGCGGATCCAGACTGCAACGAGTATCGCGAGTACCGTGTGGCATTTCGTGAGCCTGTTGGGAACACATTTGATGTTCGTAGTGAGCTGGTGAAGACCATGCAGGAGGCCTGGGAGATCGAGAATGGACTTGAAGACCTCTGGATCCGTCCATTTGGCAGGCGCCCCACCGTGCTGTATTACGACCAAGAGTCTCGCAAGGTGCGCTCTATTCAGCAGGAACGAGAGGAAGCCGAGATCGTGCGCCGGCGAGAGCTGCAAGTGAATGCGGATTTATAACCAGCTTTCCTGCCGCGAGTCCTGGTAGCTTCTAACATACGCTGGCCGCGTTCCGCAGAAAGTGCTGCGCCGGTCGCGGAGGCCGGTGACGCGTTGCACCGCCCGGGGCGACGACCGATTACCAGCCTGCACGTGCGCGCTCTATGTTTTTGTGGCTTGCGTAGACGGTAAGTGCGGGAGCCTCGTGAGGCGGGCGCGGACGTGCGCAAGGGTGAACATGTGAGCGGGTTGCGAACGACAGCACCCGATTGTCAACCAGCACCGCCCCCGTTGCCATGGGTTCATCCGCTCGTGCTGGCGCTACGCTAGCGTATCCTATTTCTCTCTGCTGGAACGCTAGCCCGCGCTGTCGCTTCCTGGCGTATCCATGCCGCTCATGCCGACTTTAAAGCTTTTAACTGCTCCAAGGCAGTTTCCGCAGCGCTTTTCTCGGTGAACGCTCCTCCCTGCTCTACATTCAACGCCTTGACGATACCGTCCTGCACAATCATAGAGAATCGCACCGCGCGGACGCCACCGAACTTGGCCGTGTCAAAAGTGAGGCCCATTTGACGCAGAAGCGAAGCGTCGCCATCGCTGAGTGGAATCACTTTGCCCTCGGCGTTCCGCATCTTCATCCACGCATCCATGACAAAAGCGTCGTTCGTGGCCAGGCACGCCACCTTTGCACCGAGCTCGTGGAACTTGTCCGCCAGGTTCACGTACCCTGGTAGGTGACGAGCGTTGCACGTGCCCGTAAAGGCGCCAGGGACGCCACAGATCACCACCGTCTGACCCTTGAAGACCTCATCTGTGGTGATCTCTGAAGGAGCGCCATTCTTCATTATCCCAAACGTACCCGAGGGAAACTTATCCCCTACCTTGATCATCATGTGTGTATTCGTGTACTCACGCCTACTCGTGGGGTGTCGACGAGTAGCTCCTATCGCTGGACGTGCAGAGGGATCGTGAAGGCACGGACGATTCGCTGCAAACGGCCGCCGCAGACTCTGAACCCAGCGCGCACTCGAACCTCCAGTGAACGTAGACGCTGGTGGTTGGCAGGTATGCGTCGACACCCGAACGGCAAGTGCACTATGTAGGCGCAAAGATACAATAACGAACGCGTTCATTTCGCTTCCCACGTCCTCTTGTAGCTTAAGGCGGCACCCGGTGTGCATCGTTGCTGATCGTTCATGACCTCGCCGCTGGCGCCTGGAGATCTGCGGCGGCGGCGGCGGCGGCGGCGATGATGATGATCACGGGTGTTTTTTCGACACATTCTCCAGATGCCTCGTGCTCGACAGCTCGTCTACACATATAGACCAGGGATCTCTGCCATTGTGCGCTTGATGCCAGCGATCAGAGGAAGCATTCGTGGTTTCACCTGCTTCCAAGTTCCAGTACCCGTACGATCCCCCAGCGAGACTGGTTGTTTCTTACGTTGCATCGTGGGCCGCGAGCCTCCGCGATAGTGCGCTGATCGTGCCGGCGCGCATGCAGCACGGAGACAGAACAGTTTTGTCAAGTCGATCAAGGCGAGGGACCAAGGCGTGATTCACCGGTACCAGTCGATATTCTCAATGGTCAGCAGAACGAGAACGTTTCACAACCATCGATGGCGGATACATCTACGCACGCGCAGGCGCCTCCGAGACTTTTTTGACCAGCCGATTCCGATCGGTTTCAGTTTCTCAGTACTTGCTCCCCGCTACAGTTTACATAGGTCTCGACCAGGGGAGAGCGAGCTTCTACTGCTGCACTTTCGTGAGACCTGCGAGGTATCGTAACTCTCAAGTCGTCATGTTCTGTCACCCCTTCCCTGCGAGCAGCGTTTTACCACTCTTTGAATGCTCCTATACATGTCTAGGGTTTCTTCCGCGTACACGCTCATCGACTGGGACGAATAGCTGTAGCTCGTATCGTATGCGGTCGCGTTTCAGTGCGAATTCGATTGTGTCCGGTTCAACGCGCCACGGTCTGCCATGGAAGCTTGTTTTTTCTTTGTCCATCGGTGTCTCTTCATCTCCGTTCACATGTGCGGCACGGAATCTCTGCATCTTATGAATGCTTGGGTAGCGTTGCTTTGAGATCGCATGGATTAGAATGAAACGATCAGGAGACAGTTGTGCAGACAGCGTCTGATATGTTCTATTTCTGGTGCACGGCGCTCAGCATATTGCCAACGAGGGACATGACTCATCCGGCTGATGGGCGTAGAATTACTGATTTATTGAAGTGAGGCCATTTCATTCCCAAATAGTGACATTTTTTTCGAATTTCCGTGACGATTCTCTAGTCTAGAGGATACTATCTGTTTCTTTAATACCCGCGAGAATGACATGTACCAACAGAAAGAGCGTGCTGGTACAGCTGTTCTAGAATTAACTGCTCTGTTTATAAGGCTGGTTACATCCCGTTCCTTTCGGGATAGGCGTCCACATCGGAACCAAGATCATGTTTCCGAAACCTCGCCCATACGTATTCGGGACAAACTACTCGCATGGCCTTGAATCCGCATTTGGTTCGCAAGCTTGCGGAAACGAACGTACACAATCTACTCAGGGACGGTGATGCGTGTGTAAAAGAACTCAGGGTACGACACACAAGGTCGCTGTGCTGCGGCAGACTGTAAAGATACCATGTTCTATCGCCTAAATATCATTTGCCCCAGATGTGGTGCATGCGTTTCCGCTCCGAATGCTCCCGCCGCCATCTGTTATTTAGCAACTTCAAAGCGTATATCATAAATTCCTCGGGCCGTAACTCCAGCAATCCCCTGTTCACCAAGACCGAATGCAATCCGATTGGTACTCTGCACCGGGCAAGTCGCGGTGCAGTCGCCGAAGTCACAGTTCTAGGAGGCTGCAGCGGAGAGCGTCCCCTCTTCGCGCAAATACATCCCCAGGTCCGCCTGGTTCAGAACAACAAGGTCTTCGGGACCTGCCATGCCGCACTCAACAACAGACCGGGCCATGACCCCGAAACCAAGAGGAATATCGTCCTCGTTGTACACGACCACAGCTTGGTTCTTGACTGCACCCTCGGTGAAACGGGCCACGCCGCCTTTGACAACGTGGTTCCCATAGAGAAAACTCATTTCGGAACTCTTTTTCAGCCAGACTTTTCCTAGTGCATAGTTGCCAAGATAGTCCAAAAACGTCACTTCGACGCGGAACTTGCCAGAATGCGTGAACTTGCCTACACAAACGCCGAAACAAATCAAATCGTCCTTCGGCACGCGAGTTGCCTGGCGGATCAGACGTACCGGCGCGTAGTACACCCGGTTCTTGTGTAAACGGAAGCAGTGCTCCTCATCGGGTCGATCTAACAGCAGCTTTATATTCTTCCCCATATATCGGGCAAGTTTTTCGAAAACGAGGCGAGTCTGGTCCTCTGTAAGAGGCCGCATCTTCTCCCGGATCGCGTTGAAGCGAGCGTCCGGAGAAGCAGTATCGACGTCGACTTCAGTGCGAAGACAGACACCGCTTCATACAACGTGGCTCGCGGTACGCGATTCGTCCGCCCGCAGCCGACTGCGCGACTCGTTGCATTGTGAACGGAACAATATGATTCATTTACGTACTCCGACCTGCCTGCTAGGCTGCATGGGTTTTCATAATCTTTCAACGCAAGTCTGTTTCACCCAGAGTGTGGCACGTAGGAGGCTATCGAAATCACGATGCAAAGTATCGTATACATCGTAGACGAATCGCTTGTAGTATATATATTCTTTTCTGGACAGTGGAAGAAGGACTGCGCTCCTCCTTCAGGTCAGTCGTACCACGGTACGCGGATAGTTTAGGAACAGTGAAAGAAGAAAGGAGTTTAGTGCCAAAAACCGATATTTTTAAAGACTTTTTGCGGTCTACGGTAGAAAAACAACCGATCGATCTCTTTGCGGAAGGCAAAGAGCGACGATAATAGTTCCCACAAGCGTCTCTGTTTCTCAACAGATTGTTCGTTTGACCCTCAAAACACTGGGATCCGGGCGCAATAAAGTCCAGGTTCACGAAAGCACAGCTTCCGCCGAATCCGCAACAACAGAATTCACAGAACTCAACCATCGGTATGAAGCACAGGCAAGTCGGTTTGTTTTTTCAGTTGATGAGACTTTCATCGGATGAGACGGTTGGAGCGTATACGGGTATTCGCGGAGCAGGGTGTTCCGTTGTATGTACAATCGAACGTGAGGAGAACTCGGAAATCATCGTCTGGTCCAGGTGGAGCGGATCCACTTGGCGGCCTCAGTTTCGCTCACAGGCAAGGCTGATACAACAGCACGTTCTTTGTCGAATCATTGGAGAATTTTCGATGCCGTATGACGACGCTCTTCTAAAGGACCACGTGGCATTTCTAGATTACCGTTAAGTTCGGGGTTTTTGCAAATTCTGGCGGGGATAGTGCTGATTTTCATTCCGCCGTACACTCCGTGGTTCATGCCCATTCAGTGTATGTTTTCCATCGTGAAACGTAAACATCGCTGCACTGGGCGAATCGCTGATGCGTTCAGCACACGGTGACACACCAGGGCGCATGACCTGTTTCTGCCACCAGTCCTTCTCTTTCAGGGGAATTCCTTACCTACGGGCATAAAGAAGTGCGTACATTTGAAGAATCAAAATATGTAAGGGATGTGCTGGGATGTACACTGCAGAAGATCGTGATGGAGAGAAGGCAGCGCAGCGCTGACACTGCAGCAAACGGCACAGAGAGCACGAGTTCTAGCAATCCTTGCATTGGTGAGTTCAACCAGAGGCAATAAACGCAAGGAGTTGGTGAAGCGAGACTTCAACGCCGTCATCAATATCATACGATGTGCGGTGCTGAAGACGAGACCCGAGGAGCTGACACAATTCCTGCTTCACTTGGCAGCCTGTCAGGCTCGAACTGTGCAAGGAGAAGCTGAAACCGATAGCAGAATGCCGGTCAGAAAAGCTAAGAGGCGTAAGCGCGTAAAAATGTACGCATACCCGTCGTGGTCGTAGAACATTTCAAGTTTTACGGACATGTATATGGAGCACCCGCCGCCATGCTCGGGCACTGCTCCACGGAACACGTATGCCCCTCGGGCATGCGTACGCATAGAAGATGTAACTTTTGAAACATTGCATCATTTTATGGACAACGCCACGCATCGAAGCGAAACGACGTCACCAGTCGCCTGGCAATGGCGGGAATGCATGCGTGCATGCAGCGTTGCTGTCTTGTCTGCTCCGCGCGTGCATGCCCACGCGGCTGACTTCTGCGGGACCACAACGCTGGTCTGTGCTTTATTCGTTCGATGTTCATCGCAAGTCCAAACGCTGGAAGGACGGTATTCTTCAAAGCAGTGCGGTGCCGGGCAACGAGGCTCGCGTTCGGTTGCAGCTGTTAGATGAAACAGTGCCTACGGACGAGTCTCCCGAGTCGAGCTCCAGCGCGTGTGCGAGTCGTGCACATCAAAGGAGACGTACAGTGTTCAGCGAGACGGTGCCAAGGACGAAAATTGACGTTAGCGGCGAGGTTTTCTCGCTCGGTAACCAGATCTTGGTGCAGGTTCTGGAGCCCGTGGAGTCAGTCGAGGAGGACTGCAAACAAGCGCCGCCAGCTCTTCGGGATAGCCTGTCACCGCGTGCAGCGTCAAGTGACGGTGAAAGCTTACAGACGGGGCTTCAAGGTACAGTCAGACCGGCGAACAGCACCCGTCGACCTCTCGGGGTGACCGGTTTACGGAGGCTTGGCCGGTTGCCAAATTCAATAAATAGCGCTCGGAGCGCCGGCGAGTCGCACGCGGAACCATACGAACGTGTGCCTCCAGGTCCCGCGTGGCGACAGTCATGCTTCGACAATGCACAATCGTTGTCGAGCACAGGGCTAGACCTGGACCAGCGAGAACGTAGCGTGCAGGCTTCGAAAACCGCGGCGCAGTTTTCAAGGCCAAAGTCATCAACAAACCACAAAGCTGGTGCGTCGGTTGGTGCGGTCAAAGGGGGCAGTGCGCATGAGGACTCGGCACCAATGCAGGGACCGCAAAACATGATTGAGAATGGGAAGCGTTGCCCCCGAGTCCAGCTAAGCGACGAGCAACTCCTGTCCATGTTGGCAGAGGATAGCCCGCTCGATGCGTCCGGGACAGCGGGAGCACCCCAGGGCTCGTGTTTTACACGTCCCCAGGTAAGCGGCTGCGGTATCGGCCCTAGCGCGTTTGCAAAAGACGCTGACGCGTCTACAGAGCCGCCTCGGTTTCGGGTCAGCGCGTCGCATCCGCGACTTGCAACGTGTCTCCCTTCCTCGGGAGCAATCGACAGCGTCGGTGTTTCGGTGAGACATCGCAGCAGCGCTAGCCGGCAGATCACGAATGCGCAGGATCTGACGCTCACGTTCCCGCGCAGGAGCGCTTCGAGTCGCAAGGAAACTGCGGATGTTGGCGAGCTGTGTCCCGGTGGCCGCAAGCCAGCTGGATCGTCTTCGAGTACTCAAGTATCGCTCCAAACAACCAATACATGGAACTCGATTCCCGCATACCGTCAAGAGATGCTCCTTTTGCTTGCTGCACAGATACAAAAGCAGCTTGATGCTCAGGCTGAAGTTCTGGAACGCGCCTGCGAGCAACTTCTGGACCATTCCTCAAAACAGCCTGCATATGCACATATTGCACTTCCGCATCGGCAAGGTTCTGCTCTCATCGTGCGACATGGCGTTGAAAGTTTCGCTGTGATGTCGCGAACAGCCAAAAACGCCCAGCGAACTCGCCATGGCTTGCATGACGAAACCAAACAACCGCCGGACGATCAACTGGTTCCCGGTACGAAGTACTTTCTGCGCTTTCGACCCGAGAGCAGACTCGATGAATTCGCCACTTGCCTGGACCGTGACGCGCTCTGGGCCCTCGGAACGCGCACAGCTTGGCGGGAGCATTTCCGTAGCGAACATTCATCCGCAGTCGCTGATGGAGTTACGTTGGTGCGCTCCCTGTACCATGGCGTTTCGACGGTATCCGGCCTCTTGGAGGTCCAGCCGCTAGGACGCTGCAACCGTCGTATATGGCGAAAGCAGCCTTGTAGCGTTCTCGTCATGTGCTGCGCATGCTTGCCCACAGAGCTGCTGTGTTTAGACGCGTTTTTGAACGAGGAGCCGTTCGGGCGGCTCCATGTCTTGCGCCAGCTCGTCGGTTCTCCGGTAGCAACCACCAATACCAAGCAGCCACAAGCGCAAAATGATTGTCTCCAGCAAGTCCCTCTTCGGAATGAGGATCAAAAGTCGCTAGAAAGTTGCGGCGGGCAACCATTTGCAAATGCTGACATTCCACTTGTGCCGTCGAGTGCCGAACCGGGTACACGTTCCGATTCAAAGCCTTCTTCCGATCCCGCTGTTCAGCTTGAGGGACGGCAGCGCACGCTCTTTTCGCTCGACTCGCCATGTCCTAGCAGTGGTGGCGTTCCAACAGAGCTGGCGTCAGCATGCGCTGCGCAGCACCAGCGGTTGGAAACCGTTTCATCCGCTTGGAACTTGGAACAACAACAACAACAACAACAAGTCATCCAGGCGTGTTTGAACGGCGTCGCTCTCATTAGAAGCAAGGACTCGCAAGCGAGAGGCGTTGATCGACCTCATTTGGTTGCCGTGCACGGAGCGTTTGGCACTGGCAAGACCCGAACCTTGGTGGAGAGCATCCTGGCAATGTTAGAGCAACAACCATCGCTTCGTATCCTCGTTGCTGCTGGTACCAATGTCGCCGTCGACAATATTCTACTTGGGCTGTTGCAGCGCGGCTTCAAGGACTTTGCTCGCGCGGGTAACGAAGGGCGAATGCATCCAAGTGTGTGCGAATTCACACTAAAGGGATTCAAGAAACGCTTCCGTCGAGCGACAGTAGACAATGGACGAGACTCCATGCAGGTCCATCCAGCGTCTGCTGGAACGAATATCGCTCAAGCTATGTCGCATGAGGCGCCCACCGTCGCCCCCGTGGACGGTGAATTTCCGTCTCCTCGAGACAGCACGCAGGTGGAGCAATCAATGTCGGCGCTGCGGAAACGCGTGTCGGGAAGTGGATGCCGCACCGGCCTGATGAAGCTCGTCAGCGCCCCGCAGATCTGTTTCACAGGGAATGCAACCTCGACGAAGCTATGTCCGCAGCGAAGACGCGACTCATGTCTCGATCTACGAGCACCAGCTGAAGAACTGGATTCTGAAACAGTTGAGAAAGCAAGTCGAGAAGCGTTTCGGAGTCGATCAGTAGTCGGTGTTACCTGCGCTTCTGCAACGCAGGCCATTCTGCACGGACTCCGCTTCGATGTCGTTCTCGTTGATGAGGCCTCGCAGATCATGGAGCCGCTTGCTCTGGCACCCATTCTAGAACTCGGCGCCGATCACGTCTTTGTCGTGATCGCCGGCGACGAGCGACAACTGCCCCCATTGATGAGCGGCAGGTCCTCGGAAGACGTTCCCGACCAGTGCTGCATAAGTAGGTCGCTGTTGAAGCGCCTCGGTGAACGAGCCGATGTACTGAACCTATATCTCACTGTGCAGTTCAGATGCCATCCCCAGATTGCTCAGATCGCATCCGAGCTCGCCTATGGAGGCGCCGTACGAAGCGCGTACCCGATTACCGCATTTCCAGCGGCGGTGCCCAGGCTCGCCCCGGTTACTTTTGTGCCAATCGATGGTCATGACGAAGCTAGCCTGGATAAGAGTCGTTTCAATCGCGTGGAAGCGCAATGGATTGTGCGTTTTCTCCAGCGAATCGCGCGGTGCTCTGCCATGGAACCCACACAAGTGGGGGTTATCTGTTTGTATCGGGCCCAAGCCGCCATTATCCAACACCTTGCAAACGCCTCGGACAACGCCGAATTGGGGCACAGGCCTCGGATATCGGCAGCGAAAATCGAATCCAGTCGCTGGAGTATGGCATCCGTCAAGATCAGCACCATCGATGCTTTTCAAGGCGGCGAGCGCAAGCTGATTGTGCTCTCGACGGTTTGCAGCTGCCGGTCTCAGGGTCGACAACTACTGGATTCGCTGGAACGTGTGAACGTCGCGCTCACTCGGGCCAGTCATCACCTCATCATTACTGGCCATCGACTCACATTGACCTCGAATCCCATATGGCGACGAGTTCTGGAGCATTGCGAGCCGCTGCCGCCGTCGCTGGCAGGCACGGCACTGAACACGCTCGACCATTAGCTCGGGATATACCCGGCTGATGCTGATCGGGTATGCGTTTGAGTCAGTGCAAGTCCGGTGCGCGAAACGCTGCGGCTCATGCGCAGTCGAGTTCCGTGCGCTGAGCAGGCGCGCGAGACCACTGCCATTAGTGGATATCGCACTCGAGCATACCAGAGCGAAGCGGACCGTAACAGAGGCGGCATGATGCATTGCAGGGACCAGAGCCATGCTCTGATGTTTTCACGCCCATGTCAGAATAACGCTGAACCGGGATACTCGTTCGGATGGAAACCCTCAAGTTTGGGACGCTTCTCATTTTCATCAACACCAGCCTCTACGAGATTTTTTCTGCAACCGCATCTTGTTCCTCTCTCTCTCGTGATCAGCTTTCAATGCGACGACGGTCTCACCAATCCCTCATGTTCCATTGTCCGCTGTCAACGGATATGTACGGTAGCGTTTAAGTCCCAGTTTCGCTACTTGTGTACGTTTTGCACGCATTTCATGCCCAGACGGTCGTTGCGATCGACGCCTCACTTCTCATTTTCATCTTTTTTGCGTTTCGTCTCAGTGCACGCTTTACAGCAGCGACTCCTGCGTGTAGCCAGTTGTTCGGATATGTCCACCGTACCTGATTCTCCGAGGTCTGCTCTGCTCCACGTGAACATTCCCTTCATCACTCGGTACGTGCCGATGACGGGTACGAAAAGCTCGTCACGATGCGCTCCTTCGTTTCCGTGCTGGGTGCCGTACCCTATGGTGACGGGCTTCTTCTGGGTGATGCCCTCTGCGAGTATTCCGTCTGCTGCGCACGCAAGTGCACACAGTCTCATTCGATAGAGGATTTACGGAAAGCGACGATGACCATAATGATACAAGTTCGGGAAGGAGAATCCAAGCTGGCGGAGAAGGCAACAGCTTTCGACCCGCCTAGGCACCCATCATGCCGAGCGTTGGCGCACCTTCCACCAGAAGCGATCACTGCGGTGACTGAAGTCCGAGCCTAACACCCATTCCCGTGTGAGCAGAAGAGCCTGCCGTCTCTGGAAACATATCCCATGCGAGGTATCATGCTGCTGTCGAGTCCAGTTTCGCCGAAGGCCGCAAAGCGATGAGAATTTGTCTATCGAACGGAGTCGATCACTTGATGCGACAAATTCATGGAACTTACGGCATAAGCGTATATGAGGAAGCTGTCAGGGCTCGTCGTCGGATTCTTTTCCTCGTCAATACTGCAGCGCGATTTGCTGTTCCCGCGCGTTGCGTTGAAACAGCGAGACCAGAAATTTGAATAGTGCATGATTTGAGCATGGTATACGTCAGGAAAGGACGAGCGTGCAGGCCTTTACGTATGCATTGGATGTCTATATCGATTAGTTTAGGAGCTCTTGTTGGAGAGCGTCACGAATCATCTGTAGTCTCGGATCGTCACGAACTCCAGCGGGAACGCGTCGAATGAGCCATTCCGAACTGACAATCAATAATCCCAAACTAAACTTGCATTCATTAATCCTTTTTGTTGTACGTCAAAAATTGAGGATGTACATCGAGAAACATGTTCGTAAAAATCTCAAGCATAGAACAGAGCCTGTATCTCAGTGTTCCACGATAGTACGACGCGTGTGTCGGTACGTCTGAGCGCAGCCTGTGCATACGAAAGCACCGTCAGCTTCTTCACCGACACCTGTGTCGAGTCTATTTCTTTGCTAACCGATGGAAGCGTCCAGGTGTGCCTTCCAGCGAATCCTGAGCGTTGCGGCACGGCACTTTTCGATTTTCATGTTCGCAGAATGAAGCGTCCTCGGCCGCTCGCCTCGGGCGTGAACGATCCGGTGCCGATCGCACGAAACAATCCCCGGAGCTTCAGGTTGCACCAGGAACGATATAGGCTACGAACGCGTGCTACGGAGGCTTTGGCACGAAACTTGCGCTTTTAGACGGATACGGCGTGGTTAGCTGCTCCCTTTGGATAGAGCGCTCGTATTTTGAAGAAACTGTAGCGTCCGCGTGGTTCCATTGGTTCCACCGTCTCGGCAGGTGTGGGCGGAACGCTCAACATTCTTGCTTGTGGTGAAGCTAGCGAGAATTTCTCTCGCGTCAATTGACTGTTTTGGAGGTTCATTGGTCAATTCAGAGGACATAGGCTTCAGCTGGGCCCGTCTTCTCTACGCGGTGCACTGGTGCGCACGTTCGAGCCAAGCATGGCTTTCGTGTTCGCTGTACCTCGCGTGACGTTACACAGAACCAGTCTGCCAAGGCGGTTTCCGGGTTGCGCGCCTCGAGCAAAGTGCACGCCGTACCAGCAGTTGCTGCGAAAACCGACCAAGGAGCCGCTGGCCCGCAGCTGGCGCTGTTCAGCAGCAAACGCCTCGAAACCGCCGACCGGGTCACCAGAGGTCTTCGAAAAGCTCTTCGTACCCGTGCATGATATCGATGAGTGTTGCATTGACAGAAGGCTCTTGGAACCCTACAGTCTCCAGAAACAGTCTGCTTTTGACGCCGAATACCGGACTGCGGAAGAGCTTTCGCTACCAGGCGCCCAGTCGACGTTCCGGGTATTTCTGCGGTACTTACAAGCACTGTTTCGCCACGAACCTGATCTGCCCCGCCGATTTATGATTGCCCTGGTCCTTATGGTGCTGTCGAAAGTGCTGCTAGTCTGTGTGCCGTTTCTATTCAAGCGTGGTATCGATGCACTGAGCAGTGGGGCGGCAACCGGAGAGCGCTGGGCACTCATTGCGATTATCCTCTTCTGCATGCATGGCATGCTGCGAACGCTAGGCAACGTCCTGCATGAGTTGCGGAGCATTGTCTTCATTCGTGCTGCGCAGCGCATAGGTCGACAGATCTCGCGTGCGACGTTCAAGCACCTCCTGGAGCTGGATCATTCGTTTCTGTTGACGGCCAAAGTCGGCCAGGTCACGGCTATTGTGAATCGTGGCACCCGCTCGGTGATGACGCTTTTTCGAGCGCTCTTCTTGAGTTTTCTGCCGTCGATGTTCGAGTTGTTGCTGGTGTGCGTGATCATGGCAACGCGGTTAAGCTGGAGTATGAGCGCAGCCACGCTGGCCTTCTTTGTATTTTACGTGCTCTTCACGCTGCGGGTGAATCGATCTTTCATTCCTATTCGGCGGCGCTTGAATGACTTGGATAATGAGGCCAACGCCAAGGCCACTGACTCGCTGATGAACTTTGATACAGTGAAATACTTTGACCGAGCTAATTTTGAGACTGTCCGTTTCGACAAGGTTCTTGCTGCGTACGAGGAGTGTGCCGTACGCAACGAGGGCATGTATGCGCTCCTGAATGCAGGGCAGGCGACGATCTTCAACGTCGCCTATGCTATGATCAATGCTTTCGGCGCCTGGGGTGTTGTCCAGCAGGCGCTCACCGTCGGTGACCTCGTCATGGCTGGATCGCTGTTCCAGCAACTCAGCGTGCCGCTGCAGTTCCTCGGATGGCAAACGCGGGAGCTCAAAGCCGCTCTTGTCGACTTGGAGAATCTATTCGATTTGTTACGAAGGCGACCTACTGTCTGCGATGCTGCTGACGCAGTCGAGCTGGAACTGCGTCAAGGCGGCGAGATCCGCTTCGAGCGTGTGAGCTTCGCCTATCCCGAACCGGTAACTGGTCAGCTGCGTCCTGTTTTATCCGATATTAGTTTCCGAGTGCCACCGGGGAAGAAGACGGCTATCGTCGGCGGAAGCGGCGGCGGCAAGTCGACCATCCTACGTCTCCTGTACCGCCTATACGATGCAACAGAGGGCAATATCCTGATTGATGGTCAATCGATTCGCAATATTCGCCAGTCGTCGTTGCGGGCAGCGATCGGGTTCATTCCACAGGAGGCAGCTCTTTTTAACGACACGATATTTTACAACATCGCCTACGGCAACGTAACCGCGAGCAAGACGGAGGTAGAGGAGGCCGCCCGCCTTGCCAAAATTGACGAGACGATTCGTGCGATGCCCGACCAGTACGATACGCTAGTCGGCGAGCGCGGCATTCGCCTCAGCGGTGGTGAGAAACAACGGGTAGCAATTGCACGAGCGATCCTCCGGAACCCGCGGATTCTCTGTTTGGATGAAGCAACTTCGGCGCTTGACTCGAAAACCGAACGCGAGATAACAGCTGCGTTGGATGAGCTGGGCCAAAATCGAACGGTTTTGGTCGTTGCTCATCGACTCGCAACAATCGTCAACGCCGATGAGATTCTGGTGCTACACCAAGGCCGTATTGTGGAGCGAGGCACGCACACAGCGCTTCTCGCGCTGAATGGGCACTATGCAGATATGTGGCGACGACAGACGGAGCACGCTCTCGATGACCAGGATGCACCGACAAATGGTAGTGTATTCGCGCATCCTGCACCAGCAACACCGGGGTTTGTCTCAGCTTTTGCCGTCGATGCCGAAGAAGTGGATGCCGTATTGGATGGGCAGCATGCGTAAGATTTGCGGTCTGGAAAATGTTTTCCAAGGCGCTTCCCCAAGTACCAATATTTTGGGCCATCAAGCGCATTCTATGCATGCATGTGCAGGGTGCGCAAAGCAGCTATGTTGGCGGCGCTGTTTTACGGGGAACGTTGCCAGCGTTCTCGGGATGTGTCGTTTTCTTCCTGCGCTCACATACCGAGGAAGTAATCATCGGTTTAGTCTGGTTACTTGTCGCCACAAAGAAGATCTCTTCTATGATACTTGTTTGGGTATTTTCAGCATGCACGCATGCCGCTTACCTGATATCCGCCTAGGTCGACGCGTTGCGTACGTGCGTGCATCGAGTATTTCTAGAGCGCGGATGCATGATTCATGAATAGGCAATCTATGATTTGTATACGATGCATACATAGAACATACACAGCGCATGCGTACATGATACGCGGTGCTTCCAGTGATGTCATGTCGTTCCCGGGTCATGATGGCGATTGATGCATACAAAGTGCGCTCAAACAGAGATTTGCTTTGGTAATGGTGGTAAGGTTATCTTTAGTGACTTCATTGCTGTCGACGTCTCCAAATATCTTTTGAAGTGTAGTGCAGCATTTCAGAGGAGTTAAGGGCGTGCACATGATCACCTGGAGTGATGAAAGAGGAAACTCTGGACTGACACCGCCGAGCACATTCGGAATCCCACGTCTAATGAGCGTATTTGTTTGAATGCGCACGTATGCGCTTCTCGTTCCGAGTCTTGTGGATCGCATGCTGTTCGTTGTGCAACGACCATTGATCTGCAACGGAACCGGACACTCCTGGCAAATGCCAGGCGTTAACGAAAATGGCGAAGTACCGGATCCGCTTGTGTTCGGTAGCGACGCTTCGACCATTTCTCTAAACTCGATGCAACGAACCATCAGAGATTCCGGACCTGGCTCGTGTTTGTTCTCTTCACATTCCCTGAAACGCGTGGAGTCCGTTGCTGATCCCAGGGCGAGCGAAGCGCACGGTGCGCCGTTCCCCGGCATAGAGCATCCGACTTTGCGCGAGGTGCCGTCTTCCAGGACTGCAATCCCATTGGTGTTTTCGAATGTAAACAGGTACTTTGGTATCGAAAACCAAGTGCTCTGTGAATACTCTCGTCGCGTGTTGGCTGTACGGGGTGCCGGCTGCATGCCAGTCACCGCCCGATTGTGATGCACTGTGGGTGATGTTTTACGAGTGTGGGAGCGGCTTCGGTGCGCAAGGCGCTTTTCCGGCCGCAGTACACTACGGATACACGATCTATGTGGAACGCTCTGGATACAAAGCCTGGACTGTCGACTAGGTATACCGTGGCGCTACACTCAGAGCCTTGAGTGTTGAAACGTCTTTGTGAGCACACCCGTTTTTGTTTTTGTGATTTCGTCTCGCGGATATTCAACAGAAGAATATAACTTGTTGATCGGAGGAGGGTTCCTCAAACACATCATACTGACACTGCTCGCGCGAGAAAACGTCCTCACTTGTGAGCGTCATTATATATACGGCCAGCAGGTAGGTTCATTGCAAGTATTCTGGTCCTTGAACTGAATGTTGTGCACCCAAAGAAGAACTTTTCAAGCGTTGTTTACATGCCTTTGTCCTCGTCAAGGCATCCTACCCCGTAGGTTGTCTGCGAAGTACTGTTAATGAAGTCAGCGCATGTAAAGTTCTCTGCATTTTCGATACGATACGATGATAGAAGAAACGATATCGCGCTTCTAGACCGTCATTCCATGAACAACACATCATCGGTGACGTACTGGAATGCGACCGCCTATTCCAGCAGTAGCAGCAGCAGCAGCAGCAGCACGTGTTCGGCTCACTCGACGAGACTTGACATGACAGGCGTTTGCAGGGGAACTCCAGTAGGGGCAAACCGCTCTTCGTACAGAGGCGGCCATGCGCGCGCGTCCACAACAGCTTCCCGAGCGACGATGCAATCATGCGGTCGTCTGTTCGTCGCCAGAGCGGCAGTATGGTAAAACACTGCATCCTTCATCGCAGTACTGCTCGCTGATTCTCCTGCCGACACGATTCTGTCCTGGTCATGGACGACTTCGGGTTGCATCACTCAAAAGCGGCCGAGGGATTATGCAGCTGAGATTGGCGTTGAGCTGCTCCCTGGGCCAGCCTATTCGCCCTACATCAGTACAGTCCAAAACAACACTGCTCTGTTCCATGTAGCGTGCGCACCGGCGCCACAAGTGCTATGACGGACGTTCACGGCAGGTTTGAAGCACGATGAAACGTACGGAATGGCCAGAATCTCCATGGATAAGTATGGGTTACGGAGCTTGAATGTCGTACGAAGAACGAGAGACACGCTCCGCGATACCGACGATAATCGCGGAATCGGCGATGCCTGGCTAGTGTAGAAGTTCTGTCGATCCAGGTAAGTGCAGTCGCAGGTGTCTTGTCTGTTATCGAACACCGTTTTGAAACTCGCATGTTTCTACTCGAGTTGTTCTCTACCTTCAGCACCATTGGACAGGTACGCCGCTTCTCTACTCGAGCTCGGGCCGGGGCAGAAAGGTTCGCTTCTGCCCGTGAGCGTGCTCACGACGTAGAGGGTGAATGAATTGTAGTCGAGGAATGGTGGGTAAATACATAGAAAAGACGTGATTCTGTGTTGCTGCGCATCCAGTGCGTCTGAACTAACCGGAAGTAAGCGGGTATGAAGTCTAGAGGCGACATCTATAGCAGCATACCGCGCAAGAACAAGCGATGTAGTCGGTACCTGTGATCAACGATGAAGCATTCGACAAAGTTCGCAATGGGCATTGGTGGAGCTCGATCAAGGTTCCCCGTAGACGGGCAGAAAATGGAAAGAAGTACGCAAAGACTTGAGAGACCGACAGAATATCCATCTGCATGATCTGTGTAAAACTCCTGAAATCAAGGCCTGAGTTATCTAACGAGACTCGTTTTCACCCGTGCAAGGCAGCTGAAGAGGAACGCTTCGTGGTGAGCCCGGATTCCGGGTCCAAGATCGTCATGGTCGTTGCTGTACAGAAAAATCGAGCGCACGGGGCGAAACGCAGGAACGGAAAGCAGTTGGAGCTGCTCCGTTTGTCGAGGGATCTGTATGATTGAGCGTCGGACATAGGAACGCTAAAAGGAATACGAACAGTTGGCATGACGGTATCCGAACACATCACCATGCTCTGAGCACCCTACCAAGCAGAAGGGACGTTTTGGAGGCTTTATTCAGAGAGCGTAGATGAGCGTCCAAGCGGCTCATGCGGGCGATCTTTGGCGGGTGCCCACGAAACCGAGCCGACATCTCCACAGGTCTCGGTTCTAAGGAGGCAACATGCGTGCATCCATGATACATTGCAATGAATTGAAGATGGAAATCGCCGATACGAGGCGCCGTTTCGTGGTATCCAATAACGCTGGACGTAGTGCCACGCACGAAAGCGGCACGCCGCATCCTTCGACGACAACGTGCGACGGGTGCAGGAATCGATTCTGGACCACGAACACCGATGCGTTTCGGACGAGGTACGCTTATAAAGAGCACAGGTGCACCTGGAATAGATCGGGAAGATGGGATTGCAAACAAATTCATATGCATCAGAAGATGTCCGTTAAGATGAGGAAACGTCGGATGGCCATGCGATCGATGGAGCGACGCTCGTTTCCGTGTGATTCCGCCAGCGACCATGCGCGCAAGCACTCTCTGGACACAGACTTGAACACCTTGGTCATTTTTCGACGATGATGTCATGCCTCCGGGGCTTTTAGCGGCTCTGGGGTGCGTGGACTTGGAGGGCATTGTTTAGAACACAGTCTAGGTAATGCACTGAATTGCCGAAGACTTGCGATGCAAATACATCAGTGGTCGGGTGAGAGCGCGTTGGACTCTCGCCGATCGCGAGACACTGGGGTTCCACGAAGCAGGCGTCCAGCAAGCCTGAATCGCTGTATACAGAAACCGGGACCGATTCTCCCAGGCAATTCGTAGAAGATATTGGCGTTCCTGCATTTTGATCTTGGTCAGTGTACATGTTTTACGCGAGCAAACAAGCGGTTCTGCAATCAAGTTAAGGTGTGCACGTCATCCAAAGACGTACCAGTTGACTTTGCCAGCTCCAGCTGGAGATCTCCACGGGCCTGAATAAACGCTGGTAATTCTTTCGCAAGTTCTCTGAGCTGATGCATAATATCCACCATGCTAGGTTCTTCGATCATCTTGATGGCTTTCAGACGGGCCATGGGAAATTCGACATGAATCTTTCGAGCAGCTTCCATTTCATATTCACTATCACCGATCACGAAGAGGTCAAAGGGGATTTTCGTCAAACAAGCTCGGGAGGCGACGGAAGGCATACGAATACCTCGCTGCCGTCGATCGCTTTCGAATTGCCGATGTGCATCCAGACAGCGTTCGCAGGGCTCCTTCTCGCATACGGTCTCGAACGCATCGTCCCAGAGTGTGCTTCCGTGCAGGACTTGCTTGCGGAGCTCCTGCTGCTGCTGCCAAAAAGCCCATTCACGCCTTAGCGCATCTCGTTCGCCAAGAACTCTCTCGATTTCGTCGCGAAAACAGGCCACTTTCCAGTCAGTCGGGTCTCTGCCGACGGCCTCGGTACCGTCATCACGCAGGTCACCATACCGCCCGCGAGCCGAAATGCAAGCACATGTACGGCTCGTGCTAGTGCTGGTGTGAATGGCACCAGCCTCCGCGTCGAAAACGGTTTTGTCAAATAGCAGACGATGGGTACGGGGTAGCGCGCCCCTACTCGAGGAAAACACCCAACGCAAGTCAGCATTCGTTACAATAGAGACGTGATGGTTCCGACCCGAGTCAAGACAGAGAGTTAGAAAGGCTGAAACCGTTTCGTCGAGCTCAACGCATAAGGCGTACAGCTCAGCGGGAGCATACGCCAACTGCGTGAATATCGACGTGATCTCGCTGGTGGCGTACGGGGTCCCCGGGCTCCTGCCAGGGCGAATGCTCGGCACGGCCGACGGAGCATCCGCATGCATCTCGTCAGCCGCCTCCGATGGGTGCTGGTCCAGCTGCATGGAACTCGGATAGGGTATAGAGTCATCCAAAACAAGCATCACTGAGGAACGCGTGTCAGGACTCGGCGGCAGTGAGGAGCACCTCGGGGAGCGCGGAACCTCCACCGCACGCTGTGAAGCTTCGCGGGTAGCCTGCGCCTGGGCCAGCTCCTCCAACCTCTGTAGCTGAAGCACAGCAGACCCCAGTTGACTCGTTGGATACAAGGTGTCGTCATAGTCAATGATAAACAAAACCAGACGCTCGCAAAGCGCAGCTGGTGGCTTACTGACGTGCCCAAGCTGCGCAACGCAACGCCTTGATTCCAGCCCTGTGCAGCACGCACTGAGACCCTGCGCTGCCGCGCCCAGTTTCGGTAGCAAACTTCCCGAAAAACTTCGCTGCCGCACCTGTCCATCAACAGGCGGGCGCGCCAGAAGCGCGTCCAGTTCTTCCCGAAAATAGCAACCGCTGGGCCGTATGCAGGGTCCGAATCCCTCGGGGTTCTCGGCAGCAAGCCGCAGGAGATCGCTTTCGCTGCCTCGAACTTGGCACAGCATAGTTGCCTTTTCTAACAAGGAACGGCAGGCGTTGGCCTTGGACGCTCCTGTGTCGTTGGGGTAGGCGCCTCCGCAGCGAGCCTCTTAATGGACAACCCCGCGTTATGCGTGAGATCGTTGAGGAGAAAATACACGTGTAGCCGTCACGCATGCGCCGGCGGCGGTGCGAGATGCACGCACGGCGAGTATGCGGTGACGGCCTTCTGGAGGCGATCTGCGGCACGCATCGCATCCGGTGTCGTGCGTGCACGACTTTTCATGGTGTAGGATTGATGCATTTAAGCAGGATTCCTCAGGATGAGCCATTGTCATCGGCATCAAGCAAAAGTCAATCGTAATCTGTTCCAGACTCATAATGTTCTGTCTGCAGCACACCAGACCGTGCTTCGCGGGGTAATGTTCCGTTGAAGCGGTTTCCCGGATGCCCATTGTCAGGTGCGTGTCTGTTGTCGCGTTGCGGCTACCGCACGCAGATAGAACGGTTTCGCTATGCCCTTGCGGGCGCCAGCTCGAGGCGGGGTTCAACCATGCTCCGCGAGCCATGTCGCCGTCAAGAGGCGGGCGCGGATCAGGTTCACGGGAGGGGCGGCATCACCGCTAATGCGCAGGCGGTGCGCCTGCATGATCTGTGCGGCGATCCTGCGGCATAACAGAGTCGCCCATGGCATATGCCGAGCGACAGGTCTGTGTTCTGCTGGGTCTAGTGCTGGTGGCAATTCTGCCACAAAGGAGCTTTGTTACGGTTGAGTGTTTCGAAAGGGTCACTGGTGGTGGCCGTGTTGGTAGTGGTATGCGTGCTCCACGGGAATCTGGATAGCTTCATCGATCCTACCTACACCAAGTGAACTGGTGGACGTGCACATCGGAGCCGACTCCGAATCGCTGCAATACACCTGCTGGTGCCAATGTCCGACGATGAGCTGAACTCGTCGGGCAGTGGACTGCGGTCAGTCCGTCACCATGAGGGAAACTTTGCGGATTCGGGAACCTCCCGATACTTCGTGGACGAGCTCTGCTGCGAGCAGCAGGTTGTCGACTCGCAGCCAGCTGGGACGCCTGGCGGGACGCCTCGGTGCCCCTCATGTCTGCACGAGCACTCGGATGTGGCCTGTTCAGAATCGAGATGCGTAAAGGTTGGATCGTCTTCCGCTGCGCTGCAGCGCATCCATCGATGCCTGCGATGTAGGGGAATGCCTCGTGCTTGGTAACGCAATGCGGACACGTTTACACGACGATGTACAGTTGTGGGGCGTGCCAAAAGGTGGATCTTGTCATTGGTCAGGTTCCTGATGCAAATCCAGGATCCGGGGAGCGTTGCGCTCGTATTGAGGCCGGCAGCAGGCAACGCCAACAATATACCAGATCTCACAAATGTTGGCGCGTATGCATCGCACTCGACGCCAGTCTGCGGTCACACAAAAACACGCGCTCCATTAGGGATCAAGCGATACATACGAGGAGATTGGTCGGTTTTCGCCACGCATGAACAGTCTTGCTACGCAGGCGAGGTTCATGATCATGGCATTGCTCGACACCGTACTGGCTGCACTCAAGCCCCGGCTGCGTGTTTGAGCCCCTGGGATTCCGCCTAAGCAATGCTGCGCTCGCATCGCTGGGGGCGCGTACGTGCGCCCCTATCGCGCTACGACACTAAGATTGCATCCATTCCAGTGCATTGCCAGCGGATGTAGGTTCTGTAACCGGATTGACCTCTTGCCGCGGCTACGTGGTACAATTTGCTGTGGACACCGCTTCTCATTGTGAGCACTGCCACACAGCGGCGTGTCTCGTGGATGTTTGTAGAGCCAAATATAGAAGATGGAGGGAGTCACGTTCTCGTGCCTTGCCGATACGAATCGTTCTGGGTCAGCGACAGCAGGTCGCCCTGTTCGACTTAGATCGCTCGCTACCGCTGAAACGGCATATCAGGAGCTATCAATACGTTCGGTTGCGGATTTCACAGAAAAACGCTCTCTTTCGGTGTTAAGCATAGCCACGGAGTCGTCGCTCCCGAGAACGCCCGCCCGTTCCCGAGGACTCCAGCGCGGTAGCCACTCGCGGATGCGTCTCTGCAGGGTTTCCCAGCGTTCCTCCCGCAAAGCGTAAAGGTCCCCCGGGTACAAGGGCCGGACTTGTTGCAGTTGTCGAAACTGCTCGTCTGTAAGTTGTGGCGACTTGCGCAACGCCTCCGCCTGTCGCTCTACTCGCCGGCGTCGCACCTTCTCCTCGTTACGCACGTCGTAAACTTGCAAGGCGTATACCACAGCAACCATACCAAGTGACACCAGAAGAACCGCCTTCGGTGAAGACGGGACACTGAAGCGTGCTTCCGAGACCATGAGAGTCCCCGGCGTTACGAGCGTATCACGCGCTCGTCCATCCAAGCCGGTGTCGAATCGAGCCGGAACACTGAACAGATCGGTGTGTTCCTGCCTTTTGATTTTGTGTTCGAACGATTCATTAGAGGTGCAGCCTTGACATTCGAAGTACAGCAATGAGGTATAATGGATGCATACGTAGGTTTAGGATGTTTGGTCGTCTGTCCGGAGTGGCTCCTTCGACGCATCGTTCCTGGTATTCGTTACGTTACCTTCACCAGGATGATCCGCAACGCCATGAGACAAGCTTTCCTACACGATTGGGCATCATCAACCAATACATACGCGCAAACTTCGACGCTTCTCTTTTTCTTTCATGTGGCACGCTCAAATCTTGCGCGCTTCAAGTGGTCGATTTTGCGGCTCCTTTGCAACTGGTAGGCGCACTACCGTTCCCGCCGCTAGACGTACGAAGAAGAACGTTCGGCATCGTCCCTTGATGCGTTCTTCATGTGCTCATGCCGAAAGTGCACTGAACGTATCCCATCAAATATTCGATTCCGTTCGAAACATCAATCCTCATCTTTTTTGGCCTTTAACGGAACTGTATTCGACATAGGCACGATATTTGTTCTGGGAAATGCTTCCAAAGGCACTCATCTCTTCTGTCTGCATGGAACAGGATCTTCGGCTTGCACTCGAGTCATCACAGCAATCGCTTCGGGCGATAGTTGTGTCATTGAACCGGATGAGAGGAGCGTCGACGGATCGAAAACGCTCCACTTGTTCACGAGCATGGGTTCTCCTTCCGGTACGTGTTTCATTACGAACATCATCGCATTCCACGAATCCCCTATCGAATGGAAGAGCGTGCGCTTGCGACCGCGACGAACAAAGTACATGTCAAGGGGATCGCTTGGAAGAAGCCCGTGATCTTGGGGTACTGCACCGGACGCGGAGAGGCCGCAGGGCATCGAAGAGGGCCTTCTTTGCTCGTCGCTGACTCGTGCTGCGTGCATAAGCCAGCGCTCAAGCGCCACAGAGCGGCCCTCTGAAAGGCAAGCTTCGTAGACATTTGGAAAAAGCGGACCATCGTCCAATGGCAGCGCTGCGAAGAGCTCACGGCGGCTGCATACAATGGAGATGAAAGTGACATTAGTGGCATAAATCGCAATTTTTGGCATGTGTTTCAAATGCGTTGACGACTGCCGGAAGCACCAAGTCGGGAGTTGAAAGATGCCATCAACATCCTTCGACTGCTTGCAACGAGGCCAGAGAGATCAGAGAGTCGAGCGTCTTGAAAGCCGGAGAAGCCTGCAACGAATGTTGCTGATGGCTCCGGGCAGACACCCAAACTTAAGCGTGTACGCCCTAATTAGTGAGTCCGTTTCATTTAATGCTGACACGGGCGGAGAACGATCCATTCGCAGTGCAGAACGGTGCGGACATAACGCGCTGCACCATCTTTCATTGCGCTGGCTCTGCCCTGTGCGACTGCAAGCGCCAGCGTCCGCTTGCAAATGTACCCATGCTTGTACGCTGCACACGAGTTCAGGTCAACGTCGCTCAGCAAATAACTTCACAAGGGTCGCGCGTACCAAAGTGCGCGCTCGTTCGGAGCAGCGTGCACAGACGCGGCTCCGACCGTGTCGCCTGACCAGAGGACTCGATCGGTGCACCCTGTACCAGACGCATACGTCCAGGGGTAGCGCTTCTCAAGCTCGGTGTTACTCAGTGGCCGCTGGGTTGCCGTTCACCGGCGTTGCTGCTGACGCTATGGTAGTATTCGTGACCTGGGTGCGGGGGCTCAAAACCGCCTCTAGACTGCGTACCAAGTGCCGGATCCGATACTTGAGGCGTTCGTTTTCGTGGGTCAGCGATCTAACCTGTGACTCTAGCTCCGAGACTCGTGCTAGCAATAGTGCTTGCGTTTCTGAGCCCGTCTCTCCATCAGCATTCTCGCACGACGGCAGCGCTCTTTCAAGCTCGTTGACACGCAGAAAGAGGTTCGCTGCAAGCCGCTCCAGAACAACGAGATTGTCAGACTCGGTTTGCGAAACGTTCTCCCCGGGCACCGTTTTCGTACCTGACGCAACGTCCATATTGGCGCTGGTCACAATCTCACGCAGTTCGGGCTTTTATCGAAAAATTGGCGGTTCAGAAAGGACGTACACACACCACACCACCACCGCCTTTCAAAACAAAAACGATGCCGACCTTGTACAATAGTGGCGCGAAGCCCGCCCTAGACAAGAAGCCTCCAACTGTCGTGCAGGTGCCTCCCGGTTTTTTGGGGGCGGCCACTCACTACTGCTTCCAGCTTTTTCTCATATAGTCCCACGCTGAGAGGTTGTCCCCAAAGTTCTCACTTGTCTACTCTGGAGGTCTTCTTTCCATCACCGCACATTTCCTTATATTGATAGCGGCGTTAAAGTCTCCGTTCACGATTCGATACGTTTCTTGCCGTTGTTTGCAGAAAGCGCTAGTGCAAGGAGTCCACGAACTGTCGCCCTCCTTTCCATTTGCTCTTCCGTCAGCGGTCCGTACTTTTTGTATCCTCAGGGCGCCGCTGACACGTTTCCATCTCGACCCTCTGAAGTGTACAACCCAGCTCGTGGTGTGTATACGATGCTCGAAACTCATCTATCGGTATTGTAACGAAACGCCGTGCACACTCCTTGCATACCCTCGTCGTTGGAGCTGGAGTAGTCCCTGTTTGGGTCTTCCATCGCCCTGCCCAAGACGCTACTACGGGCCTCTGACTTTCATCCTCCTTCAGGGCACGCAACTCATTGAAAAAATTCGCGAATGCACGCTGCTTCCCACAGTGCAAGTTCATTCGCAAACGAGCCCACCGAGGCTTTGTATACTCCTCCACAGCGCATCCCAATGAGCAACACGAACTTGCAGGAATTCCCGAAAAGCTCGAAAGTCCGTTCCGCGGCTCGTTACCTCGCTCAAAGCTTCGAAGTGCTCTTTCACTCCTGCATTCCATATCTCGATTCTCTTCCTTGCATTCGTTATACCGGATTCTCGATAGCATCTCGTTGTCGGGAATCTCAAAAGTCGCATGTCTCTCTGACGTAAGTCACCGTCAGTATCATCTTCCCCAGGCGTGGATGCTGCGATGGTTACGATATTCGTGTTCCCGGGGTCCGCGCCAACGACAAAGTCGTTATCCTGCACTTTCTGCGTTTCAAGACCCGCCTCCTTCTCATCTTTATGCTTCGCCGCGCCAACGACAAAGTCGTTATCCTGCACTTTCTGCGTCTCAAGACCCGCCTCCTTCTCATCTTCATGCTTCGCCGTACCAACGACAAGGTCGTTATCCTCTACCTGCTGCGTCGCAGGATCCGCCGCTTTGTTTTCTGCATCCTTCGTCACGGGCGTAGCCGAGGACGGCACTGAACGATCTTTCTTCAACCGCGGATCGTGTACACACAAGGCTACTCCATCGGTTTCGATCATCCCAGTGAACAACTTTTGCTTGCCCGCTTTGAGAAGTTTGAACTCGAAGGTATTCTTCTAGTGCATCTCCCGATTTTCACCGATGAACTTCCCGTTGCTAACATCGAACTCCCCACTGATCTGTCTCATGATGCCATAGAGGATGCTGGAGTCGATCGTCACAAAATGTGACTTGATGTTGCACATTGGAACCACGTAGAAGCGCTTCCCATGAGCGAAGCCGCCCGTCTCTCCCACTCTTTATTTCTCTCCTCACTCAGCTTCGTCTCCGCTTTGCGTTCGAGCTCTCGGTCCAGAAACACGAAATACCGCAGGACGAGGCGATAGTATCTTTCCTTGTCTTTTTTCAACTCTGATATCTTTTCTGTTGGATTAACAAACCCCAGTACCGCACGATGCTCTTGGATAGCCGCACGGATTACAGAAGCTTCATTCACGCACTCTTTTGACGCCTTCTTGTCGACAAATTCGACCTCATCTTCACGCTTGCGATCTTTCGTGATGCCATTGATCATCGCCTATGCACCTTTGCGAGAGATGCGCGGGTCGAGAGCGAACACGGCGCGTATCATAAAATGTTCGAGGTCCATCGTCAAATGGTTCCTCAGGTTCGTGAGGTACTTCACCGCCCCGTATATGTAAATAGTCGAGTCACCCTTGTATCGATTACCTTCGAAGCGGAATTCCGCGAAGTTTTCGTGGAGGGCATGCACTATCTGAGTTTCCCTCCGCGCTTCCCCTGTGCCAAGCATCAGCTGACGAATAAAGGTCTTGTCGAAAAACTCGTCCGGAATCTCGACCGTTTCCATGTGCGCCACTTCGCGATACATCTACCTCGCCAAATGCATCAGTCCTGACGACGCCTTGACAATACTCTTCGAGTACGAGTCGACACGTTTTTCGATAGCGTCTCGCAACGTTTCCCTGTGGGGTTCCTTGATATGTTTAAGAAGGTTGAAACATAATTGAACTGTAAAGTATACTCTGCTATGACTTTAACGCAAATACAACTCGTACTTGAGAGCAACACGCTAAAGATCGCGATCACGTTTCCCTTTAACGGCGACATGCGCGTGGTGTTTCATGCCCGCCAGATATGGAGGTGCGCGTATCGACCGCGATACCTCCTGGCACTCGGACTTGAACTCCAGAAATCCTCGACAGAAGCGATAGCAGCAGGATACCGGGCACGTATATGGGCCAAAGGGCCCACCATGCACACCTGGTTCAGTCGCATATCCATGCAAACCCCAATGCACCGCAAGATCACTTGGTTGAAATCAACGCAGATTTGGCTGAAGCGCCCCCTAGGCGAAAACACGCTCCCCAATCGTTCCCCAGAAATATAGAAGGCTCCCGCCGCCTTAAGCGAACGGTCCAAACAACAATATGGGAACGTAGCCACGGAACCAGTCGCGCCCTCAACGCCGGCTTGACTCTGTACCGGAACTACAGCCTAGCCTGTTCATGCACGTACTGGTGGGAGGCGCTGGAGTTCCCGGGACTAGCTCGAGGTACCTAGTGGCTCGCCACAATACGCGTCGGTGGCTTCTGGCGAGCAGCACCGTCTCTAAGCCGTATAGGAACACTGGAATCGCACTGGGAATAACACTGTCCCTGCTATCGAGACGAGATTCCGGAGACGCTGGCATATTTAGGCTTACAGTGCCCGCGCTGGAAACAGGAGCGAACCGAGCTCCTTGAAGGACAGCAGCAGCTGGGCTTCACCGTGATAGACGAAGGCCGGACACTCACTCTGAGTGTAGCACTGGCAACTGATGGTCCATTAACCGAGCCTCAGCGCTCATCAGTGGCGAACAAACTCACATGCTACCTTCCAAGCGGAAGGTCCAGCGAATCGGATGCGCACACGGGCCCAGTGCTCTCTGCGCCTACCCACTGTGGTGGGTGTCAAGCACAAACCCGCATTGCCAACCAAGAACGCATTCCATGCATGATCACGAAGGAGACAGACGACTCCCAGAATTCATCCTAACAGCCAAGTTCCTCCAGCGTTTCGTGCAGCGAAGGCAAGCCTGCATCCGCAGACTGACTGAGCACAAACTGACGATGAGACCCGATTCTACGTCGGGTGAAGCACGCCTCGAGCCGACGCCCGCTGTGGTACGGTAACGCCGTTCTGTCACTGTGGTGAACCCGTTCCAGCGGTTCAGGAGCCTTTGCGGACTAGCAGGGCGCGCATTAGGTGAGTGATAGAACTTATAAAACCACCAGAATATCCGAGAAGAAGTATAGGTGATGTAACTTGGAGGTAGGATGTTTGATGGATACTTCACCGCACATTGAAAAAAAGTAAGAAAAGAAAGAGCGCACAATCGGAGAACGCTGGCCTATGCAAACGTTTTGCCGATTGAAAATATGCAAACGCTGCTGCATATTGCTCAGAAGGTGTGCACCCATCTGGACGGCAATGGGACAACCTGCCACCACAAACCCGTGTACAGAGATTTATCGTTGGAAGCTGCATTTGATGGTGAGCGTCGCATCCTTTTAACGGGAATTTGCAGTGCGATCTCGACATGCACTCGAGACTCTGAGCTCGCGTCGCTTTCATGGACACATACACGCCACGGGAGCCGTTCAGCACGGTGTTGATGATGCGGAGCAAATACGGAGCATCCGAATGGCTCGAATACCAACAAGTGAAGCAACAGAGGTATACTTCACAACAAGCCCCTTCCAGATCTGGTTCAAGTGATGCTGCGGATAGCGCTGCCGCATCCGTACGCACGTCGACCTCCAGTCCTGCGTCCGCGTTCTCGATGAAGCCCGTTGATTTACTGAACGAGTCCGAATGCGTCCTTGGAAACACAGAGAATACCTTTCAGCCTGCTTTTTTGACGGCCAATGCCGATTCTGGCGTGTGCACGCAGTCCAGAAATACACTTGCACGCTTCATAGTCTCTGTTACATGCTGCATGTCTCATGGAACGATTCTAACCTATGGCCGAACAAAGCTGCTGCCTTGAACGTACTTGGCTTCGTAGACACTACAGCGTGTTTCGTTTCCTTGCCAGACCGCAAATCGAGCGTATCCGTGCCGCCTTGTCCATGAACGGAACCAGTTTTACCGATCGCTGGCGCCGACTCACCAAGAGAAGTGGTGTCCGCAAAGTCATCTGTCGCTCGATCCCTGCGCTTTGCGAATACGTATTCTGGCAGTTGTGGGCAATCCACTGGCAGGATCCAGAGCAGCGCTGAGTACTATTCCACGCGGCGATCTCGCTCGACACGAGCAGGACAGGCTTGCTCTCTCGACTGTACTAAATTGGATCGAATCGCGTCGTTACGAACGTTGTTCGAGGCAGCCTCGGAGCATATGCTGGTGTAAGCGTCTGCATTCTCCGATACCCTCGAGTTCTATGCAAAATCTCCTTACAAAACACGCATCCAGTGCATTCAAAAGCCCACCTTCTTGCCGACGTTGTTTCCATCTAGAAACTCTTCCAGAAGAGAGCGCAACGCCGAACTCGTGCCGGGATAGAGGATTGCCGCCCCAAAGCCAGCAGCCAGAGCACCGTCAATGTTCCGCTTTTGGTCATCGATCAGAACGCATTGTGAAGCTGACGCGCCAGCCCGCGTTGCCGCCTCGGCATAGGCCCGAGGATCAGGTTTCCGGAGGCCGGTTTCACAGCTGACCGCCGTCCACGATAAGTACCTCGATAGACCCAACTTCTCTTCAATGAATCGATAGTAGCAGGGGTAGTTCGAGAGAATATGCAGCGTGCCAGGAGGCTGTCGCGATGCAAGCCACTCGAGCAGCGGTTCTATGCCTTCATCCATGAATCTGTAAGACTCGCGAAGATACGCTTCAAAGCGACGGGCATTGAACCTTGCATGCTTTGCCAAGTGCAATGGGAGCGTGTGCAGCGGTCTGAAGAAGAGGTGCTCCAGATCGGTAACCGAGAGTTCACCTCGCTCGAAGCGAATCCAGGTCTCCGGGTGCTTTGCGGCGAGAAAGTCCTCGCGTTTGTCAAATCCAAAGTGAAGGTGCATGTCCTTGAAAAAAGGGTCACAAACAAGAGTATCCATCACATCAAAGAAGAATACAATGGGTTGGTCTCGCGATGTCGCAGCGGTCGTCGCGGAACTAGCAACACGTTGCAATCCGGGGGACGTTTCCGCAGAGTGCCGGTGCTCGTACGGTGACGAACACATCACTGTCGCTGCTGTGACTGCTCGTGCTGCTGACTTTCGTGAAAGTTGCGATGGAATCGTGCTCGACACCCTAACGGGCAGTACTGTTGCAGCTGTACGAAAGTGCCCTTCTGTAGCGGCAGCCGCAGTGGCGGTTGCTCCGTCGAGAGCTACCAAGTGCTGCCTGCCGCGACACTGTGCTGCTTGGGCCTGGTGCGTGTCGGACTCACCAGCAGCGCTAGCCCAGCGCTGGCGACCTAGTCTTGACATGGGACGATGAGGCGCTGGCGCAAATGCTTCGCCACCGGTGAACATGCCTCCACAGTGTCGTCGACAGGGCCACTTGCCAGTACTACCAGGTCCTCGTTCACCGCCAAGTTGACCTATTTCCAAAACGTTTTTGCCTCAGGCAGAAACTCGTCTGCATCACCACGGGACGTCCACAACTGCTTGACGTAAAAGAGTTTGAGCGGTGGCTCGTTTGGAGTCGCTGAAGTACCCAGCACGTGCGGCTGCAGGCGAGCTCGTGTCTCGCCCTCGTGGAGTACACTGGCTCGCTGGTTTGCCCGACTGCTGTTTTAGCCAGCAGACTTCCTCGCTCGCTGGCTTCTTACACCTGCGTGCCTCGGGCGCTTACGTCGGGCAAGCCCGGTTCGGAATCCGAAGCATACAAGAGCGCTGACATATGAAGGCTGCTTACGCAATATATTTTTTCCGATGGCTAAACCTGTACATCGACCCTGGATCCGTTATTGCGGGGATGGATATTGGTAGTCCCAAATGCGTTCATCAAAGTGAAACTTACGTTCAAGTTCCATAACTTAAACTTACTTTCGGATGTACTGGTCATTTTGTACGTTCTATCATTCGCAGAGTAATTGCTTCAAGCATGCGTAATAGCGCTGACACCGCAGGTGCGGATGCAGTGCGGATACAAAACGGCTTTGCAATACTACAGAGGATGCTGGATCGACGGTCGGTTCACTAGTCACAGAATCGGGATTCCTTATCATTCTGGGAGCCTGAAATTGCGCATACAGGACTAGTGCCTGCGGCAGCGCGAAGCAATATACTAGGAGCCACCCCTGGAAACAAACGTCTTTCAAAAGAAAAACGATGCCGACCTTGTACAGTAGTGGCGCGAAGCCCGCCCTAGACAAGAAGCCTCCAACTGTCGTGCAGGTGCCTCCCGGTTTTTTGGGGGCGGCCACTCACTACTGCTTCCAGCTTTTTCTCATATAGTCCCACGCTGAGAGGTTGTCCCCAAAGTTCTCACTCGTCTACTCTGGAGGTCTTCTTTCCATCACCGTACATTTCCTTATATTGATAGCGGCGTTAAAGTCTCCGTTCACGATTCGATACGTTTCTTGCCGTTGTTTGCAGAAAGCGCTAGTGCAAGGAGTCCACGAACTGTCGCCCTCCTTTCCATTTGCTCTTCCGTCAGCGGTCCGTACTTTTTGTATCCTCAGGGCGCCGCTGACACGTTTCCATCTCGACCCTCTGAAGTGTACAACCCAGCTCGTGGTGTGTATACGATGCTCGAAACTCATCTATCGGTATTGTAACGAAACGCCGTGCACACTCCTTGCATACCCTCGTCGTTGGAGCTGGAGTAGTCCCTGTTTGGGTCTTCCATCGCCCTGCCCAAGACGCTACTACGGGCCTCTGACTTTCATCCTCCTTCAGGGCACGCAACTCATTGAAAAAATTCGCGAATGCACGCTGCTTCCCACAGTGCAAGTTCATTCGCAAACGAGCCCACCGAGGCTTTGTATACTCCTCTACAGCGCATCCCAATGAGCAACACGAACTTGCGGGAATTCCCGAAAAGCTCGAAAGTCCGCTCCGCGGCTCGTTACCTCGCTCAAAGCTTCGAGGTGCTCTTTCACTCCTGCATTCCATATCTCGATTCTCTTCCTTGCATTCGTTATACCGGATTCTCGATAGCATCTCGTTGTCGGGAATCTCAAAAGTCGCGTGTCTCTCTGACGTAAGTCACCGTCAGTATCATCTTCCCCAGGCGTGGATGCTGCGATGGTTACGATATTCGTGTTCCCGAGGTCCGCGCCAACGACAAAGTCGTTATCCTGCACTTTCTGCGTTTCAAGACCCGCCTCCTTCTCATCTTTATGCTTCGCCGCGCCAACGACAAAGTCGTTATCCTGCACTTTCTGCGTCTCAAGACCCGCCTCCTTCTCATCTTCATGCTTCGCCGTACCAACGACAAGGTCGTTATCCTCTACCTGCTGCGTCGCAGGATCCGCCGCTTTGTTTTCTGCATCCTTCGCCACGGGCGAAGCCGAGGGCGGCACTGAACGATCTTTCGTCAACCGCGGATCGTGTACACACAAGGCTACTCCATCGGTTTCGATCATCCCAGTGAACAACTTTTGCTTGCCCGCTTTGAGAAGTTTGAACTCGAAGATATTCTTCTAGTGCATCTCCCGGTTTTCACCGATGAACTTCCCGTTGCTAACATCGAACTCCCCACTGATCTGTCTCATGATGCCATAGAGGATGCTGGAGTCGATCGTCACAAAATGTGACTTGATGTTGCACATTGGAACCGCGTAGAAGCGCTTCCCATGAGCGAAGCCGCCCGTCTCTCCCACTCTTTTTTAATTCTCTCCTCACTCAGCTTCATCTCCGCTTTGCGTTCGAGCTCTCGGTCCAGAAACACGAAATATCGCAGGACGAGGCGATAGTATCTTTCCTTGTCTTTTTTCAACTCTGATATCTTTTCTGTTGGATTAACAAACCCCAGTACCGCACGATGCTCTTGGATAGCCGCACGGATTACAGAAGCTTCATTCATGCGCTCTTTTGACGCCTTCTTGTCTACAAATTCGACCTCATCTTCACGCTTGCGATCTTTCGTGATGCCATTGATCATCGCCTGTGCACCTTTGCGAGAGATGCGCGGGTCGAGAGCGAACACGGCGCGTATCATAAAATGTTCGAGGTCCATCGTCATATGGTTCCTCAGGTTCGTGAGGTACTTCACCGCCCCGTATATGTAAATAGTCGAGTCACCCTTGTATCGATTACCTTCGAAGCGGAATTCCGCGAAGCTTTCGTGGAGGGCATGCACTATCTGAGTTTCCCTCCGCGCTTCCCCTGTACCAAGCATCAGCTGACGAATAGAGGTCTTGTCGAAAAACTCGTCCGGAATCTCGACCGTTTCCATGTGCGCCACTTCGCGATACATCTACCTCGACAAATGCATCAGTCCTGACGACGCCTTGACAATACTCTTCGAGTACGAGTCGACACGTTTTTCGATAGCGTATCGCAACGTTTCCCTGTGGGGATCCTTGATTTGTTTAAGAAGACAGCCTTTAACCACCATCTCGTCGTACAGTTGTCTTTTTTGCCGCCTTCGACGTAAGGCCTCCCCTTTTGCTTCTTTTTCTCTTGCTTTTCTTCTGGAATCGGCACTGTTTTTGTTTTTTTTTTCTGACAGCCGGCGACCCTGGGCCTCCAGGATCGCCGACTTGCTTTTTCATAGCTTTCCTTTTTTGTTTTTTTGAAAAAGAACGCTCCATCAACGCCTCTGATATAAACCGCGAAAAATCACTTGAATAAACTAAACTGAGGGTTGAAACATAATTGACCTGAAAAGTATACTCTGCTATGACTTTAACGCAAATACAACTTGAGAGCAACACGCTAAAGATCGCGATCGCATTTCCCTTCAACGGCGACATACATGTCGTGTCTCATGTCTGCCTGATCTCCCAGATGCGCTCACCGAGCGCGATGCGTGCACCGCGCGAGACGCCTCACCGATCGATGAAGGACACGTGTCCGACACCCCGCCTTGGCACTTGCGTGTTCGCATCGCGCAGCAGCAAAAATCAGGTGTCCTAAATCGAAAACTCACGTAGAGTAGTCTCTTGCTATAGGCTATGTCGCTGGTGCCGACGCTACTGCCCATCGCAGTACCGCCCTGACATACATGGAGCTGTTGGGGCCTGGCACGATACCTCTCGACGCTTCTATCAAAAGCGTAGCGTTCTCTGCGGCTTACGCTTGTGTGGATGAGGTATGCATCACACTAGCCTTGAAGAGTTTCGTTAGTTGTATTGATCGTAACCAAACTAAATACGGTAGTGTTCCCGAACACGGATGTAAGTTTATTCTCTATGCTTGTTATGCATGCTGCACGGACGCTGGAATAAGGAACTGACATGAATTTTGCTTCTTTCCGGCGTCATGGGCTGGTACTGATGACCGTTCAAGTCATTTCCATGCTATCGTCATTGCCCAAGTTATGGTGCCTGCTACTGTCTCGGACCCGGTGATCTTGACAGAGGCATAGCACACAGGTAGCGTCCATATCTGCCACGACGTTCGGCCGACGCATCTCGCCTGGCACGATCGAGGCACCCGACAAAAGCACATACTGTATTCTTATCTACTCTATAAGATTAGTTTCAAGAGCCTAACTTGTATGTAGTTGTGCAAGCACCAAACCGTAAACTTATCTGCACCCCCTACGCCACCCGCCATTCCTTAAGCACGCGGATGTTCGTTAGCCACCTGCTGATTTTTCCCTTCCAGTAGTAAAACTGCTCGAGAGACGGATTTTTTCTCTATCCCTTACCGTTCAATGGAAAGAAAACGTTTCACGACCATTTAGGGTAAATTAATATCCAATCACAGACGTCTCCTAGCCTTTTTCGACCGGCCCCCTGCTATCGGTTGCAGCTTCTCTTTGTACAATTCGACCCTGAGAGGATGTCCCAGAAAGGTGGACCGCGTCAGCTCCGCCGGTCGCGCCTCCATCACCAGTCGTCTTCTGATATTGATGACGTTTTGTCGAAAACGCTAGTGATAGAGCTGAGGTCAAGAAACGATCCATCTTGACTGGCGCTATCAAACGATCGGTACCAGAAGCTGGAGGCTGCAGCCGGCACCAGGTGCTCTGGTGACGGCATGCTGGCCGTGAATAGTGCGCAACGAAGCCGCACAGCATGCTACGGTTTCCTAATACGTACGTAAAACAAGCGCGTACCCTAAACGTTCATATTCAGGGTGATGTCTAGTCGCCGCCACGGTATTCTGGGAAAAATATCCGAGTGCACTTTGGTTGCTCGACTATCGAGCACCATCACGAGTATGGGTGCACTTCACTACACGGTTTCCAACGATCACCGAATCCACCATCATCCAAAAGTGACGAAAAGTCACAAGCGCACCGGCCTCGTACCTCCAAGTCAGGGCTTGCCCATCAGCACGCACACAAATTTCGTGACCCGCTGCGCATTCACCAAACGAAAGGAAGCATGCGTTTCTTCATCCAGGGATAGAGGGTTCCAAATTCCTTCAGAGACTGCCGATGCTTCGCCCGAACCCAGACCATCAGCTGCGCAATGCCCACGAGCATAAACCGGATGCCTGCGATTATCTGCGTCATCAATGTACATCCTGCCCACACCAGTACCTCAAATGTGTGTCGTTCG